GAGAATGGTGGGAGTGGCCGTGGACCGAGGGCATCAAATCTGGCGTGGGGAGGTTGAAGTAATTCGTCCATATATCCTCCTCTGTCGGCGGTCGTGGTCCGAACATTGACGTATCGTCCTGATTTATGTTGAAAGAATCGCGTGGTTCTGAAGGTATAGCTGGGCCGAAGAAGTTCGTATTCCCAGATGAACTTTCCTCCTCAATGATTTGCCGCTTCTGGGGCTTTGAGGGTATGTCGTCGGTATTGTATTTCATGCCACTAGCGAGTTTGCGAAAGATGGAATCGCAGAGCTGCCATGCTCTTCGTGAGCCAATGCTCCATTCTGACATGGCGTGGAACCATCGGATACATTTTTTTGACAGCTTGACAAGCTTGAGTTCCTCCTCTGGCATATGCACACTGCCAAATGAGAGTTCCAGTAGGATAACGGTGGCTGCTTGCATCAAACATCGCAGGACACACCACCAGGGACAGAGCTTGTACAGTTGCATGACGTTGGGTTCGTCCGGGATGAGGTCTAGCATGCCCGATGCGGAATTCAAGGCGATAATTGCCATCATATGACTGAATGTCTGAGGGGTGTTCGGTAGACCAGCATCTCGTCGACAAAGGCAAGGGCGTCCTAGTGTGATCCGTGCGCCATAGTAATGAAAAGCCAAGAAGAGCTTGTATCGTAGCTGGTCAGGATTATCATCGGCCTCTTCCTGCGTAAAGTCCAGAGCTGCCGGCAAGTTTGAATGCCAAAGATCTATTCGGGCAAGGAGTTCATCGAGGCGAGCTTCGATTTCGGACCACATGAGGGACACAGCGTTGGGCGAGAATACCTTGTTGACAATTTCTTGTGTAATAACTGTCAGGTCGCAATAGTAGAGATAGCAAAGGCCGGAGTTGGATGGCATATTTTTGAGCCAGGCTCGGTCCCTTGACCGGCATTTCTGGATGTCATCCTTGTTTCCGGGCTGTCGAATTCCTGTGCTTGCCATCAAGATGCTAATTTGTTCATCCCGAGAAGCAGGATCATTGAGCATCCTGACTGCCTCTGGGTCTTCTTGTAGCTGTTCCTCTTCGAATGGCAATGGAAGTGGTGTTGCGTAGCCTCCATCAAGGCTATAAATAGCCCGACCAGTCATGATTCCGAGCATGTGCTCGAAACTGTACAGGCACCACCAAACTCTATAACGAGCCTCTTTTGCGACATTTGGTGTTTTCGGTGTATCGATCTTCAGGTTAATGCCGAGGGTTATTGCAGAACGCACTGCTAAAGCTGAGATTCGCCATGCTCTGTTGAAAAGAAAAGTCAGTTAGCACCACTTTCAAATTAAAAAGGAAAGGTTTTGGGTACGGACCTATTAATCTGGTCGGATGTCATCAAATAAAAAGCGATCAAGCCCTCGACTTGGACTTGCTGAAGATCTGGATGACTGAACAAGACTTCGCCGTTCATGCTCAGCTGCCTGGCTCGGGCCAGGTAGACTAAATGATCATTCTCTTCTCCACGCCACGGAGCATGGATGAGATGGGCATGCTTGGATGCGATCGCAAATATTGTATTCAGGATGGCGAGCCATTTGTTGCTAGGTCTTGCTGCGCTATAGCGACCGGAAATATCGAAAAAGGTTTGGAATTGAGCTCGGAATAAAGGCTTGCTGATGATGGGGAAGAAGGGATGCACGGTTTTCAAATATTCGTCAAAGAGTCGATGTGCTAATTGTCGAGATGGCATGCTATAACGTTGAACGGGCTCAGTAACTGAAATCTCAAGGTCGTCGAGATGATAATTCAAAGCGTGAAGTGAAAATCGATCGCTGGCTGCATCCTCCTCGTCCGTAGTTGAATCTAGCGCACCAGGTTTGCCGCGAGCACGTTGCTCTGCTTCCCTTTGAAGTCGTTGCATCCACGAGATCTCCGAACTCTTCCCCATATACCCGGTCGCTCGGGTATGCTTTGTTCGATTCAAGTCTTCCTCTACTCGGTCAATTGCATTGAGAGATCCGATTGAAGATATCGGAGATCCCTCATCGCCGTCTATTTCGTTATGTGGTGTGGATAATTGAGAAGGTGGATTGTCGAAGGAAGATTTTCCCCTCAACCCATGCTTAGCCAGCAGGAATTCATGATTAGACACCGCAATGGAAGCGTATTGGGTACGACTCACCTTGTCTATCAGGCCTTTAATCCAATCTGCCGTATGATTCTCGGCAGTGTTTCGTAAATCATTCACGAAGTTTTCGTACTCCTGCAATTCCGCAGTGAGTCTATCAACGTCACTGAAGTTACCCCAAGGGTTGTAAAGTCAGTAAATGTAATCCTTCTTTGTTTAGTAGTAGCAAATATTTCGGGAAAGGCCTACTTTTTCATTTTCTCTCTCCATCCCACGGGATATTGACAAGTTGCTCTTAATTCTCGACATTGTCGACAAACCGGGGTGTCTCCGCTGCATTTAGTTTTGCGCGTTCTACACGACTCGCAAGCTCGGGGCACTCTGCGATTAAACCGGGGAGTATTTCCCGGTGTTTGGCGGGGAATAGCAACTTTGGCATTTGGGGCCACTTCTCCCTCCCCATCTTCCAGCAGCGGAGTTGATTTGCTCGCTCTCGCTTCTCGAGAGGACGAAGCTCCCCATATTGGCGGACGTTTGGGTGTTGCAGGGGCACTATGGGGCTTGGACTGCTTTGATGGTCCTTCATTTTGTGATTTGGAGCCCTCACCCGGCGGGCTGTAGTTTTGATTTTGTTGTCTTTTTCGACTCATGGGAATTAGCTCGTCGGTCCCTCATGAGAGGAATCTCCAGGTTATGAAGTTTCTTGACTATTTTCTTGACAACTTGCCAGTGCGCCATCCAAGTGCTTTTCGGTTTGAGATGCCGCCAATGACAGGCCGGTATTCGTAGAGCACAATAAAGTGGGGACTAGAGTCCGAATGCAGAAGAAAAAAACAATTGTATGACAGTATTAAGTAGAGGGAACCAGAATAACCTCGAATATCAGACATAGACCCATCTCATTGGTGGGATGACATCTAATCGCCACTGAGGCTTAACACTTTCTTCATAGTAGCGTACGAGGCTTCGATGATCGACAACCCGAAATAGCGGGCCACATTGTTACAGCCATGCAAGGGAGCGTATCACCTGAAAGCCGTTTGCTGTCTCTCGTTCGTTCAATTGTTTCAAGCATCTGTCCTCTGGGATTTTGCATTGCTTGCCCAGGGCAAATGCTGTGTCCAAAGGAATGGACGGGCCACGGTAGGAATCCGACTACTCCGTTCTCCGACCGTAAGCGGAAATTCGGGCTTGTGGTCACATTCACAAGACGTCAGTCCACTTCATCTTCGTGCAAGTAGATTCTGGAAGATTGAAACGGGACATCTGTTGATTCGAGGTTCCGAAGTTTCGTACCAATCAGCCCTGTGGTAGTATCTTCTAGAAGTTTCACCAACTCCTGCTTGGCCTCGTAGGTATTGCCCCGTGGCTAACCCCACACTACTGCGAGTTTTTCGGGAACCATCTTGTATGATTGGTGTGGCTGGCTCAAGTTGGGCCGATGGGTCGCATACATTGTCAGGTGGAACCTGAGGCTTGACTCTGAGCGACATCTCTGAATCATGATTCTGTAACTTCCGATAGCTGGCGGGACGGTGGCACTAGCTATGTGTGGTCAACTGGGCAATATAGATGTGGGGGAAAGAACTCCGGTAGTGGCCGGAACCATTTCATTGGCAAATTCTGGATGAGCCACAAATATTGGCGGAATGGTTCTCACAATCAATCCCAGACCAAAAGCCCATCATTGTGTGAGCGATGAGTCGGGAAGTGGGAAGTGGGGCACGAGAGCGACCAAAACGTGTTCCCCTTAGTGTGTAGCTTCATGTTATGATAAAAAGATCTTCGCTGCCCATCTGATTGGCCGGGTCGACCTCCGATAATATGTAGAAGGGATAACTTTGGGTGGGAACTGATTCAAGGATCAGTTCGCGCTGACCATGAAGCATCGGATTGAGATGCCGCGCATAATATTAGCTGTCTAGGATTCGCTGCTGGAAATCGGCAGTGACCGTGGTGCGGCCCCGCTAGATCGAACCATATCGTCGGCCTCAACCGATCCGAATTTTCAGCTCCTGGGTATATTGATGAGCCCACCCCCACAGTCTGGTAACTGAATAGTGGCACGACCTGCATAAAATTTTGTCAGATTCTGAGTTTTTTGACATGAAGAACCGAGGGACTCTCGAGGGACTGCTTTGGGCTTTGTGCTCGCCACACGGTCACAGTCAACTGGCACCGGCAGATGTGTCACGAGGTTGACTAAATGAAATTATTCTGATCATAGCGAGAATCGAACTGACTCATGGTCAACTAGCGGATCACAGGGACTTTTATAGAAACAAACGGTAATTCAGAAGATGACGTTGTTCAACCCCAATACCCTTTAACGGCATGATGTCATGGTAGATTTAGCGTGTCGCTTCGCCTGTGGTGAATCGCTGTCTGTCAATGAGCCATGTGCATGTTTTGTTTGAGTAACGTCCAACAGGAATCAGACGAAGTTCAATTGTTGTTGGGTTCAATGAGTTGGTGGATGATGTATGTAGTGTGCTGTGGTCAGGAAGAAGTTCTCGACAGTTGGGATCATCATAGGGTATGCCTACTATCCACTCCTGACATGACCTCATATGTTCGACAAGAAAATCAACATGCTAAAAGACTCCGCATCACTTAATTGGCCCATACTAGTTAGTTACTACTAGTGTGTAGTATAGGCTCACTACAGTATAATATAGAGCAGAAATTTCAATACTAAAAACCCAGTGAGATGTCAGGGTATCATGATCATCCTCATTCAACAACCAATAAATGTAGATACAGAACGCCTTAATGTGTCAAAAACCAGCCAAACGCCATCTATCCCGCTGCCAGATTACATAGTAGTAATAACTGGCGGCTAGATAGAACATATTCTTGACCCCAGAACATTCATTACTTTTCAATATTTAGGAAAATCAACCACGCAGGATACCAGCAATGCGAAGTGTCAAATCCAAAACAGACAAGTGCTCGTCTGCACCGTCAACAAGTCGCTTGTCCATTTCGGAGAAAGCTAGAACGATTCTATTCTTCTGGATATCCGGAATGGTCTCGGTGAAGACAACTCGTCGGTACAGCTTCAATAGTCAGCCACATGCTCAGCAAAGAGGGTAGGAAAGAGGACAGGAAATAGCTCTCGAAGAAAGAAAAAAAACAAAGAACATACCTGACCAACAAGCTGCGTAGCACTCCATCCATCCGCCACAAGATCGGTCACGACAGTAGAGACAGCATCGAACGCCGACGCACCGCCCTTCGGCTGCATAGCCTGTACCAGGCTATCCAGAATAGAATCAGGAATAACACCCGCAATCTCCTCAATACTGCGCACAGTAATAATTCCCTGGTCAGCCCCAGCGTCCGTCATTTCAGCATCCTCATCCGCATCCTTCCCACCGGACTTCGCAGCCCCAGCAAGACGCGCCGCACTCTGAAGATAAGTAATCGCCCGACGCAAATCACCCTCACCGCACCGAATAAGCGTCTCAACAACACCATCTTCTAACTTCAAATTCTCCATACGCGCAATATTGTCCAACCGCACCCCAGCCGCCGAATTATCTAGCGACTTGAACCGAAACTTACTGCATCGACTCGCCAACGGCTCAATAATGCGCGTGACATAGTTGCAGACGAGGCAGAATCGCGTAATGCGACTATACGTTTCCATCGTGCGGCGCAGGGCAGACTGCGCGTCCTGGGTCATACTGTCCGCCTCATCGAGGATGATGATTTTGAATGGTGGGCAAGGGTGTTGCGCGAGGTAAGCGGCGTCTAGACCGGTTGGTTGGGAGAGCTGCGCACGAGCGAAGTTCTTGACTTTGTCACGGACGATGCCGATGCCGCGCTCATCGGAGGCGTTTAGTTCTAGGATACGAGAACGATAGAGTGCGGGGCCGAAGAGGGATTTGGCGAGGGCGAGGATAGTGGAGGTTTTTCCTGTTCCGGGGGGTCCGTAGAAGAGCATGTGTGGGAGCTGAGAGATTTGAGGTTAGAATCGACCTTGTCAAAGGGAATTGTGAAGTTGGTATCGAGGGTTTGTTGCGTACGTTGGATGCTTGAAGGGTGCGTTGCAGCACCTTAGTGGTATGGTCTTGGGCGGCGACATCGTCTAGTGTCTTTGGTCGACTAATTGAATCGTCAGAGCTCAGCCAAGATAGTCCATCATGTAGAACAGAGTCGTACTATTTCTCAACCCAGGGCTGTTGCCGCGTGGTGTCTTCCTTGGTCTCGGTCTTGGCCTTTGAGCTGCTCGAAACAGCGGCAGCACGGGCCTTATTGTTGAAGAACGTCGAGGTCATATTTCCGTGTGTTATTAAGGGTATATGAGAGCTCTCAACCCGGGTTTGCGATTTTTCTGGGGTCGTCGGAGATGCAGCAGTCGAGCTGTATCCGCCGCGGTGGGAGAAACGCGTCTACACGTGACACGCGCAGCACTTAGACGTGACCAATCAGGAGCCACACTTATACTTCATACGCTTGAAGTTAGGTCTTGATTCAACCGTGCATGTTATTAAGATTCTATCAATGAAGGTGATTTTACAGATGGGTAATAATTTTGGATTGGAATGCTTCTTTGGTACTGGCTGTTTCATAACACGTCTATAGTTCATCCCGGACCTCCTCTTCCCACATCCGCTTCTTCGTATTTCGAGGTTGCTGCTCAGCTCTGGCTATTTCTTCGGGCGAAATCGGCTCCGGTTCGTCTTGCTTTCCATCTTCGACCATTTGACCAATCTTGTCAATAATTCGATCCTCCTCGTCTTGCTGCGGAGTATGAACATCTCCCTCGGGAGTCCCACGTGGCACTGTACCTCCAGTAACCGCTGTTGCAGTCTGCTGGATAGCCGAAGATATATCACTTCCAATCGGACTCGCCGAAATTTCCGCCGACCCACGGGATAGCCCGACAGCACCCAAAACTGTAAACAAGAACTTCCAGGAAAACTTGAGGGGAAGCCATACAAGCCACCAGGTCGGTCCCCAAAGGATCCGGCGGAAGACCAACCAGCCTATTGTTCCAACAAGAATATAGAATGCTGTCTGAAGATACCAAGTATCGGACTTTTGTGAGCGGAGAAGAGAGTTGGCGAGACTGCGGGAGGAAGAGAGGAGAGTGTCGAGGCTACTGTAGGATTCGGAAAGAGAGCTGATGGCGGCAGAAGATTGTTCTAAAACCCAGTCTTGTCAGTCTTGTATTGTTGGCTTCAGTCTTGGGATATACTAACCGAGGGTTTCCTGGGCGAACGTGCTGCGGGATAACTCCGTTCGCATGAGATTATGGGTTCGGCGCAGCGCAGCGGTAACATCACTCGACGCATTACGCACCAGATCATCCTGCGTAAATTTATCTGATGATTTCTGTTGATTTGTGGGTGGCGACTGTGGTCTCGAGAATAGTAGTTCTCGCTCCTTGCGTTGCGCCAGCTCGGCATTGCGCTTGGCTTGTAGCTGAGCATGTCGGAATTCTCCCGGGATTCTGCAAGTCATCAGCATAATTCGAGGTCAGAGCAATTCAATACGCCGGCCGGAAGCCTATGAGACCACAACTCACCTCTTCAAATCATCCTCTAATCGCCCCGCCATGGCAATGACTCTTTCCTTCTCCGTCTCCTTTTCTCCGTTCATACTCGTGGCGGATCTTTTCCTTCCCCCAGCATCCGTCTTGAGTGCATTCACCTCTTCTCGCAGAAGTTCGAATTCATCCTCAGCATCTTTGAGCTGGGCACGAATCTCCGCACCGAGCTCAAGACGCGCCTCATTTCCTTGTCCGATAGATTCCGTGAAATTGCGTAGTCTGTCGAGAAGAGGCTGGATCTGACCCAGAGTAGTCGATAGCCCCTTCAGACGGGCCTGAAGAGCAGCTGTGGTAGACATGTTTGGTGATTGGGTTTAGCGGGTCGTTGGCACTCGCATTCGCTTGGTTGGGCCGAGTCGCTCAGTGGAAATATATTATCGACGAGAGCAGTATGTTAAAACGAGTTCTCGGAAGATTGAACAGCGCAGCAAGATATTATCCCGTAAATTGCGCAGCGTGCGTTGTATTGTAGCAAGTCGCAAGTTGCCAGGTGGGCGTCGGAGTTGGTTGTACTCTCGCGGGCGGTCCAGGTCCAGCATGTTTGCATCTACGGCAAACACTTTCCAGCCAACGCCCGCGACTCCGAACCTCTCGAATCCAGAACTGCCCTCTTGAATTCCCAGCCGCGCAACCATTTCTCCCTGAACAAGTCAGTCAAGGAGTCTTTGTGATATCATACAATCGCAAAACCCCAATACCAACAACCAACTACCAGCGCAAAACCCTCTCCGCCTTCAACCACCACCGCAAAAAACCTTCCGACTCAACGTCCGCCAACCAGGTACGCAACGAAATCCGTTCTACAGCGCATCCAATTCAATTCAATCCGATACAAAGCAATAGAATTCAGTCTCTAACCCATACCCTCAACTTCTCCAGCCAGCAACTGAACCAGACACCCCACCTAACTGCCAAAATGTCAATCCCACTCAGCACCATCACCACTTTCCGAACAACCTTCAACCCCTTCACCCACGCCTCCCGACCTTGCCGCCTCTTCCTCTCTCTCCTCCGCACGCCCGGCACAACACCAACCGGCAGCCCCACCCACATCGACATCAAGGTGACGCAGCTCCCGCGCAGTTCGACCCTGCCGCCCGTCATGACTGTCGGTTTCAAGGGCGGCAAGGAATTGACTCTCGAGGTCGGCAAGCGTGGTCTAAAGATTGGCGATGTTGTTGAGGAGGTATCGCGCGTTGGTCGATTTTTGGAGCGCGAGGCCAGTCTGAAGGGTTGAACGGTTGAAGATTATAGGAAACTGCCTCTTTTTTTTTCTTTTGTTGTTTCCTTCTGTTGCGGAGTGCTTTATGGGCATAGCATCTGGTATTCACCAGTCTGTCTTGTATATTATTAGCTTGTTTTTTTTGGCACCGGGGTCAGTGTTGGATTCTATCCTTGCGTCAGCAGGGTAGTTCAATTCCTCCTGCCTCTATTGTATGATATCCGATCTACAAATACTCTTTATGTGAAATCTTGAACATGGAACCAATTCGTCTTGGGCTAGATTGTATTACTATTACTCCGGGTATAGGTCACAACCAGACTACAGTAGAAAAAAAAATTATAAAAAGGGTAAAGGGGGGGGGGGGGAAGACGAATAATGAAGAGAAACAATAGAAGCCGAAGCTCCGTTCGACGCAATCAATTCTTTCAAATATACCCCGCCGGGAGAATCCGCACGGCGGGAGCTGACAGTTTTGGGGTTGGTATTCTTAAAAACGGCGACAGGTATCCAAAATTTACACGGTAGCACCAGAGATGAAGAACCACTTGTCGACGGTACCGTCAATAGGGGCGGGGGCCAGGTTCTCGTTCTGGGGGATGGCGGCAACCTCGCTGGGTCCAGCGGAGACGGCGGCGCCCTCAGTGTTGGTGGTAGCGATGGAGATCTCACCGGGGGAGACCTTGCCGGTGATGAGCTTCTCCCAAGCGTCGGCGCACTCGTGGATGACATCGGAGGCGTACTTCTTGTTCTTGCACTCGCCGGAGAAGGCGAACTGGTTCTCGGGCTTTCCGTCGGGGATCTTGTAGATGCGGAACCACTCGTTGGTGGCACGCAGAAGGCCGGGGAGGTGGCGCTCAACATCCTCGATGTCGTCCAGCTTGGAGGCAAGAGGGTCGTTGACATCGATGACGATGACCTTCCAGTCGGTCTCCTCCTCATCGATCAGGGCCATGACACCCAGGACCTTGACCTGCTTGACCTGACCGGGATAGCCGACAAGCTCACCGATCTCGCAAACATCGAGAGGGTCGTTGTCACCCTTGGCCTTGGTCTCGGGGTGGATGGAGTTGGGGTCCTCCCAGGTCTGGAATGGGATGTTGTCAGAAGGCAGTTCTTCAATTTGCTTGTTTTATTTTGGGTGGACGTGACTTACGCGGGGGAAGGCACCGTAGTTCCACAGGTAGCCCTTGTGGGGGAAGCAGTTACGGACGAAGCGGAGCTTGCCCTTCTTGGTGTCCTGCTTGATGGGGTTGAGGAACTCCTCCTTGGAGATCTATGGCGAAGGCGGAATTAGTATTGTGTGCTTTCGAGGTGCGGGGTTGATATGCCAGGGCATTTCCCAGCGGTGTTGACATTTGCATTTATATTGGCCAACGCCAATGCCAATGCCAATGCCAGTGCTAATATCAATGGAGGAATAGGATAACATTTATCATACCTCCTGCTTGGCGTTGGTCCAGCGGGGGGATCTCGACGACCATGTTCAGAATGGTCTTCTCGGCATTGGCGTAGAGGGGAATGTCGTGGAAGGGAGAGACGATTTGGCCATCCTTCTCGATATAGACACGGTGCTCCAGCGTGTAAGGCTGGGCAATCTTGCGGATAGAGTAAGACATTTTGGGAGATGTGGAAGAGAGATGTCGAGAGAGAAGAGCGGCTCTGGCGAGAGGAGGGGAAGAAAAGGAGGAAGGAGGGGCGCAAGTGGGGGGGGAGCCAGCGTTGCGGATGTGCGCCAAACAGAGGCGGTGGAGGAAAATCCTAGTCGGGCCAAGGGAGAACGAGACGCAGAACGGGCCAGGGCCATTGGCTGCGGTGGGTTGAAGATGCCGTATGTCAGCCGCTGTGTTGATAATGAGAATTGCAGGTGATGTATTGATGGATTGTGGTGGCTGTTGCTGCCTGTTGTCTGTTGTCTGTTGTCTGTTGTGAATGTTCAAGTTTGTGTTGTGTCTGTATATTTGTTGAGTCCGGGTCGTTCCTGCCCCTGTCCTCTCGGGAGCCCGAGATTGCCGTTCCGCCCGTCATACGCAAGCACTTTTACTAGTACTAGTAGTACTTACTCAGTACGAGTACACATAAATGGCCAGTATGGCACTACTAGTATATGTCAATCTATATGCTACAGCTAATATAGTTCATACGCTGGTCCTACTTGCTCTACTACACTGTCGCGTGTCTGACACATGTAGACACAGTATGGGGGTACGGGTACTTCGGGTGCCTACGTATGCGCTCTGCATGTACTCCGTACTCGTACATCTAACAGGTCTAGCCGATATCGGCTAGCATTAACCTTGAAATACTCACTGCCAACTACCATGGTGCCCAGCTATACTTGTACTTGCACTTGTACATGTATGTGGACGTGGCTGATCACGCCATACTTTCGACAATCCAATTGTGTGTGCATATGGCAGAAACGTGGAAATAATACCCTAAGGACTCCATAATGACCAAGGAATCGATTTTAGAATTAGACTGGGTCAGGTCCAGTCATTTTGAATTTAGGGTGGTGCTAATTTTGCTGTGGAGCAGATCGGCTTGCAATTTGCAAATTGAGAATTGCATTGCAAATTACCCTTTACAATTTGCAATTTTCAATGGAAATCTTAAATTTGCAATCGTCCACCGAGTTGACAAACTGGCCAATAGTGGTCACTCTACCACGTGACACTGCTATCGTCAGCCCTTATCCTCTTATCATCACGTGTGAATCCCTGTCGGGCCTGGCCGATCGCCGCCACTTGTGAATCGCACCCCGGAAAAAAGTGCCCAGACAGATTTACTTCCCCTCCTCGACATGCTATGATCCGTCTATTTCGCTCCGCCATGGCCTCCCTTGTCGAATCCGCTACTGCAATCGCAGCTGCCCCGGCCACCGTGCCGCGCGTGCCCATCCCTCCTAAGGGCGTCGATTATCGCGGAAAGATCGTGCTCGCCCCAATGGTGCGCTCTGGCGAACTACCCTCGCGCCTCCTCGCCCTGAAATATGGCGCCGATCTCGTCTGGGGCCCGGAAACAATCGACCGTGCCCTCATCGGCGCCGAAAGACGCGTGAACCCTCGAAACGGCACCATCGAATTCACCCGCTTCCCCTCCAACGGCGGCCGAGTTGAGAAAGCCGCAAAGCCCTCGATCATTTATAGATTGGACCCTATCCGTGAGAAGGGAAAGCTCATTTTCCAATTAGGCTCTGCGAGCCCCGACCTCGCTGTCCAGGCTGCCAAGGTCATTGCCGCAGACGTCGATGGCATCGATCTCAACTCCGGCTGCCCTAAGCCTTTCAGTACCAGCGGCGGTATGGGTGCTGCACTCCTTCGCACCCCCGATAAACTCGTCTCGATCCTGGAAGCTCTCGTACAGGAAGTTGGCACGCCCTACCAAATCGGCATCTCCGTGAAGATTCGCATCCTCGAAACCCCAGAACTCACCTCGGCCCTCGTTACTCGACTTGTTCGCACCGGTATCACAGGATTGACGGTCCACTGCCGCACGACTCCAATGCGGCCCCGCGAGCGCGCACTTCGCGACCAGCTCCGTATGGTTAGGGATATCTGCCATGAAGCGGGTGTTCCGTGCTTGATGAACGGTGACGTGGAATCTCGTGATCACGGACTAGCGCTGATGGAAGAATACGGTGTCGACGGAGCCATGATCGCCACATCTGCTGAAGCAAACTCATCTGCTTTCCGCTCCAAGGCTGACGGTGGTCTCGCACCCTGGAAGGAAGTTGTGTACGAGTACATGAAGTTCTGCCTGGAAAGCGAGAACAAGCTGGGTAACACGAAATTCTTACTCAACATGTTGATCTCGGGCAAGGACAAGGTGTACAATGAGGCGAAGCAGTGCAAGACTTATCTTGATTTCTGCCGCAAACTTGGCTTTGACGATTTACTCCCTCACGCTGTGCGCGTTGATGAGATCCTCGATCTGTCTAATAAGTGGACCTCGGCTCCTGGCGAAGAGGTCAAAGATCAGTCTCGTTCCAAGGCTGTGCAAAATGCCATGGAGAATAACGAGTCTGCTCGTGCTGCTGGTGGGAATGGTGCTAGATCTAAGGCTGTGGCTCAACCTGCTCATACTGGCGGACCTATTCGGACATCGTCTGTTCCTAGTGTGGCTAAGGTGACCAAGACCGAGCCGGAAGCACTTGCTGTTGATCCTTCGCTTTCTGCTGCTCAAGCTCCTCCTCCTCAGCCTGAAGTTACTGCTTAGGCAGTATCTGAACATGGATATTCGGCATGCTTGCTGCTCCTCGTTAGACCACTCTCTCGCGCCATTCCCCTCTCTTTTGTTTCCCTGCATAGCCTGGTTTCTGAAAATGTTTGTTTGTTGCATAACAAGGTTCCCCTGTTTATAGATTTCTAAAAAGATACACAAGTCATAGGTGGTCTGCGGTATTAGTTCTCTTACCTTTGATCTGAATATATCTCTCATTAATGATCTCCGAGCCTCACATCTCAAACCTCAACTGGATTTCTTCTAAGGTTCCAAGGTTCTAAGGTCAAATCCGGATCAAACCGCGATGCCGAAGATAGGATCTCAAGCTGTCAGCCCTGGAGGGCAACTGTGAAATTTATCGGAGTTTATAATAGTTGTTAGATGGAAGGGGTTTCCCAACTGCACTTAATCTGCGTTAAAAACAGACTTTGAGACATACTGGGTTGGAAGATTATCCTAGTAATTTAAATCTAAACCTTGGAACTTATGGCGTGGAAAATGTAAATATTCAAATTCAGATGGCTCATGCATTATCTTTATGTGGTCTACTCTAACATGATATTCATTGTACGCCTAGTCACCAGGTTCAAAGCAGACAGAACAGAAATGACCCCCTGAAAGGGGTCTAGAAATAGAACTCCCGAAACGATTATCATACCCCGTTCACCCCATTCACCCCGTTAACATTTTTCTCTTCCCCATTTTCTTTTTGCTCCTCCTGCTGCTTCTGTCCAGCCTCCCCCTCCACCCCATCCTTCTTCTCCTGATCCAACCCATCAAGAACCATCCTCTCAACAATATTCATCCCCTTCTCCTCCGCCTTCCCACCATCCTCATCACCCGCAACCGCCTGATCAAGCGCCAACTTAGTCTGACCAAGCGCGTAAATCTGCTCCTCAATCGTACCCCTCGTAACAAAGCGGAAGATCTCAACTTCCCGCGTCTGTCCAACACGATGAGCACGATTCTCCGCCTGGACATCTTCCTGCGGGTTGAACGACGAGTCGAAAATAATAACCTTATTCGCGCAGGCAAGGTTAATTCCCGCTCCACCGGCTTTAGTCGAGAGCAGGAAAACGGGGATCTCGGTATTCTCGTGGAAAGCGTCGAGGATAGACTGGCGGTCCTCAACATTCGTGCGGCCGTCTAGTCGGACAAACTGCATGTGTAGTGTTTCCAGGACGTCCTCGAGGATATCCATGACCATGGTGAATTGGGAGAAGATGAGGGTTCTGTCGCCGTTGGCGATGAAGCGTGTAAGGAGGTCGCGGAGTTTATCCACTTTGCCCGAGTCCATCCATTCTTCAGCCTGGAGCTTGAATTTGCCCAGGCTGCGCGGGTTGGCGATGCACATCTGGTGGCACTCAAAGTCATTGTATGGTTGAAGTTCTTCGAAGATGATGTTCGGGTCGGAATAGGACCATTTCTCTTCTTTGAGACAGGCGGTGGACATCTTGCGGAGGATGGCGTCGGTGTATACTCGTCTCCGAAGGAGAGGGTGAATGGCGGCTTGGCGGAGTTTCATGAGGATGTTGGCGGATTTGGAGCCGGTTTTGACGCCATTTGCGCGGTCCTGGAGGAGCTGGCGGACGCCCTCTTTTTCGTGGTCGTAAATGGCTTGCTGGGAAGGCTTCATCTCGCAGTATTGGACATGGGCGTGTTTTGCTGGGAGGTCAATGACCTGGTGCTTCTTGCGGCGGAGGACGAATGGCTTCAGCATGGACTTAGCACGTTCAATTCTTTGCGCCGAGAGGAGGGTGGCATGTGATTCGTCTGTGGTTTTGGCCTTGTTGGAGAAGACAGCGTTCAAATCTTCCTTATGCTCTTTGAACACACTAGGCAAAATGAATCCAAGAAGAGATGCTAACTCCTGCAGATTATTCTGAAGAGGCGTACCTGTGAGGAGAAGACGGAAGCGTGCCGGAATGCGAATTAACTTCTCGTAGAGCAGGGACTGGTGGTTTTTCAACATATGTCCCTCATCGTAAACACAAACCGAGAAATTCATCTCACGAAGGAACTTGGAATCGACCTTGGCCTTCGCAATGGTGTAAGTGGTGATAATAACATTGACACTGTCCGGGTCATCTTCGAGGTTGTCTTCAATTCGCTGTCGGAGCTCCGCACGCATGTCTTGGCCTGCGTAGTAGGGGATAACATTCAGAGCTGGACAGAATTTTTGGAATTCACGAAGCCAGTTCTCGATGGTCGACGCAGGAACCACAACTAAGTGGGGACCTTTTGTCCCCTTCTCGTGGAGGTGGGCCAGGAAAGCAATGACTTGACAGGTCTTGCCTAGACCCATGTCATCGGCCAGGATACAACTCAATTCCTTCTCAAATAAAAGAGACAACCAGTTGATACCAACAACCTGATAATCTTTCATCTCGAGGTCTTGCGACATTATTGACGGCTGGGTGATGAATCCCGCATTCTTCGGTTTGCGCGATACGGTCACCGGGCCATCCTCATCAGAGTCGTTGCCGTCGCCAGTTGACGATTGGCGATTCGATGAGGGTGTCGCTATACCAGAGTCATGTGAATTGTTCATTGAAGTGAGCTCAAGCTCCCCGTCGCGTTTTCCAAACATATCCACGCCCCACTTCTTCATCTCATCGGCCACAGGTCGACCTAATCCTTCGCACTCGGCAACAAGAGCGTCAATCGCCAGGTAACCAGTCCACATCTCGAGACATTTATCAACAATTTTGTCTCCAATGGCCTTAGGTTGCTTGCGAGGCCGACCCTTCGGCTTGGTCGACGGATCAACAGGTGCCTGTACAGTGCGAACCTCGGAAAGATACCGAAACGGTCGATGAGAAGTAATGAGTTCGGCAGTTTCTTGTGGAATTGATGCGATATCGGCAAGATCGTGAACGTTGCAAGTATTGAAGAATTTGAGGACCTTGCCATCCAAACTGCTATCGTTCGCATCCTGGATCTGAATATCTGAGTCGTCGGAGTCTGAAAGCGCCGCCTCGGGTGATTCTGAACGGTTTGGGCTTGGTTGTCGGCGTCGGCCTTTCTGAAGTCGGCCTCCCTGCTTTTGCGGAGGAGGGGAAGAAGTGATGGCGATAGGGACTTGGGGTGAGATATCGCGCGATGGTGATGCACGGTTTTTCGGTCCACGCATAAGACGGCCGCGGGGCTTCGCTCCCTCGGCGGGTTGTTCACGCTGAGTGGCAGGTCTATTCATGGAAGCCCACTTATCCTGAATCGTGCCCCGGGCTTTGATTTTCTGTTTGGCTATCGGCGCCGGAACCGAGCCTCGGGGGGCTGGCATATTCAACTCGTCTTCCGAAGACTCAACAATCAGCACGTCGTGGCTGTGTGCAAGGCGATCCAAGGCGGTGTCGTAGTTTCCGTTCACTTCGAGGAGGGCGTCGACACAGTCTTGGACCGATTTATGGGGAAGTACGCCTTGGATGCGATTTACCTTAATCTGTAGACGGTAATCCTCAATTTCATGCACCGAGGTGTATCGCGGGGCCACGGGCTGAGCGCGGGAGGGGGCATCCTGTCGCGCCTTCTTGGTGGCGACACCCTTGGGGCCAGTTGGTGGACTCATTTGATCCGCCGAGCGCTTTGTGCCAGTTGAATTGGGATCAAACATGGCGGAGGATGTGATTTGCCTAAACCGATCCATGTTGTTTCCGTCAGATCGCACTGGTGACTCTGCGATCTTCTCCTTCTCCGGGCTTCGGGCAGCCTTTGCGAACATTGCCGGTTTGATGTCTGTCCTTTGAGCCGAAGTGTTCTCCTCTTCGTCGGATGAGCCGCCTCGATAAGTTGGGCCGTCTTCCAAGTCAAAAACAGGTGTTCGCTTCGCGGGTCCGAGGGATGTTGCAGGGGAGCGGAATTGGGTCCCTGAAGGGGCCATCAGCGAGGATAAAATACCACCGGTGGGTCGGCGCGGTGGTGAATTGGCAGGGGCAGTCGGTGAAGAAGCAGCCACTTGAACAACCGATGCGGAGGGTCGTGAGTATGGTAAATCGACCAATTGCGTGGGTTGTGTCAATCGTTGCGACGGAGTCAATGTATGCGCTCCGAGGGGGACAGTGGCAATAGTATCATGGTGGTCTTCGTCAGGGTCGGGGGTACCAGGTGGAGGATTTCTATCCCTTCCGGGGGTATCGGGGACCGGATCGTGCATCGCAAAGGACAAGAAGATTTCCCTCAATTCCAGCGGTTCGCCCGACTTCTGTCAATCATTCACTCAGGAAACCAAACCTGGAGAACTTTCACTTTGCCAACCACTTTTTCTGCCGGCGGAACACGCGCCGACGCGCGAACATCACGTGAACCATACTGTATCCCATTTGGGAGAAGGTATATACAATATACCTGAGGAGAGAGAAGCATTGTATAGAATAGTAGCTGGAAGTCAAGATTGAAGGTGTAATTGATATTGAGAGCCGAAGTAATATTGACAGTTGGGAGTATATGGGAGTATATGGGAAATGGTACTCTACCAGACCACCGCAGTGACGCGGGCGCTGCCATGTGACCAGGTCTGACTAGGCCATTTTGGTCGTCTCCGCAATAGTCAACGTTAACTATTAAGCCTCATCTCCATCTCCATTGTCAGCTTCCTGTTTCTTCAGGTTTAATTGATCCACGATAGACCACCCAGGGCAATTGCACAGTTTCTCATTGCCCCTTGTTCCCTATTTCCCAAAATGTCAGCCCGCAAGCCCCATGGACAGAGCTACGCCGACGTTGCCGCCAACCCACCACCAAAGACCGACTCCATCGTGGCCCCAGCCGTCCCAAGGTATGCATAAGTCATACATCATTACATCCAGGGCAATTCCAACTGACATGTTCTGCCAAGTGATGTGATCTTCAAGCTGCTCGCCTTCACTGCGGCCATGGTGTTTGGCCCCATCGGCATGTATTTCCTGACTGTGAACACCATCTTCGGCGGTATGTTCGAAATGCATTCTCAAGCTTTGTTCAATCACCATGTCCTAATAACCTGGCTCTAGGAAACCCAACATATGCCGGAATTGTTGCAGCAGTTACGGCCAACGTGGTATTATTCGCCTATATCTACGTTGCCTGGAAAGAAGACCAGGGAGACCGAGAAGAAGCCGCCAAGGCCAATTCAAAGAAAGGACAGTAGCCAAGAGATGCAACATGTAAAACGATCCAAAATCAAATGTTTTTTTCTTCGTTCAATGGCGCTGCTTGGTTGCGTGTAGCCGCTCATCGAATCTAGGGGGCTCTAGTCCCCCAATAACGGGGCTGCAGTGCAACGACAACTAAGCTTACATTCATCTGATACATTATTTTAAAACCCCAGGTTCGATCTTCAGGATGGTGGATAACCTTGGCACATACTCTATTCATATTTGTATCTGCACCTTCTTCTTTGGCTATACGGACAGGTTGCCTTTTCTTTCAATTGGCCCTTTGCTCCGAGGTTTCATAGACTGTGACATCAAGCAAAATATCAATCTATCAACAGTGAAGCTGAGTATAGGTCATTTTTATTGTATTTAACATGATTTCAATTACTATCAACTCAGAGTCAGGGCCTCGCGACACAGTTGATGCAAATTCGCCCTTACCGCGATGTCTGAAATCTTCATTCATGGAGAGCCAGGTTGGATCATCACCTGGTCAGAACAACACAAACACACGCTGGAGCTCTTGCATCAGTTTATAGGTGAAGAACCCAATCGTATAACCAACCCGGCCTGCCTTATACTTGAAGAAATCACCAGGGGTAAGCGTGATTCCTTTCCCTGGGCCACTATTTTAAATGCAAATATAAGTAGAATACCCAATTGTCATATTATGATAGTACTTACCGGGTTACTGAAGGCCAGTTTATGATACTACTTCAAGAAGTGATTACCCACATTAGACACGTGAGGTATATTGTAATCCTTAGCGTATAAGTCCCGTAGTTGTTTGATGAAGTTATGCCTTAGGTATGGTTTTGAAAGCCGGGTTGGGATATCGGTAATCCTATGATACTGTGGGCTAACTTGAGACCAAACTTTTGTCTTGACATGTAGTCTGCTGTCGAGATTTGGAGCCTCTGGATCTTGGGGCTCTTCTGGAACTGTGATAGGCAACTCAGTCAAAAGCTTGCTGAATGTAATTGGACACTGGTTAGCAGCCTCCTTCATTGATAGGGCACCAGCTGGGTCTGCCTGGTCAAACGCCCCACAGTCGGACAGTACGCCGGAAGCAGTCTTTGGACAGCGATGTACGCTCAATTTTTCTGTTATTGCTCTGTTTCGTCATTGTCTTGGAAACACAATAATTATAGAATCCATATTGGCTCTGGAGTATATTCCCTGAGTATCAGAATTCCAATGTGAGAAGATGGAATTGCAAGTTTCTCGGAGTGAAAACATTCTTACTTTTCCCAATTCTTCATAGCAGCTAAGTGGGAGCAGCTTCGGGGGTTTTCCAACTTTATTGGGCGATTCCACCTTGATGATCTCTCGATATCACATGCAGCTTTGCGAGAGTCCAAGAGCTGATGGGTCGTCGAGATAACCGATTATGAGCAGCCGGAGCTCGGCAGGGAGCTCGAGTACCGATCTATGGGTTTTAGACATCTTGCTAGCTGCTGAGGCTTTGGGGTAATGGGTTAGTGAGAATGGCTAAGAGGAAGGTACGAGATAGTTATTCACTAGGCTCCCTACAGTCTACCTCAGCTAGAAAGTGCGTACCCACCATTCACACTCAAATGGTAACCTGGACTGCATAATAATCGTAGCTGCCATACTCAAAGCATATTTGACGATGAAATTCACCATAGTCATGATGGCGTAGAAAATAGACTACTGGGGCAGTCTTCAGAATAGCTCTGGTATCGACGCTTGGACTATTCCTCGCGGAGAGCGAATTTTATATATTCGAGAGTATTTATAAGTGTTGTTAGACACAACTTGAAGTTAGCAATAGTCCTAGCATGGAATAAAACTCATCCAAAAGAGTTTCAAATATTTCCCTGGATTCCAGCAGTTTGCCCGACTCTTGTCAATCGTCAGAAATTCAGAAACCTTTCAAACACTCTTCTTCTTATATATTACTAGTATAGCGCAGTATCCGATTTTGTCGCATCTCTGGGCCCCTGCAACAGGAATGAGTCAGTCCGCACGGCCTGGTCTGAATGCTTTGGGGAACGGCCACAAGTACCAAATGCGCTTAGATTCTGCCTCATGTCTTGGGTCTAGTATCGTTAGAAATCCCACGTCTATCCGCCAAAGGTCGCATCGTCATCAAAGAGCATTGCCCTGGAACTCGGTGACTTCTCGGGGTTGGTCTCTTCGGGAAATGGTCGACCCACGAGCTTGTTGGTGAGAACCGCTTGAATGTGTTCAAAGGCCCGGGTCTGTAGCCTGGCAAGCATATAGACTATTCTCATCGACTCATTCTCTCTTGTAAGTGGTTTCAATATTTATGTTTTCACCGAATAATAGGAGAACAAGAAAAGCCTTGGAAGAACTGGAAGGTGGTGGTAGAAGGAGGCGACAGGAAAGAAGTTGCAGCGATATGGCGCTGCGAGATCATTACAAAGAGTGGCTTCTCATGATTGTGGGTTTTTTTTTAATTTGTGCTGCAGCCTAGCTCTCCTCCATTACTGGTGCCACATCGGAAACTATAAGGCCAATGAAGGATATGAAGATGACAAAGATCCTGGTGGGAACGAGGACAAAGAGAAAGACCATAGACATTGCCATAGTTGAATGGCATTGAAAGGGCGAAAGAATACTATACACAGAAATGGTGAGAGGGTGGGATTGATTTTAATTTTTATTTGAGGTTTAGGAAATATTCTACATGATAAAATCCACTGGCCTACTGGAGTAGCTAGTAGTCTCTTAGCTAGTATGTACCCAAGGATTCTAGGCATCTTAACCGGGTTTCCAAATCATTACGAGTCCACTCCCTACTTCCCGTTTGTCCCTTGTCACCACCATCCATCCTCCTTCCACAACTATCTTCACCCCAACACTTTCGCTAAACCATCGTTCGAAGCAACCGACTATAAACTTGAAATTCGAAACACGACCTCACTTCGAGCCCACAAGGCTAATTCAAAAGCTTGGCCAGTTCATACTCAACCAAGCTCAAGCTACCTCATACTCAACTAAGAGCAAGTGTGCAATGAATCAGTCGGCGACAACTCTTCTCGACCTGCCGGTCGAGTTGCAACTCATGGTATTCGAACGTCTTGATTACACTTCTCTCGTTCCACTTGCGCACATTTGCCGAACATATCGGGACCTTGTTAAAGTTGAGCCCCCCTGGGAAAGTACGCTGTTCTTTGCGACGAGAACTTCTATTTACCATGGAAAAATGGAAAATGTAGGTGATATCTTGCTGTAAATTCTTACTATATCACCTCACTTCTGACCGGTGGCCGCAGGTATGATAACTTAGTATTTGCCTGCTCCAAATGCCTCAAGCTTCGACGGGGACTGTACTTCGGTACAAGACAGAGCCTTAGCCATCCTAAGCGCATTTTCAATTACAAACACTTACGAGAGTGTCTCGATTGCTGGACCCCCTCTTGGGAAAGAGGACCGTACTATGAGACTATGAGTGGTGAGAAAGTGCGTCATTGTGATAAATGTCGAGAGTGGAAGCCATCTGGGCGCTGGTGTCTGCGCTGTTCCGCCTGCTTCAGCTGTCTGGATATTCACGCCCCAGGCTGGAGAGATGCGCGTGCAACACAGGTTTACCCCCGTGAGCCACCATGTCCTATATGCTGGCCCACACGGCTCACGACCAAAGGGAACATTGTCAAAAATGGCCGTCCCCATTCCATGTTTGACATGGAAAAAGACATGGTCACGGGATATGGCAGCAAGCTTCCGGCTCTTTGATCGCCCCGATTGAAAAGAATGACAGCGCGTGGAACAAGGCGAGACCAAAAGGACCTCTAAGCTTAGTGTACAGGGAGGGAAATCCTTTGTCCTTGGAGAGACTGGCCCGGCAACCGCTAGCTAGGGCTAGTCGATGTGATTGCATATCTGATCCATGGAGGCAGGTTATCAAGTTGCTTCTATCGGCGCTGAAATTGCTCATCAGTGAGGATATTTCTTGTAGAGATCTATCATTTCAATGCATCTACACTTCACGAGGTCGGCAGATACTTGAATGGAGTTGAATTACACAAGACGATAGTTCATTCGATACAGTGCTACAGTGCCGACCGTTATTGCCTTTCATATCGGGAGCCAGAGAGATTCCATTTCGAACCCTAATCACATGACGCGCTAAGCCGAATATGGCTACTTCTGTATTTAAAAGGTTGTTCCAGATTTACATGGTAACAAGGATGAAAGTATAAAACCGACAGTTATATACTGCTACACATCCGAAATTAACCCCCTCTTGCCCACCGCCCGCCCCCCCCCTCCAAACCACCATGCACACTCCTCCCAACCCAGCAACCCAGCAACTGCAGTCCTCCAAACCACCAACAAAATGGCAAGAAACATCGAGTCCTGGCAACGTAAGATGATTATTCTATGATATGCAGCAAGAACAGACTCACTACATCGCAAATGGCAAAGGTAGCGAGCGCAGTGTAGTGAGCGCTCTATCGCTACATGTAACATCCGCAAGAACTTGCGGTTATTCGGTAGTGCCAGATCCCATCAAGTCTCGGTCGGCCGACAACGAAGTATCGCCCCTATCATGCTTAACGTCCTCTGTGATCGTCTCGCCGAAAAGCCTGGCCTATACGTCAAAGAGATGGCTATCTTCCTATAGAATGAGTTCAACATATTACCATCGTCATCTAGCATCAAACGCGCTCTTTCGCGGGCTGGCTGGACGAAAAAGAAAGCACAGCAGAAAGCCAAAGAACAGAGCCCTCAACTAAGAGATTTCTATCAGCATAAGCTATCTGATTTTCGGTCATATCATCTTGTGTTTGTTGGTGAATCCGGATGTGATAAAAGGATTGGATATAGGCGAACTGGCTGGTCATCGCTCGGCGTAATACCAGTTCAAGTGTCAAAATTTTATCGCGGCCAGCGCTTCCAGATACTGCCTGCATTTGCTCAAGACGGTATCATTATGTCTCGTATTTTCAAAGGTTCAACAGATGCCACCTTCTTCGAATGGTTTATCGAGCAGCTTCTCTCACACTGTGGAAGGTAGCCGGAGCCAAAATCCGTTCTTGTTATGGATAACGCATCTTTCCATCATTCAGACCGAATCAAGACCTTATATGCTGACGCAGGAGTCAAGTTACTGTACCTGCCGCCGTATTCGCCAGATTTCAACCCTATCGAGGGGTTCTTTGCCAAGCTTAAGGTCTATATTAAGAAATCTTGGTCAACAGGAAGAAAATCCTGGCCAAGGGTTTTATGCCTCCCTTCGGCGGTGCGTATATAAAGTTGGTGCAAAACAGGACAGTGCCGAAGGCTATTTCCGACATTCAGGTATAACAATAGAGAAGATACGATTGGCTGTCGTACTTGAGGGCGTCATGTCCGCGCAATACCTGTTTCACGTTTTTAACATTGTGCCAGTATCGATTCGTTCGCGTTTGTGGCTGTTCTAGTCGGCTAAAATAAAGAAGGCGATTCCGCCAGCGGTCAACCAGGGAGTCTGTATTCATGATAGTGCGGAAAGAGAATTATCAAAGTTTTCTTCTGTAAAAGACAACATTCAATAATATTGAGCTTAGTAATCTGACCTAGCTAGACAAAATAGTGCACAAACATAAATAGAACCTACGCCAAGTTCGCGCCGGCAACAAGGAAAATCAACCCCAATGGGTCACCGGTTACCAACAACCCGAATCCAACTTCCATTAGGTAGTCAGCTTCCATCGACATGGCGCGGATTTTGTTGGAGTCATGGAGAGCTTTCATTGGTGACGCTTCCAGTGCTGTGGCCGATACAAGTTCTTTGAGTTTGTAGTCAGCGGCATTATTGGAGACCTACGTGTTATCAGCCATGCAAAAAGTTACAGTTGGAAATCCTGGGCCTACGGGTGGGCACACATTGATGATCTTGAATATCTCCCGAGCAGTCTCTGAGACATAAGCCAAAGTAAGGAGAGCGTGAAGCTGATCTCCTAATTCCTTAGCCGCCTGTTCGCGTGCCTGATGTGAAGTTAGAAACCTCATTTTCGGAAGGCCGAATTGCTTATATACCAATGGTTTGCCGACAAGCTGAGCCACCACGTCAGAAGTGAGGCTGTCAAGTGCCTAATTATAAAAAGTCATCTTCTGTATGAAATGGCTTGGTACAATTTTTAAACTCACGAAGCCTGGAATAAATAATGCTAAACCTCCCTGAACAACATCTTGTACTACCCTCTCTGTGACATTGTTGACGATGTCAGCCACGGGAATGGCTTGGAGTTTGGACGCCTGCTGTTCGTCAAGCCCAGTCGAGATATTTCCAACCTTCTCAGAGAGATTGCTGAAGAAACCATCTTTACGTTCGTCGGTAAAGATAGTGATCATTTCCGTAAGCTTTGCTTCTCTGGCCATTTTCACATTCAGTAAAGTACCTCACGAGCGGTGGAAACGAGAACGAAGTTCCAAAAGCCTAAGCAGATCGGCTTTTATGTCAATATTTTTTCATTTGATCAACGACGTATGATCGACGTCAACCGAAGGAGAGGGACGGCAATGGCGTGGGTCTGCGAGACTGCATAGTGAGATGTCCCAGGTATAGCAATCAGGTGACGGCTGGGAGTTGTCTGGTGATGCGCCTCGCACGTGTGTCGCTGAAGCTTATCGGGCAAGATTACTAGCGACTATGCGACAATTTTCCGCAAACAGCATTCCGCAAACGGCCTTCATACTACTCCAACTTTAGAGTGTAGAACGTGTCTCCAAAACCTGTGAGGCTTGGTAGAATTCCTCAGACAAGGTACAGTCGACGTGGTAACACGTATCGCGCGGCCTATCATAAGTTCGCCCGCTCGCGTTGTGCACTTTGTCCGACGACTTGCAGAGAGGTTGACTGCCATAAATATTTCTCATGTAAAATAGGACCTCAAATAAGCAGAGATTATTCTGTATTCTCCTATTACTTCCAGTGCTTATGAAATACTGAATTTGACTTGATACAAAGCCCTTTGCTCCTCTTTCTAATATCGGGCGGAAGTAAGACTTGCTAGATATGTCTGATATCTGCGAAACTGGACTAATGGCAGCCAGGTTACTCCTCGCACAAGCCGTATTTGCATGCAATCTCCATCTGGCCGATCCGGAGATGAAAGTCTTCGAGACTCATCTATGACTTGTTATGACATAGTATAATCTAGGACCTAGAACACCAACGTTGACCTAGAACACCAACGTTGACCTAGAACACCAACGTTGACCTAGAACACCAACGTTAATTCTGTCCTAGATTAAGGGTTACACGGACTTCCGCTCTCTAAACTGAAAATGGAGAGGAATTGAGGACCAGATCGTGTGATCTGTAGTCTAGACCTAACCTCGATTAAATGACATTATAGAAATAAACAGCTAGCTATCCATAATAATAAGCAAGGGTGGGGGGGAGAGGGGTTTAAGTGATAAGTAGTAGTACATAGGCTGCGGCAGCATCTGCAAAAATCCGCATCCGCTCCACATCCGATCCGCAAATTGCGGATTTGAATGTGGTTTTGGTATCCAACTATCAACGCGAATTTAATGGGGATTCGAGCTTGAAAAGGTTCGGATATGTCTGGGGGGTAGCCGAGAGCTGTAGGGGGTTAGCCAGGAATGCCTGATGCCCAATAAAGACCCGAAGCTGCCACATGGCGATAAGCAATGGTGATCACGAAAGAAATCTTACTGTCAAGCCTTGCCTATCAACTTGACCCAAGATAGACACCCAAGGCAGCGCCAGACCTCTGCAGTATAGCAACTAAGGGACGGAGGAGGGAAGTTGACAGATTGCCAACGATAGTATGCGGCCTAGTTTGCTCGATTTGCATGGAGCCTTCTAGTTGACCCAGGCCTCTGGTCCTAGAGACTTGTATTCATACAGATGGGTACAATACCGAGTATCATAACGAAGTATATACAGACACCGTAATTTACGCAAAATCCATATCAGGTTTAGCATATCATGTGATTATGGTTTGAAAGGGTGTTTTTAATGTTTCCCGATATGGAAGGCAATTACGGACCTCACTGTAGCAGTAATGGGTTCGAGACTTGGATAGATCAAAACCTTCCAAGGTTCCGCATCTTTAAATACTTCAAGATCCTCGTGACTGGAACGTATTAGTCAAATTGGTGAGTTCTGTAAGGGACAGCCAAGAAAGCCAAGCCGCTGCCTCCCAGATACCAAGAGTCCTAGCACTCCTCGCGAATCGAAATAGGCTAGAACTTCGTATTCAGTAGAGCAGCACAAAGAATTAAAGGGGAAGCGTGGCCCCCCACGATGGGGACTCCAGCTCTTTGATTCCTATTTCGCGCCTGCGACAACTGGCAATCCCGAGTCTATTTAGTTTACGACAGCCCGAGCAACAATTCGCAATGCGCCACGCCGCAACTTTATTACAGCTACCGCTGTTTCTCGCAGCGCTGGCTCTAGGCAAAGATGATCTTAGTTACAAGCCAGAAATGAATTACCGGCCGCGGAACGTGACGGGTTTGGACTATTACTATTATCAATGGATTGGCTCGTGCGCTCAACTCCGTATCCACAGACCACACAAACTGCATACTAAGAATCCGTCTATAGGTACTACAACGGCAGCGCCGTATTCACCATCTCCGACGTCAAGATTAAAGATGACCGCTACTCTTCCGAGATCGAAGATGAGGGGGAGTTGGAACTCTGCAACCAGCTGCAGAACATCACGTACACGTGGTCGTACCCAGCACTCCTAGCGATCACAGAGACAGCACCGGAAGATGAGCGACCCAAGGACACAAATCCAATCGATGTTGCGCTGTTCACCTCGTACTCAAACTTCACGAAGTATTTTGACGATTATTTCCATGCCGGTAGTAACAATCAGAGTCGGGACATGCCCTTTGTATTTGAGTCGATTGAGATGTGGTAAGTATATACCCCCCCTTTCTAATACGCAGTTACTTTTCTGGCGGCAGGCTGATTTGTGACAGGGATCGTGAAGAGACGAATTCGGATTCGTTGAAGCCGAATTTTAACCTGACTGTCGCTAAGGACTCTGGGAATGGGCTCCCCTTTCGAGTGACAGGAAATTCGGAACTAGAGGATAACCCGCTCCATGGTTTGCAGATGAATATGTCGACCTGCTCCCTTATTGAGGGATGGTGGGGTGTCGCTCCCATTACACCCCTCTCATATTCCTTTGAAGACGTTATCGGCCTGACATACCCGGGCGTGCAGTTGACATTTGACAACCCTTCGGCAAGTTTCAGTATTCACTCGTCGATTGCCGCGAATACCTTGCCAGAAGAAGATGAGGAGACACCAAGAATTACCGCTAAGTTGACGATCGATTTCTTGGGGACGATTGATGCTGCGCGCTCGGATATCTTGAACAAGGGAACTCCAGTGACATGGACACCGAGCATGGGGTTCGGGAATAATTCCCTGAGTTTGGACTATAGATCCGGTGCGCTTACTGCAGCTGGAGTGAACATTCGTCAGATCTGGAGCATCCTGGGGGCTGTTTTAACATATATCTTCCTTGTGTAAATACGACATCATTTTCTCTATCAGGGCCTGCTGTGAACGCGCAACACCGAGAATCAATACCTGCAGGCGTAGCCTGGGTGTTAAGCCGGTGTCAATCACATCTATGGGTCATGAGGGCAATGTATGAGTTAGGGCCATGTAGTAGTACCATAGGTAGTAGCAGGGTCTGACCGATGAAGAGCCTGCTGAACTTACCACGAAGCTCCAGGTATTTAAGCCAGTGAGCCTCGCTCGACGGCCCGCGCTGAAACAAATCAGTAACTTTGTCAGAATCCAGTGCGCTCAGAAGTGGAATATCTAAACTGCCGAACGTGTTTTTTTAGTCAAATCTGGCCCCAATAACTCGCTATTTGGTATATTGCAAGTTGCCCATTACAAGACCAGTTGTGTTGTCCCACGCTTCACCTTGTCAGCCTTGCAGACTGACAGTAAAAGAGGGACTATCATAGTTCCTCGATTAACTCTCTCCCAGCTTGAAATGATCCGTGATATGATCATCATCAGATCGCTGACCACATCCCATATGGCCGAAGCGGCGCTGGCCGCAGCAAACGCTTGATCTGTAACCATCAGTACCATCCTCTGAGTGTTTGGCGACGTTCGAGCACCCCTGATCTCGAATGGCCGTTCGCGAATCATCCGTTAAAAATCGGGGACGACTTGGACAACGGCTGATTGTGACTGGAAGATAATCTTAGGTACGGAGGATACTTGATTATATGGCTGGAGTTATCCCATTTCAATGCATCTGTATTGATGATCAAAGATCAAAGAATCATGGTAGTCACACCAATCTCCCAAAGTACTGTATCATGGCTGGTCTCCAGGACGACTGGTGACGGTATATCCCGACCTATTCCCTCCCGTGACAAATGTTAAAGGATATCATTGTCCATGTTGAAGGCTGTAAGTATTGCACTCCAGTAAAGTAAAAAGACAAGAAAAAAAAACAATCAAAATCAGTAGGAAAATAAAATGCCCAAGACTCGAATACGAGACGAGACGCCGAAATGCTTCATCATTCCTGTGATATCCAAAACAACCAGACTTAATCCGCACATGTCCATATCAATTTCCATGTCCATGTCCAATCAAGGTCGTCGCTTCACAAACTCCTCCAAATCCGCCTTGGTAGCAACACCAAGCACGAATTTCCGCGCAGCGTCCGTAACCACGGCAAATTGGTGCTTTTCACGCTCATCGCCGTTGGCACCGGTCTGGCTCTCGAAAAACTTCTCCAATTCCTCTAGGGGTGTATCCATGGTGATGACCTGGTAGATACCGCGCTTACGGTTGAAACGCTGCATAGAGGCAGAGACGGGATCCGACTCCTTGACGGTGCCGTTTTGGATGAGCTCCTTTAAGCGGGGGATGCTCAGGTAGCCGAGGAGAGATCGCGAGGAGGCGGAGATAACAGTGAGGTGGGTGTAGTCGCGTTCGTAGGCGGCCATGAGAGCGGCAGAGATGGGGCCATTGGGAGAAACGGAGAGCGCGGGAGGGGGGTCGAGGTCTTCGACTGTGGCCTAAGCAGCAGATACTAGTTAGCATCGGGAATGGAAACATGAACAGGCCTAGGCTCGGAGGAACGGTTCAACTCCATCGGCATCGGTGGAAGCGGAGTAGACTCACCCCACGGTACTTGTTGGCCCATGGCGATTGCTGGGCCGCATTGGCGTGGGCAGAGGTATCATTCTCGCGAGTATAGGCCTCGCTGCCGGTGAGGTATGAAGCCATTGCGCTGGAGCTTAGCTGCTGCTGCGCGGGGTTGGCGGGGTGTTTTCGAGGGGTATTGACGGAGGCGCACGAGCAGCTGGAGGTGAAGACAGACGGCGGGTATAGAGAAGACAGAGACCGGGCGAGAATGAAAAAGAGTCAGAATAAAAGTTGCGACGAAACAATCAAGCAAGGGGGAGATCTCGAGTGACTGCGGAGGAGGTTGCGGAGGAGGTGGTGTAGAGGGTCTTTTTTTTCTCGCGCTTTCCCTCTTTCTCTCACGCCAAGACCGACCTCTTTCTACGTCACTCCGGCCTGAGTCAACGTGATTCTGCGACTTTTGGGGGCCTCGCAGCCTTGTTTCACTCTCGTCGGATTTCGGACTTAGTCGGCGCTTTAAATTGGGGTCCTTTTCCTTGCTTTCTTTCTATCTTTCTACTTTTCCTCATTCAAGTTCAATCTATCTCGGTTTTCCTAGTGAGTTACCAGAGCCCTCAATTGGTGGAGCCACCACGGCACGATCGCTGCGTCTGGCATGCCCCACTTTGGATGACCCGCAACCCTTACTGATCAAGGTGTATATCTATATGAGCAGTAAGCAGTCAATCATGCTTCCCTCCAGCTCGACTGTCGCTTCGCTAGCCACTCAGCACCCGCTGGGTGGTATGGGTATGCAGAAAAATCCCCAGTCTGAGCAGGTCTTCAATGCACCCAAACGCCGTGAGATATTCCAAGCATGGAGCGCAATCGACGATGCAAAGACCAAGGCAGCCAGCATCGGCAAAGAAGCAGCTCGAGAGTTTGAACATGCAAGCGAGAAGGCGCAGCAGAAAACGGGCAAAATCGAGCCCTGGTCTGCCCAGTACTATGCCGCTTGCACTGTGGGCGGAATGTTAGCCTGTGTTGGTTATCCTTATCAATCGCATAGTCCTCATCCTGGGCAGTCACTAACCATGACCGTGCTTCTATAGGGAGTTACTCACACTGCCGTCACCCCTCTTGACCTGATCAAATGCCGTCGTCAAGTCGATTCGAAGCTTTACAGCAGCAACACACAAGCTTTCAGCAAGATCCGTGCTGTCGAGGGTATTCGCGGAGTCTTCACCGGCTGGGGGCCCACTTTCTTCGGATACAGCGTAAGCAGATATAGCTAAATTGTATGAACCCACCGACGGGCTACTAACAAAGCCATTCAAGGCTCAAGGAGCATTCAAATACGGTGGATACGAATACTTCAAGAAGTTTTACAGCGACCTAGTCGGTCCGGAAAATGCTCAGAAGTACAGGACTGCCATCTATCTGGCTGGCAGTGCTTCGGCCGAGCTGATCGCGGACATTGCTTTGTGTCCCTTTGAGTCGGTCAAGGTGCGCATGCAGACCACCATTCCATCCGAGTTCCAGGGCACTTTCAGTGGTATTTCGGCCATTGTTGCGAAGGAGGGTTATTCTGGGTGAGTTTGGAGTGGCGTGGCGTGGCGTTCAAATATAGTTGTTATGTTTCAGAGCAGGGCACTGACCAAATTCCCCACAGATTGTACAAGGGTCTGTACCCACTCTGGGGTCGACAAATTCCATACACTATGATGAAGTTCGCGTCCTTTGAAACTATTGTGGAGACGATCTATAACAAACTCCCGGGCCAAAAGTCAGATTACAACAAGGGTGCCCAGACCGCCGTGGCTTTCACTGGTGGTTACATGGCTGGTATTCTCTGTGCGGCAGTCTCGCATCCGGCCGATGTGATGGTCAGCAAGTTGAATGCGAATCGCCTGGTGGGAGAAGCATTCGGTGCTGCGATGAGTCGCATCTACGGGGATATCGGATTTGTGGGTCTGTGGAATGGATTGCCTGTCCGTATTGTTATGGTTGGCACTTTGGTATGTCCTGCATGAAAATTCTGGATTTGGAATATACTAACAGGTCTCATAGACTGGTCTCCAATGGATGATGTATGCCCCGGCCGTTCCGTTCATTTTTTCTATTGTTACAATTATAGGTGCAAGTACGCTGACCGCTTTCGTAGTTACGATTCGTTCAAGATCTTTATGGGGCTCCCGACAACTGGTGGCTCTTCAGAAGAGAAGAAGAAGAAGTAGGAGGATGTTGTTTATGAAGTATGGGGTTAAGAATGTGTTCCCGGCCATACTTTCTTTTATTGGGGCTCAAAACCGAAAAGCCCTTTGTGTGATTAGTTTCTTTGAGTTTAGTCCATCAATTTACTCTCCTCTCACATCTATACATTCTCTCGGCACCTATTCCATGGCCCCAAGTAGTTCCTCTGTGCTATACGGAGTAGTAACTAAGGCAGCTGGGAACCTTTAATGCCAAGCTCGCTATCTTTAGTCACGGCACCGACCAATCGCGGCTTGACCGTCTTATCTTATCATCGACGTCATCCAATCCAATCGTGTCAATCCTCCAAAGCGATTCAATGCAGTTGCAATAGTCAATGAGGTACAGGAAACCAACTGGAGATAAAAAACACCCGATTTTAGCGTGTCGAGCCTCAAATGGCGAGATCTAACATTGAGCACGCACTTATACATTCCGGCATATCCTCGTATGGCCCGCGCTTTCACGTCAGACATCCATCCTACTTCTTTTTCTTCTCTTCTTCTACCTCTGCATCTATCTATTCTCTACCCAGCTTGCCAAATCCCATCTCTGGGAACTTGAACTCCCCGCGACCCCCTCCGATAAACATATCTAGCCCCCCTGGCCCACTTCGCTAACCCCAGTCCGGTCCAAGAGAACCGGTACCTGCGTCTTATCGCTCCGACTCCAATTCCCCATATAAGGTAGCTCCCCTACCCAGTCGCAATAACACAAACCCCCATCAAACCCCTCGATTCCACCGTCGTACAAACCCAAACACAACATCCAACCTACTCTCCAGAAACACCACAGCGCAATGGGCAGTCAATCAGGTCAACCAGAGCAACCTATGGTCTCCCACGGCCGCGGAGGTAAGTAATACCAGTAGGAGTTAGAGTACCCATCCCATCTCACCTCGATCTAATCCAAAATCCACCCTAGGCCAGGGAAATATCGGTCACGATGCAACTGAGTACACCTCACCCTTGATTTCTTACCCAAACAGCTCCAACTAACACCCGAACCAGATACGTCGACGGCGAAATCGTCCGCGAAGGAGTCTACGGCGACCAAGGCGACGGCGCATACTCAGCCGGCGTAAGCACTCAACCCCCCGATACCGAACATAGCAGCTAATTTTCTCCCAGCGCGGCGGCGTAGGAAACATCGGCTCACCGCGTGTGCGCCCAACGTCCAAAGCCCCGCACGACGCGGAGATGATTCCCGAGCTGGCAGTTCGTAATTCTACGGATGAGGTTTATCATACTGGCGTAAGTTTTTTGGGGCTTTATCCGATCTGATCTGATCTGATCTGACGATGCTGACCTGTGTCATTTAGCGCGGAGGTCAGGGAAATGTGCACCTCGATGAGGCGGCGCGGAAAGAGAGAAGAGGAGAAGAAGGCCAAGGGGCCTGTTCATGATGGGTTGGCGGATCGGTTGAAGAATAAGTTGTTGGGTCGTACGTAGATGGCCCATCCCATCTGTGGATACCTGATAACTATCGGACCGGTGCCAGTGTGGTCACGGGTGAGGGTTGAGTTGAAATTGGTAAATTGAACGGTTTTGGTGGTTGTGTGTTATGTTGTGTGATTCCCATGCTGTGTTTTATTTATTGAATTTGACATTGTGATTATTTCTTAACTTATCCGTGCTACTCTACTTTATCTGATGGCACTTTCCGAGATGGGTTTATTGTAGATTTGGATGTCGTGAATGCGACTAAAAGGTTGTTTGAAGGAGAGTATTACAATGGTGTGTACCGGCAGCCACTCACTCATCGACAGTACAGTAAATCCAAGTCATCCACGATCCGATCCATAAATTCAGCGGGCAAAGAAGAAAACATCAAGTGCGATTCCATATTCGTGTCCATACCCATACCCATATCCCATCCGTTAAAAGGCAAATAAGAAAAAAAAAGAACACCCATGTATCGTGACTCATAAGCAGGACTTGGGCGAGCAAGCCAAAAGGTTTCAACAATCAAATCAACGTGAGAACAAATGACCCATAATCCGTGCAGATCAAAGAAATAAATAAAACGCCGCGAAGAAGGGTGATGGTAATACATCCGCGAAAAGAAAGGGAAGATCCACATCGATACCGTATAGCGCCAGAGCAGAAAGAAGGGAAGAAAGAAAACGCCAGCGAGAAGCCAGATTCTCCTCCAACTCTCTCGGGCGGTCTCCGAGGAAGGGAAGGAATGAATCCAGAGAGATATTCCAGCAAATCAAACTTCGATCAAGCCCAGCTCAACCGATCTGATCGAGGTTAGTCCTTGCTGAACCGCCTCTTGAACCAACTCTTTCGCTTGTCTCCAGCACCCGCCGCTCCAGCCTGAGGCGCCTTCTTCCTCAATGCGCCATTCGCCGGCGCAGCGAAATGCTGCTGCGCCGCACTGGCAGGACTCGTCGGGCTCGCGACAGGCGGCGGCGCCGACGGAAAACCCTTAGTATTCAGCGGTGCCGCGTTACCGAACGAGAACCCGTATTCATGCGCGCGGTCGTCCATTCGCTGCTGCTGCTGTTGCTGTAATAACGCGTGTTGCTGCAATTGGTCCACGGAGCTATTCATTGAGCTGGGATCTGTGGACTGGCCGTATGGATCTGTTTGACCAGATCCACCTGAGCCCGACGCGGCGACGTTGTCGTAGGATTGGTGATAGTTGTTGTTTTGGTAGTAGTTTGTTTGGTCGGTTGAGACGCGGGGACGTCGGCGGCCGTTTTGTTGTTGCTGCTGTTGGTAGGGGTAGTAGTTTTCTTGCTGGTTGTTTTGATAGCCGTCGGCGAGATCGTCGGGACGTGATTGATTGCGGCTGTGGTAGTGGCTTTGATCGTAGCCGCGGTTGTGTCCACCTTGACCTGTCAGGCTTGTTAGTATTCCCGTTGTGATGGGGAAACAGGGCTGAGGGATGACCCACCTCCGTAGTAGCTTGTTCGTCGGCTGTAGTCTCCCACTTGAGAGGCTGCGTCTTCTATTGAAATGCATAAGCCTGGGTTTTGAGAGTTGCCCGTGGATTTGGATGTAAACGAACCTGTCCGGGCGTATGATACCGGTCGGGTGCTGTTGTATGTGCCATAGATGGCGGCTTCGAACGATCGGATGGTGTCTAGCGGTCGCTCAGATCGTGATCGGGTAGGGTTTGACCAGTCGGGATCGGCTGCCACGAGAACGCAAGGGTTAGTTTGGGGAGAACGTGGGAAGGTGGAGATGGGAATGCTGGCAAGTAGTTATGTGCCCGGCGATAAGAACGAGGAGGCCGGGGTGGAGGTCGGGACGGGGAGGAGAAACACTCACTGATGAGATTTCCAAATTGATCTTTATGTTGGAGATCTCGCAGAGAGCCCAGATTGGACTTCTGTAGCGCAATGTCATCTGTGGATCAGGCCGTCAGTTAAAGCAATGGAGGAGGTCGGAATGCGACCGGGTTGGGTGTTGGGGGTGGACGTACTGGGCTGCAACTCATTCATGGCGACGGTCGGGTCTGCCTTTGTGTGAAGATTGCGCCTTTCCTTCTCCTCGTGAGATTCCGAGAGGTGAATCTTATTCCCGGAGGTGCTTGTTCGGCGAGAATTGTCGGATTTGACGCTGAAACCACGACTTCGGCGGGGAGAGGAGGAAACGGGCGGTTGGGGGGCCGCCATTTTTATTAGGGGCGGTTTCCACCGTCTTTCTTAGCGTCCGAGATCAAGGCAGGTCTGAAACGGCTGGGATCGTCTGAGCTTGGGCGGGCGTTGTGGAGCGCGATTGCGATGAAGGTGGAACTGCCAAGCCGATCACAGCGCTACTAGATGGACGGCGCGAGGTTCGTTCGTATGTGGTGAGACACTGAGGATGCTCTGAGCGCTAGGAATCGCTGGAGAATGGTGATTGCTGGGTGGCAGATGATGAGGGAAAAGCAAATGTGATTGTGATGGCTGGGAGGTTGGGAGGCTGGTAGGTAGTAGGTGGTAGGTGGCAGACGTTGGGTAGAAAGATAGAGGATGAGGATGCTGGCAGCGATCGGTGGAGCGCCGTTGAACTGCGGAGCCAAAGGACACTACAGCAAGCAACAGGCGAGGGCAGCAGGGTGATCGCTTAAATATGTAGAGGAGAAAGTTGAGGACGACACCGGCCACGCAATACTTGGGCAGAACGAGTGGCGTTCCGGTGGTTACCTACACTGTACATCTAATAGGACTTGGTGGCTATACAGAAGAGAGTAGAATTGTACATGACTAGAGTACTCAATTACTCAATTACTGGATTGTATTATTACCCAACTCATTGATGAATTCAATCTCCTCCAGCACTCTAGTACTCTTCCACTCTCGTACTATTGTACTCTTCCCCTCTTCGATTCAATTCTGCTTGTGATCAACCGTGGTACACAGCCCGAGTGGTGCGCGGCTGCGATTGGCGAGGTTCTTCATTAGCGGGAGTCGCCCAAAATAGACCACACCACAATGCCAGGCACAAGCCGGTACGACCTCGCTGATCCGCTGAGGTAAACTCTTGCTTTCAATACTAACTAGTCCCTTAGATGCCTAGGTCACAGAAATCTTGCCGCCGCGCGTGATGCAGGGCCGCATCCGTGCTCTTCCAATTGGCCAGTGGGGCATCGCGGATGGCGGATCGGTCGAGATGTGGCCATGATCCAGCAGAAAAATTGCAATTGGGTTCGCTGGTGTGGCTGTGGGAATATCCGGAACTGCAAGTCCGGAGGACTGCTTCAACTTTCATTGATGCCCTTGCCCTGGTACACAGTAAACAAGATCACTATATGATTGTCGGTGCCAGGAACCAATCAAGACCATGCCCGCCCAGTCTCAGGAACATTCTGAGTCAGTGCTACCAACAAAGAAAATTTTTCAAAGTGCTCAGGTGTCAGCTGGATTATACCTCGGTATGCCCAGGTGAGATCGTCCACTTGTAGTCTGTGGCTTCTAGAATACATACCATGAACATAGTACTATCGGCACATGGATCTGCCCCGGAATGCCATCACACTTTAATTTAATGAAGGACCCACCAGCGAACCTATCCATTTTTATGCACCAACTCCCGAGGTTAAGTAAAAGATGGGATTTGAAGTACCAGTAGAGTATTCGTCCGTTAATAAATAATTTATATAAACTTAAGGACGATAAATATTCGGTAGCCAGTCTTACTAGTAGTAGTAGTAGTACCTGGGAAGTAACTGAAACCATAATGGGATATACTACCCAATGTATCGCGACGAGTCGATATATATCGCCACTACTACGGTCAAGTTTTACGAAATTTACAATCATCATGATCCGAGTCCGAGTCTTAAATAGATATCATGGGCATGCCCATCCGAGTCATATCTCGATATACTATTTCTAATGCACGACCGCATACTGCCAGTGTTAAATCCCACATCCATGATCACTGACAATCAGTAGTACACATAGTACTACATACTACGTAGACATACCCAGGTATCTAGTAGTAGGTATACAATTCAAGTTTCACCGTGACCTTCATCATGATGTCCATAAAATTATCTCTGATTAACTTGAAATATTGCTGTTCAGAAAATCTCCAATTTGACTTCAATATGCCGAAGATCATGTCTGATACCCCCAGCTGACCTTCAATGTCGGACTCGATGGACCCCGGGCGCGACATCATAATCCACCGGCATGGATGCCTGCTGGCTCTACTAGCAGTAAGTACTAGGGCCACTCTGTTTCCACATGGGCACCTGCGTAGTACTAGTGGTATTCAAGCTGTGCCAACTTGAACTTCAAGCAAAACTGATGCGGCTCCAACCCCAATTCTGATCGCCGCCGACGTAGGTGGGTACACCGAAGTTCACCCCAGTCTAGCCCCCGATTACAAGTACGAATACGAAACATATGAGTAGGCGCAATGGGTGGTATATTTTTAACAGATGCCTTGGTGGAGTAGCCAGAGCAAAACATGCAATTCTCTATAACAGAAAAGACGAACGCACGGGGACCAAGCCAGGTATGGGGAAAAAAGAACTTCGAACTCGCATTAACCGGGTTGTTGAAAATGGTATGGATTTTGGTGTGTAAGAGCGTCAGATACACGGGAGGAGAAAAAGGGTGACTGAATGCAAAAAGCGACCAGACGAATCGCTCACGCACAGCCACAAAATAAACAATCATCAGCAATCATCATGGAGGGTATGATGATCCGAAAATTAAGATAATAAATCAAAAGGAACAGTCTCTTCATTCCATCACTTCCAGTTCCCACCGTCTCAGTTAAGAGAAGAGGGGAATAGAAGCAGGTCGAGACATTCGAGGTTTTGCGGGTTTGAAAACAGTGCAATAAAAAGGTTGGTTGTGTGTTTCAAAATGGTAAAACTTCTTTTTTTCTTTTGATTCGTAGGGCTCGGTTTGTGTGGTTTTAGTTATTGGCCCTGCCTGCTTTCTCCCACGAATGTAAAAAAACGTTGTTCAAACCGCCAACTCCCAATCCAAACAACATCTCGGCTTTTTGCCGATTCCGTCGACTTTTCCTTGCCTGGCCGGCCGCCGTCTGCACGAAAGGGAGAAAGAGAATCGCCCACTAGATACAGAGAAGCCGTTTAGATGTTGGAGGGGTAGAGCATGACGCGGACGGTAGCACCGAAGGACTTGGGGGGGGAGGTTGTTGCGGAACTTGGCGCGAACAACACCGGAGTTGCCTGGTTGAGGTGGTTAGTATTGCGCAGAAAAGCTGAAAGCAGAGAGAGCCTTCTCGATGGAGAGAGGGCTCTATGCTGAAGAAGTTGGCATACCGTGAGGGCGGGTGACCTTGCCCCAGATCACCCGGATGTTGGAGCCGCGGACCTCACGCTTGGCACGGTAAACGAAAGCGACCTTCTTGCCAAGGTAGAAGCTGGCGGCCTTAGGGTCGTCAACGCCCTCAATCTTCACCAGGGAGGTGTTGGGGTTGGTGGCGTGCTTGGAGCGCTGGTAGCTCAGGTGGCGTCCCCTGCAAAGAAATCCGTATTAATCCTCTGATCTGATAAATGTGCGATGTGTGTTTGAAAGTGGTCGTGGGTGAATATGCGATTCCGAATTTTGTTTCTTTTCCGTCGTCTGGGTGTTCACAGTGTGCGGTTCCAGGATCCATCTCGACGGACGATCTCGAGATCGAATCGGGGGGGTATTTGTGGCATGTGCGACGAGCGGAGTGAATAACTTACTTGACATAAACTAGAAGAGAGAAGATATGTTAGCATAAGATGTTCAATATTGGAGGTTTGGTTGGTGATGGCCGATGCGCGTGGGCGATCTCGAAGTCGACCTTCGAACGCATCTCCCCGACCATACACGGTGATTGTAAAGGGCGCACTCACGGCGGTGTCCTTGTTCCGAAGACATGATGTCGGTTCTTCTCTGAGCAGCGGGCAAGGAAAAGATGTCGAAGGAATGACCCGCAAGTTGTCGTCTGGTTGTCGTCGGCTTTGAGATAGTCGAGCGCACAATCAAATTGGGAGGTGTGGTGGCCATTTCCGCCCTAACCCAATCGGGTCCTTAGCGACAGGGTAAGCGAGATCATGTGAGCACACTTCCAGGCCTTCGGGAGAGTGGGTTTATCCGGGCCGTGATGACACCTGAGGCATACAGGGATAGATAACCATTGGCCTTAGTGCCTTATTGCCTAAGGTGTAAATAGACACCTAATTTTTATTTTCAATTCACACCTGATCTCCCAGGCTTCAATCACCTCATCGCATCACCTGACCAGTCGGGCAACAGTACTCCGTAGTCCGGCCCAGGCTGGAGAGCTGACAAACTGCCCAAGTTCACCATGACGACACCGTACTTTCTTAGCTGGACCTTAAGGTGACTACGGAGTATGGGCGACTTGGTTGATAATCGGTTATGGTTATGGTGATGGTGATGGTGTGTCGGTCTTTGAATGGTGGGCCAAACATACTACTACTAGCGGGGTAATAGTACCTTAATGACCAGCTAGGATATCACTCAATCACTCCATATATCAGCCATGACTGCTCTTCGTAATTTAATTTTGATATCCTGCATATGTAAGCACTGGCATTGCGCGGGAAAAATGCCAGGATTTTGATCTGGCTGATTCGGACTCTTCTCCGGCATGCAGACAGACCGGGCGGACTGATTGGGAAAGCAAGATATCCCCAAGCCCCACCAGCGCAGGAATGATTGACCGGGAGATCGGGCGGATCGCTCGTACGAGTCGGTTATGGTGTACGGAGGACAGTGGCCCTGACGGTTAATAGAGAAATCAAGATAGCGCCGAATGCGGCACTGGGCCGAGTGCCGGAGTTACAGCGGGAAAATAGAATCCGTCTGGTATGAGAGATGACAAATGTGCCGATCGTCCCCACGATTGGGTCACCGGAGGAGTCATATACACAATAGTCTAGGTACGAGTAGACTGTCAGGTCATATCAATATACAGATATGCAGGTGTCATGGGATTGTGTGTTGTAGAGATATTGTGGGAGAATGATAGTATCAACTGGAGTCGTATGCATCCACTCTATAAGATGGACATATACGGATGTATGTATTAACTCCGTACACTGCCAGTGGCAGTAGGTAGCTTCTGCAACGAGGTAACTCTGCGTCAAGCTCCACCCCGCTGACCGCAACCCTTCGAGGATACTAGTCCTCTTTTTTGTCTGGTCGACTTACTCCACACTGCATTCAGGCTGTTTCTGTTCTGTCGATACCGAGTACGGAGACCTGTATGGTATTATCGATCAGCTGACCCTTTCCTTTAATCTTCCAGAACCTCCGTCTCCATAGGACTGCCGTGGTGGCTTGCTGGTTTGCTGGCTGGGGTTGCACCTACCCTCCGACTGGGACTGGCTGACGGGGTCAGCAAGAAGCAAATTAATATTAGGTACTGCGCGGAGGAGGGGGGGGAGGCATCATTCAAACATAAGATACCCTGTGATGTTGTAGGAGTGGTGGTAGTGGTAGTGGTAGTGGTGGAGTTGATGCTATAAGCAACACCAGCAGTGGACAACACACCAACACCAAGGACACGGCTAGACTCGCAACGAGGAGATAGACTACTCTTTATGTATGTACAGATTAAGTATGCCATGGCAGCTTGAAAGACACCAGGTAATCTAAATACTCTGAAGTCGTAGTCATAGTCATACATAAAATACCCAAGCCCCACCATCGCAAGCTGTGAGAGCGACTTCCCGTTGAAAAGTACCTGCTCCGCCGGAACGTGTTGGAGCGTGGTGTTCTTCCTCTTTCCCAACAACTTCACCCTCCCATCTCCTTTCCCTTCTCCTTCTCCCTTCTCCCAGCTTGTATATTCTGCCGTTGGTGCGTTGCAACATGTCCAGCATCATCTCCAACGACGAGCACCAAAATGCCGGGTAAGTTTCCCTCTGCCTCTTGTCTGTCTCTGACATCACCTCCCCTCCCCCCCCCCTCCGCTCAACACCAACCCGATGCGCCCTGCCTCTGCACCTTCGCCTCGACATCTATCCTTATCTCCCCTACACAAGCGCACTTCGGAAATCACTCAATTCGAGCCGAATCGATTCCCCCTTTTGCTCTTTTGCTCCATCTTGGCCCTTTTTCACCCTCCCGTGCACCCCGCTCGAACCCCCCTCCATCCTATCTCCGTCTGCAAAATCTGCCTCTTGTGCTTCGTCCTGATCTGTCCGACTAACAATGGCTTCTTTGGCTTCCAGCACCATTGAATTGAAGGATGACACCATCATCGTGGTGCTCGGTGCATCCGGTGATCTAGCTAAGAAGAAGACGGTTTGTTGCCCCTCCTCGCTCTGCTCAGATGGGCCTTGCTACTCCGTGACTCCTCCGTGCTAACTTGCTCCTCAGTTCCCTGCGCTCTTCGGTCTCGTATGTGCAGCTTAACCCTGTCCGACATGGTTGCCTCGCTAATTACTCCTCCAGTTCCGCAACAAGTTTCTCCCCAAGGACATTAAGATCGTCGGATATGCGCGGACGAAAATGGACCACGAAGAATACCTTAAGCGTGTGCGCTCTTACATCAAGGTTCCCACAAAGGAGATTGAAGAGCAATTAGATCAGTTCTGCACATTCTGCACCTACGTCTCCGGTCAATATGACGAGGACGACTCTTTCATCAACCTCAACAAGCACCTCGAGGAGATCGAGCATGGTCGCCAATCAAAGGAACAGAACCGCGTCTTCTACATGGCTCTGCCCCCCCAGTGTTTTCATTACTGTGTCTGAGCAATTGAAGCGTAACTGCTACCCCAAGAGCGGTCTTTCCCGCATTATTGTGAGTATTTGCCGAGCAATTAGTGATGCCGAGGTCCCGGAGCTAATGCGTCATTCTTCCCCGACAGGTCGAGAAGCCTTTCGGTAAAGATCTGCCCAGCTCGCGCGAACTCCAGAAGGCTCTGGCCCCCAACTGGAAGGAGGAGGAGATCTTCCGCATCGACCACTATCTTGGTAAGGAGATGGTCAAGAACATCCTCATTCTGCGATTCGGCAACGAGTTCTTCAACGCTACATGGAACCGTCACCACATCGATAACGTTCAGGTATGGATATTATTGAGCAAAGTCCGAATCAACTTAGATCTAACGCAACCTCCAGATCACATTTAAGGAGCCTTTCGGCACTGAGGGCCGAGGTGGTTACTTCGATGAGTTCGGCATCATCCGTGATGTCATGCAGAACCGTACGTGCCGTCAATAAAAGACATTTTTAGCCTCTTTAACTGACCCTCTGCAGACCTTCTTCAGGTTCTGACCCTGCTCGCCATGGAGCGCCCCATCTCTTTCTCTGCCGAGGACATCCGTGACGAGAAGGTCCGTGTTCTGCGCGCGATGAGCGCGATTGAGCCCAAGAATGTCATTATTGGTCAATACGGTCGTTCCCTGGATGGCAGCAAGCCCGGATACCTGGAGGATGACACTGTGCCCAAGGAGTCGCGTTGCCCTACCTTCTGCGCCATGGTCGCTTACATCAAGAACGAGCGTTGGGACGGTGTTCCCTTCATTCTGAAGGCCGGAAAGGGTAAGCTTAACCCCTTTATCACTGACTGTTTCAACTAGCATGCTAATTTCAACTTTCATCAGCCCTCAACGAGCAAAAGACGGAGGTTCGCATTCAGTTCAAGGACGTCACTTCCGGCATCTTCAAGGATATTCCCCGCAACGAGCTCGTCATTCGCGTGCAGCCCAACGAGTCCGTTTACATCAAGATGAACTCCAAGCTGCCCGGTCTGTCTATGCAGACGGTAGTGACCGAGCTGGACTTGACCTACCGCCGCCGCTTCTCCGACCTTAAGATCCCCGAGGCCTATGAGTCCCTGATCCTGGACGCCTTCAAGGGCGACCACTCCAACTTCGTCCGTGACGACGAGCTCGACGCCAGCTGGCGCATCTTCACCCCTCTTCTGCACTATCTGGACGACAACAAGGAAATCATCCCCATGGAGTACCCATACGGTGAGTCAACCGCCTCCATACTCCCTATGCTCACCACAGTGGTCTAACATCTATCTATCCCCTAGGCTCCCGCGGACCCGCCGTTCTCGACGATTTCACTGCTTCATACGGCTACAAGTTCAGCGATGCTGCCGGATACCAGTGGCCTGTCACCAACACTGCCCCTAACAGACTGTAGGGTTTTCGTTTAGCTTGCACTTTGATAACGACGATATGGGATGCGGAATATGAAGGCGAATAAAATCCACTTTTCTTTTCTTTCTTCTTCTTTCTTTGAAACTCCCTCTTTCCTCTCCCTCCCGATTTTCACTACCTTACCAAGTTTGATGCTCGGCTTCCTCCTTGCTGCGATAATCTCGGGCTCCTGCATCTAGCTTTATGTCTAGAGGTTGGAATTAAAGATGTTTATGACTGACTTGAAATTTTCCCATCTATGTTGTTAACTTTGGCTCACATTGTGTCATATCTAGAGGTCTATGTACTTCGCTTTGATACTTCCGGCTGTGCGTGAGTGAACCTTTACCGTAGTGTATGTTTGGAATGGGGAGAATAGTAGGGCAGGAGCGAGGCTAAGAAGGTAAACACTTCTCTGTTTGCTAACGCCTTGCCAGTGGTGCAGTTGGGTAGCTCCTTCACTGCCGGCCTAATCCGGAGGACGCTTCGGATGGGTACTGGTTAGTGCATGGCTACCCCTGGGCTATGTAAAAGAAGGTCACAGGGGGGCGGCAACAAGTTAGGACTCGGAAGGGAGAGGCAGACTTGGGTTAATGAACCTTTTTTTTTTTTTTTTTTTTCTCAATCTATAGGTTGTTGATTATTGGTATGTAATGTTTGATGTCCGGTGTGGATGAAGTGCTGGTTATCCCAACTTCTGTAGAAGTTGCATCGCCCAGGACAAAGGGACATAGCCCCACTTTTCCCCCATAACGTGGACGGTTCGAACACGTCGGCCAGGATGAAATTATTTTGCTCATCATTTTTGGCGGCTAATAGACGTGGACTTGAACTATCTTTCCACGGATTTCGGAGTCTGAGCTAGCGGAGTCTTATTGGCGCCTTTGGCGGAGCTCTTAGGTTTTACAAGGTTTCGCTCATGGTAGCGTTACTAATTTCGTTCAATAGAACTTGTGGTATAAGAGATTATGCAGCACAGAATTGATGATATCCGATTTGTTCCCAATTGAAACATCTAATATTTATGCATTCGAGAGCACCACGGCGCCATATGGCTGTAGCTCGACTTTGCCCTGAGCTCGACCAATGCTAGCCTGGTTCGACATCAAAATCGAGAAGCCCTCGTACCTTTCCACCGATACCGTCTGAGGTCGATCAGAGAAATTCAACAACACAACCGCTTTCGAACCTTTCTGCACCCACTCGCGCTCGTATCCTAGAACCATATCCCCCGTCATAGATTCCCCAAGGGCAGTGTAAGATCCATATACGAAAATGTCAGAGTGCTCCTTCCGCAGTGAGAGCATCTGCTTCCAGTAGGCCATGATACTCTCAGGATCACCGAGCTGGCTGGCAACATTCCACTCGGTATAATCCTTGTTGATAGTCATCCAAGGCTTGGCACTTGCAACAGTAAACCCAGCATTAGGCGAGTTATCCCACTGCATTGGTAAGCGCCCATGATCTCTCGACTTCAGCTGCAGCTCCCGAAGAACATCGTCCATTTTACCGACATCACCACCCCGAGCTTTCAAAACTTCATTGTAATAGTTCCTCCCCTCAACATCAATATACGAATCAACCCCATATTCCTTGCCAAGATTCGCCATACCAATCTCCTGACCCGCAAGCATGAACGGAGTCCCGCTCAACGTCGTCAGGTACGTAGCCAGCATCTTAGCCGCAGTCGCGCGGTGCTCCGGGGCATCAGAAGCATACCGAGACAACGAGCGACCACTATCATGATTATCAAGGTAAACCGTATTCCATCCATCAAACTTCGGCATCGCATTCTGCCAAAGATTCGTGATAGTGCGGATCTTCCTTGGATGGAAATCATCTCGCTCGTACTTCCCATTCGGACCAAAATCCATATCCACGATGTCACCAGTAAAAAGCATATTCAACTCATGCCGGTCCTTGGCAACGTACTTGCTGACAGAATGTTCATCCTTGGTAAAACCCAGCTCGCCAACCGTCATCACATCATAGTGGTCCAGAACCTCTGTCCTGATCTCACGAATATAATCGTGCATCTTGGGACCGGAAGCGAAGAATTCCGCACCGGACTGGTACGGTTCGTCGGGATTGACAATATGCCCATCCGGAAGATCAGGGTGTTTAGACATGAGATTCATACTATCAATACGGAACCCGTCCACGCCACGATCAAGCCAGAACCGCATATCGTCGTGCGTGGCCTGCCTCATCGCCGCACTCTCCCAGTTCAAATCAGGCTGACTTGGCAAGAAGAGCGCGAGATAATATTGACCGGTCTCCTCATCAAAGACCCAGGCGCTACCACCGAAGATAGACTTCCAGTTATTGGGCTCTTTGCGGTTTCCGCAAGCATCATATTTGGGGTCTCGCCAGATATACCAATCGCGCTTGGGGCTGGACTTTGAGCTGCGTGATTCTTTGAACCAGGCGTGTTGGTCACTGGTGTGATTTACCACTAGATCCATTAGGATGCGGATGTTGTTTGCGTGGAGTTGGTCGATTAGGGTTTGGACATCGGTGACAGTGCCGTAGGGTGCGTGGATGGACCGGTAGTCTGCGACATCGTAGCCCATGTCCTTTTGGGGTGAGGCGAAGATTGGCGAGAGCCAGATTGCGTCTACGCCCAGGGACTTAATGTAGGGGACTTTGCTGATTATCCCGGGTATGTCACCGAGTCCGTCGCCGTTGCTGTCGAGGAAACTGGCTGGGTAGATTTGGTAGACGACTGCTTCTTTCCACCAGGTTTTTTGGATGGATTGGGGTGTCATGGTGGAGTGTATAAAAACAAAAACAAAGATAGAAAGATGAAGGAAGTACTCCGAGTCTCAATCGTCTTTAGAAAGGCTTTGGGTCTTCCATAAAAGAAGGTGAAGGTGAAGACGAAGAAGAATGTGGTTAAGATGCGGTTGAGGTATATGTAGGTCATGGCGGTAGCACGGGGCTCTTCATACTTCTCCGCTAACACACCGAAGTTGCTCAGCTCGGGCAGATCAAGGGGGAACCTAGGACTAGCTCGGAGAAATTCGTAACGAGACTTTTGGCGATGCGTAGAGGTTCGTGGAGGTTGATGGTCGGCAACATCGTGGAGCTCTGTTGAGTTTCTCCGAGGAAGCTCCGCTGTGGTCTTACCGCAGTTCGAAATCAAGGTCGAGATGCTGTCTATGGTGCCAATGTAACTTCCGAATCAACTGCGAGGTAGTTGCTTCACAATTACTCGGGGAATTCGCCGTTTAACTTTGCCGACTGGAAATTTGGTTTGATTCTGTTGTCGGAGCTCAAGGTGGTCTTCGCATGTCAGTGTTTTCGTCGATATTACTTTCCCGCTGGTTCTATCCGAAGCTATTGTCCGATTTCATTGAGACCACTGTTAAGAGGATATGAGCTCTAGACTAGTTTTGTAATCAATTTCACGAGAAAGGCATTGGAGGTAGTATAAGATATAGTTGAATTTGCATCTTAAATAACGTTTTATGAACTGGTTAAAAAGCAGGAAGATCGGACAAAACAGGATCAAAGCATAAAAGAAACTTGAAGTACTACGTATTAATATGGAAAGTCGCTACACGAGCTGAATGGGAAACACTTAATCATAAACTTGAACCCTTCAGAGTCTTAACAAACGGATTTGCCAACATGCTTAGCCTTGTCAGCGAGTCCGCCGAACAAGCCAGCTTTCTTCTTCTTCTCCATAACCTGGTCTTCAACAACAACAAAGTCCTTGAACTTCCGCGGTGAAACCCTATTGGCATACAGCGCATCGATTTCCGCATTGGACCTGTTCTTTGTCTCTGGCTGAAAGAAGTAGAGACCGGCGAAGATGAATAGTTCGGCTCCAACGAACAGGAACATGACCCTGCCACCCCAGTTGAGTTCGTCCGGATTGATAAAGTAGGGAAAGATAGATGATAACAAAAGCGCTGTCAACTGCTGGCAGACCAAAACAAATGAAATGGTTTTGGGGCGTGTGGCCTGTGCTGCGGTTTCCTGGGCCACGGCCCATCCGTAGCAGCCCACGGTAGCCGTGTAAATCATGGACCAAGTAATCATAAAGGCAAGGAGGGCAATATTGGCAGACGTGTTGGTAGTAGGTGCCATCGACACTCCAGCAATGATGACAGACCAGAACATCAGCAGTGTACCTCCACCAATGAGGCCCTTTCTGCGAGGAATGATGTCGGAAAGACAGACTGCAGCAAAGTTTGACAGGAGTTGCAGCGATGAAGAGATCGCAGTCAATTGGAAGGAGTCAGATTGACCGATCAACTGGAAATAATAGGTCTGGTAGGTATTGGCAAAGTAGCCACCCGAGAAGTTCTGGGATTGAAGGCCGAGCACAGCAACGAGCGTACGGGAGCGATGCTCTTTGGTGAAGATGCTTTTCCAGCTTGTCTGGCTGGCGGCGGACACCTCGTTCTCAGTCTGTTTGAGTTCTGACTTGATGGTCTCAATGCAGGCTTCGACATCAGCACCAGGGCCATACAGCATGGTGATAGCCTTGCGAGCATCATCTTCACGACCTTTCTTCATGTACCAGACAGGGCTTTCAGGTAGGAAAGGAAGACCGCAAAGATAAAAGCCGGGCATCACGAAAGTCATGACAAAAGCCAGCTTGAAAGACCAAACGCCCTGAATTCCCGAAGCACCATATCCAGTGATAGACGCACAGAATTGACCGAAGACAATGACAACGTTGGTAAGAGACGACGCGATGCTGCGAAGGTGTGTGGGTGCATTCTCTGTGACGTATAGAGGAGGGAGCACCGTTGCAAGACCAACCGAAAGACCGAGAAGAAGCTTCGAGACGAAGAGGATCGGAAGAGTTGGAGCAAAGACAAGAGCAAATGATGATCCGAGGGAAATGAAGACTGCTGCATAAAGCAGGACTTTGCGACCCCAGAAATCGGCGAATTGCCCTGCGGCATAGCCTCCAAAGACCTGGCCGATGGTCGAAGCGGCATTCCACAGTGACTGCCACAAGGCAGGAATTACGTACTCGTCACCGACAGCGTAGTAATTGCCATAAGCTTTTCGAAAATCGGGGAAGGCAATGGCCAGGCCGGATAAATTGGCATCGTAGCCCCAGCTGAAGACAAGAAGCATGGTGTAGAGAGTCCACAAGCAGAATCGTTTTTCGGCCCGGATAGCTACCCATAGCTTCCGCCATTGCTCTTTGGTTGTGATTTCCGAAGGTTGCTGGTCCTCAAGTTTTGCTGGCAGTGGTTCTTCGACAGTGGTCTCGACATGACTGATGTCTGTCTTCTCGACATTGAGAGATTTGAGCGAAGAACCCATGATTGATCAGACCTCGTAGCAGTAACAAGATCGACGGGACTATGCTGTTTTTTGAGAAATGTCTATCATCGAGTGGAGGCATATCGACATTTTATCTCTCTGCCATGGGCTTGAGCACCACGGCGAAGCTCAGGAAACAAGGATCAAGAATGAAGCCGAAGGTGGTTCTGTGGGAAATCGTCGGGAAAACCTCTCGATAGATCGCTTCCACGTAATGCCCGGCTGAGCTTGCAGTGGATTCCCCCACGGGGAATCTTGAGAGCAGAAAATGCGGGCGTACTTCAGCGCAAGTTTGGGAGAGTCTCACATCGCCTCTGGGGAAGCTTCGGCGAAACTCATTTTCATAGTAGAACGCTCCGGTATATCGCCGTTCGATGAATATCAACATTTGTCCTTTTAAAACCCGAAGACTAGTCTTTCGATTCGATAATGCATCACTTTAATTTTATTTCTTTCTACTACGATGACGAGTACATCAAGCTCCGGAGAAACCTCGCAAAGCCCAGAATCCTGTGGCTCAACTGGGGTCACTACTCCCGAGGGATTCAAGGCCGAAATTACTAGCCTTGCCCAAAGACACACGAGATGGCGTCCATCCTTTCACCTGATGCCTCAAACAGGATGGATGAATGATCCATGCGCACCTGGATATGACCCCTCAACTGGGTTGTATCGTGTTTCCTTTCAGTGGAACCCTAATGGCCCCGACTGGGGTGATATTGCTTGGGGAACTGCGACTTCCAGTGACATGATTTCATGGGATGTTGAAGAACAACCTATCCTCTCACCAGATAAGGGCTACGACTCCAAGGGTGTCTTCACCGGATGCTTTATCAAGGCAGAAGATGGGACTCTCAACTACATCTATACCTCGGTCAGCTCCCTTCCGATCCACCACACCATCCCGCATCAAACTGGCTGTGAGACATTGAGCATCGCGACGTCTTCAGATCAAGGAAGAACTTGGCACAAAAGCGACAGGAACCCCATCCTCCCGGGTGAACCGTCTAATCTCGATGTCACTGGCTGGAGAGATCCATTCTGTGCTCCTTGGCCCAATATGAGCAAGGTTCTGGGACTAAACCCAAAAGATATCTTGTTTGGTATTATCTCTGGGGGTATTAGGGATGTCACACCCACAAGCTTCCTTTACAAGATCAATGCAAATAACGTGAGTGACTGGGAGTACATCGGCCCCCTTGCGAATTTTGGTCTGAATCTCAGACCGTCGCGGTGGTCTGGAGATTTAGGGAAGAATTGGGAGGTAACGAACTTCCTGTCATTGTCCGACGAGAATGATCCTCACTCAACTTTCGACTTTCTGATCATGGGCACTGAAGGCTGTCTTGATGATGGTCTTGAAGGATCTCCGGGCAGTGCAGGTCCATCACGTCCAAGCCGTGGCCAGCTTTGGATGTCTGGCAATCTTCAGAAAAGTGAAGCTGCTGGCCCGGTAAATATTTCATATGGCTTTGGGGGTCATCTCGACCATGGTTGTCTGTATGCAGCCAACTCTTTCTTCGATCCACGAAGTCAGCAATACGTTGTCTGGGGGTGGATCACAGAAGAAGATCTGTGTGATGATTTCCGTCACCAGCAAGGATGGGGTGGGGCTCTGTCAATGCCCCGACAGATCCATCTACAGACTCTTCACAATGTAGTTGGTGCTTTAGTCTCTGATTTACCCTCCATCACCTCGCTCAAGCTCGAGCCAGAGGCCGATGGAGCTTTCACTATCCACACTCTTGCCAGTGAACCATATAGGCCTTTGGTTCAACATCTTCGAAACTCTTCAGACGCGCTTTGCTCACAGTTGGGGGCATCGTCTCTCCATAATAATCCTGGCGAAGTCGGCTTGTCCCTAGAAAGCGTGCGGAGTAAGCACTGGGAGCTTGAGTGCTCTTTCAAGATCTCCAAAACTTGCTCCCGGGTCGGTATATCCATTGGCCATTCAAGAGGTAAGAAATTCCCCGCAAGTTATTATCCAGGCATCATGCTCAACACATCATTAACAGACCTTGAAAATGCAACAACAATGACATTCGAGCCACAAGATGAAGCCTTCACGATTTCCCGACCATCATTCCCTAGGTCCGATTCGTCTTTGTTGATCAATAGCTCCCCTGAAATAGCGCCGCACACCTTGTTCACAGGGACAAACCCCAAAAGTGGAGAAGAATGGACGGAGACCTTGGATATTCGCGCGTGGAGAGATAATTCCGTCCTGGAGGTGTTTGTTAATGGTCGGACCGCGATCACTACTCGTCTTTACGCGGCTGAGGAAACATTTGGTATGCGGTTCTTTGCAGAGGATGATGCCTCAGGTGCCAGGGTCCTGCTACGGACGAGCCATGCTGGTCCAACAGAGCTGAAGTTTGCAAATTTGTGGGATGGAATTGCAATTTAGGGGAATTTTAGTCCTAGTCCTAGTACTACTACTAATAGTAGTAATTAGTAGTTGTCACTGTTAGCTGTCAACAAGCCCGCTTGTATATATCAGGCATGCTCACTAGCACCCCGGACCAGCAAATAGTACCAGCACCTGGAACTTGAACTGATACAACTACCCCTGCAGTCCTGATGGAAATGAACCCTTCTGTATTCAAGCTGTCTCATGAATACTAAATTCCCCCTTGAGTAGACGAATGATTTGAATGTTTCAAGGTGTGTTGTTATAAATAGACCGGAATATTGCTGACTCATCAATTACAACCAATCAATCGCGTCGCGCAGATCAAAAGGGTCTCCGGATTGCATTGACTGCACTGAACCATTAACTCCCTTTGACAAACTTTGAAATTGTTGAAAATAACACTTCTCTCTGACCCAAATCACTCAGTATAACTGATAGAAGATATTGCTTCTATCTGAACGCGACACCTGTCACTTCCCCGATCGGCAGTTGCGAAACCCCTGGGCGGGTCTCACGATAAAGCCGGGGGCCCGCATGAACGGCGCTGGGGCCAAGTCCTTTTTTCCCTCCCAAAAGGAAACCGCCCAGTCCAGCCTTCAGCCTTACTCTGCTATCCTCTTCAGATCTCGCCTCGCCCCCCCTCTGACAGCCCCTCGAGACCCCATACCAAACCCGTACCAACCCCATATTCATCACCCCCACATCCGAAAACACGACCGAATCGTTCCGCTGCCGTCACCGCCGACCAGACAAGAAAGTGGAAAAAAAGAAGGAGGGAACGCAGTGACACGTCGAGCACCATTGGGCATAGGCAGTTCACCGACTGGACTCCTCCTCGCCTGTATAGCTATAGCCACGTCGTTCCACCACCACAACCGCTAGTCGAATCTCCGCCGCGCGTTGCTGATCACCATTCGCGATCTACCGGTTTACACGTCCCCATTGGCTCTGTTTGAAGCGGAACTCGCGGAGGAAAAGTCGAGCGCATGCCATTGCACAATTAGCACGGCATGGTGCAAACTGCACGATGGGCGGGCACGCCCTCTATCAAGGGCAAGTCGGAGTCGACGCGCATGGCGCTGTTGACGTTCAGCTTGGTGGGACTACAGTGCGTATTTGGATTTCTCTCCTGAAACATTGAGATCAGATGAAGGGACAGACAGGCTGACAGGGCGTTAATAGGTTTACCTGGGGCACAGAGATGACCTGTAAGCTTGAACCTGGACATTACGGAGGCATTGAGAATTGGCATCGAAAGCTGGACGATTGCTAATACTCGCTTTTGTGACTAGATTGTACGCCGTATCTGCTTCAACTCGGTTTGACGAAATCCAAGGTTTCGTTGGTTTGGATTGCGGGTCCTTTGTCGGGATTGATTATCCAGCCTTTGATTGGTGTTATTGCTGATCGGTCACGGTCGAAATGGGGACGGCGCCGGCCATTTATGATCTTCGGCTCAATTGTTGTGGCCTTCTGTTTGATCGTGCTGGGCTGGACTGCTGAGATAGTAGCCATGTTTGTTACGGAACCGGAAAAGGTGCGCTTACCATCTCTCGAACCTGCTGTATTGCATCGTTGCTGACCGTTTTGACTAGGCAAAGAACGTCACTATTGCTTTGGCAGTCTCCAGTATCTACGCTGTGGACTTCTCTATTAACGTTGGTGCGTCTACCCGCATTCCACAATTGGGTGTTCCCTGCTAAATGCTAACTACTATTAGTTCAAGCATGTTGTCGCAGTCTAATCGTGGACACCTTGCCGATTCCTTTACAGCAAGCCGGTTCTGCTTGGGGTATGTGATCTGAAATCTGTGCTCGGCTTTGAAGATATCTGACATTTGCATTAGCTGGAAGAATGTGTGCTATTGGACAACTCATTGCCTACGTGGTCGGTGCAGTTGACACGGTCAGCATCTTTGGCAGCCTACTTGGCGACACCCAATTTAAGCAGATGACGGTGATCGCGGCCATCTCTTTGATCTTGGCTGTCTCAGTTACTTCATATTCGGTAAAAGAGCGCGTGTTGATCTCGGCAAGGTAGGATTCCATGCAGTATACATTACATGCGAAGTGTCAGCACTGACATCATGACAGAGATTCGGACGGAAAAGCAGGCGCCATTCAGGTCATCACTCAGCTTTTCAAAACAACCATGGAGCTTCCGCCGCGCATCCAGGCTATTTGTTGGGCTCAGTTCTGGGCATGGATTGGGTGGTTCCCTTTCCTTTTCTATAGCACCACCTGGGTCGGTGAGACTTACTTCCGCTATGAAGTCCCGAAAGACGAATTAGCGAAATCAACCGATATGCTGGGAGAGGTAGGCCGTGTTGGTAGTCTGTCACTCACAGTATTCTCCTCGATCACCTTCTTGAGCTCTGTGTTGCTCCCATTCTGCGTGCAACAGCCCGATACGAAGCGGTCGCGTTTCACGCCCAGACCGCCCCCAGGTGTTGCGAGGTTTCTGAAGAAAATCACCGGCGTTCGCCCAGATCTTCAGACGGCCTGGTTTATCTCCCAGATTATGTTTGCCGTCACGATGATATTCGCACCGTTAGCCCACTCGCGCGCGTTTGCCACTTTCTTAGTCGCGATTTGTGGAGTTCCCTGGGCCATCAGTGGCTGGGCACCGTTCGCCTTTATGGGCGTGGAGATCAACAAGTTGACGATGAACGGCAACAATGCTGCCGGATTGGCAGCCCAAACTGCACGAGCTGGGGGTGTGACGATGATTACCTCCGCCAGCATGCGGGCCAGCGCACAGGACACCGAGCTGGAGGTACTTCGATTGAATCACAACGACTCGGACAGCGACGCGGACGAAGAAGACCCTTCTTCTAACATCCCATCAACAGGCGAGCTCGCAGGTATCTATCTCGGCGTGTTGAATGTCTACACCACTCTCCCACAGTTTGTAGGCACATTTATCAGTTGGATTGTCTTCACGCTTCTCGAGCCAGGTACCACGCCCGACAAAGACGGCGAAGCATCAGACACCCAATGGATGAACCTGGACAAGGACAAACCTAACGCCATTTCGATTTGTCTCTTCATCGGAGCTATCAGCGCCCTTGTCGCAGCTGAGGCAACCAGACGAGTGAGATACGTGCCGTGATTTCTCTCGAACAGTACAGTGTTACAGTGTCCTTTACGACAACCGGCCATGGCATGATAAAAAAGCGCTTCATACCCGATGTACACTAGCAATGTTTATAGAGGGTCCTTTAAGTTTCCTGTAAAGCTTGGGCAATTCTTGGTGTTCTGGCATTAGGGTGTGCATATATAATTCTTGACGAAATAGTAATTTAATAACGACCTTGGATCAAAGAGGTTCCTAAAACCAATCTGAAAGACCAAGCTTCAAGTTCTATTCTAATACTTTGGAAAGGCAACTTAGAATGAACATCTTAACATCATCTCAGTTACTAACGTTGGAAAGCTGCACGCTGTAGGGCGCATTAGGATTGGCTCAGATAAGGCCAGAACTTTGGATAAACATCATCGAGCATTGGCTTTTCTCAAACCTCTTCCCAAATCGACGTTTCACACCGCGGTCAGACGTTGATCGAAGGCTTATTTTCCGCACAACTGCGCGTGGCGAAGCCCTGGAATGACGAACCCACCGCTGTTCCTTCTCGCATTGGTTAGTACTGGAGCCGTCGAGTGGGAATTGGGGGCCAACTAGGACCAAGCAGTGTCAGGGCTGAGCTTGGTCTGAGCCCCTAAACCCGAAAAGGGGATTCAGTTTGGCCAAGACTTTTATTTTGGAGAGTGGGGATGGAGGTCGGCAGCGCCCTTCACGATGAAAGTGAAGATCTTCGGGGGCTATTTGTGTTATTTTCGCTATTTGAGATAGATATAAGGCCGACAGGCGGTTAATATTTAAGTCTCGTCCTTCACTGTTCATCTCATCTTTTCTCTCTCTCTTTCTACGTTTCCAATCATATTATTCGCCTCTTTAGCGTTTTATTTATCCATATCTTTATTATAATGGGCCTCTTAAGTCCCAGAGCAACCACCGGTAGATCATCCTCATGATCCTCAACGTAACAGGGACCCTCACAAAAGTGAAATCATTGACCTATGTCGATATCGCGATGGGACTGCTGACAATGGTTATCTACGTCCAAATTGTCCCGATATCCTTCCTAATGTTTTACGCCTACCGCACACAGCCCTACGAGATCTCTAACAAGACACCACGCTCCATGCGACCTCGGGAATACCAGGCCATCGACGACGATGTTGATGACGAGCCATTTATGAATGGATTCAAGAAGCGGTACCAGGGCGGCTGGATGGGACTGCATGCTTGGGCCGTCTATCTCAGTCCACTGACATTGTTCATGGATGTTAGAGAAGCGTATGTCATGATCCATGAAGCTCGGGCTGCGTAGAAGGCGCACTTCAAGGAGCAGATGCCAGTGCAGATGGAATCGCCGATGGAGAGATATGATAGCCCTGAGGGTGCATGAGGAATTGGACATTGCATTTCTGGCAAATTCCCAACCTCATTTATAAAGCAACCAACTGTCTCGCAGATCCTTGCCACCAAATGTTCAAGCCAGTGAAAAATGGGCCGAAGTTCACTTTCCATGCTATTCCAGGCCTTCTTGAAAAGTCGAACATCCGTTGAAATTGCCTTTCCTTGGGGTTGGATCACTTTGAGGGGTTCTTCTTAGGCGGATCCTTGAAGTAGGATTATCAAGAGGAAGACGCCCCCACTCAGAAGAGGAAGATCCGTCCACATTATCGTGCAATGACTATTTCAACACACTGAATAGTAATATCAGATCTTGAATAATGGAAATGGAAATGAGGAAATGATCTTCTCCCTGCATGCGTGGGACGCCTGAATCATGGCCGTTGAATTGGCTTCTGTGCAACGTCAGGGATGGCAGAGGATCCACAACAGTTCAACCATTTTCTTCAAACGAAAAAAAGCAGTCACCAGGGTGGAAGTAGATTTCGTTTTCAACTGTTCATAGTGATAGTATAATGTTTGATCTGCGTCCTATACAAGCCTACTTACTTCATGCTAGTATAAATCTTACCAAGCAGGACAACCTCATCCTTAAAGTGATATGGATCTAGATGAAGATGAACTCTTCATTTGGTACCTAGTAACCAATTTGCCTTGAATCATTTTCAGAATCGGTTTGACTAATGCTCATTGTGGGGAAATATCATGGCTTAGCGCAGATAAAGCTCGTTACATAATGATTACTTGTGGTATGCAGCGGGTGGCCTAGATAAATCTTCAAGTTATGATGTGCCTTGGGAGATGTGCCAATTAGGACCACCATCTGAATTTTGGCGACGAACCTATTCCACTCCCCCACATTTCTCTCTCAATCATGAGCTGTCCCCGCGGAACCCTGCATGATCCTTCAAGTGTGCTTACTTCTCCAAGGCCCTGGGCTGTGCATAAAGTGATTCATGCTACAGAGTACAGCATTAGGCCTCCCAAGTTATTCAGTAAACCGTCAGGCTGCCTAGCCTTGCCAAGATGATCTTCATTCTCTACAAACAATGTAGTATCCGAATGATTTCGAGTCAACATTGATACTCCTAGTAACTCCTAGTAAGGCACACAACATGAAGGCTATAAATACAGCTTGATACCCCCCCAGGATCTCAATTCATCATCAAACAATTATCTCTCAAGAATACTACTATCTTTCACTAGGATTATCTCCAATACAACCACCCGGTATATACCATTTCTTTTCTTTAATATTGGAAAGCACTTTCACTAACTCCCTCAGTCCAGCAAAATGAAGTATATGCTCTTGATCGCCTCTTTCCTCGGCCTGGCTCTGGCCTATGGTGACTGCCCCGACTTTCCTTCCTGCCATTGTCCCGGGGACGTCTGCAGAATCGGTGATAATGTCCCCGGTGACGGCCAGGGCGTTTGCTGCGAAGGCAAAAGCTGCGTCCGAGAATCTGGAGGCGACAACTGGGTATGTATTTTGTATCCGGCGTTTCAAACCATGACACTGACGTTTCTGATACCTATCAGTACTGCCAGTAGGGGGTGTTATATACTAGCTGTGACGAAGGATTTGGTAGATACTATCCACACTGGAATGTCACACGTGCAGTTTTGATTCTGAGACTTGGAGTTGTTCCAATACTGGGTACTAGGTAGCAGAATCAATACTCTCAAGCGTATAGCTAGGTCGCCATCTAAATCAACGTCGTGGGTGGGCAGAGCGGCCATTGGCATCATTTTCACAGGCCCTCATCGTCGAGTTGCCAACTTCCCACCAATAGCCCTCTTCTTTTCTTTCTCCATTGAAAAATGCGGAATGAAGGCCGATCTCCCGAGTTTCCTGGTATGAGGACCCTTGGAATATTCTACAGTAACATAGTGCAAGTGTAAGTGGGGCGATGACGCTGTAATGATATCGTGGACCCACTTTAGCTCAGGGCAGCTCAGCTACTCAGGACAACCTCGGATTTTCAATTCTGATCATTACAACTACCTCCAGAAAACATTGCATCCTATTCAACCGATTTAATTAGATCCAATCCAATCACAATGGCCCCCAAAGTTCTCATCGTCCTCACCTCCGTCGACACCCTGCCTGCCACTGGCAAGCCCACCGGTTGGTACCTGGTAAGCCAAAGCCCAACCCCCCCAACCCCCACTATAGCCAATGCTTGATCGATCCCCAAACACATACTCTAGCTAACACAGACAATTTCAGCCCGAATTCGCCCACCCATGGTACGAACTGCACGAGAAATGTGACCTCACAATCGCCTCCCCGAAGGGCGGAAAAGCACCCCTCGACCCAGCCTCCGTCGAGCTGTTCAAGGGAGACGAGAAATCCGTCGAGTTCCACAAGACCCAGTCCGCCCTCTGGGAAAAGACAAAGGTCTTATCTGACATGAAGGCTTCTGACTTCGACGCTATCTTCTACGTCGGTGGTCACGGCCGTAAGTCTACCCCTACTATGTATCCTATACATCTTACTAACCCTCCTAACAGCAATGTTCGACCTAACAACCGACAAGACAAGCATCGCATTAATCGAAGCCTTCGCCGCAGCAAAGAAACCCATCTCAGCCGTCTGCCACGGTCCCTGCGTCTTCCTGAACACCAAAGCGCCAACCGGCGAAGCACTAATCGCCGGCAAAACCGTAACCGGATTCTCAAACCTGGAAGAGGACCAGGCGCAGCTATCCGCTGCTATGCCGTTCATGCTGGAGGACGAGCTGAATAAGATCTCCGGTGGGAAGTTTGTCAAAGCGGCTGAACCCTGGGCTGAGAAGACTGTTGTTGAGACTACGGCTGGTGTTGGTGGGGTGCTTATTACAGGCCAGAATCCTGCTTCTGCGGAGGGGGTGGGGAAGGCTTTGTTGAAGGCTTTGGGGTTGTAAATTTTGAGTATGAGTTCAAGTTGGAGATAGTAGGATAAGTAGCGACTAGATAGGTTCTTCTATCTGATTAATAAGATCAACATTTGTCTTATAATAGGTACAACAGCACACGAAAGAGTTGTGGGTTGTTGTTCAATTCATGTTTTACAAACTTAAATTTGAGTACTCGAATTCAAAGAAACAAGTATAAAATAAAATGGATTCTGTCGAACTCAACAGCGTCGATTTTCTACGCGCGGTATTCTAGTCAAGCCATGCATGAGGATCCGGCAAACCCGAAGCGAAAGATTCAGATTCAAAAGCCAAATCCAGATTCAAAGTCAAAGTCAAAGTCAAATTCAGATTCAGATTCAGATTCAGATTCACAATTGGTAGTAGCGAGCCGAAAGCTGCAAAACTGAACCAGGACTAGAACTCGGTTAAAAAGCGAAAGGGGAATAGAGCAACAAAGCAGAAGCAGAAGCAGAAGAAACAAAGATTTCAAAGCCAGATTCAGAGAAGATGGTAGGTTGGGAAAGGAAAAAGAAATATCGGATATCGGATATCTGAGACGGAGCGGACTGGAAGCCGCTGCAGCCGGCCAAGCATAAGCGCAAGCTCAAGTATCAAAGATCAAAGATCAAAAGGATCAAGGCGGGCACAAAACGGAGCGGAACGGAGCGAAGCGAAGAGAAAAGAAGCGTAAGTGGTAAATAGATGTCGCAACCAAAAGATTCCGTTAATCGTATCGCAGTATTTCGTTTGTCCCCGCTGGTCCGTCCCACGGGCTGGGGAAATAGGCGGGGGGTGGAAAGGGGATGTTTGACTGGCTCGAGACGACAAGCTACACGAAAAATCAGAGGCGTTGTGGTCGGAAAGAAGAGATGGGGTTGTGATGCGAGAGGAGCTGGGGCGAGTTGGGTATATCGGAGTACTTTCAACCCAGTAGTCGTCGCAAAAGAATAATAGGAAGCCGAGGGTGAAGAAGAAGTAGTGACATAAGGATGAAGAGAAAAAAGAGATTAAAAAATAGACAAGGGCGAAGTTCTTTGCGAGTGTAGATTTGACGTATTTATTAAGCGGTTTGGCCGGTCAATTCGGCAACGCGGGCCTTGATGCGGGCGACACGCGACTCGATAGCTGGGAATGATTAGCAATTTTGTTATGAGTTTGTTATAGCAAGGTTCGCTTACTCTCTTCGCCGCTGGTATCGCCCTCGTCAGAGCGTTCTGACTGACTGACGCGTGCCTCGGGCTCCTCACTAGGGCGGGCAGGGGCAGAGTCTGTAGCTTCGGCAGCTTGACGCTCGGCGGCGTTCTTGCGGATCTGCGCCCAGCGGTCCTCTTCAGCAGCCATGGCCTCGGCCTGAGTAGTGGTGTATTGGGACTTTTCATCGTGGCCGTTGGTTGGGGTCTGAGGGAGCTCGGAGTGAACTGGGGCTGGGGCTGGGGCAGTCGGTGTGGCCGGGGTATCAGGTACAAAGGCAGGTTGCTCTAGAAGGGGACCCTGGTCGAACTTGGAGAACTCTTGGTCGGCGGCGTTGCGCTCGTTCGTATCCACACGAGAGAGGGCATCGTACTCGACAGCATGGCGGGTCTGGGGAGGACCGCTTCCAGCAGTGTTGGCAGGGGAGATGGGAACACGAGGCTGCTCGGGAGACTCGGGGGCCTGCTGAGGAGTGGATGGTTTCTCGGGCGCCGGGGCAGGTACTGCTGGCGCAGCAGCCACGGGGGGTGCTAGGCTTCTCGGGAACGGGCTTCTTCTTCACGGCAGGCTTGGGAGGGGAGGGCGCACTGTATTCCTGAGCAGCAGCAGCCTTGGCCTCAAGGGCAGCGCGAGCAGCAGCAACAGAAGAGGTCTCCTTGGCACCGGTGCTCTTCATGGCAGGCTGCTCGGTCGTCTTCTTCTTGCTGGTGCCGAACATGTTCTTGAAGCCATTGTTACCGGTCTTCTTCTTCAGCTTCTTGTTCGACTCGTCCAAGGATTGCTTGGGTTGTGAGTCGACGGGGTCCTCGATGACGACAGTCTTCGCGTTACCCTTCTTCTCAGGCTGTGGGGTTGGCTCTTCCAAGATCTTCTTGGCCGGCTCCGGAGAGGGCGGCAGAGGCGTTGCCACGGCGGCAGGGTCCTTGGGAGGAGGAGGAGGGGGGCCATTCCTAGAAGTGGTGGGAGGAAGGGCAGCGGGGGGGTATGGTAGAGTTCTCTGTTGCAGGCTCAGCGACGGGCTCGATAGTGTCGGCAGCCTCAATAGGTTCTCCATTTCCAGAGACAGCGCCAGTACCAGCACGGATATCACTCAGGTAGGCGGTACGGTAGGCGTTCTTGTCATAGTTTTTGGTCCATTTCATGGCCGAGGAAGCTTCATTGACAATGCCCGGCTGAAGCGTCAAAACAGAGTTAGTTTTGGTGGAGAAGTTATCCCGGCCAAAGTTAACATTGTTATCTTTAGCTTCAGCCTCCTCGCGGTGCTTCCTCTGGAGGGCGGCAGCAGCAGCTTGAATGCGCTTGTGTTGATCAGGCCCAATGCTGGACTTGCTCTGAGGAGCTTGGTTGTTGGCACGTTTATACGACTCCTCAATGGGGGAAACCTTCTTGGCCGATGACTTGCGGCGGTTTAGCTTTGTGCCCTTACGGCTTCCGAAGCTGAAGAAGCTCTTCTTCTCAACGAACTGTGCGCCAGCTTCTGGCTCTGGGGCGGCACCCTTCACCTGCTCTTCCAGGACCAGCCACTTGGTCCCCCGAATGACAGTCTCGAGCAGTGCGCACCGGCCGAAGACAGCCTTGCGGGCGAGAGGCTCGTCGCTAGACAGACTGGTGATCCATACCCACCAGAACGAGTCATCCAGATCGAAGGTGTTGATGCTGGCCAACTCAGCCGGTTCCAAAGCGGGTTCGGCATCTAAATGGCGTTTGTGGGACTGGGAGCTCATGCCACGAGTGGCAGCAATTGGAGGAAGCATCTTGTCCGGGGTTAGCAGCAAGGGTGTAACATTTTGTTTCAGGTTTCCCTCATCCGCGAAGCCGGAAGACATGAAGTCTGCCCAGGATGGGGTTGTGGGACGTCCAAGGTCACCACCCTGGGACCGAGGCGAGGTCCTCAGGCTAGCTGCCGGTTCGCTCTTGGGTGGAGCTGGGGCCCTATGATCCTCATCTTCGGGATCAGAGTCAATGGCACCGCCAAATCCGATATCCTCAAATCTCGACCAGGATGCGTCGCGAAGGCTAGTGGATTGCTTCGAGCTGGAGACACTAGACTCATTCGTGGAAGAAATACATCCCAAAACACGCAGGCACTCGTCAGTCAATGCCTTGACAGGGTCCTCGTAATTGGAGAATTCCTGTAGATTCCAGTGTTCGTCGCGGTATTCAAAGTTCTTGGCACGACGGAGCAGCGAGAAAGGAGTGGGAGAGACGGTGTCAACAATCATGACAACCTTGGTCGTTGTGACTTGCAGCAGAGTCGGTGTTCGTGGGGGGGTATTCGGTCGCCTGCACAAGCGACTGCAGGGAAATGGGAAGCGAGGTAATGCCCGCGACGCCCCGTTTGAGCTCCGGGGTGAGTGAACGGAGATAAGCGAAGAAGAGATGGCTCGTGGCATCGGCAGCACTGCTCGGGTTAGTGAACTATACATGGCAGAGGGAATTGAAGGAGAAATCCATACGCAGCCCAATTTTTGTAAGAGGCCTCGAAGCCACCGCCGGTATCACTGTGCTCGAAGGCCCACCATCCAGCATAGCGGGAAAGCTTGCGTCCTCCAAGACCGTTGGATTTGCCGTGCGCCGCAATGGCAGCAAGAAGGTCGAAGAAGTCGTTGATAATGCTAGTACGGGCATCGGAGTCCACACTCAGGGGAATGAAGGTAGAGAAGGCGTCGAGGGCGTGATCCGAATCTAGATTGTGTCAGAGCATTCTTTTTTCGCTATGGCCATGGCATTCCCCACGGGGTTGTACCTTGTTCGCCAACCTTGAACAGTTCATAGGCGTCCCATGTCACGATACCTCCGGGCAATCTACTCCAACACCATTTCAAGACACTGCAAAGCACCTATTGAAGACCGATGTCAGCCATCTGTCGTATCTGATCCATTGGACTAGATTGACATGCCAATCCATCCACGGCCGGGGTATATTTCTCACCATAGGCTCATTGAGCCGTAGCTCCTGCATCAAGCCATCTCCAGCGACGGGAGCCCCTCTCTCGAAGGACTGATTGAAGTAGTTGCGAATGAAGGTGCGGGCAGCGCTGGGGTCGGAGGTCGGGCGGAAAGGTAGGAGGAGGAAAGGAACATCGAGAGCTGGACGAATGATCAGCAATCCGGGGACAATGGCAATGGCAGTGCGCGTGGTGGCCGGGGTAGCACAACCACATGGTTGGAATGGGAATGCCCACCTCGCGCCTTCAATTCCTGCGAACAGCCTCTGACGAGATCGGCCACCTCTTCGGGGGCGATTTCAGTACGTTGCCAGGCGTCGGTCCATTTTGGTCGCGCGGGGGTTGGGTCGGCGGTAGCGGTGGGCTTCGATTGTTTCTTGGTGGCACTGGAGTCCTTGCCCCGGAAGACGCGTGAGAAGAAAGGCATCTTCGGAGGGTCGGTTCGAATTGGGGTTTTTTGACTTTGACTTTGGCCTGGTGCGGTTGTCCGGACAGGGCGATCTCCGCTGTCGCGACGGCGCAGGTTTTGTTGATTTGCTTTTTTTTTTTTTTGCTGTTCTGGGGTGGAGTTTAGCCAAACAGCTTCAAATCATGGGGTCTGCGGGCCGGAGACGGGGGAAAGACGGACCAGGTAAGAATAATGAATTGAGAAACGAAGGAGGGAAGTAAAAGTTCCAAAAAGATCCGGGATGACCTGCAGCCCCGGAGCAGGCTTGGGCGAAAACTTGAAGGTAAGGAAAGGATCCCCTGTTGGGCGTAAATGGGCGGGAAAGTGGAAAGTGGAAAGGGGGGCCGCAGTCTGGAGTCAACCAGAGGATGAGAAACGAAGGACGTGGGAGAAAGGAAAAGAAATGAAAAGGGGAGGATGATGGGGTAAAAGGTCGACAGGTCGCAAAAGGCAAAGGGAAAAAGGACGACAGAAAACGGTCCCTGGTGATGGAGTTGAATCTCAGGGGTAACGGAAAGAAAAGGTTGGCACTAACCGGGTCTAGAACCCACAGATGGGGTGGGGGATAGTGTAAATGAAGTAGATCGAAAGTAATTGATAGTAGATAGTAATTGATAGTAGTAGAGTACTACTGGTATTATAATACTGTAGAGTGTAGCCAAGTAGCCAGTGGAGCCAGAGTCCAATTACTCGTGCAGAGGAGATGCGAAGTAAACAGAGTTGTGTGTGCGTGTGGAGTGGATGATGCGGGCGATCATCATCTCGTGTAGAGAGATACTGGCAGCCCGGAGAGTGAGGTATCAGTACTAGTACTAGTAGTAGTAGTTATCTACACAATCTTCGGAAAGTTGAAGTATCTACTAGTAGTACATGTAATGCTATACTGCTAGTTAATTGCAGTATACACTAGGTATACTACGAGTAGTAAGGATAGTGCTACTACAACACACTATATTGTATGAGAGTACTAGTGTACTATACACTGCAATATTGGTAGTATACTAGTGCTAGTACTCTGCTGTATTGATCGCCAATCTCCGATCGAATATAGATTACCTAGGGTTAATACTATAGATTAACTCTCGAGCTATCGACGATGTACTAGCTGCACGCCCCATCAAGATCAAGCTCAGGCCATGCCCATACTAGTGGAGGTCACGTGGTATCTACTTACTGCCCTTGGTCGAAGGATGAAAATACAATAAAATATCTAGGAATGTAGTAGTAGTAGTAGTAGTACTACTACTACTAGTTATACTCACCTTCCCTGTCGAGACTATAACACTGTCCATAGTGGAAGCAGAGCTGTCGGGGAAACAAAGGGGTGGAGCCCCACTAGGAACAATAAGGTACTAAGGTACTCCGAGTCTGATGCTGTACGGAGTACTCCGTACTACTGCATATTGCAAAGAGGAAGAAAACATCTACAAATTCAGAATCTGTTTTATTGTTAATTCTCTATTAATTACACATACTCTGTACTAGTAGTGTTGGATGCCAGTGGAAATATACTATGAATATGTACCACCAAAGGTAACTGCTAGTACTACAGAGCTTACACTCTACTGATGCTCCCTAATATCATTACCAAGGCCGAGAATATGCAGCTAAAGGTTAGAGAGAAATATCACAGTGTGATAACTCATCACACTGTGCTTGTACTAACACTACTCGAGTACAAGGTGGACCCGCTTAGTCAGATCTCCCGTTTTTCACCTCGATGGAATGATTCTAAAGATAGCATCAACCTTTTCTGCACCGTCAATCAGCCCCCCCCATATCCGCTCTCCACGGTATCGCGATCCTCTGGTTCTCTTTCTTCAGCTTTCCCTCGATCTACCTCTCTCGGGTCTTCAGGTCGCGTGGTTTACTCCCGCCTTTGCCTTTCCTCTCCCCTTTATCCCCTTTTACCGCCGCCTCCTCTCGAGTCTCCCCTCCGACCGCGCGCCAAACAAAAGTATCTCTATACACTTACCTGCATTTGTCTGATTTGCTTTTCGGGACTCGACTTCACCTCCGAGTCGCCCACTTTTGTCAAAAACGCGAAAAGTGCTGTTGAGGTGTTTCGTTTCTTCCTCGCTTACACCCCTCGGCGCGCCTTTCGTGCGCCCGTAATACCTCATCATGGGTCGCAGAAAGATTGAGATCAAAGCGATCAAGGATGACCGCAATCGCTCCGTGTATGTTTCCCGTGTCGCTCTCTCCATCTCCGACGATTATCATGATCATATATGCTAACTTGCCCCGTCTAGCACATTTTTAAAGCGAAAGGGTGGTCTCTTCAAGAAGGCGCATGAACTCGCTGTCCTTTGTTCCGTCGATGTTGCCGTGATTATCTTTGCCCAGAACAAGAAGTTGTACGAGTACTCCTCATCTGACATGCCAGAGGCCCTCGCCCGCTATCAATACGTGAGTATATTCGGTCTTGCCCATCCGGGCGCATAGCTGCATCGGCTGACTTCTTGTCTTTTTTTCAGTACGGCCCTCCCCACGAACACAAAGGCCCCGAAGATTTCGCGGGTAAGCGCGACGATGACGATGAAGAGGATGAAATGACCCCCGCGCCAGAGGATCTCCAGGCAGTTCAGCAAAGTCATGCCGCCGTTCCGCCACATCTTCACCAGACGGGTTTCCAGCATGTCAACCACGCCCCCTCCGCCTCTCCTCCAATTCCCAACGGACTGCCGCCGCGACATGGCACGCCCCAATCACAAAGTCTCTCGCGCCCTTCATCAAGAAACCATATTCGCCGTGTTAGCTCCAATCTGGGTCCGCATCAACATGGAACCCCGCCACCACCTCCCCCTGCTCCCCAAAATGGCTTTGCATACATGCCCAACCCCTCCATGTATAATCCAAATATCCATTCGGCAATGGGCCAGCCACGTCCTGGCCAATATCCAGGATACGGTCATCCTCCACCGGGTCCGCAGGGGACACCACCTCAGACGATTCATCACCCACATGGCCTTCCCCCTCAGCACGGCATGCCCCCTCAGCAGATGCAGCCTCATCAAGGTCCCCAGCAATTCCAACATCCACATGCTGTAGCGCCGCAGCCTATGGGCATGCCACCAGTATCTCATGCACCGGTTCAACAGGTCGCCCAAGCATTCATACCAGAGCAAGGCCGGGCATCGATACCACCAACATATGCACCCGAGAACCAGCAGGAACGCACAGTGCCGGTTTCTGAGAGCTCGCAAGATCCCCCATCTGGTGGACTGAAAGCGGAACATAGTCCACCTCAACCAAAATCTTTGTCTAAATCTCGCAGCATCTTCACACCCATTGATGATCGTGGATCCATGCTCGCTCGACATTTTGGAGGAGCCCCGATGTATGAGCCTCCGCGAGGGGAACAAAAAATGGAGACCTCTCAGGAAAATTCACCCAACTTGAAGCCTCCGTCTATTCCCTTGATGAGCGCAGCATCAGAAACCCCGCGTCCACCAGCCATGTCCTCGACGCCAGATATCAAGCCCCCGTCGCGAACCAACAGTGGTGCACTCACGTCCAAAAGGCCCCAATTAAAGGTGCAGATTCCAAGCGAGCATTCTGATCAAGGAAGTGCAACAGCGGGGTCATCTTCCCGGGACTCCGCTGGGAATAATACTGGGACCCCCGCCAAGGACAACCCCCAGACAGGCGTAGTATTACCGCCTCCATCTCCTTCAGCGGGGGCAATACTCAGCGCTGGCGCCCAGGGACCTCCCAATCCATTTGCTCGACCCCCGCCTCCAGTCGCTGCCTCACAGAATAACACATACGGCAACAGAGGCGCCACAAATAACAACGGAAGCAATTCGAACAACATTGAGACACCCCTCTCCGCCCTCCCCAGTCGATACATGTCAGATCATCTCCTTCCTTCGCCATCCAGCTTTTTCTCCGAATGGGGTCTCGGCAGATCGGGCCCGGACTCCAACTTGCTCCCCAGTCCTCTCAGTTTCCCTACTCCAGCGGTGCAAAGCGGTCCTAGTTTCGTCAGCCAAGATGAACAGGATAAAAAGCGCAAGAGCCCTGATAGTGGGTCCACGGAAGAAGGGGCGAGCAAAAAACCAAAAACATAAACACTACCGAGTGCTCGATTAGCTTGCGTTCACATGTCAAGTTCCCTTGTACATCTGGATGTTTCCAACACATGTTTTGATATCCTGGTTTGATAACCCGAGATCTAGTTCCGCCTACGATGCTTCTATCTCTTGAATCCCTTTTTCCTATCTGGTTGAGTTCAGGGTCTGCTTGCTCTTTATACCCCAGTTCTATACCATCTCTCAATTTCTTTCCTTGAAATATTTTTTCTCCTGATGATATTCTATGTTCTATGGTTTCCTTCGATCGGTACACCGGATCAGTCAATCATCTATTCCTTTCCTTTCCTGATTATCTCTTTTATTTGTTCCCTTATCTTATTGTGTATTGAAGTGTGTGAAGTTTTTATTTTTATTGAATTGGACCGGGCGGTACCTCTGCACGTTTTGGACGGTGTATATACAGACCTTGTTACTATGGACAGCAATGTCAAGTTTTCCGCCATGCAATTTCCCAAAATGTAACTCATACTAATGTTGAAGGTCCCTTGTAATCGACCAATGGTCCATCCTAGTAGTTACTTGAATACACTGCTTTAATGGACTGCGGGGTGGCATGTCACACTACATTTCAACCCTCCAGGGCTACCGCAACCTCACTCGCGTCTAGAATAGCATTGCTCCAGCCAATCAATCAGCCCAACAGCTTCAACTTGAATCTTGAAAACCAGACCTCGCATTACCCCGCAGGAAATCCCACATTCAACCTTGCCAGTCATCTCAATCGAGCCAAGTCCATTAGTAGAAGCACGTTGCTGCTGCTTTTCCCCGCAGGACAAGTGTATTCGGTGATTGGAATGCAGGGAAGTGGGGCGAAACAAAAGCCGAGAGCCGAGCGTAAGGTTGTATATAAAGCGTCAAGGCAAAGCTATCCTGGAAACCTATACCTTCCACATCTCTGCGATTCCACCAAGGTCCCTAATACTAGTACTAGTCCCCAGTGAAGCTTATTCTCTTCCAATTATTCGACATAATGGTTCTCAACGGTAGTTGCATGTGTGGCGGTGTCCACTACGCTGTTCAAGGTATGTCACAATTGCCCTTTTTGTCATTCTCTCCCCATGCGGGGTCGATGGTCCCGTTTTTTAACATTGACGTAGCGGAGGAATACATGAGTGCTCTCTGCCACTGCACTGATTGCCAGAAGGTACCTTAACCTAGCCATCCATTCCATACTCGATCTTATTTCCCACGCAACTTGAAACAAAATACTCATGTAGCACAGTGGACCGGAGGCGCATTCACCTCCAACGCCGTCGTCCCGCGCACCAGCTTCAAGCTCACCAAGGGTAAGCCCAGCAACCTTCCATCCCGATTCCGTAGTGATGACTGAATGCGGGAGATAAAAGCCTTGGAAGACGTTGACTGAACCCTACTCACGCTAAATAGGAACATGCACCTCCTATGATGCCAAGGGTGCTAGCGGCAAGATCAACAAGCACTTCTTCTGCCCGACCTGCGGCTCGGGAATTTACACCGAGCTTGAGATTATGCCTGATATGACCTGCGTCAAGGCCGGGACCCTGGATAACAAGGGTGTTGAGTTGAATGGCAAGATTGATGTTGAGCTTTACGTTAAGGATCGTACTGGGTACCTCTCTGCTGTGGAGGGTGCTAAGCAGGCGCAGACTATGGAGTAGAGGACCCAATCGCATCAAGTGGTGTTAAGCATGTTCAAGTTGGAGGTTCTGTTGGGGTATTCGGGGTTTGGCGTGGGGTTGAGGTGGAGCAGAGGCCGATTAACTATCCTGTGAGGGGGGGCAGAGACATGAGAAAATGAATACAAGATTACGTGATCAGATATGGTTACGCGTAGATATATTGTGAATGGTTGGAATAAGCATAGCGCATTAATTAATAGCTCCTAGTACTCGTAACTAGAAAGTGCCGAGTCCGGGGACAAGGGAGGATACATACTGCTTTAGGCGTTCTGACTCCACTTTATTCTTCGCCGCCGAATTTTCCGCTGCTAGCCGCCTGATGAACTGTGAATATACGAGCTATCATTAAACTTTCGACTGCGCTGACTCACCAATCAATCTTACATCGAAGATCCTGACGTATATGCAGCATCAATCAAAAGCCTTACTCCGTATAAAGATAGCATTTGGCTCTCACGTATCCCAAATCTCCAGAATCGCAAACTGATCGCGGTCAGAGTTTGCTGTTCCACCAAAGATCAGCTTTCCTTCACAGAGACAAAGTCACCTCCTCCAAGATGGAAGATCAACATAATGACATGATTGTCTCGCAACGCGCCAAATTGGCCTCGGACACCACGGCCCAGAATCCGATGTGGGACATCTTCAGCAATGTCTGGTGCCCATCCACCAACCCGGGAGGCTACGTCAACGTCGGGGTAGCAGAGAACGCCCTGATGCACGATGAGCTCCTGAAATTCTTGAACAATAAGCTCGAACTACCCGCCAAATATCTCACCTACAACGACGGGGGTGGCGGTTCCATCCGGCTCCGACGTGCGATGTGCCAATTTCTCAATCGGCATTTAAAACCATTCACGCCGCTGGATCCGGATCACTTACTAGTGACGAATGGAGTTTCCTCTGCCATCGAGCACGTATCCTGGGCATTCGCTGACCCCGGCGAAGGGATTCTACTTGGCAGACCTTACTACGGAACCTTTATAATGGATATCTCAATGCGGTTCGGCGGCGAGGTTGTACCCGTGAATTTCGACGAAGTCGATCCCGTGAGCACCCAAGCCGTGGCGAAATACGAACAAGCTCTCCTAGAATTCCAGCAAAAAACGGGCAAACGGGTTCGTGGACTTATGCTCTGCCACCCGCATAACCCGCTTGGTCGGTGCTATTCACGCGAAACAATGATCGAATTGATGCGACTTTGTCAGAAGTATCGCATCAACCTTATCAGCGACGAGATATATGCACTATCAGTCTGGGAAAATACTGTTGACGAGAAGGATAATCCTCCGCCTGTTAAGTTCGAGTCTGCCCTTTCGATTGATACAAGCGGTATCATTGACCCGCAACTCGTCCATGTACTCTGGGGAATGAGCAAAGACTTCGGCGCCAATGGGATTCGTCTCGGCGTTATTATTTCTCAGACTAATCGGGATGTACAACAGGCGTTGAAGGGCGTCTCGTTGTATACCTATCCCTCGGGAATTTCGGACCACCTGGCCGCGCTGTTGTTAGAAGACTCTCAGTTCACGGAGTCTTATATCAAGGAGAATCAGCTCAGACTTGCGGATTCGTATGCGTATACGGTGCGATTTCTGAAGGGTCATGGTATCGAGCATGCGCCAGGGTGCAATGCTGCTTTTTTCCTGTGGGTAAATCTGGGCAAGACTTATAAAAAATTACACCCCGGAATTTTGGAGTCGGAAGAAGTAGGCGACAAAGTTATGGATTTACTGTTGAGCCGCAGGGTTTTCTTAGCCAGTGGTACTTTGTTCGGGGCGGAGAGGGACGGCTGGTTTAGAATTGTCTTTTCGCAGCATAGGGGGCATTTGGAGGAGGCTTTGAAGAGGATAGTTGTGGCTTTGAATGATTAGGGAGGGTCTGGGCTAGTAATTGTCGTGATATTAGTACCTTTTTTTACGAATTGGAAAATTGATCTCCCCGCGCGCTTGTCGAGAGGGGTTTACATTCCTGCATGATATTTACAACTGTTTTGAATTCTAGATCGTAGTTTCTTCTACGAATTTCAATTCTCATACACAAGGTCCCCCTGAACACATACTGGTCCTACTTGCCTTTGGCCGAGATCCGTTCGGCAACAAGATACTAGTAGTTTGTACTTGAGAGGGGTACATATCCTCACACGTCATTTAATTGTTGGGACTGAGCCACATCAGGCCATCTTGGCAGCGATCAATGCACGGGAATTTGAGCAAATCAAGAAAGATAAGAGCATTGCTCCGTCAGTGCTTATGCCAAGCCATGACTTGGCCACACTAAACCAAGCGTGGCACAGACACCTCCTTTCTTCGCCAAGTGAGCGCGAGCGTTCGAGAAAATATCAATGGATAGCATGGGCAGGCAAAAATATCGCCCGGCTGCCAAATTCAACTCGCAGAATATAGAAGAAGAGCCAGTGGAAGAAGCTTGCCGAATCATCAGTAGTTATAACAGTAAGCGCCTTTGTGGAGCCTCATTTTGTGGCGTTTTTAGTTTGGGAGGCCTTGTCTTGAACGACGCGCCACTTTGATCAATCTCCTACTCGTACATCTACTCCGTGATATCGAGCTCGTTAAACGGCGAAGGATGGTTTATGAATGTGCTGAATTCTCCATAAACGGGGTGGACCTTGACTCCTTACATTTTTCGGGTATCACGCCGCGACAATTTTCAAATGGATTTGTGGGCCTTTGAATACGGAGATATCATCCATATGTTCAAAACAGAAAAAGAGACGAGGGCAGTTTCCCTTTCCAAACTTGCAGGCGCTAACCACTAGCGACATGATTCGTGTGGTTTTTCCGCAAACCCTGACCGAATCCATCGAATGATCAACATCCCAACCCCCAAATTTTTGGCCCCCAGTATTAGCTGAAGAACATGGCCACTGATGTCAATCAGTTGCCTTGAAAATGCCATTAGGGGCCCAATGTCCCGCTTATATTCGAGCAAATGCTCCACCACGTGCCTTAACAGGGCCTCTGCTTATTATTTACCCTCAGAATCCGCCCCCTCTCTCCACAACCTTGTTATTCCTTCTTTTTCATATCGACATGGTGATCTCCCCAAGGACGAGGCTATGGCCTGTCCTAATTTCACTCCTATTATGGACAGCTTCAGCTTTCGCTGACGATCGCAAATGCTACAATCCCGACTCATCCCAGGCTAAGGCCGATGTACCTTGTACAGATGATGATAACACGTTCTGCTGCAACAAAGGGGATATATGCATGTCCAATGGGCTATGTTATCTCCAGCAATCATCAGGATTCGCACTATCCCGCCCAAGCTGTACAGATCTAAGCTGGAGCTCATGCGGCTCATATAAATACTGTTGTAAGAACCTACCCAAAGAGAGACCTTGATCCCACTCTACTCTACCAGAGCACAGCAGGTACTGATATACTAATGGCTCCCAGTTGATTACAACCAAAACTCAGGATTCCCAATCGTCGCCGCGAATTATGCCGGAAATAAAACAAAACACTGCTGCGGCACAGCCTCCTATGACAACGGCACCGTCACCTGCCCGATGAAGTCAGTGTCCGTGCCATACGGAACTGCGATCCCAGGCGTCGCTGGACTAGCGGTTAGCTCAACAAGCACAAACTCCTCCAACTCCTCCGACTCATCGTGCTCTTCCAATTCAGGATCCAGTTCTGGATCTAGTTCATCTTCTTCTCGAGATACGGCAATCGGCGCAGGCGTCGGCGTCCCGCTTGGCGTGATTGCTATTGGATCTTTGATATGGGCTTTCTGGGAGCGAAGGGGTCGAATGAGGGCTCTTGCTGCAGCTGGCACAAGTCAAGGGACTGGTCAGCCTTATCAACAGATGGCGTACCGTGCGCCGCCTGTTGAGCTACAAGCACCCGAGGTGGAGTTGGACGGATCTACTGCGGCGACTGAGATTGGGAGTGATGGCCACCCAAAACCTAATAGGATGCCCGTGGACTAGAAAAATTACACCAATATATTTTTAAATCTCAACCCGTGAATGGGAAGTATCAGTGATGGAAGATAATGTGAATGGCGATTCGGCAATGATCAATCTTTATTCTAATAGATCTGGCAATGGTATCTATAACCTGCTTTTCATTCATGTATCCAGAATAAAATGTTGAATCTGGATGTCCATCCATAGTAGTTTATCGAAGCGTAACGGAATAGCGAGAATGATGTTTCCACCATACACCTTTACCGTCGAAGTGGGGTTTAATCCACATGGCAATCTAGACCAAGAGGCAAATCACGGGGAATGGGAATAACGGGGCACCCTTACATATTATTTTGGGTATGAAAGGCTCCTTCGTTATTGTTGCGAAGAAATTGGATAATGCATTAGTTCTAATAACCAGACTAGCATGGTATTACTAGTAGTCATCGTCTACTTATAAAGTACTCTATAAGGCCTGAATAATGCATTATTGATAAGAGAGATCAACTCATTTCACGGCAACCCCATCTAATAACGCGCTTGCGGTCTTTTCACATAGTGTGTCTTGCATAACCGATAGTCCTAACGATAGCGATCTCGTATATGCAATATCGGTGTAATCACGATAATCCGGGAAGTTATGGATCAAGTATGATTCACACGTCACTCTTCACCTTTGTTACAACCCAGCATGAGATGGCTGGTCTCTAAACCGTAGTGTATAGCGTTCCTTGCCTCAACGGAAATCGTGATATCCATAGCCTCCCTGAGAGCGGCCATTTCAGGCCCAGCCGCCATAGCCACGAACATTTCCAAACCCTCCTCAACCTCCTGCGTAATCTCGCAGGCTAGCTCTGTTTCGTAACTTTCCTGATAGTTTGCAGTCACTTGCATCCTTTCTAGTGCCACGCCCTTGTCCCAGTTATTACCGAATTCGAGCGTGAGTTGCCCTGGCACCCTGAAGAACGGGTAATAGAACTCTAAATTTTCATGAGGTTCTTCACGCAAGATCTTTTCCCAGGTCAAGGAATTGGCAGTCGCATGCGCGAATCGATATGCCATAGCCCAGAGCCATGTCTGCAGATTATCCACAGTGTACAGGGAGGATGTAATAGCAACCTCTAGTTTTCCAGAAGTGTCAATGCCCCCGATGTACTCCTGGGAACCAGTGTCCCAAGGCGAAACGCTGAATGTTTCTGCGGCACAGGCATAGTAGGTTGCCGTCTCGGTGACCTTCGTCATCGAGCCAATTGCACCACCCGGGAGAGTGGCAAATGTGCTCAAAGACAGCGCGGCAGTGCTTGTAACTGTACTGGAGATAGTAGTGGCGCATGCACTGCTAAAAGCCGTGTAGAAACTGAAGGCTAGCGAGTTCGCGAAGGCAGTAGCATTGTAGCCGTCTGTTGACGGCGACCGCAGGTACATTGATGTGAAGTATCCTGGGTTGCCATATGTGACTGGACTCGTGATTGCGGGCCAGACTGTTGTGGTAGAAGTCACACCCGTTGAAACAGAGTCCGTCGACGTGGAGCCTGCACACATCGTTGCAGTTCCGACGGTTATCCCTTGAAACTCGGACAAAGTTGACGACGCGCAGTGGATAAGGGCACCGTCTGATAGCTGATAGTAACTGAAAGGTATCTCGCTAGTTGATGAGGTGGTAGACGGAGCCGTGGTCAACGTCCACGTGGGCGGAATGGTCGTTGGGCAATTCCCCTGGCGGTTGTCGGTGATGTGTGTTGTGAAGTCATTTGTGCAGGTACAGAAGTATCCAGGAGTAGCTGGGTCTTCTGAGATACCGCAATCTGGCGACTTTTCTGGAGCCGCGCTCGAAACAGCTTTTCGTATCAATTGAATCAGCGTAAGTCATATAAAGAAGGACTTCTTGGTCTCACATGTGGATTTATGCTTTGGGCGACATGTTTTGCCTCGATGGTTTGTGGGTGTGGGTGTAGGCGTGGGTGTGGGTTTGGCTGTGGCTTTGAAAAGGATTAACCATCGCACAACAGAAAGCATATGATGTGTACTTGGGTGTAAGTACCTGGAGCTGATGCCAATAAAGGTGTCGATGCTGCTCTGGCCTCATTTCTTCCAGGCAAAGCCAAGGCTATGATTGGTAACTGCAGTAAATACCAGAGGAGTTTCATATTGAATGACACTTGGAAAATGATACAGATGGGATGAGATGAGGACCGAAACGAGGAATATTAGACTTCTTAAAGAAGCGCGGTAAGCAGTGAGTGTTCCAATATTAGAAGTCTCTTTTAGAATATATGCCCATATAGGTATAGTACACGAGGTCCGCAGTAGAGTTCGATCCGGGACTTGGGCCCCTGAAAGCCTCGTGCGCCCCCACTGACGCGGTCTTTCCGCGGCTGAGGTATGTCTAGGTAATCTCTGAGACGAAATTGGAAGGTTGTTCAATTTCCAATTACGGGGCTAGAGGAACATCGAGCAATACCCCCTGGAGACCTTCGCTAAAGAATTGGGTCTCCAGTTTGAACATGCGTACATCGAGACCCACATACTCAATGGGCTCTTGTACGAAGTACAGATAGATGCATTGCTTACTTCCGTTTGTAGAAATTGATTAACAATTGAAGTAATGAGGATTCCGAATGCCACTGAGGATCCAGAAACTGCCTCTTCTTCAGTGATGATTGGACCGTCAACCTTTAATTCATTTCCACATACCCAGGGCAATAAGCCGCTGCCTAGCCACAACTAGAAACCCTTTTGCTAATCTTATTTGCTCCGTCTGCTGTCTCATCTATGAGTTCGCGAGCCTTGAACCAAACACCTTGTTATCTTCGGGTACCTGTTGCACGCTCGGTCCTTGAAGGTCAGGAACCTGCCTTGCGGGATATGCTACGAGCTCTGCCGATTTTGGCCTAAATGTGTGATTTTTGTCATCTCAGCAGAGCAATTGAAACTCTGAATATGACCTCGTTGCAACCTGGGTTTTTGGCCCCAGAAAGAGGGTCTCTTCATGATCTTTGATCCACTCCGTTCTGGGCCTAGGTTTCCGTTTCGGTCCCCAAGGCTAAGCATGCTTATGCTTCAGAGCAGCAATCTTTCGGGCAGAGTTGTTCGTGAAATCACGGAATAAGCAAGGTGCTCCAGTAGAAAGATTCATGGTGGGACTCATGATCTAGTCCCAGGGGCTGAAAATCGGATACTATTAAGCTTCCGTCAAGCTTCCGTCAAGGCTTTCTTAGTGGGGGCCGGGCCGCGGGGGGCCAGGCTTATGCAGGGGCGACATAGTGCTTATTTTCAGCTACAAGATCAACAACTCAGCAAGCGGAATTACAATCAAAGAAGGATGGAAATTCGGAGGCTCTCATTCGCTTGGAGCGTATCTCCTTGAGTGGAGAATAACTCCATCAAGAAAGGACTAGATTCGCCGAATTTGTATAGTAGTTCTAGACTCTAGCAGAAATCGACCTCGAGAGACCGCGGCATAAGGCCCACCAAATGAAAGATAGCGCACGATAGTTTGTCGAATAGAGGGTTATATTTCAGAATACACACACGGTCTTGATAAGATTTGACTTTGGCCCCCATCAATTTACAAGAATTCACTTTATGATTAGTTACAGAGTCGTATCACAAAACGTTATTGGTCTGACAATGGGGGCCAAGAGGGCTAAGAGGGCCCCCTGGGACGCCTTGAAACTGTTCCTGTGCCGCTTCCCGCACTTCAGCACGCGAGAAGGAGATCATGTCTGTATACAGACACGGAGTAGTATTTGTCAAGTGCTGATTTTCCTAACTATATTCCAAGAATCTCCTATGTATCACACAGCCCCTCGATAAAGAAAGCTTTATTTTATAGCAATCCTAGGTTCCATGCTCCTCCATTCATTCTGACATCTCATCCATCAACATCACACTTGTTTTGCTATAGACATGGGCTCTGGATACTCTAGAGCGGCCATATTGGCCCTATTTTGGCAGACCTTGTTTATTGCCAACATTCCAAATCCTGCTCATGGACTTGTCCTGAGGGCAGACTACGACCATGGGGAGCTCATAACGGTTGCTCACAAAAGAGCTGACGATACTCAGACTGGCGAGGACTGGATTGATCTGCCAGGAAAGCCTGGATTCAGATTGCATCCTAACTGCAAAGGATACATGGATAGCGGCGACAGCTCTAGCTCCAGCTCTGGCTCCAGCTCTGGCTCTGACGCTATCTCTGAAGCCACTTTCTCATGGTTCAGCACGACCCTTGGTAATGTGCTCCATATCGTGAGTGATTCTGTGATCTTCAAGTTATAAAGGAATCGTTATCGGAGTACTAAATAGTATTCAGAATAAAGCCGCACAAGGCGCTATTCCAACCCTCAATGGAATTTTGGATGGACCTGAAGCAGGAGACAGTGAAGGCAGTGATGGGACCGACTTGACTGATAGCCAAAAGGCGCAGATTGAACTCTATGGGAAGATGTATGGTGAAGTTAATCTAAATGACGAGGCTTCTGTCAAAAGAGCCAAAGACCGAGTTAAAAAATTGGGAGGTAAGTGGACTGATGAAGATGAATGATCTTGTCGCAAGGTATTAGACACTAATATCCATATTTAGACTTTGCGGACGAGTTTGTCGACGGTCTGGATTCCAACACCTTCAAGTCAGATATAATCTGCGATCACACGCTCTGGAAAACTGTGAAGCACGATGGTAAAGGTAAGATTGGCACCCTGGTCCTCAATCCACCATGGCAAAAGATAATTTAATTCTGATCTACAACTCTTACAGATGTATTTACACTTGAGAACGAGCCGAATTGTCCATATTTCAGGCAGAAAGGCACTCAGAGTGACCCATGCACGAGTGCCTCGAGCAATGAGAAAACCGTGATGGGATTTTCGGCAAAAACCAAAGATAACTCAAGGAACTACCTCACGATTTGCCCTAAGGCGTGGGAGTCGTTCACGAGCCATAATCCCTATGGTGACAGCATTGTAGACTGGAACCAGAAAGGGCTTGGTGAAGATTTTGGCTCTGGGGGTATGGAAGGTAAAAGTTTGGAGTCAATTGTCAGAGTCTCGCCTGAAGGCCTTTTTACACACGAGTTGTCTCACTCTCAATCTAAATTTGGCGAGGACGGCAGAATGCGTATGTATAATTCCCTCATAAACTAGGAGTCCTGAGCAACTGGCTAATATAGGAAACCTTCCTTTGTCTCTTCAGTCGACATCAAACTGAAGGGCGGAAAAATGAAATCGGCATATGGCTGGGAAAATGTTGTCGAACTTGGCGAACAGGATCAAAATGAAGACGACGTGAGCAAAGTTCAGGCGCTCAAGAATGCCGGTAATGTTGAGATGTACAAAGATATTTTCTCATTTGTCTAACTTTAATTTCTTGCCAGAAACCTACGAGTTTTGGGTTGGAGGTGAGTGATTCCTAGCCAAAGCAGTTTATTGGAGTTACACTAACCAAATTTTCCTAGGTGCATACTTGAGCGTTTGCAATTGGTCAACTGGAGTCTGCTTCGATCCCGCTGATGATTCGGATTGCTCAATAGACATGTCCTGATTCCATTCTTGTCGTTCGTCATATAAAATCTTCTTAGGAGGCTACTAAATGAATGGCAAAAATAGGCTTCCTTGGTGTGTTCTCTCCTTGGTACAGCACATGCAATACATTAATTTAATGCATCATCAATTGCGGAAAGTCGCTCAGGTTTTGTGTACTATATTTTCCGTGGATTGCAACTTGAATGAATGGTCTTTGATGTAGGGCTGTACAATACTCCTATCACTGTGATTGCTGTCGTGAGTTCAAGGGTCTGTATACCCTGCATAATCGGTCGAAATCAAGCTCACGTAATGGTCTTATTTGTAAAGAAATAACAGCCGATTGCGCAATTACTGTTAGTTTGACTGGGCCTCAAACAGTCACCAAGTTTAGATTTTACTTTCAGCTTCAAAACACAGAGACTGCTTCTATAGAATAGGATACTTATCAGTCACTAGGGGTGCTTTGATGAATTATACACGCGGCTCATGTAGCCCTTTGGGCTGATCAAGCTTCGTGCATATTTCCCTCTCTCTGAACTTGAACTGGCCATCATAGCACATGATTTGCATGTACATTGGATATTTATTTGTAGCTTCCTTCTATGAGTAAATCCAAACTTCAATTAGTTCGTGCTCCGAGTTCAGATTTCTCGCAGACTATGATGCATCCAGTTCCCATATATCTGGGTCCACGAGTCCCGTTGACGAGGGCCTTTCATCAGTATCATGGTCATTCGAACGTGGGTGAGTCGAATCGGAATGCTGAGGCAGCTTTGATTTGAACCATTCTATCAATGTAAATGAGAACGATGATTAATTTCTTCGAATTAAGTTGGTGACTCACCTTGATTTCTTACTGCCACATTATCACGATATTCGCCCGTTACTACTACCGTCAAGTGACTCATCCATTCGCGGAACGAGATCTCGGCTACTTCGGCATCGAAGCGAGCGGACTCGACCTTTTGGCTTCCATCGCCATGTCTTATCCAAAAGACTCTCGCGCCCTTATAATCAAGATTTTTCACTTCAAATGTTTGGAGCGAGAGCTCGTTTCCAAGAAGGTCCCAAACATGTTGCCAAGAAACACTCATCCTATCCAGAGGAGACTGGATGTTTCCGACAGACGTTTGATCTGTCACAGGATGACTATCGTGGCTCATCGTAACAAATTCAAGCGTGAGGGTACCTAAGGTTGCCTTCGCTGTGTTTAAAAACGATTTCAAGGACTTGTATTCGATTTCGACCCAATGAAGATGGAGTTTTTTCAGCTGCGTAAAATTGATGCTTTGAGCAATTTCCAAGAAGTGGTGGTGCACCGTGTCCCATCGGTATTTCGACTTTCTCCATTGTGAAAATACGAGTGTTTTCAGCCTAGGGGCAATTTTGATCAGGAGATCGACAGTGTTGGCTCTGGCGTATGTTTTATTATCTGATCTCGATCTGCCACCAGAAATGCACATATGTAGATACTCGAGGCTGCTTAGGTTCAGGAGAAGGGTATTGTATTCCACCTGGGCTAGGGAAAGATTTAGAGGTATCCCGCCACAAAAATCCGTACTACACGTATGTAGCTCTCTGGGTTTGAATGGGTTATTAGCACCCGCGAGTGCTTGGACGAGTCTATACATGGCCAGAGAGGTGGGTTTGGCATTGAGTTTGGATTCCAGGGAATATAAGTGCAAAGGACGGAACTCCAAGTCCATTTGACCCCTGAGCCGGCGCAAACCTAGACATCGAACTTCATTCTGCCGTGGGTCCAGTAGAAATGATGTTGTATAATGTTGCAATCCAATAGATTCCAGGTTGCTAAAGCGAGCGAAGCATCTCTGAAGTCTGGTGCTGAAGTCTTCTGACCCAAGAAGCGCACGATTATCTGCCACTGTAGCTTGATATATGGCGTAGCGAGCTTCTAGCTCTTTACCCTCTAGCTGTCGGTCATATTTTGACGACATTGCATAGTGAGACGTCTCAAATGCAGGAGGTTCGATGTTGTGACGACCTTCAAAGACGGTCGGTACCATCCATAACTTTCGAACACTTGCTTGAATGGTCTTGTTTGAAGCTAAGTCTTCTAGTTCACGAAGACTGTCACTTGTGGCGATGAAGCGGATGCTTCTAAAATATCGATCTGTGAAGGCGTCTAAGGATGAGAAATATAGCCAAGTGCATGTCAACCTGAGCGCAGCCCATTCCGGTCGCTCGAGGTAACTGCAGACCCTAGTCACAAGTTCGACTGGGAGTGTCGTGATGGACATACTAGTATTGACATGATCTTTGGAAAGTAAATGGAAGTGATGTGATGATCTGGCCGATATCTACTGGCTTATCTAACGTAACACGTGACCCAACACCTTGAAGGTGAATCATGGCCCCCCCTTGCCTAGCATTCCGAGGTTGACACAGCTTAAAGCTCAGAGTCTAAATTCCATATAATCAGGATCAAAAGCGAATGGGTGAACCCTACCTGTAATTTTGTGCTTTGTGAAATGACCAGCCTCGGACAATTCCTCAGTGAGCTCGAGACGAAGATCTGAAGTTTGAGAAACGTAGAGAGATTCTGTGTTGAATCGAAATTATAGCCCCACCGATCCTGCTAATCCGACAGACGTTTTCTTCTCCTCCGTCGGGATCCAGGCTGTAGATCGATCTCTTCCTGCATGCAAGGGTTGCAGGGAGGTTTATAGGTCTGATGATAGCATTAGTATCTGGCTGACCTTCGTGTTGAATTGCCAGCCATTCTCTACTAGACTGTGGGCGTCAATATCGAATGTCACATCTGTTTGTTCTCCTAGAATATCGTGAACTAAATTCAGAGTAGTGCGCTCGACATCTTGTGTAAGTCTGTCGCGGAATACAAGGCTGTTGGCTCAGGAGGATAAGGCGGCGAGGACACCGATATACACTTGAAGAGAAAGCTGCATGGTGTCTGGGGTGTTTGATAGATTGTTGATTTTGTGTAGGTTTATTTCTGGGGATTTGGGAGGGGAAGTGGATTTATTTATTTCCAAATCAGCCATCGTTTGAATACATTCAATCAATATAATACATGCAGGTTTTCAATATTCATGTATGTAGATCATTGTTCCCACCTGGAGAAATTTTGTCTGGACCAATCGTAGCTTAAGTGGGGCTATAAGACGCAGGTAGCACAGCTGAGAACTTAGAACAATTCTTGCCATTGGTTACACCGCATAATTCTGAGACCAGAGGGCTAAGGTCGCACAGGCAACACCAGTTCACACTGCTATGTTTTCTGTAGTAATTTGATAGCCTCAGCTAGCCATCCATCCTACATGTGTTTCCTCAATGGATCATGATCGTCTCTCTCTCATAAAGCCCAACCCATCTGACTCAAATTACATCACGCGAATGATTCCTTGTTCTGGATACTGCCCCTCCAGGAAATACTAGTAGTATGCCTGCACTGTCGTCCGACAGAATCCCGTACATACAGTACTGTTTGGCTGTAAAGGATGCGCTTAGCAATATTTATCCCGTCAGGTCAGCCCCGTAGGTGTAAGGTTGCTGTGTCTGTATATTTCAATGCAAGCTTTCCAATTTTGACATTCCATCAGATAAAAATATTTCGATATTCAGTGTTCAATTTGAGTTGAGGATATCTGGAATAATATGAGATATCAATTGCCGAGCTACGTGAGTGACAACTGTACCACCCCCCCCACCCATTTCGGATGGAATCATGGATCCATGAATCATGATCCTAACCATTTTGAATCCAGGATCTATTTTCAAGCCTTTCGGATCAGCGGGGAACTCATATTTGAGTCAATCCCTTTGCCACCCTCCACGTTCGAAACAAAGCATGAGGCTGCACGGAGTATTCCATGTCGCACTACCACAGCTGAAATCTGTGTCATGTTGATGGAAAAAAATCACTAGATGTTGGCTCCTCAACGCGAGGGCCCTCACTAATATCGTTGGGCGATGTCAAGGCGTTAGCTTGACCGAGGTTCTGGAGAGGGGAAACTATTGAAATTGTCGCGTGGTCGGGTGGGGACCGAGCGCAAAGGAAAGGTTTTCTCTATAAGAACAATGCGATCAGTGTGATCAGTGTGAACGGATAAGGTGATTCCTCCGGCCGATAGCCCGGTAGTGCTCAAGCTAAACGAACAGGGAGTGGAACCAGACTAAGAAAGTTTCAGACCAGTGCGGGCGCTCCGATGAGCTCTTGGCAATAGTTGGCGATGGTTAGCGAGGGGCTTGCCACATGGGAGCTGGAGCGGATTGGATGGAGACTCAGATCTTGATCTTGATTGAATGCTTGGTCATAAAATCGTGACACCGAATTACTTTATCCGCCCCATTTTTTCTCTCTCTTTTTGGACGAGGCTGGTCTGAGGCAACCCATAGAATGACCAATGCTATGCGCCCATCGCTTATACAGATTGGTTCTTTTCAACTCCAGCAAATTGTATTCATTTAACTGATCCTACCTTTCAAACGCCACAGGGGCACGGCAATTCTCGAAGCCGAAAACGAGTTAGTTAATAGGTGGCGGTTAGCGAATCCAAGGGTTCTGACCGGCGAGTTCAATGGTAGGGCTCCACTTGATCGAACCACGAATCTGATGAACTTGCCATCAAGCATTGCCATCCTATGGTTAGATTGATTCTCGGGCAATCTACCCCACTTGAAATTCGAATTCCTCGTGGCCGCGCTCCGCCGGACGCCGAAATCTGGGTCTCACTTATTCATATATGCGAACGGTCTGCTGCTAAATATGGCCCTCCTGCCGACCTGTGATTTTTCCACTACAACTCCGCCCTGATGAGCTTACAGGAACGATTTCCAGCATATGGAGGCCGTGGCCCAGCCGATCTTCGCGTGGGACTCGGCCTAGGAGCGGTAGCTACGATATTTATGATTTTGCGAATCTACGTTCGCCTTCGAGTTAATAAATTTGGAACAACTGCCTTGATCTGGGCTCTTGTCGCTTGGGTAGGAGTTATCACCTTAATTCTATCCGGTCCACACCGGCTGACCAGTTCTATAGCTTTTAACGACTATCACACAATGCTTTGGCGTTATCTCCATTCTCCATGGACTTGGAAATAGAATCGCGATCGTCGAGGAGGTCGGCCAATTACATAACTATCTTTTATTCACATGGATCACGGTCTTCTTTTTCAACATGGCGATTCCGACTGGAAAGGTCGCAGTCGCAGCATTCTTGATTGAGATGAATGGTCAAGGCAGTGCGTTCTCCTCACAAGAAAATCCATGTATTTTAATTTCCTTGCTAACTCCCTTTCCTACAGATCCCAAGATCCGCCGCAGTCTGATCGCTGTTGGAGCGGCCAACATTATTCTCAGTATCCCGCAGATCTTACTTGCTTGGTTCCAATGCAGCCCGCCAAATGCACTCTGGGACCCTTCACGCCAGGATCAGTGTAACCACGTCACGAGCGTACGCTACAGTTATTTCATTGGTGCTGTCGCTGCAGTCTCCGATTTCTACCTCGCCATTATCCCGGTCACGATGTTGGTTCCGTTGCGAATGGATCGCAAGTTAAAATGGGGATTGAGTTTCCTCATGGGCCTCGGTGTTTTTGCTGGAGCCGCAGCAATCGTTCGAACATGGGCAGCGAAATTCATTCTTAGTGATGACCCTTCATGTGAGTTGGCCCGAAATATAAATATCTCTAGTAGCCCGCGAACATATCACTGACAGTATGTGTGATCAGATGGTGTCGGAATCCTTTTCCGCTGGGGTGAAGCTGAGGAGTGGATTGTCCTCATCTCAATGTCAATCCCGCCGGTGTGGCCGCTCTTCAGGCCTATCACTAAGCGTTTCATCAAATCCGCGGGGTATTCTCGAAGTCCGAAGAATTATATGGGATATGATAAATATGCTTCGACAAGGGGGGATCTCGCCACAGCCGGCCAGACCCCCGTGGTCACCACCACCATCTCTGTCTCTTCTATCAAGGGCGCACATGGTACAACTGAACCTGTACGTGCATCATCTTCGGCAGACTCATATTCTGGCTATGATGAAGAACAACCGGAAACCCCTCGCTTTGTTTTAAGTTCACCCGGAGGGCCGGAGGGCTGGATGGAGATGTCGCATTTTAAGAATCCTCCCCAGTGATACATTCCCTGTAATACTTTAATATAATTATGACCAATGTGATTTCTTCTGATATCAATTCCCCTGAATTTAATGTATGGTTCCGTCCGAAAAAAGGTGCAGTTAGTATACTGGGCCCACCTCGTATTCCCATCTTGAGGGATCGACGGGTCCCACCCAAGATCGAAATTTGATACCAGTATGCTAATAGCATTTGATTTAAAGTTGTTTCTATTTTGGTTTGGACTGTGGACCTGTAATTCTAATATGGGAGATATCAATGGAGATTGCGTGGTAAATTGTAAATGAATTTATTGGTTTTCAGCTGCTCATGTTAAATCATTCCATTCAAAGCTTTTCGTTGCAAGTGCTATAATGCCTCGGGTAAAATAAGCCAACTCCGAGGAGACACGTATATGCAATTATGTAAAAATATTAGACATTGAGAGTACCAGCGCAGGGAAATGATGCGACTGGAGGTGATAGAGTAGGGTATAATAGAGTAGAGTAGAGTAGAGCAAAGAAAACGATGGGCAAGTGCAAACACAGCGAAGAGTATGATCAAACTTCAACTTCAGATTTACCCTCAGCCTTGCGCTCCTCCTCGAGACGCTCCTTGCGAGCACGTTCTTGTTCCTGAAGACCTGTCTTCTGGATAGTGTGAGACTTGCTCAGTTCACGGGGAACGATGAAACAAGACAAGATGAAGCCAACGGCCGCAATGCAAGTGTAGAAGATCCACATGCGGTTCAGAGCAAGGGTATAAGCTTCCAGAACGACATGGCGTTGGGATTCGGTGAGTGACTGAATAAGAGACTTGGAAGAGCCAGCGAAAGAGCCGGAGATGGAGGCAGTCAACTCGGGGCCGATAGCCGCAACAAGCTTATCGGATTGTTGACCCATGATGTTTTGGTAAATTACCGTGCCGAGAACGACGGACATGGAGGTGGATAATTGGCGAATGAAGCCGAAGGTAGCTGTGGCGGTTGCCATATCTGAGGGCCGGATGTTGGCCTGGAATGCAACCAGTGGGGCTTGGAAGTTAGGACCGATACCGACACCAGCGATTAATTGGTAGATGATGATGCGGGGCCAGGAGGCGTAGGCCTTCAGGTCGATGAAGAGGCCGTAGCCGATAACCATGAAGAAAAGACCTCCCACAATCATCTCGCGGTAGCGGCCGGTCTTCTTCATGACGATGCCGGTCACGGCGGAGACGACGGAGAGCGACAGGACCATGGGCAGAACGTAAACACCGCTCAGGATTGGGGATGCGAGAAGCACGGTCTGGAAGTAGAGTGGGAGGTAGTAGGTGCTGGCAATGAAAACGAATCCGTGGCAGAAGCAAATCAACAAGATTAGCACATTATACCATTCCTTGAATAGGCGAGGCGGGATAACTGGGTACTTGGCCAGCTTCCACTCTGACAGCATGGCCAGGGCCCAAACAACGATTCCAAAGACGATCAGGCAAATGACTGTGGGAGAAGCCCAGGGGTAGCTGACGCCTCCGAATTCGAGACCGAAGAGGAACATGAGGGTGCCGCCGATGATCAGGAAAGTACCAGCCCAATCGATGTTGCGCAAGCCTTGCAAAAAGTTCGTCTTGGGAGATTCGATGTGCAGGAAGAAGAAGAGGATAACCAATGAGACACCACCAACAGGCACTAGAAAGTCTTATCAGTCAAAAGTTCGTGTTGTTGTAAAGGATTCCACATACAGTTCAACCAGAAGCACCATCGCCACGTAACACTGGTAGTGAAAGCACCACCGATGATGGGACCCAGAGCACTCGCAATAGCCCAGGTGGCACCAAAAAGACCGTAGTACATCGGTCGATCTCTGTAAGCAGTGCGTTAGCTTTATTAACACTCAAAATATGGCAAAAAGGCAAGTAACGCAAGTAACTAATCAATTCGACATACCTCAAGCTGAAAAGATCCGACACGCTGATATTGGCCAAGATGATAATACCACCACCACCAACACCCTGAATCGCACGACCAGAGATAATCATAGCCATATTCTTTGCCAGAGCGCAGATCAAACTACCGACCAAGAAAAACACATTGGCGAGCAAGATGATGTGCTTCCGACCCCAAATATCACTAATCTTTCCCCAGAGCGGAATACAAGCGGCGTTGGCAAGAAGGTAGGAAGAGGCGATCCAGGAGTATCCACTTTCCGAGGCACCGAAGCCAGCGGCAATTGTAGGAAGAGCGGTTGAGATAATGGTCTGTGACGAAGTCGGTTAGCTATCTGCATTATGAACGGCGAGGGCGCGCGAAAGGGCAGTTCTTACCATATCCAGGGCAGCAAGGAACAAGGCCAACTAGAGAAGAGGGATCAGTTTGTAGTTCGTATTGCGAGGTAACTTGTGTCGCATTGCGCTGGGTTGTTCCTGATATCAAAGGTGTACATACGCAAAGTGCAGTCATAACGACAGCGATCTTCTTCTTGCCCATCTTGGCTGCCTGTGACGGGGTCCGGTCCAAGGGGGAGCCAGACTCCTTCTTCTCGATCGCATTTTCGGTATCTTTTTCTTCTGGGGTGGGCGTCACATCGTGTTCGTCTTGCGGGGGAGATGGCTCGACCTCGACCGCGTTTTTTTCCGTGGGAATCGGCGCAGCAACGGAGTCGCTGCTGGAGGACTCGTGGTGTTGGCGCTCGACCGACATGGCGACAACGATCGAATATCAGAAATTTCTTTTCTCTGCTCGCAGAGAATGAAAGTAGGGCGAAGAGAGAAAGAAAAGGAGCAGGGAAATTTCAGCGGGGCGATCGCAAGGCCAAAGTCCGGTAGCGCGACGGAGATAAAACCGATCGATCGCGAGTTGAATGGGTGGTGTAGGAGAGATGGGGGTTTCTGTATATTTTGTCCTCTTGGAGAGGAGTCGTTTGTGTTTGTCCAAGTCCAAGCGGCATTGCTTTCCAACTTATACGAGATGGAGGTAGTGCAGAGTCCGAGTTAGAGTCATCTTGTTCTCGGATTTTACTCATCAAGCATCGGGAGGAGCCGAAATGCCGAGCCCCGAACTTTCTTCTCTTCTTACCTCGATCTAGTTAGTCTGACCTGTGCCTTATACTAGTACGAGTAACTAGTAGTATAGATAGTAGCCTGAGGAAGTGCGGTGAATGGATATGTCGGGGCTCGGACAATTTTATGCGTTATGCGAGACAACGCGAGGCCGCTTGCAGCAAACCACGTTGGCAGAAGCAAAACACTAGTTTGATAGGTGGAGCAGACAAACCCTGCAAGCGGTTTGTTTGTATACTTGAAGTGACAGCACTGACAGGTGAATGAATATCAATCAGAACTTGATCAGTGGTGCCTATAACCATCTTAATGCTGCTCAATTACTGCCACTGCTACTGGTATACTTCGTGGTGGTGCTATCCCAGCATTCCTGATGACCTCACACTGCAGAGACCCATCGGAGCTGTCACATCCACTCGCAGAGAGGGGCGGTCTACATGAAAGAAATTGTCGAGGAAAACCACCATCGGATGAAAGAAGCAGCAGACAAGCCTTCTTTGAAATGCACATCACTAAATAACGCCCCTATCAAATGCAACGGCCTTGTCCGAAAACTCTATGACTGAAACACTGAACAATAGGGGGAAGGCGAAAGGGTATAAAATGGAAAGTGGGAAGCCGAGTCCAGAATCGACAACCCCAAGGCGACAAATGCAACATGCACAACCTGCCAGACCGACATGAGAACAGACGAGAGGTCACTTCCCTTAGTCCTGCAGTTGGAGGATTTCTGTAAAACACACACCCCTTGGTTAGCAATCAGTTCAACAACAATCACCCCATCCACTCCACTCCAACTCACCAGTCAAGAACTCCTCAAAGCTAACAGTAATATACCCATCCCGATCATCATCATACCGCTTAAACACATCCGTCATCCGCTTGAGACTAATGCAAGCCTGAACAAATAGATCAAAGCTCATCCCATGCCGATTAGGACTCTTCGGCGCCCCACTCAACTGTCTCGTCTTACTCTCAAAGATCGAGAAAAGCACAGAGACAAATTTCGGACTGAGCCGATACCCAAATGCCACGAGCGCATTCTCAAACTCCTGCAGACTAATCCGACCGCTGCGGTCCTCGTCAAATCGATCAAATAGTTCCCGCCACGCAGCCAGATACCGCCACAATGAGACGAACTCGTCGAAAATAATCACCCCGTTCCCGTCCCGGTCGAACATTCGGATCATCATCTTCACCGTCCGCGGGTGGAAGGATGTATAGTCGCCATTGACGAGTGCAGAGCCCAGCTCGTGCTCTGTCAGCGAGCCCGAATGCGAGGAATTCGCGGCGCGAAAGAGTGGGAAGAGCTGCTGTGGGTCATTGCTTGTCGGTGCGGCGAGGGGTGGGGGTTGTGGGGATTGAGGAGGGCGCGAGGAGGGTGGTGGTCTATTGTGGGAGGGAGGGGGTCCGAAGCCGTAGTTCTGCGGTGGTGGGGATGGGTGTAATGGGTGTGGCCGGTTTGGAGTGGGTAGGTTTGCCGGTGATGGTCGGCCACCACCAGGAACACTGCCACTATAGGAGTGAGATGCATGGGGATCTTGCGGGCGCAGCGGTGGAGGAGCGTTATAACTTCCTCCTTGTGGAGGGGCACTGGAGACTGGGACGCGGGGTGGAACGCCGCCGCCGCCGCTGCCAGCGCCAGCGCCTGCCTGTGGGGGTCGTGAGGGTAGAGGCTTTTGGCTTTGACTGGTGGGTTGACTGCCTGATACCTGCATGTTCCCGATCATTTGCGCGACCTGTTTGCATCTCTGTTAGTGGGTGTGGTTGTGAAGGGACACGGTGGTCGCGGAGGGTCAAAGTAGTACCTGCTCTGGCTCGGCGTGCCTGTGCCATTCCAGCTTGTCAGCGATCTAAACGAATTCCACGGGCATTGCGCTGGGTTTGGCAACTCACGCTGGCAGCGCGTCAGGGTTGTAGCTCTTGTTGTAGGCCATGGTCGCGGGCACTGACGCAATCAGGCCTCAGTGAGATAGATCCCTTCAGGAACGCGGGGGAGACTTGGCAGGCGTCAGAATCCCGGGGAAAGAATTGTCGCCGTGAAAGAATCTATATAGTCAAGAGTCAAGCACGAATGACGTGAGGAATCTGCAAGAGAAGGAGAAGGGAGAAAGTCAGGGTTGATCCGTTCTTGACAAAGCCAAAGCGGAGCCGTGGGCGGTGGTTCAAGACGATTTTTAGGCCAATGCCAAGTGATAAACTCCAACTTCGTGGTCAATCTCCACTGAAATTAAAAGCTGTTACAAAGGCTTCACAGCTAGTATGGGTTTACTTGCAAATATGTTCAAAACTATGCGGTACGCAGGAGGTTGATCCAAGAATCAACAGCTTACAGCTTACAGCTTACCGTTAGGAACTATGAAGCCTAGGGCTGACAAGTCCCAGCCCACCAGCAATTGGGCTGTGATTGCGGCTCCACTTGCGGGTAAAAATAACTGAACCGACACGAATACGAGCCCATTCGAATAGAACGAGTCCTACTAGTAGTAGTACGAGTATCTACCGATGGCAGGCTTTTTCCGGCCTCTGCTTTTGAGCATGAATACATAAATATGATAAAAGGTTAACTGCGTAGTTAGTACATTTGCGAGAAGAGTGCACAATTAATCTTTCTGTGTAATGATTTTGACCCTGGTGTCCTGCTCCTGCAGCACATCCAGAATTTCCTCCCAAGCCTTCACCTGAAATTGCTTCCCTTCAGTCCCGGTCGTCAAAGCAGTGGATTCGCTAAAAGATATGTCAGTTCATTCTACCGTGGCAAAGAGGGGGTAAGGAAGTGGGTAAAAACAAAAGATTGAGGTAAGCAATTGGGGAAAGGAAGCCAATCATACTCGAGATATCCATCGCTACGCCAGCATTTCCCTTGAGACTCGATTCCCTGCACCGTCGCGCTAACCAGCGAGCGACTTCCCTGTTCAGTCGTGCGCGCAAAGATCTTATAGGCCAACCACGCAATCCAGCGCTCGTAGAACCGGTTATACTGTCGTCCAAGGTCGGACACGCAGAATCCCGGACTGACCGTGTTGATGATCACTGGCACGGTGCCGTCATCATTGCGAACGAGATTGGCCAATGTCTTCGTCACATATTCTAGAAGTAACTTGGAAATGCCATATTGCCTTGGCCCCTTGACTGTCGTCGCGGAGTTGAGATGCTCGAGCAGGGGGCCCTCTGTTCGCAAACTCTCCGCTTTGGCACGAACAAATTGTTGGCTGGAGGTTATGCTCAAATGTGTTGGGTCGGAGGACGTCGAGCTCTCCCTCAGTTTGGGTAAAAGTAGTATTGCCAGTAGTGAGGTTGATAAGGTGTTGACTTGTAAGGTATCTTCCCAGTCCTCCGGCGACTTGGTATAAGCACGATTCCAGACACCAGCATTTAGCAGGGCCACGTCGAGTCGCGGAAGCTCGGTGTTAACGCGATTGGCAAAATTCTTGACACTGGCGAAGTTACTCATCTCAAGTTCCCAGACTTGGATGGTTCCAGGGCGATTCGTGCACTTTTCCAACTCTGCTTTGGCATGGTTTCCACGCTCTATGCTGCGACTTCCAATAATCAGGGACTCAACCCCGAGATTGAGTAATTTGATGGCGGCCTCGTAACCCAGGCCCGAAGTGGCACCCGTCAAGACAATAGTTTTGCCAGCAAAGGAGATACCACGAGGATCTGTGGGCGGGACGAATTGCATTTTGAAAACGCCAAAGAGCCTCGACATGATGGCGGTATTTAACAGCCGAATCTCAAGATTGACAACTCAAACCTTAGCCTAGGATAGGTCATAGGTGTTTACTGCAACATTTCGTGCACGTGATATAATGCTGAGTCATCCCGTTGAAGTGGGGCCGTGAGGCTCGTGGCTCATTTCGAGGTCAACAAGGACATTCACATATACATACTAGCACATGGGAGATATTTGGTTTTAGGCCCTGTTACAGCAATGGGCATTGGGAGTTCATCTATGAGTAATCCATCTATAGACTCCAGGGCTTCCAGTTCATTTTTCTTTCTAAGGAAAACTGTTCAAGTTTATCAATTTAATCTACCCCGCGTCAAAGCTGTGACGAAATATAGAAACTTGAAGGAACAAACCACACATTATTCACCAACCAGTCGACCGAGGTTCAATCGAACATGACCCAGGGCTCATATCTCTAATCACACAAAACACCACCATCACACCATAAGCAATCCAATCAGAACTCCCCGCAAGACCTCACCAAGAGCCCGAATGGCGACGACACAAAAACAAACACTGCAAACAAACGGGGAGGGGCGCCGGTCAAAAGCGGGCAACCCGATTTCTCAGCAAGACAGGGCTGGCTGGCTAACTTGAATTCAGTATTTGATTGACGCTGGACGCAAGTTTACGAGAATTGATCACACAAACATCACATCACATCTCTCCGGCTTTGAGCCGCCAATCCGACTTGACGACGTACATCCATACCCTGTTTTCCCTGCCCCAAAAGTATAGTAAGGGAAGAGGCACTGCTTGCCACCCAGCAGCCCGGATCACACAACAAACACTTGTCCGACGCGCTAGCTACCTACCCTCGCCACCCTCTTGGCGAAAGTTCAAGTGCAAGAGCTAGAGAGAATCATGGATGCGGCGTTGCAGGGGCACCAGGTACACCCGGAAGGGCGAGCCTGGAAGAAGCATTTCCCCGAGGGTGATCTTTGGGTTTTTGGATACGGGTACGTTGACATTCCTTCAATTCAAGTTTCTCAATATTTGATCTTGATTTCGTGTGTTCTTGTTTGTGTGTTTTATTACTCGTATACGAAATGCAAGGCAATCCAATTGCCCCGAAAAATAAAGTACAAACGGGGGATTTTATACGTATACGGCTGGATATCCGAAAGGACCTGCTCTATTCGGACCCTTGCCGCGGCATTCAAGTTTCAGAGTGAAGAGTTGGACATCCCGCTAATTTTTGATTGTGTAGGAGTTTGATCTGGAAACCACCGCCTCATTTTGGTATGTATGAATGAATGAATGCAAAATACTTCCTCGGTCGGAGTGAATATCCATTTGCAAACGGATGTTCCTCTTTCAATTTTGCCCGCCCAGCAAGATTATGATTTTGGTATACTCCGTATACGATAGCTAATCAAATCAATAGATCAGCGGGTACCGGGGTATATCAACGGCTACGTGCGGCGCTTCTGGCAGGTATGTAAATTCCACTGAGAGAGAGAGAGAGAGGTACGAATCCGGCAGCCTGGGCGGGATTGCGAAAAAAGACCCTCCCATATGTTTCAGGTCTAACTTGATCAAAGCTGACACGAGGCCGATGTGGCGTTCTTATTGCAGGCTAGGTATGTGCTGTGGATGTCGATGTGGAGTGGGAGTGGGCGGCCTCGTTTCTGATTTCGGGCACCAAGTCCCCTCCCCTTGGCCCCCCCTGATCCCGGAACCTGGGAAAATCAATTTCAGCCTCATCTCCCGTGGGAACATCGGCGTACGAGTAATGGAATTACAAATTATCCACTAACATCGTCGTCTTTCGCAGTTCTGATCATCGTGGGACATTGGAGAAGCCGGGACGAGTCGTTACGGTGATCGAGCAGGAATTTTGGGAAACTCTCGATGATCCGGTAGGTGAATGAGAGAGAACCCTCAATTGGGAAACATTAAAAGCTCACACCGTGCTAACCTCTCACAGCTAGCTACCCTTGAATCCGAATCCGCCTCCATAGGTAAGGTCTGGGGCGCGGCGTATCATATTCCCGCCTCCCACGCCGAGGAGGTTCATGATTACCTCGACGAGCGCGAGATCAATGGGTATACGGCGCATTTCACCCCCTTCCATGCGATCTCTCCCGTAGCGACAAGAACAGTCGCAAAGGTCCCCGAGGCCGATGCCACAACCCCGATCACTTGCATGGTGTATATCGGACAACCTACCAATCCCCAGTTTCTTCGTGAACACGAAGAGCGTGACGCCGAGCAGGTGGCTCAGGTTATTAGCGACAGCCAGGGAAAAAGTGGCAAGAATACGGAGTATCTTTATCTTCTGGAGAAGGCATTGGAGGGAATTGGGCTGGGCACGGCCGATGTGCATGTCACCGATCTAGTGAAGCGGGTGAAGGCTATCAAGGCTGACGACCAACCCGAAGCTGAAGAGCAGGAGGCAGCAAGAGATGTGCGCAAATATCTAGCTTTGGCTGGAGACTCGGTGCACGGAGACAGAATCGAATGAGCGGTGGGCTCACTTCGTGACGGGGAACATCCCTTTGGATTATGGGTATAGACTCTAGATGAACAAGACCATGTTTTAGAATTATCATGTTAGTCCTCGATATTTGCCTTCTCTTAAGCCAAACACGGAGATCCCAAAACATGATAGAAGAGGAACCGGAACTAGGTATATGGACGAGGTTAAGAAATGCACAAGGTTAAGCAATCATTTCAAAGATTGAACCATAGTACACCAGACAAAAACAAAAACAAATTGTTGCCAGGATGTAGAATCTTATGTACCCCAGTGGGGTCGAGCCCAAAGCCAGCTCTTCTTGAAGGATTCGAGAACAAATTCAGGAGTGAGACGAAGAAGAAGCAAAAAATATCACGCAAAAAAAATCAAGACTTCCTTCACATAACTTGCAGATCCGCATTGCATCAAATACCAAACTCGTTATATTTCGTGAAACCACCGGTTCCAGGAAAATCAGCCGAAGGTCATTTTCGCGTGCTGAAAGAAGATAACAATGGAAATATCCTAAATACTTCGAAATTCAGTTGCCCTCAGATGGGGCCGGAGGTTGGTTGCTGTTTCGCCAGCCTGCTAAAAACAATCCAAGTCAGTTAATAGACCAAATGGGTCGAGAGGATAGGATACAGCTGTAATGACTTACCGCCACCGCCGCCATAGCCAGCGTTTGCACCACCACCTACATGCTATATTAGCCTCCAAATCATGTAGAACAAAATAATGAAGGTCGTTGCAAGTACCGAGACCGGCGACGTCAAATACTACATACCATAGCCGCCGCCATAGCCAGCACCAGCACCACCTCCGCCGTAGCCTCCGCCGCCGGCGCCAGCGCCGCCTCCATTGCCATAGTTGTTATAACTATATCCTCCTCCACGGTTGTATCCACCACCACCGCCGCCGCCGCCGCCGCCGCCGTAGCCACCGCCACCACCGCCCTGATATCCACTTTGAGGTTGCTGGTTGTATCCACCACGGCCTTGGAAACCGCCGTCAGGGCGACTGGGACGGTCAAATGCTTTGTCAACACGAATGACTCGTCCATCAAATCTGGAGAGGGAAAATAACGAAGAATGAGTTGATGGACATCTATCGATGATTGAGAGACAGGGGCGATCCTGCAGATGCTTACTCCTGGTTGTTCATGGCATTCATGGCAGCATCAGCCTCGGCATCAGTTGCAAATCGCACGAACCCAAATCCACGACTACGCAGCGTGGCACGATCCTTGACCACAATCTGGGGCAGAGGAAGTTAGACACCGGTTGCAGATCAGAAGGATGAGGCTCTGTGGCCGAGGGAAAGAAGACTAACGGCTTCCTGGATCTCGCCAAATTGCTGGAAACCCTCGCGAAGAGTGTCATCATTAGTGTGCCATGACAGGCCGCTACATCATGATGGATACGTGGTCAGTTCGATTCTTTCCTGGCACGGAGGCCTGGTGTCCCTGAAATAAAAGGAGAAAAAGCCGAAAATGAAATGCGCGCGGGGAAAAGGCCAGCTTAACATACTGAACAAAAAGTTTGGACATTCTGGTAGACTGCCCACGGAATTCTCAAAAATCAAGACTGGGAAGAGATTAGTGCATACACAGGAATGAGTCGATGGAAGCAGCCCACGGGAGGAGGAGGAGGAGGAGGAGGAGGAGGAAATTATGAGTCGTGTCGTGACACTGAGTGGCAGTGAGATCCTAGTGGTTGCGAAACGAGTCAGCAGTCAAACCCGTGTAACAATCACACTGCTTTAGGGCTTCCGTGTCCTTGGGACTTTGCCAGCCCGCACCGAAGCCAATAATGGGACCGGCCAGGGAAATATGATGCTTACTAGATTACCTTTGGCTGCGGGCTGCGACCAGTAACGAAGAAAAGAGGCCCAACAGATAACTAGAGGGGGGAGATGGAGCCAAGGTGGGGTGAGCAGGCCGCTGCAGAGATAATAGCCCTTTCACACCACCCCCTCAAAGGCGAGTCCCACCGGTCTAAACCTTGAACTGATTGAATTCTCGGGACCCGGCGGCCTGGCGTGCCTGCGCTCCATCAATCAGATGCTACCCGAGGCTGGATCTGGAAGATGAGGGACGCTAGTAGACATCGGCTGATGGGCGTTGCTCATACTTCCCCCTCATTTGTCTTTGAGGATTCAGATTCAGGTATCGCCGCCTGGCTGTTCCTTTCATATGCAACTTCAATCCCTTCAGAAAGAGTCGTTACTCAAAGGAAAAGAGAACCATGCACCGGCCTTGTTGTAGAACCATACCACCGGGGGGGGGGGGCGTCAACCGACTATGCCCGGGGAGTGACCCCTGGGAAACATGCCTAGTGGCGGGCTGAGGCGGGACCTCCACGCACTCCTTTCCGTGGAGCACACCGGTTGAACCAACTTGTGTCCTATGGGGAAGAGCCAAGATTGTACCTCACAACTTCCCTTGCCATGACGGGTCCGGTCTGTAATTTTTGATTTTTATCTTGATGTCTTTTCGTGCTCTCGTTGACGGGGCTCTCAAGGCATAGGCCATCATCACCCACACGGATTCAGAGTAGTCTGGCCTATATGCAAGGTGCAGAAAGGGTCGTTTTACCGATATGTCTCTAGCCCTGTCAGGCCAATTTGGGCTCCAGTCCGACCGCAATGATGATCATCCATGGCCAATCCACGCAATGCGCGCGGGGAGGGGCAGTCGACCCACATGCCGCTTGGGCCGTACGTCGGCAGGACTCCGGAGAGGCAGTGACGATCAGCACATGGATCGCCCTGATATGTACTCCGTACATATATACATAAACTTGGAACAGCTCTTCGGATGACAATGCGGCAGCACCCATTGTCAGAATCTCACAAGGTGGAGCCCCTGGGATCCTTGAATCGTAGGATAGACTCGGACGAACAACTCGAGAGAAGCAATGGGACGTTTGACGGGGTGGCTTCATTGTCCGACTGTAGCTGTGGTCATCTGCATTGGCTGGGGTGGGGACGGGAGTTACGGGATAGCGAACGAGCCGAATGACACGGAAAAAATCGACGTTGCTCAAGAATGATAAAAGGTGGAAGTGGAAGAAGACTCGGTCGATCTCTTTGCAAGGACAAAAAAGGTCCTGTCAACACGTGCCTTCAGTTACCTACTTGGTGGCTCCTGCCTGTTGCATCATCAACGCCATAAAAGAAACCTCATTCCGAAATGAAACCCTTTCATGGACTTCTTCTCTTGGATCTATGTTACTGACTCTTGGTATCGTCGCATCTCTTATCAAGTCTGAATGATGGGGACCTCTGGTCGTGTCTCGATTGACCAATGGCTGGCAAATGTGTCACCGGGGGACCTGGGAGGGGACAATTCCCGTGGTATGAATCGACCCGGAGAACTGTTGAATCGGTGGCATTGGCTGACAGGGCATGTGACAGATCGAGACTGTACGAATGCATTTGTCTCAAACGAAGGTTCTCACTTGCCTCGTCTGCCGTTGGAAACACCTAGCACTGCACCCACTCCACAACGACCACGGCTGAACAAGCGCCGTCGAGATGAGCCGGACGGAGGCTCAGGCCCTCCACACCGATCTGATAAGAAGAAGATCCACAGTTATGATCGGAATCCTCGGCGCAAAACCCGGGAAGATCGATATAAGTATCAAACAACTGGCATGATCTCTGGGCAGGTTCACGGGGAGAGGAACCCGAAAAGGACCAAAACATTGCGCCGAACTAGAAAGCAAACGACGAATGCCGGATTTCACGCTCCCAATGTGGCTCGAGACAGGTTGACGGTAAGCACCAGTGAAAAGTTAGTGTGCCGTTTCTGACCATGATGATAGCTCCAGCCCCTTGCCATGATTGGCATATTCAGCAAGGGGAAATCATCACCTCCCATCCGGCTACGTCAAGATCAGTATCGTGATACGCGCAATGATCACAGATCAGTGAAACTGACGGGTTTCCCCCCGACGGTGTCGGGTCTTGCATTTTCAGAAACAACCCTTTCTTTTGGCATGAAGCAGATACCCCCGAAGTCGTCTACACCCGATAGTGTCGTGCTGGGATCACTGGAGATGGGCCATCACACCTGCGGGAAAAGAGTGGTTGATTGCTCTGATGATAAACGTTCGCCGAAGCTGGTCATGAATCCGCCGAACTCAGGATCGATTAAGTCGACCAACGCACACAATGAAAATCTCGCCATAACTGCGAATCTGAGAGAGTTTCAGGAATTGTCCAGACCCAGACTCATATTCCCCGCTGCCACACATCAAGGAAATTGCGCGCAGCAGTGGGGTCTGGAGGCCAACCAACAGTACTGTCTTCCAGAGTCTCGGTCTGCTACCCCATATACATGGTCTGAAAGTGAGCCCTACCAGCCACGCCTTGACCGTTCGATAGAAGATACTCTTCTGGCTGTTTTTCACATCAATCTGCAAGCAGAGATCAGTGAAAGCAGCAAGACTGCCGACATGAATCAACGTTACTACGAACTCAAAGACCTGCAGGAAATTTTAGAGGCTAGGAGGGAATTATGGGAGGAAGGGCGAAGTGGAGGTTACCCAGCGACTTGTCTATCTTCACATTCCATTTCTCGACCTAACCATGCGGCATCCATATCACAAAGTGGATGGAACGGGACATCCAATGCTAGGAGGATGATTGAAGAAGCGCTGACAGATAGTGATCATATCTTCCAACAGCTGGATATGCTCTTTCAGGAAATTGTCAGCTCCCAGGATGGAAGGCCGGCTCCCGAGGGGGAGCAGCTTGAAATACCTCCGCCTCGGCCAGGACCCCCGCACTCCCTCAAGACATATTTTGACACTTTCCCCTCCAATAACTCAAAGGAAGCTCGTTGTGATCGCCTTCATATGGCCCCGTGCGACGGAATCGGGCTAGATAATGACACATCTGGATCGCTTCGTGGAACACTGTCAGGTATTCGAGTCGGAACTTCCCTAGGGCCAAGCTCAAGTTGCAACAAAAATGATTTCCCGACCTTCCTACCGATACATCCTACGGATCAGCAACTTCAGAGCCAGCAGCAATCTTTTACAGAGAGGCCCAGCCGGCGTGGACGCCCAGCAGCGCAGTCGACCCTAGAGCAGAATACCTTCCCGCTCGGCTTTTGGCGGCAAAACAAGTTATATTAATCTCCCAACATATGGTTAGTTCACACTTTGGATAATTAAGGCGTCCTCCTTGTATAGAGACCGGGTGTCTCATTTCACTGCCTGGGTTGGGAACGGGTATTGATTGAACTTTACACTCTTCCTTCAAATACCTCGGACAAACACTTGTTATTCACTAATGATATAGTTTACAATTTTTTCCTTCAACCCTCCGGGGCTGTCAATGTGAGTAGTTCTTATTCTCTATATTTCAAGTTATTTTGTTCCTCAAGGGTTACGTTTTGGCCCCCATCCTATGAGTCCCCCAAACTAAATACGTACTAGTATTCCACACTTGGAAACGGGAAGACCGCATAGAGAGTCCAAAGCGAGCCCAAAGCAGTATAATTGTGCGCCAGTCCATGTGGGCCCTCGCAACGTACTCCGTAGAGCCTGGTATAACTAAACAACGATCCACAACATTTTTCAACCGTTTAGAATATTTTCCTTTGTCACCTTGCGTTGCACCAAGTATCTCACCCCAAGACTCCGGCCAGCATCCTCATTGGTCATTTTCTTCTCTCGCAAACAATACTAGTCTATCGCAAGATGTCAACACCCAAACCAGCCATCCTTCTAGTCCCCGGCGCATGGCATCAGGGCAAAACCTGGGAGCCCGTCACCAGTCTCCTTCAAGACCAAGGGTATTATGTCGAACCTGTAACTCTCCCTTCTGCCGGAGGTCCCCCCTCGACTAGTGTCGCCGACGATGCAGCCTATATTCGCAGCAACCATTTGGAGAGACTTGTAGCTCAAGGCCGAGAAGTGATCATCGTCATGCACTCATATGGCGGTGTTCCCGGCACCGAATCTGTCAAGGGATTGGCGAGAAAGGATATCGCAACACAAGGGAAACCCGGTGGTGTGATTGCACTGGTGTATACGGCCGCCTTTATGATTCCCGGAGGACAGAGTCTCGCTGAGTCTTTGCCAAGTGATACCCCATCGCTCATCAGCCCGGTTATGGATGTACGTGCCGCCAGTGGCTTTCCACAACAGGGATAATCCCAGTTCTAAAGGACGGGGATTGACTTGACATCGTGACTTTGATTATATGTAATTGACACTGACAAATTTGGTACAGGGTGATGCGACACAGGCAAACGATCCGAGGTTTCATTTCTATAATGACCTCGACGATGAGACTGCTGCGAAATATGTGGATGCGCTGGTCCATCACGCCATGCCGTCCTTCATGACTCCCTTCACTTATGAGGCCTATCGGGACGTGCCAGCGACTTACCTGTTTTGCGAACGGGATGAAGCTATCAGGCCTAATTTCCAGAGAGAGATGGTGGCCAATGCGGGGGATAATGTTGTGCGAACTTATACCTGCGCCTCGGGCCACTCTCCTATGTTATCTGTACCGGAGAAGGTTTTCGAGGTTATACATGATACTGCAATACTTGCCAGGTCGTGAGTTGATGGTAAAACATTGGAACATGTCATGCCGACATCTGAGATGCCGGTCAAATAGATTGGTTGGGTATCTAACAATCTCAAGAATAGCGATAGACGCAAATCTCTGAAAACAATCTAGCTCGAAGTCTAATTTTCTTTCGTAGAATGTGTAGTATTTGTGAGTCCTGATCAAGTACCATCATAGATAGTAGCAGAGCAGCACTGTTTTGCTCTGTTTCACAGGGGCGTAGGATCCACCACATGGTGAGGAGAAAGTTTCCGGCGGGCGGAGAGTCGAGCCCTATTCTCGGAGGCGGGCGATCGACTGTATCGGGGGTATCATGATCTGGGGAATGTAATGGCTGTGGCGCAGTGGTGTTGGCGAGGTGATTTCGTTTTGATCACAGGCTGGCGGCTGCCACGATTGCGCCGGTTCCCTTAAAGAGAGTCGGGTTCTGCATGACGACCTCGACCGGGTACTTCCATTGCATGAACCTGGTCCAACCTGCAATATAATATGGGTAAATGACCTTATTCCAAAATTGAGATGTGGAAACATACTCCAGTAGGCACAACGGCGGCCAAAATACTTGCCAATGAACGGCACCAGGACCATGCTGAGAAGCAGCTCTAGCTGCTCGATACTTTCGCGCCACTCGGCCTCGGCATCTGATTCCGAGTACTCGGAGAGGGTATCTAGATCGGTATCGGTGGTAGATTCGGAAGGGAGGGAAGCGAGATCATCGTCGGTCTCATATGAGCGGTCGGCCTCGGGAACCATATAGGCAGACATGGAGAAGGAGGGATCGGAGCCGGAGTACGAGTCAGCGGACATGACGGCGAATTAGTCTCGAGCACCGATTGTGATTAGATTCGTGGTATGTGAAAGTAAGAGATGGAGCAGTGGCCTGCCTGCTGCCGGATAATATCAGAGCATCAGCGCAGATGAACTGTGTTGCTGTTGCTGTTGCTGCTGTTGATGTTGATCGAAAGTGGCTCTCTCCGCCGGAACTGCCTCGCTTCTCCGCTTTTATCCACGTGACCGATACATGACTCAACACTCACGTGACCGATAACAGGCATCGCCTGCCCAGCGGATATGAGCAGCGGAGCGACAAATTCGTCATTGTCGACCTTCTCCCCAAATATTCGATTCCAAACCGATCTCCAGTACCCCTTTGACACCAACGGGACTAGAGAATTCCGAATCGCACACGCAATCATGGCGGACGTTGTACGTTACATCCTGGTGTTGTTTTACCGACCCTCCCACATTTTCTTTGCCTGCACAATACCCCTCCGAGCGACCACCACCACGCCAGCGCAAAGCCCTCTTTGACTCGCTGGGTATTTGGACTGGTTTTTAAACCGCAAGAGCTGTCCTGCGCATTCACTTTTGTCACTTTTCTGCGCCTAGAATCCACCCCCACTAATTTTGGTCTTCGTTTCTCCAAGCAGGAAGCTACTCAAAAGCAACGCAAGTCGGTCGCCTTTAGCGAAGGAGACGTCATCATGGACACCAACGGCGAAGTCACAGACACCCCTCAGGATGAGAAGCCCGCCGGTACGCCTTCTAGCTCCCCTGAAATTCGAGTCTCCCGCACACGCACATCGATGGACCCGCTAACATAGTGATATCCGTGATATAGACAAGGAGGTCGACGAGGTTACCGAGATGTTCAAGGGCCTGTCAAAAAAGAAGAAGTCTAAGAAGTCCAAGGACGCCGAAGGTGCTGAGGATGAGGAGGCCCCCGCCGCCGACGCCGACGGCTCGTTCGATCCCTCCCTTCTGAAGAAGAAGAAGAAGACCATCAAGAAGAAGGTCGATACCGGCGACTTTGAAGCTAAGCTCGCCGAGGCTGGTGTCACTGGAGAGACCGCCGAGGAGCAAGCTGAGGAGGTCATCCCCGAGGGTGACCACGAGGCCGGCACTGGTATCTGGTCCCACGATGCGACACAAGCCATCCCCTACTCCCTTCTCGTCAACCGCTTCTTCTCCCTCATCGAGAGCCACCACCCCGATCTGCTCTCCAGCGGCGCCAAGTCCTACAAGATTCCCCCTCCTCAGTGTCTCCGTGAGGGTAACCGTCGTACCATTTTCGCCAACATTGCCGATATCAGCAAGCGCATGAAGCGTTCCGACGACCACGTCATGCAGTTCCTGTTCGCTGAGTTGGGTACCAGTGGTAGTGTTGACGGTAGCCGTCGTCTGGTTATCAAGGGTCGTTTCCAACAGCGTGGTATTGAGTCCGTTCTGCGACGATACATCGGTATGTTATTGTTTTGCCCGTGCGGTCCTATTTTCCCCAACGGCACTTTATCTAACAATACTCTCTCTAGTCGAATACGTTACCTGCAAGACCTGCCGCAGCCCCGACACTGAGCTCAACAAGGGTGAGAACCGTCTGTACTTCGTTACCTGCAACTCCTGTGGATCTCGTCGTTCCGTCGCCGCCATCAAGACCGGTTTCCGTGGCCAAGTCGGCCGCCGCAAGCGTACTGGTTAAATGGGGTATCAAAAAAAATGCTGGCATTTGTGGAGGAGGGAGTTTTCCGTTTCTCTTCTTTATCGCGTGTCACTTACTACGATCTTTTCACGGGTGAAAATAGGGGGGCCCCTTGGCAACTGCATTTTTCTTAACCGGTTCGGGGATGTGCGATGAAGCAATGATATGAAAGATAGATTAGTTTGGCATGAATTGACTACTATGACAACATATATCCGATTTCTGTTCTTTCTAAAACAAAAGCTTGATAGTGACGAAAATGATATTTCACTCCGGCTTATATTCAAGTTTGCGTCTGAATGCGGTCGTAGCATGTTTGTTCCCCAGCTGGTCAGGGTCACCCGTGAACTGTAACCAACCTTGGAACTTGAATAACTGATGAATCTGAGTCCTTGTTGAGATGGATACTGCTTTTCTCACTTTGGTTAACATCCATTCGGCTCCCATCGATTCCTGCCCCTTGCTGGGAGATTCCATAACGGAGTATTTAGTTTCCTGAGTTTTGGTGATATCAACTTGATCTCGGGTGATTCCTTAGTACATCGTGGTTTGTCAAAGTAGAGAACGAAGAAAACGCTAGACCTGCGGGGGAAGCACAGCTCTAATGAGCTTCTACTGTTTCCGAAAATCCGGACCTGGTTTAATTTGACAACAGTGTGTCGATTTTGTCGATTTCAAGAAATAGAGTCCCGCTCTGGTTTTGGTTATACATCCAATCTCTGCCTATCAAAACGCAATAACGAAAAGCCCACCCATGAACTCTGGCTCAGAAGATGGGCGGAGTGAGTGCAGCTAGGTACAATCAAGATCGAAACTTATCGGCATACACCCATCCCTTCCGACCTCATAGCATTAGCCACTTGCAGTACTCACCTTCATCTGTACCGCAAATGCATTCAGGTTTCTCGTCTGCAAATAAACAGTTCCCGGTCCAGTGAACCTGCAAGCCAATCCTTCTCCAGCGCTAAAGTTGGACATGATTCCACCAGATGCAACACGCTCGATCTTATATTTGCAGTTCCATGCGACAAGATGGCCGTTATCTATAAAGTAGTCCTCTCCATCTTGGAGCTAGAAAAGGATAACCGTCAACACAAAGTCCTCAGAGTGGATACTAGGGGTTGACTTACATCTTTCTTGATTATAGCGCCGAAGCTTTGAACCCAGAGTAGACCGTCACCTGTGATCTTGTAAATGAAGAGACCTTCCCCAGAAAACACTCCCTTGGTGATCCCCTGCGCTTGATATTTATGCGCAACTGCATCTGTAGAAGCCAGGAATGCATCCCGCCCAACCTTCCACTCGTTGTTCTCGTTGATTCGGAGAACAATGATATCTCCGAGAGTGGAAGGGGCAAGTAAGAGTTCACCAGGGCCCTTGTACTTGGACATTGTCATTTCGCCACCAGCAAGCAGTTTCTTCCACGCAAAATGGAAAGTACCCTTCAAAGTAACCGTTGTAGACATCGCAATCATAGCACCTGTATACATGTGCTTAGTTGAGAAATTTGACAATCTTGTGATAATTGAAGTGGTCATTTCTTACCCGGTCTGGCGGTAAATGGAGCGCCCATCGCGAGTTGTACAGTCAACAAAGAGTTTGAATCACGATGGCTGACCCGATAGCTGCCTCCATTGAAAGTTCCTACGGAGTCCTCGTTTGCTGCGCTTGCTCCGGAAAATTGACCTGCTGCCGGTGCACCACCGGGTAGATGTTCGATATTTGCCTTTAAAGGGGGTGACTGTGACAGTGATGGTCGGTGAATAGCAGCATTTTGCTGAACAACAGCAGCGTTATGCTGAGCATATTGCTGTGCAGATGCAGGCGGGCTAGTGGATTGTGGAGGGCCTGGGTATCCCCCACTCGTAGGAGGTGACTGAGTTGGGGGAGGCGGATAGCTGAAATTCGGAGGTGCGAAGGGGCTGGCCTGTTGTGGAGGTGGAGGGAAAGCTATTGAAAGTCAGGGAAATTAGATTGGATGCGTCTTCGTGCCTCTTACATGTTACATGTGCTGGGGCTATTCTAGGTTAGCATCGAGTAATAGAATGTCACGATTTGAGGCGGCTGGTTGACTTACCCGACATCGGCGGCGGGGGGTACTGATTCTGTGATTGCGCCATGTTCAAGAACGGGGCAGTTGAATCGAGAAAAAAAAATCTGAATTTAAATGCGTCAGATATCTCTTCGCATGTCTATGCCATATGTATAAAGCATTTGTGCGAATGAAGGAGGCCACGAGAACTCACGCTGGTTTGCGGATGCGGGGGTGGGCAGCGGTGGCTTCGATTATCCGATTAAGAATGCTCGATCGCCGACTAAATATGATATGGTACAACGCGCTCAATGGATTTCGCTGAAGCCAAGTAGTCTGAAAGGAGGACGTTAATTGAGAAAAGGGAGGAGTAGGAGCTGGTGCTCTTTTGTGAAGACGAGCTACCGACTCCGCACGGGGGAGCTCGTCTCAAGTTATTATTAGTCTACCATGAGTGATCAACCGTGCGGGATTCATTTGCATTGGCAGTCAATCAGCTGCTTCGGTATCACACTCGGCTACTGCAGTGTTATCCCAGCCGGCGCGTAAAAGTTGCACCTGCGCAACATGATGGGTTGATCGATCCCCCACCAAAGTGGATCCCCCTCTGTGATTGGCAATGCGCGTAGCGCCCACCATAAGCCAAGACCACTCAAGAAACCTTTCGTATCTCAAAAAATACCAGTACATTTAGGGGAAGTTTGACGATCGGAGCCTGAATTCGGAGCTCAGGACCCTGGAACTTGACAAATTTTTCTATACGTTTGATTCAAATCCATATTTAACTGATGATCATTCTCATGTTGATGTAGGCTGATACTGATATACTCCGGATATATATGGAAATAAAGATTTACGCTGGGGGTGTTCCAAGGTTCCCTTGGCTGAAGGTGCACAATCATCCCAAAAGTTAATAATTAGTTGAAAATTCCCTGGCTTCGATCATCTTCATCAGGATTTTTGGCAACCCAACTCAACCCACCTTACATGCCTTCATTCGAGTTGCTTCTTCGAGAATCTTGACAATTTCCGAGCGATTACTCATCTTAGCCCAGTCTAAAGCCGTCAAGCCCTTCGCATCTTGCGCATGGATATCGGCGCCATTCGCTAGCAACGTATAGACAATATCGACGAAGCCGGAGTCGGCCGCAAACATCAGCGAGGTCTTCTCTCGGTTACCCCCTGGGGCATCAATCTCAGATCCAGCTTTCAGGAGCAGCTCCGTCATTTGAAGATAATTGTTTCTGACCGCACAGTGAAGTGGTATGACTCCATCGGCTCCAAATTTTCCAACATTCGCTCCGTGGGAAAGTAGCAGGCTGGCAATGCCGACTTTATTCTCATTGCTCGCCCAATGAAGTGCAGACATGCCACTCGCGTCAGTAATATAAACCGAGGCGCCGTGGCCAAGAAGCAACTGTGCCATATCAATAAGGTCTCGTTGAGCACAGAGACCCAAAGGGTTGGCATCCGGTCCTTTCTCGTTACCATTCGGATTAGCCCCGTTTTCAAGGAGTATCTCGGCGGCTATTAAGTCGTTGTCATCAATGGCTTGGAGCAAGGCTGATATTGTCCTTTCATCCGACGCCCCAATATCAGCACCATGTCGAAGAAGGACATTCACACCCTGACCAGCGGGATGCCTCGCCGCAATACTAAATGCTCGTTGGCAAAGCACCGGGTGTTGAGCACCGATCTCTACCCACCTCATCATGATAAAATAAGCGATTGCACCCAGGTCTTCTTTCAAGGCCCAGGCATAGCCCAGTTCATCTTCATTTCCCTCTAGATCACGATGGTGGACATCCCAAGCACTCAAGGTTAGAAACTCCTGCGTGGCTTTCACCGTTGCTATCGAAAATTTTGCGTCTTCGCCATCCTCTGCAGATGTGCCTAGGCTTTCCAAGACTCCGTGGGCTTTGAGGGTGGGCTGTATACACTCGGCGCTCGGTATGTTGCCCGAAATATGCCATGCAATCCATCCTAGTTCCCTAGCAAATCGCCCCAACCAGGGCTCCAACTGGCTCGACTCTGACCAGTGTCTGGGTGTTCTCACGTTCCTGGAGTTTAGAAAGTCCTCCCTGATATTCTTCTTGAGAATTTTGCACGTATATTCGAGTCCTGCTCCTCGGATACTAGCATCGTGGGCCATCAAAGCTCGGCGGCAGAGGTAACCCAGTTCATACGCAGAATGGCGTAGTTCATCGCCTTGAGATCGCTCGCATATCCATTCGAGAAGTCTGAATGCTTTCTCCCAGTTGTTTTGGCTGATCAGATTTTCGATTTGCATTCTCACTTGGACAGAATCTCCTGCCAACTCTGGAAGAAGGCTTAAGCTCCGCAAGGTAGGTATGGCACAAAGAAGGGCATCTTCTCGGGACCCCAGCATGCAGCTCTCGAAGCAATGAAGGAGCTCTTCAATCTGGCTATTCTTTGCAGAAAAGCTCGGCCGAAAAGTCGAACTATGGATGCTGTCGTTTAGAAGTGTATGCCCTTTGAGTGCATTGGTCGGTTTGAGGGCATTGTGAAGGAATTGGATGTAGATGTCTTGAGCAACCATAGTCTCCACACTATTTTCTGTTCGAACAATAAGTATATCATTGTCGTAGGCATAGCGATCTGATTCAAATCCGAAGAGCCGTTTGGACGAATCAATCGTCTTAGCGGATGCAATTTTAGCTTCATTTTGTTGGAAGATCCATTTATGAAAAGACAGGTAGGTCTCCAGTGTTCCAGCTTCAAAAGAGTCAAGGCCCACCATTCGAACGAGAGGATGCTTCCATTCTTCGTCAGATTTGTATAATGACCAAGTTGATAATCCAATTATCGCTTCGAGCTCATTCTGATCGACTTTCCATTTCAAAGCATCGCCGCTCCTTTGAACTCGAACTGGGTGTTGCCCACGGGAATATGAAGTCCACTCAAGCCCTTCAGGTTTGCATTCAAACGAGAGATTAAATTGGAACTCTTTCTCGTACTCAACACCCCAGCTGGACAATAAGTCCATTGTCATCCCGATCGTGTCTGCCAGGCTCTTTGCCACCTTTCGAGTTGGGATATCATCCCATGGTACATTCAACCCATGCTTCGACTCTTGCTTGGAGGTTATGTCTGCGAGAAGAGCCCGAGTTGCAATGATCTCTTTTACCAGCGGTTTCTCCGGCCGGGCCACATAGGGCTCTGACGAGTTACTGTGGGATATAGCCGGAGTGGTCGATGATGCGGGTTCGAACGAAGCGACATTATGGAGGTAAAATGCAAAAGCATCAAGTTCTTGTTTTTTCTGTGTAGCGAGATCTCGTTCGTCTTTAAGAAGATTCTCTTCAGGTGCCATTCTCTGAGTCCTTAGACAAGTGCGCAGAATCGACATGATGAAAGTCGAGCCCAGCTGGGCTAGAATGACGGATGCGTGAAGACCTCTTAGGCCAACAAATTGAATGATGAAGCCAAGCATTGTCGAGCCTAAGACTGTATAGAGCTCCACATATCTGCCATCGTATTTCGGAAAACGGGTAGATTTGATATATCGCAGCCGCATGCTCATCGATGATTCTGGTCCTTGCTTCACGGCCATGAATGCGCCGAAGACCTGATCCCCCACGTGCTGGTTCCCCGGTTGCAGCCAACAGATCTTACTAGGCTTGTTTGGTTTGATGTAATATTCTTTTGAAGAGCGTTCGATAATGATCGCGCAAAAGAGCATGCCTGCGAAGAGCAAGGTCGTTCCGACAATGAAGAATGGGAATGCGTAACTGGCCACTGGTTTGTCGTCCTTCTCGAAATCTCCGGGGCATAAAAATACAGTGATTGCCGCGTATATAATGACCCCTAAGAGAAACAGAGGTATTACTTTAGTTGAGTCTGCCATATTGCAAATCTCATCGACAAAATCTTACCAATCTGCATGATAGCACCCAAGATGGCGGCGCAGTAAAACCACCTCTCATACATTCTCTTAATACCCTTATTCAAAGACAGGTTTGGCATATCGAGCTCTGGGAGACGAGTTGGATCATCCAAATCTTCAGGGGCAAGGCCCGATCCTTGAGCACTCCACGCTCCTTTTCTAATCGCGTCACGAAGTGTTCCGAATTCGACCGTTCGTTTGCCTGTCTTTGGATCTTCATTCTCCCATGCGACAATCTCAACAATCTTGGGCCTGCCAAAGACTCTTGAAATGCCCCCATCATTGAATAGCTCCGCTGTTGACTGGGACACACATGATAAAAGCTCGCTTTCAGCCTCGGCAGGGCCCTCTTGTGCTCTTCCTATAAATGCTTTTAGGGATGAGCTACCACAAACTCGAATGACCGAGACAACTGCTGTTAAAACACCAAGTGGTGATAAGGCGAAGATTATGTTGTCTAAGAGGCTGATCGACTCGGAGAGGAATTGTTTGGTGAGTCGTTCACCAAAGAGCGTAATTAAGGGGGCCTTTAGAGGCGAGATAATTAGCATGTATTCACCATGTATTTGTCACAAGATGCTAGTGATAATTCTCAGATCTTACCAAGTCAGTCGCAAGGTTATTGGTAAAGTCCTCCCAATCATCCGCTGCAGCAAAAGGTACAAGCAACAATATCGTCCAGAATGTAAAGTACTTCATGGTGCCGACAGTTCATATCACCTGTGCACCATCGAAAACAAATTTATTACTTTGAAATAGCAGGAAAGGCATGCCCGTCCTTTTGAAAGCGCCGCTATTAGTGTCGATCTGCCCATTTCCTGTACGATGTGGTGGGGGCTGGGGCCAGGCGCTTCGCGTGGCCCTAATACATGGCTTATCACACTCAGAGTCACATCTCATCGCTGAAACCGCTAATGTCCCTGCTGCATGCACATAGCCGCTCTCTGAACAAAAGTACTACTACGAATAGAAACACCCAGTGTCATCGGGCCCAAGAACGGGCGAATTCGATTAAGCTTAAGGCTTTACTTCTTGCCGATCTAGAAACGAAGGTTGATAGCCAGCGGGGGTGCATCAAGTCCAAAAAGCTAACGATAAATCATAGAGAAACACCAGCGGCAGCCCACTGATCTTCTATTCCGAAGCAGAATCAAGCCACAAACGCCGTTGAATGATGTAGGAGGATATCGATTGGGAAGATGAGCAAGAGCGATAATTTTCGAGGATACAAACGAGTAATGAGGAATTTGGGATGTTCGACTTAGAAGATGCTGTTGACGATGTTTGAGCCGACCGTGGCACCGGCACCGAAGATCGCTAAGACCGGGATTAGCTGTGAACAGACGGTAGAAGGATTATAATTCATCGGAAACCTACCAGCATTGCCCAGCTTCTTTCCGAACTTCTTGCCACCTTGCTCGAACTTGTTCTTCTTCTCCGGGTCGTTAGGGTCGCCCGATCCAGTCTGGCTAACATCCAGGGGCATATTTCCGTAGTTGGAAGTGGGTGGAGGGGACTGCAATCCACCCTTCTCGTTAATCACATTGACGTAGCTTCGAGGGAAGATACCCTCCATGCCAGTCCGCTCGTTGCGACCGCGCCACCCTGCATTTGTATGTTAGTTATATCCCATAACGTCTCCATTAACGTAGAACATACAGTCATCATTCATGTGCTCAGTAACCTGGATGCGATCATTTGGCTGCAGAGCAAGGTCGCCCGGATCGGTCGGTGTATATGCGTATAGGGCGGAGGCCAGCGACATAATCGGTGGAACTTGGGGGTAGGCCGGCGGGGCCTGGGGAGGCGGAGCCGCATATTGGTTCTGCATCGGGGCTTTCTCGTTCAGGGAGGTATTTGACATGGCCGTTGATGGGGGCGAGTACGGGCCCGGGGGCGGCTGTGCGTGAACAGGCTCTGGCAGAGGCGATGGCACCGGCACTGGTGCTGGTGCTGGTGATGGCTGATGCGCGCGGGCATTGATGGGGGACGGCTGGTGCGCGCGGGCCTGAGACTGGGCCTGGGACTGGGAGTCGGTAGGCAGCTCGGAAAGAATAGAGGAGAGCTGCCGAGGGTTGATGACACCGGCATCAGCCAGGAATTCCAGCTCCTAAATCTTGCGTGTCAGTTGTGGTGCTCGGCTTCAAGGGGACCTGAGGGTCCTGTGGGGGATAACGAACGGTGCGGACCATGCGGAGCGACCGAGTGGTCATGGCCGCGGAGAAGTCGCTCGCCATGGCGGGAAGAAGATATGGTAACAATTAAAGTGGCGAGAGAATAGATAGAATTGATCCGGTTAAAGATGTCGAGGGTGGGCAGTGAAGAGTCGAAGAGTTGAAGTGAAGAGTCGAGGGAAGGTGGACCAGGCAGATGAGACAGCCAAGACGGACAATCCGGCTGGCGGGGACATCCCAAATCTCCACACGTTCGCCCTAAATTTCATGTCCAGGGGTAAACTGGACCGTAGGCGAGCTCGGAAGGGCTCGGCAATTTAGGCAGCTTTGATTCTCTTCTTCTTGGGGTTTTTTGATTCATTATTTTCGGCTCGTGGAGACTGGAATAGGCGGGCCCGAGTCGGAGAGGGCCATCTGCATAATTCTATGTATAGAATGAGGATCATACTTCGTATTCCAACAAAACAGAATATGGATCAGTTGTTGATTACTTTAATCCCAACTTTTAAAAGAACTACACTTTACTGAATATTAACGGATAACTGCGTTCATAATTCTCCGTGAGATACTCGGACATTCGGTTTCATATCTATCAACAATAACTTGAACCTTCAAGTGCAACTCAACTAGGAGATATGAATACGCTCGGTATCGATTGATTCCGCTTAGAAACAGATAATAGAATCAAGTCTATAAATTTCACAGCACTTTCGTGATCGCAAGACCATCCTAAAGCCATATGTCAGCATTTGCTCAAAAGGGCGATCAAGACAAAACATACCTTTCCAAAGTCTGTATCAAACTCGGGTACAATAGTTTCATAAATAAGCTCAGGCTTAGGGCGACGAGCTCCAACGTCCGCCTTTTCAAGCAGCTTCTTCTTCTCTTCCGGTGTTGCCTTTACCCACTCCACGTAGTCTGGAGCACCAGGCATAATAACATTGTCCGCAACCAACATCGTTTTTCCAGGAATGAGAACTCCCAACTCTTCGAGGAGCCACAAATCTGGAAGGTACAGCTTTTGCCAGTGATCAAGGAAGATCAACTCTACCTCTTTTATCTGCTTCTTCTCCCGAACCAACTCCTCCAGCACCTCATTGCTGGCTCCCACCATAATCTGCACAATTTCACGTAGGCCGGCGAGTTCGACTAGCTGATTTGCGACAGCAGCCATTTCAGGATTGACCTCAATGCTCAACAGCTTTCCTCCATGGGTCTTGAGAGCATTGCCGAAGAGAACAGCCGAGTAACCAACGTATCCACCAAGCTCAATCATCAGGGATGGCTTTCTTTGGGCAATAATATCGAGCATAGTCGGTCCTTTGACATCGCCGATGTTCATCAGTTTGTTATGCTTGTCGTGGTACTCATCAATGGCAGCGATGACTTTTTCCGGGTTTCCACGAATTTGCTTGATATCGGAGCGGGCGTACATCCAGTGGAGGAGATCAACCTCACGGCCATCCTAAGTATTCTTTTAGCAGGAAATCATATATGGTTTACAGAATGATGACTGACTAGGGCGATGATATGGGGAGGCGGAGCGTGGGGGCGGTTAGACATGATGAATCGTGGGAATGAAACCGAATTTAGAGAAGGCGATTCGCTTTGAAGTATTGATGGAATATATTACAACTTCTTGATTGAATTGATTGAATTGGCTCAAACTAAGCGGAAGTGAGGCGCTTCTTATACTTACTATCGACGCATCGGCGATATAGTTATTTATCGCCCAAAGCGGAAACCTCGGAGTACTTCGGGCCCCCAAACACTCACTTTCCCCACGTAGTGAATACCCCGAGATCCCGACCGACTTTCTTTTAGGCATCATCAGCTCCCTTCAGATATTACTAAATGTCAAATAACGGATATAGGAAATAGCACACCTCGTATCATGATTACCAAGTCGCCCTTTAAGTCCGAGAAGGCTCTGAGCCCAGAGAAAAAATATCATGCTGCCCCCTTGAAAGGCTTGACATCCGGCCACTAAGACCATATTTCTTGACCAATTTTCTGAATATCGTATCTTCAACTTGTCGGACTCTGTGGTAGTATCTTTATCAAGCCATATCTCACCAAAATAATATATCTTAATAAACATAGTTGTCAAGGAGATATTTCGAAGGGCCCTGGCCTAGATTTTAGTATTTAGCTTAATACTGCTCTTATGATTTTGCCGCGAAATAGTACTAGTAACCTGGCGAATGAGTTCTAGGGGAACTAGGTATAGCCTAGCTCCCAGTAAATGGTTGCATGACAACTTTTCAAATTACTAGTAGTAGTATGCCCAGGTGGCCTATGCCCATCAGTATCCATGGGCGGGATTTTGAAATATATCTAGCTTCCGACTTGGAGGTCTGCGTACCGGAATAATGGATTTACACATTTCGGTCTCGTTCAAGTTTATACTATAAAACCACCAAAATGGATGTGGCTTACTTAGTAGTATGCTATTGATGTCTCCATCCCTGGCCCGATTGATTCTTCGTAACTACCCAGGTAGAATATCTGAGGTCATCTTTAAATTTCTCGCCATACTAGTAGAAAACCTGTCGCTGATCTTCCTTGTCTAGTTAATAACTCGCGATAGTTTGAAGTGGTCTTCATATGTGTTTATTTAAACGACCTGGACAACTAGAAGTTGAAGTGTACTACCACTTATGAGCCCGCCTGTCGATCTAATGGAAATCCTCTGATTAGTATCTTTGGTGTCGCATGCGCGCCGAGCCTCAGCCTCGTGGTGGGGTAATCGGGGTCCCAATTGGGAAGAAAAGGAGAACAAAGGCTGGTATGCGGAGGAGTAAAAAGTAGCAGTCCACGAATCACTGTAATGCACAAAATTTGCTCTATAAAGTGACTCTTTATGAGTAGGTAACTAATATTTCTTATTCGTTATTTGACCGAGTGTTACGCTCGAGATCAACATACTAATGGGCCCAAAGTATGACATCAAGTGGGTCACGATATATCATCATATTTAAGCTGTCTGTGGTCCTTCAGTGTCTTCAAGTTTGAGGTAAATTGTGCATGCATTATGGACTTGAAGGTTTAGCACTATAATGAGTTCTTAGAGACTATTTTCACACCGTATTAGAATTCCCATGCTGTTAATCGAAGCAATGGATGAAAGTAGAGTGTGTCGAGTCCCGGTGAAAGGGAATGTGGCGAAATGCTGAACGAAATGATCACGATGAAACCATGTCAAAACACCACAAAAAATGATATATAAGCAATCAATTATTTCTCGGATCCTACCCAACTTATTTCCGAAAGGAAAACACTAGAATAGTTGCCCTCTCTTAGTAAACACGGAGTTAAAGCGTGTAAATTAGAAGCCAGGCGCCCATTGACCGGTCTGCGCTAACCAGATACGGTTAGCGTGTGACTCCCCTCCTCTCGAAGCTTCTGTGGTATAAATTGCTTCACACGCGAGCCATCGTCATACCCCACCCCTTCCACCGCACATCCTACTCCTTCCACCTCCACTTACCACCTCTCACGCACTCTACCACCCCCAATCCACACACCACATCCAACCGTCAAGATGAGCGACTGGGACACCGTCACTAAGATCGGCAGCAAGACCCGCGGCGGCGCTGCCCCGCGTGAGACCACTGTCAAGGGCCGCAGCGCTCTGAACGCTGCCCAGCGCAGTGGTGCGGTCCTCGGATCCGAGAAGAAGTTCACCACCGGTAACATTGTATGTTGAAATCCCTTGTACTATTCAATTAGCCTTTTCGAAGGCAATGGGAATCAATGAAAGAGCATACGATTAACAATGACCACCTAACAGTCTGCAAAGGCCGGCGCCCCCGACGGCCAGCACTTGACCAAGGTCGACCGCAGCGACGATATCATCAAGCCCAAGACCGTCGGCTACGCCGTCGCAGATGCCATCAAGAAGCGCCGAACCGAGGAGGGCTACAAGATGACCCAGAAGGAACTCGCCACCAAGTGCAACACCACCATCACCATTGTCCAGGACTTCGAGCGTGGCTCCGCCACCCCGGACCAAAAGGTTCTCTCCTCTATGGAGCGCGTGCTCAACATCAAGCTCCGTGGCAGTGACATTGGAGCCGAGAAGTTCGCCAAGAAGAAATAGATTTCTCCTTTCTCCTTCTGTCTTTCTCATCTGGGGATGAGCCCGTGGCTTATTTTATTCCTTTGGGGATGACACCCAGGACGAAACATTGAAAGTTCTGCATCTCTTTCTACTGTTACTGTTTTTGATGATCGTCATGTCCCCGAACGACCCCTTTCCTCTCTATCTATGATTTTTTTTTTTTTAACTTTCCTTGGGTTTCTATTTCTGCTGGCTGGATGAGCGCTTGTCAATGCATGGAAATGGGCTTAGAGAAAACTTCATGAAAATGTATAAATGATACCTCCATACATGAATATCTTGTATTCTTCGATTTGTAGTATTTTAGGAACTCCTCTCGTATATGTCCTACTGGCGCCCACTGCATAAATCGTTGTGGGGATGCCGAGTCCTTAAGGTGGTGAATTTGTATCGATATCCCACCCATATTGCCACCCCCTTCAACCCAAACTAATTACCTCTCAATTCTGAAATCTCCAACTTTGATAATGTTTTCTGGAAGACCCCACATTTTTAAACACAACGACAGTTCGGTATTCTGGTAGCAAATAGTCATATAAATTTTGGAAGCTTCGTATTGTCTATTCCTGATATGCGATCCTCCGCCGGTGAACCGGAGAGTCACAGCTCCCACGTTTGCAGCTAAAGGACATACATATATCTCGAGAAAAAACCCATCATGAGAAGCATGCCATCTTTTATTAACCCAGAACAATAAACAAAGGGGTACCAACTCCGGGTGATCATGTAATCAACAGAAATGAGAAACCGTGCCTCGAAAGGTCATCATCTCATCCGGTATGCAGAACTCGTGGGCGGGATTGTGCCCCGAGTCTTGTTCGCATTCATAAAACACATACACAAGAAACGCAAACGTTCGAAAAAAAGAGTCACCTATATTTTTTCATCGCTCTTCTTGAGATTTCTCCACATCATTTACTTCACTTCACTTCCGCATCTGCTCCCGCTCAACCTCGTACATGAAGTCGAAGTAGGACTTGTCGAAGTGGTGAATACGGACGTAACCGTCCTCACCACCGGAGGCATACGCGGTACCGGCGGGGTGGACGTCGATGGTGTTAAGGGGACCGAAGTGACCACGGACACGGCCAATCTCGTCTTCGAAAATCTTGTGGTAGAAGCGGGCCTCGAATTTACCCTGGCGGGCGGAGGTGGTTGTGACATCCATGGCTGCTTGACCACCACCCAGAATCACGTAGTCCTTCTTGGGGGTGATGGAGGCGGAGTTGAGGGGAGTGTCGGCGGGGTAGGTCTTGAGGATGTTGAGGTCGCGAACGGACAGGAGCTTTCAGAGAGTTAGTCAATGGTGCTTTATATCGAAAGATCAATCGAATGCGCCTACCTTGGCAGACTTGTCCTTGGAAGCGGTGAGGAGTGAGGTGCGGTCGGGGGAGAATTGGATGTCGTTGATCTGGGAGTCGAACTCGTGGACCTGGACGTTGAGCAGCTGGTCACCAGTCTATAGGAAAAAAAAATATCAGCATCATTCGGCATGCCAGCAGAACCAATCACCCCCTCTATAGAATCTCGATCGTACCTTAGGGTCGTACTGGCTGACACTGCCGTCTTCGTGCGCGGCAATGATATACTTGGCGAGGAAACTCCATCCCGCCACTGTCGCCTTGCTGTCCTCGCAAGTAATTTTCAGGGAAGGCTCGGCGGCCTGATCCTCCAAGTTCTCGCCATAGTTGATATCCAGCACAACGATCGTACCCAGGAAACCCATACGCTTCTCCGTCACAGCCAACAGCTTGCTTCCATCCGGGGAGAAAGCGACCCGCTTCACGGCGGTAGGGAAGTCCCAAACCTTCACGCATTCACCAGTCTTGATGTTCCAGTAGGCGCACGGTGTTGTCGGCGGAGCCGGTAGCGAGAAGGACGGTGTTGGGGCTGACATCGACGGTCCAAACAGCACCCTGGTGACCGTTGTACGTTCCGAGACGCTCGCCGTTGGCGGACCACCAGGCGCAGACAATCTTATCTTTGGAGACGGAGAAAAGGAGATCGCCATCGCGGTTGAAACGAATCTGAGTCAGGGACCGTTCCTATAGAAAGACACGAACAGGGCCGCGGTCAGTAAACTGTACAATCTGTGTGGATCCAGCAGCTTTTGCTGCTAAAAAACGAGGAATTCCAACGCACATGGCCCGACAGCAAAATAGGGCGCATCTTGATCTGGGCGACGAGAAGATCCCGAAGAAAAAAGTCGAGGCGATCGGGGGGGTTGAGGAGGGGAGAGCGGGTATCACGGAGGGGGTTCAATCTCGTCAACCTTCGACTTTCTTTGACTGGTGAATTTCATCGCACACTGGGCCCGCGAATGCCAAGACCGACCTGGATGACTAAGGATGTTTGCAGGGAAGACAAACAGCCCAACCGGGCTCATATCTACACGTGACTGTGCCCCGCAGCCCTAACCCTATCAGCCTGATACAGCAGTCAGGTCAGGTCAGGTGATAAGCACTCTAGCGTCGTCACCTGACTGGAATCACATGTCTACAGCATGACTCAGCACGGCCCGGTCTTCTGCCTGAGGCCACAAACTCTCGGGGTGTTACAAGCCTCCTTTTATGTCGGACGGCCCGGACTCGCGTCGAAGTCGTGCAAGAAAAGGAGAGGAATGAAGGCGATTGTACGAGTGAGGGGGAATAGAAGATGTTTTCGTGTGCTCATTCAATCCTTTCCGATTCATTCCTTTGCATTGCAAGCTGTCCTGCAGAATTCCCTTGTGAACCCGAGCCACAAAATCAGCTCCGAGGGTTCTCGCCCCTAAAGAAGCAATAATATTCATGCTCTTCCCCGCCAAACCCCGCTGTCGCTTTTTCCTTCAAGCGCCTGCGGTCAATTTTCGCCTCCGCACCATCTCTCCGTCCTCCTTTCCCGTTAACCTTCCCTCCGCACGAGGGGTTCGAGGAAGCATTGTGTCCTCGTCGATTTGGTCTTCGCTGCCGACCTTTTTAAATCCCCCGGCCGCTTCTTCTCATCGCCCGTTCTGCAGTTCCGCGATCATGGCCTCCAAGATTGATGGCACGGCAATTGCCAAGAGCATTCGTGCGGGTCTCAAGGCTGAGATTGAGCAGACCCAGCAAACCAACCCTAGATACAAGCCCAATCTGGTCATCTTCCAAGGTAAGCGGATTGCTACTGTCCCCGTGGAACAATCGGGTGTGGAATTGGAATCGGAATTGGAATTGAGCTAACCGAAATTCTCTATACAGTTGGCAACCGGTCCGACTCCAGTCAGTTAACCCCAGCATGAGCTCACAAATCGTTTTCACGAGCAATCTTGAGCTTCAGCTAATATATTCTAGGCACCTATGTGCGCATGAAGCTGAAGGCCGCCGAAGAGGTATCTATCTTGTGATTTTCAACCCAATCGATCCTGCGCTTACTGACCCCGCACTGCTCATAGGCCAACATCATCTGCACCCTTATCAATGTCCCCGAGGATGTTACCGAGCTTGAGCTTGTGCAAGAGATCACCAGGGCCAACAATGACCCCGCCGTGCACGGTATTCTGGTGCAATTGCCCCTCCCCGCGCACATGTCAGAGCATACCGTCACCTCCACCGTTGCCGACGAGAAGGATGTCGATGGATTTGGCGCAATCAACATTGGTGAGCTGGCCAAGCGTGGCGGCCGCCCGAACTTCATTCCCTGCACCCCTCTGGCTGTGATGGAGCTTCTGAAGGCTAGCGGGGTTGATCCCGCCGGCAAGGAAGCCGTTGTGCTTGGCCGCAGCGACATTGTGGGCAGCCCCGTCAGCTACCTCCTCAAGAACGCCGATGCCACTGTCACTATTTGTCACTCTAAGACCCCGGATCTGGCTCGTTTGGTGAAGAATGCCGACATTGTGGTCGCTGCCATTGGCAAGACCGAGCTTATCACGGGCGATTGGCTGAAGCCCGGCGCGGTTGTCATTGATGTTGGCATCAACTTCAAGGAAGATGCCACAAAGAAGTCTGGCCAGCGCCTTGTTGGCGATGTTGACTTTGACTCTGCGGTCCAGGTCGCTTCTCAAATCACCCCCGTTCCCGGTGGTGTCGGCCCTATGACCGTTGCCATGCTGATGAAGAACGTCGTCCACGCCGCCAACACCTACTTTGAGAAGCAGAAGGATCGTCACATCACCCCCTTGCCTCTCCGCCGGCAAAACCCCGTTCCTTCTGATATCGCTATTTCTCGCGCTCAATACCCGAAGCCCATTTCCCAGGTCGCATCTGAGGTCGGCATCGCGTCCCACGAGCTCGAGCCCTACGGTCACACCAAGGCCAAAGTTAGCCTGGACGTGATCGACCGTCTCGCCCACCGCCGTAATGGCCGATACATCTTAGTTGCCGGTATTACTCCCACTCCCCTTGGAGAGGGTAAGTCTACGACTACATTGGGTCTCACTCAGGCGCTGGGCGCCCACCTCAACCGTATCTCCTTTGCCAACGTCCGCCAGCCCAGCCAGGGCCCGACTTTCGGTATCAAGGGTGGTGCCGCCGGTGGTGGATACAGTCAGGTTATTCCTATGGATGAGTTCAACCTTCACCTGACTGGCGACATTCATGCCATCACTGCCGCCAACAACCTGCTTGCTGCCGCCATTGAGACCCGTATGTTCCACGAGTCTACCCAGAAGGACGGCCCGCTCTACAAGCGCCTTGTACCCGCCTCCAAGGGCAAGCGTGAGTTTAAGCCTATCATGTTCCGCCGCCTGAAGAAGCTTGGCATCGAGAAGACCAATCCCGATGACCTAACCGAGGACGAGATCCACCGCTTCGCTCGCCTTGACATCGACCCCGAGACTATCACTTGGCGTCGCGTTCTCGATGTGAACGACCGTCACCTGCGTGGAATCACCGTTGGCCAGGCCCCCACCGAGAAGGGCCTGTCTCGCGAGACTGGCTTCGACATCTCCGTTGCCAGTGAATGTATGGCCATCTTGGCCCTGAGCAACAACCTGGAAGATATGCGTGAGCGTCTTGGCCGTATGGTGGTTGCTACCTCCAGAAATGGCGACCCGGTGACCTGCGACGACATCGGTGCTGGCGGTGCCCTTGCCGCTCTGATGAGGGATGCCATCAAGCCCAACCTGATGCAGAGTCTGGAGGGTACCCCCGTCATGGTGCACGCGGGTCCCTTCGCCAACATCAGTATCGGTGCTAGCTCGGTTATTGCCGACAAGCTGGCCCTGAAGCTGGCCGGAACCGAGCCAGATGAGGACCACGAGGACAAGACTGGTTTCGTCGTGACTGAGGCTGGATTTGACTTCACGATGGGCGGCGAGCGATTCTTCAACATCAAGTGCCGGTCATCGGGATTGTCGCCCGACACGGTGGTGATCGTTGCTACGGTCCGTGCGCTCAAGGTGCACGGTGGCGGTCCCGAGATCACTCCTGGCGGCGCCCTGCATGAGATCTACCGGACGGAGAACGTGGATATTCTCCGGGCAGGTTGCATCAACCTGCGTAAGCACATTGCCAACGCGAAGCAATACGGCGTTCCCGTGATTGTCGCGATCAACAAGTTCGAGACCGACACTGAGGCTGAGATCAACGTCATTCGCGAGGAAGCCATCGCGGCTGGTGCAGAGGACGCTATCCCGGCTAACCACTGGGCCGAAGGTGGAGCCGGAGCGGTTGACCTGGCCAAGGGGGTCCTGGCCGCTAGCTCGAAGCCGAAGGACTTCAAGCTGCTGTACGATCTGAATGGCAGCATTCAGGAGCGTATTGAGCGGATTGGTAAGGAGATGTATGGAGCTGCGAAGGTTGAATTCAGCGAGCTCGCGCAGAAGAAGGTCGACACATACACCCAACAAGGCTTTGCGAACCTGCCGATCTGTATCGCCAAGACTCAGTACTCGCTCAGTCACGATCCCGCGCTGAAGGGAGCCCCAACTGGGTTCACGGTGCCTATCCGTGATGTGCGCTTGGCAGTTGGCGCTGGTTATCTGTAAGATCTCTTCCCCCGCCCTCCCGTTCTAATTCCTCTACTCCTAGTCATTGGTCGGTTATATGCTAACAAGGAGTTTTAGGTACGCTCTCGCGGCGGATATCCAGACCATCCCCGGACTGCCGACCGCGCCAGGGTATTTGAATGTGGACATTGATCCGGCGACTGGCGAGATTGACGGACTGTTCTAGAGGGAGAATGAGATAGACGAATATGATGTAAATAGCACATAGCGGAGACTTTCAACATATCAGGTAATGGCGCGAGGGAATTTCAACACGGCTAGAGAATGATACTTGGTTCTAGTTACAGATAGCAGGGGGCTGTATGCAGTATGCAGAGTAGTAGTAGATATAATTATAATTTTACCCAGTCTTTCATTTCTCCTGACTGTATAGGTGTGAACTTGAGTATCGTTAATAAATGCTTGGGTATCTGATTCGGCAGAGTGTTTCCCGGGCATATAGGCTACACCCCACCACCTGCAAGGCACTTCACTCACCCGCGGAGGTCCCTCCGAGCTCCGGCCAACCGCCCGTACGAACTCCCGCAAATCGCAAACCGCTCATCCGCCCAGCGGGTCGGTGGAGAGTTCACCGAGCTTCATGACTCGACCAGCTGATCTGCTCACCGTGGTCTAAGCTGGATCACAGCCATCCCTGGAATTGCTGGGAATTAGCAGTAGCATCAGATATTTATCATTTATTATCTGGTAATTTTTTATCAAAGCTCATCGCTAAGACGGAAAGGCCCCCTCTCTCAATTTGACCAAGAGTCACGAGACGCCGGCTTCGGCGCTTCCCACGGTTAAAGACGCACCGCTGCGCTGTTTTGGTCTTGCCCGGACAAGGCTTTTCCCATCCCTTCATCACTTTCCAACCATCTTCTTGCGCTCTCGGTAATTCCCCCCACTGTCTATTACCTTCCTTCCCTCTCCCCGTCCCGTATTGCCCCGGCATTTCCCCCAGACTTCCCTTTGGTCCGCAGATTGCCAGTGCCCGCATTCGCCGCATTCGCCGTGACGTTAGTTGTCCATACTCACTTCCCGACTCCACTGCCTCTCCATTCTGCCGAATATCGTCCCTCGGTTGTTCCTCACGGCTTTCCGGGCCAAACAGAAACTTGCGAATCTCGCGCTGACCTTTCCCGTACAGTCCCTCTCAACTCGCATCATCCAACCATGAACGCCCTTCGGTCCAGTTCCGCCTTCGCGCGCCGGTCCCTGACCCCCGCCTCTATCTCTGCCCCTCTCTCTTCCTCTCGTCTTCTCTCTTCTTCTTCCTCCCAACTACCTTCCTCTCAGAGATCTCTTTCTTCTGTTTCCCTTCGCTCTAACAGACTCTCTGCATCCCGCTGGTCCGGATCGACTCCTTCCGTCAACTTCTTCCAAATCCGCAAAATGACTTCCGATAGCAAGATCAAGGTGGTGAACCCAGTCGTCGAACTGGATGGCGATGAGGTACGAAATACAATTGGAGGGGTAGGGGCGAGCAAGAAGCAAAGGAAGAAAAGACAAAAAAAAAAGAGAAAACTTCTGCCCCCCAAAGACATCCCGACCCCTCTCTTTTTATAGCTTAAACCTTCTTCTTTTGTTCGTCGAAAACGGTCCGGCCCGTTTCACAAGCCTGACCTCATGCGGTTCCCGCTGTGTTCTCGCCGCCTCTTGACTTGAACGCGGGGAAATACGGAGGTTGATTCACATGTGTCAATGGCTATCCCGAGGGGCAACCGTTCTAGACCTACCCTACTCACCCAATGGCTCTTCTTAACATGTGCTAATCATTCATCTTCTCTATAGATGACCCGTATCATCTGGCAAGAAATCAGGGAAAAGGTAAGCCCCGGATATTTCCCTCCCCCTCATACTTCCTATCTCTCCCCTCATCCCGGCTAGACCTGCATGATCGTCCTTGCAGGATGTGGCTGCAGGCGGTCTGATTCGCTGAACATCACTCCCCTCGTGCGTATCTGGTTCGAGACTAACATTGCATCTATAGTTGATTCTGCCGTAAGTGCACATTTTCAGGGCATCGATCATCCCGTATTTTTCCTAACATTGCCCAATCAGTTACCTCGACATTGATCTCAAGTACTACGATCTGGTAAGCCCACACCGCTCTATATGATATTGAACTGTAGAGCCGAACTAATCAATTACCGTGTAGGGTCTTGAGTACCGTGACCAGACCGATGACAAGGTCACCGTTGATGCCGCTGAGGCCATCAAGAAGTATGGTGTCGGTGTCAAGTGCGCCACCATCACCCCCGATGAGGCCCGTGTTGAGGAGTTCAAGCTGAAGAAGAGTAAGCTTTCCCCTGCCGTCTGCATGAAGTCATACGACCCGGCCCGACTAACAACTCACCAGTGTGGCTCTCCCCCAACGGTACCATCCGTAACATTCTCGGCGGTACCGTCTTCCGTGAGCCCATCATCATCCCCCGCATTCCCCGCCTTGTGCCTGGCTGGAACAAGCCCATTGTCATTGGCCGCCACGCCTTCGGTGATCAATACCGTGCCCAGGACCGTGTCATCCCCGGCCCCGGTAAGCTCGAGCTGGTCTACACCCCTACCGGTGGTGAGCCCGAGCGCGTCCAGGTCTACGACTTCCAGGGCGGTGGTGTCACCCAGTGCCAGTACAACACCGATGAGTCCATCCAGGGCTTCGCCCACGCCTCTTTCCAGATGGCCCTGATGAAGGGTCTGCCCCTGTACATGTCCACCAAGAACACCATCCTGAAGCGCTACGACGGCCGCTTCAAGGACATCTTCGAGGAGATCTTCGAGAAGGACTACAAGAAGGACTTCGATGCCAAGGGAATCTGGTACGAGCACCGTCTGATCGACGACATGGTCGCCCAGATGATCAAGTCTGAGGGTGGCTTCGTTATGGCCCTGAAGAACTACGACGGTGATGTCCAATCCGACATCGTCGCCCAAGGCTTCGGCTCCCTGGGTCTCATGACCTCCACCCTGGTCACCCCCTCCGGCGAGGCTTTCGAGTCCGAGGCCGCCCACGGCACCGTCACCCGCCACTATCGCGAGCACCAGAAGGGCCGCGAGACCTCCACCAACCCCATTGCCTCCATCTTCGCCTGGACCCGTGGTCTCGTCCAGCGCGGAAAGCTCGACAACACCCCCGAGGTTGTTGCTTTCGCTGAGGAGCTTGAGAAGGCTTGCACTGATGTCGTTAACGACGAGGGCATCATGACCAAGGATCTGGCTCTCGCTTGCGGTCGCAAGGACCGCGAGGCTTGGGTGACTACCAACGAGTACATGGCTGCCGTTGAGCGTCGCCTGAAGGCTAACCTCAAGGCCCGCCTGTAGATTCCTTTTCCATTTTAACTTGAACATGTTATGCGTTTGATACCCCCTCTAGACTCGGGGGATTTTTTAGCTTCTGCAATGTACAGCTGTGGATGAAAATAAAACGATCTTTCTATTCTTATTATCAATTGTAGCCTTGGAGGTGTTCCTATGTTTCAAATTATGGGTATGATCGAAACTACGATATACTCCAGGGCTGCTGGTATCGAAGTCTGTTTCTTGCGGGAAGAGACTAAGGCTTTGTTTTCAAAAGTAAACCTTCTCGGCAAACTGATTGTCTCCTCGCTAACTTAAAAAGTAGTTGCTAATTAGCCTTAAGTCTGTTCCCTCAATTCAAGTTGTTTGTCCTGCTTGGCCCTGTTTGGCCCTGTTGCAACAGGCACAATTTAGCGAAACCCGGTACAGTAGAGGCTCTGGGCCACTGGCATTGAAGAAGTCCATCACGGTCTAGCCCTCCCCGATAACCCACGACTCAGAGAACAGGGCCTCAGCTTCCCTCCTATCCTTGGCCGACAAGCAAACGAGTCATGGTATCTGATCTCCCAAGCCACCATAGGTCTAGACTTGAGGTCTAGCGAAAAGAAACAAGCCACAGCTTTGGCAGCATAGTATGGGAGATAACCTCTTCCCCCACAGCCAAGCACTCGGCAATTCTAGTAGCACTGGATCTGCAAAACACTAAATAATGGACCTTTTCTGACGATATAAACTAGGCTATCGGCAACTCCGAGCCAGACTACTGAGGTGTACATACGAGCAGTTACCCACAACGACACACAAAGAAAAGCAAAAGAAAACAACAATTCGAGTGCAACCCTTAATCATGTAGACGCAAATCCGGAAAAGATAGACACGACCAGTCAACTTCCCAAAAAGAATTGGAGATAGAGCTTTTTCACCTCTCACCAACCTTGACTTGACGTTCCGGATGCGGAGAATTCTCCACTTACTTCCCCAGCCACCACTGTCCTAACAAGGTAAAGCAGGTTCCTCTCGCTAGCAAAACTCATACTATCCATGGAAAGGCCCCGGATCCGAGTGAAGCTACTGAGATCTATTCGACGGAAGGTAGAAATAAGATTTTGAAGGCGTGGGACCAGGCTGGCCTGGGGAGAGTTTTCCATGAAATGTTAACGCCGCTAGAATGATCAACCGTGCATCGATTGGGTGGGGACCACCTCCACAACTTCAATCTCTACTAATCATTTGCTGGAATTATTTGGGCGGCGATTACATTTCATAGAATTGGCCTATCAGCGTTGATGGATAAGTTCGGGGGTTGCGAAGGGGCGGCCTTATAGTCTTTGACGCAATGGATCAGTGCTGGTTCCCGATGCGGTAGATGATGGACCAATAGGGCTGGTCGGGTGATACTACCCCATGATGAGGCATGGATTAAAGGTTGGTCTAGGAGGGGCTACTGGGATACGGGATGAATTTTCTTGGCTTCTGCTCTACTATCATGCAGAATGTCGTGCCTGGTTGGATCTTTCTGAAGAAATTGTGTATCCAATTAACCGGTGCATTTCTCGCAGTTCATCTGGCTTTGGCTTTGGCTTTCCCTCTGATATTTAGTATTCGCGCCGCCCATTGTCTGAGATCTTTGGAACTTTCGCATTGTATTCAGGCTATTGTCGACTTGAAGATCCTACTGGTCATTCTCTTAATACTACCTTCATTGCATGGGACTTTGCCCCCCTCTTCTTCTTCTTTCTGCAACTTCTGTCCACAACATATGGGTTGACACTTCCCTCCCTGCACCTTACACCTCAATCAAGAGATTATCCAGCCTCTCATCAATGGACCAACCGACAATCGCTTGCACATCATCACTCGATAATGCGGGTCCGGGCCATCTCGACCATCTTTACCGTGTTGTCGGCTCTGTTCGTTGCATTCCGCCTGTTCACACGTGTGAAGCTGGTTAAGAAATGGGGATACGATGACTTGCTCATCATTGCCGCATGGGTTTGCTCCGCTACCTTTTTCGCCTTTATAATTGTCGGTGAGTTCTAGAATTACTATTAGCATACCTCTATACATACTCAAGCTAATTGTACAGAGCGACACTACGGCCTTGGGCAGCATAAAGCATCACTTCCTCCCCATCTCATCCAAGCAGAGCTCTTTGTAAGTTCTACTTCCCCATAGATCGAGCGAATATGTGGCTGATAGAAGTAAACTATGCAGTACCTGTGGCTCTCCATCCCTTTCTACAACCTCTCTCTCATCCTTTCCAAGCTCTCAGCCCTCGTTTTTCTCACTTCCATATTCCGCATCCGACACTTTCTCATCACCGCATACCTCATCATGGGCTTCCTGGTAGTTGCAGGGCTCTGGATGGTCCTGAGCGGCTTCATCTTCTGCGTACCCGTTCCCATATTCTGGAGCATGAACAAGAGTCTCGTCGCTGCCCACTGTCTACCGAAAGCTCCAGTATGGTTTACGAACGCCTCCATACAAATCGTCACAGATATCATCATCTTGATTCTTCCGATGCCAATTGTATCCAAGCTGCGATTACCGAAACGGCAACGAGCGGGTATCATGATCATTTTTGGCGTTGGGATCTGCGTTATCGCAACGAGCTTAGCACGAGTCTATGAATTGAGCGTCATGGTGCGCAGTCACGACTTTACAAGTAAGTTACTCTCCAATTGTTTGCTCTCCTTTCCTTTTAATCCTATTCCAACTCCGTTTGCCAATCGAAACAACCATCTAACCCATTCACAGAAACCAACGCCGAAGCCGCCGTCTGGTCTTGTCTCGAAGCAAACGTCTCTATAATCTGCGCCTGCCTCCCACCTCTACACACTCTAATCTCACGAGTCTTCTCATTCTGCTTCCGCCCACAACCAATCAACGCAGCACCCGCTTCAAACACCAGACCGCACTCAAATACAACGTTCCTCATCTCTTCAGCCCGCAAACCCTCCATCTACGACCATCACCATGATGGCGTATTCTACAATGACACATTCTACACCGGCCCAGTAGGAAGCTACACAGCTAGTATCTCAAAGGTCAATACGAATGACGACGACCCCGAGAGCGGCGGAAGCGCCAACAGCAGAGATGGTATCCGTGTTGTCCGCGAGCTGCGCATTGGATCTGATTCCGTCGCGCCGAGTCCAACACTCGCTCCGACTCTCGGTCCAACTTTGGGCTTGACTGGGACTAATGAGCATGATTTTGAATTGGAGCCCTGTGGCCCGTCTGTTGAGTGGGATCTTGGTGATTTCGAGTTTCCAGATTATAAGGAGCGGATGAATGCTCCGCTTTGATGGGATCGGATAGGAATGGAGGTTATATCTATGTAATTATAGTATCGAAGCCATTGCATTTTGCATAAACGCGAACACGACTTGACTACCTAGAAATGAATTGAAATGATTGGAAAAAATGGCTCTCTATTTGGGTTAATGACTATTTGCCTCCTAGGGGACACAGGTTACTCAGAGACTGGGTCGGGCAGTATCTTTCCATCGCATGGCTTGTTCAATGGCCTTGGCGACAGCGACGCATTTCTCCTCGCCGAAACGGCCGCCTACGACTTGTACGCCGACCGGCATGCCTTCGACTAGGTTGATATCATCTGCATAGATGGATGTTAATTAGTACCGCAGTGCGTCAATTGAGAATACGGTGGGAAAAAAAACTCACACTGCTCCTTATTAAACCTGTCGCCAGAATTTCTAGGCACATGGTCCAACCATTCTTGATCCGGCATATCCTGTTCGCGAGAAACATTTGTGATGGGCACAGACAAGGCCGCGTATCCGAGTAAATTCCAGATACTGGTGTAGCCCACATATGCGCTGGATTTCACCCATGTCCAGGGCTTGTATCCCACCCCAGGAGTTGTCGGCATAATAAGTGCGTCGATGCCGGATGTAGTCCAGCGATCGAGGTAGCTACTCTCATAGAGATACTTATCCGCATTCAACTATCGCTTGTTAGCAGCTGTCTGACAACCGCTGCACCGCAGAATTATACTCGTATCATATATCACATACCTGATGCGTCTCCGAGGTAGACAAGATATGATCTGGAGTTCCAACCAACATCCCCTCAACCAGAGGCTCACCCGTCATCTCGATCTTCCTGCGACATCCCTCGCCTCCATCAGAGAAGATAGCCTTCTCCCATAAGGAGTAGGCGTATGCATGAGAGGACGCATCCCATTCAAAGACTACAAAAGGAAGGGTCAGAAGGAGATTCATTCAAATACCCGGAGGAACAAGGTTCAAACAAAACAGGGACAAAAAACGAACCTTCATGCCCAGCCGCCCTCAACGCATCAATAACATCCCGAACCGCCCTCGCGATCGGAGGTTGAACTTTGACAACACCATCATCTACCACAAAGCCAATGCGCAGTCTCTTCGCCTTCAACGAAGCCAGACTCCTCCGCCACGGAACGGGCGCAGTATGTTGATCTAATTCCCAAGGCGAAGCACACGGCAGAACCTCCATATACCTCTCAATACTCGCTAGGGAACAAGCCATCGGACCTGCGACTGAGCGAACGATATCCTGGCCGGGACTATTGTGAACGAGGGGGAGTTAGAAGATGAACAAACCACCATTTATACTCAGATTATACTGCCGAACTTGACGAAGATATCAAAGAATAAACTTACTTCCCCCTCTCATAAGGATGTCTCCCAGGACTAGGCGAAAGTCCAAAAATCCCCGTCAAACTAGCCGGGATTCGAATCGAGCCTCCCAAATCCGTACCAATGCCGAGCGGACTACCCCGAGCCGCAACAAGCGAGGCCTCGCCGCCAGAGCTCCCGCCGGAAATCAGAGTGCGGTTCAGTGGGTTCACGCATTGGCCGAAGACGTGGTTGTATGAGTCGGACATCATCATTGATTGAGGGAGGTTTGTTTTTACGTATAGGACTGCGCCGAGGCGGCGGAGGGTTTGGGCGACGGATTTGTCGGTTGCGGAGGGGTTGTTTGTTAGTCCGACCCAGCCTGTACGGGGATTGATGGTGTTAGCGAAATGCATGGGTGGATGGGTGGTTAGTGGGTATGGGTATGGGCATGGGAAAACATACCGATAGAAGTATCGACACCCTTAACAGAAAATAAATCCTTAATCGAAACAGGCAGTCCATGCAAAGGACCAACCGTCGATCCAGTCTTAGCTAAATGAGCATCCATCCGCTTCGCCGTGGCGAGCGCTTCTTCAAAGAAGATCTCCGTGCAGCAGGTGGTTAATTGGTGGGCTAGGGCTGCGCGCTTTGCGAATGCAGTCGTTAATTCCAGCGAGGAGAGCTCGCCGGATGACAGGTTGCGCAGAAGCACTGTTATATCTGTTTCCTCTGTGAGGAGTAGTTCTCTTGCGGAGAGGATGCTTCGGAGGTAAACGAGTGCATCGGGCGTCGATTCCACGGATGGGACTGAAGAAAGACGCCATTCGGCTGGAATTAAGGCGAGTTGCTCCGCGCGCTTTTGGGCTGCGAGGTCCAGGTAGGTCGGTGTTGTTGTGGTGGCCATGATGGAAGCCGTTTTAACTCCGAAGCCAGTGCCAGGTGGGGTGCGATGGAATGTCTATGGGGGATAGTAGAAATTTGAAAGAAGAAAAATGGTGAGATTGTAGTAAAGGGAAACAACAGCTTCATATATAACCCTGGGATGAGGAAACCAGATACTAGAAATAGACAATAAACCAACAAACCACCGGCAAGAATCCAAGTACTAGTATGCCACGAGAAAGGGAAGCCAAAGATAAGAAAAATAGATTCGTTTCCCAATTAGGCAAGTTATCAAATGTATCTACTCCAACAGCCAACCACAAGACGACTTCCGCTGCAACCGGGGCCTTCTACCCCGCGATTTCCGTCCCCACTCCCTTAAACCACCGAGGCAACGCCCCGACTCATCCAACGCCGCTCGCACTGTTCCTGACCATCCGGATAACGCGGAAACTCACAAAGCCGACAATTCCGCCAGTAGCTGCGAATTACCTCGCACTGTTGTGCTTGCGTTGCGTGTATTCCGCTTACATAGATGGGTGTGGCGAGGTGCACGTAGAAACGCGATGAGGTGGGCAATCGGGATATCGCGTTACATACGCGATCCACCATGTTTGATAACACGTCTGAATGGGCGAGTGTTCTTAATTGATCTCGATCTGAATTATGGCTCAGGGGTCCGGGTTGATCGTGATCGTGATCATGGTGTCGGTATAGACGGGCAAAAGCAACAATAGCCCCAGCATATCGGTATACTGCAGCTGCGAGACCGCGGTCTGTTTGATCTGATGAGTCGAGGCGCAGAACCTGGTCCATTGCCATGGTACTGAGATCTGCAATGCTCGACTCATTCTTGGATCTAGATTCAAATTCCGTTTCCTGTTTGGCGAGTTGTACGAATAAGTCGTATGTATCTGGTGGACAGCCTACAGAGGAAAAAAAGGACTGGTGGAGAATATTGCGGTGCCAGTCGTCGAAGATAAGAGCCCCGTCTTCACGGACTAGGGTCCCCGTTACATCGAACCAGACAAGGTAGGCGAGGACATCTGCGAGACCGGGGATTTGTTGCGTGAGATCGTCGATGTCTGTTTGGTTGTGGCAGTGTACGTCGAGTAATGAGCGTGCGCCTTGGAGATGTCGGTGCCATTGTCCGAATGGGCCGCAGCAGACCTCGAACATGGCGAAGGTGCCGATACCAAACAGGGCGACGGGGTGCGCTGACTCGACGACCTTGCTTAGATTCGATATCGCGGTCAAATGCGACTGGATTGAGTCTCTGTCATCTGTGCCTTGGAGGCGAGATCGAGCGAAGCTGAGTGTCCGTGAGATAAGTTCGATGGCTTCTTCTGGGAGCTCCTGCTTGCTTGATTGAATCTCTTGGTAGAAGTGGGAGAGAAGGTCGATGAAGCCGTATAGATTGATAGGGATGTTTGCATGTAGTTCCGTCTGGCCAGCTTGAAGTTGATCATGCTGCTCGGCTGGTATGGTCGACAAGGGGGACAAGGATAATGACGGGGATGTTTGGGGTGATGTCTTCAGTGCTGGAGTGGCCTTCTCGCTCATCCATTTCACTCTTTGGGGATATTGGCAGGAGGCATCTTGTTGTTGGCATGGTTGGCATCGGGGGCGGTTGAGATCGCACTTGATGCCATTCATGCGGCAGTGGTAACAGTGGCGATCATGGCGAATGCCACGAGGCTTCTTATTCCCTGCCATTGCCCATCTGGATGAATTTGTCCACGGTTGTTCCAAGGGGACGTCCTCGGGGCCAATGCCGAAGCCGGATCTACGGGAGATAAGAGTGCGGGGGAAGTCTTGGGGTGCGCCGGGCTGCCCGTTCGGTCCTAGCGAGAGCAGGACTAGTACTATCTCAGCTGTATACTACAAGTCGGAGTTGATCCGCGGCAGTAGTTTGCACATTGAAACGAGTGTGATTTCGCTAATTATAGCACAGTACAACCGGGGAAATTCCCATGTAAACACCTTGAACCTGGGCCCCAAATGATAAAACCAAAAGAGTGACAGAGTCTGGAAGCCAGCCAGACCGAATGTAACAACGCCCGAGAAAATATATACAAACTTTGCGACCATCCCAAGTTGGAATATACAAAAACAAAAATAGTATTTACACTGTCTCGTAGAATCTTCATTCTCCCCATACTCCAGTCCCGCTCAATGGCAGGAGACGTTGGGACGAGAATTCGAAGCCATTGTCATGTGCACATATCGACTCTGCGAGGAACTATTTTTGTGTCCTTGAGCAATCCTTTCACGTCGGCCACGTCGCTTTGTGTATGCGTTGACTTGCTCTGGCTTGGGCTCAACAAAGAGACCCTGACCGGTATCTGAAGCCTGTTGACCCGACCTGCAGTGTTCGACTTTTGGACTTTGTGTTTCGAGCCTGCTTGCAAGTTTTTCTTTTCTCCTCTCGCGACGACGATTTGCTCGCTCATGCTGTCTCTTGCCGAATGAGTGGCGTTTCTCTGCTGCCGCGCGCCGTCTCTTGGTCCTCGACGAGGCTCGAGAGAGAGGCCGCGATGAAGCGAATGAGGCTCGGGAAGAGGAGCGGGACCGATTCTTCAAGCTGATCACTTCCTTGAGATGGTCAAGAGCAGCTATGAGTGGCAAGGGGGATGCGACCCTCCCGTTCACTACTGATGCGGAACCCAGTGAAGGGGCAATGTTCAACACAATGTTGCTGTTGGAGGCTTGGCTAATCGATCGTCTTCGCTTACAGGCCGTCTCAGATACACACTGCGGCGGGCGGTTTTCGTTCTCCACGGAGACTGAGCAGAGAGAAGCTGCAATGGCATGCGAGATTTTGCACTGCGTGTCTGGACTGATGGGATGCTTGGTTGGACCGATTGGTGCAGGGGTTGTGAGACGACTATCGTGACTTTCCAGGGGCAGAGCTGGAGGAGGGAGAGGCGAAAGCTTGAGAAGAGAAGCTGAGTCTTCAGTATCCAACCCACCGAGGCTTGGCTTTTGGGGAGGCGATGTGGAAGCGACGGGCGGCTCTTTCGACGGGCGATCCGACGAAGGTGGGCTTGGGTCAACGACGTTTGACGGCATCTGTGATAGGACAGGCATTGGCACCATGCTGATGGTCATAGCAGGCATGTTCGGCATATTGAATGTAAGACCTCCCAAAAAGGGACTCTGGAGCGCCGCATGGAATGGCTTTGGAGCAAGTATTGGCGACGGAGCTCCAGCTCGAAATGGTGCGATCTTGTAGTCCAAATTTGGAGGTAGAGCGCCAGCATCAAGAGAGGTGAAAACTTTAGGACTGCTCTGGGCACGGCTACCGGCAGACTTGGGAGAGTCTTCGTTCCGTTCCGAAACACTTTGATGGAGAGAATCAAGGCTGCTCGAACAATGATGGCAGATAATGTCGTATTCTCCCTCGCGGGGTACGAAGGTCATCGAGACAGGCTGCAGCCCCATGTACATATCCAGATTCCAGTTGCATATCTCCAGCCAAGATGGAAGCTCGTCGATCGGGATCAGAGGCACCAAGATTCCGCCTGGTCGGAATACACAGAAGCGAGGAATCGGACGAGAAGTCGGGAAGTGGAGAGGATAAGGTCGTTGATATCCGCAGGTCTGCATGGCGGCAAGTCGATGACAAAATCAGTGTCAAGAATAGAGCGAGCGAGTAAATGAGTGAAGGAATGAATAAGTGAATGAATGAATGAGTGAAATAGTTGTTGGCAATCAAAAGTACGTATACGGCTGAGTATACAATGAGAGTGAGAGTATGATATACCGTGGGTGAGAAGAAAGAGTGGATGAGGAGAGAAGAAGAAGAAGAGAAAACGAGAAGAGAAAGAAGATGGGAGTTTTGTTTACATTGTGGTCCGCTCTTTCCAAGTGAGTACCAACAAGGGTATTTCCATGGATTAAATGGCAGGTGCAGCTAGTCTATACTGAAACAAAAGAGAGCACTGACGTAAGCCATTAAGGTAAAGCGAGGACGATCTCAGGAAGGAACAAATGTCCCATTGCGACAGTCGAAGCCCAAGTTGGGGTTGAGTGCTGAAGTAGCATTGATGCAGACCGCAGTGGGGGCCTCCATACTTTGCGGAATCAATTGAATGTTTTTCAAGGCAAAGTTTTTGCAGGACTTGTCGGTATTGCACTCGATAATGACAGCCTCAGTGTGCTTAAGATTGGGAAGCCCAACATCATACCAGCAGGGATCTGTCGCGCAGGATCCATCACCGGGACGGAAAGTATTGATAGTACCTGTAAAGTCCGTCCAGGAGAAGTCCTCCATCACGACAGAGGCATTATTGACACGTCCAGTAGTTTGGCCATCGCCGAGTTGTGTCTGGGAAGAACCCTGGTTGAGATAGCTCTGCGTCACGAAGATTGGGAAAGTCACGTTGTACACGCGGATGTTCTTCCAGGTGATGTTCTTGGCGAGGCCCTGGCCACCCATCCAGGACTTGAAACGTGCACCGTAGACTGCATCGATGACAGTGACATCTTCGAAGTGGATGTTGGAGACGTTTGCGAATTCATCTTGGGATTGACCTAGTGATCCAATGCTCATGCCGTGGCTCTGGTAGCCGATGGTGTTCCGTTCGAAGACCACGTTGTGAGATCCTGATTGGACTGCAATGGCATCGTCTCCGTTGTATATCACACTGTCGGTAATGCGGACGTTCGTGCCAGTAACATCAAATCCGTCAGTGTTGAACGGGAATGATCCGGTGGACTCGGCGTCAATAAAAGCGTGGCTGACTTCAATGTCGTCTCCCTCCACCTGGACATTCCAAGCGATGGGTTTACGAGACTTGAAGTACTTCAATGAACCATTCGTTGTCTTGAAGCTCATGAGGTGTGGACGAGAGTCAATTCCCGTGCCATTGACTGGGTTCGCATCCCACCAAGCCTGGCCGTAAGAGTTGATCCAGCCATTGTTGACATCCGAAGAGCCGATATAGTCAATCTTGGGTCCCTGGAAGGTGAACCAGTGCTGGCCATCCGCGTAGGTAACTCTATTTGTGCGGTTTACCACCTTTTGAACTTCGGCAATACTTTGAGGGAGGTGGAGGTTGCCATTCACCTGAATCTCGACATTGCTCAGGTTCGTGACGCTGACGGGCGTGAAGATATTATAGTCGACGCCTTCCTTGAAGACAACGACCGAGTCTTTAGCGCATCGAGCAAAGACTTTCTGCACAGCCGGGGTATCGTCCGCTGTGCCATTGGAAGACGGGACAACACAGCGATGGGGTCGACTAGTATCTGAGCGGCGAAGGCCAGGAGCACCGAGCGCCAGAGAGGAAGATACCAGGGCTAGGATCGCAGAGCGCGGAATCAGCATTGTGAGCAGAGCAAGCAATAAGGAATGCTGAAACTGATACCTCTGGAGACTCAGCCAACACCCGCCAGCTTTATACTGTACCTGGAAATATACTCTACCCGGGGTTATTTGGATGAGATCATCGCCAACCCCGGAAGAATCGCTGTCAAGCCCGGGGCATCGACCCCACAATGCGGAGACGGCAAGCGCCAGCTGGTGTCAAGTGGACGGACTTTTATTTCCGCGGCCGGGGTCCAGAGATCAATTGGTGGAAATAACTGGGATCGACGATCTTTTCGCTGCAGGCGAGATGGGACGATGCTTGTGCGAACATCACGCCAAGCAAACAGCCGACGAAGTGCCACCAAAGTGCCACCAAGCCATTGCATTGCATTGCATTGCCGGTCGTTGCAGTGGTTCCCATTTACGTGCCACATTGTGGCACCAAGCATCGATAACTAAGCTAAGTGGAGGTGGCTGATGGCTGGCAGACTAGTACGAGCAGTAGGCTGTAGTTCAAGTTGTCGGAGCTCGGAGCTTCGACCAGCCGATATTGGATGTCACTGACTTGAACTACGAATACTCTTCCACCATCGACATTCCAACCACCAACAAACTTGAAACCACATACATCCACACAACCAAATCATATGAAAATGACCCTCCAAAACCCCACAAACACCGATCGCCCAACACCAACCATCACCCCAGAATCCGCAAGCCTCCACCTAGGCAGCTCAATCTTCATCAACGCCCCCTCAACCCGCGTCTGGGAAGTCCTAAGCGACACATCAACATGGCCAAGCTGGAACTCCTTCGTACCGCGCGTGACAATCCGCTCACAACCCGACACTCCCACAACCGCTGACGACTCCAACACCAACACCACCGCACCCGCACCACTCTCCCCAATCCTACAGAAGGGCACGAAAGTCACCTTCCACGTCCGCATGGATCCAAACTCAACAAAGCCCCAAGCCGCAACAGATGCCGGCCTAATCGTGACCGAGTACGAAGCGCCGAATGCAGAGACCGGGACAGCGGGGCGAATTGTTTGGGCGTCGGACTTTGAGGCGTCCGGGACGATGCCGCCTTCGCTATTGACTGCGGAGCGGGTCCATGAGATTAAGGATGTGCAGGCCGAGGAGGGTGGGGTTCGTGGAACGGAGGTGAGGAATTGGGAGTTGCAGGTTGGGTGGATGGTTTATGTTGTTAAGTGGATGTATGGGGCGCAGTTGAAGGTTAATTTTGATCTGTGGGTTAATGATTTGAAGAGGTTTGTTGAGAGTGGGAATGGGGGGCATGAGTAGATTGGCTGTGAATAGTGTGGTCTTTGGATGGGTGTTTAGTTCAAGTTTTTTAATTCAGGTTGCCGAGCGTTTGCTTCGAGTTGAATTGATCTATGGGTCGAGGATGGGAGTACTATCAAGATCTTCAAGTTTGTTTCGTCTTCGATCTCTGGGTTTGTTTAATTTGAAAGAACTACATGTGTAAGAATGAACTCTACTACAATTAAATCGTGCGGGAAGAATTAATTGTATGAAACAATAGATTGTTCGTTCAAATTCTAACCTTCATTAATCTGATATGCTCCTCACTCCCTTCCCTCGACTCCATCTGACCGGGTATATGATCTAACGAATGTATATAGTAGTATAAATGCCAAAGAAAAAGGAAAAATGCTCCGAATGCCCTCCCAAAAAAAATGCAAATGCAAATGCAAATGAAACCAAAGAAAGAAAATATTAAGATCAATCAGAAGATCAGACTCATTCTACCCCGTCCCCACAAACCTCCTCCGCCAGACCCACCCACTCAATCGCAGTAATCCGCTGCGCCGGATCCTTAACAACAGCCGGCCGAACCAACCTCTCAACAAACCCATTCCTAGGAACCCTCGCCCCATTCCCAAAAGAGCGAATGAAATCCAGAATCTGATGCCCCTCCCCAGCCATCAGATTCCGGCGCCGGAAATCGCACCCAGGATACAAAAGTACATCGCCCGTCGCCGCGGCCAGAAGCGTCGCAGCTAGGGAAAAGACATCCGAAGCCGGGCCCGGTGGAGGATTACCACTACCAGGCCTAAGAGATTTGAGGACCTCAGGCGCGGAGAAAGGCGCCGTGAAACTGGATAGAATCTTTTCATTACCGCTCTCAGAGGGGTCTGGCGAGATATCCATTGCTGCGGAGAAATCCGCCAACAGCGGCTCGTAGCGGAAGGCGTTGGGGCCATTGCCATTGCCGTTGGTCATGTCCTGTCCCTCTGCAACCTCGATAGGGCGGAGTAAGATGCTATGCGGCTTGACGTCGCCGTGCATGATTCCTGCAGTGTGGTGGAGCCAGCCGAGACTGCTAATCAGCTTGCGGGCCAAATCCTTCCAGGGCTCTGGGCCGAGGAAAGGGTCGAACATGGTGGCTGTTGTGATAGGCTGATTGCGGACGCGATTCGCTGCTTCTTCGATGTATGTTGATAACGCGAGTGGGACGGCGGTCATTACCAGCGACTGGGTTTCGGCGTGGAAGCCGTGGAATGGCACGATGTGGTTCTCGTGGCCTGGAGTGAGGGTGAGTTGGGTTAGGATTAGGGCTTCGGTCTTTAAGACAGGGCCTGCGTCGCCGCGGCGGGATGTCTTGACGGCTACGATTCGGGTTGCGTTGATGGGGGAGCTGGGTGGGGTGTCGAGGAGAGTGTTGTTGGTGGCGGCGGGTTTGGTGGTTGGGATTGATCGCGCTTTGTACACCTTACTCCAGACGCCCTCGCCGAACTCGATGCGACGGCCGCGCTCGTCGAGACATGGCTCTAGTTCGTCCGTGAAGCGGAGCGGGGTGGTAATGTTGCGTCTGAATAGGGCTGCGGAATGCTTATCGCTAGGTTCTGATAATGGGGTGACGATGCGCTCGCTGCTTTCTTTGCCAATTGGTGTAACCGGGGGAGTAAGACTCGAGCCGGATGTCGAGGTGTGCGATATGCCTTTGCCATCGTGGCCGGTGTGCAGCGACAGTTGCATGGGCGAACTGGGGGGGAGTCATGCTCGGCATGATACTAGTATACTAGTATGGAGGAATGCGCCCTTGTGAGTCACCGCGTGGCTGGTGATGAGGTATAGCCAATTGATTAGAGGCGATTGACAATTGATACTAGGAGGGGAGCAAGAGGCTTGATCTGCGAAGGCAGAGTATGCAAATGCAAAGTAAATGCACGGCAGCGAGGCTGCTGGATGTATCAGCGCCACCGGAGGCGAAAAGGCGAAGTAGTTGGGGCGTTCGTTCCAGTCAGTCGCATCATCCACGGTTTAGGGCAAGGCGGGTATGACGTGGTGGCGAGGCTAATTTGAATTTGAGGAACTCTTCGGAATGGATGGATTTTATAGATTTCCTCGAGTGTAGGGACGAAGAACAAGAGTAATTAAAGAGAGGGTAGAGAAAAGAAAGGAAGAATGAGGTGGCCGACGAGGACAAAGCGTGGAAGTGAAAGTGAAAGCCCGAAAGCGTGGAAAAGCAAAGGCGCGAACAAGGCGATTAGCGCCATGTCGGGGGCCGCGCAAGATAAAGGGAAACGAAAAAGAAAAGAAAAACAGAGATTGGCGATTGACAGTCCAACCTTTAGGAACCCACCTATCGGGGCGGGTCGAATGGCCGGTCTCGACCAGGTGGGAAATGACAGAAGGAAGATTTGCCAGCGAGGACGAGGGGATCGCCGGTGGAGGAAAGGATGTGACGGTGGTAGCGGTGGATTTGGTGGGAAATGGGAAATGAGAAATGACAGATTGGAAATGATGGGAGATTGCCAGTGGAAATGCATGCTAATCCTAGTTAATGTCCATGCTAAAGATTCTGCTAACTGCGATCGGCAGGGTCCACCGTTCGGCTATGTTTACTTTCTGTTTACTTTACTGTTTACTCCTACTGTTTTACTCCTACTGTTTATTCAAGTTGTTTGTGTTGCTGATAACACTACCAGTAGGCTACCCACTCGAATACGACTAGTAAAAGCTGGGGTAGCTGGCAACGTCGCAGTTAGTCAATCCTAGGGTAGTATAACTAGTCCCTCCTTTAGTGAGGGTGGCTGCTGCAACCGTCTCCACTGCATGCGGGTTGGGGTGGGGGAGCTAGTAGTAGTCACGGCGGGTCTGGGAATACGAATAACCGTAGAATTTAGCACTAGAAGTATTCCAACCTTGGAAGTTTGAGAAGTAGTTAATTATTTACTCAGTCGTCAATGAGATTCTGTGTATACAGTATTATTTGTATATGTATTCCAGTATTCCAGTATTTCAGAACTGTATTCTACTACATATTCCGTACATCTCAGCCAATCACATCCAATCACCCTCCCTCGTGCGTCCCGGCCCGGCCCAGCTCTGCATCCGTGCTTCTATAAATATAAAGACAAAAGGGTATCAAAATCTACATCCTATACACGGTGTACACGGGTTACGCGGTATACAACCAGGAAATCAAACACCACCTTTAGTGCATCCTCTTCAGCCCATCGGAACTCTCCCCCGCACCGAACGTTGTCAGAGTCGCCCCAATCAAACGACTCAACTGCAGCGCAGACAGGTCCTGTGCATGTTGCTCATACAACAGGATGATATCCCAGAGCACTTCGGCTGAAAGGGTCCGCACCCGCCATCCACTAAAATCACATTCAATCCTTTCTAGTAATTGGGTATCTTCCTCGCTAGCCATTTTGATCTTCGAGTCGACTCCACCCCCATCACATCTCAACCGCTTGTCCGCATAAGCGACCAGACCAGGGATCTCTTGCAGAACTTGATCCGTCGTCAGGTTCGGGAGTAGGGTTTGAAGAAGCTCCGCCACCGACATGTCATTCTTGCCGCGAAATACCCTCGCTATAGCGTCGAATAACCGCGCCACATCGGTGCGTCTCTCTTCGGCAACCTTTGACAGCTTTCGAACAGCGATGCAACTTTCATCAGCCTCGAAGAATAGAACCGACATAGGCTCCCGGGGATACAATTCGGTGGTATCAATTTTGAGAGGCTCAAACGGGCGCCGGTCCCACAGCAACGCAGTATCGTCGAAGTTGGCGTTGCCAACGCGGGCGGCGCGTTCTTCATCAATCACTCGATCCTTGGTGCGAAGTATACTGTAGTGGATGGTGCCGATGACCTCGGCCAACTCCTTGGTCAGTAATCCAATCTTCTCGTCGATATCCCGTAGCTCTGCAGGTGGTGTATTGGTACAGGCTGCCAACCGGGCCAGTTCACTCATTTTTGAATCAATAGCCAACTGCTTCGAAATAATTAATTGTCGATAATAGGCGGCCCGGTTGTCTGCCCCAAGAGCGGTACGGGCCTTGCTGGCTACCGACTTCTCTTTGCTGTTCATCTTTTTCGTCAGATTTTCATGCAACTCCGTACTAATTCTCGGAGTATGCGGGAGCGCTTTCTTGGTTGGTTTGGGGTGTTCTGGCGCAAAACGAATCTGAGGCATCTCTCGGCCCGGCGGAGTCTTGAAAGCCGCGCCTCTCTCTGACACCCGCTTCTCAACTCTGTCATATACGCCGAGCCCCTTCAGTCCGACCCATGATATGTCCTCGCTGGAACTGGCAACCTCGATTGCACTTAATGCGACACTCTCCGTCAGTAAAGCGGGCCGATTGCGATCCGCCATAGTTTGTGGAAGGACAATTCGTGCTTCGGTTTGGGGCATCACAGCTAGGATCCGAACACTACCATACTCATGAAGCCCGGATTGGTTTAGGCAGTCCTCCATGAGTGCGCCCCACCATCTTGCTGGTGTATAGTGATTTAACTCGGAGTTTGGTGCTGCTGGGTTGGCGAGAACAAGGAGGGTATCGTTATTCCGCATTTCACCAGATTTCCTTGGCGGCAATGGTTTTTGCTCCGGTAAAAGTCTGCTAAAAACCCCCGTCCAGTTCTTTTGGGAGTATATATCCATGTTTTCAAGTGTATAGCAAGGTTTACTGGCGGCAAGAGGTTCGAGGAATTGACCAAAACTCTTCAAAGCGGGTTCGAGAAGGACATGTCGGCGAGGTTGCAGGAAGTCGTTGATTTTGGAAGAAAGTACGCCGGCGCCAGGCCATAAATCAAGGATATCCAAGGGTGTTCGGTCCCCATTGCTGTTGCGTTTCTGCAGGTAGGGCGATAGTCGTTGGAAAACGTCGCCTAGGAGAGCTTGTTGTCAGGACCAGACCGCGGTTTTTGATGGAAAAGAAAGCAATGCTCTCACCAATTAGTTGTTCTGATACAATGTTCACGCGAACAGTTCTGTTATGGACTTTGGGTATCAGGCTCAGTGGCTCCGTCACTGGGTAGCGTGATAACGGAGTCCATATTGGTGTTCTCATGCTGTACAAGGAAAAGAAAAGAAGGGCGGATATCTGGCCTATATCATGAGGAACAACAATTCGAGATACAGAGGGTGCCGGTCTGCATGGCTGGTGGACTGCAGGGGTTTGGAGAGATTTGTCGGAGTAAAAGCGGAGAGTCGCGTAAGGACCTCCTTGACTGCCTTGACTACCCACGTTGTTCCGCGCCGCATCCCACTTGCACTTAACTTGCACTTGCACTCCCGCCAGGCTCCAACTTCCTTTCCGTTGGCTTCTCCCTCTTCTCTTTTCTCTTCTCTCTTTCAAAGCCCGTCTTTATGCAGCTGCCTTGACCTTTCGCCAATTCTCAAACATTCGGTGATTGATCCACCCAACCTGCGACAATCATGCCCCTTCAGACTACTTTCGCATGAAGAGGGGTCTTTTATCTTGGAACATTCCCCCATCCCTCGCAGGATTTCTTGAACCCTTTGACACCTACGCCTCGTCGCCATGACATCTCTTCCACCAGTAATGGGCACTGCGGGTAGCCCACCCCAAAGTGTCGAAAGGATCACTCGCATCGCTCAGGATTACGAGTACAACCCCGCGGTCCCGCTCCGGTATTGGCTGCGGACAGCGGCTACACTGAATCGCGAGGTAACTGAGTTGCAATGAAACCGTTAAGCACTGCCTATTTTACATCAAGCTAATCGAATACTTTCATAATAGGCCCAAATTTACGAACGCGAAGGCCACGACGAACAAGCATATCTTCTCCTTTTCCGACACGCCCAGCTGGTTCTGGTCCACCTCACCAAACACCCAGATTCTCTCAAAGATACTCAGGATAAAAAGGCTTTGGTCGCAGCTGAAAAACTGGTAGATGTGAATCTCCGCAAGTTGGAGGCGCTCAAGCCGCGCATCAATAAACGATATGATCGCTACACTCAGGTTATGCGCGATCGCCAATCACGCAAACTGTCAACGGAAGTCAACTTTACAACCGAACCACGAGACCGGGTCATCGATCCCGCGTTGACTGGCGTTGCCAAACCCCTGGAAGCCGGCGAAAACAGGGACCTTGCGGTCCGTCTAGCGCAATCAGAACTTACCCGCCGGGCAACGGTTCGGAGGACACAAGAACAAGGCGATGACGACAGTCGGCGAGCTGCGGGTGTATGGGGCAATTGGGAGGACGCCCTGAAGACGAATGATCGGGGTGGCGATGACTTGAGTCAACGGATCCAAAATATTCGCTCCAATATTGGGCCCGCGCAACCCAAGGCCAATGTCGCACGCCAAAAGCCTACTGCGCCAGATATTCCTCCACGCGTCTCCTCTGTATATAAATACCCTACCGTCCCTCGCCAAAATACCCTGGAGCCCTTTGTCCCGCAAGCCCAAATTGCTATTTACGATAAGAACGCTGAACGACAACCACCCCCAGTCCTCCCTCCAAAGGAACATATTGCGCCGAGCAGAGCCTCGTTCGTGGATGGCGCATCGGTAGAACCACCAGCCCTCCCAGCAAAGGTATCCTCACCACCGCCTCCTCCCGAGAAATCACCCTTGCCCGAGGCCCAGTCTACGCGTTCCAATCTCGACCCAGCAAGCTACACATTCAAGCCATCGGCATATTTGGAGAACGGCAGTCCTCTTCGCTCTGTCTTTCTCCCGGCCAATCTCCGTAACCAATTTCTGTCCGCTGTTGCCACCAACACGCAGCGCAACTTGGAAACATGCGGAATCCTCTGTGGCACATTGGTGTCGAATGCGCTGTTTATCTCCAAACTACTTATCCCCGAGCAGACCGCGACATCAGACACGTGCGAGACAACAAACGAGTCTGCTATTTTCGAGTTTTGTGACTCGGAGGACCTATTGATGCTTGGCTGGATCCACACGCATCCTTCGCAGACCTGCTTCATGAGCTCGCGCGACTTGCACACCCACTGCGGCTACCAAGTCATGCTCGCAGAGAGTATCGCTATCGTTTGCGCCCCGAGCAAGACTCCCGACTGGGGAGTCTTTCGTCTCACCGATCCTCCTGGATTGAAGACTGTACTCAACTGTACCCAGACTGGTCTGTTCCACCCACATGCTGAAGAAAACATATATACCGGGGCATTGAGACCTGGCCATGTGTTTGAGGTCAATGGACTGGAATTCGAGACGGTAGACCTGCGCCCGAAGAACTAGCGGGTTTGTTTTTCTTTCGCCTCATCCCCGGCACTCATCTCAATATGATACCCTCAGACATCGCATCGTCATTACGCTAGTCCTAGAATACTACAACGAAAAAGGCTCAAAAATACACAATGAAATGTTATCACTCTTTGCCTAGTACCGTAGTGGACTCGGATGTATATGAACCCTTCAGATCCAGCTAGTTATTGCGTAGTAGTAACCCAGATGGCCCGGATCCTAGCAGCACCAGGTTCATAGTACTACGTACTACTATCAACCTCGGAAGTCAGACCATATCTCTTCCAAGTCGATTGAATAGCCTTATCCCTTTGGGTTTGTATGAGGATGATAGCTCTTCGAGGGATTTCTTCTCTTAGACGCAGATCCGGAGCTGGCCCTCGCCTTGCGTGAAGTCGTAGGTGAACGCGGACCATGAGACTTACGTCGACTGCGCGATTGGCGCACAGTCGTCATGTTCTTGCTCTGTATTAGGTAGTAATGTATTAATATGAATTTCAGCTGTAGTGATTTTGCATGATATGCATACCATATCTGCAGCGCTACCGCCAATATCATTCTGGTGGTTATGTGTGTCTGCGTCCTCTTCCATTTGGGCGATTTCCGCGCGATAATTCTCGGAGCTGGGGAATTTGGATGTCATTGTTGAATTGAGAGGTTGCCGAGGTTAAAATGTAGTAGATCAATGCGAGTATTGTATTCTTTGTTGTAGAGTGGCTTGCCTTGGAAGCATTTTGATCGAAACGGCGCCTCACTTATGTACTAGTCGTTGTTTGAACCCGCCACCACATCGTCATTTATCTTCCAGAAGGCAATTCGGAAGGAAAGCCCGTCCGAATGAGAAAGAAACGGTAAATCTATTGTTCTTTTATTTATCAGATCGACACCAGTCGAGCCTTCGGAATAGTCCAGGTTGGCCCCGAGGATGTTTCAGATGGTAGCAGTCAACAGGTACCTCAAGGTACTCCGTCGGAGTTGCGCCTCTAGATGGGCTCGTGCAACTGGATGGCTTCCCAATGGGAGCCGATGGATTCCCCAGTGGGATAATGGAAGGTATTGCAAAGGGAGAAGAGTCATAATTGTCAAACCCCGCAAGTGACAGCTGTTAATTGCTGGAATATCACATATGGCCTGGTAACTATCCCATAGATCTGGCCTCCCCCACATGATAAGCGATAAGTCACTTCAGCCGTCTTAGGTCCAACTTCCCATGCCAACTTGAACCCCCCCAACTCTCCTCCTTCGCTCACACCTTCGCTTTGCTCCTTGCTCCTTTGCTCATTGATTAGCTTTAACCATACCCCGAATTGTCCGTATGTCGTCTTCATCACAAGGGGATGCCCCCTCTGACGCCCCCTCAACCTCCACCCTAGCCGACTCTCACAACCCCCAGCAAAAACCCGGCTCCTTCAACGCCGCCTCCTACCTCTCCTACCCAGTCAGTCACGTCGTCTCCGGCCTATATCGACGCCTGACAGATCCAAACATCGCTGCCCCTGACTCCTCCGTCATGCCGTGGTCCTTATCCTCCTCTTCCTCGGAAGTCTACACTCCGCGCCGAACAGCTTCACCCTTCCAACCACCACCTCTCACACCTTTAGCCTTGACCATCCCCAAAGGCGAAGACCTCCTGCAGCAACAACTCCTTACCCGCGCCCTCGCCGAAGAGATCCGCCTCCTTGTCCCCGCCCGCCTACAACTAGTCGAGAACTGGCGTCTCGCCTACAGTCTCGACCGCGATGGAGCCGCCCTATCCACTCTCTACGACAACTGCGAACAATTCTCTCACCGCAGCCCGCGGGCGGGCTACGTACTAGTGATACGCGACTCCTCGCCCAGCGGCGCAGTCTTCGGCGCCTACATGACCGACGCACCGCACCCGGGTTCCCAATTCTTCGGCACAGGCGAGTGCTTCCTCTGGCGCGCGAGCGTGCTCCCACCCCCGATCAGCCTGGGACTGGCATTCTCCGGCGACGGGCCCCAATCAGAAGAAGCGCTGGAACGCGCCGGTCTACCGCCCCTCCTTCTGCGGACACAACCCACGCTGGACGATGGAGTACGTTCCGCGGAGAGTCGAAGTCCAAGAAAGCGACCACCGAGTCGCCCGCTCACAATCTTAATATGAATATCAAGACGAATCTCGCCGCCGCGAGTGGTGGTGCTCTGGCGCCGCCTTCGCCTTCGTCAACTGCTACTCCTTCGCGGAGTGGGGCGAGTACCCCCGAGCGCATTCGGTTCAAGGCTTTCCCGTATAGTGGTGTTAATGATTATATGATGTTTTGCGAAACGGGATTCCTCAGCTTAGGAGGCGGGTAAGTAACACCTGCATGATCTGGTTTTCTTATAATGCGTGCTCATACGGTTTTGTTTATAGAGATGGTCATTATGGGCTGTGGATTGACTCTGGCCTTGAAAAGGGCGTCAGCGCCTCTTCTCAGACCTTTGGGAATGAACCTCTCTCCGACGAAGGTGTCAAGTTTGATATTATCGGCGTCGAAGTGTGGTATGTCGGCTCGTGAGCATTCTTACTATCTTCCGCGAAAGTCCACAGGCGCAACAAAAGCAACAAACACGAAAGGCAAAATATAAAAAAGAAAATCTTCTACAGGAGGTTGCGAAAATTCACCACCTGGGCTGCCAACGAACGCAATCTTGGAAAGCCTTGTGGTGGTTGGTCATGGAGGAACTCCCGTTAGTATCCTCTACCGGCGTATTGTTTTGTGACTGCATTTACTTTCGAATACCCAAGCAGAGAATGGTGCTAGATGCTTCATGTCTGCTTACTCATTTTTCCTCATTTTCTATCTCGTGGAATCAGAATATAGCGGTCGTTCCTTGGTCATCTATCTGCCTGATTGCTTTATCCCATGAAGTGGGATGTACATACCAACTTTAATATATTTGCTTGGCCGAAAGGTCTTGGAACCATTCGATCTGGACTCTTGACTTCATATGACTAAAATTATTCAATGGTCTAACGGTGCTCTTGGCAACTGACTGCAGAGGCTTTTTCTTTTCGACAGACCATGAGGTATAATATCGTGCCAAGGGCTTGATATCTACCCCGATAATGCTACCATGGCTGAGAATATCCAAACAAGGGGATTATACTTTCAAATGTCCACTAACAGCCCCCATTGTCTATACGGAGTCCTTCCGAGAAACCTACTTCTCGCAATACTCCGAGTCTCGTATTACCCCATCTTTTGCGCGGGGTAAAAGCGACCAAAGTCTTGAAATCGAGCCGACTTCTCCACCTTTATCTACTCCGCTCGCCAAGGATCTCAACAGATTACAATCTTGCCTAGTACTATCTCTTCTATTCCCCGACTTGACGAAATTATTGCATGATACCCTTGGCGTAAAGGATCTCACTGTACCGAGAACCGCCACGATGTCCAATCAAGTGTTATCGAGAAAGCTCCAGACTCTCGTCCAATCATACGAAAAATCACACCCAAAATCAAAAAAAGCCTTCGAACGAGCCGAAAAGGTCCTACCGACGGGAAGTACACGGTCTGTCCTGGTATCCTCTCCATTCCCCCTGGTAATCCAGTCCGCCCAAGGCGCCAAATTCACCACAATCGACGGAGTGAAATTCGACGACTTCGTCTCTGACTATTCGGCCGGTATCTACGGACACTCACACCCGGTAATCCAAGAGGCTGTCCAGCAAGCCCTGGCAACAGGCTTCAGTCTGGGCGGAATAACCGAGAAAGAGGCCGAGTTAGCAGAAATCCTGACTACTCGATTCCCCTCTCTGGAAAAGGTGAGATTCTGCAATTCCGGCACAGAGGCAAATACGTTTGCCGTGGCTACTGCTCTCGCGTATACAAATCGACGCCACGTCCTCGTCTTTGATAATGGATATCACGGCGGAACTTTGTCCTTCTCTACCCGGGATAACCCAATGAATCTGCCTCATCAATTCGTCTTTGGGAAATATAATGATACGGCCGAGGCAACGCGCGCTCTCGTCACTAGCGAGATTGGCGCTATCCTAGTCGAACCCATGCAAGCGGCCGGTGGCATGATCCCCGCGACGCGAGAATTCTTGGCCACGCTACGCCAAGCTGCGGATGAAGTCGGGGCCATTTTGATCTTCGATGAAGTCGTAACTTCTAGACTGCATTACCATGGTATGCAGGGTGCTCTCGATATCATACCAGACATGACGACTGTGGGAAAATATCTTGGAGGCGGATTTCCCTTCGGTGCCTTTGGAGGATCGGCGGAGCTTATGAGCCGTTTTGATTCGGGGGATAAATCAATTGCGCTGACTCATTCTGGGACATTCAATAATAATATCTTCACTATGACTGCTGCTGTTGCGGCGTCGAAGTTGATTACGGAGGCGCAATTGAATAGGCTTAATGCTATGGGGGATCGTCTTCAAGAGGAGGCGAATGAGATCTTGAAGAAGGCGGATTTCAAAACGATGTCTTTTACCGGGTATGGGAGTGCGGTAGGTGTGCATTTTTCTGGGGATGATGCCGACGCTTTACGGGAGTATTTGTATTTCGGCTTGATTAATCGTGGAATCTCGATTGGTCGTCGTGGATTTGTCTCTCTTAATCTTGCACACACGGAGCACTCTATTGATCGTCTGTTGGAGGCTGTTCATGCTTTTGTGGATGATGTTTCCTCGTGGAATGCCTCGTAGGCTTTGACAGGGCTGTATTATATGACAATCTAAACATTTGAAATGACACATTTGCCTGCAGTTTATTTTGATATACCTTTACTGATAAACCTTTGTGTTCTTGAAAGAATGGTGAAATCAAATTTAAAATGAGATAGTACTATAAACTTCGCTATAAACGTCATTCATCTATCCCTCTGGCATCTAAAGCGCTGCGAGTTTACCACAATGTACTAGTGAATCTTTATAGCTTGGCCTTGCGATCAGCCAGTTTCTCTATCTCTGCAAATTGGTAATAAAAGTCGAGACTCTCCGGATTAAGCAACGTTCCAGATGGCTTGATCTTCTTGCCGGAAACAATCTGCTTGACGGGTAATTCGACCTTCTTCAGATTGACCGTTACCTGTGAAGAGATATTTGTGTAAGCGACTGGCATGGCAATTAGATAAAGGGATTAGTAACGAACCGGAATAGCAGGGGTTTCGAAAATGAACTTTGGCACGTGTCGAGCGCTTAAAGCTTTGCGGATAGCTTCCTTGATGCGAGTTATCAATGCTTGATCCGCCTTGAACGGCGGTCGCATTTGGAGGAATAAAAGGACGGATTCGTCACTATCCTGTGGTCTACGCTGTCCGACGCAGACGGAATCCACAATCTCCTCCGGGAATTGTGTTTCGATTACGTTGTAGATTTCCGCAGATCCGAATCTAACTCCGGACGGGTTCAAAACGCCGTCAGATCGACCCAGGAAAAGCACTTGGTTTGTCGATGGATTGATAGCAATAAAGTCGCCATGTGTCCAGACATCTTAGATAGTTACGAATGTTAGCCCGAGCATGAAAGGCCCAAAAAATAGAAAACTTACTATCAAAGCGTGCGAAATAGGCATTGAAGTACTTCTTCCCCCCTTCATCGCCCCAGAACTTAACCGGCATACTGGGAAATGCTGCCGTTGCGACAATTTCTCCAGGCTCCCCATTGGGCGCTTCAGTTCCTTTGACCTGAGTGACACCCTCATCCACCTGTTCAAAGGCAGCGATGGGAATCCCAAGACTAGGTCCCTGGCATCCTCCAGAGTAAACAGGGGTGATTGGGTTTTCCATGCCAAAGCAGGCCGCAAGATCTGTACCCCCAGAGATATTCGCAATCTGGGTATGCGAGGGAAACCCTTCATCATAGAACCATTCAAATAATGATTCGGAAAGAACCATACCGGTACTTGTCACGCCACGAAGGTTGCTGAGATCTGCAATCTTACGTGGACTAATTCCATTTTTGCGTAGTTCGTGCATCCATCGAGGGGAAGTTCCGAAGTGTGTTACTCTAAATTCGATGAACATCGGTTAATTTTCAAAGCAGGACTCAAAATATAGAGAGCTGGGAGATCTGCGGGAACATACTTGTATTTCTCAAGTAACTTGACCAATATTGTCACATCGGGCAGAAATGGACTGCCATCGTAGAGAATTGGCCGAGCGCCGAAGATAAGTCCTGAAACGCAGGACATGTACATGATCCAACCAGTTGTCGTGTATTGAAGAACTGTCGCATTCGAGTTCATGTTTCGGTTCAATCGCCCCTCTTTGTTCGTGTTCAATATCACTCCTCCCACGGAGTGAACAATGCATTTCGGTTCTCCGGTTGTTCCAGAAGAATAAACAATAAGGAAAGGATCACGGAATCTGACTCGGACAAATTCCAACTGATCGGACTTTGCCCCTGAGAGAAATTTGTCTAGGTTTTGCACCCGAGGAATTGCGTTGATATCCGCTGGCTTGCCTCTGAACCTGGGCACCGAGATGACTCCCTGGAACTCCGAGACCGCTGATAACCCCTCGACAACTTGCTTGATTTTCGGTCGGAGGTCCAAAGTCTTGCCATTATACACAGTTGTATCATCGAAAAACACCCATTTTGGCTGGATTTGTAGCAGTCGGTCCAAGATACCCTTGACACCTGTATCGGTAGATGTGGTGGAAACGATAGCCCCGAGGGCAGTAACTGCCAGGAAGATGATCAAAGTGTCAATGCTATTACTAGCAACTACACCAACACGATCTCCCTTTGTTAAACCAGCCGTCTTCAAGGCTTGAATCATACGACCAGTGCGCTGTCTCAATTCCCGCCAAGTGAGGTCCACGGCGGGCTCCGCGGCGCCTTCACGAACCTCGGTTGCGGCAATCATATCATCTTCTTTACCAACAGTCGTAATGGTTGAAGCAGGGTTTCCCGGTTGACTCGCAGTGAAGAGGACATTTTCCGCATAATTGAGACGCACACCAGCGAACCAGTCGGGAATACTATCGATGCGAGCGGTCTCGTCGACAACTTGGTCGTAGGTTCCCTCGTGTATAATTGGGAAGTATTTCCAGCAGAAATCCCAAAAGGAAGCCCGATTTTTGATCGACCACTCGTATAGGGAGTTGTAATCGGGCAATTTAACACCCTTGGTCTTTTCAAGAGTTCGCTTGAACTCGGCCATGGCGGTGGCCTCGGGATTAGGATGCTCCCAAAGCTTCCGAGGTATGCTCGTATAAGCGGACATTATGGGCAAGCTCTCTTTGGATGTAACGAGATTAGGAGATGGGTGACATAGGTAAAATCACAAAAGGATGAAATCCGAGAAGAAAGATAATAATTGGGTTCAAGGAACCAGCAGTCGTGCCAAAATAAGCTGCGCCGCGGCTCAATTTCGGGTATTTCCTCAAATGCGGGGTCGGGGTTTGCTTCGATTACACAGTCTAACTCACAACACAACATGAGCTAGATTTCCGAAGAAATCGGCGATTGGATAATATTGGTGTCTTTATATTGCGTACTCAAGCAGAGAGGGATTGAAATAACCATTGCCCAATCCGCTATACCTACGAAGTTAACCCGCTACTAGTTACTAGTATCAATAGTTGTGCCATCTGAGAAACTAATATCAAATATTGCCATCAGAGAATTCGCGAGAACAGTATAGTGAATTATTTTCCTTCAGAATCTTTCTTTTCTAGATCACCGCCGAAGAATACCAGGGCAATGTAGTAGAGGAAGTGAAGAGTAACTAACCACACATTGAGTAATGCGAATTCAATATTTCAGTTGAATACGCCTATTCCTTCATTTAACTTCTCAAGCAATCTTCTGTAGCACCCACTCAACAACCTTATCCATCATTTCCAGCGAGAACCAATGACCAGTATCCTCGAACACATTCAAAGATACATCGTTCTTTTGGCCGTATTTTTCGACCCAGGGCACGCTGAATTTGCTGGGTACCAGGGTATCCAGAGCACCATTCAGAAGCAAGATTTGCTTGCCCTCAATTTTTGAAACACGCTGGTCCCGATCTCTGTACATCTCAGCTATCGATTCGGGCCATCGGATCGGATCAGGGCCGTTTCTTTTGCCGAGTCGCTCGAGCAGCAAGTCGGTCATATTTGGCGATCCCACGGAGATAATAGCAGTCTTGATTCGCTTTTCATCGGCAAGAATATTCCATGCTGTGTGGCCTCCGAGTGAGTGTCCTGACATGACAAATTCGGTTGGGTTGAATCGATCTTCCACGTAAAGCTTAAGGTATCTCATCACGGTTTGGATGTCGAGAGCAATTCCATCTGCGATGAAGAGAATAGCAGTGAGAATAATTTCTTAAACCAGCGGGGGACGTTCGAACCTATCATGGCGAGCATGTCATGTCTGTTCTTGCGTCAGTTCACAGCTCATCAAGTTGTAATCGGAGAAGGGGCACCAACGCATGCTTCTCGTTTCCTTGCTTCCATCCTTGACTATATCGATAGGATCAGTAACCTAAATAAAATAATTGAAAATCATTTTCCAGTATTGAATCTCACATTGACTTGGTATCAATCTGTAAGTAGACAGTTAGATAATGTTTGCAAGCAAATCAATAGGATGGAGTGGAGTACCGCTCTTTCGCCGTGATTGCGATTATCAAAGGTCGCCACGACAAAACCTTTCTTCGATTCTCCATGTTGCCGCAGCTGATGAAGGAACTGGTGTGCGAAAAGCTCGGCATTCTTGTAGGTTCTTGTACGTCCATGGACATGGAATAAAACCACCGTGTTCTCTGCCTGCTGCGGGGATAGCTCATCAATACCATAGAGATAAACGTGAAAGCCGGAAATATTTATCTTTGTTTCGCTAGACTTGACCGTGTCTTCCGGTAGCGTATCAAAACGCTGGGTTTTCTGGGACATGGTGAACTTCAGGTGGATGCGGGGTCAAATTTGGCTGATGAAGGAACTTGAAGGTGGGATGAGGACGTGGAGTGAATGGAGTTTCCTGGTTTCGTGATTCGGGTGCGGGTGATCGATTAATAAGTTCCCAAGAAATAAGGCGGGTCGCAGGTGTTGAGTGCTTTTATTTTTTGGCGTTGAACTGCGAGCGATCGACTCATTCGGGCCCTGAGTCTCCGTTTAGATCGGCATGTAGTGCGAGTCTCCCGAACAATCCTCGGATCTCCCGCAATTCATTTCAAGTTTGGTTAAAGTCTACGCTGCGGTCCTTAATTAAAACCCTTACATCATAAGAGTGGATTATATTTTCTCAATCTTATCCATCTTGGTGCTTTTTCTATTTAATAAATACAAATTGTGCCTTGTAACTCTAATGCCAATACTTTGGCGCAACCCCCTTCACCATCAGCCAAGCTTTTTCGAGCGCCTGGACAACTTCTTCTGGCAGGGAGGGTTTCTCCAGATCCGATAAATTTGTCTCCAGGTGTTTGACGCTGCTTGCTCCGACAAGGATAGCATCCTGGAGTTCTTCGTTCAGTTGAGAATGGTATTTCAGCCACCTCAGCGCAACTTCCCCATCTGTCAACCCATGCTTTGTCGCAGCAGCATGGATGAGCTCAATGGCGTCAAAATAAATATCATTCCAGTACCGGTTTCGGTGAACTTTTCCTTGCAGGATTTTCGGATCGAATCGAGAACCCTCCTCAAACTCGGTTTGTTCGCGCTTGTACCGACCAGTGAGTAGTCCTCCAGCCAAAGGCTGGAATGCGTAGAGCGATATATTGTACTTGCGAAGACAAAGGAACAATTCGCCCTCAATACTGCGCTGAAGAGCATGGTAGACTCCCTGGTATACCGAAGGCATGATCCATCCATTCTTTTTGCAGATCTCGCACACCTGCGCAACCTCCCAGGACATGAAGTTGCTCAGTCCGAGACGCTTGAAACGCCCTTGTTCGTAAAGATTATTAACTTCTCGGAGAGTGTCTTCGAATGGGGTTTTGCGATCGGGCGCATGCAGGTAGAACAAGTCGACTTCTTCGCTGTTCAGGGCCTTCAAGCTATCCGTCAGTCCTCGGCGGATGTCATCTGGCTTATGCGTGTAAGAATCTTTGAAATTCCACTTCCCTTCGGAATTTGGGAAGAGCTTAGTGTCGATGGTGAGGCCTCGGTCTTGCCATGACAAGGAGCCAAGCATTTCTTCACAAGAGCCACCACCGTAAATTCTCGCGGTGTCCACTTCTTTGTGTCCGTGTCCCTGAAAGGTGTCCAGAATCAGAGCTGCGTCTTCCTTGTCGTGAACACGGGCGCCAAGAGTGTCTATTTTCTGGTTAGCTTTTGGTCATTTGTATAAAACAGAATCAGTATTGCTGAAGCTATGCCATACTTGGTTTGCCAAAGGTCATTGCCCCGAAGACAATCTTCAAGTTCGCGTTGTGTGCCATTGCAAATGAGCTGAAGGTGATTTCCTTCTGTCCTGCTGAGATGAATCGAAATAGTCTGCTCTGAGTCTTGATTCCATTTCGTTTCCTACCATGACTACCTCTTATTTATATTTTGTCAACCCAGGGTACCGATTTTGCCGTGCTGACCGACGCCGCAGCGCCTCATGCAGGCGGGCTTTAATACAATTACTATATCCGTCTAACGCCGCGCCCGGCCCATGCTCACCTGGGCACCATGTACCCAGTAGCAGGCTGCCCCGAGCTTTTTAAGTCCGAAAGAAAGCTGGCGTTGAAAAAAAAGCTTAGACGAGCATAGTCGCGCTGATTCAATGACGTTCCTCATACGCCCCGCTGGAATTGTTCATCTCTACAGATGCCCTTTTAAGCATCACTCCACTTAGGACCGATCTGGTTTTTCGTGTCTCCAGCCTGGGTCTGAGGGGCATCCACGATCTGTCCACTTGAGCGATCTTCGATAATATTATTGAAGTTCTACTTTAGACCAAGGTGTTGCCAGGTTGGATTGCACTGAATCTTAAAATTACTTGACTGTATTTAGATCTAAACGATTGTCATTTCTTCTAGGCTGTGCCTGGGCTACCTACTACCTACTACTAACTAGTAAAAAGGGAAAATCGAAGCCTGCATTTAATCCAAAAAAAACCGATGATTTCCAGCAGGATCAGCGAGAGAAAAGGCAGGTTGACGAAAGTCCGAACATCAGATCTCACAAGATATCGATAATGAAGGGACAAAAGCACAATAAACAGCAGGGGGTATGGGTAATGGTACAAAAAAATCAGGAATAAAGGAGTCGGAAAAAAAGTGAAGAGAAGAGCCACGAGCCAAGAGCGAATAAAATCCACCCAAAGAGAGATGGGGAGGATCGGTAAGTTTAGTATGGCGAATTGACGATGTCGTTTCCCAGGTAGCTGCTGAATCTGCCGCTGCGTCCACGAGCAGGTGTGATAGGACCGGCGATACTCTCGCGAGTAGGCTTCTGGAAGGTACGCTTGGCAACCATGTTAACCTCGTTGGGAAGGGCGACAATAACGTTCTTATCAGAGCCGAAGCGGAAGTTGTCCGCCATGACATCTTCGCCATAACGCTTGATTGTGTATGGGTCCTTGCGACCAGAAAGAATCTTCTTCAGGCCCCAGGTGATAATGAAGGGACCAGTTGCAGTGATAATAGATGTTTCCTCTGAGTCAACACCAGTGTTGAAGCGGGCAGGAGTGAATGCCAGGGGCTGCTTGGTCTCGTGCTGGAACTGCGCAACGTGGGCAGGCTGGAGACCCAGACGGCGAGGCTGAGGCTTCGAATCCTTGGCGAAGGACTTCTCGAATCCGAGCTTGCCCTCGTTTTTGCCGTCCTTCTGCAACGCGTCGATCAGAAGGAGATAAGTACGGCACGTGGCGAGCACCCAACGACCATCGGCCGATACATCGACACCGATGATCTTCTCTCCGAGAGCGGGAATATGAGTCTTGGCGTTGATACCCAGACGGTCGAACATGCGAATATCACCCTTATCAGAAGCGACAGCAAGATATCCCTTCTCAGTCGTGGCCATGGCAGAGAAATCGTTCTTACTAGCATACTGCTTCAGGTCGGTATCAACCAACTTGTTGCCGGAGACACGAGGATCGATGCGGTACAAAGCATTCCTAGAAGCACCAACAAACGGCTGGGCGGATGTCATTTGAGCGAATTTCTGTGGCACTGGTTAGCAGATAAAAAATATTTGGGAGGGGAATATCACTGACCGTCTCAGGGGCGAATGTCTCGACAGGAATGTCGTCATGAACTTTCCACTCATCGACGACCTTGCCATACTCAAGATCCATCTTGAACAGCGAGTTGGGATCATCGCCATTCTGGAGAATCATGTGACGATCCTCTGCATGAAGCATGACCTTCTTCGGGCTGAATAACTTGCCACCAGGGGTTTCCACTTTAGAGATAGTGGTCGAGAACTCCAGGTTGTTGTTGTCAGTGTGCTTGAAAACACCAATCTTGGAGCCGCGGACCACGAATGAGCGGTCGTTGTAACCGACTGCAAGCTGGGAGTTGACATTGCCATCCTGATCGCGAGTGACGACGTCATCTTCCTCCTCATCGCTATCGTAGTGCTCACTCCGTTGGCCGTCATCCTGGTAGGTTTCGTCCTCCTCCTCCTCCTCTTCCTCTTCTTCGGGTAGGGCATCGGCGTCTTCCATCGTGAGGTCCTGGAAAGCATCGAGCACATATTCTCGATCATTCTCTTTGACCTTGGTCCACTTCATTTCATTAAGCTGTTCCCAGAGAGCCTGCATAAGACCCTCCTGGAAGCGTTCCTCGGAAACCTGATCCTTGAAGCGCAGAAGCCACGAGTAAGCCGATCCATCCTCAGCGTAGTGGTTGAAGATAAAGGAAAGGTATTCGAAGTTGAAGACGGGATTGATGTCACCGACAACAGCTTGTCCCAGCCATTCCTTTTCGCTGCCAGTAATCTGAAGCCAGTATTGCCAGTTTCCGATCTCCGAGACAGTTGCCACGACCTCGGAATCCTGCAAAACAAAAGTTCCACTTGCGAAATCAAACATGTGAAGTTCGGCCCTCTCTTTTGTGAGAATCTCCTTGGACTCAGGCTGCGGTGCGGAGGGCGGTGCGGTAGTGGGGTCCTCATTGGGGGGGGCTGTCTTGGTTTGGCCCTTGGATTGGGCGTACTTGACATCTTGCGCCATAGCGGCAGCAGATTCGCCCGAGGTCAGAGGTGGCACTTGGGACTTGGAAGTCGGGGACGGGACAGGGCTTGCAGAGGGAATAGGGTGCTCCTCTTGGTGAGAAAACTCTTGAAGCTCGTCTTCGGTAGCCTTTTGGGCGGTGCGGCGGAATTTCCGTTCGTACTGACACTGTATGGCGGCGAGCTCAAAGGTGGCAAGTTTGTCGGCGGGGACCGAAGGGTCACAGATGAATTCAAAAAGGTCTCCCTCGTCACCACTCAGATCGTCCCATGCAAGGATCTTAATACCGCCCTCGCGAACTTCGGAGCGGAAGTGCAGAGACTGGTCGAGCAGGAAAATCTTCTCGTCTTTGTCCAGACCGTCCGCGGCTCCCTGCTCGTCCTCGTCGTCAGCAAGGTCCTCCTCGCCTTCTTCGTAAGCTCTCTGAATAACGAGTTGGTATTGAAATTCCTGGCCGGTTCGTCGGATCGTAGCAGCGGCGTCTTTGAAGATGAGCTCCGAATAGCCCTTGGGAGAGAGGGGTCGGACTAGATACAACTGGCCCTGGGGGATTTCGATGATAGCCTCTTTCGAAGTGTCACCGAAAAGGTATTTGCCCACTAAAATAAATTCAGAGTAAATATTAGCAAATTCCTATACGTGGTGGGGGGAGATATGGTGGTTGGTATGGAGGGGTTAGGCGGGGCATGGAGCGTGTTTGCTTACCGTTGCGGAGCATAAACATGGTTGCGAGGGGCAGCTAACCAGGTGACGGAGGGGATAAAGAGAAAGTAGGTGCGACTGGGACGGGGTATAGGGTTGTTATATGAGAGCAGGGGGAGATTGAAAGAGAAAAAGAAAAGAGACAAAGGAGGGTAGAGGAGTGAGCTCCAAAAGAGAAGGGTGGTTGCTTTCCTGGAGAGAGAAAGGGCAGGAAAGAAAAAAAGAAACCAAGACTAAGAGAGCATCACCAAAACAGAAAGTCGCCTCCGTCATCATCTGTGGCGTTGGTGCCACTGTGACTGGTGGCTGATAGCTGCCATGCTGACATAATCGTGGCTGGCGGAGTGGTCGAGGTGTCCGTAGCGAAAATTCACCTTGGTGTCCTTAGCAAGTTTCCGACTGATTCTCGAACCTCCGAACCCCCGATCACTACGATCACTACGCCCCGATCCGTCAATCTTGATTTTCCAGAAAAATACAATTTACATACTAGCTACTGGTTATTGGCCAGCTTTCCCGTACACATGAGGTGGGCTTTCCTGTAATCCGGATGGGACAATGGCGTCCCATAATCCTTCATCCCTAGCATCCGATCTATACGAAGTATCCACTAACATATAGATAGTGTGCCAGTTGTATTTCATCCACCCAATACCTTCTTGGGACGGTCCACTATGGCATCCAACGTCGCAAATGCCCAGCCTGATCCCAATGAGGCTCCAATTCTAGCAGCCAAAATCGCAGCCGATCCTCCATACTACCAAATCTATGATAGTCGTGAGGAGATGCTCAAGGCCGTCAAAGAACATGCGATTTCCAAAGGCTTCGTCATTGTAATTAAAAGATCAAGCCCGGAGAGGAACATCTATATTGGATGTGACCGGGGTGGTGTTTACAAAGATCGGATCCAGGCACCAGATGGACAAAAGCGCAGAAAGACCAACACGAGACAAACCGGATGCAACTTTCGATTATATGCAAAGAAATCCACTCTTCAAAGCTCCGATGGCAAATGGCATATCAAAGTGCTCAATGGTGAGCATAACCATGACCCGGAGCAGACTCTCCTCGAACATCCAGGCGCACGCGTCATCACGCCCGACCAGAAAAAAATGATCAACTTCCTAGTTTCGGAGAATATGCCGCCGCGCAAAATTATTGCCGCGCTCAAGCAGGGGTATCCTGATCTTTTGATCATTCCAAGAGATATCTACAATCTCAAGATGGCCTGGGCACGCGAAGAAAAGCTGAAACGTGAGGCTGAGTTGCCGGAGGCGCGTGCCAAGCGTCACAAGCTCGAGCAACTTGCCATTCAGCATCGTGAACAAAAAGAAGAGCTTGAGCGTGAACAAAAAGAACAGCGGGATAAGCTCGAGAAAGAGCAACAAGAGCAGCGTGACCAGGTAGAAAAGTCGAGTGACCTTGAACCACGCGGCCAGCTCGAACAGCGTGGGCAGTTTGAACAAAGCGAGCAGCTTGAGCAACTTCAACAGCTCCAACAACTTCAACAATTCGAACAACTTGAAGAATTGGCTAATCATGTGCGGGGAAGAGTATGAGAAAGAGTGTTTCAACCATCGAAAGGGTTGGGTACATGGTTTAATTCATGGATATTGATAATGGAGTGTTGAAGTACCTGGGCCTTCGATTTTTGTCCGGCGATCATGATTCGCGCTCGTCTTCTCCCTCTCCAGCTACATCGGCCATGATCTGCTCCATCAGTGTCACATCCATATCCTTTTGTTCGTCCTCCACGACTTCTTCCTCGGCACTGCCGTCTGCTTCGGCATCCCCATCTTTATTGTCTTGGTTACCAGCTTTCTCTTTCAGTTTCCCGCCCTTTCGCGGGGGCAAAACCTTCATGAATGCCTCGCCCCAGTCACCTAATTCAAGCCACTTCAACATTATGTCCACCACATGGTTTGTGGTGAGCACCGAGCGGTCTGTCATTTTGATGTATTCCGAGATGGGCAGCTTGGCGGTCTTGATACCCTTTTCCACGGCATTCTTGTAGCAGACTGCTTTGTACCGATTCTTATCCACCAGTCCACCAATAATATATGTACAATATGGCTTCAATTCCGTAAGAGTGTTCTCGCTATCACTGCTGAGATAGATGACCTCTCCGTCTTCTGATTTCGCGTCTGGATATTTGTCAAAAGGCCCGACAAGCCTGCCACCGCGCGGGGATGCCATATGTCCCTTGGCGATGTCTGCGGCTTGCACGAAATCCTCGGGTATGAATTGTATACCCTTCCAAAGCTTGTAGCTGGATAGTGTAGTGTCGAAGCGTTCTTTGAGTAGCTTGTCAAAGGTTGAGAAGATCAGGTTTCCGCGCCAGGGTGAGCGGCTATTATCAGAGTATATGCGGGTCAATTGCGATGACAAGGAGATGCGCTCCTTGGGATTCATCAGTTCGTCATAACCGCAGTCGACGACAATTGTAAAGGGCAGAAGCTTCGACCGTATAAACTTGGCTTTCGTTCCCTCCCACTGTTTCTTGAGAGCTAATACAGCCTCTGAGCCACCATTTGCCCGGGCCTCCTTTATCTCCTCGTACCGCCGCTCTTTCTTCTTTTGTGCGAGATCCTTGCGCTTCGCTTTGCGAATATCGCGTTCTTCCTCCCACTTTGCTTGGCGGCGGAGCTTCTTAAGTTGATTTTTTGACATTTTTGGTGCGTTTTCCTCGGCTCCTTCTGCTGAAGCTGTCTCGGTTGTTTCATTCACAGCATCTCCGGGGAGTTCCGAGCTTGCGAGGGTAGATTCGTTGGTGGTGTGCGCATCCATTTTCTCCGACTCATTGTTGGCGGGGACTGCGCCGGTCATGGCAGGACCGAGTTGTTGCTCTGTGGACTCGTCTGTATTGCCGATCTTGGCTAATTTCCGTGGCCGTTCGTCGTCGGACATTGTGTTGTGTAAAATATGCCTCAAAGAGTGCTCAGTTCGTTATTGGAAAACTGACAAGGCGAGCACCACGGTGGGCGGAGAGAGCTGTAGATGAAGCCCGCGAGGAAAAGCCCACCTTCCCGCGTTGGCCAATCAGCGTCCCTACAGCGCTCATTACTGTACAGCCACGTGACCTGCCATCACCAACTTCTCCCGGCGACTCGCGAGGAGTGAACCCCAGTGACCTCAAAAAGCCCACTACCGCCATTATGCCTCAGGATATGCCCCCAGTGGGGGGGCTACGCTCAGGTCCAATACAAGGTACGCTCTCAATGCCGAGGTCGAAGCCGTTCAGGCGCTCAAGCAAAGCCCATCCGCTACTCCCACAGCAACCCTTGTGCTAACGTTCTATCGCCTGATCTTCTAGCGCAATATCCCCACCCGCGGTTTCCAGCCATGGGTCTACATGGCCGGCATGCACCTGATCATGATCTGGGGTACTTACAAGTACATGCAGGGTACCCGCGAGCAACGGTACGTTTTGCGCGATGACGAGCTCTCCCTCCGCCCGAACGACCCGAAACCCTGTGCAATTGAGCATTGGACAATCACCCCGAGCGGCGGTACGCAATTGATAATTGGAGACTAATTCAATCACTTTTTGTCCGCTATAGGGAACTCGCCCGTGAGAAGATGTGGGCCCGCATGTACCTGACTCCTCTCCTCCAGGCTGAGGAGGACCGCGACCAAGTTCGTCGTCACTTCGCCAACCAGGCTCGCGAGGTGGAGCTCCTCGGCAGCGAGCAGAAGATCTACAACTCCGACCGGTACGTCTGCATCCATATAGTCTACCTTAACCAGGTCTTCATATGACCTACCCTTTGCCATTGCTAACTCCTCGGTCTGCACAGCTTCGTCCCTGCCACCATCACCTATACCCCGCCCATGACCGCGGCTAGCAAGGCCTGGTACCAATTCTGGTAATTGCCTTGACTACAGCTGTGGTTTGCATATCATTCAGCAACATGTTGGTGTATCTGGGTAACGCCGCTGCTTCGCGTGCAGTGAGCTGGAGTTGAACAAGACGGATCACGATGCGTTGTGCGAGAACGAAGGACTGTTCGAACAAGAAGGGGTGGAGAGAATATGCCCGATGAGATGAGATCGAGCAAAATACTGTAGATATTACATTACTGGAAGTGTTTTAGTTTGGACTTGCAATCAATTGATTTTTCAATACGTTCAATCATTATGTTCCAAGGTTTCCTTGCGCAGTTTGCCTGCCTTCACTCTTTTCCACGAAGACATCAGCCGCTCAGCCCTGCGCCCTTGAATTCCCCGGGCTCGCTCACGCCCAAAGTAGTGGTGTCATTTAAATATACATTATATCGTCGCCCTCCGCCCTCGGCCCGTCCATCCCTCATTTCTGGTCGATCATTTGTCTCAAGGCCATAAGTTCGCCCTCTGACTTTGCAGCTCGTAACCTCAACGCATCTCGTTCTCTCCTTATATCCTCCAATTGAGCCTCTAATTCCGATACCTGATCCAACTTCTTTTGACGGAGCTTGCGGGCAGCGAGCTTATTCTTCCGGCGCCTTTCTGCGATTTTCTCTTCGTCAGAGTCCTGAGAAGAAGGAGTATCACTTCCTACTGTCGTATGCCTTTGTGAGCGATCTTTTGTTGCCTTGGCTGTACTAGTAGTCTTCCGCGAGGTCTCAATGTGATCGGATGTGTATGTTTCGGGATGGGAAATAGGTGATGATGGCTGGTGGTAGACTGCATCTAGCGAACCAATTCCATTCCTTCTCGCAAGCTCTTTCTGGGTTGTCATGAATGAAACCCGATTATTTGATTCAATTGTAGGGATCAATGAATGGAGAGAGAAGTCGACATTGGCGAAGGTATTGAAAGAATCGGTCTCTTCCAGCAGCGGACTATTTGTGGAGGAGAATGTTGACTGGAAATCACATGTTGGTGTCGATGTATTGTTGTAAATCAAATTGTCGGGTATTATCTTGCCGTTTACCCAGGCTTGTGGGGATTCGAGCAATTCCCAGGGCTCTGGGATCTCTGGCGTGTTTGCCCAGCTGAGGATCGGAGTATCTGGGGAATGAGAGATTGGGTTGCCCATTGATGTAGCCCAATTGAAGTCGCCTTGTTCAAGTTGCTTTTTATGGCTTTGGAAAGCCTCGATTGGTCTTTGATCCAATGCAATTGCCAGTGTATGTGTCGTCATTAGTGACCGAGCTCAAGTCGGGTTGAAGTATAGATACTAGGTAGTACTGGTATCAGTGTTGGATATAGTTTCAAATTGGTAGTTGAGAAACAATTTGAATAAATTAGTGGATACATTTCTGGAGGCGCCAAGGGGTATATATAACAAGCCACATCTATGTCCGATGGAGAAATTGACTGCAAGGCCTGCTGGTTAGTCCTGTCCCCGGTGGTTCATCTGGAGATTTGCAGATGGCCGAGTGGGTCGTTCAGTCAAATCCGACGCTAGCGACTAAATATGTCCGGAGCTAGTCCCAAAGTGGTTTGGCGTGGCAAGCGGCCCTACGCGAACGCTCACCCCTCGAATCATCGATCTCCTCCCTACGTCCCACTCGGACTTATTCTGATTGTGAATACGCCATGGATTCCTCGGGCGGCCCTCCCGTCAAGAGGAGAAAGCCGAGGCCCGTTCTATCCTGCGTAGCCTGTCGCCAAAAGAAGTATGTCTGTCTGTGATCTATCGCAGTCCCGTAAGCCCAATTGATCGTGGATGAACTACTGGTTCTGACTAGCTGCATTAGGTTGAAATGTAATCGCGAACACCCTTGTGATAACTGTATCAAACACGATAGAATGTACATGTGCCACTATGCAGGTCCACAACGCATGGCCAAGAAACATTCTCAAGACATACAGCACCATCTACGAGAACTCGAGACTCAGATTGGCCAGCTATCTGCTACAAACTCCCAGCAACACAGACTAGCTCCAGCGGGGACTGTGCGAGTGCCTCAGCAAGCACCTCAGCCAAGTAGAGAGTTTTTGCCCGAGTCCACCTTTCCTGGCACTATGCAAGTCAATCAAGATGGACAAGATGGAACACGATATGTCGATCCGACTCACTGGCAAGCAGTCTTGCACCAGGTAGGCCGCTATACCATTCTATGATATCGTGCTGAACGCAACCTAATAAGAGTATAGATTGCAGAAGTTAAAGAATACCTCCAGTTGACTGAAGACACGTCCCCAGAGGAAGAAGAGGATGAACATCCCTGTCTTCCAGAAATATCCGGACCAATTCTTTTGTTTGGGAATGCAATCTCAACTTCAAAGGATGATCTGCTTGATGCACTGCCTGCGAGGGCTGTGGCTGATCGACTGGTATCCTCCTATCTGAACTCGAAAGAGGCTACCCTCGGTAGGTTTGATAATATTCCGCTATCTAATCTTGTTCCAAGCAAAAGCTGATCAACATCCAGTCATAACTCATATACCCACATTTACCAAAGAAGTTGGTCTTCCTATTCGTGTTTAAGATTTACCCTTGCCTAAATTCGGAGTCCCTTTAGTACGCGGAGTTCTGGAAGAACCCACAAGCGGCATCCATCAACTGGCTCGCATATATTTTTAGCATTCTCTGTGCGGGCACAGGGTTGCAACTTTTCTCTACGGCGGGACGAGTCGATGGTGACCTCTCAGAAACATTCGCCGAGTATCACCGAATTGCATCACAATGCCTGACCATGTCAAACTACACATCACCTGGACGATACAAAATGGAAGCGGTCATTATGAATGTTGCTATGGAGATCCTGAGAAGCACTGACAACCATGTTGGCCCCTCTGTTCTCCTCGGTTTGGCATCTCGATTGGCAATGCATAGTGGTTACCACAGAGATTCAAAACACTATCGTGAGATATCTGTTTTTGATGGCGAAATGCGCCGTCGCGTTTGGATGTCCTTTCGCCTTCTTGATCACTACATCTCCCTTCAAGCCGGACTCCCACCATCAACAACACAAGCCCAAACTGACACCGAAGAGCCTCGAAATCTACTTGATGAAGATCTAGACCCATCGATGACAACTCTCCCCCCATCTAGACCATCTACAGAGATAACACCGATGCTCTTTCCAGTCACGTTGAATCGAATGATGTTCATGGGCGCAGAAATCATGAGCAAGGTCTGCTCAGTGAGAGGAGTCCCCTACAAGGAAGTCTTACAGCTGGATGGTAAATTAAAAGAACTCTACGCAATGATCCCTCCCCCGCTGAGATACCGCACAATAAGTGAATCAATTGCAGACTCGCCTAATACGATTATGGATCGGTACAATATTGATTTGATCTATCAGAAGTGCCGATGTGATCTGCACCGCAGATATCTTGCCCAACATCGCATGGATCCTGCATTTGCATATTCCCGGAAGGAGTGCTTGGATGCTGCTAGAGCCGTGCTCCAGCACCAGTCAGACATATTTGAGTCTAGCTCCGTGTCCTCATTCTTTTTCTCACCAATTGTGGCCACACACTTTCGCTCCGCTGCGATGATCGTTTCTTTGGAGATATCATGCCAATCTCGATATGATTTGAAACAGAATTTGTCACCGAATGACAGACAGGCAATTATCAATGAGCGGCATCGTCTTTCCCTGGAGATTGAGAGGGCCTTCAATATTTGGAATCAACTGCGCCAACAATCCAAGGAAGCCTCGAAGATGGCTCAGGCGTTGAGTATCATGCTCAAAGTTACAAATACTCACCTGCAACATGGAGATACACCAGATCAAGTAGGCTTCCTCGGTTCAAACCCGGAATTCCAAGATGGTGAGTCTCTCGCATTGTCAAAGTTATTCCTTGAACCTCGACTAAAAACCCGCTTCTAGTCCCCCCAATCCCTCCGGCTCCTCCAGTGATACCCACGCCGCAGTCCCAAGAGTCTCAGCTATATGGCCAGAATGAATATAGTCCGTTAGACGTCGATCTAATGGACGCTAGTTTCTATTCAGGCCAAGACGAAGACCCTACTTCACAACCTCATAATGGGTTTTTCGCAGGTTCTTCGGGAATAGTGGACTTTTATGACCGATATTGGAATAATTTAATGCTGCTCGGGGATGAGCAACCCCTCATCGATATGCAGCAGGGTGAAAGTAACCAGGCTGGCCACGAGGAAACCTTTTTCTAGATATGGAGCCAACGGATCTACTCGACAAATCTGCGCCACATGTGCGCGGTGTACCTAACATGGGGTTATTTCCTCGTGTGAGCAATCTCACTCTCGACCAATCGCGTCCCAAGCTTCAACTTTCCGCGGAGTATCTTCTGAGAAACAAGGCGAAGATCGCGTTGTGAAGTATGATCTGATTTATTGATTGACTCAGGCTGTTCCTACGAAAGGGTCAAAATCAAAGATATACATAGAATAATTTGAAGCCATGCCTCATACTACTTGAATGTTCAAATCATTTCAAGGTTCACATATCCCTCGCAAAGGTCAAGCAATTTCTCCACCCGTCCTAAATTACCAAGCAACACATGGGCAGTTATTTACATTGATTATTTAGCCCTGGTTATTCTCAGAGGCAAGATAGGCATATAGGAAATATTTGAATTTGTCGTTTTTTGAGATCTCTTCTCACGCGCCAAGATCTTACACTTTCCCGTTCAGGCACACACATAAGCACCCTTACGGTTCGCAAGCCTCGCGCCCGGTATATAATCTTTTAATGGAAAGTACGGACTGCAGTGCCTGAAGACGGCAACTCCGAAGTCCGACTGAACGAACCAAGTATCATAATTTGCCCGGCGATTATTTCACAGGTGCCCCAGAAGAATAATACGACTACAGCCTGCGTATTCTCATCAGCCTTCGCCAGAATACGCCACTTGATGGATGGCCTGAGCGTCAACAAAGCAATATGCGATTGTGGCTTGCGTATTCTCTGAATCTGAATCCTGGGCTCACTTGCAGCTTGGGAAAATGTATTCGGAAATGATGGCTGATTCACAGCTTCGGTGTTCTTTATCCCCAGACTGTTTGGGCAGGTACACTTGCGGGTATAGAACCGAAACTCCGGGCTGCTTACCTTGAACCTGTTGTCTAAGACAAAATGGAGCCAGATCAAGAGTATTTAAAGAAAAAAAGATTCGGCCTTTTCCGTGCGTCTGGAATACAACGCTCAATCCATCAGAAAGAAGATTAAATATAATCCCTCAACATGGCTCAGGTCGACACTCGTCAAAAGGATTTCTGGTCTACTGAGGTTCGGGTCTCTTTAGTATATGTGACTCCATTTCACATCTAACAAATGACAGACTTATGAAGCTGTTGCTTCCTTCGTCCCTCGCTTTTCAGATACTCTCGTTCAAAGCATCGACTTCAAGCCCACCGACCGAGTCCTCGACATCGGATGTGGCAATGGGAAATTCACCGCCTCTTATTCCTCCGCAGTAAGCCATGTGATGGGAGTAGATTCTTCTTTGGCAATGATAGAGGCCGCAAAAACATTCAAATATGGCGGCGCGACCACGGACTTCCGCGTTGTTGATTGTCGACACTTGGACAAGGAAGAAGATGTTGTGAGTGGGCAATGGGATAAAGTGTAAGATCAACTGGGACCCCCGTGAGAGGCAAAAAAAAGAAAAAAGAAAAGAAGTCATGTTCTAAGGACATCTTCAGATCATCCAACGCCGCTTTGCACTGGGTTTTGAGAGACCCAACCACCCGCGTCTCCACGATTGAAACTATCTTTAAATCCATGAAGCCGGGAGGAACATTCTTCTTCGAGATGTGCGGATTCGGTAATGCTCCCGAGATGGTCACATCTTACACTTATTCGCTAGTGAACCATGGCATTCCAATTGAAGAAGTAGAGGCAGCATGCCCTTGGTTCCATCCCTCTGATGACTATATGAAACGCTTGCTCGAGGATGCAGGCTTTGAAGTAAAACATATCACCCTCCAGCCAAAGCCTTTGAAGATGAACTCTCAGATGAACGGTGGTCTTAAGGGTTTCATGAAACTTCTCGGCACCCCATGGTTGGATATTTTGAAAACTGAGGAGGAGAGGGAATCGTGTTTGGATCAGATGTGTCGTATGCTTCGGAGTGGAACTATGAAAGAGGATGGGTGTCAATATATCACTTACTATGGCCTTCGATGTGTGGCTGTCAAGCCTTGGTAGGGTTGGGAACTACTTACGAGTTGGGCGAACAATCCGAGCTTGAAAACGGGGGTTGGCTTAGAACTTGAAATTGACCAATTAAATGCATACGATATGTAGATATCTTTGCCGTAGTATCGACAGTAACTACTGAATACCTTATTTCTGTTATCTACTAACAATAACAAGTGTTGACGCAGGCACCAGCGGCCTAAGGCACCCACTGGCAGGTCGTGTCTTCCTTCCTTCCGTCCTTCCTTCCTATTCTGGATAGCTTTACTCTCTTCTTCTCTCACCACGCCGAACACCACCACTTTCCTCACTCATCACCTCATCGCAACATCCTCTCTTTTTGAAGCATACGTACCGGAGCCCATTCATATCCTCATACATTCTCCAGTATGACAACCTTCCGGGAGGTTGTCTTTCTCTTACATCGACTAGATCCCTCTTGGCTCCATTCACCCGAGATTCCGAGCCAATGGCCAGCTGATGTTGGCATTCGGGGTCTACGACACGGCCTTCAGGCCCACCTAATATTGCAGTGCAGGGACGGCATCCCACAGATTACTCTTCCCAATAACTCCAGTCTTGACAACCTGGAGGATGAGACCTCTAACTATTCTGGCCCTTGATACCACGGACCACTCCCGCGACAGATAAATCAAATCCTCCGACGAGACGCCTGTCAGTCATGCAAGGAAGAAGACGGCACGGGTTATTATTCCAAGATTATTTTACCTTGATGCCCGCCCACTTGCTTCCACAAAGAGGACATTATCTTCAATCCTGACACCATTGGCAACCCATTCTTCTACCCGGTCTCGAAGAAGCAACGTGAGCTGGTACCCGAGCATGGCGGTCCGTTTATCTTCTTGAGCGACAAGGAAAACAATCCAGTCTTTTCCAAACATTTCAGGAGCGCTATGCAGACATTATGACTCGGAGACTACACGATGATTTGGATGTTCAGTCTGTGGAAACTATCCGCCCCGGGCGGGGTGCTCAATTTGACGCATCAAGAGATTAATAAATAGGGAAGGCCGTCACATTCTTGCCGAACTGCTCATGATTTATCGCCGATCATAAAAGCATGAAGGTTTTTTTCGACAATGAGGACCCGCACAAGGCCCAAGAGATAGTCAAACCGATGAGCTCGCGGAATGGGTTCGCCAGGACCCGAAGGCAGCCCATGACTCCTTGATGAATAAGGGAGGCTCTGGATCGCTGAGCGAAAGGATTGTTCAAGTAGATGCTTCATAGGGCACGAGTCCAAGCCACGTTAGCCTCTGCTGACTTGTCAAAGTCTCGGAATATGCACGGAGAACGCATACACAGAGAGCATACACGGAAACCGTACGCACTGTTCGCATGCCAATCGCATGCCCAACACACACGCCCAAGCGTCAACGTGTGAATTAAGCACAACTGGGCAAGTTTGACGATCATTATATTGGCAAGGAATGAAACTGCCTTCAAGTTCAGCCGATGATCACCGCCGGTTTGCAGCGAATAGTCTATCATGTACATGTCTGAGGCATTTGTTGAGTGGATAAACAACTACAAATCGACCGGGACTGCAGCAGGGGCAGCAGCAATTGCAACCCGTAGTAGCAAGCTAACTCTTGGCACCAAAAGCAGCTCAAAGTACGGGATGACGCGTTCCGGGCTCTCAGCAATATGGTCGAGCGATGTGGGCGAGAAATGGACAGCCTGTATGGTCCAAGGAGCCCGTTCTCCTGTGCCAGATTATCCGGCTGAAATCCACCCCTTTTAGAAATGGGCCTTGATTTCCGGGAAGAACGATCACTCTAAGCTTATACGCCCAGCCAAGCATGACAGATCCATTTGCACTGCCCACGCCGTCAGAACTGGGCTGGTAAGTACTTAAGATTACTAGTTATTACTGATAATAACTAGCATCTTCTACCAACAGGAACAATGCTTGAGTCTATAAAGCAACAAGATGATCCAGACGAAGCGTACACTGGCATTCAGGACATGTATAATTATGGGGCGAACCTACGCATTATCTGCAGGATCAATTCGATGTTGGACAATTCTTGAACTTGGCACACCCACTTCTTGCGACTCCTCGAGGGTCCACTCACGTATCCTTCTCGACTCGTGGGCATAGTGTACCCGAGATTCTGAAGCTTCTTGTTATTACTGAGCTATTTGCTGATCTGTCAGAGGTCTGGCACCAGCCCGAGCTACCTCGCCTAATCATTCACTTTCCCAAGTTCCCCGTCAACCCACTACACACATCCGACCCACTTAGATCGTCAATCTTTCTCTCGCGTATAATTACACAGTATATTCGTCCTGCCGGCGGGATGGTCCTGTCCATAGGAATCCTGGATGAGGTTGGCCGCCAATTCACATGGGACATCGAAACCAAGGGCAAGCACGCATGGAAATCATCCAGGGGGGGCCCTTGTCTTTGATCAGACAACAGAATCGACAGGGCATGTTTTCAACGGCGAACTGTCTACCGCGCAGCGGCAGAATATCATCAAGTTCAGCTGTCGCCAACGACCGGACAACTTTGAGACCATCCGAACTCTTGGCCGAGGCATTGTTGGAATGACCGGTAGCGGCAACCACTTCAACGACAGACAAATCAAATTCTCCGACGAGATGGCTGTCGATCTTGCAAAGGTTCAATGCCATTGTACAATGGCATTTGCCAGAAACGCCGAGGTGGATGGACATGTCACATGGGGCTACACTGGCAGGGAAGACTAAGAAGAAAGACCAAATCTTTCCTTTGCTAGCAGCCAGAACCTAGCATAAGCCAGTAGGTAGATATATTTCAAAATGATAAATGTTTTTGTTCTTTTGATTATTATTGAATGTGTTTATGCATCATGTTGTTTTTCAGCCGTCTATGTGACGTATAGAGGCTTGTCTATAGAATGACAATTCAAAGCGCCGCCGCCAGGGGTAGTCCGTAAGCTTAAAGCATGAAAGTAAGGAAAGGAAAGTGTAAGATTGGATAGACGGTCAAGTCAACTTCTGATGCGGTTGCAGGGTTAGAGGGGTTGAAACGGGTATTCCAGTCAAAATCAGGAATGGAGTGTGTCGTTACCAAGACCTCGACGGGCATGTTCTCAAGGGTTGGATATGGTGTTTACCCAAACATGTCAGCTACGCCGGAGAGATCTGGGCCATCGTTGATATCGACTCGTTGGGTTTCTTGTTGTGTTTCCATTTCGTTGGTCATGTATCTCTCCTGCAGAGCGCTGCGGGCTTTACGGCGCTCTTCACGGGAGCCGAGAATTTTACCTTGTTCTGCAATGCTCACTCCGCGAAGGGGCTCCAGGAGGTCGAGAATCAAAGCACGTTGCTGCCTAGGTGAGGTGCATCGCTGCAGAGCAGCTTCTGTTTGGGCAAATTTCTGTTCAGTGATCCCGGGAAGACTCAGGAGCACAGATTTGGGTGTTTCACTCGCAAATCCATAAAGAACCCATATAGAGGCAATGAGCTGAGCCAGGTCCTTCTGCATATCGACGAAATATGGCTCGTGGACGGACGTGATGCAGGCCTTCAGTACCTCTGTGCAGATGAACTCTCGAATGGTCACGGTCGTGTCGCTGTTGTTGGGAGGGGCGAAATCGGCGAGGATTGATCGGATAACACGAGTGATTATGCTGCAGCAACGGGTATCCCGCATGCTAAGAGCATGGGTGCAGAAGAGCATGAGAGGCTCAAAAATTTCAGGTGACGAAAGAACAAAGTGACGAATGGAGTCGGATATTTCGGGGGTGGGCTGGGGCGCGCTGGGGTCTGATTCGGTCCCATCGGGGTCTGGGTTGTCAATGAGCATTAGTTCTTCACTGTCACGGCTTTCCTGGGCACCGCGGGATTCTTGTCTCAATGGGTGCTTTTCCATTGTGCGGGTTTTGTTTATCATACCTCCTCTCTGGGGATCGAACAAGCTAGCGACCATGATAACGGCGGAGTAGGTGAGCTGGCGGAGAACGCTCTCTGATTTCATTTCGTCTGTGAGGTCGCCATCCGAGACGCCATGCTTTCTTTGTTCAATTAGTTGCCACTCAGTCGTGATCTTGCGGTCGATGCTGCCGAACAATGTGGCGAGCATGGGAGGAAGGAAGTGGCTGCGGTACTGGACGGGGCAGTCATCAATTAAGCAGCGGGATATATTCAGCAGAACTGAGTACTGGTGGGAGGAGAGATGCTCCGAGTCTTTAAACAAGGCTTGAGACAAGGGGCCAGGTAGTTCAGCAAACCCGTAGAACTGGTCACGCATTCTGCTCATGCTAAACAGCATGGAGTAACAGGACTCACGAACTGCCCGGATTTTACCCCGAACAGAAGAAGCAAATCCTTCCATGGTGGCCTTGGATGCGGTAATTCTGGCATAGAAGTCATCGCGGCTGCCGCTCGAAATGCCGGCTTGCCAGAATCTGTCGGTCAAGATCCGCTCAACAACAGCACGCATTTCGTCACTGACGGCCCAATTGCCAGGGTTGTGGAAGGCGTGTGCATGACTTGAAATTATTGAATTTAGCATCTGTCCGCAAATTGTTGATTAGGGGGACGTACGTGACGAGTTGAAGGAGGGTCGGGAGAATCTGAGGGATAAGGTCCTGCCACATATCACAGCCGACCGAGTAGGCAGGAGAGGTCTTCTTAAGCCTGTCTGTGGAAACTGCCAACATGGTCTTTGTGCCTCGGAGTGGCAGCATCTGTATCGTGGGTTAGAGATGAGGGGAGTTAAGTCATGGAGATGGTTTTTCTTGCCTGAAATTTCCTTGTCATCTCTTCCTGCACAACCTTTCCTTCCTCATCGAGGATCACCTCTGACCAATCGGCGAATTTGTAAGCTTGCTTAGCTTGCATATATGAGCCAACATTTTCCAATCCCAGCAACCTGCAGAATCCGTCGAAAGAGGAGCTGGTCTGTCTGAAAGCCTCGTCTTGCCAAGCCTCACGGATAGGTTCGAGGAATGCACCAAGTCTCTGTTGCCGGAGGTTAGGATCAATATTGCTTGCGCGTTGCCTTGGAAAGATTAGCATGGGAATGTCAGAAGGCAGGATAGAGGATCGCACATAATGATCAGCAGAATGGATGTCAGCTCCATTTGCAGTTTATCGTCTACTCTATTTGCTTGAGTAATTTCTCGGATCTTTGGCTCTAGCAAATCATAGAATGTCTAAAGTTTGTAGGTCAGCAACACAGGTCATCTCTTCGAACAAGCAACACTGACAGAGAAATAGTCCGCATAGCGGATCGCGAGACGACGAAGTTCATGACTGGCAAGGCCATGAAGCTCTTTCACAGCTTCGGAGTAGGCAGGATAACCAGGTTGGTCCGGAAGACGGGTCATGAGAATGTGCTCCAGGACCTTGAGAGCAAAGGCGGGGTGGTTGTCCAGAGCACGAGAGGAGATATCCACAACCAATTTGATGACGCGTTGTTTTAGAACAGGGTCCTAGATTGACTATTAGCATAACCATAATCCCTTTTGGGGTCAGAAGACTAACATCGAAAGACCGTTGCATCAGGTTTGAAGCCCAGTTTTCCATGGCGAATTCCAGCTCGCTGCGTTCCTGCTCCTGTTTATACTGTGAGTAGTTGGGACGTCAGCGGGGAATATGGAAACCGTACATCATGTTGAGGTGCTTTGCCGTGAGAATCAAGCCATTTGTTAAACCCCTTCACAACAGCTTCGACAACTGCAAACTGGGCATCGGCACGCATGAGTTGGATTGCTGACTTGCTGAAAGTTGACACTGCAGGATCGGAGTGAGTTTCAAAACTTCGTAGTTCTAAGGAATAATAAACATACTGTGAAACGGTTCCAGCCCGTTGTACAAATTATTAAGGTTCTCATCAACTCGACCTAAGATTTCGCGAACAGCATCCTGCGGGCGGTTCTTCGTAATGGTCTCGATAACGGAGGAGCAGTAGCGGCGATAGTTGCCTACAAAGGCATGACGCTCCGGAAGAGTGTCAATATCCTCGGACAGAAATTGGACTGTGGGATCCTCGGAGTCAGCAGGTAGAGATTCCCAGCGTATCAAGCGTTGCGTGCAGATGTTCAGAAAGCTGGGCGTCAGGGTCAGAACGAAATCCGATCTGCCAATCTTGCTGATAGCAAGGAGTCTTGACCAAAGGTGCAATACGGGAATGGAAACAATCAAGCTCTGGTGCTGCATGATATTGACCATGAAGTTGAAGAATAGCGGGAGATCCAGACGGTTCATGGTGTTTTGGAGGAACTTGTCATCTTCCAGACATCCGGCAATATATGATACCATCTTAATGAAGTTTCAGTATAGGGCTACTCGGCAATATGGAAAAGGGAGATTTTACCTCGGAGAGCTTTTTAGAGATCAAGTATTTTGGCTCATCAGCGTCATCGGGCCCCACGATTGACCAATGGTACAGATTTTGAAGGGTATTGAGATAATCGGGTTCGAAGATCAAGCAGACAAGACCGTGTGAGTCTTCATTTCCCATGTTGTTTCTTCCGTAGAGGGAATGAAGAGCCTCAACTGCCGCCTAGATATGATGTTAGTCTTCTGCAAATCAAGTTTCGTTCGAACAGAATCCTTTCTTACCAGGAGAACCTGGTCATCTTGGCAAGTCAATGCCCTGAAGATGCTTGAGACAACCTGGGAAGCCACAACAGCTTTGTAGATAGACCAAGATAACGCAGATCGCAGAGTTGTCAAAGCCTTCACAGCTGCGTCTCGAGCTTGCGACGAGCTCGAGACATTTTGCACACAATTATCCAGAAATTCACAGATCCGGACGAGCCAGCCCTCCTGACCGCAGCGCAGCGTCGCGTTCGTCTTGTTGTCCGGGTTGATTTGTTCCACAATCGCAGCGGGAGTGAAGATCTCCACAAGAGCGCGGTTCAACTCCGAGCCACGAAGCGAAGAGACGGTATCCTCGCGAAAGAAGACATCTTCAGAGAGGGTCTCCAAGACCGAGAGCACGAGCTCATTGTGTACCAGAGACGCTCCCCAAAATTTGACCAAAGCAGCATCCATGTCCATCCAATCCAAGCCCCAGCTCTTCTTAGCAGCCTCGGACCACAGCTGGGGAATCTTGTTGCGGAAATAATTGGGTTCCTCGGCGCGTGTATTCTCGGCGAGCTGCAGGATCATGGATCGTATGTTTACCGCGTCGTCGGAATTGGTGAAAGGCAGATGGCGCAGGACGTGATCCAGAAGGGTGAGACCGAAGTATCGCACGACTGGAGCATGGTCCGTACGCGATGCCAGGAGGAAACCATTCCGGGCGGCCGCATCGTTATCCTTCAACGATTCGACGAAAGTGAGGGCCTCTTTGCGAAGCTCATTCGTGGACGTGGGGCTATGAATGACCTCTAGTGCGCGGATGATGTCGGCCATACCGGCATCTGACAGCTCCTCGGCAGCCATCGTGTCGGCAGGCCGAGTGCAGATTGTGGTGTTGAGCGGGGAGTGACGGGGTTTGGAGGGGAAGATGGTATCGGTATCACGAGAGGGGTGGGAGATAGGCGGGCGTGCTCAAGCGAGGAATAGGCGTCGTTTTTCTTGCTGTTTAATTTGGGGTCAAGTCACGTCAAGTAAGATTAGGTTAGGTTTGAATTATCCTCTCATAACCCGAGTGTCCAAGGCTCCAAGGCTCCAAGGCGAGAGATTGTTTGGATACTCTGTTGACCCTGGCCGGTGGAACTGTTCTAGCGGTGGAACAAAGCAACACGTGCCATTCAACGAACAAGGCCAAGGTCAAAGACGCAAAAACCGGGCGGAGATCAGGGAGGGAAGAGGTGGAGGGGGGGGGTCGAGGGTGGGTGGGAGAATGCGCTGTTGAGGTGTTTGTAAGAGGGAAACCGGAGAAGACGAAAGTCAGTGTCAGTGGCAGTCAGTGGCAGTCCCGGGGCTGAGAGCTTTTCCTTCTTCACCAGGCACAGACAGGCACAGGCACAGGCACACACACACCACACACCACACCGCTCTCCTCGACAGCTTCTCTTCTTTGCTAATCTTCCAACAGAAGTCGTCGGATTCTCAATTGGAAAGATTATGTTTTCTTTTTTTTCTCGTTTAGTACGTCGTCATTCTAACTTTGCCCCTCCGTCGTCACCGGTTGTTTATCTTATCTTTCTAGTACTGCATAAGCCTCACCCGGGACAGTACCCTATACACCTACATATTAACATATCAGGGTGGAAACACACATCCCATATGAACTAGTACTACTAGCACTATCATTGCAAGAGAACCCCCGAACGCTAAGCAAAATAGGGGAAATAAATAGGAATGTCACATCAGAACACATTGTCCCCGCTGACACTGCTCCAGGTAGCTCACCTCCTCGACCGAATTAGAATATTCGCCGACCTTGCGTTTGACTCCCTCAATCTTAATCTCTTGCTCCCCTTCCGCATGCCACCATAGTAGCCGTTGGATCCTGGTGGATTCCTCCACATCAAGTTCCCATTTCCCGCCGCTCACGCTAATCGCCGTCTGGTCCTCTGGGAAATGGAACTCCGGGAGGAAGATCTCTGTAGGCGCTTCCGAAATAGTTGCCGCTTGTGCCGTCAAGGACATCGTGAAGGTGCAGCTTTGGAGATCAAAGAGATGGCTCTCCAACTGTCCACTCACGTAGATTGGAGAGGGTCGGAGGTAGGCCTCCGCCGCACGGTAGCCTTTAGGAGCTCGAGAAAGACTACTGGAGATAGAAGGAGATGTCAACGCTCGCTTGAGATTGCGGGTGTCAATTTGCGGCTGGTCCCCATTACTATGGCTTTCAGAGTAGGCGGGAGAGGTGGGATCAAGCGAGCGGGTATCGCCGCCGCCGGGGAGCTCAAGATCGTCATTCGACCAGATGGATAGGTCCTCGCCGTTCCAGAAATCACCCCATTGATGATTGTTCTACAAATTATTAGAGACTATTCAAGCACGCGTATTCCAATTGGGAAACAGGCTCTTACCTCGGTTGCATAGACCCACAAGGTGAACCCATTGCCCATGCTTCCCTCCAGCGCATAGTGATTAGCATCCATAGCACTGGTTTGGCTACTGTAGTCGCCTGTCTTGTAGGCGCTCTTGTCATCCATGTCGTAGGGGATTCCAATTTCTGTAAAGAGCAGTGGATGGTTGCCCATGTAGTTCAAACTCTCCTCACGGAGGAACTTGAGCTGATCTCGCAGGCAGTTTCGAATTGCAGTCTCTCCAATCTTGACAGCAAATGCAGGCGTCCAATACTTGCCCCGAAGAACACCAATCACATCGACATTATAAAGACGATTCCTAAAGCCGTTAGCATATATGATGATGCATAGCAAGGATTGAAAGACATGGCTCACCAGTGTTTCGTCATCAAAGTAAGTCCATCATAAAAATGGACCGCATGCACCATATTAGGGTCATCATCCACCGTCCCCTTCAGGTCAGGCGGCACCTCCATCACTGGCGGCTGGCAAAGCATAATTGACTGTGGCCAGACCGCACGGATTGCATCTCTATAGGCTCGGTAGTGGTTGAGGAAGTAGGTATTAGTGAAGACCTCGTAGTCTAGCTTCTCCCCTGTTTTAGGAACCTTTGAGAAATAATCCTTCTGGAGGAGCGTATCACTAGTTGTGTCCCATACACCATGCTGAGCCCAGAGACACTCTCCTAGCTTCCATCCTGAATCGCGATTCCATCCGTATTTTTGCTCAATAGCGGAATCTTCAGGTAGTAGCCAGGCAGATTCGCCTTCTGGGTCCACGAGCTCCCGGCCAGTCTGATAGGGACCGAAGTTACCAAAGCCCCATGTCGTTTCTTCACATGCTCGCCCAGCAGCCGTTAGCATTGCCTGGAATGCTGTGGGTGATGTTCCAAGTTGTAATTGTTGCTCCGGCGGAATGATGGAGATGTCCTGCACGCCAACCAGGCCGCGGTTAGGCTCGTTCATACTTTCCCAGCCGATGACCACGTCGTTCTCAAGATCGCCTGCATCGTGTATCTTCTGAGCGAGGTATCTACAGGCTGCTATAAAGTGATTTTGCAGATAGTCCTGAATATTGACCCCGTCGATGATGGCTTTCGGAGCAAAGTCGCGACCTGCCCAGAAGAGAGTGAACATCGTTTGGCAGACCGATCGAGTGTAATTTGTGCTCCAAATCATCTTCGGAAATTCAGCAGGGATATCGTAAGTATTCTGGACGAGGGCGGCTTCGGTCTTCTTGAAGCCCTTCGGGTCCAGACCCGCAGCATAAAAAGTCCACATTGGTGCTCCGGAGCCACCAGACAACCGAGACCACTAGGATATGCATGGTAAGCTTTGTATACGATGAAATACACAGATGAGAAATTGAAGAGCAGGGAATCAACTCACCACATCCTGATGGGGGTCCATGAAAACATAAAATTCATATTGCTTTGCTATGCGGAGAACTTGGATGGTAAAGGTAACCCACTCATCGTCATACTTCCCGGGACCCGAATGTTCGATAGCTTCCCAAGTGAAGATGTACCTAATTGTGTTATATCCCCATTTACGAAGTCTTTTGAAGTGCACATGTGCATCTTCAAGGGAAAAGGGACGTCCAACAAACGAGACATCGTCGGCTTCGAAGAACTTGTCCGAAACAAAAGAGGGAAGATCCGGCGATTTGGGATATTTCGCATCGCCAGCAACGTTTATACCCCTCAATGTAACCTCTCGATTGCGCGAGTCTCGGAAGACTTTGCCGTCAATGTGAAGGTGCAGCAGACCCATCTCGGAGGTGTGCGGCGATCCCCGCGCTCAACAAGGATGTGAAGGGAGGAGGCAGGACTGCGCAAGCAAATGCGTGAAATGCTGTCGCAGATATATATAGGTAAGATGACGTTTCCCCTTGAAGAAGCTATAAGTTAGCCCAGTTCACCGCAATGACCCCAGCCCAATAGGCAGCTGCATCGGCAGCTGACGGCAACCACTACTTACCTAAGGTGTTGCTGGATGTGTATTCGCTGAGTGAGGTTTGCAGGCAGCCTTACTGCCTTGGGGACTTTGAGGCCCGGGTACGTGATCGAAGCAAATTTGTTTGACAGCAATGGATGTGAAGGTGAAGGTGAAGGTGAAGGAGGTAGACCCCATGATCACGATCCCAATCCCTCGATAGCTCAGTCGATAAGCGGTGACGTATCGCGCTAACCGATAAGGTCGCCCTGCGGTTTGCTCCACATTCGACCACACCAGTTTGAACTCCTCCCCCTCCTCCACCCTCAACTCATAACGATGTCGAGCAAGGCGGCATTGAAGGCCGTGCGGTCGGCCATCGACTCAAAGGACTATGCTACAGCAGTCGAGAAAGCGAGGAGTCTCGTACAGCAAGACCCGAAAAATTACCATGGGTATGTTATGTTTCCACCCCGCGACAACGAGCAAGCTCACCTAACTTTCACCCCCTGCAACTCTTAGGAACATCTTCCTCGGACTCGCCTATGACAAGCAGAATAAGACTGAAGAAGCTGAGCAAGCTTACCTAGCGGCCACACGCATTAAAGACAGCGATCGCACAGCTTGGCAGGGTCTAGTCACCCTCTATGAAAAACAAGGAAATTCCAAGCTCGATCCCTGGCACGACGCAGCTCTCCGTCTAGCCCAGATATTCGCCGATGGGTATGTTTTGATGCTCTTGTTTGCGTATCAGCGGACCAAATACTCACATGTCAACCAGCAATGACATGCACCGCTGTCAGGATACGATCGATAAATACACCAACATTGCCCGGAGTCGAGGCTCCAAGGCCCAGTATAAATGTGCCCTGCAACTACAACTTCCAACCTCCCCGATTTATAGCATCCTCGAAGGCCGAATGCCCCACCCCTCCCAAACCTATCTACGCCTAATCGAGATCACCGAAGCGGAAGAGAAGGAATATATCAATCGCGAGATCGGAGAGCGAAGAACTCGTCTCGGAGCACGCCTCGACCAGGTGACGGTGGAAGTGAAGCGAGAGGCTTTCAAACGAATGGGACTGGAGGACCTGTATCGAGGCATCATCAACTGGACCAACGACGATGAAGTTCGACGCCAGTACGAAGAAAAATTGCTCGAACGCGCCTACGATGAGTTGAAGGTCTTGCACCACAAGCAAAAGAACACCAAGAGAAGGGAAATCCTCCGTGCTGCTCAGGATATGGTCATTATCAAGCACCCCTTTGAACTCGCATGGACCATTGTCCTAGAATGGCAGGATATCGAAACCTACTCTCAATGGGACGTCGGTGTTATTCGCGAATTTATCGAATTCTTTCCCGACAATGGATTGGGCAAGGTTCTCAAGGGCTTTCTTGCAAGCGAGCTTTCACCTTTCCCTAAGGAGGAAGCTTCGGAGGATGATGCAGTTACCGAAATTACAGACAATACAGAGTTCTCTGCGCAGGACCGCTTGATCTTGATGGTTGAAGGGCTTGAGAGCGCACGTTCATCAATCATCGCACACCGGGTCATGGCAGATTTGCACCTCGTGCTTGAAGAATATGAGGGGGCCGCTCGGGTAGCTGGGGACGGGATCAAAAATGTCCAAGAAGTCTCTGGCTACACTGGAATCAATTTCATCAACACAAAGGACTCACTCAACATCAATCTAGCCAACTCCTACATTTACTATCAATCTCCTCGTTACCACCCCGAAGCCAAGGCGATCTTTGAAGAGATTCTTCAACGCAATCCAACATCAACAACGTGTCTTCTGGGTATCGGTCTCATCCTCCAGGTGGATGAGGACTACGCAGATGCCGTCTTGTTCTTAGAACGTGCTCTGGAGCGTGATTCCACCAACATCAAAATTCGTGGCGAGCTCTTCTGGTGTATGGCATTGAATGGGGATTTCGAAACAGGTTTAGAGGGCCTCCTCGGTGCTCTCGACAGTCTGAATGAGGAACAACCCGAAAACAAGGCATTTAAGGCCGTGCTCCTGTACCGCGTGGGCTACTGCAAATGGGAGCTTGATCAATCTCGAGCGGCTCGGAAGGACCGGAACGGAGCTTACTCTTACTTCCTCGCATCTATCACCGCCGATATGAACTACGCTCCGGCATATACCAGCCTCGGTTTCTACTTTGCGGATTATAAGAAAGACAAAACCAGAGCTCGGCGATGCTTCCACAAAGCGTTCGAGCTTTCGACTTCCGAGATTGAAGCTGCCGAGCGTCTTGCTAGGAGCTTCGCAGATCAACGTGAGTGGGACCTCGTGGAGGTCGTCGCGCAACGAGTCGTTGATTCTGGCAAAGCTAAGCCATCACCTGGCTCGAAACGTAAGGGCTACAGCTGGCCATATGCAGCCCTCGGTACTGTGCAGATCAACAAACAACAATATGCACGAAGCATTGTTTCATTCCAGGCATCACTGCGACTTTCTCCGGGGGATTATCATTCCTGGGTTGGACTTGCGGAGAGTTATCACCATTCTGGTCGCTATGTTGCATCCACCAAAGCCTTTGAGCATGCGCGAGAGCTAGAAACTAATCTTTCCGAAGAAGAGACGGAACACGTTTGGTTCGCACGTTATATGCTGGCAAATGTGAAAAGAGAGCTTGGTGACTTCAATGATGCTGTTTCAAGTTACGAGGATGTCCTCGCTTCTCGACCGGGTGACATTGGCGTGACAATTGCCCTACTTCAGACCCTAGCAGAGAGTTCTTGGAAAAGTGTGGATTCGGGCTTGTTTCATGACGCAGCGGAGCTAGCGTGCAGGGTGATCCAGGTCGCAGGCTCGATTGTGTCTGTTCGATCTGACATCTTTAACATGTGGAAGGCTGTTGGTGATGCTTGTGCCATATTCTCATACATCGGCAAAGAGGTTGGCAAGCTCTCCGCGGTCGACTGCAAAGCCCTGCTGTCTACCGGAATCGACGATGAAGCCCTTAACATCATGTTTGAGGTGGACGGAGTTGGAAAAGATTGGCTTGACTCCAGCCTGGACGATACTGTCTCGTCTGATGCCTGCATCCACTTGTCCATCCTGGCTTACAAGCGGGCGATCCACACTTCGATCAAGGACACGCATGCACAGGCAGTCGCATGGTATAATCTAGGCTGGGCCGAATACAGAGCATTCCGAAACACACATGTCGCGCCTGGTACGAAGAAGCCTCGCAAGTTCCTTAAGGCAGCAATGCGATGCTTCAAAAGGGCCATCGAGCTGGAATCCGGAAACTCCGAGTTCTGGAACTCGCTCGGCGTTGTAACAACAACGATGAGCCCCAAGGTTGCTCAACATGCTTTCGTCCGCAGCCTTCACCTCAATGACAGAAGTGTTCAGGCCTGGACTAACCTGGGCGCACTTTACCTTCTCCATAATTCTGTTCAGCTCGCCAATGAAGCATTTACCCGTGCCCAGTCTACGGACCCCGACTACTCACAGGCCTGGGTTGGACAGGGCTTACTTGCCCTCCTCTACGGCGACAAAAAGGAAGCGCGTGGCCTCTTTGAGCACGCGTTTGACATCTCAAATTCTTCTGCTGTACTTCCCAAGCGACAGTATAGTTTGACTCTTTTCGATCACCTCCTCGCCGATGAATCAGCTTCTAACGAAGTATCTCAACTCATCCAACCGTTCTTCGCCCTCCACCAGCTCTGTGCGCAAGACCCCTCAGATCTACCTTTCATCCACCTCTCCGCCCTCCTGGCAGAGAGAATGGGAGAAACTGCCGACGCCGAGGGCAGTCTTCAGACCGTCTGCTCTGGCATGGAGACTGAGTTCGAAGCCTCAGAATCTCCAGCTGCACTCTCTAGATTCGCACAAGCCAACGCAGATCTAGCTCGTGTTCTTCTTGCTTGTGGTGATTACGAACAGGCCACAGAGAAAGCCGAGACCGCTCTCACGCTCTCCGGGGAGGAAGATGCTAGCAACTTTGATCCAGAGGGATGCAGCAAGATGCGATTATCCGCACACCTGACCGCTGGCCTCTCTTTCTATTTCCTACAATCAATGGATCAGGCTATCGATATGTTCCGCGATGCTCTACAAGAAGCCGATAGTGCCCCAGATGTAGTATGTCTCCTTGCCCAAGTTCTCTGGGCCAAGGGTGGCGAAGAGGAGCGCTCGGTAGCCCGTCAGCAGTTATTTGACTGCGTCGAGAACCACCCAGAGCATGTCGGAGCCGTCAGTCTATTGGGAGCCATCGCAATCCTAGATGGAGACAGGGATACAGTTGAGGCGGTTGAGTCAGATCTTCACAACATGATCACTCGGAATGATATCGAAATCCATGACCGAGCTCGACTGATCAAACTTCTCGCTGCGATCTCAATCATGGGCTCCGCTGGGGGGTAACGCAGCCTCAGAGGAACTGCGACACCTCGGTGAAGCCACCGCGGCCATCATGCTGTCCCCAGGTCAACCCTCGGGATGGATGGAGCTCTCAGCATCTTCGGACCACCCCTACCCTGCAGCTATGTCTGTTGAGCGAGCTCTCCGTTGTGTTCCGCCGCACGGAAATCTTGATGCCTCTGATCTCAGCCAGGCTCATGCCCGAACAGGAAATGCACCGGATGCTTTCCGATCCATTATGATCGCTCCATGGCGACGAGAGGGTTGGGAGGAGCTCAGCTATGCTGTTTCTAGCCAAGCGGCATAATTATTGGAAGTTTATTCATATTAAATATGCATATTTGTAGCAGGTACTGAATGAATCCCACGGCGATGAAGACAATGTATATCTTCCATTATTTCCACTTTCTCCACTAGGTATTACTACTAGTGTGCTTCCAAGCTTGGAAGGTTCGTAGGAACGCTGGATTGAGACTTGACGTCATACCTATATCAGCAACCGCTGATTTAGTACTTTATGGTACTACATTTGAGACTCCGAGTCGTTTCTCTTTTCCCTTTTGCTATATTAACCACCGACAGATTCAAGTTGTCTACACTGATCTTGCTCAGTCATATCAATACGACATTGGACGGTGTCAGTGTCCAATCTGAGAATCATCATGGCAACACGAACGTCTACACGTCAGGCTGCCCAGAAAGCCAAAGATGCAATCACAGCCTCTACCGAAACACCCGGGAAAGCTCGCCCTCTAGGATCAAAGCGCAAAGCACCGCAAGAAAAGTCTACAGAGCCCAGGAAGGAGACGAAATCCGATAAGAAGCCGAAATCGAAATCCGAAGCGAAAGTCGAGCCGAAGCCAGAGACAACAATTGGAGCACAGGTGAATGAAATACCAGATGCGCAGCAGAGAGAAGAGAAAGAGAAGAGGGAGGGGCAATCTCATCCCCTACCTTCTGCCCACCCGAAGCCTGAAGAAGGTATTGAGCTCGGCGTACACAAAACCGACGAAAGAGAAGCTGCTGTGTCGTCCAACATTCTTGAAAAGGGGATAATCTACTTCTTCTTCCGCCCGCGCGTCAATGTAGAGGACCCTCATAGTGTCAATGATGTCGCTCGAAGTTTCTTCGTGCTTCGCCCTACTCCATTGGGCGCCGAGCTCGACGAAGGCCAAGGACCACTCGACAAAGACGCTCGATGTCGCTTGCTCATGCTCCCGAAGAAGAAGTTCCCCACATCGCCCAAAGAGCGAGACATGGGATTCGTGGAGAAAGCAGGACAGACAATCCAAGATCTACAGGAGAACTTCATCGCTTCTTCGACATACCAAACAGCCACCCGCGGTGAGCGGACCGTGGAAGAAGCTCGGCCGTACGCCGAGGGAGTGTACGCACTCACCTCGACAAAACGAGCAACCCATCTAGCCTATATGTTGACCATCCCTTCCGAGCCGGGCGAGGTCCAGGAGTCCTTTGGTCTCCACCGACGGGGCAGTTGGATCGTGCAGTCTAAGAACCCCAAGTTCCCCGGCCCCCCCCCCATTCGCCCAGTTACCCAAAGAGCCGGACTATCCTGTCTCGTAAGTTTCCACCACATCTGGTCTAAGGTTTCATCCTATGCGGGACGATGGTAGTCCAAAATGCTAATTTGACATCAGCGTACGAGACAAGTTCGGCGACCTCCGATGGGTGCCACTGGAGCCGGAGTTTATCGAGTATCCCAATGCGCAGTTTTTGATGATTGGCGAGGCGCAGGATACTCTTGGTAAAGCCGCGACAGCCGAAGAAGGGGCCAAACAGCCCCACGAGGAGGAACCAGGACATGAGTTGGAGCAACTCGAACGGGAAAATGAACTGCGGGTGGAAGCGCTGCAGGGTAAGCATCTTAGATGTCTCTTGATTCTTGCAAAGGGTTTAATTCTAACATACTAAACCTGAAATACAGGAAATGAGACCGTCTATCGAGATCTTGGTTTAGATGCGCAGAAGTATACTTCGCTGCCGACCACTTGGAAGCCTTAACTCTTACTAGTAAAACATGGCGGCGCTGGGAATGGTAGCTTGGTAAAATGACAACACAATACAATATGCATTTCAGTCTTTAAACTTTCGAAAATCATGGAAGGTAACTTGGCAAAATTCAAATTTCTCAAAAGTCCTCAGGATCGGCCATCCATTGATCCATCCCAATCAAATGCGAGGCTACCGCAACCCCGCGCAAAAAAGGCGGAGGCTATACATGCCCGGAGTGGTAGGGATTGACAGGAACAGCCCACTTGAAACGCCGCGATGGCGATTGACACCCGTAAGATTGATAGCCGAAGCACTTGGCGATAGATGACGATCAGCGAATGATGATCATCTCCCACTGCACGTTGATCTCATGCGACTTGGGCGTCGCCGGACATTTGAACATACGCGTATGAGCATCCCCTGCCATGCATGGCGACACCACATAGATCGCCAGACATAAAAAAGCCACGGCGACCCGTCCAGATCCATACCGATTCAAATTTGTTAGTCGCAATGAAGTTGACTCTAGCGGTTCCATTTCTCGCAGCCGGCGCAACGGCCGCTGTCGTCAATCAGACCACCTGCGGTGATACCACGTACCAGTATACCGGACTGGCTGGTTACGGCTTCATTCCTTCAAACGCCACCGATAAATATGGCGACACAATTGGAGGCATCGGGAGCTCCATCGCAATCGACCAGTCATCCTGGCGCAAGCTAGGTAAAGACGGATACGCAGGAACTCTCTACACCGTCCCGGATCGAGGCTGGTAAGCAGTGACTGAAGGACATCAAGCAACCTAAATTGAACGATAAATACTCACAGGAAATTAAAACAGGAACACCAACGGTACATTGAATTTCCAAAACCGCATCCAGAAATTCGGCATCTCCCTCAAACTAGCCCCCAACGCCTCCGCCTCCAACCCATCAACCCCCAACATCCGCCTCAGGTACGAGGATACAATCCTCCTCACAGGCCCAGACGGCGAACCAACCACAGGCTTAGACGCTGATATCACCGGCCACGCCTCATATCCAGGCTTCCCCCCCTCTCCCAGTCGCAACATACAAGGGTAATGGCTTCGGCGGCCCCGGCAAGGGTGGCCGGCGCGTCTCCGTTGACTCAGAGGGCCTGGCCCTCGATCCGAACGGCGGATTCTGGGTCTCGGACGAGTATGGACCGTACGTGTACAAGTTCAGCGCATCCGGACGCATGGAGCACGCGATCCAACCACCACAAGCATTCCTGCCTCGCCGCAACGGCTCTATCAGCTTCAATTCCAACACCCCGCCACTCTATAACCCCAATGAGATCCCCGATCCGGAAGATACCCAGTCTGGCCGTGCTAATAACCAGGGTTTCGAAGGACTGACTATTTCTGCCGACGGAAAGACGCTCTATACGCTTATTCAGAGCGCGCTGGATCAGGAGGGTGGTCCGGGTAAATCATCTCGGGGATCTGCCCGCTTGATTGCGTATGATATCTCGACGTCCAAGCCAGAGTATATTCATGAATGGGTCGTGATCTTACCCAAATATGACGATCCGGCGAAGTCCAAGCCTGTTGTTGCGGCGCAGTCGGAAATCCACCAATTGCCCAGCGGCGATTTCCTAGTCCTCGCGCGCGATTCGGGACACGGGCGTGGTCAGGAAGAATCGCGGTCTTTGTATAGACATGCAGACGTTTTCTCTGTTAAGGGGGATGCGACGGATGTGAAGGGGAAGAAGAACTATGATTCTGTGAAGGGGGCGATCGCTTCTTCTGAAGGGGTTCTTGATTCGGATATCACTCCTGCGCAGTATTGTTCCTTCCTGGACTATAATGTTGAGAGTGAACTTGCTAAATTTGGGCTGCATAATGGGGGTTCGCAGGATCGGTTTTTGCTCAATGAGAAATGGGAGAGCTTGGCGGTTGTTCCTGCTAACCCCAATGCGGAGGGAGGAGATGAGTATATTCTCCTTAGTGTTAGTGATAATGATTTTATCACCCAAGATGGTAAGCGCATACTGCTAGTACCTAATATGATATGGGTCGCAAAGTCGAATTGGGATTTTTGCTAACCTTCTTGCTCCAGGACATATGAACTTTGGAAAGTTCCGTTATAGCGATGAATCTGGCTTCAATTTGGATACCCAGGTTCTCGCTTTCCACCTGAAGATTTAAGTTGGGAAGGGATAGAGATGGGGAAGATGGGGATTTCTTCGATAAGTAAACCAGGTAGTCCTTTTGTATTTTCCTTGACCTCCTAGTACATAGCAAACAAGATTTGAATCATAACATCGGTTAGTTTTTCAAGAACGCTTCCAAAGAAAGAGCAGGGGAGAGTCAATGTTTCGCGACCCTGCCTTCAAAGAGTGACCTCGGAAGGTCTCTCCAGGCCCCCATCCCTTCAAATTAAACAAAACATAAAGATAGTACTATTGCTTAGCGCATCACGGGTGAATATTAAGAGTAATGACAGCTCCGAAGAAGTGAAAGGTCGATCGGAATAGGATTTCGAAACAGAGTATAGATATTCCAGCTGGTTGCATAATAGATCCAACGTTCCTTCATGGCTTCACCAATTTGATGGCATGTAGAATATCATCGAGCGACCACCCCGGCCCGCCGGGGACGATCTCGGCCCAGACTTCCTCCGGGACAGCATCGGCAGGATCCAAGAGACTCCAGTTCGGACTGGGCTCAGGTTTAATCCATTTGAAATCCTCAATTTCATTCCAACGGTCCTGGTGATCGGGGCGGTCATGATTCAGGGCCTGAATAAAGGTATTAGAGTGGGTAGTTAAAGAACAAGCGTGGGGTATTAGGCTCACATAGGCTTTTGGTATGCGGCCGAAACGAATATTCGAGCAATCTTCGATTATTGGATTGCTCGAGCAGCTGAGGTAGACGTCAACATCGGTGCAATTGTGCATGCGGAACTGGCCGCATGAAACCACAATCACACTGTGTTCGACCCCGGTGATATGCGCCGGCCCATTCACTTGGCCGCAGATCAGCAAGCTCTCCTTGATGTTTTTTATTGTTAGACTGGCATAAGGCTTCCCGTTTGCGGTGGGAATAGACATGTCAACAACACAATGCCGTAGAGATGTGATTGACGCAGGAACGGTAGATGTTGATCCCGAAGATGGGAGCATGATGTGAAGTTTGTAATGGTTGTCGACAGATACAGAGGATATACCACTGGCTGCAAAGGACGGGGCGGAGGCTGCGAGCTGGGATTTCGCCAGGATCTCCGTAGGCGATATACCTGGGAAGGAAGTTGGTGCAACCTCTGGTCGTTCCTGCAGCTGCTTGTCTGGTTCATTGAGAGGTGTTGACGGGTAATTCGGAGTCTGGTTGGAAGAGGAGCCGACGGACGAGGCACCCGGAGAACGATAGCCTGGGACGCTGCGACGGCCCTCGGCAGCTAGAGTAGCGGCATCGGAGAGCGAGATGGCAGAAGGATTCTTCTTATTCCTGAAGCTGAACTTCGAGCGAGGTTCAAATGCTGCACGTGTCTCATTCAATTTGTCCTGCAAAGCTTTAATGGCCTTGAAGAGGTTAGCTGAATTTCCTTAACCACCATTGATATCCTTGACTCCACGTACCTCCGCATAGACTCTTTGATCGTAGGTAGGTATATAGCTCGCCGCATCCTTGACTTCGTTGGACAGCCGCACGATTCCGGCAAGGCAGTGATCTGTTGCGTCGGCACGCTCACCAGCGACAAGCGATGTATCGGCGAGTCGGTCCATCTGATCCTGAAGAGCTGAGCGGATAATATAAGTATTTTTGGTTCACATTCATTGCACTGCATTGAGAAGGTTTCCCCGGATTTATCATGGGTTCATACCGGTAATTTCATGTTGGAAGTAGCGGAAGAAGCGTTCTTTCAAGGGAATATCGGATTTCGAGACGATCTGGTTGTCAGCCGACAATCGGCGGACGTGCTGCAATTCTGGCTCCGCCATCTTAGACGAAGAAGGGGGGAATATCGTTAAAAGGTAAGGGTATGATAATGCGCTGGTGGCTTGCAAAACGTCGGAACCTGGCAAGTTGATCACGCGGGGGGGGATGGAATAGGAATGACGTCGGTCCGATCGAGGGATCGTGCCACCCCGCAATGCTGAATGCTGTATATGCCGGAAGAATTGCAGGGGCAGCGAGATAGTTAAAATATGGGACGATAAAACAGGGATCGATAGGCAAGAGTGAGACGCAATACAACGCCGATATAAGAAGTGCTTCAGCCAAGAGCTGTCAATGCACACAATCTCCACACACACGCGGGGTCGAGTCAAAACGAATCAAAACACCTGGGCACCCCGATGAGAACGGCCGCAATTCCAACAGCACGCCCGTGAATGAATGAAGTCCAGCGGCTTGAGAGGTTTCAATAATAGTGCGCAGAAGTGGGGAACTTAAGCAGCAACAGTACTGAACAATTCAACAAGCTGCCTTTGCGGTGACGTCGATCATCCCGCATTGGCCTCGGATGATCACCTGATCAGCTGATGATCTCTTGTCAGGCCACAAGGCAGAAATCTCACCCTCCTTCTTTGCGGTCCGGATTTTCAGGGATCTGACTTGGAATCAAATTCTTTTTTTTCTTTTTTTTAGATGTTCGAGATAGCTCGCTATGATTACGACCATTTGAATTTACACAAGGTTACTTTACTATGACACGACGATGACCTAGGTTACATACCTGATTGCTAGAAGATTCAGGGTATACTGGGCCCTCGCTAATTACCGTAAGGTAGAGTCGAATTGATTCTTGGACTAGTTTATACTAATTATCACAAAAATTCTAGATTGCACTTATGGTAAAATTGTTCGGTTTCGAGTTTCAAATAGATACTAATTAGTATGTGGGGTCACCCCGGGCCCATCCACACTGACCATACCATGGTACAAGTATAGCTCGATCGCTCCCTCGCTTCTTTCTTCAACGCCACCCTCATGTCTACTATTTCCGGCCATGCATATGACCAAATGATTTATCTTCTCCGCATGCTTTAAGGATGGATGGCAAAATGCCAAGACTAACTCTTGTACTCTGTTGGGAAACCTATTTGCCGATATTATGACGCCCCGGCATCCATTTCCGCTTATCCCGATGTGAGTTCCCAGCCACAAACCTTCAAGGTTACAAGGTTAACAGGAGCTTTATTCGACCTTCATTAACGCCCTTGACACTTCACATCAAATGCCCAAAGCTTTTGACACCTCTATATCTATAAGAGACTCTTGGTCACCCTTTTACCGCGAAATCTAATTATCACCTTTGCATCTTGATGCTTTGCCAGCGGCTATCATTTCCTTGTTTCGAGTAACCTGCTTGCATTTTACAATCAACCTACCCGATAAGCCCTGCTGTCTCCTTTGCTCTATTATTTAAAGTTCCCGCAGCGGGGGCCAGGTGCTATCTGGAAGTGGCGCACCATGACCTGTATAGCCTGGGTCCATGAGTATCCGCTCGGGTTTTGGCTTCCCTGCACTATGGTTGTTGGGCCATCTTTCACGGTCTGAAAAGCTACCGAACTGGCTCATTTTAGATTGCCACCCGCCAAGAGCCGTTCCCTCATAAGACGTACCAATAGAATGTCTGGCCGGCGGCTTAGGAAGATCGAGAACTCCGGGCCAAAGCTAACCCCAGGCTGTCTGTGCTAATATTATTTGTATATGAATGAAATTAATTTTGGCCAGTGCAAAATTGAAAATGATGTGCAGATGATACTATTGTAGCAAGATCTTAAACTGGTCTTTCTGTCACAGAATTATTACAAGAACCGAGATGTGTACCTTCTAAACTTAGATACTTTTTAAAGAGTCGAATGTTTCACTTTTAGTTGAAAACTCATGGATACTTTTGTGAAGAAAGATTTCAGTATGAAAACCGTACATTAATTAACAGGCCAAGGACATGGCATATGAGCCAAATGGTTTCTGATTATGGTCACTCCTTCCCTAGTGGTGATTGCGTCTCTGTAAAGACTGTCAAGATCGTACTGCCAGATTGTATGGGCCGCAAGAAGTTGAGGTTACTTGAGGCAAACAACACCACTACCGCTCGGGTCCTACATTTTGTCAGTTCGTTCTTCTTTCAGAGTGTGAGCAGTAATGGGTAAAACTCACTGCAATCTGACCATGCGTGCAGCAGAGTGGCTGGGTTTTCTTTCCCTTGTATGTGACTCCGTCGCAAGTATATCCAGAACCTAAAGTGCTCAATTAGTACCTTCCTTTCTTTACTCTGTTCGGGGTATCATACTGGCTGCTTTGCAGTCCTGACCAAGTCCTGACCAAAAGAGGATAGGGAAATTCAGTGAGGTGACACAGCAATAAGCCTTTCCACTGCAGGAGAATGTTGTGGGAGCTCTGGTTTCAAGGTCTTCGACGGGAGAGGCAGCGGCTACACTCGCAATAGCGAGCGCGGTAAGAATAGTCTTCATCTGCATGTTGGATGGTGATAAGAACGGAAGTTTCTCTGTGATAAATTGTAGAATGTTGTTTGAATATCTTGAGGATTGAGGAGAGAATATCAGAGGAAGTTCTGCCCTTAAATAGCTTGATTGAGACATTGAGTTAAAGAAAATATCATAAATCGGCCATCTAGAACCGATTTACCTGTTAGTCAATGACCACATCACACTGTGTCTAGATCATGAGGTTAAGAGACTGCCAAGCGTTTTTGGATCATAAAAAGGTATATGGAAAGAGATAGGGGCTATTTACCGACAATGTGGTTCTATTTACTGGCCTTGATGCTTGAAACAGGTGCCGTTTCCATGGTATAGTGCGGTGTACTATAGCAGGTTCGTGTTGGACCCTCGGTTGATGCCAGACCCTTACCTAGATCGGTCCATGTAGTGAATTTACCGTTTGAGAGTAAAGATTGGATTGTTGTTTAGTGACGTCAATGGATTTAGCCTAGAATCTCAAATTGATGGTATTGAGACTAAACGTTTTTCTGGATCTTAATGTAAGTATCCCAAGGTTAGCGATTCACGATATGGGGATTGTTGGGCTAAATACATCTCTTTAGCCAATTCAACATTTCTCATACTACATATGAGTGAGACTTAGCCTGCCACTGAGGGTGGATTCACCAAGTCGAACCTATAGGAATCTGACCAAGTAGCAGTTTTGATGTGGAGACAGTTCCGTTTCCGGGGTATGGAGGAGGCTTATATAAACTCAGGCCACATGATACCAGTTTCTTGGATATAGCTGGGAATTACAGGTGACAGTGGTCCATTAAACATGATGGTTTTGCCGCATCTTTCTGATTTGTTCACTTGGACTATGTATTGCAAAGGTTATCCCGTACCGTCCACTACAAGCGAACAGTTAAGCCTGCCCACGAAATCGTCTCAACAGAGCCCTCGATCGGAATCGCTTCGATTGGATTAAATACGACAAGTTTGAATGGATTGATCCCGTGGCGAATGCTTCTGCATCCATAGCTCAGTGGAGCCGCCGTCGCCAGCTGGTGTGGATGGGTTGAACTTGGCACGTTAGCCCGCGATGGAAATATTAGCAAGTAGCGTTAAACTGACTAATTTAAATTTTACAAATGATGATTGAAGCAATAAATCTGGCTATAGAAAATATCTGACATTTCTGGGGCTAACTTAGTTTGGTTGGCTACGTAATAGCTTAGGGTTTTAATATTACGAAAAGACTACAGTGTGATGATTCAATTCATGGGACTCTAGATCTTGTTTTTTTTTTCTGAAGATGGTATCTAAGAGCTATAAGATTTTCCAACGGTCTCAGTACTTCATACTATCGTATATCATGACACTGGGAATCATCTTAAGTGAGGTTTACGCCAACCTAGTGAAAAATGGCAATGCCAGCGGTGCATACCCGACCAATGCGAGTCGGCGAGCCATGCGCGGTCACCACTAGTAGTAGTAGGGGTAGTACGGGATGTACTAAGAAATAGAGCGGAGCACCTAAAGGTTGTTAGAAGAGAAAGGCCTGGGCCGGCGTCTGAATTGCTTTCTCCGTGTTGGTCAGCCTCCAATTTAAATACTATACCACTAGTAGTATCCATAAAGCTTGTATATAATAGAGTAGTACTAGTAACATAATCATGCTGCTAGTTTGTAAAGCCCCAGTAGTAGGTATTCTTCGTACAGCGAGTTTAAGACGGAAGGCTGGCTCTTTTAATCGCCTATTGTCGAGACAGAAAAATGGGTCAAAATGTGCCATTAGACCAAAAAGTGCGCACGCACAGTTCAGTCTCTGTACGGTGGTATTTTTGCCTCGACACCTATTGTGGACAAAAGGTAACAAAGGGCCCAGAGTAAGAGCCCCTGAAAATTATACCTGTGGCTGAAATGCAGGAGATAAAGTCCACCTTCAGATTTTGAAGAAGTGCCCTGTGGAATGCTATAGGGCCGTGTTGTTAAAATTAGACAGAGGGTTCAACTCTCAAAGGAAGTGAACATGTACTTTTACGACTGAGGTCTACGCCCTCGATGGAGTTTTCACCTTTCTTTGACAGTGGTCCGCGGTCAGATAGCAATCACCGGGGAAATCACCAGAGAGTACTTTGCCATGCTTGTATCGTACTAAGCACATAGTACCCACCATTCCAGATAATGATCGTGCTAGACAAAAGCCACTATGATCGACACCCAGATGGCTTAAAGGGGGCTTCAATAAGTGCTGGCTTGGCCCGTAATTTAGCTTGTTTCGTTTCTTGGCTAACATACCCGGCGCTCAAGACAAAGAAACACCAAGACCCTGTGCCGTCGAGGCAACTTAGAGTTATCGACTAAATGGAAGTTGTCCAGAAAAAGTTTTCTTCATTCAGACCAATATCCTCATGTGATGGCTTGATTGGCTGGATGCAGTTGCATCCATCCCGCATTTGTGCGCCCACGAGCAACTGTTCCTGGCTCATGCCTTATTGAATCATTTGTTTGGTAATAAAGACCCGCTCTCGGGGACCTGTATATACTATGATTCACTTGAGAATATACGAGGTGGCTTCACCAACACATATGTTTATCCAAAAGCATGGTTGGGTCCCACCGGTGTCAAACCTTGCTATAGAGACCAAGGCCTATACCAGATGACAAGTGTTCAGTCCTGTCCTCCAAGTTGGTAGGTATATGTCAAAGAATTCCACCCAGCGTAATAATCTGTAACTCGATGTTGTCTTCCACTGCAGACCTGTCACACCAATTTCATTAATCGCACGGAATATGAGAGCAATATCTTATTCCGTGTGACATTTTGATGAATTTCCAACCCCGACAAGAAGGAAATCGGCCTTGTACAGTTTCTTCTTCTCGAATATACTGTATCTCCTAGAAGATATGCATCAGTTTGGTTTTCCAGAAAGGGCTGCCATGAAGGACACCAGGTTCTCTACCTTCAAGCTTTTGATCGTGGCGATATGCCTTGTTCATCAGTCCCTTGCCATTGGAGAAATCCATCAGGTCGTGGAGTCACTGAATGAAGTACCCGAAGGGTGGAAACGACGGGAGAGACCCTCACCTTATACACCTATCAACTTCCGTCTTGCCCTAAACCAGCCAACTGTGGAATTTCAGCAAGCGGTTATCGACATCTCAACCCCAGCACATCCAAAATATGGCCAGCACATGACACGAGAGGAATCGAGGAAGCTGCTGCGCCCTGAACCCGACACCGTGAACAATGTAATTACGTGGTTGATGTCCGAGAATGTGGCTCCTAACGTGATTATTGTCGAGGGCAGCTGGATTAAGTTTCAGATTCCGCTCGTGCAGGCAGAGCGTATGTTGAAAGCTCAGTATTTTTATTACCACGATGCCGCGTATCAAAACACCCTCATCCGAACGCTCAGCTACTCGGTACCCGAGACTGTCCATTCTAACATTGCACTGATCCAACCAACGACGCGATTCGGACATCTCAGCCCCCACAGCGCCCCTGGACCCGACGAACCAATTATTGCCAGTCCGGAGGACTTGACAGCTGAATGTGGCTTCGTGGTAAGACCCGAGTGTCTTCGGGACTTGTATGATGTCAAGAACACTTCGGCAAAACCAGATTCCCGAAACCGGCTAGGCATATCGGGGTTTCTTGAACAGTTCGCCCGTCATACTGACTTCTACGATTTCATGAATGGGCTCTCGCCGAAGGAGTCCGATGCGAATTTCAGTGTCATCCGTATCAATGGCGGCTTGAACGACGAGAATTTGCCTTCGGGTAGCACCGAGGCGAGCCTAGATATACAATATGCGATATCACTGGCATACAATACCTTAGCGACATTCTATACCACCGGAGGCCGAGGACCACTGGTGCCAGACGCGGAACAACCAAATGTCAGCCAGTCTTCGAATGAGCCTTACCTCGAGCAACTTCACTATCTTATAAATCTGCCCGATGAACAGTTGCCAGCAGTGCTTACCACTTCTTACGGCGAGGCAGAGCAGACTGTTCCGGCTTCATATGCCACGGCAATCTGTGATTTGTATTCGCAGCTCGGGGCACGTGGCGTGTCAGTCATATTCAGCAGTGGAGATTCCGGTGTCGGAAGTTCTTGTCAAAGGAATTATGGATCGTATCAAACAAGATTTCTCCCAGGATTTCCAGCCTCGTGCCCCTTTGTTACCTCCGTTGGTGGGACATACAGTCATAGACCAGAGAGAGGGGCAAGTTTCTCAGGCGGTGGCTTCTCTGAGGTATTCCCCCGCCCTGCATATCAAAATGAAGCAGTGCAGGGTTATTTTGGTCAATTGGGTGACCAATGGAATGGACTATACAACCCCCAAGGAAGAGGAATTCCCGATGTCTCAGCTCAGGCAAGTGGGTACTTGATTCGGGACCATGGGATGTATATGAGAATTAGTGGAACAAGGTTAGTGTCTCGCCCTACTACACACCCATGATATGAGCTAATTCGATTATCAAAAAAGTGCATCCGCGCCCGTATTCGCGGGCATTGTGTCTCAACTAAATGCGGTTCGTTTGGCACAAGGCAAGCCTCGTATGGGGTTTCTTAACCCTTGGCTCTATAGTACGGGGGTGTCTGGGTTCACCGACATCGTAGATGGAGGCTCTCGGGGCTGTTATGGCGATACACATGGAGTTTCTGTTCCCTTCGCAAGCTGGAATGCCACCACTGGATGGGATCCTGTAACGGGACTTGGAACACCCTTGTTCTCAAAGCTGGCTGAGCTGGCTCTTTCCGAGCATGCGACCTAATAGGAATAGGAATAGGAATGGGGTGTCGTGCGAAATGGAGCTCAAAGCAAATGTATGTATCGAAAAATAGCCTAGGTTGAATGAATAGCATGTATTGCTTCTGTGGAACTGTTCAAGTTTGGATAAACTCAAAATGGAAGCGCCAACTGGCGACGCCGGATACCAAGTCACGTGTATCAGCGCTGACCGCCCACGGCAGCTCCGTCATGCCTGGCCAACCAACACTCATCTCATCATCAATCCAGCAGCTTCCATTGACCTCGTTGTTCTTGCAATCGTTCGACCTCTCTTGATCCTCGGGATCTCTCATTTTTCTTTCGTTGAGTCCAGTTCAATCCACATATCCCGCCACCATGTCGGACCTCAAGTCCATCGTCCCAGAGCTCCACAACGCCCTGGAGCGCAAACAGCTGGACGCCGCCAACGACCTGCTCAGCCGAGCAAAGCGCGCCCTCCTCACCCAGAACGCCCTGTTCCCTACTCCTTCCACACCTCCTCAGCTTGTCGCTCTTGCCCGGCAGGTGCTCGAGCTCGGAGCCATCGCCTCAATCCGCCAGACCGACGCCCAGACCTTCACAAGATATTACCAGCAACTGCAGCCCTTCTATGATCTCGAGCGACACGCCGGCTTACCGGGTCAGGGCTCCTCCAATGTTGATTTCAGCACTAGCCAACGCAGCAAGATTACTGGCCTTTACCTGCTGCTGCTTTTGAGCATGGGTGATAGCGCCAACTTCCATACCGTGCTAGAGGGACTGGTCGAAGAGGCTAGCTTGAAGGATGCCCGAGTTGAGGACGATGCATATATCAAATACCCTGTTGAGTTGGAGCGAAACCTCATGGAAGGAAGCTACGATAAGGTGTGGCGTGAGACCAAGTCGGAGCGTGTGCCATCCGAAGACTTTGGCCTGTTCTCGAATGTAAGTGGCTACAATTATCCTATGTGCCTTCTAGGCCGGTTTTGGAATTAAATTACTGACTTTCCCCTCCCCAGGTTCTTATCGGTACCATCCGCAGCGAAATCGCCGACTGTTCTGAGAAGGCGTATCCCTCCCTTCCCATCTCCAACGCCAAGAACCTCCTCTTCCTGGAGTCTGAGGGTGCGGTCATCGAGTTTGCCCAACAGCGTGGTTGGATTCTTCACGATGGACGGATACACTTCCCTGTGGAGCCCGAGGCGGCCACAAGGTCCGAGAAGGACATCCTGGTGGCCAGCGGCACGGTTATTGAAAACACACTAGGATATGCTCGGGAGCTGGAGACAATCGTTTAATTTTCAATGCGATCATGTTACCAATTGATATGACTGGTTTATTATTTTGTTTTGGTCTTGGTCTTCGGGTGCAGATGTACTTGTATACCTGTCGGTGTTGCATTGTGTTTGATCTAGCGTGCTCATGACAACATTCATGCCTAGAGTATGGTATTGATTTTTCTCCTGAGATTCGTAGCTTTTAGGTATGCGCTCGTGGCCCCCAGTATGTTCGATATTATACTGTGGCCCTCCATACACAGACACGACGATCATAGAAACTGCTTGAGACGCACAGCAGTTCCGACAGGTCTTGCGACTCACTCGACGCCTCCGAAGCTGGCCCCTTCCACACATCGCTAGCATAATTCATACTCTCATGCTCCGTAAACTCTGCTAGCACCTGGATACTCCATTCAAAGCTTTGAACCTCTTGTTTCAGGGCCACCCGAACAACCCTTGTCCCGCCATGCATGCAACTTGCTAAAACCAGGAAGTGCTGCTCTTGGATACCATTCAGCCCAGTAACTTTTGTTGTATTAAGAAGCTGCAGCCGCCAAACACCGCCACCGAGTCCTTCTTCCGCGAGAACCTCGCCTCGTCGCGTCGCATGATACACTCGCAAACTCTCATCATAACTTCCAGTCAGAAGAAGGGGAGCATCATCGACTAGCGGAACTGGCAGTGTCAAAATGGCAGTGACACCTGCGGTGTGATGGCGGGCCCGATCATCGTGCTCGAGAAGTAGTGGAGCAAGCGTTTCCTCCTCGTCGTCGTCTTTCTCGGCGTGACTGACGAATCTGCGTGTATGCAGCGAGCCAAAATCATTACCGGTGTACATGAAAGGAACTTTATCTTCTTTTCCTTCGTTTTCTCCAGAAGACGGGATCATTGCGGCGAGTGCAACGAACCAAACCTCAATCATCTGCCTCGCTTCGAACGAGCCCCATTCGTCAAGACCGCCTTCTTCAGTGATATCTTCGACAGTTCCAAAGACTGACGTCCGACTATCTGAGAAGGTCACGGCAAATCCATCGGCAGAAGGATTGGAAAACCAGTTCTCCGGAGTCCACGCGAGAAAAAGAGCTGGGATCGAAGGATCATCGTGGACCTGCTTTGTCCATATTTGTTCGATGTTTGGTTGACTTGAAGCATCACTTGCGAATCCAGAGTTCACATTAAACAATGCGACACATCCTGTGCTACTTGCAATGGCGAATTGGCTGCGATTTCTTGGGTGGAAGTGAAGATCAAAGACGGCGTATGGAAGTGGTACTCTTTGCACCAGGGATCTGAGGAGAGAATCAGTTGCTGTACGAATCAACCCTGCGGATCACTTCACTTGCAGGTCATTTGTGGCAGGATCTAATTTCCAGAGCTGCACACTTCCTGTTTTGGTTTGTTGGATTTCGCTTTCGCTCTTGATCTCGGACAGAAGATAGGTGCCCACAACGAAGTGGTTTGGAAAGTCCGGACAGAATTCCAGGCAACTGGGCGGTTGATCCAGAAACACTGTCGTCGCGGATTTGGGTTGCTGCACAGTATCTGACATTGTAATTGCGTTGGATCTAGAAGTTAAAGCAACTCTGCGGCTCCGATGTTGGTGGGGGGGCTGATATTTCACGGTGGGGCAGTCATCTGAAGTCAAAAGTTGGTACTCGAATGGATGTACTAAGCATCAAGTTGGAATGCAAGACGCAGATCGAACGCGGAATGCAAATGGAGCAGAATTACTTGTAGCCCAATATTTAATGGATTTTGATAGACATCCCCCCCCTCATTATACTCATACCCCCCTGATTAGTCATACCCGCTTGGGCCCAGATTTCAAGGCAGACATTCCCCTTTAGGCTTAGCCTACCCGCCCATCGCCGCCCCTGCGACTCCGCTGTATACTGTATACATCTTTGCTAGAAACTACTACACCAACACCGCCACGATCGCCTACACCCCCCCCGATCACCAAAAGCCTCTGCGATTGGTCAATCCTCAATATGCTTCCAGGGCTTACGTCCTACGCGTCTGATTCGTCAGCGGACGAACCAGCCGACGCGCCACCCAGCGTGCCACCCGACGAACCTTCCGATGAATGGCCTACGGCGGCCACCGAGTCAACATGGAAGCCACCCCCTATGCCTCTCCCCCCTCGCCATTCGCGCTTTTTAGACCCCGATACGGCAATCGAGCACATCAACAAGCTTGCGCAGCCTGCCGGATATGCAGTAAACAAGCTCCGGTCCAAGAAAAACAAACGTGGACAAGTGAAAAAGGTCGTTCTACGATGTGATCGCGGTAGAGAGTATGCGTCTTCTATTTCAGAGACATCACACAAGCACAAAACCAATACACATACCTGTGGCTGCAGGTTCCAGGTTACACTTCGTTTCCAGCCAATTATCTCGCCGGATCTGCCATAGATACTTACCATTGAGAATCCAGAGCACAACGATCACAAACCGTCGGACCCATCTGCCCATCACATCCACCGTAAACGTGAGATACAGCAATATAAAGAGACCCTCAAGTCACAGCTTCAGCTTCGCATAACAACCCGCCAGATTATAACTGCAACCCAGCTACAGCAGCCTGATACGTGCGTCACCAAGCGCGATATCTACAACCTTTGCGCAAAGGTTAATCAGGACTTTCTCAAGGGCCGTACTCCGATCCAAGCACTTCTCATAGAGCTTCCAACAGACGGTAAATGGATGTTCCGATATAAGCTCGATCCGGATAATTATATCACTGTTCTATTTGCTATGTATCAGAATAGCCTTGCAATGTTGAAGCATTATCCCTGAGTCATTTCTATAGATTGTACGTACAAAACGAATCGGTTCAATCTGCCTTTGCTAGATATTGTCGGCTTTGTATACACTAGTACATCGATCTATCTCGGCTGGGCATTTATGACCAATAAAAAGGAGGAAACCTATACCCTTATTATAGACTATCTTGCTGAGATATATGCCTATATCCAGCAAACTAAGGCATCCTTTCCATCAGCACCGTATACTGTTCTTACTGACAAGGAATCGGGCCTGATTAATACAGTTCATACTATATTTCCAGGCACTAATACCATTGTCTGCATATAGCATATCAATATGAACTTGATGAAGCATACACTTCCGCTTATCTGTAAAGCTATTGCCGAAGCGCGTGAGACTGGTCTTCTAGAATAGGATAGCCTCAGGCTTCCTACGGCTACTAATCGGTTAACCAAACAGGAACTCGATAAGGCTCTGGCCAAGGTTCTTAATGAGGGTTGGAACAAGATGATAAAGCGATAGAATCGCCTTATTTATACATCCTCCTCAGCTGAATTCGATACCGCATGGGTGCGGTTCCAGGAGAAATACAGCTTACTAATCTTTAAAAGCTTATTGACATATATCACGAAGGAATGGATTGATGATTGTCCGGAGAGCTTCCTCAAGTTACACACTAATCAGTATCTATATCTCAGAGAAGCTTCAACATCGCGTACTGAGTCTTCTCATTGGCTCTTGAAGCGAGATCTTCACTCATCAACTATGGATATGCTCTCAGTTCTCCGTACTTTTGAGCAAGTTGTCGATCGCCAATACAAAAGGATTCGAAAAGAGATTGCAGATAAGCGTAATAAACGGCCCTGTTGTGTACTCCACCTGATCTATCAGCCAATTATCAAACGTATTTCCTTGAAGGTTATCGGATATGTTGAAGCAACATATGAGACTTACTTTCCCCCGGGTGAAGATAAGCCTCCAATTCCGCCTAATTGCTACTGCAATTCACAGAATACGTCAGGATATCCTTGTATCTATGTCATTGTTCAACATATGGAGACCAAAGAGCCTCTCTCATTGGACGACTTCCATCCGCAGTGGCATCTTTACAGTCATAGGACTGCCCCGCCAATTAATCCGATCCTTCTAGTGCAGGACCCTTACAAAGTTCGCCGTCGTGGCAGACCAGCTGGCCGTCGGAATAACCTCCAATCCCAGCCGACACAACCTTCAGCGGCTTCGACTGCTGCAACTTATTCAATTCAGGTCCCGGCAACTCAGCAAACTCCTACCGAGCCGCGACTAACCCCCTTCAAGCGTTCAACTCAGCGTGAGATATCCGCATTTGAGCATATGTCAGATGTTGTTCGCGGCCGCGGCCGCGGTCGTGGTCGTGGTCGTGGTCGTGGAAGCGGTCGTGGCCGTGGCCGTGGCCGCAGAGCTCGTACAACCTCATCTCAGGCTCAACACGGTCAAACCCTCCCAATTGAGCAAGGAGATACTCGATCGGAAGGTGTACGAACGCGTAGTCAGGCCCGGAGCGAGATGGAGATGGAGATCGTGGCGGAGACTAGTGAGGACAGCGAGAGTAGTCTTGACGCAGGCGCTATTGTCGGTTCAGATGATTCAGAGTATGGAGGCTAGTACTAGTTACTCAGTTTCCTAATACAAACGTGTTAAGACACTTTTCAGTATGCTTTATACTATATAGTATATACTATATCCTTTATACAGTATACAGTATACAGGAGAGTCGCAAGGGGCGGCGATGACTAAGACGCCCCGGGAGGGTAGGCTAAGCCTAAAGGGGAATATCTGCCTTGAAATCTGGGCCCAAGCGGGTATGACTAATCAGGGGGGGTATGAGTATAATGAGGGGGGGGGTATGTCTATCAAAATCCTATTTAATATTCTGCACATTTCACGAATCTTGTTTTCCTAGATACAATAGGGGTGATTAGACCACTATTATTTCAAGTTGTAGGTACAATCCTACTGCAGTGTATAGTTAGTGCATACACTGCATTTTCAGGTGAGAACCGAAATAGGAACTATGGTGAGTGACATTCATGAAGATCAAATTCAAAACACCAATTACAGATCTGGAAATACTAGTAGGAATCACTTTTGTAACACCATTCCAGGATCGTTTCACAGCAAGCTATGCAGTGCGACCTTCAATACCTCGATGATTCCCTATGTCCATCGCACGACTTCCAGAAAGTCGACTCTGCAACAAATTTTAGTTGTCCTTCCTTAAATTAACAACATGACAACATCAATCTAAGATCTGCAGAAAGAAGCGACATCATGTGTTCAATTCTTCCCCGCACCGGAGTCCGGCATATCCTCAGCCGTGCTGCTTGGTCAGCCGAAGATGACCAGACTGTCTCCTGCCCTGTTGCAAAATAGCATACGCATGGCACTATTCATGTTTTAATGTGGGCTGCATACTAGGTTTACTATACTACTAGTACTTCAAGTTCAACCGAAATGTCGCTATTGTTCAATACCTTGCCGGCTACGGCGCGTGTGTCTCCCACGCCCTTCAAGGTCGCTATTCACAAAAGTCAGCTCACTGAACTTGAAACCCTGATCAAGCTATCGAAGCTTGCTCCTCCTACATTCGAGAATTCCCAAGTGGAATCTCCATATGGTGTCACCACTCACTGGTTGGTAGCCATGCGGGATCAGTGGCTGCGGTCTTATAAATGGTACTCTCTAAGCCCCGCGATAGTCCTGTTCAATATGGAAACTAGCTAATTTCAACATTAACAGGAAAACTTCTGAAGATCGAATTAACAGTTTTCCTCAGTGGACGACTGAAATTGAAGATCTGACCATCCACTTTGTCGGGCTCTTCTCGCGGAAGAAGGATGCCATTCCAATCTTATTGATCCACGGGTGGCCAGGTAGGAGCCCCGCTGATTGAAAATGCCCCTCAATTCGAGGTTCCGTGACTGATCATTTAGATAGGAAGCTTTTTGGAGTTTCTTCCCATTCTGGATATTTTTCGACGGGAGTATACGCCAGACACTCTACCTTATCATCTAATTGTGCCCTCGCTACCCGGCTTCACATTCTCCTCTGGCCCTCCGCTGGATAGGAACTTTGATACATCGGACATTGCTCGCGTTTTTGATCACTTGATGAAAATTTTGGGATTTGAGAGTGGATATGTTGCGCAAGGTGGTGATATTGGAAGTCGCATCGCCAGAACCTTGGCCGTGGACTATGAAAGCTGCAAAGGTAAGTAGTCCTCAAGTTGATACGCGGACGATGTTACATTAGGCTGAGTGCTCACATTAAATTTTAAAAAAGCCGTTCATCGTGAGTAATATCTGCATGGATTGTTCTTTAAATTCCATTTTATGATATTAACTTGAAGCAGTCAACGTGACCTTCATGGCTAAACCAGAAGGCATGGCGGACGACAACTTGAATGCGTTCGAGATACAAGGTATCGAGAGGTTCCAGAATTTCCGAACTACGGGGTGTGGGTACTCAATTGAGCATGCAACTCGACCAAGTACCATCGGTCATGTTCTCGCCAGTAACCCGATATCCTTGTTAGCATGGTGAGCAGGACTGTGATACAGAATGCGAAGGCTTCTGTGCTATCTGGCTAACTCTGTTAGGGTTGGTGAAAAGTTTCTGGAATGGGTGGACGACCCTCTGACCCCGGAACACATTCTCGAATCCATCACGTTATATTGGCTGACTGACACGATTGCTCGTTCAATTTATACATATCGTCAGGTGCGTCGTTGTAGAAACTACCATGTGGACCAGGTAGCTGACGCATAATCTAGAGCTACCCTCCTCCCCCTGTCGCAGCTGCAAATGAATCGCGTTGGTATATCAATGTACCATTTGGTTATTCTGCCTTCCCCAAGGAGCTCGCACCACTTCCTCGCTCATGGGTAGAAACTACCGGTAATCTGGTTTACTGGGGCCAACACCAAAAGGTATGTTGTCACCCGAATTAGAGGAGAGACTGAGCTAATTGACGACATCAGGGTGGTCATTTCGCTGCGCTTGAGCAACCAGAAGCCCTCAAGTCCGACCTGGTGGAATTTGTGGAGCAGGTCTGGCCGAGTATAAACAGTGGCAAGTGAAGCTGAGAAAAACACCTATTTCTCTCAGACTGTGATATAGGATTAAGTTTGAAGCAGTGGAGTGAGACTGAATAAATTGTAACTGATAGTATACAACGGCATAAGTCTTAGAACCGAATTTACTCCGAGTGAATATAATAAATTGAAGCCTCCGAATTACGGAAGATTCACAATGACGTTCAACTAGAACGGAGACTTGTTTTGCTATTAGAGTACCGCCATATCTAGGTTTAAAGTCCGATCTTCATTTGTTTCGATGGCCGCCAGATGCTGTCGTTGAAAAAGTCCTTCAGGCTTCGGCTTTCGCTGAGGATGGGCGCATGACTGTCACAAGCTTGACGAGTTTTCCACTCCAGGTGTAAGAGGCTGTTACCTTCTCTGTACCTAGTCCAACTTAAAAACCGCAGACTAGGCTCCCCATTTTGCATGCTGTTCCGATTTTCGTGGTCATCGGCTTCTCCTATGAGGTGATAGCCCTTGAGAAACTCGAGACCGGACCGAGTCGGGTCACATATGAAGTCAATAACTGCCATGCTTAATTCAATTTCTGACCCCAGCACATTGAAAGTAGATTTTAGGGTAAACCCTTCGTGTCTTTCTAGTTGCTCAGCCTTTGGTAGTACTGAGTCTGAATAGCGGCCGTCGAAAAGTGTGCCAATATCCGACACTGAGAACCCGACACGTTGACCGTTGTATTGATGGTCCGCGCTTACTACGTTAAAATTAAAGAAATTCTCATTAGCATCTGGGGTCATGGCAGAAGAGAGAAAGAGTGGAAACATACGGGGGGTGGGGAACGTCCTGGAGACGGCGGCGTTCAAATCACTGCAGATATTGATTGCATAAGATGTGGTCAAGTTTTTACGCTTGTCAACGAACCCAATAGTCTCGTAGTTACCACTCAAGGGACTCAAATTATATTGCTTATTTCCAATTTGAATAGCAGAACAGTCATAGGGGGATTCACAGCCTGATGCAAGGGCACATAGGGCAAACACAGACATCCAAAAGATTTTCATGATACGTGTACGAATTTGAACGGGGATCCAATTTTGCCAGCCCAGTTGAGTTTGATGGATTTTTATCTTCGAGGGAGATCGATTAACATAAGACTCGGAGAGATCTTGGTTAGATTAAAAGGGGAAAAGCTGAATCGAAGAGGGTGATCAGGTGTTATTATTACTAACTTTTGCCCCCATGCCGAGCCTCGTAACTTGGAAGAGACGTGTGTGGTTGCCTGGATACCTTTATGTGGCCTTTCCAATGAAGTAGCAAATATTATGGAAGTTGTTCTCGGGTTTCCATATACTCGGCTTAAGACTGGTATAATAGTACCTACTACCAGGAGTACTGGTACATATCCCAGGCCTAACGCTTGGAATTATTGATGGAAAACCTGGTATGAGCTGCATAGTCCTTGTAGTTTATTTTTGTAAATTTTTGTAAATTTTCAAGAGTTTGAAATGGATTTGCTTTGAAACGGACCATCTGTTAACTTTCACCGTGCCCCTCGCTGCTTACTAGTAGTTAACTACGAGTAGTTAGTTGCCCACAGAACTCCACATGCGGCTCTGGGTCAACCTACCTTCTACAACAAACCACAATAACACATCTCAGCTTCCAAACCCAGACAAGATGTGTTCAAATGGAGACCCTATGGATCTAGATCTAGATCCGATTCTCTCGGACGACTCCAGTTTCTACGGCAAGTGATTCCTTCACACGGAAGTCCAACCTAGTTTACATCAAACACCCTGCTGACATCACTCCAGGCGATGAAAATGAAAAAACACGACTGTCCCAGCAAGCAGCAAGTTTCGACCCAGAACCATACTGGTCAGGAATCCATTCAAATCTCTTCTCAACAATCCAGAATGGACTCCGCGCACCGCCCATATCTTCCAATCCAGAAGAAGAGTTACAATCCGAAAGCGCCGATCAACCAGACACAACAACAGCACCAAAGACGCAACGTGGACGCAAAGAGCCTATATCTCACTTCCTCTCACGTCTACCACCCTCCAAAATATTATTTTCTGATATCGGCCCCTGGATCTGGTCTTTCGGCCCAACCTCCAAAGCCCAACTGGACCAGGATGTCCCCGCCTTCCTCCGAAAAGGCACAGACCTACTCCGCGCCTTCGAAACGCAAAGCGCTGAGCTCCGGGCTGAACATGATAAGTCCGGTGCGAAAACTACAGCTGGACTGACGCGGAAACTGAATCCGCTTCGTCGCAGTCTCGAGCAGGATATTCTATACGCGGCGCGGGAGACGGGTGTTGTTTATGGGAAGTGGATGCTTTTCCCCGGTCCGCGGGATGTTGATAATCTGTGGAAGAAGGTTGTTGTCGCGTTAGACAAAGGAGAGCTAGGTGATGGGGCCAAAGTTGCTACAAATGACTTGTCCGATAAGGCGCGGTTGATCTGTGTTTATACGAAGGATTTCGGCGACAAGGAGGATGTTAAGCGTGTTTTGAAGAGTATGGTTACGGTGGGACTGGTGGATGTGCAGGATAGGCCGATTTACTACAAATGTGATGCTTTCACGCATCTGGATATCACGTCTAAGAACGAGTATGGACTGAAGGCGAGCATGTTTTCCAGTCAGGATGTGCTAGGTGGGAAGGTATGACGGATTAAACATTTTGCTATGGAAATATAATGCGACATGATGTTATGATTATTATCGTATGTAGTGTGTGTTGATTGGGTATCTATTATATGTACAACCTTGGAAGTGGAGCGTGAATCAGGAAAGTCCAAGATGGAGATTCGACCACGGCATATTGAGGTCAAATTCGTCGCATTGATGCTCTTTCAATATCGGGGGCTCCGTCTTGGTCGGAGCTCGCTCTTGTGTGCGTCACTTGGACGGGCAATCTCATTGCGAGCTCACAAGGATAGCGGCAGCCTGCGTGGTGCCGGGGTGATGGCCGAATGGTAATTCTGAGACGTGGAGAAGACGAGTCAATCCATATAACTACAGCGTTGGTGGTCTTCAATCATCGTTGCTGTCCGTATTCATGACCTTCTCACAAGCCTCGCGGATTTCAGCAACACCTTTGACTTCACCCCAAGCATCGAGTAGCTTCTTGACCTCATCCCAGTCCTTTAAGGCGTCGTCGCGCTTGTCCTCGGAAATATATTTTTCCAGCCTCTGAGGCGAGGCAAGAACCCACTGGACGGTCTCCTTCTCGTTCTTATTATGAGGTGGGGCAGGACGTTGGCTCCGTTCCTCTTTAATGCGGCGGCGATGTTCCTCGCCCTCTTTTATAAGACTGCCAGCAGTCTCAGCAACGAATGAAATGGCTGGACCCAGAGTTTTGGTCATAGTCAAGGGTGCTCCGCGCTCGTCCATACTTTGACGCATTTTGCCAATTGTTTCCACAGCCCGTATGAGCTTGGAGTAATTATCGTAAACAAGCGCTTTGCGCTCCCCGTCTAGAGTGCGAACATCTCCAACCAGTGTATTCTCCGCTTTGAGGATTGTTGAGAGGGACGAGGTTGATAGGAGTTGGTCGACATAACGCTGAGGGTCGAAGTCCGCATTGTCTAGCTCCGTTCCCGTCTCCAGGGTCGAGGGGTTGGAGATATCGCCTGCATCGGTGTTGCGGGGTACGCTGTGGGATCGGGATCCGCCAGGGCTATCGGACCCAGGGGGGTTTAAGCTTATAGTAGTCTCGTAAGGCCGAGCGATTCCGCCGTCCGGCGATGGGGTTGGGAGAGATGGCTCGCGCGGTCGACGGAGTGGAGGCGGCACTAAGGCCGCCAGCGATGTTGGTGTTTAGTGCATCGAGAGAGGGGCGAGAAGAAGCTGGACCGGGTGAATGGCCACGAGAGGAAGCGATTGAGGGGCGGGGTGAGGACAAGGTTGACATGGTGGGTGGTGAGGAAGTGAACTTGAAGGTGGAGGTGGAATGCGGCGACTGGCTTCTTCCCCGGCGGGCCCGTGCTTGCTATGCTTGCTCTGCATTCTACTTTAACATTTCAACATCTGCTAGCGCAGACCAACCCAATCACCACAATGGCCAGCTCAGAGCAAATAGCTGCTCAAATCCTAAACACAAAATCGCTAGTTGTCTCGCAGAACTGGCTAAACACCTTCCTGGCAACCTCCAACTCTGCGCAGCGGAATCTCCCCGCCTCCGCGCTCACCAAGACAGCTCTCTTCCGCGTCCTCGCCTCCGATTTCCGGGAATCCCTCTCTACGAGCCCATCCTCCATTCTCCCCGTTGACATATTCGACCCAACTGTACAAGAGAGGCGCCTACAAGGCCCAATTCCGGTCCAGGTCGTTGACATCGAAGACATCGGAACAAGTCTATGGAGCCAAGTCGAGGCGATTGAGCGCGTTGAGCGGGGAGAAGCAATTCGCGGCAGGGAGGTTGTGCGGACTATCCCAATGGGCGATGACAACGAAAGCGCAGATAATGGGAATGGTCGTACGAATAATTCAGCTGCCCTAAACGCGTCGGGGAGCAGTGGCTATGGACCGCACCGGTTGATTCTACAAGACGCGGCCGGCACTAAGACGGTTGCTATCGAAATGAAATCTATAGAGGGTATATCACTGGAAAAACTTTCCATCGGTGCGAAGTTGGTTCTTCAAAATGCGACGGTTGCCCGAGGTATGGTCTTGCTAAACCCAGGATGTGTCGCCTTGCTCGGTGGGAAGATCGATGCACTGGATCGACCGTGGAAGGAAGATAGGAAGAAACGGTTATTGGAGCGAATCTCCACTCTCCAAGGTACATGATGTGTGGAAAATTGCTCTGCAATAGGCGCTGTACGGCTGTGTCTTGCAAATAACAATGCCCATTGGGCCTCATTGGATTGGTAATTTTCAAGCAAAATTATATATATACCCCGGGAGAAACATCTCCCAAGCTAAAAATGAAGCATTGAATCGACGCCTATTAATTTCTTGAGTATCCTCCCAATATCAAAGAATCACGATATTCGCGGCGCTCCGGGCTGGTGGAAATGTCCATGGATTAATACTATAGCCTCGGGATGTCTCAGGCCTGCGGTCTCTACTACTACTACTATCATCTTTTTTTAGTAATACCTAAACTCTCTCTCTTTCTCTCTCTATCTCTCTCTCTTGAGCCTCTCATTGAATCACTTCTATGGTAGCTTCTTTTTTCCTGTACTTGATTCTTCCATCAAATGCGATCATCGGCGAGGCCCTGGGCAGTCATAGTGCGTGGTGATTTCCATCTCATTTACTTGTGCTCATCGAAGCGCGATATTTCAGAGGTTGGCGGAAAATAAAGAATTCGTGATATACTGTAGCAATTTTTCAATAGTTCAATATCAATACTGTAGATCATCCCCATCTACTCATCACCCCTGTTCCCTCACCGCCCTTAATTCTGGGCTTCTTATTGGACCAGGTCACCCGCTCACACAACAGTAAACTAAACGTGGACTCAACTTGCTCCTCCGCAACACTTCCAAGCAAAGGCATCCACGACTTACCACTTCCTCTCCTTCGACCCTCGGGTGGATGCCGTGGTTGTCTCTGTTGTGATATTCCTTTTTTAATCGCGTGCGGAGCTTGCTACTGTGCAGTGCGGCTCCGGCCAACTTAACAACATGCAGTCCTCTCCAAACATGCTCACCAAGGTAACGCCCCTCGATCTCGCCCATCCTCTCCATCGCGCCGTCCTCGGTCCTGTTGCATGGAATTGATCAATTGGAGTTACTAACCTTTCATTCTTCCACAGTTTGAGTCGAAATCCTCTCGAGCCAAGGGAATCGCATTCCACCCAAACCGGTCAGTTCATCCCGCGGGGACACGCTACACCTTAGAGATCTTTGGGAACATCCATATCTAACTCTCAACCAGGCCATGGATTCTCGTCTCCCTTCACTCCTCCACCATCCAACTGTGGGATTACCGCATGGGAACCCTCATTGACCGATTCGAGGAGCACGACGGCCCCGTTCGAGGCATCGACTTCCACCCAACCCAACCCCTGTTTGTGTCCGGCGGTGACGATTACAAGATCAAGGTCTGGAATTACCAGACCCGGAGGTGTCTGTTCACATTGAACGGTCATTTGGATTATGTGCGCACAGTGTTCTTCCACCCGGAGCTGCCATGGATTCTGTCCGCCTCCGACGACCAGGTATGTTTTGAGCTCGCCCCCACTAGTGTCTACGATTTTGAGGATTTACCCGCCTATCCAATATATAGACTATTAGAATCTGGAACTGGCAGAACCGTTCCCTGAGTAAGAATTGCCTCCCCGATACTAATGCCTCCTTTCCCACCATCGCTGACATCCCGGTTTCTGCTTAGTCTGCACCATGACCGGCCACAACCACTACGTTATGTGTGCTCAATTCCACCCTACCGAAGACCTCATCGCTTCCGCCTCCCTCGACCAGTCCGTTCGTATTTGGGATATCTCCGGTCTGCGCAAGAAGCACTCCGCCCCGACCTCGGTTTCCTTTGAAGACCAAATGGCTCGCGCCAACCCCAACCAAGCTGATATGTTCGGAAACACCGACGCCATTGTGAAGTTTGTGCTGGAGGGACATGACCGTGGTGTGAACTGGGTTTCATTCCACCCCACATTGCCGCTGATTGTGTCGGCTGGTGACGACCGATTGATCAAGCTGTGGCGCATGAGTGGTGGGTTTACTACCCCAAAAGATCGGTCCAAGGGCGTTTCGTGTTAGCTGACCCATTTATATAGATACCAAGGCATGGGAAGTCGACACTTGCCGCGGCCACTTCCAGAACGCCTCCGCTTGTCTGTTCCACCCTCACCAAGACCTCATCCTCTCCGTCGGTGAAGATAAGACCATCCGCGTATGGGATCTCAACAAGCGCACTTCCGTCCAATCCTTCAAGCGTGACCTCGATCGATTCTGGGTTATTGCGGCCCACCCTAAAATGAACCTGTTTGCTGCGGGCCATGATACCGGTGTGATGGTGTTTAAGCTGGAGCGAGAGCGTCCTGCCTCCGCTGTCTACCAGAACCAACTTTTCTACATCACAAAGGAGAAGCACGTAAAGTCCTATGACTTTGGGAAGAATGTCGAGTCTCCTCCGATGCTGTCCCTACGCAAACTCGGCTCTCCCTGGGTTCCCCCGCGCACCATCTCCTACAACCCCGCTGAGCGTGCCATTCTCGTCACTTCGCCCTCTGACGGTGGCACATACGAGTTAATCAACCTTCCTCGGGATGCCACCGGAGCTGTCGAACCCACTGATGTCAAGCGCGGCCAGGCTACATCTGCTGTTTTCGTCGCTCGTAACCGTTTTGCTGTCTTCAACCCCGCGAGCCAGCAAGTCGACATCAAGGACTTGAGCAACTCCACCACCAAGACCATTAAGCCCCCGGCTGGCACCACAGACATCTACTTCGGAGGCACTGGTTGTCTCTTGTTCATCACCCCCACTACTGTTGCTCTGTTTGATATCCAGCAGAAGAAGCAGCTGGCGGAGGTTACTGTCAGCGGTGTCAAATATGTTGTTTGGTCAAATGACGGTCTCTACTGTGCCCTTCTCAGCAAGCACAATGTCACGATTGTGACCAAGACTTTGGAACAGGTCAGCACCCTGCACGAAACCATCCGTATCAAGAGTGCCACTTGGGATGATTCAGGTGTCCTCATCTACTCCACCCTGAACCACGTCAAGTACTCCCTTCTGAACGGGTAAGTCATATATCCCATGTTATGAGATTTTCGAGAATACCTACTAACTCTTAGCCAGCGATAATGGAATCATTCGTACCCTTGATCAGACCGTTTACCTTGTCCGTGTCAAGGGACGCAGCGTCTACTGTCTTGACCGCAACGCCCAGCCTCGGACCCTCGAAATTGACCCTACCGAGTACCGCTTCAAGCTGTCTCTCGTCAAGCGGAACTACGATGAGATGCTTCAGATCATTAAGACTTCAAGCCTGGTCGGTCAAAGTATCATTTCGTATCTACAGAAGAAGGGATATCCGGAGATTGCCCTGCAGTTCGTTCAGGACCCGCAGACCCGTTTCGACCTTGCCCTTGAGTGCGGTAACCTTGAGGTTGCTAATGATATGGCTCGTGAACTGGATCGCCCCCACTACTGGAGCCGACTCAGTGCCGAGGCTCTCTCCCACGGTAATCACCAGACCGTCGAGATGACTTACCAGAAGCAACGAAATTTTGACAAGCTGTCCTTCCTCTACCTGACAACCGGTGACCAGGAGAAGCTTGCTCGTATGGCTAAGATCGCTGAGCACCGTGGTGACTTCACCTCGCGCTTCCAAAACGCCATCTACCGTGGAGATGTCGAGGACCGGATCCAAATGTTCAAGGAGGTTGACCAGTACCCTCTGGCCTACTTGGCCGCCAAGGCTAACGGCTTGACCGAGGAAGCCGAGTCCATCCTCGAGGCATGTGGTCTCACTGAGGATCAGATCACGCTACCTTCACTCGAGGGCTCCCTTCAAGTCCCTCGCCCCATCGTACCTACTTTCAAGTCCAACTGGCCTGTCAAGGCCGCGGGCCACTCTTCATTTGAGAAGGCCCTTCTCGGCGAAGTTGGCGCTGTTGATGAAGAAGCCGGTGCCGATGCCTTCGAGGTCGAAGAAGACGATGAGGAGGCTGTTCTCGCCAAGGATACCCTAGCTGATGATGAGGAAGACGCCTCTGGATGGGACATGGGTGATGACATTAATGTGGAGGAGGAGGTCGACTTCGTCAATGTTGAGAGCACCGAGGCTGGTGCGGGCAGTTCCGAGGCTGATATCTGGGCTCGTAACTCCCCGCTGGCCGCTGACCACGTCGCTGCTGGCTCTTTCGAGACCGCCATGCAACTCCTGAACAGACAGGTTGGCGCTGTGCAATTTGCTCCCCTGAAAGATCGTTTCCTCGAAATCTTCAAGGCTTCCAAGACTTATCTTCCTGCGAGTGTCGGTCTGCCACCCCTGGTCAACTACGTGCGGAGAACCACTGAGGAGGAAGATATCCGCAAGGTCCTGCCGTTCATTCCCCGGGATCTGGAAACCATTGCAAGCGTCGACCTCCAGGAGGGCTATGCCGCGATGCGCTCCAACAAGTTGGAGGACGGTGTAAAGACCTTCAAGCACATCCTCCACAACGTTCTTGTCAACACTGTCTCCTCCGAGGCCGAGGTTGAAGAGGCGAAGAAGATCATCTCTACTGCTCGCGAATACGTTCTGGCGATGTCCATCGAGCTTGAGCGCCGAAAGCTCTCCACGGACACCCCTGAGGGTCTCAAGCGCAGCTTGGAGCTGTCGGCATACTTCACCATCCCCAAGCTGGAGGTTGCTCACCGACAGCTGGCGCTTATGGCCGCGATGAAGCTTGCCTTCGCCAACAAGAACTACAACTCTGCTCTGGGCTTCGCCAGCCGGATGCTGGCCAACGGAGGATCGACCAAGCTTCTGGAACAGGTAAGATCAAACATTGATGATGACTACAACGATATAAAGATGAAAACTAACACTTCCTATTTAGGCCCGCAAGATCAAGGCTCAATGCGAGCGCAATCCCTCGGACCAGATCGAAGTCGACTTCGACCCCTTCGCCGAGTTCGACATCTGTGCCGCATCTCACACTCCTATTTTCAGCGGCTCTTCTTTCGTGACGGACCCCTTCACTGGCGCGAAGTACCACGAGCAGTACAAGGGCAGTGTGGACCGGATAGCCGATGTCACAGAGATTGGCGCTCCGGCCAGTGGTCTGCGTTTGTTCGTGCCCAGTCAATATTGACCAGCAGTATGACGAAATTTGACGGCTCTTTTTCTCTCTCCTTTTTCTCGACATGAAGTTTTATAACCAAAAAAAGAAAGAAGTTAGGGCATATGTTTATCTCTTCTTTTTTTTGGGCCGCTTGGCTTTGCTGCGCGAGGAGAAGCTGTGTTGTTTTGTTGGCGTCATTTAAATTTTCTGGGGGGGGGAATTCCACAAAATTTCTCCTATCACTGAACCCTGTCTAGATGTCTTTTCTGTACCCGAGATTATAATTGTTTAGCGGTCTTAACTTGTATGCGAAATCTGTTCACACTTATCCTTGGCACGCTCTCGAATAGAACTACTAGAACTACTAGAACTTTCTTGATAGACCCGTTTATTCCATAGGTTGGGGGGGAGGGGGGATGCATAGTCTACAGCTAGAAGTACAGAAATCCTCTATGAACACCCAGAATGCTGGAGAGAAAGACAAAAGTAAAGTACAAGAAGTGGAGATATCTGGGTGAGAGGGGAGGAAAGGAGAAAGGCAGAGAGGTAGGAGTAGAGAGAGGCTAGAAGAGTCGAGATCTCAGCACCAAACATATCACACCGCAGTACTACCAAAGATAGCAGAGCAGAGCACCTTAGACATGGATGATATAATAAAAGGAGAGAGAAGAATGACTCAATCACACCTTCCATCCTTCCACCCAGTCCTCCACCTCTCCTCCCAAAACCGACAATCAAACTCCGGCTTCCCCAACTTCCGATTCACCTCGTTATGCGCCTCGCACATCCACCACCCAAATTCCTTCCGCCCACCAAGCTTCGGCCGGTTATTCCCACTCGGGTGTGCCATCCAGCCCTGGAAATCATCCGCGCATACCCAGCACGGGTATAGTCGTGAGAAAAGCTTCAGAAACCCGCCCATATCATCTTGCTGCTTTGTATCTGCTTTCTCTGGGTATGTTGCTGCCATTGAGTGGAGGAGGGTCCAGGTTGAGCGGCCCAGGGCTTCGACGTCGGGCGGGCAGTCTGAGGGGATTGAGCTTGGGGAGGAGGTTGCGGGGGCTGCGAGGGGGGGTTGTGGAGGTTGTGGTTGTGGATGATGGTGTGTTTGCGGAGGGGTCAGATTGGGCTTGTTTTGTTAGGGCGCGCCAGGAGGACATTGATGTGCAGGTCCGACAGCTGTAATCGTTGCATTTTGCTATTAGCTAGTTGTTCAATGCGTAGTGGGTGTTATGATGGGTATTGTGTATTGGATATTGGGTTTGCGACGTACGGCTTGCCATCCTTGTCCAGAACTACGCCCTTTGGTAGTTGGGCATTTCCAGTCGCATTTTGATCTTTCGAGTCACTGGATCCACTTGCGGTTTGAGCGAAGAGGTTCGATTTGCCTCCGAATTGAGCGTTGATCTGCTCGGGTGGTACCTGGGCCATTGTCGTTGATGTTGGGAGTTTTGTTCGGGGCGGCGTTGCGGCGAACTCGGAAGTTTCCTGGTCGGTCTTCTAGTGTGACTAAGCACTACAGAGAGGTAAATACGTATTTGTAAGCTATACCTCTGGTACGCAGACTTCTAGTAGAATACTAGTTTCATTTATTCATCCTCGGTTATATCATCGCATGCTTATTGTGGAGTGAAATCGAGGCAATTACAGTCTTTAGTATGCAGTTTAGAAAAAATTGCTGACGTAATCAGATTTCACGCAAATCCGATGACGTTTTATTAGGGTCCTCTTACATGGTTAGCATTGTTCATTTCTAATAATTGGATACGGTTGGTTGCAAATACCTAGTAGTCCGTAGTTAATTTGTACTAGTAGTACTAGTAGTACCTGCTGTTGTTATACTAAAATTGCTTGCCCAGGTGGGCAAGCGCTGCCAGAGTACAGTAATTTATACTTCAGGCTCGCGGTACCTCGACTACTACCTAGGTAGTAGTCCCCTGGAAACCTCAAGAGTTCAAGTTGTTTAACCGGGGTATTACCTGGTACTACCTACTACTACTATATTTGCTGTATCTACCATTCAAATTGAGATTTACTAATTAAAAAGTCAGATACATTACTAGCAGTATATTTGACTATGTACAGTATGATCTCAAATTCCACCTCAACGGATACATCCTGTGGAGTGGTCGATCCCCCGGTTAGCTTTGTCAGCGCATCTGCTCTTCACGTCAACCTTCCTCCATCACGACGCGTGTTTTGAAACTGAACGCTAGGAGTGGGAATTGATCTGTCTGCCTGCCCACAAAGCCTTCTATTCAAGAAACACGTGTCCAAGTACCTTTCGTCGCGCCCGATCCTCTTTTCATCCGCAACATCGCGCGCTATTGCCAAGATCCACGGACCGCAACCCCAATATACCAATATAACATGGCACCTAAATATGCGCTTTCAGACTCGGAGTCCGAGCCCGAAGCTGATACGCCCAATATACCATCCGACAAAACCTTGGAACAAGCGCTGCGCGACGAGGTTACTTCCCGCTTCGAAACTGGGAGACGGGAGGAAATCACCGTGAAGCGAGTGCGATTGGCCGTTGAGGAGGAGCTGAAGCTCGAGGGGGGATTCTTTAGAACTACAGGCGATTGGAAGGCGAAGAGTGAAGAGATTATCGTAAACCAAGTGGTAAGACTTTTACAATTATCCTCTGGGTTGTATGGTTTTGATCGTGACATGAACTAACTTGCGATTTTGGCGACGCAGCACCAACAAGAGGCAGGCGAAGACGAAGACGAAGCACCTGAACCAGCGAAAGCCGAATCACCTCCTCAGCCCAAAAAGTCCGCACCCAAGCGACCCAAATCCGACATTGCACCGAAGCCGCGCAAGCGCCAAAAGACAGAAACTCCCGCTTCGGAGGAAGACGAAGAAGATGAGGAACCTGAACAATCGGGGGATGATAGCGAGGAAGAGGCTCCCAAGCCTAAGCAGCGCACTACGGCACCGTTAAAGAAAACCAAGGCCAAACCGACGAAGCAGGCCTCGCCCGAAACATCAGATGCACCCGATGACGAACCCAAACCTACCGAAGCCAGCGCGGAAGTTACAAAAGATGATTCTGAAAGTGAAATGTCTGTCGTATTTGATGAAGAACCAAAGCCAGCACCGAAGCGCCAAAAGACGACCGCACCAAAGGAGAAGAAAAAGGCGGCCCCCAAGGCTAAGGATGAAGATACGGACCCGGACCAAGCAGAGATTAAGCGGCTTCAGGGTTGGCTAGTCAAGTGCGGGATTCGTAAAATGTGGTGGCGTGAATTGCAGCCATATGAGACCCCCAAGGCGAAGATTAAGCATCTGAAAGGGATGTTGGAGAATGCCGGGATGAAGGGTCGATATTCCTTGGACAAGGCTCGGCAGATCCGGGATGAGCGCGAGCTCAAAGCAGATCTGGAGCAGATTCAACAAGGAGCGAAACACTGGGGTAAATCCAGCGGGGATGAAGGAGAGGGTGGTGATGCTGAAGTTCCTCAACGCCGGGCAGCTCGGGGTCGACAGGCCCTGGCATTTTTGGATAGTGATGGCGAGGAAACCGATTGATGACAAGGCTTGCTCGGAGTTGGATGGTTCAGTCCTATTGCGCATCCCATCCTAGGCCATGTCATTGTATTAATATCCGATAATAAACAACACTTGATGATGATATCCTGTGATGCAGTGCATGTAGTTTGTCATTTATCGGGCGACCTTGGGTCCGCTCATGCGTTGAGCAGCCAGGCTGAAGACGGCGACGGACGAAATAAAAAGGACGAGATTATAGAACTGCAATGTGCATTAGAATACATTGAAAGGACCGTTTATATACCCTAGAATCAAGGAGATGAGATCATACCGCGGTGCGGGAGTACTCGTTCTCCTCGAACTCCGTTCTAGCCTCGACAAAGAGACGTCGTAGATTGGGGAGATTTGCCTGTAGATATGTTAGCTACGAAGTGACCAACAAAAGAATGATAACTTACCATTGAAATGAATACCAGAGATTCTCGCTGGCTGCTGACTGTTGACGGAAGGTCGTGGGGGGTGAAAGGAGGTCGCAGAGCGGGAACTTCCTCCCCGTCATTTGTGGACAACTTTTGATCGCCCAAACACCCTTTCTCTCTTTCTTCTTCCCCCCCATCGCCCTCCGGAATCTTCTCCGCTCCCAGTCTCTCTCTCTTTTTTCCTTACGTTCAATGTTCCTGCCAAGAGAGGAGGGTATACTTTGAAACCGTCTCCTATCACCACCTCCGAGCCTTACCTCGCGCGACCGTGAGAGCTCTCGATCCCCGCAGTCGCCCATTGTCTTCGACCCTTTCCACTCCCCTCCCCGATTGTCATTGGCGGAGGCACGACCTGGTCGTTGCTGAAGCTTATTTCTTCTCGCTATGGCGATGAACAAGATCCGCGGCGCCTTTGCGGTGCCCCGGAAAGGAGAGACCTTTGAATTGCGAGCTGGGCTCGTGTATGTACTCCCCCTCCGTGGACAGGTGGCCGTTGGGCCTCGATCTAGGAGACAGATTGACTGACAGTTTTATAGATCCCAATATGCCTACGAACGGTATGTCGGATAGCCCGATGTCGCACAGGCATTGATGGCATATGAAACGGCGTGGCGTGGCTGACAGATGAATAGGAAGGAATCTATCCAGAAGACGATCATGGCCATGACCCTGGGCAAGGATGTTTCGGCTTTGTTTCCCGATGTGCTGAAGAATATTGCTACGGGTGATCTGGAACAGAAGAAACTGGTCTACCTGTACCTCATGTGGGTGTCCTACGACGCAGAGAGAGAACAACGAGAGAGAAAGGAGGCACATGTGCTGACCATTGGAACCCTTCATCTAGGAATTACGCCAAATCGCATCCGGACCTTTGCATTCTCGCCGTCAACACCTTCGTGCAAGACTCGGAAGATCCTAACCCACTGATTCGAGCCCTGGCCATTCGCACGATGGGTTGTATTCGGGTGGAAAAGATGGTGGACTATATGGAGGAACCGCTGCGCAAGACCCTTCGCGATGAATCACCATATGTCCGCAAGACCGCCGCCATCTGTGTCGCAAAGCTGTTCGATCTCAACCCAAGCATGTGTCTTGAGAACGGCTTCTTGGAGATGCTCCAGGAGATGATCGGTGACCCGAACCCCATGGTGGTGGCCAATGCAGTCACAGCGCTCTCAGAGATCGTCCATACCGCTCCCGAGACCAAGGCTTTGCAGGTGACCCCCAACACACTGCGGAAGATGCTTATGGCATTGAACGAATGTACGGAATGGGGACGCGTGACCATTCTCTGCACACTCGCCGAATACCGAACCGCCGATGTCAAGGAATCGGAGCATATTTGTGAACGGGTTGCGCCTCAGTTCCAACACGCCAACCCCAGTGTGGTTCTAGCAGCAGTCAAGTGCGTGTTTTTGCATATGAAGTATGTCGGCCCGGAGCTGGCAAAGACCTACCTTAAGAAGATGGCTCCACCTCTGGTGACGCTGGTTTCCTCCGCCCCCGAGGTGCAATATGTTGCTCTGCGAAATATCGACCTCTTACTGCAGAAGCAGCCCGACATCTTGAACAAGGAGTTGCGGGTTTTCTTCTGCAAGTATAACGACCCTCCCTATGTTAAGTTCCAGAAGCTCGAGATCATGGTGCGGATAGCAAACGACCGCAATGTTGACCAGCTTCTGGCCGAATTGAAGGAGTATGCTCTGGAGGTTGATATGGATTTTGTGCGCCGTGCCGTAAGAGCGATTGGCCAGGTTGCTATCAAGATTGAAAGCGCCAGCGAGAAATGCGTCAACACTCTCTTGGATTTGATCAACACCAAGGTAAACTATGTTGTCCAGGAGGCTATCGTCGTTATCAAAGATATCTTCCGGAAGTACCCTGGTTATGAAGGGATCATCCCTACTCTATGCCAGTGCATTGATGAGCTGGATGAGCCGAACGCCAGAGCTGCGTTGATTTGGATTGTGGGCGAGTACGCCGAAAAGATTAGCAACGCGGGTGATATTCTTGGTGGGTTCGTCGATGGATTTAATGAGGAATTTTCTCAGGTATGTGTTTTTCCTGCACACAAAGCCAAGCTACTGAAACTGATATGTACCAGACTCAATTGCAAATTCTTACTGCCGTTGTGAAACTCTTCCTGAAGAGGCCCGATAAGGCCCAAGGCCTGGTTCAGCGGGTTCTTCAGGCCGCTACTGCTGAGAATGATAACCCGGATGTTCGCGACCGAGCCTACATTTACTGGCGTCTCCTCTCCAACACCAGCGACCAGGATGCCACCAAGAGCATCGTCCTATCCGATAAGCCCCCCATCGTCACCACCATCTCCTCACTTCCGCCAGCCCTATTGGACCAACTTCTCCAAGAGCTGTCCACTCTATCCTCCGTATACCATAAGCCTCCAGAGCAATTCGTCGGACAGGGCCGATTCGGCGCCGACGCTGTTCAGCGAGCTGCCATAGAGTATGTTTGCATTGTTCCATCCGAAATTTACCCAATTACTAATCCCACCCTAGGGAGCAAATTCAAAACGCCCGTGAAAACCCCTTGGCTGCCGCAGCCGCCGCGGCCGCAGTCAGCGGCGGCACACCCCTGCACAGACACAAAACAACGTCGAGAACCTGCTGGACATCGATTTCGACGGCGGTGCCCCTGCATCCGCGTCAAAGGAACCCACCGGACAGATGTCCGGCCTCGAGGGATTGGCCGGTACCCCAGTCCGCGTGCAGTCTCCCGCAGGTGGTGCCCCTGCACCCCAAGGGAACAACAACCTGGACGACCTTCTCGGCGTATTTGGCGACTCTGGTGCCGCGCAGCCATCATCATCATCAAGCCCTGCTAACGGTGGCGGCGGCGGTTCTGCCGATCTCATGAATGGCTTCTCCGGTCTTGATTTGTCTGGCAATACCTCGCCGGCACCAGCTGGTGATCAGTCCAAGAAATCCACTCAGGACATCATGGACCTGTTTTAGAGAGTTTTTGTGAAAAGGAGGGTGGCCGGTTACCTTTTATATCCAAGTGTTTCTCAAGCGAGGATCTGAACAGAACGAGATAGAGTCGTTTCCTTTCTATTTTTGTCCCTTTTACATGTTTAATTTTTTTTTATCTTGCTATGCATGTGCTGGATTTCTAAAAAGGGCTTGTATGTACATCTTCTACCTTGTTGAAAATCGTTCATGACAATCAATTAGCGGTTGCAATTTAGTTTTGCTTTGGTACCTGTAGGGTTGAGACTATCGCTCGATTTGGGAGGTTATAGACGCAGTCACGGTAGTTGCAATCTGAGGGTGAGTGTATTATACCTACTAGTACCAAATTTGTCATCGGTCGGGATTAAGAGATAGATAGCGGTGATACAGTATCCCTGCAAACATGCAGATAGTCGTGCGCTAGCGTGGAGATTGTCATCAAGGCGGAGTTAAGAGGACACTGCCTCCACGCCAAATTGACTAGCAGTACAGAGAGTAGATCCAATTCTGATTCCCATGGTCTTTTACGTACTTGAGTATACATGGAAAAGCATTGGCACGCAGTGGAAAAAGAAGTGGGTTCCATTTCCCCAAGGTAAGTATGGAGAGGTACTTTGTAGTAAAAATTACAATCTGACCAACAAATTAAGCTTCACGCCCTCCAGGCTCTAATTGCCCCAAAAGTGCAATATCTCCGGGACCAAAGACTGATCATTTCCGTCGGAAACCGCACCTTGCCATTGCTGACCAATTCATTTCCCTCCCGACCGAGTTTTCCATCGGTCTCTGTGGGGAGGGATGGGAAACCCGGGCCCGCTGTTTTTTTTTGGATAAATGGGGCTGTGGCCCCAGGAATTGAGACCGATTTTGAACAGATCAATCTGTATTCACGAGAAAAAAGAAACAACTTGAACAATGGCGCAAACAGACTACAAGTTCGAGGGCTGGATGGGCCTGGATTCCAGCTCTAGCGAGGGAAACATGACATGGCAGGAGTTTACCCCCAAGGAGTGGGAGGAGACTGATGTCGATATCAAGATCACCCACTGCGGTATCTGTGGTTCCGATATTCATACTCTTCGCAGCGGCTGGGTGAGTTCATCTAGTATTCTATACTAGTACTAGTTGTAGCTTCCATCAAACTCTAGCTAACCTTATACAGAGACCTACCATGTACCCCTGCTGCGTCGGCCACGAGATCGTCGGCACGGCCGTCCGTGTCGGATCTCAGGTCAAGGGCATTGCACTTGGAGACCGCGTCGGCGTCGGTGCCCAGAGTGACTCGTGCCAGGGTCGCCAGGGCGATTGTGAAGAGTGCGCCATGGGCTCGGAGCAATACTGCTCGAAGAAGTTCACCGGCACCTATAACAGCACTCACCAGAATGGCGACAAGTCTTACGGTGGTTATGCTCTGTATAACCGCGTGCCAGCCCACTTTGCCATCAGAATCCCTGATGAGATTTCCTCGGCTGAGGCGGCGCCCATGCTGTGCGGTGGTGTTACCCTGTACAGTCCCCTGAAGCACAATGGTTGTGGACCCGGCAAGCGGGTTGGTATCATTGGTGTTGGTGGACTTGGTCACTTTGGCGTGCTCTTTGCCAAGGCTATGGGGGCTGATAAGGTCGTTGCCATTTCGCGTCGGTTGAATAAGAGCGAGGATTCGTTGAAGATGGGTGCCGATCTTTACATTGCGACTGAGGACGAGCCTGACTGGGCTACTAAGCATGCTCGGTCTTTGGATTTGATTGTTTCCACTGTGTCTTCTACCAAGGTGAGTACTATTGCCATTTGGATGAAAGACTGAATGAGAGGCTAATTCTGAAATTTAGATGCCCATGACTGAGTACCTGGGTCTGCTCCGCACCAACGGCAGTCTGGTTCAGGTTGGTCTTCCTGACGATGGTACTTTGTATGCTCCCATTCGTCCTTTGATGCGTCGCTTGAAGGTGGAGAGCTCTCTGGTTGGCAGCCCCGATGAGATCCGCGAGATGCTCCAGCTGGTCGCCGACAAGGGCGTCCACCCTTGGATCGAAGAGATCCCCATGAAGGATGCCAACCGCGCGATTGTGGAGATGGAGGCTGGCAAGGCCCGTTACCGCTACGTGCTGGCGAACGAGTAATGATCATGATAAGGATACGAAGTTACAAGTATAGATGATAGATGATAGACGATAGACAATGTCAATGACCATAGACAAAGAACGAGATGTACACACCAGATATAAAATTGAAGTATACTGTACTACTTGTACGGAGTAGATTATTCCAATGGGAAAGCTCGAATCGCCACGGGTCTCCGTTTTCGGCCGCGCTAAACCCGATTAAGCCGCCCCTCCAAAGTCCCCGCGGAACTCGCGATGATTCACATTTGCCCGCCTCGCCTCTTCCGATCTTTGCTTTCTTCTGCATTCCCGTTGATTTCGAGTCAATTGACCGATTCGCTGTCTTTTACATCATGTCGCCAACACTTTCACAGAAATACCTCAGCACTCGGGGTGCTGAGTCCGGAGTACGTTTGCGCTGTCAAAAATAAGTGGGGTGTTTCGATGCGCAGCAACAGATTCGCTGATCCAATTCTTATCGTGCAGAAATCCTTCGAGGATGTTGTTATGAAAGGCCTTGCCAGTGATGGTGGCCTGTTCATCCCCGAGGAGATTCCCTCTCTGCCCGAGAACTGGGAGAGCTGGGCCGACGCTAGCTTCGAGGACCTCGCCTTCAATATCATGTCCCTCTTCGTCTCACCCGACGAGGTTCCCTCCGACGATCTCAAGGATATCATTAAGCGTTCATACTCTACATTCGACCACCCCGAACGGACCCCCCTGGTCGAACTCGACCCCGAGCAAAACCTCTTCCTGCTGGAACTTTGGCACGGGCCTACCCGGGCGTTCAAGGAGTATGTCTTTCCAACACCCGATGTTACATGGACTTGCGTCTCAACTAACATCATAAAGTGTCGCTCTTCAATTTCTCGGAAACCTGTTCGAATACTTCCTGAAGCGTGAGAACGTGGGTAAGGTCGGCAAGGACCGACACCACCTTACTGTTGTTGGTGCGACTTCCGGCGACACTGGCTCTGCAGCCATTTACGGCCTCCGCAATAAGAAGGACACTAGTGTCTTCATCCTCTTCCCCAACGGAAAGGTGTCTCCCATCCAAGAGAAGCAGATGACCACCGTCCTCGACCCCAACGTGCACAACTTGACCGTGGAGGGATCATTCGATGACTGCCAGGACATCGTCAAGGCCCTGTTCGCCGACCCAGATATCAACTCCACCCACAGTCTTGGAGCGGTCAACAGTATTAACTGGGCCCGTATCCTCGCTCAGATCACCTACTACTTCTACTCTTACTTTTCTCTGAAGAAGAAGGCCACCAGCTTCAACAAGGACAAGAAGGTCCACGTTGTGGTGCCCTCTGGAAACTTCGGTGATATCCTTGCCGGATATTTCGCGAAGAGCATCGGCCTCCCCGTCGAGAAGCTCACCATCGCCACTAACGAGAACGACATCTTGGACCGCTTCTTCCGCAGTGGTGGCCACTATACCAAGAAGGCCCTGGACGCATCCTCCGAGGCCGTCAAGGAGACCCACAGCCCTGCGATGGATATTCTAGTGTCAAGCAACTTCGAGCGTCTGCTGTGGTTCCTGGCTTTCCAGACCGACAGCGCAAGCACCGCAGAGGAGCGTCGCCAACACGCTTGTGAGAGCGTCACCACTTGGTTGAATCAGCTCAAGTCTCAAGGCGGATTCCAAGTTCCCGCTGCTGTGCTCGAGGCTGCCAAGGTGGACTTTGAGAGCCACCGTGTCAGCAACGAGGACACCATCTCCACCATCCGCAGCGTTTACAAGACCTGCTTCCCCAAGAACGGTCCTAGCAGTGCCAAGAGCTCCAAGACTGGTGGATACATCCTTGACCCCCACTCTGCCGTTGGTATTGCGGCCTCCAAGCGCTCCATTGAGCAGTACCCCGGCGCCTACCACATCTCCCTGTCCACCGCTCACCCCGCCAAGTTTGCTGGTTCGGTTGACCTGGCATTGCGCTCTGAGGACGGCTATGTCTTCCAGGAGATTCTGCCCAAGGAGTTTATTGGTCTTGAGCAGCGCGAGAGCCGCGTCACCCCGGTCCCTGCCGGTGCTGGCTGGGAGGGTGTTCGTGAAATCGTGAAGGCTGAGGTTGAACAAGAGCTGCAGGGTCAACGGTAAATCGTTGATCGTTCTGTTGATTATGCATAGACTCCTCCCGCACCTATTTGATTTTTCATTTTTCATTTTCGTTTCCATAGTATTGGCACTTTATCAAAAGTTGTTTGATGACAGAAAATGGTACGATGCTTGCATTCATATTATATAGATCTTTCTACAATTGAACAAGAGAGATGTCGCGCCTGCGCAGGTGGCATTTGACCATTTTTGGAACCTATCTATTTCTGGCCGTGAAGAAAGAAGACCTTGAAGCCCGGTGGTGAAACCCTCAACTCGGGCCTGAACTTGCACCACAATAGGAATAAACGTAGCGCAAGGCTGGATTGGTCGCCTATAAATGTCAGCATTAGATATTGAAATTCAAGCCAAGAAGATAGGTAGCCTCAATCGAGGCGTGCCATACCTAGCAGGGGAAGAGACTCGGGACTCAAATAGAATTGACCGCCCCGGCTTGCACCTCCTCAGCTACCCCGGGCTGCCTCTTCATCCTCCTACCAAGCAACAATCACTAATAGTATTACTGGCACTTACTATTCAACCATGGCGACGGCAACCACCACCACCGATCCTAACCCAAAATAGACGCCGCCTGTTAGCACAGGCTGTCGCTAAAGTTTAGCGCGGGTAAGTGACTCACCGCCCTGGCCAGCCAGGGTATAAGTACTTCCTCCCTCCCGCCTCTTTCCTCTTCTTTTTTTCTTTTCCAGCTCTCTTTGCCAATTGGCTTAGATCAAGTGTAGTATCTGTTCTTTTCAGTTTAATCTCTGAAAGTTTTCTCCGGAAAACATCAATGATTATTCCCATTTTTGGATCTCGCGGCTTGGTCTCTGTGCTTGCGCATGCCTCGCCGCACCGTGTCATCGGGCTTACACTACCTCCGATCGACGCGAACGCCCCTTTTCATCAATTTTGTCGGCTTGTCTGACTGCTTGGAGAAGATCGGGTGTTCTACTCAAATAAGCCTGTGCGTGTGCACTCTGTACTTTGTATTCCCACACGTATCGACGTGACGGAGTGAAAGCCGTATAGAATCCCACAAGATCTGGCCGGCCTCTGTGGATGAGTTCCAAGCTTAGAATTACCTCTAGGATTAAGAGAGACTTTCAATAGCACCGCATGTCTAGAGGCTCATGTTATTCCAAGCGACCTGGACTCTTGGAAGTCTGTTCTCCGGAGAAAGCTGCTATCCATGTCGTCCTTACCCGTACCCTAAATCGCGGCCAAAGTACTAGTACCTGGACAAACAAATAGAATCAGTTCTGGCTCACATGGATCGGACAACAGATCTCGGCTGCTCGTGTCTGGGTCTAGGGATATATGTAACGCCAATCTTTGGTTCACTGGGAGCAGAGACCACATCATCTCGTATGCTAGCTATAAATTGCTCAGCGGGTTGCCGGAAGCCCTGGAACAAGGGTTGATCTGCTACATCCTTAAAGAGGACCTTGGAAAGGAAGGACGGGACGACCAAGCGAGCCCTGTAACCTAACTGAATAGGCCAAACTTCGTGAACGATTGATTGATGGCCTCTAGCCTACATTCCTCAACAAGTGATGCTGCTCACGGCTTCCCAAGAGAGTCTTGTTTACTTCTCTCTATTCGGCGCAGTTTCGAGGTCGTAGGAGTTGTAGAACGCCGCATCATGGAGCTCAGTGAACTTTCCTTGGAAGTTCGCCTGGGAATCCAGCGTCTGTAAAGCAAACGTGAATCTTGGAAACCACTGCGAAAGATACTAGGCAAATATGTTTACCGTCTTCGCTATATGGAGTCATTATCATCACTAATGGTAGATATGAAGTTGAAGATTCACAAAACAGATTTTAGTATTATTATTATGTATTATCTAAATCAAACAAAAGAATAAACAAACAAGATCTCGAAATGACCAAGCAACTCTTTCTCCGCCCCTGCAAGGAAGAGATCAAGCGGGCCGTAATATGACATGGAAGTCAGGCGAGGAACAACAACATCCCGGAATTTCAGATCCTCAGATCTCCACCACAAAGATCGAGCGAGAAATCATGAAAAAGTACGGGGCTTTCAGGTACAAGTGAACAACGAAATGTTGAAACTGCACTCAGCCCTAGGGCGCGTTTACAGAAGAGCCATCAGGCCGACGACACCGGCCAGGAGGCCAGCAACGGGCTTGGTGTTGGAAGCAGCGCCCTGGAAGGGGACGGAGCTGGTGCTGGGGTTCTGCTGAGCGGGGGTGGAGGGCTGGGTCTCAGGGGTCTCGGGCTGAGCAGGAGTCTCGGGCTGAGCGGGAGAGGCAGCAGGAGTCTGGGGCTGAGCAGGAGTCTCGGGCTGAGCAGGAGTCTCGGGCTGAGCAGGAGTCTTGGGCTGAGCAGGAGTCTCGGGCTGAGCAGGAGAGGCAGCAGGAGTCTCAGGCTGAGCAGGAGAGGCAGCGGGCTGCTCGGGCTGAGCGGGGGAGGCAGCAGCAGGCTGGGAGGGCTGAGCAGATGCCTGCTGAGCGGGGGCGGTGGTCTGCTGAGCAGGGATAACAGGGATGGACTGGGCCGAGCTGGGGACCGAGCTGGAGACCTTGTTGATGATGGTGGGGATGTTCTCGCACTCGGTGCAGACAACAGTGCTGGTCTGGGTGATGGTGCTAGTCTCGGTGACAGGGACAGTAAAGGTGTGGGAACCAGAGCTGACAACCGTGGAGGTGACTAGATGTAGAGTTAGAGATATACCCAAGATGTGTGGTTACATAATTTATCAAGACATACCAGGGCAAGAGGTGGTCACAACAGTGATGGTCTTGGTGGTGGGCTTCACATGAGTGGAGGTGGTGTGGGTAGTGACCGGCTTGGTGGTGGTGGTGGTCGGCTTGGTGCTGGTGGTGCACGGGGTGGTGCTGTGGTGGGTGGTGGTCGACTTGGTGCTAGTGGTGCACGGGGTGGTGCTGTGGTGGGTGGTGGTGGTGCTGGTAGTCGGCTGAGTGGTGGTCGAGGTGGTGCACGGGGTGGTCGACACCGAGTGGTGCTCCGACGAGTGGTGCTCGACGGGACGGACAAAGTCCTCACCACGAGCCTGCATCACACCGGCGAAGGCCGGGCTGGCAGCAAGGGCCACAAGAGCAATGGAGGGAATCATTTCGAGAAATTGAAGGGGTTTCCTTGAAAACTTGCTTGAAAAGAGATGGTAACGAATGAAGATGAGGTGGAAGAAGTAGGAAAGTAATGTCGAGGATGAGGCAGGACATGGTGCCTTTTATGCTGTTTTCGAAAGGAGATTATTTCTATGTCAAGTCATGATGGATCCAACTTCCATGTTTTCGCATAGGAGAGCAAAGATTGTCCTGATCCACACCCTGTTGTCTTTGGCTGAAAGCAGGAGCAGCGACAGTAGAACCATGGCTGTCAGAGGCACCAATGGACGGCTATAGGGTGATAATAGTGGGCGATGATACGTCTCTATGGTGGATTGAGATGCAAACGTGACATCTTGCAGTATCATTTTGGCCAGTAGTCCATTGAGGATCCACCAGATCTCCCAATGCGGAAGTAGATCGAGTAGAAGAGCTGTGGTCGGCGATGGGGGATCTGCGATGTCAGTCTCCATGCCTGATTGGTTAGCAGAGGTTTGATCTATGCTGATCATTGAAGATTGACGAGACATTTCGTCGTATAGAGCTGAAAAGGCTATTCATTTGGTAGATTACTTGAAGGCATATTCCGGGGCTAAGAAGCGTTCAAATTAAAACATGGGCTGTCCATCCAGCTAAGGTGACCAGAGGACGAATGCGGAATCTTCCAAAAGCCTCACTTCGGGACCAACCGTCGGTGGATCAGTGTCAACGGGCGAAGAGTAGCGGGCTTCAATCAAACGTTTAGTAGGCATTGTCTCTTTACGAGCTGGAAGGTGCAGGAAGTGCCAACCATGCCCACGCCGTTCAAGGGGAGATGGAGCGCTAGTGGACTAATCAGAGGGTTCCCTGGAGCGTCCAGGAATGTAGACCAAGGCCTTGAGAGTTGCAGTTCTCTTCTCATTGGCAATCCCCGCTGATTGGAATGTGGAGCGGAGACTTGGCCATTTGGCCGCCAAAGGAGATCCCGTATAGGAAGCGATCGTTCTCGCAGGTGAGACATGGCATGAAAAGTTGGCAGCGATGGTGGAATTGGACCGTTCTCAATCCATGACGAGGCGATAATGACTCGACTGACCGGATTGGACTTTGATCCCCACTACCGAAGCGTGGAGGAGTTCCCAAATAAGACGATGAAAATTCTACCTTGGACCCCGCTGAAACAAAAACCAGCTGCTCTGTTAATATGATTGGCGGAGATGTTGCTTGCTATTGAGCAACACAGGGTGGGAGTCTTGTTGTCATCCAGGGGAGCTCCAGGTGTTGGCAGGCACCGTGACAAAACGGCCGCAAACGGCAAGGGGAAGGCGATGGAGAGAAAACTCTGACTCCGAGGGTGTTTAGTGAAGACCAAGTGATCCTTTGGCCTTGCAAGTTTCCAGACATGCGGCGAGTTATGAGTCGACTGACCATCTCTATAGCCATGCAGAGTAGAGTTAGAGACGCGTCGTCCGTTTGCGGGCATATAGATCATTCTCACGTGACCTAGGGCTTAGGGCACGACGCGTCTCGACGCGTCGCCCGTGATCTCGAACGTATCATCACATCGCATCACATCGTATCTTCAACTTGAGACTTGACTTCACTGCCCGCCATGCCACACCCAGTGTCACCTGCTGGTTCGCCTCGAAAGGATGACGAGGAGCTTCCGGATGCCCCTGTGGAGGGGTCCACCGAGAATGGCGTCAAGGTGGAGGATCTTTTCAACGACGACTCGGACGAGGAGTTTCCAGCTTCCACCGCGCAAGACGTGAAAATGGAGTCATCTCCGGCCCCTGCGCCTGAACCTGCACCGGCTCCGTCTGGTGTCGACTCAGATGTCATGCTCGCATTCTATCAACGACTCTTTCCCTTCCGATACCTGTTCCAATGGCTCAACCATGGAATTGTACCAACGCGAGACTTTGGAAACCGAGAGTTCGCCTTGACTCTCCAGAATGATGCCTACCTCCGATACCAGTCATATCCTACCGCTGACCTGTGAGTTTTCCTGCACTGACCTCTCATAACTGCGATGCAATGTGAACATGGATCTGATTGAATGATTGCAGATTCCGGAAGGACATTCTCAAAATGAACCCCTCTCGATTCGAAATTGGCCCCGTGTACAGCACCAATCCTCGCGATCGCAAAACCCTTCGAGGGGGCCAGATGAAACCAGTTTCCAAAGAGCTCGTTTTCGATATCGATATGACCGATTACGATGACATTCGAACATGTTGTCAAAAGGCCACGATTTGCGCCAAGTGTTGGGCTTTTGTTACAATGGCAATCAAGGTTATTGATGCCGCCTTACGGGACGACTTTGGATTCGAGCATATTCTCTGGGTTTACTCCGGTCGTCGTGGTGCCCACGCTTGGGTTTGCGACCCACGGGCGCGCAATTTGTCAGACGATAGACGCCGAGCGATCGCTGGTTATCTCGAGATTTTGCGGGGAGGGTCGCAAAGCGGCAAACGAGTGAACCTCAAGAGGCCGCTGCATCCTCACATTACGCGCAGTCTTGACATATTGAAGAATCATTTTGCGCAGACGACACTGGTCGACCAGGATACCTTTGCAGGCTCGGAGCAGGCGGATCGACTTCTGGGCTTGCTGCCCGATAAGTCTTTAAATGACGCATTGCGAAGGAAATGGGACTCGTCCCCGGATCGTCCCAGTGTCAGCAAATGGGCTGATATAGATTCCCTGGCGAAGACTGGAAAGAGCAGCACATTGAACACTGCCACTCTTCGCGACGCAAAGCAAGACATTGTCTTGGAATACACTTATCCGCGCCTTGATGCCGAGGTCAGTAAGAAGATGATTCACTTGTTGAAAAGCCCCTTCGTCATTCACCCTGGCACGGGCCGAATTTGTGTTCCTATCGACCCTCGCAAGGCAGAAGAGTTTGATCCTCTTTCTGTTCCAACTGTCATGGAGCTACTGGCAGAGATTGACGAACATGATGCCAAACATCCCGCCGGCACCACGGAGGCGGATATGCCCGATGCAGACGGCAGCGCGATGAATGGCTCGGACATCAAGGGCAGTGGTCGCAAACTGCAGGACTATGAAAAGACTAGTCTCAAGCCTTATATTGAATTCTTCCGTTCATTTATTGCTGGTCTCCTCAAGGAGGAGCGGGTAGTGAAACGAGAACGCGAGGACACCAAAACGGCAGTGAAGGCTGACCCGATGGAGTTCTGAGCCACTTGGCATTTTACGATCTTACGCTCTGTGATTATCATCCTGGAAGAGCTGCGCATATTTCCCCGGCTGTTTGGCAAGCTCTTCAGGCGTTTTTCTGGTGTTGTTACAACGAATTTAGTCTTATACATATCATACTGCCTCTTTCCACCTGTTCAACTGCACCCTGTATTTTCATTCATACTCATCTTCACCCGAAGTCTCGCCATGCTCTACTTGTACATTCGAGGAAGGGGCTCTGCATCGCTCTCGATCTCCCCAGCTCTTGCAAACGGATCCTTCGGAGATTAATATGCCATTCACTGTGCTTCTCCGGAGAACTACCTTCCGAGAGGTCGCGGTTTTGTGTCCAAGCTGCCGGCTAGCAAAGGGACTCGTGAGTAATAATTTGAATATCGGCTGCAGGTGCTCGTTTTCGATAAGCGCACTGAGTGTCTCAAATATGCAGCAAAGCTCTTCGAGCCAGTGGTCTCCTTCATATAGGGAGATCCCGTCGACGACGCAAAAAACACTCGTGTCGAGTTGAAGTTGCTCAATGAGTTTGCAGAATATGTCGCAAAGATGCGGAAGAGATTGTGCTTCCAGTGACTCGCGATAAGTCCGGGAATCGATAAAATCGATATCGAATTGTTTTCCACAGTATAACAATTGGGTGATTATACTTCGCATGAGCCCCTTCGGTCCGCTCATATTGTCTTGGGTGGTTGTGTGCTGGCCACAAAAAAAGTGCAGCACTATGTGTTTCTTGCTTTTTATCAGACCAAGCACCAAGACTGCGCAAAATACAGACATGGCCGAAATACGGCCCGGGCCCGGGACATATGCGTTCCCGTCAACAAGAAGCAGGTCCGGCCGATGTGAGGCAAGCCAACGTTGGAACTCAGGTGTTTTTGTTAGACTCTGAGCCTGCATTTGGGCTCTCGGATCAAAGGTATGCCCCTGTCGAGCCACATATTCGAGGTCTTGTGTTGGTCTCATATAAAATATTTGCAAGGCTTCTAACAGTTGGGGTAGTTGAAGAATTCGATATTTGGGAGAATTAGGTCTCTGGTTTGCGGTCTTTTGCAGCTCGTATGCTAATCATATCCCCAGATGTCAGTTCGAATTTGAAAATCAAGAGATTCATACAAATTGGTGCTGTACCTCGAATCGTATCCAAAAGCATATGGTATAGCCCGGTCTTTGCATCAAGTGTATGTTCCGTCAGCAAGCGATCGATATTTTCGTTGATTCGTTCAACCCCACTCTGTATACTATCGATTTTCTCCTGGTCGACTTGAGCTTGCTGCGCAAAATGATTGAAATCATCGTTCAAGTTTCGGACATCAATTTCAATTGTTTTGGTATTCAAGCGCACTGCATGCAATTCTGTTTGACTGGAGACAACATTTTGGTGAACGGAATTGAGCCTTTGATCCCGTATATCGTCGAGACAACGGTGCACGTCATTTAGTCTTTTATTAACGTCGAATAATATATCGTCAATTGCTGCTGAAGAGACAGGCGCCGAGGCCGGCGCCGAAGCTCGCTCCCCTAGTCGGTATTCAGAATATAAATTGACTCATTTGAGATCCTGCACAGTATCCTTGGAAACTTACACCAATGATGGCGGTTCAACCGATGGATCAGCTTCGTCATAGCAACTAGAACGGCCTCATACAAGTCTAATGCAAACGATCGGAGCTTTCCGTTGGATCTAAAAATTTGCCGCTTGATTTGTGTTGCGTCGAGAATTGTTACAAAATCACGAAATGTTTTCAAGATCTTTTCTCGGGCTTCGGCCTGTTCCCTGGCAATCTGCAAAACATTTAGCTTCAGCTTCTTTCAATTTGTAAGGTAGCTCAGCTGCTCACCTGAAAGACAAGTCTGAGACCGCCACTCAGGACATTCATGCCATCGTCATCGGGAACTAAGTTAAACCACGGGCTGATAGAGGAAGCATAGTCTCCAGCTTTCCTAAATGCTCTCCGACCAATGTTCTTTGAGCCTCGGCCTTTAGCAAAGTACTCTTCTTCGGCCATGCTCATCTCATCAAGCACATCAGCCCATGTGCATTTCCCCGCGGTGTCGAAGCATGAATCTCCATTCTCCCTATGCCGTTCGAGTGCAGCTGCCAAGTCACTGCATTCAGCTTGGTGAGCATGAATTTCTCAGTGTCGCTTGCGAGTACACTTACCGATGTGGGGCCCATTCTACATACTGCTGTCGTTGGGTATCGAAGTAGGCGCGCCTCTGAAACGCTTCATGATGCTCCGATGCATGAGTGGATATGAAATCTTGCGCGACTTTCCCCTTTGGAGATGATTCGGCTTTTCGTATCGAGTTCATCTAGATCTTTATTATTATCTGTTACAAAATTGTTATATCTGGGCAATAAGTGTAGGCTGGTAAGAATCGCAAACAAGATGCAGAATATAAAGCAGCAGCAGGCAGAGGCTTTCTGATGATTTGAGTACTGGTACTATGCCACATCCCTGCAGACACCCTGGTGAAAGGCTTACGATGAGGCTGATTGTGAGACTCTCCTTCGTTCTGCCACCACGAGGGGCTGGTAATCAAAATAACAGCCAAGTCAACTTTCTCGGAGACTAATCAGAACAGAACACGCATTTAGCTGAATAAGCCCCATCTTACCCACATAAAATACTATCCAAGGCCGGCCATTCGCATGCATCGCCCGGGCAAAAGCCGCGTCCATGGGGCCAATCATCATCCAGTGCCCCCAGCCCCTATGCAGTAAGCTCGATAGAAGAGGCTTTTCCCGCAGACTTGTTCAATTCATCAGCTATTAGCGGTGCTCGCAAGCTTAATTTAATACGAGAACGCAATATAACTGACCAGCCTTGCTTTTTCTTGTGTGCTGACGGGTGATTGTGTAGTGGGCTGCATGGCGGCGGCGCCGCTTGAACCCATGTAATTCCCAGGCCAACCATTCGATGTTAAAAGCATATTGTCTGGCTCAAATCCCTGGAACTGTAGCAAAGCCTTCCTCTGAGGTATTTTATCCGAGGTCGTATTATCGGCATCTTTGGGGACAATTTTAGCTTGCAAAAAACACCTTCTGTTCTATTATACTGGTCACGGACAAGGACAGCCATGCCTATCCAAATGCAACCTAACCATAAGGGAAGTTCGACAGGGAGATTTTTAGGGGAAATGGCAACAGGGGCGAGTATTCTCGTGGAGGAAATCATTATACAAAGCTAACTTTTTTAATCCGGTAGGCTGGTTCCGATTCCACGATGCCAGAAGAAGAAAGTCTCGCTTCCGAATCCGAATCCGAGGTTGAAAATGCCGGCCAATTTCCAAGTAATAAGAAACCGTGGGAAGTTCCACAGTTTCGGAGTGCTTCACAGGAGAGACTTCATATCTATGTTTTGGAGAAACGACTAGCCGCCGTCGAAGCAAAGCTTTTGGAGAACTTGAAAGATAAAAAACCACAAACCGACAAGGAAAGGGCTAGCAGCCGATCAGTGATACGAAAGAAAGCCCGCCGCATCTCGAACCCTTCTTCTCTACCAACGCTTTCCCAGGTCGTATGGCTCAGTTATGATGGGTTCAAAAACAATTCTAGGGACGATGAGTATCAATGCGCAATCGAAGTCCTTAGCGCGGGGTTTGATCTGAAGCAAGAGATTGAAGAAATTGGTCCACAGGTCTCTTTTGACTCAACCAATGATCCCACGCTCCTAATCAATCATGGCAAGCCGAGGAGATCAGAAAGATCTACGCGCTCGAACATGAGATCTGCATATAGAGTGCGGATCCGATCTCCATCTCTTCTCCTCATTCTTAATAAAGTCATCGGATACGGCAGAATGGACTGCACAACATTTGCACGCCCTTTCAAGCCATTGATATTTCACCATGACACCATGAAAACCATTCTTTCTGATCTAGAAGCAAAATGGGGCGAAACGGAGCGCAACCAACCGGCCGAGCACTGGTCCATTTTGAGAGGAGAAAAAACAGACCAGAGTGCATTGGAGCCAGGGAGCGCGAGAAAGAGAAATTTATCTACGAATAACGTGTCTGCGGACATGGTTGATAGTGTCCAGGCTCTACGGGCCATGAGGGTCTACGTCGAATTTGTTGACAGCGAACTGATTCCTCTTTATCATCAATTTGAAGAGCAAAACGGCAAAGTTACTCCAAACAGAGTCAGGTTCGACGATCTGTGGTATCTATTTCGCCTGGGAGGGCTCCTTTTCAACCCGAATGCCCCGAATCCCACAAATGGCAAGGCAAGGGATAGATCTTTTCGAAGCCGACGGGTGATGAGAGTATATTCAATCACTTACCCCGACCATGGTACGGATGGGTATTCCCAAAATGACAAAGTATTGATCAGGTGTTACTCGATCGATCACAACGGTGAATCATACATCCCAGTGAAGGGGAAAGTGACGATTCCGTACTTCGAAGGAGAGAAAGATATCCAGTCGCTGGACATTTATCCTGTTAGATTTGCTCAGGATCATCAACGGATACTGCAAGAGTTGGATGACCAGGGGAGACTTTTTCAGAGGTGCATTTCCGAAAAGTATTTGTTTTACAAGGGCTGGACTATTGGAGACTATGACTATCCGGAATACATTGACAGTGATGTGATTGTCGATTTTGTTGAGGCATTGAAAGCCCATCCCCGCTGGTCGACCATTTCGCATATACCAGCTTTGCACGATGGCGAGGATAATTATTCGGTTATGATTGACGATGTTCCCGGAACTATCTGGACTGATAAAGAGCGGACACAAGTCGCAGCAAACTTCCAAGATGAAATTTATACGGGCACATCCATCGACACGAAAGAAAGAAATTTGAATCTCAAAAACGACAAATTCCTCAGTGATCAAAGGGAGAGGCGCAGGAACCCCGATGGAATCTCGAGTGATGAGGTCGAAGATGAAGATTTTGTTTTATTCCCTCGAAGACTCTTTGCTTATTCCCTTCAAGACCGTAAGTTCGTCCCGGTGGATATTCGAAAACTCAGACTTGTGGCAGACCAAGGCGAGCAATTTAAGAATGTATTCATTGCGAAGGAGCACAAGAAAATGATCAATGCGGTGGTTGATTCACACTTTGAAAGGAAGGATATCGAGAGAGACCCGAAGATGGCAAATATGAGCCAGGATATTATTCAGAACAAGGGAAGGGGACTCGTCATCTTACTGCATGGTGTTCCAGGGGTTGGAAAGACCTCCACGGCGGAGGCTGTCGCCAATGCAAAGAAAAAACCCCTATTCACTATTACATGCGGTGATCTTGGATTCTCTCCTTCCGAGGTGGAATCGTCACTGAAAGAAATCTTTCGCCTGGCACATCTATGGGATTGTGTTCTGCTGATGGATGAAGCAGATGTCTTTTTGTCGCAACGTTCGACCTGGGATTTGAAGCGGAATGCCCTGGTATCAGGTGCGACTTGCAAGTCCCAAATTTCAAGAGCTTTGAACTAATTGCAGGCACGTAGTCTTTCTTCGTATCCTGGAGTATTACAATGGTATCCTATTCTTGACAACGAACAGAGTCGGAACGCTTGACGAAGCTTTCAAGTCTAGAATCCATGTCATTCTCTACTACCCACCACTGAGCAAGAACCAGACAGAGGGTATATGGCGAATAAATATAAGAAAACTGAAACAGATTGAGGAAGAACGACACATCATACTCGATACCGGCAGCGACTCGGATGAGCATGCCGAATTGCCATTGAAAGTCGACGAAGAAGAGATTCTGGATTTTGCACTCAGTCACTGGCAGCAGCATCAATATGGAAAAGGAAGATGGAACGGAAGACAGATTCGGAATGCTTTCCAAATTGCGGCAGCGCTGGCACGATTCGAAATGCGTACTGTCGCGAAAAAGCGCGAGATGGAGAAAATCCCCAACGCCACCCCGGAAGCTTTACAAGGCGAGCTGAGGGCAAGGCATTTTAGAGCTGTCGCAGAAACAAGTCACCACTTTGAGATGTACATGAATGAAACTATGGGCAAGACGGATGCCGAAATTGCGCTGGAGCAGGGGAATCGCGCTGATCATGTCAGTCGGCTCAAACAAAAAATGACCGAAAAGCCCGTGATCCGGGAACATCTGGATTTCGATTACTATGAGGGCCACTCTGGCGGCGAAAACAATCATCGAGAGGGTCGGTCTCTACCTAGGTCTTCGAATACCACTGAATGGGGATCCCAGGGATACACGACTTTGCGACAAGGCGTGGATGCTTCAATTTCCCTAGGAACCCGACCTGAAACGACTAGATCCGGTCCATCAGAAGCCTTCTTGTCATTTAAAAGTCATGACAGGTCCGAGAGTCTTCACTTGCCTAAGGATACTATGAATTCCTCTCCAGGCCGCCCTCACCCAGAAGCATTGCGACCAGGATGGCCATCTGACTCAGACTCGAAGACTAAATCACAAAGGAGAAAAACACAGCCGACCATTAGTGGAGCTTGGTCTGGCGTTGAGTCGGATTATGAGTGACTTCGTGTTGAATTTGAGTAATTTTTCTTAGATGTGTGCTGAAATGAGAAGAATATTATTTGTATAAAATTAGGAGTACTGCAATCCCAGCCAATAGAGAAGAGAATACAGCCAAAAGAAAAGAATTATTTATTTTGTTTCAAAACTACTCTCTTCCCCGAGCCATGTCTTGAAATCCTTCAGGTTAGGATTCATTTCTTTGAGCGCAGAGATGTCCGCGCCATATCCAACATCGTAGAACCATCGAAACATATAACCCAGATCTTTCATCGTCGACATCAGCAATTTACCAACAAACTCAAAAGTCATCGGGACATTCTTTCCAGTTTTGGTCTTGAAAGTCTCAGTCATTTGATTGAAGGTGAGCTCATCGCCCGCAAGCGAGAGGGTCCTTCCGCTGTACTGGTCAGGCGAGAGGAAAGCCTTCGCGCCGAAGAACCCGATGTCTTTAGTTGAAATTAACTGCAAAGGCTTATTTTTGACAGCAATTTTCCAAGACGTCGTGAAGACTTTGCCGAAAAAGTCTGGAGTGAAGTTTTCCATAAAGGCGACCGGGCGCAGGATCGTCCAGTCCATTCCGGAGTCTTTCGCCCTTCGAACAAGGTGATGCTCGATGTTGTGCTTGCTAATAAAGTGTGGGATCGGCGTAGGGCTATCAAATGAGGCTTCGCCACCTCTATCAACGGATGAGTATAAGAAAAACTTGACATTGTGCTTAAGGGCAGCGTCGATCAGCCCTTTGCCCTGTTTCACCTCTGCATCATGATTTGATCCACCCGAAACAGGAACCTAAGACATATGTTAGACGATGCGTAATATTCAATTCAAGGATCATCCCTCATAATTACCTGTACGCTGAAAACACCCCAGATAGGCTTCGATGTGACCCTCTTAGCGCAGATGAAGATATCTTCTGCTTGGTCAAGATTGCCTTGCACAAGTTTGATGTTTGAGGATTTGCTTTCAAGTTTCTGGGCACTCTTGGAAGAGGCATCTCGGGTTACGGCCAAGATTTCAAAGTCTGCATTTTGATCGAGAAGTGCTTGTATCACACTGCCACCTTGTTTTCCGGTGGCGCCGGTGATGAGGACAGTTCGAGGCATTCTGGGCGTGAGAAAATAAATTTTGAGGCTGTGATAAATTCAAAGTCTACTTTTCCCACTGAGGTATTCATATATTTATGGCAAAAAAGTTCGGTGTTGAATAAGTCGGTCTTCGGCTTGATATGCACGTCATCCATTGATAATCTCGGCATCGACTTCAACCCCGAATTCAACACGGACCCACATCCATCCCCCTCAATTTCAGCGCAGGTCAGATAATCGATCGCTTGATTACAGATCTGAAATAAAATCTCTAGCTTTCCTACTTTAGTCAGCTCATGACTACAACACACTTCTTTCTACTCTGTGTGAAAGGCCATATCTCAGCGTGATGGTCCATAAGGATACGAAACCAGACGGCGTGGAGATCATAATGCACAAGCGCAGCTGTACAAGATGCAATCAGAGAAAAGTGAAATGCAATCGGAAAAGTCCTTGCACCGCATGTATCAAGAATGGAGAAGAATGCATATTCCCTGGGGATAAACGCGCACCACGGCAGTTAAATCGACCCCCCGTTGGCGAGCTGCTTACGCGTCTCAAGGAGTTGGAATCGGAGGTAGACAAGCTGCGATCGACCACTGGCAATCTAAATATAACTTCAAGTTCAAGTTACCCAGCGGGATCTCTTTCGCAACCAAGCCACACGCCCCAGAGGTCTATTACTCCCAACTTGAACGCGCTCAGCCTACCAGGCCAGTCCTGCAACCTCCGCGATGGCTTCTCGTTGGATGAATTTCGCCTCCAATATTTTCAGCCTAGACAGATCCAAAGACTATGGTGTTTGCACGAGGAAAATGTTGCACCTCTCATCGCCATTCTACATCTTCCATCAACGCAACAAATAATCAATAATGCAGCGAATGGTGTCGAACTAGACGCCGCACATGAGTCACTAGTACTCGCCATCTGTTTCTCTGGTGTTATCAGCATGGTCCCAGGGCAATGCCAGTCCGAAATCGACCAGGAATATGATGCCGCCAGAGAAAACTACGAGATCGCATTTGAAAGGGCTCTTGACTCAGCGGACATTCTCAAGGCTAAGAATATCGTCATTCTCCAAGCCGCGGTGGTATTCCTGCTCTGCTCTCGCGCGGGCGGAAATACCAGATTAGTCTGGGCGAAGACTGCCGTGATAATTCGACTTGCTCAGAGCTTGCAGCTCCACATAGATGGGGAAAATCTAGACCTCAGTCCATTTGAGACAGAAATGCGCCGTCGGTTGTGGTGGTATATCTGTATCCTGGATATGCTTTGCTCCGAGGAGCAGGCTGTTGATACGCAAATCAGACCCGGGATGTTTGATACAAAGTACCCGTCCAATATTGACGGAGAAGATCTCTTCCCAGAAATGACCAGTCTCCCGCCTGAAAGAGAAATTTTTACTGATATCACCCACTGCATCATGTGCTCGACGGTACTCAATGAGGTATACTGGTCTCCGACGATACTCGAAAAGAGTGTTCCAGTTCCCCATACCGACCAGGAAATTATAGTAACAAAAGTTGGCAAAATGCTACACGATAAGTATTTAAGCCATTTTGATCTGGATATGCCTTTACAATGGATATCTGCCACTATTATCCGGCTCCAACTGGCAAGAGCATGGCTGCTTGTCCAAAAACCCTGTGAACAGCCGCCAAGTTCAGATTCGCCTCGCAATGATACAGTCTTTGAGACTGCTGTCGAGAGTGTTAATTTTTCATACTTGTTACAGACGAATCCCGTCACCACGCAATGGACCTGGCTATGCAAAAGTTACAAGCAGTGGTATATTATGGCCTATTTGCTTACGGAACTATGTGCTCGTCCATTATGCGCCGAGACTGACCATGCTTGGGATGTCGTGACGAAGATGCTGGTCCAGTGGCAACAGAATGTGCAGCATCATACTGCCTTTGAGAAACCCTTCGTCGAGTTGGTAGAGCGTACTGCTGCTGTGCGAGCCGCGAAACTAGTGAGCCAGCATTCCAACCAGAAAGGATCTGTTCAAGACTTGCAAGAGGATCCATTCGGGGTTTCAGAATTGGGGATCAGCATTGATTGGCTACGTGAAGCTGGACTCTAGTATCATTGCGAAAAGATAAACTTGAAAGTTGATTGTTCATATATGGGGTAAATTATTGGTACAGATAGGGTCAGATGCGCTCAAAGCACATTAACGGACAGTTTGGTTGATGGGAGTTGGTACAGCACAAAGGAATACAGGGACGCTGGTCCAGGACATGGCCTAGGGGCTTCTCGGAAGAGTAATAAAGTCAAGGCAACTCGAGTGAGTTCATTGCTTAAGCAGAAACGAACTTGCGGACGTCTAAGAACAAAAACATTAGCGCTTGGAAATCAATGATGGAAAAAGGTATACGCACTCTCCAACCACCGCATGTACTCCTTCTGCTCCTTGTACGCAATGTAGTCGGTAACCATGTTCTGGAACTCCAGGTTGAGGCCACGCTCCTCGAGATAGCGGCCCCAGAAAGCGAGCAGCTCAGGGTCAAGGTTCTCAGCCGGGGGACCGGCGTAGAGGCTCTGGCGGGTCCAGTCCTTCTCAGCGGTCTGGGCGTTGGCAACCTCGGCGTTGCTGTAGTGGGCGATCTCCTCGATCTGGAGGTCACCGTCCTGAATGACAGCCTGGACCAGGAGGGCACCGTTGCTAGGCTTCTCAACAGCAACGTTGATGCGGGCAGGGAAGGTAGGGGGGGAGGATCTCGTCCTCACCCTCAACGTCCTTGTTCTGCTGGTTCTGGTATTCACCCTCATCACCGAGGGTCTCGTCGGCCAGCTCATCCATAGGGTCCTCGGCGAGGTTGTTGATATCGGCGACGGTGAAAGTAACCTTGACACTAAGTTGGGAGGTATGTTAGCGATGAAACGACTAGGGCTCAGAAACGGAAATGCTTACGTCTCGTTGCCAAACTTCTTGGTCAGGACAACCTCCTGCTCGCCCTCAACATCCTTGACCTTCCACTCGCCGGCATCGAGAACGTAATCGATGCTGGCCTTCTGCTCACGGGCATCCTCGACACCGGAGGCCTTCTCGTGCTTGAGCTCCTCGTCGAGCTTCGCGATCAGCTCCACATCACCTATCAAGTAAACATCGTATGATCAGCAACGTTCTTCGCAAACCCGAATCAGAAACACCTGGAATCATCACAATTCCATCTGAGCGACCAATCACAAATAACTTACCCTCAGCCGCGGGCTCGCGGAAGACGCTGGATGTGGAAAAGCTGGCGTAGGCGGGCTTAGCGACCTGCTTCCAAGGCTGGACGAAGGAAGTCTTGGGAAGGACAGCCGGACGCAGAGAAGTGCGGGCGACAGAGCGTGTGAAGCGCGGGGCGGCACGGGAGAAAGCACGGAGAGACAGCATTGTGAAGATAGGGGGATGTGTGATTGATGAAAAGGACAAGAAAAAGTTGCGGGTTGCGGAGTGAATCTGGAGGCCACGCCAAGCCTTTTCCATGGTTGAGCCCGGCACCGCCTGCAGATCTGCCGTTTTCCATTCTACAGTCCATTACTAGTTGATAGGCATATTACATGTGGTGTTTTGCATCCCATGATCATTGAAACAGTGGTATTGTATTTACTAGTCTCCAATTTTGTGCTCCATGTACGCCCAATAGCCCACGAAAAAAAAAAAGAAAATGAGGATATTCGTATCATGACATGCCATTGGGAGGGAAGGTCGAATCCTTCTTATCTCCACCTTGCACGAGGCGAACAAATTTCACAGGACTGAGACCAGACCACTGCCTATTCCATTGCTTCAGTGCCACCAGGACATCCATCTCGGTCAGGTCCGGTGCCCAGAATCCTGTTTTGAATTCCTTCTCCTCCGTCTCCGTCCGTTGTCCGAGCACTTCTTCCCGCTTGGTGGGTGGGCGGCCCTTGCGGCGTTCTTGTTTAAGCTGTGCAAGCTCCTCTGCATCGCGATATATGTACCTGGAGGCGGTTAGTACAGTATTGGCAGACAGATGTGTTGGTTATGTGCCGGAGGCCCTACTTGGTGATCATTTCGGCCAGTTCAGCCTCGGAGAGGGGCTCGGAAATGGGTTGGATTGTTTCATAGAAATAGTCAATGCGGTCCGCTGCAGAGTATTAGTATGTGGTAGATCATTAAAAAAAACTCTCATTAGAGTACTAACTGTATGGTTGCCGGGCCTTCATGGAGATCGACGTATGTTTGACCAAGCGGTCGTCCCGATGACCGGCACGACGGAGCCGACGAGCATCGCGGCTGAACTCGTGGAGGGCGTTGACAACACCTCGTTTCTTGGAGATGTGCTTGTGCACTTTTTGCAAGGTGACTGGCATGGTGAATGGATGGGAGGGGAACAATTCCACCTTTGGATTCTCTGCTTGTCCCGCATCAAATTAATTTTCGGTCGTGCCTGCAGAATCGGGCGGTGACTCTCCCCTACCGCCTGCCACAATCAGAAGGTATCACATCGCGTCTGCGCGTCGAGAAGAACAAACGAGAACAAACATTCCAGCACCAGCCATGGAGGTATTTCCTCTATGATTAGATTTGGCTTTTCCGTTCAACTTGTTGCTTCGGTTCCCACGCGTTGAGTCTTGAGAATATTAAATCGCATGTTACTGTCTCTCGAGTAAATACGAGGACCCGCTTGTGCCTCGATCGGTGCCCACCATGGGTATCAAAGGTACGTTTCCGTGGTTCCTGTGCTCCTCATGAAGGAAGGGAGAGGGGTTTGGGCTGATTTCAAGTACAGGATTACATGGTCTACTCAAATCTATCCAAAAACCATGCCATCTGAGGAAGTTCAGTGGCCAGACGCTTGGAGTTGACGCCTACGGATGGCTACACCGCGGGACGGTGGCCTGCTCTGTCGACTTGGTTTTGGATAGGCCCACTAGGAAGCGCGTATCCCTTTGCTATTTCTTCCGGACATTGCACAGGCGGCTAACTTCGATCTAGACACCTCGATTTCGTCCTAAATCGTGTTCGCATGCTCATTTACTTCGGAGTGAAACCCTACCTCGTATTCGATGGCGACAACCTGCCCAGCAAAGCAGGCACCGAACAAGACCGACTTCGAAGACGCCAAGAGAGCAAGGCACTCGGGCTTGAGCTACAACGGAAAGGCAGAATTCCAGAGGCTTACCAGGAGTTCCAAAAAGCCGTCGACGTCACCCCCTACATGGCCCGACAGCTTATCGAGGAACTGAAACAGATGGATGTACAGTATGTGGTGGCTCCGTATGAAGCGGATTCCCAATTGGTGTACTTGGAGCAGCAGGGTCACATTCAAGGAATCATTTCAGAGGATTCTGACCTCCTTGTTTTTGGAGCGAAAAGATTGTTGTCTAAATTGGATCAGCATGGTGAATGCATTGAGATTAACCGAGCGGATTTCACAGCATGTCGCGAGGTCAGCTTGGTTGGTTGGAACGATGCGGATTTCCGTCACATGTGCATATTGAGTGGTTGTGATTATCTGGCGAATATTCCCAAGATGGGATTGAAGACTGCTTATCGCAGTATTCGAAAGCACAAGACTGTGGAGAAAGCGCTTCGCATGATACAATTTGACGGACAATTTAAAGTGCCGGCCGACTACTTGTCTAACTTCAGGCAGGCAGAACTGACATTCTTATATCAACGAGTCTTCTGCACCACCGCCCAAAAGCTTGTCACCTTGACGGTGCCCGAAGATGGGATCAATATCGACGAGCTTCCCTTCATTGGAGCCGATGTGGAGGCAATGGTTGCGGCCGGGGTTGCTCGCGGAGATCTAGATCCGTCGACGAAGCAACCGATTGAATTGAAACCTTTAGCCACAGGTAAATTACCCCTGGGTATCAGCCGTCGCCAGACGCTTGGTTCATCTTCAGAGCTGAAGCCCAGCAAGCCGATCAACTCATTTTTCACGCCGAAGCGCACGCCTCTGGGAGAGCTGGACCCGAACAGCCTCACCCCATCTCCAAGCCAGCAACGGCTTCTGGAGCGGAATGCGAACAACTCTTGGCAAGCCAACTCGGCTCCCTTGCGCTCTAATTCGACACGCAATACCCCTCTGCGGGCCTTCTCCGACCAAGCTGGCCTCAGTCCTATGGTCCGTAGTGTTGAACGGAACTCACTCTCGTCTCAACCGGCCAGGGCATCGACCCTGCAGCGAGCGGCAACCATACAGCCTATCAAGCGGCAAAGACTTTGCTCTGAGGCAGAGGACGACTCTCTTCCAACACGTCCTGGTTCCCGCAGTCGTTTCTTTAGTCCCAAGGCAGATCAAGCGAGTCCGACGGACCAGAAAGTGTCCCGGAGCAAGAAGCAGCGGAAATCGATGATGGATGTTTTCTCTGATGAAGTAGCCGAAGATATCTTTTCCAGTATCCCCGATCCAGCTTCTAGCGCCGAGGCTGCCGAGGTACAAGAATCGACGAGCCAGGAATCGGCTGGTAGTGAGCATAACAAGCAGACTGTCGATACCTCCTCGACCAATAGCGCAACAAAAGCTACACCCACCCCGGCCACCAAACCTGCCAAAGATGATGACTTTAAGCAAGCCTTGGAGTATCATGTACAGAGACAGAACACGGCCATCCTTTCCAAGTTTACCTTCAAATCAAGTCCACAGACAGAGCCTGTCCCAACTCGCTCTCCGGCTACTAGACTCCCTGTGATTCAGACCCGCAATCGGCCTGCACCTCTTGGTTCCCCCAGGACGCCCGGCGGGAACCCTCAGAACCGATCCCCGCAGCGAAGACGCTTGACTCCACTCCAGCGTATGGGGCATGCTGCATTGACTCGGTCCCACAGTATCAACTTCCCAACCAAGCTTCGACAGGCCGATAGTATGGAGTCTCAATATGATGCTAGCCCCATCACTGCAGAGTCTCCTGTGACCGGGGGCAGCGGCGCTCAAGGCAGCGAGGATCTCATCATTCCCGACAGTGAAGATGAAGAGGAGGACAAAGAAGAAGGAGAAACAAGCATGTCGGCACGACCTAAGCCTTTGGATCTCAAGCGCTTCTCATTCGCCGCCCATTAATCAATTACAAGCATATTTCGGTTTCGGTTGTTGGAGTATGGGAACAGGCATATCAATTTGGGACATGCATTTGCAAACACGGGTTAGGCATCAATTTTTTTTATTGCGGCGGTGTGGGATATTATCATGAGTGTTATTATCATTGCATCTAGTCAATCCAGCGCATACAATTTCATTGATCAGCAGTATGTCCACGTAGACCGTCCTAGTAAATCGGAGGCTGGGGGAGGCGACCCGCGGGTCAATGGTGGGGCCCAACCTTATCGGGACTAACACTAGTCCTATCGTTGCTTAGCGTGTAACCCGCACAGCAACTGGCCCCCGGCAGAATCCCCAAAATGGGAGGCGGTGCAACTTGGTTTCCCGGGAAGCGGGAGAGTAAACAAAGACGGTTGGCCCAGCCTCTCAATATTCCCATACATTGTCTCCATCCCCAGCCTCCAAGGGCTTCAAGATTTGCGCCTGACGTGGTTTTCTATTGCAGCTACGATCTTTCCTCCCCCTTCCCCCCCCTTCCATTCCTTCTACACATTCCTCTCCTTCTCCATCCTCGTCCCACACTTGCTGTCCAGAAGACTTCAAGACCTCTGACCATCGTCGAGACTTGCATATAGGTGCGATCCGGACCCGACGATACGCCGCAGCACCTTCAATTGTCTTCCCAGGACTTTGAAGCTTCGACGCGAACCGATTGGACACCATTCCGACCTCTTCATCGCATCATCTCCCGCATTCCTCCTCCACATTCCACTTACGACTATCGTTGACGAGTGGAATTACTTCCTCTACAATCACGCCCTCGACCGCCACGCGGTAGCCATCAGGGTTCTGATCCCGAGCACGGCTTCGAACACTCCTTCTCGGAGGCCCGAGAAGCGAGTCTATTGACGTGAGAGATCGAGACCGCTCATTTGCGCCCCCATAGCTGGTCGCCATGGCGTTTCGAGTGGCAGAATCATGGGCCCGTATGTGACAAACAGCAATCAAACGAAAGCGAGAAAGAGAACAAATATGCTAATAAAGAACATAGGTTTCATTCCTATGATCGGGTACCATCATGTGCTGATGATTATCATTGCAATCGCAATCATCCTTCTATGTATGTATCCGCTGGCCTATGGGCAGTATCCCACGTGTGTCTTTGGAATGTGGCTAACCTTTCACAGCATTATTGCTGGCCGGATGTTCCTCGTCGTCCCCAGAGATCCCAAACATCTTCCTCATATCTATGTACTATGAAAGCTACAAACCCACCTTTGACTTGTCACAAGTCGACCCAGGAGTTACGAGTGCGATGGCAAATATCGTCGGTACCGCCGAGCTGGAAGTCCGTGTTGGATACTTCGGTATTTGTGTTCAGCCTGACCGTGGGTCTTTCATTTGCAACTCCAATGCCACCGCCCTAGCGGAGATTGTCACTGTGGACCAAGATCCACTCAACCTGATCTGGGTCGCCTCCACATTCAAAGATGCGGTCGTGTTCCCATATCTCCTGTAAGTTGATGCTATGACATACCCAGTTCTTACAGTCAGATGCTAACCGCTATCCAGTATCGTTGCCATCATCCTCGCCTTCTTCTGCTTTATCCTCCTCGCAACATTCCCCGGCTGGCACGAGGAGCGCGATGAATCTGGCTCAGACGTCGAAATCAAGCCCTTCCCGTCGCGCCCCGTCTCACAAGCTGCTCTGGCCCTGATCTTTGTTTCCACTGTGTTCGTCCTCGTATCAGTGTTGTGGCAACATACCGCCTCGGTTGCAGCTAGTACGATTGCCCAAGATATGGGTAACGGCAGTGTGAAGAGTGGTGTCGGTACTTCCGCCATGGTGCTCGGTTGGTTCGGATTCGTGCTACTAGTCGTCGTAACGATCGGATTGCTCGTCATGATACTCAGCATCAGTCTCATCAGGAAACTGACAGACGACGAGGAATGATCGAGCTGATCAAGCCTCCGCAATAAGTCGTTTATGCTTTTCTTTTCTTTTCGATTTTTACGCCTCCCCTTTTCTTTCTTTGCTACGACACACCTCTTTACTACCTCTTACCACCGACGACACGAATGGGAAATGAATAATATGCCAAATGGAAATGGCTCAACACACGGAATGGGAATACGATCGGGGACACTTTGTCACCATGGGAAACGGTTGAATTTGAACAATTTGATACACGAACATATCGAGGGCCTCGGCCCTCACTACCCCAACCTGCCTCCCCCTGGAAAGGTTGGCACCGGCTCTTCTTGCAAGCTTCAAGAACAGCCGGGGGGATATCATAAAGGGTCTTCCTCAAACCAAATCTTTGTACAGCCTCGTGGCCGGTGTTATGGGATCTCCTTTTTTTTCTTGTCATGTACTGCGGGAACCATAGTTTTCGATTCCCCGGCGTTTCTTTACTTCATGTATAAAACATGTTTTGAAATTTTCAGCACTGAGTCTTATCTCCGGCTTTGCCTGATTGTCTTGACTTTGCCTTCTTGCATGGAGTCGTCGATGCGAGAATCGCGCCTAGATAGCTTTTTTGAAAAAAAAAAGATAACTAAATACCTATCTCAAACTCTTCATGCCTTAATGTAGAACTTCCAACTTCTTGGCGACCGCATAAAGTATAGTACTTACTTGGTCTCATGACCAACTTCAAACTGCTATCTTCCACATAGACCTACCAGGTAGAAAAGTTCAAACTTGAAGCTTCCGACCTCGGCACTGGCAGTCAACTTGACTGTTGTCCACCCAGTCCATCTAGGACAAATCAGACTTGGAAACGGGAATGCCCAGGAGGCTGCAGCAGTTGAGTCATGGATATAAAATGTTCAAATAGGGGTATCTACCTATATACAGTGACTCCCACGAATACCACGCTTGAACTCATAAAATCATAACACATCAATGAATGCCTTTTCAAATGGAGAAGAATCCTTTTAGACATCTACCATTATCCCCCGTCCGTCTAGTACTCCAACCAAATTTCATGTTGAACGTTCTTTCCAGATACGTTGCTAGCATCAAGACAAGGTCTGGGGGTCTCAACGATTCTGACAGCCATACTCTGTCCTTCGGCCATCTCGTGCACAAACTCATCATCCACCACAATCTTGAGCCCAGCTTCGTTTATATGTAGAATACTAGAAATTTCTAGCCTTGTTTTGGCAGAACTCTTCTCCAAGATTTTCGACTTTAGATCTTGGACTGTTCGTGATTTGGGATAAATTGCGCGATAGTGCTCACTCGGAGACTGGCCGTTTGCGATGATTCGAATGTAGAAGCATGCGGCTTAATTGTGAGGAAGCGGTTAGTTTGACGTCTTTTCAAGTTGTTGGCTATAAAGCCACTGCTAGACGAGACTTACCTGGCATCGTAGGCAAATTCTCCAACTTCGATGATATGGGCGATATTCTATGATTCCCTGCGTCGTGGAGACTACTCATAGAACTTGGCGTTTCCATCCCGTTGAATCCGGCCGAATCCGATTTAACAGATGAAGTGTCGCCATTTGATGAATACCTGCGGTCCACAGTGTCCGGTTGCTGCGAATCATCTGCGTTTAATGAAGCAGTCGGATGCAATTCGGGATCATCTTGAGGCCCGGCACGAAGATTGAGAGCACTTTCAGGACGGCTAGAGTAGAAGCATCGTTCGAGAGCGTCTAGTCTCTTCTGCAGTTGCTGGTGAAAATTTGTTTGCTGTGGGGCGTTGTCAAGATCTATTGACATGTCGCCTTGACGTTGTAGGTTGTTCTTCGAGTAACTGAGATCCGGATTGGATTTTGCGGAAATGCTGCCTCGCTTCCTCTTATTTGAACATTCGGGCGGGGCTGGATCGTTCATTTGAAGCTGTAGCTTTTCTATCCTTTTTCGGATGCTCGCAGCGTCATTCGCTAGTTTCCGCTCGGCGCCATGGTCGCGGAAGAGCTTCACATTGCAGAAGCATACTTCTGGTTCTTGGATATCAAGTTCGCCGAGTTGTTTTGTCTTAGCGCAAAGCCTGACCTGGATTCCTTTCACCCCCTTCGAGAGTGTGAAGTCGGTGGACAAAAAGTTGAATCGGACAGGTATACTGCATTGGGGCACTCTATCGGTCGGGTTGCCAGTCCAGGTAACAGAAAATCCATCGAGAGAGACTTGCTCAACGTGCATGAAGGGGTTATTTTCGCCCACGTATTCGACAGCTTTAAGTTTATTGTCGCTCTTGTTTAGTCCTCGCGCTGATTTCCATAATTGCCAATAGGCAGATGGGTCCGATCGTTGTTGTTCTTCATCGAATGAAATCCGGACGAATGTTCGGTAGTGAGTGGATTCGGTAGTATATGCCATAGACGGGATTGGGTCTACCACCCTGAGATGGTACACCTGGCCCTTGTTGAGATACGACACAGGCGTTTCACTCGAGTCATTCACTATCGCAGTGGGTGCTCGAAGAGTGGTGGGGTAACGGAACCTGAATGTGCGGTGTTAAGGTCTTGAACATTGGTGATGTTGTGGAAGAACTTACTCGTTGCTCTCAGGGTAGGACATGTTTTGCGAGTGGTGAACATTGTCACCCACCGGTTGGGCCCTTTCCGTTGTATTCCATGACAGCTCGTTATCTGGAATGTGATTGAAATTAAGTGGCTCAGCCGGAAGTCCAATGTTCCCCAAGTCCAAACCTGGCTGAGGGAACTGATTCGGTGCATATGCATCTTGTGTGGAAAAAGGATCCATGCTGTTCCATGTTACTGCGGGATTGATACCATCCAGCGAGTTTGAGTTGGCCTGATCTCCGAATTGATCTCTAAACGGGAGTTTAGAATTATTTTGAGCAGAAATGTTCTTCGAAGGTTGGCGCCCCTCTACCAAGTCCTGGAAGGTAGTAGGGGCTTTTAATTGCGATGTATAAAGGTTGAGGTTTTCGAGTTGGCTTTCGGCCACCATACACTGTCCAGACATTGTTGAGGTAAATGTATCTGGCGGTGTATTCCCATCGAATGAGAAGGAAGGGTTGGACAATTGGAGGCTTCCTTTCACCTTCTTACAGGCGCTGGCTAGGTATGAGAATTTTGTTTCACAGAGCACTTGATAGGAGATGGTGGCTTACCCTTCCGACGGTGTCATCTTGTTGTCTCCCTCCGTAAAAAGGTTACCCGGTTCAAGTTTGTTATTGGTACTCTCGTTAAAAAACGATTTCCCACAGAGCTGTTGAAAGCGGCCTATAAGCTCGCCATCTGGTCTATGAGATCCAGTTCTGCATGGTCGGATGATTGATATTAGAAATTGAAGTCTAACTTAATATATCGAGTAGACTTACCTGTGACAGAACATTGATGAGAAGGAAAAGAGAGCACCTTTTGGAATAAACAGAGCACGAATTTGATTTGAAAGCTTCAATATTAAATTTTGGGAAATCAAACAGATACAACAAAAATGCGTTTTTCTGGAAAAATAATATGGCAAATGGCGGGCATTCTGCTGAGGGGTGAGTTACTTATAACGGGAGTGGGTGCAAATCGAAGAATCGCAGTTCCTTCTATGACGCCACACATAAACGATGAAATCATACCTTTGAAAAAGGTGGAGATAAAAGGAGATACTGCGCAGTACGTAGTAGGGGGTGCAACACAGCAGACACCACGGACTTACCCCGTACCACACATGGACCAAACCTTGGAAGTGGATGAGTTTTCCGTTCCGAGCCCCCCCAGTTATCTATGGATTGAGCTTTTGTTGGGTTACCCGTGTTAGCAAAGGGATCATTCATCCGCCCCCTCCTCCAGGGCTTTCTTGCGTCATTGCAGATCCTCATCTACATTGGTTCCGATTGATGACTGGTGTTTAATAATTCTGCGAATGAAATCTCACCTCCAGGCATTGGGTGATCCATACCAGCTCCTTCCCCATTTTGTTAATACTACGGAGTACTAGTACAGATGTTCTTTGTTAGTACTTCTCGTATGTGGCGCTTTCCCAGAACCAACAGGAGGGAAGGTACATTCTCGTAGCCACACGCATCCGTCGAACCCCAACGGTTTGTTGGATTTCATTGGTCGGCTAATCTTGCCGGAGAAGATCGCCTCCCGACTTGTGGAGACTTGGCTCCACTCGATGTGACCAGCAATGTTCATACATACACTAGCTGATATGAAAAGAAGCCATGGCATTTTAGAGCTATTGGAGAGACAGCTTTGACTGCCCCACATTATGGAGAGGGTACTTATGTACCCTACGGATTTCTGACTTTATCTTTCGACTGAAACCTTCCCGCTAACCTCAACAGTTAGTTCCGTCCACTCCGTACCGCCCGTACATAGAATTGAATAAATGGATCGACAGAACCAACGTCGCCACCCTCCATCTCTCTCGTTGAGGCATTGAAAGGGCCTCAGCTTCAAATTTTAATGTTCGATTATTACAAAGTCAAAAAACATATCGATACTGTAGCTTCTGTCTAGCGCACCGTTAGCGCCATGCTCTGAGCCGCACTGACACTGGCGGAAGCCGACGTGTCATGAACAAACACATTGCACAAAAGGCTCACCTGAGTATTTTACGAGGTACAGAAGAGAGGCACCCCGTTTAAATTTAGTTGGCATTATTTAAGAATTCAATTCCCGACTTTCGATGCCTCGGGGACTTTTTTAAAATGACGTTTATGGATTTCTGAGCCCAGGCACCAGCAAATCCCGAAATTTCAAAAAGCCCCGCATAAGATGTTCCAAAATATGGAACGTCAACTCTGAAATGTTTCATCACGCGCGATACTCTGAAGACGTAACGTACTCATATTACTTTAGGCAAGCCGAGACCACGTACTGTATTTGAGAACATCGCTTCGATGCAAGGGCCCACAGACAAATTTTTATCTTAAGAAGACCCACGCAAGTTTAGAACTGGGGTTCACTGTGTCTCACAGACAGGGAAACGAATATCAAATGTTCTTTTGATGGAAATGGGGTAGATCCGGGGAAGTTTTCCCGACCAATACTACTCAACGGAATTATACTACTAGTGCATACCGTTCAAGCCATCTCAAAGGTACCCGAGAGTTCTTGGCGGGTATGGGGCAGATCTCGGAATATTTTACCGACCAATACTACAAAGGTAAACGAAATTATCATAAATTGCCATTGCTTCCAACGTGAAATATTTAAGATAAGAATGGTATATGGAATTCTAAGTTTCAAGAGAAATATTTTGCTATATTCCTCCATATGATTAGGAAACTGCCTCCCTAGATCAGTAAAACAGCCAGATTTCCTACTATGTATGAGCCCGGGAGCCTGTGACAGGCCGAAGAGAATCACCAAAGGTACCCTTCCAAGAATTATTAGAACATACTAATTTTTAAGCTTTCGAGCTGTTCGTAAAGACCGAAGAAATATATCACATGGATTCATGCAACAGACGGGAGCCAAAAACTTATACACGCTCTCAGGAGTAAATCAGGAATAGTATAAACTGGGCAATGAGAATACGCAGTCAAATGAAACTTGAACCCATGCTGTTCCTTACAGCTCGTCCTTCTCATCCAGCTCCTTCTGCAACTGAGCCACCAGTCCAACTGCAGCAAATGCTCCCATCTGGGTAGCTTGGACAACTGCCTGCATCGGTGTTCCTGCATCCCCAGCAGCCACACATCCAGGCAGGCTTGTCTCATTGAATGGCGTCGATAATTTAATATGTCCCGCCGGCGTCATCTCCAGGCCGAGTTGGTCCGCAAATGGTGCACGCTGCTCCGCGCGAGGATGGCTCACAATGAATCCTTCATTCTTCGAGGTTCCATCTTCAAAATGCAAAACCACGAAGGGTGGCTTGTCCTCGGAACCGTCTTGGTGTTCAAACTTGATTATCTTGCGGTCGTCGTAGGCGATCTTGCTGCTGTGGATGATTATCTTTGCCGAGGTGACGAGCTCGAAATTTCCATTGGTATAGATATTAACATGCTTGGAGAGTCGCTTAGCCATTCTAGCGATATGGGCGAGCGTCTCGGGGGAAGATAGAGTGCCTGTAGCAAGAGCGCCGACGGAGTCTGCACCACGTTCTTCGTAGCCATGGCAGAAGAGACAGTGAAAGCTTCGAATGTTAGCTTCATTCATCAAAATGAAAAGACAAGGAGAAAGACTTAGAAAGACTTACATGCTGCGCCCCCAACAGTCCGCGTACCCCTCGACCTGCTCCTCGACGATGTCTCTCACGCCTGTTCCTAACGCTAGCTTGCGTCCCTGGTAGGTCTTTCCCTGGTCATCTACCGCTTCGAACAAGTCGGCGACTTTTCGGACCGTTTGGATTTTGGCAGACACAAATTCAATCGTATCATATCGCTTCTGGAGGTCCTGCTTTGCCTTGGCGCGATAGATGGCTGGGTTGGTGTGGTCAAAGCCGGAAACGTTGTGCATGTGGGTTCCCCGCTCGTTACGGTAGACACCAGAGTCAAGCACCAGAGAGGTATAGAGCTGTCGGGAAAGACCAGTGGCAATGGCGAGTCCTGCTGGACCACCTCCGATGATGAGAACATCGTATGTTTTGAGCATGTTTACCATGATGGTTGCTAAGAATGAGAGTTGGAATATCGATGGTGAATTTCCATAAAATCAGGAAACGGCATGGCCTTTTATAGCCTAAGAACATATGGAATAATTTGAGTACCTTAGCGACGCAGTTTTTACCTTTCATGGCAGTGGATGCGAGAGATGACTGTGATAGGTTCTCCGAAGGCTTTTTGCTGCGAGCCTCGGAGAGTTAAGCTCGAGAAAGTCACCGAATGGCCTTTCCTTTCGAGATAGTCTGGGGTCTAGAAAGAGCTAAGAATCCTGCTAAAGTTATTACCACCTTCAAGCATGGCATGGGCATTACTATTGTGGCCAATGTTTCATATATGACAGTGCATTAGATTCCAAGAGCAACAAGAAGATTATGCTTCCTCGGTCTTGAGCAAGGAAAACAAAGTTCCCTCTTGCGCAAGTCTCCTGGGATTTCTATACAGGCCGTGGAGAGGAATATTATGGTCGCTATGGAATTTGTGAGATGATGAACTAGGGAAGAATCCAACTTGATCTGGGGTGATGCCCGGGATGGTTCGTTTTACGTTGATTTCGAGTATTCCTCGGGTCAGCTTAGAATACTCCACATATTGTATGTGATCACTGTTAGTAGTAAAAAGCTCGACGGCCCTCTGTTTGCCAAATTCTGTTCGGTATGTCATATGAAAGGAGTTTTGATTCGACCTGTTAGAGATATTGTGCATGATCAGGTACAAGAGTACCTGGCTGGTAGCCAACCGAACTCGTAAGAAATATCTGGAAGCTCTAGAGGTCTCGCATTGGAATTTCAAACCCTTACTAGTCATTATCTAGCAACTACATAGTATTAGTAAGAGGCGAAAAGCTCAAGATTTCTCTAGTGGTGACGCAATACTATGAGCCTTAGTCCCGTCGGGTATTACTTTATTTAATAGTCCCGCTGGATACTTATCCACACGCCCGTAATGCTGTTATTTCCACCCTAAGTGGTAGCAAAAGGCCCGGCAACGGTGCCCAACCAAATATTACCACGCCCGCGGATGTACGGTTTTACGGACAAAAAGATATCCGTAGACCCTGTGGCTCCAGACCGAGTTCATTCACGCATATAATGTGCCTTAGAATAAACGAGGAAAAGATTTACCACACACATATTTCATTTTATCAAACTACTTCCAGCAAAGGACCTGAAAATATTCACGTTCAAGGTTCCAATTGCTAACTACCATGGAGACAATGCGAGATACAGCTTTCGGCAAGCTAGTCCGGCTCGGCACTCGTTACAGATGGATGCAATATCCAGAAGAGCGCGATGCCTCCGTATGGCCTGAGTATCTCAAGACAGAACCGGACATAAAGGAAGAGGAGGAAGCTTCCACGCCGACAACCGAGAACGAAAACCCCGAAGATCTGGAGGCTTTCGGCCTCTATGCAGTAATGTCTCAGTGCTCGAATCGATCAAGACGTATGTCTACTGTATCTACGCTTGATGGTGGGAGAAATAGCTCTTTGCAAACCAATCAGTCTTTGGTTATTAGCTGGCGAGGACCCGACGATCCTGAGGTAAGCCTCCCATTGTATGATGCAAAAATGGCGTACTGATATCGAATAGAACCCACAAAACTGGACCAAAAAGAAGAAAATGTTCGTCAGTAGCTTAATTTGGCTACTCACTTTTGCTATCTATGTGGGCTCCGCTATATACACACCTGGAATACCAGGCGTCGCCGAACAATTTGGCGTAAGCAATGTTGCCGCAACCCTCGGTCTGACACTTTTCGTGGCAGGCTACGGCCTAGGTCTGTATCTCAGCCTCCATCCCAGACTGAAGCTAGAAGTACTGACTTGAAATAGGACCCATGATTTGGTCACCCCTTTCTGAAATCCCCATGATCGGCCGGAGCCCGACATACGTTTTGACGCTTTTCGTCTTCGTCTTCTTCAATTTCGGTGTCATATACGCAAAGAATTTCGGGATGTTCCTTGCATTCCGATTTCTCACCGGCTTCATTGGATCTCCAGCTTTAGCCACCGGTGCAGCCTCCATGGGCGACATGTGGAGCCCCAGGACGCGGGACTACATGATCGGAATCTGGGGCATGTTCGCCATTTCAGCACCAGTCCTGGGTCCAATGCTGGGTGGCTTCGCTTCTTCAGCAAAGGGCTGGACGTGGACTATCTGGCAGCTGATGTGGGTTTCAGCTTTCACCTTTGTTTTGCTATTCTTCTTTCTCCCGGAAACCTTCGCGCCTAATATCCTTGCTCGTCGGGCCCGGCGAGTACGTCGTATCACGGGAAACTCGCAGTATATGTCTGAGTCCGAGATCGAGATTAAAGAAGTCAGACCAATGGTGCGTATTATTCAATCAGAAATGATCGCGATATTGCTAGCTGACCACTAATTCCAGGATGTTATTTTTGAATCCCTCGTACGACCTTTCCAACTCTGCTTCCTCGAACCGATCGTCCTTCTCCTCAACCTCTACATATCGCTCATATACGGTATCCTGTACATGTGGTTTGAAGCCTTCCCAATTATTTTCGGAGAAACCCACGGCTTCAACCCCGGCGAAACCGGGCTGGCCTTCATGGGAATCCTAGTCTCAACCTGTTGCATCACCATCCCAGGCTACTTCTACTGGAAATATCGATACCAATCGCAACATTTTGATAAAAACGGAAATATCGCGCCCGAAATGCAAATGCCACCAGCCTGCGTGGGTGCCTTCGCCCTACCAATTTCACTATTTTGGTTTGGCTGGACAGGAAACTTTGAGAGCGTCCATTGGATTGTACCGATCATTGCTTCTATGCTATTCGCAGTTGGTGGCTGTTTGATTTTCAACTGCATCTTTTGCTATCTTGCGCATGCTTATCCAAAATATGCGGCGTCTGTTCTTGCCGGGAATGATTTCATGCGATAATCATTTGGAGCTGGTTTCCCGCTTTTTGCAACGGCGATGTTCCATAATTTGGGGGTTGGTTGGGCGTGTACTCTGCTTGGATGTTTGACGATCGTCTTTGTACCTTTCCCTTTTATTCTTTTGTCGAGGGGACGGAGAATTCGGATGGCGAGTAAATATGCTCGCCATGATATCTAATTGAGTGGAATTCAAATTCACTTCTTCAAATACAAAAACTAGCTTGAAGGTTCATTCTCAGCGTATCGGACGAAACAAATACGCTGAACGTCTGCACTAGTAGTATATTCAACCCCGGTAATTGAAATTAGAAGCTTAGAAGGAAAGTTGATAACGCCATTGATCAGGGTATGAAAACTGGAAGAGGCTTGAAAAGATATTCCTTGCGCGAAACTCCGCCCGCAGCAGCAAGGGTACGACGGATAAAATGCATGTGTTCAGATAAAAGAATAAGGCGCTGGCGTTTTCAATGAAAATTTGGTTTGAATGACGACGGATTTAGTAGTCCATGGGGTACCCTCCATTTTGGTTGCCGCCGGAGTGTGTGCCATCAAAACCACTAGTAGAGTCATCCAGAGACTTGTAGTACGGATTTGCAGGACCCGTACCACCGCCGCGGCCACGGCCGCGACCACCACGACCATTATTTCCCCGGCTTCTCTGGCTACCACGGCCGCGGCCACGCTGAGAGCCCCGACGAGGACCATCGTCATAATGGTGCTGTTTGGGATGATGGCCATGCGGATGGTCATGTGAAGGTGCGGGACCGTCGTAGCTAGCGTGGTGACTTGATTGAGCATAGGAGGAGAAACCATCCTCATATTGCTGACGCTGGCGTTTCTTGTTGTTTTTGCCGGATGGGTTAATCCGATCTCCATTTAGATTGGTCTCGTCGACTGAAAGGACTTCTTTCTCCCCGATTTCTGTCTCGAAAGTCATCGCCATGTCTGCTGGCACAGGGTGCCAATTTTGAATTAAACTTGCATCCACAGGGCGGGCAGGCTTGCGGCAGGCCAGAACAACGAGTGGCACCGCGTTTTCGGAATGTATTGGGGTATTTCCGGGAATAGGCTGTACTCGTGCGGCCCATACCTTGTTCTCGAAGTTTGCGGTTCCGGTAACCTGCCATTTCACTTTCCTGCCCGCGCCGCCGATTCTTTCTAAAATCTGCTTGGAGGCGGGACGGGGAGCAATCATGATGTTGTTAGCCGTGTACTTTATATCTTTTGACTCGGCGAGTCCTTGAGGTAGGATTGGACCCAGGACTTCCTGGATCAGACGCATTTGGTCTTTTTTAGAGATCAAGTATCCTGTGTAGAGCACCGTTTTCCTAATGCGGAACCCTCCATAACCTGACCTCATCTTTCGTGGGCCTGAAGTGCGCAAGGTTAGATGGTGAGAATTGATCATGCGCTGCACCTCAGCAATCTCTGCCGTTGGATCCAGATACGTGACGCCCTCAGATACCTGAATGACTTCAGCAGTGATGGGTCTCCTGGGGACGGTGGTTTGTCCGGTTTGCAAGCTCATATTCATGCCCTCAAAGTAATCGCGGAACATTTTCACGCTGTGAAAGAAATCAGAATCGAGCTCAGACAAAGAACTCTCGAGACCAATCACAACTTACTGTTTAACACGGTCTTCGTAAACTCGAATATCCTCGGCCTGTTCGTAAGTGAAAATGAGATCTTCGAGAAATTTCTGTTTGAAGTGCGCAGTCGAAGGGAACTTATGTCCGTTAGGACTAACTTCCGGCTTGAGGCCGATCATATCGAATTCCAAGTTTTGGCTCGCAACCATGCGTTTGACGAGATCGGCAAACCGATCTTCGCCTCTGCCCGTCAAGAGGACCGTGAGTGCATCCTTTTGTTGCATACTGAGTTGGACAAGACGAAGCTGGTGATCGTTAGTAACGGCGAGTCGGGTCATAAAGAATCATGATGATCGCACGATATTCTCATTCCACCACCCTTTCCATCCCTTTGGTTCCTCGACGTCTATCCCTTGTCCGGTAGCTGCCAGAAGATTGGGGTCATGCCACCAACCGCCGTTGGCAAAGCTCTCTTCGGTTTGCAGCAGGCCGATTGTTTGACCATTCCAGAGTTGCGGATTGGGTAGAGGGCTTAGGAATACTATCAAAGACCATAGTCAGTATTTGTAGTTTTTTATCGGTAGCGAATGTGACGAGGCTCACGGGTATTATCGAAATCATAGACATGAATAGAACGGATTTGAGAAATAGCTGTGGATATTGAATATGTATGATTAGTTTCGTAGCTTCCAAGAAGATCAAGACGTGATAGAAGTGAAAACACACCTGGGAGAGCCTTCGTAGCCACTGACCATCGCTTCAGCGAGGTAGTTGTGTAAGCTGGTTGGCGCTGCGCAGTTGACATTGTGGCCGCTGGAACGATGCGCGCAAGTTTCTCGGACACGACAGCTTTGGCTGACCGCATCTGCGTGTTTTGTTGAATTGATGAAAGAGGGAGGTTTCGTCTGTATTTTATTAGTCTATTTATAAGTCGAAAACAGAAGTCGAGGAAGTGTACATTGCCAGTAAATCATTTCGTTCGAAGCAGCTGCGCACCTTCAAAGAAAGCTGCGGGCCCTTATCACCACGTGAGGATGCACGTGATATTGACGGGGCGATAAGACCATCGCGTGAGGGTCTTCCTAACTTCAGAAAGGTTGAGACTCGCCACTCGCGATGCTTCTTGATTGCTGCTGAAACTCCCATGGCGGACAATGGCAGACGAGGCAGATGTGCGACACGAGGTCTTGCAGAAAACACTGAGAGAAGTTGCAGATGAGGGGGTGACCGGAGAAACGAACGACCCCTGTGTGATCTGCCTGGATTCAATCACGGAGCCTAGTGTCGCCGTACCATGCAACCACTCGAACTTCGACTACTTATGTCTGCTCAGCTGGCTGGAACAGCAGCCCTCATGTCCTCTGTGTATGTCCAAAGACCCACCTTAAGCTGATAGCGCGCGAGCTGATTCCACAATAACAGGTAAGGTCGGCCTCACTGCGGTCAAATATGAGTTGAATGCTTCCCGCGGACCGAAAATCTACAATGTACCCACCCGCGAACAGCCCAAAGCTAAACCCGAGACTTCGTCTTGGAGTTACACACAACGGCGAGCCTTGGCAGGTGGCTTGGATATAGGAGATGCGCGATCACGACGGCGAGGACCGCATTCTCGTCTATACCAGCGTCCACCTGTATCTGACGATCCTCTCTCCTTCAGGCGCAACGTCTATCGCAACAATCTATACTCGCTACGGGTGGGATCGAATCGTCTCTCTCAGTACAGCGAGGTAACACCGGAAAATTTCAATCGTGACGAAGCCTTGCTCTCACGAGCGCGAAAATGGATCCGCCGGGAACTACAAGTCTTCAGCTTCTTGACCCCAGGCCCCGAAGGCGAACAACAAGATCCGGGTCCTGTGCCGCGCGCTGGACACCAGAGGCTAGAGGATCGCAGGGCAAATAATGCCGAGTTCTTGCTCGAATATGTCATCGCTATCTTGCGGACTATCGACATCAAGGGCAGCTCCGGACAAGCGGAAGAGCTGCTGCGCGACTTCATTGGTCGGGATAATGCCAGACTTTTTCTCCATGAAATGCTGGCATGGTTGCGAAGCCCTTATACTTCACTGGAAGACTGGGATCGCCATGTCCAATATCCAACATCAACACAGACTTCTCGGGATAGAGAGTCCCAGGAAATAGATTCCAACTATCGCGGGCGTCGACGGCCTCGCAACCCACCTCCGGCCCGCGAACGTAGTGCGTCTCCGATACGTGGGCGTGATAGAAGCTTGTTTGATCGCATCTCAAGACCTGATGGGTCGGAAACATCTACATCTACTCAGAACGAAGTGCAACCTAGGCTCCGGGGGCGTTATCCCAGGCCGCGGAACAGAGAGTTACTTGATTGATAGATCTCCGACCAAATGCAGGTGATTATCCAAAGATAGTATCATAGAACTAACGAATTATGATAGAGAAGTTGCTAAAATGCATAATAAATCATTCCTCCTATGAAAAATACCCATGCTTGCCATGCCCAATTGCTGAATATCAAAGTAGTCGTTATTTCATGAAAGCAGGAATACAGACATCCATAGTCGCATCACTCTCTATTTGCGGCGGAAGCGCCCACCACCCCGAGACCCCCTGTTGTGGATTTTCAATGACCGGTAGTTGGCATGGGTTTGAGGGTTGACTTTTCGTTCCTTGGGCTTCTTTTTCTCCTCCGTTGCTGGAGGAGGCTTGGTAGACACCGGCGCGGGCTCCTTAGATGTTGGCGTGACCTTAGAGACCGCTTCTTTCAAGCGATCAGAAAAGCTCTTGGGTTTTGGCACAGGCTTCGTCTGTTCGCCATATTCAGGATCTCCGTCGGAATCTGGATCGGGCTCACCGTCTCCGGACTCGGGGTCGGACATGGTATGCAATGAGGCGACCTCATCCCCCTCCTCATCGGCGTCAAAGATGTCCTGGGGAATTTCATCTGAATGAGCTTGTACTTGTGTCTCCGGCACAACGTCAGCAGCCAGCTCGTCGTCACTATTTTCTTCCGGTGGAGGAGACGCATTGCTTGCGTGCCGTGGTTTCGCTTGACGAATCACTGGTCGCATGATGACTCGCCGGGTAGTTCGTTTCTGGCCCTTCTTCTTATAAGGTCGTTGCGCTTCTTGTGGAGGATTGGCCTCTGGAACTGGGTAACTAAAGCCGTCTGCCTCGCCCTCTAGTTCGCGCATCATCTCCCAATCATCATCCATTTGTTCCTCTTCTGCGTCCAGGCGTTCCTCTTCCATGTCTCGCAGACCTTGTACAATTGTTGATAGGCCCTTGCCATGAAATCGACCCGGCTGTCTGGATTTGATGGGACTTAATCCAGATCCATCTTTATTTGATGGAGCAGGGTAACGTCCGGAATTGGAGCGGCGCAAAAAGGATGGTGTAGCTGAGTGGTTGGTCTCCGGGGAGTGCGCGTTAGACTTCAGATTCGCACTTGCTTGCACCTCCTTCTCATCATCCGCCTCCACCATGGCTGCGTAGCGCATTGTCGTGGGTGTCGCGAAAAGATTGGCAAGATAGAACTGTTTGGTGGTCGATGCCGGAGTTCTTGTGATTCGGGACGATTCTTCCTCTTCTTCTTCTTCGGGGGCTTCCTTGATGGGATCAAAGGTTTTTGGTTTAGATGGTGTTTGAAACCCAGCGGCGAGCGCGTCCTTCTGTCTATTCACGGGAGGGGTGGCATTGTTGCTTCCACCAGATTCGGAAAGAAGATCAAAGAGCCCAAGAGTTTTCCCATCCCGCTGAGGTGTAGGTCCAATCGCAGCCTTGAGAGGTGACGGTGCCGGCAAATTCTGGACATGTGTCCTCGGGCTGAACAGCTTGCGAAAGGTAGATGGGGAGTCGTAGGGGTCTAGATTGGAGGGATGGGTCTTCTCGCTGCGAGAGTGGCGAGGGGTCGCAAAGAGACCCTTGGATGATTTGCGCGGCGTCGTCGAATTGGGGGGGCGCATTTGCTGGACCTGATGGCGACGCATGTTTTCGCTTTTTGGACTGCGATTCTGGCAGTTTTGCTTCTGCTTGCCTGTTTGCGTGACGATTGAGCTTGGCTTCGAGGTTCTTTATTTGGCCATACTCCTTGTATTTCTGGGCTAGAAGAGGGAGAAAACAAAACAAGAAAACATTAGCTCATTGCAAAGGCAACCACTCATGATTCAATCCACTTGGTATACTTACCAATATGCGGGTTCTGCTTGATATCGTCGCGGCCGGCTTTGCGCCCACCGTTGGCAGCTGCAAATTCTTTTTCCCAGACCTTCAATTCCTGTCGAACTGCAGTGGCCTTTTCCGCAGCCTCCTCACGAGAGCAGAGAGCATCTGGGTGGTCTGCCATTATTGCATGGTCGAATTGGAGTTAGAAGTGGTGGGAGGTGCAAACGGGAAGGGAGCAACGCGTTGCCGCGAAAACCACTCAACGCGGGACTGTCGCGTCGGGCCTGGCACTTCTCCGCCTCCTCCGCAGCCCATCAGGACATCAGCTCAAGTTTAGCATTGACTCACTCATGTGTGTCCACTCGGGCCTTCTCAACCACTAGGAACTTATATGCCTGACAGGCTACCGAATTGGGCCCCTCGGATCTTTTTGGTGGCTTGCCTCTTCCACCAATGATGCCTCGTACACTTGAAATTTACGCGGCACCTCAATATAATACTACCCCAGAACCCCCCCATTGACCCTCACAAGGACTTAACTCTTTTATCTTTCATTCCTGGTTATTTTAATATAAATACTTGCTGCTGACTTCATTACACCGACCTTTCATTGAGCTCCAAGTTCATTTTGAAATGCAAATCACCGTCGGGATGCCCGAATCACCCTTTGATCCCGATTTTGACGCTCTGGTCAGCAAGCTACTCGACGAGTGGAAAGTTCCGGGCTTGTCGATTGCTGTGGTTCACGAAGATAGAACCTATTCAAAGGTCCTACAAAAACCAGGAAGCTGTTGCTAATGTATAGACCGCTGACCTCCACAGGCCTACGGCATATCCGAGTTGCCGGACAAAATGATGACAACCGACACTCTATTCCCAACATGCAGCACCACCAAAGCATTTGCCGCTTTGGCTACTTCAATGGCCATTCAAGATAGCAAAGATACAGATAACCAAATTGACTGGGGCACGCCAATATCTGCCATAATCCCAGAAGACTTCGTTCTTGCGGATGATTATGCGACACAGCATACGACACTCGAAGATGCCCTATCGCATCGTTCTGGCCTCCCAGATCATGGATGGATGTTCACGTTCACGCCGAATAACATGGATTCAAAAACCCTGGTTCGGTCTCTTAGACACCTACCTTTGACCGACTCACCCAGAACGGCTTACCAGTACTCTAATCAAATGTACGCCTCGGTGTCATATGCTCTGGAGCAGCTGACAGGCGAGGCACTGGGCTCGTTCATGAAGAAACGGATATGGGATCCCCTGGGTATGCATGATACATACTTCTCCACTCAAGAGGTCAAGGATAATCCTTCGACCGCGAGAAGGCTCGTCCATGGATATACTTGGCTGGCCGATGGAAAAGGCGGCTACTACTACCATCTTCAAAAGGCACTGAGCTGGATGCCCAATAAAGGAGCTGGGGCCATGGTCAGCACGGTTCTCGACTACACCCACTGGTTGCGCGCATTGATAGAAAAGAGTGGCCCATTGAAGGGCCATGACTCTTTGGTCAAACCGAGAATCTTTCATTTCGAGACAGGCGACGTCAATCTGCCTTCCCCATATCATGGCTATGCCCTGGGGTGGTTCGTCGATAACTACCGCGGCGAAAACTTTTATTGGCATACCGGCGGATGGCCAGGGTTTAGTACCTATGTCGGCTTTCTCCCAGAGAGGAAATTTGGCGTCGTCATTATGGGCAACTCGGACCCTGCAAGACTTGCTTGCTTCCAGTTGGCTATTTACTTGATGGATAGGTTATTGGGTCCAGCGAGCCCGCACCATACGGAGCAGATGTCAGCCTGTGTGGCAAAGCAGCGTGAGGTGGTGAACGAGATATTTAAGCCGATGGATCTGGAAAATACCAAGGAAAAGGTTTTTCCTAGTTTGCCCAATCCTCCGATCCCGCACTCTTTGCCATTGGAGAGGTACACAGGAACGTACAGGCATCCTACAAATGCTTGGATCACGCTCGAGCGCACTGATGGCCAATTGACTGCCAATGTGTCTCAAGGAACGCTACCATGTCAGCTAAGCTTTGCGCATGCAAGCGGCGAATTCTTCATAGGACAGTCGAAAGTACTGAATCTTGTTTCATTAAAACCGTTTGCTGTGGAATTCTACATTGACTCTACGGGGCTAGTCACCAAAATCGGGATGCTTCTTGAACCGGCTATGAAAGGAGAGAAATTTTGGTTCGAGCGAAGCCTTTCATAATATGCTGTGCTCGGGGAATGTGTTTTGACAGCGATTTCAGTATTCAGAGTAACATATAGCCATGGGTATTCTACTATAACTTGCCAAAAAAAACACTCTCTCGCACAAAAAAGCTGCCATGATGCTCTTGCCATAACGATGGAGTGATGCAAATACTGCAACCCCCATTACCAACTCGTCAGCCCCTTGACGCGGTCAAATCCACCCCTCAGTTGTGTATCGGGGTGCACCACCTTCCCTTGAAGAATAGTATATTTGACAATTCCCTCGCAATGTTCCGGCCGTACGCGGGCCAGCCATATCATTTGCTGATCTTTCTTCCGGTACACAAGTACATTTGCAGAAAACTTGTGGCCGCCAACATGCGAGACGAAGAAGATCCCTGCGCCACCAGGTCGAGAGTCGTCTGCGTCGCGATCCAATCCTAAGGGCCGAAGATGCCTCTCTAACTCGCGCTTGATTAGTGGAGCGGTAATTCCACAGCGCGCATCTCGTCTTCGGTGTGAACAGAGTAAGATCACGTAGTCTAGTTCACACGGTCGAGCACTCATCCCGGTATCTGGAAAGGCAGTACTGTGACCATTGTGGCTGTTCTTCTCCTCGCTTGGGTTATCGATATATTTCTGGACGAGCTTGGGCACGTCGGCTTGGGAGACGGAGTCCACGAACGTGAAAGACGGGAGAATAAGCACCGACGTGCGTTGTTTTGGTTGTTCGCCAGCTTCCTGCTCCGGGATGTGTAAATTCGATGCGGAAACCATAATTCGCTGGAAACCGATCAGTACCCTTGAATGTAGAGATCAAATCGGAGCTAACTAATTGGCCACACTTACCCCGAGCCCCGAATTCGCCGAGGGCTGATCAAACGCCTCCATCAAACTACCCTTTTCATGCTCGACCTTCTCTTTCCAATCAGATTGCCCTGTCGCAACGAGAACGTGTGCGTTGAACGCTTTAATGTGACCGTAGAGGGGCCTTAAATTTTCCACCTTCACCTTAGAGGGGAATTGGATTGTGCAATCCGCGCAGTCCTTTAGACAATCGGCCCCATCTTGCGCTGGATCCACCTGAGGCACGAAGTAATCGTCCGAAGTCCGACCTAGTGAGAGTAGCGAGCGTAGCATTGCGGTGAGGATTAGATTTGTGAGTCTCTCGGGATTCTACAGAACTTGAATATCGTTGAGGATACACTCGGGCTTTAAAGCGGGCTTAAATGTCGTGGTCGGTCATGGCTGCCTGGATGGAGTATGTCCGAGCCAAAACATCCCCGGCCGTGGTTAACCCCGAAGGCCGAGTTTATCATAATGTTTGACAAGGTTTGACACTTTTCATTCTCCACAATAATCCAATCGGGAAATTGGGCTTGATATTTGAATTTGATTAGCCTCCTGGCTATATATAGTATCTACTTACTTTCAATTACTTAGTAAACCCCTGTAGGACGTCCGTGTCGGATATCTCATACTAGAAACTTCGCTCTAAGTAAACGCCGCAGGAGATAGATCACAAAGCCGATCAGCAAAAATTATAATTCGGAGGATTGTTTATACAATTGTATCGCGGCCATTAGATAAAAATGATCATTCAGAGGTCTCTCATTCATTGAAATTCATATCGGTTTGGTCATTGCTCCAAAGATCATCCAATATCCCGAATTAAAAATTGTTATCGAAAGGGAACTCATCATGAAATAGCTCCGAGGAGGGAAACCCGAATATCTCATCAATAGGCAATGGCCCATTGCAATTCATCGCAGGAAAGAAAGCCGCATTTCCTCTGATAGTTATCATCAAGACCACCTCATATTTGGAATTGACCCCGGGTCCCTGAAAGAAGGCAAGGAAAGCTCTATCATGCCTTAGTTACGTTCTTGGAGACCGACTTTTAATTACGTATGTTCTGAGGATTTAGCTTGAAGATCCAAGCTGATATCAGGATTCACGGCAAAATGGAAAGAACTTTTTCCGTTTCTTGAGCAGTGTTCGAACATGACGCAAAGTATATCAGCAGAGGTCTAATTCTAGGATGCAGAAACACTAAATGGGACGAAAGCAGATCACAACCAGGACGGCGACTTAGCAGTCTATCATTTGGCCTCCACCAATTAATTCCGGACAGTTCTTATGAGAAATCTTGATTGACAATATTATGATTCTGACTACGCATCCAAAATGGAGTTTACCTAAGCCGGTCCTTTTAGAATTTCTAGCTGGTCCCTCCTCGTTTTTGTATCCTCAGAGGAAGTGGTTGTAGAGAATTTCGTTCGACAGGGTTTGGTGTGTCATCATCGGCCTGTGAATCTTTGGGGAAGAACGGAACTTCAGCGGGCAGTTCGAAAACTTCATTCACAGGCCCCGCATCTAGTTCATTGAATCTGGCAGGGTCCTCGAGTGAAGGCTCTCCGATATTCTTAGAAAAGTTGCCAGGAATATCAGTCGGCAACTCAAAGGGCATGTCGGCGGGTAATTCAGCAATAAATTGGCCTTTTGGTTCAGCAGATAGCTCAACAGGAAATCCAGGAACTTCCTGATGGATACCCTTAGCGAGCTCTTCGTGATAAGTCTTGGAATCACCTTGGTGATTATCCCGAGCAAGCTGCTCTGTCGATGCCATTGGTGAGACATCGATTTCATCATCAGGAATCCGAAATTTCTCCGAGTTCAAGATCTCCATCAACGGTCCAGCCTCTGGTGGTGGCTCAACTTTCCCACTCAAAAGCTCACTTGCCGATATGGTTATACCATACATCTTCTTATTAGCCTCCGGTCGCTCCCCAATAATTCCACCTTCCCATGATTTGCCACCGAAAATGCCTCGTGATTTCGAGTAAGCAAACATACCGGCCAGTCCTTTTGAACTCAATACACCGCTAAATTCCGCACTTCGTCCATATGGCCCCAGTGCGACAGAGAGGTTCTTGCCTAGCGTGATTGATCCAGTTTTCGTGAAGGCCTTGATTGCCTTTTCGCTATTTAGAACGAAGACGAAGTCCGTCTTTTCGAAGCCTATTTGGGTGCCTAATCCAATTCCACCCGTTGACATGGCTGACGGTGCGGACCAGCTGCCGTCTTCGAGACGGACGACGATGAGGCCAGACCCAAAGCGAAATGAGCCTACAATTCCTGCTTTTGTAGCGGTGCAGACAGCGAGGCCCTGCGCAGTATTGGTCAGTGTGATCCGTTATAATAACTTTTTGGACTCCAGTTGCTTGCCTTGGCGCGTGATAGGATCGCGCGTGGGATACCGAGTTCTGTATCCTCATCCTGAGCCTTTTTTGATTTGGGGTACAAGAATGATCTGAGAATTTTCTCTGCTTTTGCGCATTCACCTGATATAGGGGTTTTATCAATATTTGAATTCTCGGTTATGTGATACTCGAGTAAAGTACATACCGGATAAAGATGATGGCATCGGGGTATGCAGCTGGCTCTGCATTTTGGCCCACTTCGATGAAGTGGAGGATGTTGAACTAGAGCGTGATACTAAGCTCTCATTATCCGCCATGATGTCGAGGGCCTCGAGGGCGAGGACAACTTTCAATATGCTTGGTGGGGCTATTCGCGGTTTCGCTGATGTGGAGCTGTCCAAAGATGTGTAGCCCAATGTCGCCAAACACAAGAATGCTAGTCAAATTGATACTGGTGGGTTTGTTTTAAGATATTTTTATTGTGAAAGCTCCAGCAAAGGAACAGAAATTTGTTTGGAACGTCATGGAGGGGGAGTGCGAGGGGGGCCAAGCTTTTAGGGGCAATGCTGTCGTCGATCGGGCGTGGCCGGCTCGTGGCGCCTCGTGTTGTATTGTGGCTTGAGTTTTACGGACTCGGAGATGACAGGTGCTGAAACTTGAAAACAGAGGATTCCCATAGATCCTACAGCAATTCGGACATATGTATAATATCATGATTCTGGGTTTTGGCTATCTAAAATCCGAACAGATGCCCCCGGTTACGCGTGTCGTTTGGTCGAAATGACCAGTTCTTTGTTTATAACTTTCAAGTTGTAGATGTATCACAGACCCTAGGAATGTTAAAAATACATGGCATTCAAAATTCTCAGGTTTAAATACTAGCTCCAGTCTAATTAGATATTTTCAAGTTTCCAAATGGACTGTTTGACAAATCGTGGCTGGCTGACTCCAAAATATCCGAGTGTTACTCGGTACATCCCACCAAGCCGTCGAATATACCATATTTCCGTTCTAAGTTCCAATCCGAGATATGATAATCTAACGGCCGTAACAATCTCTGAAAGACTAACAAAAGACGCCTCTGGCTACAAGGTTGAGACTAGTACTGGAAAAGAGTACGCGTCCGAGATCGGAGGAGCTTTCCGGATTAGGAAAGGATCCCGCTGAGTCAGTCACGAGAAAAGTGGGTCCGTATGCCGCCGGACACGCGGGTGCGGGACAGCTTAACCGCATCGCCCCCGGAATTTTAGGGTAGATCCTCCTATATTCAATTGAACAAAAAAGGATCCAGGATCCAGTTCCAGATCCAGAATGGAGATCCAGGGCCTTGGAAGTTCACCAGCTGAGCGGCCCAAGAAGCGCAGACGCCGTACAAACGCGTGTCAGCCGTGTCGCAGCCGTAAGCTACGCTGTGACCGCGAGTATCCCACGTGTACCCGGTGCTCGAAAGGCAGGACGCCCTGGAAGTGTGTTTATGAAGATGGATTTCTATGGCAAGCTCCCGCCACAGTCGGCGCTTCAAAGCCATCTAATCAAGGGCCCACCGTTCCCCAACCTGAACAGACCATTCAGACGCCAACAGACTCGGGTTTGACGGTGTCGACTCGGCCGGACGCACTCGTTTCGACCACCAACCTCGGCCTCGGCCCTACGCTGGATGCTACACCTCAGGATGGCCCACACCAGCATGAGCCGGAGAATCGTACTCAGCATCATCAAAGCCACCTACATAATCATCACCATTCATTTTTGCACCCACATCCTCGGGGAAGGCACTCCGGGCCAGAGCGTGGATTTCTAGAGACTGTTCTCGGCGCGCCCAAGGCGGCGGTTAACCAGGAACCGTATGTGAATACGGGCTTGTTGCAACGGCAAAAACGATCTGCGCCGGAATCTGACTTGCCTTTCACGTCGCAGGTCGACAGTGAAGACATCGACGAGGCAGACGAGGAAGATACCTTGTCGCCGTCACATCAATTGGATCTTTCGCCACGTATAATGATGAGGGGCCGCGAGACGAAAACACGTTATAGCGGGTCGGGCATCTATGCTAACCTTATCGCTCAGGTATGTTCGAGCATTGCATATTTCTCGTGGAAAAGATAAACCGTCCTATCTTCAAGGTCATTGGTGTTAATTATGAACAGTTTCCCGATATTAGGCCCTTTGCTGAAGAGATCAGAGTAACAAATCCGATCCTTTCTCAAGTCAGCCCCGATTTAGTTCGCGTCAAGAAGGGACTTTGGAAACGGGTACCTCTCAACACGCCTTTCCCTGAGCCCACGGCGGCATCATTGATCGCTCTCTTGCCATCACGTGGTGTTGTTGACGAGCTCGTTGGTTTATATATAACATACATCGAATGCCAACACCGCATCCTTCATGCCCCGTCGTTTCGACGGGAAGTGGACCAATTCTTTGCCCTGATGGATAATCCTAGCAATGTTTCTACCGGATTTCTAGTGCAGCTTCTTCTCGTTCTTGCGTGTGCGTGGAATCTTGCGGATGTAGGTAGTTTGCAGGAGAAGAGCCCAACCCCGCTCAAATGCTATACTGCCGTTGAGTGGGTGCTTCATGCAGAGAAGTGGATCGACAATGCGCAAATAAAGCGGCCGGAGATCACAGCCTTGCGGCTATACATCTTGCTGGTAGTTGCGCAAAATTGCTTCGGAACCAAGCGCAGCAAAGCTTGGCTTTCAACGGGTACCCTCATCAGACAGGCAATGCTAGCGGGGTATCATCGGGATCCTAATAAGTATGCCCGTATCTCTGTCTTCAATAAGGAGATGCGCCGGCGGATATGGATGACCATTGTGGAACTTGATCTCCAAGTCGCTATCGATCGAGGCATGCCTCCGAATATCCAAAGTACAGACTACGATACTCTCCCTGCACTAAACATCAACGATGATGAGATTCATGAGGGAACCACGGAAGCCCCTCTGGGCCGTCCTCTTAGTGAGATCACCGATTCTTCGTTTGCAACGATCATGTACCGGTCGCTGCCCATTCGACTCAAGGCATGTCAACTCATGCACTCTCCTCGAATCAGCTGCCGCTACGAAGAAATACAGCGGTTAGACTGGGAGCTCAGTCGACACTTTTCGCGGATTCCGGTATGGTCGGTATCGGAACCCAACGATCATGCCAGCCAACTCAAGGTCACCCTTTGGAAAGCCATGATCGAGACAAGGCTAGCACAAAGCCTTCTTTCTATCCATACCCCATTTGCGATCGAGGCGCACCGGGAGGCGCTCTTCGCACCCTCGGCCCGTTCCCGCCTTGACGCAGCGGTGAGGATTCTCACAACGCAAAAAAGACTATATGAAATCTCACAGCCACTGTCACTTTGCATGCTGGGGGAGTGGACCGTTCAGGCCTATATCTCGATTTGCCAGCTATTATACTTGGCGAAGGAGAAGAGTATGTACCACATCATGACCTTCTATTGTCCACACGACTTAACTAATTTCGACTTTCTAGCCACTTGTAATCCTTCCAGCCCCACGTTCACACTCCATACACTACCCGGCCTTCCAGATTCTCTTATCTCACTCGTCGAGATAGCTCTCGTATGCCTTGAAAACCGCTTCTTACTTGTCGTCAAGGGCGCAAAGGATTACTTCTTCCTCTCAACAATCGTCGCCCTAGTCAAGTCCAAAGTCTGGCCGGCTCAGTCCATGTTGTATAAACAACAGGTCGTAGAGCGAGTCCTTTCTTTTGCACAGACACTCTTCACTCGACATGCTACCTGTGAACATCTGGGGGGGCCCCGGAATGGGCAGTTTCAAAGATAACCAGGTCGCTACTTTTGTTTCGACGCCAGGCATGGCGACCGTGATGCCATCCGACTTTGATGGCATTCTTCCACCGTCGAATATGGTCGTACCGGTGAGTTCACTCTGCTCCATAAATCCGACTTCATTTTTCTTCAAGCCATACTGACTGACCACTCCAGCCACCTGATGCTTTCGATCCCTTCCTCGACGTTTTCGACTGGGAGGATCTAACGGGGATTGCATTGGGCAATTAACCTGGCTGGCTATTCCTCACGCAACAACATGTATATACAATCCATGTACCATATCAACTCATATCGACGATTTCCCAACCAAAAAGGGGCACCCGGAGTGTTGAATTTTTATTGTAGCCGGGCTTCGGTGGAACATTCTTTGACACAACCCCTGATCTTCACCGATTCAGGGATGCCACTGCGAGTGATTTCATCGCAATTCTTGGCCGTAAGTGATGAACCTGCTCTTCCAAGCTCGGGGGTTTCGGGGCGGCCCTGATCCACTATGAGCTCAGGGTGCCGATCCTGTCGCCCCTGCAAGGGTTGTAGATCACGATCATCACTGCTACAGAAAGCTCCGGGTATCCTTCTCTCTATTTTTGTAAAATTGTGATTTATGATATCCGTGTGGATTATGCAAGCGAATATCATCACTAGTGGCTACACTGCACAAGGCTAGCACTAGTTTGCGAGGCCTTGCGAAGCGATGGGGTCGCTTAGCGGCCCCAAAAAGATGGCCCCAACGGGCCAGGCAATTGGACCCTGTGTCTGTGCTTGTGAGGCTACAAGGACAAAAATAAATCAGTTGGGCCGATATCCATATTCAAAGAAGCCAGGTCATGCATACTTGCAGACCCTGTTGGGGCCGGCATGGCAGTGTCTTCTGTAGAGACCGTGGGGGCGGGGTCCATCCATTATCATAGCCAGGCAGCGATGAAACGATTCTCCCAGTGGGGCAAGATAGCCATCTTCCATTGGATTGTCTACTAGGGTATTCCGATTCACCTATTGGAACCCAAGGATAACCTGCTAATATCGCCCGTTAGCCCTCCGTACCCTGCAGCCGAAGATTTCATAGGCCTCCCGCTCTCGGGGCCTTCGCTGTCCCGCGTCTAGCAGGGGGAGTACCTGGAAAATACTTATTTTTATATGCACGCTAGCCCCGGGGCTAAAGTATATAGAAGTATCCACTGTTGGCCACGCCTAAAACGCTTGGCTTTTGTTTAGACTCGATCGGCGGACCCTGGGCTGTGCACTTTTTTTTATTCTTGCTGCCCTTGTGCATATGGAATTTGCTTTCTCTTTATATTTAAAGGTCATTGATCACCATCATCTACTTTAATTTTTTTGCCTCCAATCGACTCTCAACCTCTTTCAGCTTTCTCACCCTAGCATGCGCCGTGCAACTTGATAACTAGTCCGCAATCCATCTCACTAAGCGCTGGCGCATCGCATTATCTGCGCTCAGCTTTCAATTGAATCGCTTCCCTCCAACAGGAATAAATTCTGTACATACTATTGAAAGCATCATGCTAAGCAACAAATTGCGCACCCTGGCCCTGGTCCTAGGAGCCGCCCTGGTCAGGGCAGTGGACGCAGCGCCAGCATCTCAAGGATCATGGAACTCCGCATTATCGCAAGTCTTCGAGACGACCGATCGACTCCCGCTACCGAATCTCGGTAACCTTGTCGCTCATGATCCAAACATCGTCCAGTACGAAGACCACTACTACCTCTTCAAGGGCGGACACCATGTCCCGATCTTCAAAGCCGACAATCTCAGTGGACCCTGGGCCCAGATCGGCACCGTGCTAGACGATGATAGCATCATTGACGTCGGGAACCGGTCGCGACCCTGGGCCCCGACGACAATTTTCAAAAATGGCACCTTTTATTGCTATTATACACTAAGCCACGCCGGGAGCCGCCATAGCGCGATTGGAGTTGCGACGACCACTAAATTAGACGGCACTCCGTGGAAGGATCACGGTGCTGTGATTCGGACTGGGGAAGGGGAGGGCTCCGATGTGTTCCCATTCACCCAGACGAATGCGATCGATGCGTCCTTTATCACCGACCAGGAAACTGGAAAGTCTTATCTGAATTATGGCAGTTTCTGGCATAATATCTGGCAGATTCCGCTCGCCGATGATCTTCTCTCTATTGAGGAGCCGCAGCATCCTGATGCGGTTCAGTTGACCTTTATGCCGGATGAGAAGATTAAGCCGGAGGAAGGGTCTTGGATGAGCTATCATGACGGTTATTATTATACTTGGTTTAGCCGTGGCAAGTGTTGCAAGTTTGGTGGGGAGAAAGCAGGTGGGTTCCCTGGTAGGGGCCAGGAATATAATATTCATGTTGGACGGTCGCGGAATGTCCGTGGTCCGTTTGTTGATAAAGATGGAGATTCACTTGTGGAGGGCGGTGGCACGGTTGTCTATGCTTCGAATCATGGGCTGGTTTATGCGCCTGGTGGCCTGGGAGTGTTGGCTGGGAATGACTCGACCCCGGATATTCTCTATTACCACTACCTCAACACGAGTATTGGGTTCAAAGATGGAGTAGGTTTGAGCAACCCTCTTGCAATCCGGAAGATGGGCTAATGTTTTTTTTTTTTCTCTTTCTAGGATGCGCATCTCGGCTGGAATTTGTTGAAATATCAGGATGGTTGGCCTGAAGTTACAACTGTGAGTGCTGGTGCCATATTCAGCCTTCCCGGTTGGCTCTATTTGACGACTTTGATGGGTGAGCCCCGTCTTGAATTCCCTTGGACGATCTTTTGCTGACTTTTCCAGGGTTCTGGCTATGTATCTGGTTCTAGCGAGCCTAACCACAGGCCTTCAAGTTCATTTTCATTCGAATTTGTTTTCAGCGATTCATATAGCTCATGAGCGATGGCGTCGGGTAACAACCCTGGAACACTTATATTTCTTGAATTTAGATTGCATGTACATGATCTCATTCTGCATGGTATATGGCTCATATTTGGACATACAATAGAGGGAAACATTTTCACATGCTCCATCTGGCTCCACAGTACACATCACTCCTGGTATTTCATGGATCCCATCCACCATCCACGCTGTAGACCTGTCCGGTCGTATACGAGGCCGCATCACTCAATAGGAACACGACTGTCTGGGCGACTTCCTCGGGTGTTCCAACCCGGGGAATGACAGAGGGAGGCACTGCTGGACCACCCTGAATAACAGCCGCCTGGTCAAGCAAAGGCGTTTGGATCGAGCCACTAATGAAGAGGTCAGATCAAATCAAGTCGCGTCACACCACCTGCCGCCAAATTTCCCTAGGACAGAACAAACTTACGGAGCAACAGCATTAACCCGAATATGCGGGCCCACCTCCTTTGCAACAGACCTCGTCATCCCAACAACCCCATGCTTCGTTGTCGAATAAGCCGCATGCAATGGAAATCCCCGAAGTCCCTGAATACTTGACGCATTGACAATACTACCCATCCCCTTGCCGTCGGGCCCACATGCCATGATTGCCCGCAGCTCCGCCCGCAGGCAATACATCATTCCAGAAAGATTCACCCGTACCAACATATCCCACTCGTCGTCCTCTTGGTCGACAAAGCGGCCAACCCCGTGCTGTTTACCGATTGCCCCGGCCATGTTCGCTGCGCCGTCCAATTTGCCGAAGCGTGAGACTGTTGCGCTGATCCAGTCGTTGACGGCCGCTGCGCTTCCGATGTCCAAGACCGTTGTCATGATATTCTCGGCGTTGGGCTTCGTGCCGCTGCTGGTGCTTTTGGTGATCTCTTGCACTGCGGTTGTGAGGGTTTTCATGGAGATGTCGGCTAGTGAGAGGCTTGCGCCGCGGGCGTGGAGCTGCTTTGCGACGGCGAGACCGATCCCACCAAGGCCTGTCACCACATAGACCTTATCCTGAAATGAGTCCATGCTGTTTGGTTGGCTGTAGGGTTTCGCTTGGTGATTCGTAGGGAGTTGTTGAGGAAAATATGGCCCTGAATCAAAAATTGAGAAAGAGACAGTATTTTCAGGCGGGGTCGGAGGTGACCCGTGTTACATTGTGGCGGACGATCGAGTGACAATTCTTTTGTGTCATTCATGGGGAATTTTGTGGAGTAGCGGGGTCTTTTGACAGTTGATGTTTCATCCGGCGCGGCTAAATTGGGGAAACGCACTGCACTCTGGTGATGATAGACTGATAGTTAGTAGTGGGGATTCCAGGGGTTCGATGCCCAGGTGGATAGATATTAGCCACTCTACGGCTGCCAAATTGGCCATCTTCTCCACATCGCAATTTCGAAAAATTGGTATAAAGCGATTTTGAGGCGTATACGAGTACACATATGTTTGGTTGTACTCCATCCTCTTCATCTCATGAAAGGCCACAGCATACTATGCCTTGTGTGCTTTATTGCGGGATCAGTTGACAAGCTCAGGGGCCTGATGTCGATACGCTTGGAACAGAGTATCGAGCTCCTCAGATGTCTGGAGTGTTGCCTACCACTCCCTGCCCATTAGACGGTCGGCTCTCGTCATCCTGGACTGCAACAAACCAGGGCAATCCGCAAGCCCACTCAAAGGATTTGAGATACTCGCACGGCTCAGGTCGGGATGGCTATCGGCATAGCTATCGACGTAGCTACCGGCGTAGACAGCGGAGGTTGTATGCGAAGCGGAGGAATTGGATTCATCCAGGCAGAGGACCATTTCGGGGCGGGTTTCTGGAGCTTGGAAGGAAAGGGTTCCCAGGTGCAGGAAGCAACACGTGGTGAATAGTGGAAAGAGTTTAATCAAGTTCAGGAGCTCAAAGTAGTGAGAACATGGAAGATGCGATCAGTGTGAATAAATCACGGCAGTTCTAGTAGAATAGTACCACACACAAGAGCCGATGCAGCCAGATGCGAACCCAATATAGTATAAAGGTAAATAGGGTGAAATTGGGGTCCATTCTGAATCTGAAATTCAAATTCTCACAAGGAACGCCCAGTCCTGCCGGGGTTCCAAGAGGCTTGGTCGGACCTCCTCGGTTTATGGAGCAAAGCGTGGTTAGTTCTATATCTTCATACTAGTATTCTGACGAGGCTAGAAGCCCGCGTCAAGTTCTTGATATCCACGGGATGGATCCACCCCGCATATCACCTGGGAATCTATGGAAAGTCTTCGCTTTGACTGTGTCCCGTAGACCCTGGATCGGCAGAAATCAGGGGGGTTTGCTTTGAGGCTCAGCTCGACCTTGTAGTTTTAGATTGACTAAGCTTAAAGTCAGCCTCCAACCCTCGTGTATGAACCATGTCATGGTGCAAACTCGGATCGACGAGCAGTCCAAATTGGCATTTCGCGGCAAGTCTTGGCCAAACAAGGCACGCTCTGGTTCGCAATCCAATCCTTTCTTCCAATCTACTTCTCAATCTACTGCGGAGCCTTGTCCCTATGCAGCAGTGGTACTGTCTCATTGTGCCAATGTCACTGGTCAACGACATTTTCGAGATCCACAATTGCAAACGAGGCTGGACTATGTTTAGCCTACTTCCACTTGGCGCCCCCAATCAACATGCCCAGTTGGCCGATCCCTGTCTTTTTGCACAGACCATTTCATGCGGCTCTCCTTTTAAGGGTCTTACACCAATTCCCCTCCGCGATCCTACCCTCTCCGCATCGCCTCCACTTTTTCTCAATTCCTGAATTCGCATCCCTTAAAGGGTCCTTTCGACGAGTAGTCGTCTTTTCCCGCCTCGATGTCTGCCAAAATCGAGCCCGGTTATTCCATTCGCCGGATTGACCATTGCAACGAAGATGAAACTCAAACTGCGGGTGCAAACGAGTACGTCGTCTGTTGTCCAAAGGGACACGAGCTATCACTTCAGCAACGTTCAAGCGACTTGAACTGGCTATGCTTAACCTCAGTTACACAACCTTTCCATAAAGTGTGCGCGAACTCAACTTGGGACTTGTGGTATGCGGAGGGGTTCTTGTGCTGCGAGCCAGGCATGATCGGGTATCTTAGCAAAGATTCAGGTGGTGACATCAGAAAATCGACTTTTGGCTGCAACACAGATGCATACATCAAGAATAACGGCACTAAGCTAAATATTGAACGTGGCACACGCTCGACTCCTGATTGTATGTCATTTGCGATTTCCTGTTCCACTGTCCCCCATCGATTCCCATCATTTCATCACAATAATTACTTGAGATCTGACTGACTCATTCAAAGATCCTAACTCTGGAAATTCCACTACGAATAACAGTACCACTAAAGCGTCGAATAATGGTACGCATAACGATACAAATATCCTTTCGAATAACGACACGAACGATGGTCCGAATAAAGGCGCGATAGCTGGCGGAGTTGTCGGGGGTGTCTGCGGCATACTCATAATTGCCGTCATTATATTTATTTTTCTCCGTCGCCGTCGCTCAAAAATATCCAGCAATTCTGAAAAGAGTCCAGCCGAAATTGAAGGGGAAACTAGACCATTCGGTGAACTGGATGGCACCGCTTCTAAACGAACCGAGCTTGAGGCCGACACAGGATCACGACAAGAGTTGGCTGGCCACGCATTCAAGAAGACGAATGAAGGGCCGCCCTCTGAGCTAGCTTGATACATAATACTCTAAAACTATTGAAAAGAATGAGGACTGGGGCTTTCTGAGGCATTTGAGGTGTTTATAATGGAGTTCTGGAGAGTTTGTCTTTTTGTGTTTAATTACCCCATTGTGTACCAAGCCTACTTTCAAAAGACCGTGACATTAGCGTCCTTTCATAATCCATGGATGTTTTGACCTTGAACTTGGACCTTTAATGTGCATCTATCTCTTGAATCGAAATGCTCGCTACATCACGGTTGCCATTGAAATCTTTCCCACCAAACAAATCAAGTTGTGGGATGACAAAGAGCAGTTTACTTCCGTAGATCGTTCGATTTTGAACCCCCTAATAATACTCCGAGAAGGGAGAACTTTTATTCGCCTATATCATTCTAGCTACTAGTTCGTTCACTCTCTCCCTGGGTAGTTCCTGGCGCAGAAGCCATCCAATATGCCAGACAGTATCCTCCTGAGACTTGATTGACTGCTTCAAGTGAGGCCAGATATTGAAATGGCCGTGCGGCATACCAGGATAAACATCAAGCTTGACCTCGACCCCGCTTTCTTCTAGGGCCTTTGCATAAACCAGACCATCATCGCGAAGAATGTCCAACCCGGCGATCTGAACATACGTTCGAGGAAGAGCCAAGTCAAACCATGGAAGTGGTGTGGTGAAGGGCGTGAAATGCTCAGACAGAAAGTCTTGCTGGTAAAGAGCCTCGTACCCTCCAATAGACTTTGAGTCAAGACCTGGATTTCCAGGAGCATTCGCATTTTGTTCTCGAGATAACCACATCGCTTTGTATTTCGCCGGCAGTGTCTCTTCACTGGTGCACACTGGGACACTGGTCAAAACTCCGGTGATCGGTGGAGAAAGCTTTTCTCTTGCTGCATGATGAGCAGTGACGATGGAGAGATTACCACCAGCCGATCCGCCACCAATCACAAACCCCTTGGAAAGGTCTGCATCGAGAGCTGATGGGTTGACAGCTATCCATTTAACAGTGTCCCATACATCGTTCGGGGCAAATGGGAATTTGTGCTCCGGCGCCAGACGATAGGAGAGTTGAACAACCGTAGCTTTGTATAAGTGTGCGATCGCGCGGGCCCAGTTGATGCACTGAGTGTTGGATCCCATCACGAAACCTCCACCGAATATGAGTACCACCACTGGATTGACCGAAGACGAGTTGAGCGGCTTTATGATGTTCAGTTCGCTTTGGTGTCCGTCGCGCATTGGGATATTCATCACAGATTCCTGCGTATCGAATGTTGGGCAAGTCTCATATAGCTTGTTCTCCATGGCGTCAACCATTCCCCGCAATTGCTCAACTGGTAGCGAAAAGTCGAACTTGGGAGGTGGAGCATGTTTAAGGACCTGTGGCATTAACCGTCAGGGCATGTGGAGGAATAAATGCCGATCTCACTCACTTCTTCAAGCTCTGGGTCGATGATACCCATTTTGAGTACATCCTCTTTTGTCTTGTATTGATCCATTTTCGTCGATGCGTGAGTTTTGCTGGCAATGTGATGTATAGGGCTCATTCAAGTGACGCTGTCTTGGAACTTATTCTGCTTCTCCTTATTTTATGAGGTGAATTTAGAGCCCTTTATAAGAGAGCTACGTGTAGTAGTTCTATGGAAAGTGATAGGGATCCGATCATGATGACTCATTTACATTCACAATGATCTCCAGGGCTGTCATACTGATTGATGCGCGGTACGAAGTGGACCCATATCAATTTGGGCCCGATTTATACTTCACTAATTGGACAACATGAATCCTAGTAGAATGACATAAAATCACTGCATTGGGCTATATTCAGCGCGTTGTATTAATCTGGAACAAGCCCAATCTCGCCAAAAGTCTGCCCGGGAAATCTTTCTCGCTCACCGCTGGGCTATCTCAGATTTGAATTTAACTCATTCTTTGATGCTTATCGGATTATTACGGTGCTCCATAAGCGCAGAGTGGTCAGTAGTTGTTTATGTACTCGTATAGCGGTACTGGTATTTTACAGTAGCACCGCAAAAATTTCCAAGCCCTTATTGACCGGCTTGGTCTACGCCTACCTAAGGTATCTACTAGTCTGTCATTCGAAGGCTGTCAAAAATGGAGGGCAATAGGGGAGTTCAAACTTTTGCAACGCCACTGTAAAATGCCCCTATATACAACTACTGATCACCCAGCGCTTATGGAGCGCCGTAGATTATCCTGACCTAGAAGTGGCTTTCTCTATTTGCGGGACACCAAATCTTTAAAATTGCCACTGCTCACACCAATGTTTCATCAACTCGGGCGATACCGCCTCCGCCTGTCGCATCGCCAAACTATACGGCTCAGTACGCGTAGTAGACATTGTAATTCCCTTCGACCCCATCTTCGCACCCTCTGCTGCCAATCGATATGTATCAAGCAGTTTGACCGCTGGGTTTTTGTCTATGCTCAAGGAATTGACCTGACTCTTTTCGAGTGCACATATCCACTCTTTAAACGAGACGACCTTTTGGATTCTATCAACGTAAAAGTCACGTAGCGTTGGTATGAGACTAGACCAGTCTGTAGGTTTCGGAATGAGCGCATGGAAATACCCGGTAACTTCTTCTGCTGGTCGAGGACAAGTCACACCGGAGACATCCAACACCATACTGGCAATATCTTCAACTGGTGCCCACCCAATGTTATCAAACGTGCCAAGCGAGTCAGGCAGGAGGCCTAGGTATAAGGAACTGCAAGCCAAGCTTGGAAGCCACTCTTGCGGGTTCCATTTGCCTTTCTTCCCGCGTGGGCCCGCAATTTGACCAACTCGAACTGTAACGATTGGCACGCCTGATTCTGTCGCGGCTTTGTCAAGAATGATGCTGCTCGCGAGCTTTGACTGATCGTATCCAAACAATGCGAGGGACCAATCTGGTAGAGCCTTCTCAGGTACAGGTACTTCCGGAGTCGGCCATTTTTCAACGGTTCCAACAGTGGAAATAAACGTTATAGGCACGACCTTTCTCGTCTCCTTTTCGGAAAAGTCAACCAGGTGACGCACTCGTCGGATTTGCGGCTCAAATGAGCTTACGGACATGTTGACATTCACAGACCAAGCGTTGTGGATCACACGATCTATTTCATCGGCGAGTCGCATTTTGACCTCAGGGGCAAGGCCTAAATCTGGGTCGGCAAGATCGACTTGAAGGAACTCCGCTCGAGAAAAGTCAGTCGACAGTCCCCGGGTTGAACTGGCCTCCGTTTGGCGCTCGCGACTGTTGGCACCACGGTTGAAACAGATCACCTTTTTCTGAGCCCTTATTCGTGTTTGGTGTCCGGACGGCACTGTGGGGGTCGTCTTTCATCGTGATGAATGTGTCGTTGATGTCAATGTAGAAAGCAATGCGAGGGGTGAAGAGGGATATGAGCACCTTCCAAGTATATTTCAGCTACTTTTTGAATGATTCCGATGCGGGGGAGGAGAGCTCAGCGTGGTGATTTGTTCCGACGTGGCGCGACGCATCTTATGCACCGTTCATGCAAGTCGGCTGTAGGTAAAAAGGAAAGGTAGTCAGCCAAGCCGGGCTTTCCTCCGATTAGTTAGGGTTATGACCATATCCTTATTGGTGATATAATTCGAACATAAATATGAAAACAAATGGGTATCTCAAGAAGAAGAGCCAAAAAGAAATGGCAGAAAAATGCATATACATGAAGAAACAACACCGGACCGCCGATCATCACCACGCCGAAAAAACCAACCCACCAACCAAAACAAAAGCCCACAATTTCCTCCCAGGAACCCTTTTAACCCCAGCATTTGAATTCGTACTCCCATCCCCACCATAATTCACTTCTCGCGCATTCAAGCAATATTGCACGTCCTGCGCCTGAGCATCGGAGCTCGCGGTACAAACAGCCGTGCACGGCTGTGGATCTTCATAGAACCAAATACTCGTGCTGCAGCAGGATTCGAGTATTTTAGACATGTCACTGCCATGATGATCTTCCTGGTATAGCGGGACGAGGGTTGAGAATTTTGAACCGGGGATCGTGGGAAGGTTCTCGCTCGCGTATTTGCATTCTGCCGGTTGGGTATAGTTCTCAGTGGCTGGGGGTGACATGGTGAAGTGAAGTTGTAACTTTTATTCCGTGGTTGGATTTAATTTCACGAGTATTGCAAGGAAATAGGCAGAGAGGAGGCGAGCCAATGCCGGCAGAAGGGGGGGGGATGTTGGCGTGGATCGATCGGGTTGGACCCTTTCGTCAGCCCCGGATTCGGATTCGGAGGCTAAGGCTAAGGCTGAGCCTAAATCGGAGAGGGTTCGCTGTCTGCGGTGCTGCGCATGCCGGTGTTATAGTGTAGGGAGGTGTCGAGTATCTAATTGAGTACCACGATCGGGCGAAAAAGGATCACGGGAGCGCGTGGAGGGTGATTTCCGCGAATTTCCTGCTGAGTCGAGGGATCCGCGGCCTTTTAAACTCGCAATGGTTCGGTGGGGGTTCGCTGCCAAGACGCTATTGATGCATTTGCTGCCCCTGACCTGAGCTGACCCTCTTCACCCATCACTGGCCATCATCATCCCCTGGGCCTTTTGGGAGGGGGATACGTCTGCAGAGGGTAGAATACTGCCCATTTTGTAGACTGATCTGCGACCTCTGCGGTGATTTGTGCTAGTGTTGGGTGGTATACATCCGATCGATGCAGGGGAGCGCAAGGGGCGGTGGAGAGTGTTTCCTCCCGTCGCGTAGCCAATCATCGTCACGGGACCCCCCGCAGTCCAATGGAAATGACTATTTACTATTTACACAGTCAATTGCTGTGTCCTCCAGAAGAACCGAGTAAGAAGGGAGAATGATAATGTTGAGCATTATTAGTATATTAGACTGGATTGAATTAAATTCTCTTTAAATGTCACTATTAAAACTTACTTTAGGTTAAAGACTGCAGATGTAATCGATATACTTAATAATCTAGTAGAAAGATGCACAAATTATACCGCCATGAGATAAGTATGAAACTGTTTTCCTTGTCTACACCTACCCAATGGGTTACCAGTCTGGGTTGGGCTCTGGTTTGGACGGTTTATGCTGAAGTCTACGAGTGACTTATGGCGCCGCTTAAAGCTCCTCGAAATGACTGGATCCATAACTATTTCCTAGGAATAGAAGTATGAGAGATCATTGGACATGAGCCTTCAAGGTGCATATAATGTCTACTAGTAGAGACATACAGAGACGCTCACCCCAAACATTCTCATTCTTGATGTGATATCTCCGGCCCCGCTCATCCTTACCCGCACCAGGGTTAATGTACAGGGATTTGCCAAAGGGACGCCCCCGGACGTTTCCTGGGTGGGGAAACATAGCCTAAATACTGTACCCTAATCAAATTCCGCCCCAGTGAGAAGGGGGGGGGTTCTTTTGAATAAGTCTGGGATATTGAAACACCTGCACCTAGTACCAGTAGCTTAGTATAGTAGGTATATAAGACCTTACTAGTACTAAATAGCTATATCTAGCTACAACAAATAGTAGTATTTTTCTTACTTTTGTGACCTAGTGGCCCTATTATGTTTTGCTCCACGGCCTACTAGTAGGTGCTAGAATTCAAGTTTGTGATCACTGCGATCGACCCGTCTGCTACGCAAACTGTCATTGTGCATTCCCCTTCCATTACTTATATCTTCCATATATACAAGATTCTATAGAACCCCAGCAGCCGCCCGATTGGCCCGTCGCCACATCTCCTTACGCCGTTCATGCCCAGAGTCAAAATCATCTTTCCACCGTTGATCAAATACCGGTAAACGCCGCCCAGGCAAACCCTCACCAGGCTCTCCTGCAAGAAGTCGCAAATTCTCAAAATAGTCCTTGAAATCCGGATTGACCACCGCAAAAGCGGGCCCATCGCCTTTCAGCGCAATGCGCTCCATCTCCCATTTCTCCTGCTCGGATACTGGGGGTAGCGTGGCCTTGCCGGCGAGGACGCGAGCCGCAGCGACAGCTTGCCATTCGAAAACTTTAAACGTTAATCCTGCACCGACCTATATGGGAAGGCAAAGTTAGTCTTCTGTTTTATCATGGTAAGGTACATTGGGATAATACATACCGCTCCGACGAACACCAGGCTTGGATCGTGGCGGTAAAAGACGTGCTGGTAAAGATCAGGCACTCGATTATTCCGCGTAGGAACGTGTGGTAGGAAGGGAAGCGTCCATGTGAATCCGGTACCGAAGAGTATATTGTCCACATTGGACTCGGAGGAACCGTCTTCGAAGTATACAGTGCGGCTTTCAGCATTGATTTGAGAAATTGGTGCCCGTCTTTGGATCTTGGGATGTTTGAAGGCATCGTCTCCAAAGAATACGTTGTAGCGACCGCGAACGACAGCGTGAATGGGTGATTGCGCCGTATCGATGAGACTGACGGCCGTGTCTGCGGCCGATACCGACGCACCGACTGTAATGACTTTCTATTGGAAGGGTCAGCATTTGACAAGATACATGTTCCATCGGAGGAGGATATAGTACCTTTCCCCAGTACTTCTCTGGGCCTCTGTAGTGCTTAGTATGTTCGACACTGCCGGGGTATTTTGATGAGAATTCCTCTAACCCCGGAATAGCAGGAATATATGGCACAGCATAATGACCAGATGCCACAACGACAGCATCAAACTGCTCCGTCCACCAATAATCGGATGGAGTGCCATCGTTTAATTCCCTGCGGCGAATAGTAAGGATCCATTTCTGGGTACTGGGCTCCTTAACCGCTTGCTCGACGGTGGTGTTGTATTGAACCAAGCCATGGTGGCCCTTTGTAGTAAACAAATCCTCGACATACCCCCTAATCACCGAATGATGTCGGAACGGAGTCTCAGGGCCGTGACGATCAATAGACCACTGCGATCGAACGGTTGGAATGGGCTCCTGGGAATACGACATGACGCCTGCATCCACATTCGTCTCAAGTCCAGGGTAAACAGGCGAGTCTGTGAAACGGTCCTGAGAGCTTGCCGGTGTTCGACAAGGTAAGCTGCTGGGAATATCCAACGGCGCATCAGCTGTACGCGCAGCTAGTCCTTCGAAATCAACCACTTGTGGTGGTGGTTCATGTCTTGAGACCCTATGACCGAGATTAGCAGTTGTCTTAATCGAGATACATATGTGATGGTCACAAACCAACAACCACCCGCTTTTTCCTGGCGCTCAAAGACACGGATAGTGTGAAATGCCTTCTCCTGTGCCAGGGCATCTACCGCAATGGCACCCGAAGGACCAGCTCCGATAACAGCGACGCTCTTGGAATCAATAGACATGATGTAAATAGCGCTGTCGTCGCAAGAGTTGATATATATGGAACAAGGTATCAATTGACGCTCCGTTCTTTTCAACGTGGCCAGAGTTCTCTCGGCCGAGGCTTTTTTCTTCGGAATTGTTTGATCTGGGGAAGTTGGATTAGACATCGTCACGCCATCGGGGCTTGTACTTGCGCCTAAAGAGCAAGGGCCAATCTGGATGAACGGAACATAATCCACTTACCTAGAGCCCGCTAGAATCGCAAAATTGAAGAATCAGCGCTTATACTTATGCCGAGTATTCAGAATCAAATGCAATAGAAAATGCCATCCCCGGATTTCGCAATGCCGATTCAACTCGGCTTTGAAATTTCAGTTTGACCCGCCCGATCGGCCGGTGCCGACGCGGCTCTCGGCAAGTGCAAGCCGCGGGACTAAAAATGAACTACATACTATGCCGAAACGATATGATATGATATGATATGATATGATTTGAATTTGAATTTGAATCTGAAGATTAAACAGGGCATTTTCAGCCTTAATCTGAAATTAGGAATGAAAAACTCGAGGACTTCTTGAGCCACATGGTCTACTCCCCCACACAGGCAAAGGTGGACCCCAGACCCGGTGACAAGCCACATCGGCCCGGTGCAAAGGCACCGATTGATGATCGTAACACTCGTAACGGGAATCATGATATCGTTTGGCAGCGTTACTCTCAGTTGGGTTCTCTGGCTCCTGTGGGAGGTCGAGGTTGATAGAACATCTCCCAGAATGAGGATAAGGGGCTTTCAACGGTTCATAGCAGGCGTGGGTGGTCTTCTTGCCATGGCCGCATGCATGACTCGGTCTATGGGTTGTGGGCGCGCAGGTATGCTTTGGAGTTGACTGTCGCGCCTTCGCAGAGCTGTGGCATGCGTGATTGTGTATATGGACTTGTACGCCCGAGCAGTGTGGCTGCTTTTCTAGATGCGAAAATCGATGGACGTCGCAGGGAGGGGAAGATTTACTTGCATTCACGTTGATGTAGTTCAGTTTATTCCCATAATGAAGGCTCTCTTCTGAGGTTGAAGTGGTTTCCCGGGTGTGTTCTTCGGTAACTACTCCAATACAGCATTTGTGATTGTGAGGGCTGCTTGACATGTGGATTTCAGGGATGGATTGCATTGCGGCGCTGCTTCAATATATTAATTTATCACAAATTGTTCTATTTGGGACTATATTGTACATACGGATTCCGCAGCTCGAGATTGGTTGAGCGAACACAGTTACAGGAGCAACTCGCTTTGCTGTGAGCTTCTTGACCCCGGCAGGACCTTTTCATTTCCGAATTGTCTGGGTATGTCTGGGCCGGCACATTGACGTGACAGTAATGACTTAGAGGGTTGATTTGTCGCCGCAGGCTGTGCTGGCAAGCCCCAGAAGAAAGCTCATGCGGTGGAGTCTGTTGACAATGCGCTTGGTAGATCATGTTCAAGGTATAGCTAGTATCTGCAGTTTCTCTGTATGCTGCCTTATCTGAGTAGACTTCAGTCCTATTTCGTGCTCATCATTGTCGGGGGATTTTCTCATTATAAGCTAAGACTCGTAGCTAATATGTCTGACCACCTCAAAGTTCCGTGCGACATCAACTGCAGTTTGCCTTTTACTACCCCAGCCTAGCACCCCCCATTCGAGTTTAATCATGGTGCTCAAGGGAGTATATCAGAGCTATTGTAGTCCCGGCGGCATTTCGCAGCTCAAAGTTACATCCTGCAAATGTTTGCTCGGAAAAAAACGATTCATGGAATATGGCACGAACAAGGCACTATGGCTCAGGGTGAAATATGTGAAATGAACTGGAGCGATTATACTAGTGATCCAGCTCTAAAACATGCCCGGAAGAGGTGGGAATCTGCTTGCTGCACGTCATCGAAGGGGTGTAGCGTTGGACCCATTCCTCTGAGATAGTCATGAAAGCATCGCAGACTGCTTTCGTCGCATCGTCAAGCGAGTCTCCATGACTCTCAATGTAGACTAGACATAAATCAGCATTTAGAATTCCCGAAATTTGCAAGAATCCTCACATTTGACCTTGGGCTCAGTTCCCGAGCCGCGGAATGTGAAGCGTACACCACGATCCAACCAAAGTGTAAGCATTTGACTTGTCGGGTCTTCGGGCAGATCCGGCTTATTGTTAGAAGATGCGGAGTCATAACCCTGAGTCAGGTCTCTCCATCGCAACACCTTGAAAGTACCGAATTTCTTGTCAGCGAGGAAAGAGCCACATCTGATACCCTGGAACAATTTGATGGTCAGTTCCGGGTTCGGAGATCGGAAATAATTGTTCATGGTTTCATGATGACCGTGCGTTGCGAAGATTTGCTGGAGCTTATCATAAATCGTTAATCCCTGGTCTCTCCATTTGGCCTCTGCAGCGAGGAACACTGCAGCTGCCGTGATGCCATCCTTATCATAGCAAACAGAAGGGAACATGTAACCAAGGGCCTCTTCGTAAGCAAAGGGGACAGTTTGGCCATCCTTCTCGATGTCCCGAGCAACATTCGCCATCCATTTGAACCCGGTCAATGTCTCTTTGAATTGGCATCCCTTGGCAGCCGCCATGCTGCCAAGCATGCCACTAGACACTGTTGTCGTTAATACCGTTGTTTTGGATAAATCTGTAATCGTATCCAAAGAGTCGAAGACATGAGAGGCTAGGAGAACGCCAACGTGGTTTCCTGTGAAGAGAAACCATTTGCCACTATATATGGTTAGATCTAATGTCACTTTCTTGGGCTTGAGAAAACACCTACTTGACCTTTTCTGCAACAGCAAATCGGTCTGCGTCGGGGTCATTAGCAATAATCAAAGTCTTTCCTTCTTTGTCTGCAGTCTCCATGGCGAGATCTAGAGCCCCTGCCTCTTCGGGGTTTGGGAACTTGACAGTTGGGAAATCAGGATCGGGCTTCTCCTGCGCAGGAACGGACACGAAGTTCTTGATTCCCAATGATTGGCACACTGTTGGCAGGACTAGACCACCGACCCCGTGAAGAGGTGTGTAAACAAAGGGTCGTGGGGGCTTCCAGTCGGAGACAGTTGACCTCTAAATGTACATTAGCCAAGCCACTTGCTTGGATCTTCCTACTACTTACAGCATATTGCTCAACCTGTTTGACGTAGTAAGGAAGTAGTTCGCGATATGACTTGTCATGCAAGTACTCGCTAGGGCGCTGGTCTTCCCAAGCAGTTGGCCAAGGCTCCAGGTTTTCGAGGATTGACTGCGCAATTTCCCCATCTTCGGGTCTGTTGATCTGAGCACCATTGCTTGAATATCTGAATATATTTCATTAGTATTGCATTTCATTCTCAAGAAAGAATCACATGGGTTATCGTACACCTTGTAGCCTATGTAAAATTATTTTAGTAAGCGTTAAATCAACATTAGATGAAGAAGAAACATACCATTATCTTGAGGCGGGTTCTATTGGCTCATGCGTTAGCGGATCTTCGTAAGCTCCGTATATCCGGAAGGATCTGGAATAGTCCTCTTACATGGCTAGCTGTGACCATAATACCAGCCGCGGCCTTGAAATGATTCACGCCAAAAGGAACCAAGGGAGTTGGCGCTTCCTGTTCGAAGAACCAGACTGGGATTTGCAAAGCAATAAAAGCGTTGGCAGCGAGCACGGCAAACCGATCTGAGTTATGGCGTGCATCGTGACCAATGACCACACCCTGGGAGGCGATCTCGGGGCGTTGGGTCTTTATGAATTTCGCGAGACCCTGCGATGCTTGGATGACCGTCAACGAGTTCATACAGGCAAATCCAGCGGCCATGCGGCCCCGCAGACCGGCCGTGCCGAATTCGATGCCTGCCCGTCCATTAGATCTACAACGCACTAAACAACCCCCAGGAATGATCCACATACGCTGTCTGAGACGCAGTTCAAGCTCCGTCTCGGCCCCATCATCTCGCAGTTGCTCTATTTCCGAGCGTGTGTTGGGGTCCTATAGTAGATATATCCGAATGAGATCAGGCAACGAGAGCACGAGGCAGAATTGTTTTACCTGGTCCCACTGCAGCCATGTTTGAACCAACGACGAGAGAGAATCCTTGCATAGGGTTAGACACCAACCGCGCCACCAGAAAGAATCAGGGATGATCAGACCTGGATCATCATGCCACTGGGGTCCAATTGTTTAGGATGGGCCAATGTTCCAATGTTCCAATGAAAATGGAGGTGAATGTAAAAAGGGAAGTAGTGAAAGTGGACAGTGGAAGTGGAGGAAGTGGAAAATGGCAAGTCCGAGGTCGATCGGCGGCCCCGCCTGTCTCCGCCCCTGCCCGCTGCGACTCGGACAACACACTTCTGCTTCTGTTTTTGCTTCTGCCTTCACATCTCTTTCTCCCCCTTTCCTCCTCCTCTAACGACCCCTTCAATTCGAAAGATATGTTCCTGTGATTTACATCCTCAATCCTTCCGGAGACCTTGCCTTTCCTGCAACCATCTACCATGGAGAAAGCCGCCTCCCGACCGCCTCGCAAGGACACTGTGTTGAGCCGCCGCTATATCGAGGGCTTGATTGCAGATGGGAAACATGTCATTATCTTCGAGGGCCGTGTCCTGAAGGTAGACGCCTTTCTCAAGTTTCACCCCGGTGGAGAGAAACCAATCAAGCACATGGTAGGCAGAGATGCCACAGATGAGATCAATGCGTATGTCTCAACAAGGGAGAGTTTGAGCCATGCTTTTGCTGACCATGGAACCCAAATCGACTTAGGCTACACTCCAAAGAAGCTCGCGAACGTATGCTCTCGTTTCAAATCGGCCGAATCCAAGAGCCCTGGATCAACTTCCTGCCTGTCATCCAGGGTGGCAAGTTCCGGTTTTACACAGAAGAGACCTGCTCCAGCGAGGAGGATCTGCCTAGTCAGGACACCTCCAGCCAGGAGGGATCGCTACCACCCTCTCCGATCTTCGACGCCATCGACTCCAAGTCCGTGATTCGCCGCAAACGTTCCTCGCCAGGCACCGATAGCTCCGCATCCACTCCACCAAACGAAGAATCACACTCCAAGTTCGGCTTTCTGGACGCTCGAACCCGCGATGAAATAGCCCTAGATACCTCAAAATACCCCTCGCTGGATTTCGCGTGTCAGGAAAACATCAAGCAAAAATACCGTGCGCTAAATCAGCGCATGTTGGATGAGGGCATGTTCGATTGCAACTATTGGGCCTATTTTGTTGAGTGCTGCCGTTACACACTCTTCGCCGCGCTGGCCTATACGTTTCTGCGCATGGGCTGGTGGGGGACGTCCGCGTTCTGGCTTGGGTGTGTCTGGCATCAGCTTGTGTTTACAGCCCATGATGCTGGCCACATGGGAATTACTCACAATTTCCACTTCGACACCGTCATTGGTATCATTATTGCAGACTTCATTGGAGGTCTGAGCTTAGGGTGGTGGAAGCGCAGCCATAATGTACACCATATCGTGACCAACGAGCCCGAGCACGATCCCGATATTCAGCACATCCCGTTCTTTGGCATTTCACATCGCTTTTTCAACAGCCTGCGGAGTACTTACTACGACCGTGAAATGACCTTCGATATCCCATCTCAGTCCTTGCTCAAACTACAACATTATACCTACTATCCAATTATGATGCTTGCCCGCTTCAATCTCACCCGTCTGAGCTGGGAGTACTTGCTGAAGGGTCAAGCGCCTAGAAAAGGCCCGGCATGGTGGCACGTTTATCTCGAGTTTGTTGGCCAGGCGTTCTTCTGGTACTGGTACGGTTACGTCGTGCTTTACAAAACTATTCCCGACTGGAGCAGCCGCCTGCTCTTCCTCTTGGTGTCCCACGTCATCCCCTCCCCCTTGCATGTCCAAATCACACTGTCGCATTTCGCTATGTCCACTGCCGACCTCGGGATTCACGAATCTTTCCCCCAGAAAATGCTGCGCACCACTATGGATGTCGATTGTGCCCCTTGGTTGGACTTTTTCCACGGTGGTCTGCAGTTCCAGGCTATCCACCACCTTTACCCTCGGATGCCACGTCACAATCTCCGTCAGGCCCAGAAGTATATCCTAGAATTCTGTCGCGAAACCGAGATTCCGTACGCTATATTCACGTTCTACGACGGCAACAAGGAGGTCATCAGCCGACTCGGCGACGTCGCCAAGCAGCTTCGCATCATGGAAGAGTGTCGAAAGTCGATTGCGGAGGAGGGCGTCTTTTCCCATCATCACTGATTACAGCGTGCTTTGGATCCTCTTATATAACCCATAACGCATGCTGGACATGCGAACGAGTCTCCTTAGTTTTATAGATAGCAATCATGTGCAACACTTGACTATCTCCCCACTATCTCGGTAGTAATGATGAATCAAAAAACACTTTTTTTTTCAAATCTACTATCCTATCTCATGCATGAATAGTCTATGGTTATCAACAAGGGCTGTCACATATGCAAAAACTTCAAACATGCTCATCATATCCTCATACACCTCTTCAATGTATCAATCAATGTATTAACCCTCTCTCAACCAGGCAACCCACCCCCACGGGCAATCTTCTTCGCCCTCTGTTGTCGCCGATTATGATTCGCCCGACTAGCCTTATTCTGCTCTTTCCTCTGATGTGCCGCAGGTGAACTTGAATCTCCTGTGCCTCCAGCTGCTCCACTTCCACCTCCACCACCACCTCTGCCCCTACCACGTCCCCGTCCAAATCCCCGTCCACCCCGTCCACCACCTCTCCCTCCCCGAGCCGACCCCTCCGCCTCCGTAGAATCATCATCACTACCAGCCTGCGGTCTCCGATACGAAGTCGACTGAAGCTCCGGCTGATTGAAAGCCCCACCATCAGAACCACCCGCATCAACAGCAACCCGATCCGCAAATTTAGCCATCCGCTTCGGATCCCGCGCTAACATCACCGCCCACCCTTCAACAGCTTCATCAGTCATATTCGTCTCGCGCTTCAGCGACGCGCGCGGCTGAGAACGACGGGTTGCAGCGTCACGGCTGAATAGAGCTGGATTGGACTTGTAGGCGCGGTAGAGAATCATGTCTAACTGGTCATCTGCTAGACGCTTTGTGACGGCGTCGGCGTCAGAGGTGCTTGTTGCTGCTGCGTCGATGGTACCGCCTACGTCTCCGACGTCGTAGGTGTCGTCTCGCTCGTCGTCGTCTGAGTCGAAGGCTGCTAGGGCGGAAAGAATTGCGGCTTTGTTGGTGGTGTGTTGGCTTCTGTCTGAGAGGACGGTGTCGGCTGTTAGGTCTTGGTCTGCGTGACCGAAATGGAGTTTGGCTTTTGAGGTTTTGTCGGATAGATCTAGGGATGCTATGTCGATGTCTGAGTCGAAGACGTTTTTGCGGGTTGGGATTGGGTCCAGGGGTGGGGTTGGGTGTGGTGCGAGGTTGTCGTGTTGATTTTGCTGTGTGGTTTGTGGTTGGGGGAGTTGCTCGGTTCTATCGAGGAGTTGGAGTTCGGTTGGGAGTGAGTCGTCGAGGAGGTGGGCGACGACTGTTTCTGGATTGTCGTTGTAGACGTCTAGGAGTCGGACGACGAAGGCGGAGCCTAGGTCAGGGAATAGGTCTTGCACTTGTGAGACTAGGGACATCTTGTGTGCGTGGATCTCTTCTGGGATTTGGAGGCCTGAAGAGCGTTCTTTGCCCTTTTCGGTCTTTCTGCGTCTTTGATATCGGATGTGGAGAAACTTTGTCTCTATTTGATAGGCGCGCAGGCTGGTGAGTAAGTCTTGACCCCGTTTCTGGGGATGGACTGTGAAGAAGTTCTCTAGTCGTTGGAGTAGATCTGAGCTACAAATGAGGTCTGAGAGAAGAGTGGCCTCCTTCTTCACTCTCGGTGTTCCCACGCCAGCGCTGGCTTTAAGACTGAAAAGTTGGTCCAGAAGTAAGGATAGGTTGGGTGATGGCTCTTTGAGTAAAGATATCAGGCCGACATAGACGTTGGCTGTGAGTATCTTGTGGATATCGCCCCGTGATGATTGTTTCTGGTACGTCTCTGTCATGATGTCGAGATAATCAGATCCCGCCATAAGTATCTGGCCACATGGTGGCAAGACCGAAGCCAGGATAGTCAAGCATCGAAGCTCCACAAAAATGATAGATCCATGAGAGGGTACACCTGATGACAGCTTCTTGATGATCAGGGCCTTTGCCTGTTCCATACTGGATGATATCTTATCTTCATGCCGATCCCATGCAGCCGATAGAGTTGTCTTCAATACACTGCTTGACGGATAGCAGCAACATAGATTGCCGAGAAATTGCCAGCTGATAAGGATCTCTGGTGGATTTGGCAGGCCAAGGATATACCGCCTTGTAGCCAGGAAACTTAGTTTCCTTAAAGTTCGGCCTTTGGGACCATGTTGTAGACCTGGGGACCCTGCTGCAGCCTGCTGATAGAAACTTTTCAGGAAGGATACCCCGGAATGGTCGTCGTCGGCTGCCTCTTGAAATTCGTCGTCTGGGGTATTCAACCGGATTCCAAGTAGGGTAATCCATGCATCAAGAAAAGCATCCCAGTCACTTGACGGAATACTGCTTTGCACTGCGGGGGAAGGCACCGGGGCCATCCCCGGGAACTTTGCCATAATTGGTGATGAATGAGTCGGGGCTTCAGAAAATGAGATGTTGGAACAGAGAACAGACAATTGCTAAACAGCAGACCCCAACAAACGCCAGAATTAGCAGGATATCAACACTCCACACTCTGCTGATGCTGTCACTGGAAGCAACCCGCATCGGGACCCCGAATGCTGACTCATCAGGCTTTAAGGTATCAATATGTGATAATCCTCAGGCACCAATACTACCACATCCGGACTAGCGGCAGATAACCGATCGCACGATTCCTTTTTCGCTTCTCCACACACAACTTTTTCCACAGCAATCATCACTTTACCGAGCCGTGCAGTTCAGGTCTTGATTGGCATTCGCCTTAAACAACAACAAAACACAAACTCAAGATGTCTTTCCAGAAGAACGAAAAGGATTTCGGCGAGGGCCCCGTACGTTGCGACCCCATCTCCTCCAACCTGCGCATTCACCTTTGCGAATTGTGAATGTTCGCCGGCGCAATTGCGAATACCTCGCTGGCGCTGGCGCAAAGTCAAACATGGACAATTGAATCGAATTGAAAGACTAATATCCCCCTATAGAAGGTCCACAAGATCCGTATCACCCTGACCTCCCGCAAGGTTGCCTCCCTCGAGAAGGTCTGCCAGGAGCTCATCGACCGTGCTCGCGGCAAGTCTCTTCAGGTCAAGGGCCCCGTCCGTCTGCCCACCAAGACCCTGAACATCACCACCCGCAAGACCCCCAACGGTGAGGGTTCCAAGACCTGGGACAAGTACGAGATGCGCATCCACAAGCGTCTCATCGAGTGAGTGCCACCAACCTCCCCCCCTGCTATCGAGCATGTCGAACAAACCCCGTCCCCGTCGAGTCCGCGAGGCGGGGGTTCGAAGTCATGCATGGCATGGAAGAAGCGCAAATTACTGACTATATTCTCCCTTCCCAGCCTGCTCGCCCCCACCGAGACTGTCAAGCAGATCATCATCAACATCGAGGCCGGTGTTGAGGTTGAGGTCACCATTGCCGCTTAAATTAATTAGCTCCGCAATGGGTCAGGGAGGGTCTTGGGTCGGTCCCTGTTAACGCTGGACGTTATGTTATGCTGGCGTTGTCAGGAGCTGACCGTTTACTTCTGAGCCTTTGAGTTCTTCTGGGATTTTTGGTAGATACCCGTCTTGTACCTGAATAATAAAAAAATGGAAACATCTTGAGAAATCAATTATTTTCTTGTATCGCCCTTGTGAGGTCCTTGTAGAAGAAACTTGAAAGTAAAAGTGGATTCGTATCATCAAAGCGCTATGTAGAATATATCTAATTCCGTGACGCCATTTTTCCTTAGGAGGATTTGTCCCTGTCCTGACTTCAAATAAAAACACGAAAGAAAACATGACCAATGGCCGTCAATAAAAGAGGGGCATCAAGACAAAAGAGGCATCAAGAGAGGAGTGGTTTGAGATGGGTGGTAGATGTATGAAATTCGAGAGCGACGCCCATGGTTCCGACTGACCGTATGGATTGTGCTTGAATATCCTGCTAGCATATCCTGCTCGACAATACACTTCGAAGTCCCTGCCGTCGCCGAATTTTGCGCATAAAAACAGGCCCGCTTCCTATGGGCAAAAAACGATCTAAAAGTCAAAACTGACTGCGTCTTTCTTCGGGGGTATGGGTGGAATCACTCCGTCTTTGAAGTATCCATTCTGGGCGAAAAAGTTGTACATCTCTTCAATCTCTGGCGTGATTTGTTCCGGAGTACTCAACGCATCACGGAGACCAGCGTCGTCGGGTGGTCCATCTGGAAACATGACCCGTACTAGAGTCTTGTTGTCTTGGGGGTGTAGATAGGCGGGGCGAACCGTGCCATCCTCGAGCTTGACTGGCCGTACTGGACGGCCTTTCCACATCGTAAGAATCTTGGAAGTAGGGTCTCGTCTCGTCTCACCTTGGAGAGGTGGGAATGGATTCAAGGTGGATGTGTTATCGATCTTGATGGCTGCGCGTGGCCCGGCAGCAGGCTGTGCAACAGGCACGCCTTGAGGAGCTGCGGGTTGGCCAAAGGGTGGGGGATTTGGTTGAGCGGGAGCAGATCCACCAAAGGGGTTTGAGGCTGCAGATGAGGCCAAACCAAATGGTGATGCTTGCTGCTGTTGTTGTTGTGGTGGTTGTGGTTGGCCGAATGGCGACGGATTTGGTTGGGAAGGCTGGCCGAATGTTGTGGCAGGGGCAGGGGCAGACGGCTGACCAAAGGGTGAAGCCTGTGGCTGTGAAGGCTGGCCAAAAGGTGCAGGGGCTTGTGCTTGTTGACCTGAAGGCTGCCCGAAGCCTCCTGTTGATTGGTTCTGTCCAACCTGTGTGAAGGGAGAAGTGGCCGACGGGGCGCCGAATGGTGCCGCTGGTGCTGGGGCTGAAGGCTGACCAAATGCACTTCCACCAAAGCCAGAGGTACCAGACTGTGAAAATCCCGACTGACCAAAGGATGGCTTTCCGAGCCCCGATTGTGCTCCCAGCCCGGAGGGTTGGCCGAAGGCAGAGCCGGCGCCTAGGGAAGAAGGTTGTCCGAATGCAGAGGATTGTGATGCTTGTCCAAATGGAGAGGACTGTCCGAGAGTAGAAGGCGCACCAAAGGCTGATGCCTGTCCAGTAGGTTGAGATGCCTGGCCAAACGCAGGCTGGCCGAATGCTGAGGTCGAGGGTTGGGAGGGTTGGCCAAAGGCATTGGATGCCTGTGCAGGGGTTGCCGGTTGGCCAAATGCAGATCCTTGGTTTGACTCTGGACCTGCCTTGCCCTCGACGATGTCAATACGATTGGGGTGTTCATTGGCACCGCTGACGATGTAGTTAACTGCTCCATCGAGGTTGTTCAAAGCAGCATCCATTTGCTGCGCGGACTCATTCCATAACGCTTCGGCTTCTTGGACTGCCTGGTTCATGTTTCCAGCAGCAACTGCCTCGTAGTGACGGAGACGCATCTCCTCCATACTCTGTTCGCGCTGAGCACCGCCAAACAATTGCCGGGGCACATCGCGCTGGGGTGAATAGGCCGAGAAAATCCATTCCGGGCGTCCCTTTCCGGCTGTCAAGTCGTGTTGGATGTCACTTGCGTTAACTCCAAAGCTGCCATACTATTAGTGGGACGATCGAGTGAAGCTTTGAGCACAAATACATACTTTTGGGCCTGCTGGCCTGGTCGTGAGGCTTGATCTGCGCGGGTTGGAAGTGACACGTTAGCTGGCTGCTTGCACCGAGCAGGTGGTGGCGGTTTCTTTGGCAGAATGACATTTGGTGTGACGAAAATAGGCATTACGTCTTGGCTTGAAGGATAGAATAGTGGGAAGGGATGAAAGCAAATATGAGCGGAAGAACTGAAGTGAAGGTGAAAGCCTGGAGGAAATGCCCTGGGTGGTTGTCTTGACCAGACGTCATCCCACGGTTGGGTATATCTTCTAATGGCAAAAAGTGAGAGAGTTTGAGCTTACTTCCTGAAGTTCCAAAGCCTCCAGCAGCGAGAGCACCGAACCGATTCCCACTAGTCGTGGTGTTGGTATTTCCAGGGTGCTCGAACCTGCATCGATCTAGATCATGGTTAGCCACAGTCCTCGAGCTCGGCTGGTGGGTTCTCGCATACCTCCAAACTTGCAGCGACCTTGCTGGTAAAAGTTACAGATTGTCATTGTGCCCACGGTCTAGGCCGACGCCCGTGGCCAGCTTGTCGTGGTGAATGTTGGTTTGATATAGAGCCCCTGCGTAGCTGATTCGCGGGTTGGGGTGGATTGTTTGTGATTCCGGGGCTGAATCCCAGACCAATTTCCTCGTTCGATGTTCTCGGACGAGTATATATTGACGTGGAAATAGCAGCCTGGGGTTTGAGACGCGTTGAAATGGAAATGAAGCTGTTTTTCCGAACTGCGCAGGCGCATCTCTTATCGCCTTATCGCCCTGGCCGCCCGCGGCTTCCCCGTCCCGTGCGCCAACCAGCCACGAGGACTATAAATGTGGATAGCTCTTTAAATCAATGAAGAATATCAATTTGAACTTGTGATGATTCCTTCAGATGGCTCCTCGTTGCTAGTCTCCAAGGTTGTTTGAGAGATCCACAGACATATGCATTTTGTGTGATAGTTTCAACTTCAACGTACTAGGTTGGGTTCTGGGTAGGGTTGTCGGGACGCCAAATATATAGCACTAGTAGTACTAGTGATAGTGATACTAGTACTACTCACCTGGCAGGCTAGAACCATGGTAGAACCACCGAGTCCAGGATTCCAAGGTTTGAAATGCGACTCGGAAACAAATAAGTCCATGCGACTACTCGTACTATTCACCACTAATACTGTGTCTAGCCCTGGACTCGGAGGTACTAGTACTAGGAGGGAATGTAAGTTTAATCAATTAAACACCTAGGCAGAACAGAACAGGACGCCTAGAGTATTCCATTCAAGCCCTTGTTAAAGCATACTATCAACAGCCCAAACTCCGATTCCAATTGCCAAGGCGAATTTGCCAACATAATAAATCATTTTGAACAGTGCGCCGCTGGATGGGTATTATACGCCTCGCATGCTTTCCCGTAGATCATCCCAGTTCAGCCCGTCCACCTTCTTACCACCCATCGATTCCAGCTCGGGCGCAAGTCCTCCCATCTGCCCGATTGCCAGGCGACGCATCATCACCGTATCTTTGGCTCCCGGTAGGGAGCTTGCTTTGCCCCGTAACAATGTACTCTCAAACCATTCCGTCTCATCCTGATCTAGAGGAGGAGTCCGACGAGCTCCATCGCTCGTCTGCTCCGGTTTTGGCCAGCGGGGGTCTTAAGAACAAATTCAACGAGTTGGCCGAAAAACGCTTGACGGTGGAGATCGTCGTATCTGCGAGAAAAGTAGAAGGCCTCGGTCACATTGGATCGGCAAAGAGTCTCGAAGTAAGCGCGCTGGACCTTCTCAGTTGCTAAAGGTGGAGCTGCGGCGAGGTAGTAGGTGATTGCGAGATTATCGTCATGCTTCGGAAGTTTAGAAAGGGTGAGGGCGTAAAGAATTTCGTCAGGGAAGGTGGGAATCAGGGAGGGTTCGGCAAGATATGAGATTGCGGCCTGGGAAATCGATGAATAAATAAGCGTGTGCCCTGCACTTTCTCTTAGACGGAAATACATACCCTGAAGTCTAGACGGTCCATGTGCCAGAGACCTTCAATGAAGAGGCGGTATTTCTCTGGTAGATGACACGAGCTCGCGAAATCCGCTGCAGCGCTCAGCGCATTGCGACAGTCCTTGAGAAGATAGTAGATCAAGGCCTGCTTGTGATGTATGTCGAGTTCAGAAGCCACAATGTGGTCTACAAGGGATCGGAGGTCTGCATTGGACTTGGGTGGATACACCTTGGTCACTGTAGAGAAATAAATGATTAGCCAAGGGATCCTGGGAAGATGGAATTAAACCTGCTATAAACAGCCAAGCAGAAGGGTAATGTACCTCCTTTGATACCGAGTAGCCCGAGCAGGCGATCTGCGAAGAGTTGTCCTTCGAGGGAGCGGCGATTGGAGATAATCTGGTCGACGGTCTTCGAATCGTAAGAGTACTTCTTGTTGAAGCTGAAGATGTGGTCAAATTTCTCCCACTGCGCCATGATGGGCGGATAGAGAAGACTGCAGAGACTAAAATTGGGTGTCTCTCGTATTCAAGTATTTCAGAATGGACAGAAGTTGACAGGACGGTCACAACTGACAATTCACCAGAGCTCATCGCATGGAGGGGATCCACTGTTGGATGGGAAGGCGGTGAAGCGGACCTGCAGCTTCGTGTTGTGGCAGATTGGCGCGCCATTCCTTTTCGGGCGCAAAATAAACACATCCGCCAGTGACCCCCTCTCACGTTCACCTTCTCCATCCACATCCACATCCACATCGACCCCTCTCGCCGCTCATGACGCAGGCGCCCCAACTGATTTGAAATGGCTTCTATCGCAAAGGGTCGGCCATCGCGCCGCTCCGCTCCTCGTAGGAGCTATGTGGTCGAAGAAACCTCCGAATCCGAGGACCCCGGAAACGTGACGCCTACACCCTCTGCCCACGACAACGACGATGATGAAAGTGAAGAGAATGAGGCGGATTATACACCTGTCCCCAACCAAGCTAAGCGCGCATCCCGCTCGAAGAGAATGACATTAGAGCCTGTAACCCCCGCCACCGTGAAGCCGACGCGCAAACCCCGGCTGTCGGTCGCATCAGTCGCATCGGAATCGGAAGCTTCTCAAGCCGAGGAAACCGACGAGAACAACGAGAACGAGGAAAGCGAGGAAAATGACGAAAATGACGAAAATGACGAAGGAACCAGCATGGTTTCTATAGTCGCCGATCCCGACTCCCCCTCCAACCAGGCAGCTTTGAAGAGGAAAAGTATCGAGCCTGCTGATCTCGATCCTGGGTCCCCTTCCAATACGGCAGCATTAAAAAGACAAAGTATGGCTTCCCGCAAGAGTCGTGGCTCAATTACTCCCAAACCGGCAAAGGGCTCACTCCCTACTCCAGAGCCGTCCGAATCACCCGAGTCCGAAACACGCGCTCAACGAGAGAGCGTGCCTCCCCTCACCGATATCACCGAATCCGCCGTGAACCAGTCCTCGCCGTCGAAACCCGCCGAAGAACCGCAATCTCAGGTGTCGTACATCAATCCGAACTCGACTGTGCTGGAGAAACCCATGGATATAGTCATGAAGTCCAGGAATCTGACAGCCCCAGCACCCGCGGAGCCCGCAGAAGTGAAGCCTCGCATGATTATTCAGAACCTGATTCTGAACAATTTCAAGAGTTATGCCGGAAAGCAAGTTGTTGGTCCATTCCACGCCTCTTTCTCCTCGGTGGTTGGGCCCAACGGATCTGGCAAGTCGAACGTGATCGATTCCTTGCTGTTTGTCTTTGGTTTCCGTGCTAGCAAGATGCGACAGGGCAAGATCTCCGCGCTCATCCACAATTCCGCTCAATATCCCGACCTTCCATTCTGTGAGGTCGAGGTGCATTTTGAGAAGGTTCTTGATCTTCCCGATGGCAGCCAAGAAACCATCCCCGATTCTCACCTGATCGTATCGCGTCGGGCATTCCGAAACAACAGCAGCAAGTACTACATGAACAAGAAGGAGACAAATTTTACCACTGTCACTACCTTCCTCCGTGGTCGCGGGATTGACCTCGACCACAAGCGATTCTTGATTCTGCAGGGCGAGGTCGAGTCGATCGCCCAAATGAAAGCCAAGGCTGCCAATGAGCATGACGAAGGTCTTCTCGAATACCTGGAAGATATCATCGGAACTTCCAAGTACAAAACGCCTATCGACGAGGCGGCAGCTGAGCTGGAAACTTTCAACGATGTGTGTGCCGAGAAGAATAACCGAGTTCAACACGTCCAGAAAGAGAAGACTGCGCTCGAGGACAAGAAGAACCAGGCCGTGGCCTACATCGGTGAAGAGAATGAGTTATCTCAGAAACAATCAGCGCTTTACCAGATTTATATCGACGAATGTGCTGATAATGTTCGTGTCACCGAGGAAGCCATTCTACAAATGCAAGAGCTCTTAAACATGGAGCTGGAGAAACATGAAGGCAACGAATCTGGTATCAAGGAACTTGAGAAAGCCTACAAGCGTGCTTCGCGCGAATGGGAGGCCATGGAGAAGGAATCGCAAGGGCTTATGAAGGAAATGGCCAAGTACGACAAGGAGACTGTCAAGTTTGATGAGAAGAAAAAGTTTCTGGTCAACAAGCAGAAGAAGCTGGAAAAGACTATGCAGACCAGTCGCCTTGCTGCATCTGAATGCCAAAGCCTGGTTGAAAAATTCTCCGATGACGTCGAGAGAAAATCCGGCGAGACCACTCAGCTTGAACAGGAGATGCGCGACGAGGAGGAAGAATTGAATGCCATTCGTGAAAGTCTCAAAGGCAAAACCCAGGGCCTTTCAGACGAGATCGCTGCTAAGCAGAAGTCCTTGGAGCCTTGGAACGAAAAGATTAACAAGAAGCAATCATCTGTTGCCGTTGCCCAGAGTGAGCTCGATATTCTTCGTGAACGGAGCAATGCTGGTACTGTCCTGCTAGAAGAGGCGCGGGGCAAGATCGGTACCATCGAAGAGACTCTGCAATCGAAACAAACCGACCTCGAGGAACGACAAGCTCAAAAGGAGACACTGGAAAGCGAGGTTGAGAAGCTTCAGCATGATTTGAAGAAGTACGTTGCTCGTGAGCCTGAGGTCCGCTCCCATGTCTCCAGCGCCCGACAGAAGGCCGACGAAGCGCGAGTCAGCCTCCAGAACACACAGAACCAAGGTAGTGTGTTGACAGGCCTGATGCGACTGAAGGAGTCTGGTCGTATCGATGGGTTCCATGGCCGCCTTGGAAACCTAGGAACTATCGATGAGAAGTACGACGTTGCGATTTCTACTGCTTGCCCAGCGCTTAATAATATGGTGGTGGAGACCGTAGAGGTTGGTCAACAGTGCATTGATTATCTTCGCAAGAACAACCTTGGTCGAGCCAACTTCATTCTCCTCGACCGGCTGCCACGTCGCGATATGTCGACCATCTACACCCCGGAGAGTGTGCCGCGTCTCTTTGATCTTGTCAAGCCAAAGGACCCTATGTTCGCACCGGCCTTCTACAGCGTCATGCAAAACACGCTCGTGGCTAAGGACCTCGAACAAGCTAACCGCATTGCTTATGGCGCGCGCCGATGGCGAGTAGTGACGCTGGATGGCCAGTTGATCGATGTTTCCGGTACGATGAGCGGTGGTGGTACTCGCGTTGCGCGAGGCGCCATGTCATCTAAGCAAGTTGCGGATACAACCAAGGATCAGGTCAACCGGCTCGAGTCAGATCTCGAGGAGCTGGAAAAGAAGTTCCAGCACTTCCAGGAGAAGCAGCGAAACATCGAAGCCCAGATGCGCGAGAAGTCCGATGAGATCCCACGCGTTCAGACCAAGATTCAAAAGATCATGATCGAAATCGACAGCGCCAAACGCAGCCTTGCTGATGCCCAGCGACGCGTCAAAGAGCTGAGTGCGGAGCACAAGCCATCCAAGGCTGACGAATCTCAAGCTGCTGCTCTAGAGGAGCAAATCGAGGCTCTCAATAACGAGATCAAAGGCCTCAACAACGAGAAAAGTGGCATCGAGGAGGAGATTCAAAGCTTGCAAAGCAAAATCATGGAAGTCGGAGGTGTCCGCTTGCGTGGACAGAAGGCCAAGGTCGATGGCCTGAAGGAGCAGATCAATATGTTGACCGAGGAAATTTCCAACGCCGAGGTGCAGAAGTCTAAGAACGAGAAGCTCATCGCCAAGCACTCCAAGGCCCGTGATGGTTCCGAGAAGGAGCTTGGGCAAATTTCGGCGGATCTGGAAAGCCTCGAGGCAGATGTCGAGAATCAAGCCAACGATGCCTCTGGCTGGAGGCAAAAAGCCGACGAGGCCCAGGAGGTAAGCTGCACTCAAAGGGATTCGGGCAGAAACAGCGTTAACTTTATTCTAGGCTCTCGAGACCAAGAAGGGCGAACTTAAGGCTCTCAAGCAAGAACTCGACGAGAAGGTGGCCGAGTTGAATGAGTCTCGCGCTACCGAGATCGAGATGCGGAACAAGCTCGACGAGAACCAAAAGGCCCTCGGAGAAAACCAAAAGCGTAGCCGCTATTGGGAGGAGAAGCTTTCGAAACTTGCATTGCAAAATGTCAGCGATCTGGGCGAGGAGCAAGAGGCAATGGAGCTCCAGACCTTCACCAAGGATGAGCTCGATGCGATGAACAAGGAGTCCCTCAAGGCTGTCATCGCCGCCTTGGAGGAGAAGGTGCAGAATGCCTCGGTGGATCTATCTGTGATCGAAGAATACCGTCGTCGCACTGCCGAGCACGAAGCGCGGTCTGCGGATCTGGCCACGGCCCTGACTTCTCGCGATAGCGCCAAGTCTCGCCTGGATGGTCTTCGTTCAGCCCGTCTCAATGGATTTATGGAGGGATTTGGTATCATCTCTCTCCGCCTCAAGGAGATGTACCAGATGATTACGATGGGTGGTAATGCCGAACTTGAGTTGGTTGACTCACTGGATCCCTTCTCTGAGGGTATCTTGTTCTCAGTCATGCCTCCGAAGAAGAGCTGGAAGAACATTGGTAACTTGTCTGGTGGTGAGAAGACACTGTCCAGTTTGGCGCTAGTCTTTGCTCTTCATCATTATAAGCCGACACCGCTCTATGTCATGGACGAGATTGACGCCGCGTTGGATTTCCGAAACGTGAGTTCCCACCCTCCCACTAAATTTTAAGATACGCTAGGTACTAATTCGCACCCCAGGTCTCAATTGTTGCATCATATATCAAGGAGCGGACGAAGAACGCACAATTCATCGTCATTTCTTTGCGAAACAACATGTTCGAGCTTGCCTCGCGTCTTGTCGGTGTTTACAAGGTCAACCACATGACCAAGAGCGTCACGATCGAGAACAGAGACTACATCGAGGGTCGTTGATGACTGAAGATGATACCTGTATGATTTCCTTGCTGCATCCATGGATATAGGAACCTGGCTGGATAGGGTGCCTTTTACTGTTTTTGATGATATCATGGGCCCGGAGTCTTGGATTTGAATACATTTATTCCATATAACTTTCGAATTCCCTTGTAAACTTGAAGTAGAGGCCCACTTGGTGGCATTCGAATAGATTATGGATTAATTCGAGATTATGGGATTCTACGCTATCTATGCCGATCAATTGATCAATTTTTCGATGGCGAAATGATGGCCCCAGAAGACGTCTAATGATGATGATCGTGGATTTTGAGAACACGCCAGTCTGTAGTAGGATATTGAATTGCGATGCATTATTTTAGGTTAGTCATGCCATAGAAAATGTCGCTGTAGTTCCTCAAAATCTGCCTGACTTTCTCCGGTCAATGAAAGGCCTTCATCATGAAAAAGTGAGTACATGGCATGAGGATCATCCGAAAACTCAACCGGCAATGTTACTGGCACAAAATCCCCTTCCACCGTCCCACTAGTAAAGCTCCCCATAACGTCATCGTATTGAGAAACTTCTCCCTGGTAAAAATTAGCTTCCGCCGAGGAAGCTCTCGCATTTGCAACCCCCATATTGTTCGATGCAGTTTGAGACGCAGATGAAGCTTCGGGGTCGACCGCAGAAGTGCAAATTCCTTGCATGAAGGAGGGTAAGCGTTCGTGTAAAGATTGTAACTGATCTCTTCGTGTGCCGGCGGCATAATTTTGGCGCCCAGCCAGATAGTCAAGAAGCTGCAGGCCTTCTCTGATGCCGGGGCTTGAAGTGAGAAAAGGGAAATTGCTAGAATCGCTGGGGTTTGGCGAACTGATTATGGCTGCTAAGAGCAAGACGAACGACGAAGAAAAAATAGCATCGAGGTCAAAGAATCCAAATACAGCTGCGAAGACTCGGAGTTAGCTCCTAGGTCCCTAGCCCGATCCAAGGTTGGTTGGAATGTCACGAACAGATAATCTTTTCATCGTTCAAAATTAACATGTGCTTCAAATTATTGCGCGCGGCCTCTATGCATATACGGGCAAGCTGCTGCAATGCACTGCTGCTTTCAGCAAAGGTTGTCTCGCGATCGAGTATCAACTTTGTAAGATGGAGAAGAACGGGTCGCAGAGTGAGGATGATTGCCTTAAATAGACGAATTAGCTTTTTAAAATTTACATTCCCACCAACCATATGGATGAAAGTTTGTACCTGGTAGAGCATTGTAAAAAGCGAAATGCTTGTGCGTATCCCTAGCTTCGATGGGTCACGGTTTGATTTGATGGGACGTGAGGGATTCTGAGGAATTCCCTTGGCGATTTCAGTGAGTGAAGACATGATATCTTGCACGTTATTACAAAATGTGTTCTCAGAACAAGACTCATTACTGTAAAGAACTGTATGCCGACGTTTTAGCTACTGCGCTAATTATCAATTTCCAATCTTAGGGCTAACCTGAGTATATTCTGCTTTGAATTTGCACAATCTCAATATTCAATAGAATAGCCCACGGGGCAGAGAATCCCGGCGAAGCAGTTGGAAGAGGGGAAGCAATCATTTTGTCGTCGAGGCTCAATGGACATCCCGTAGCTATCGTAAGGCGTTTATCGTGCATTTGAACTGTCCACCAAATACGGTTGACATGCGTTGCTTGCGACGGTTGTAACTGCTCAAGGGTAGTTTTTCGATTGAGTTTATGCAATAACGCTAACCGAAAGGCAAGTCCAATCTATACAACATAAGTTTGAATAAGGAACTGGAGGGGTACTTCGGTTTCACACATGAGTAGCCGCGTCATCTTTGCAGTCGATATTTTGGTAATACACTGCTATCAGTGCCAGAATTTCAATTCCGGCGACACCGTGGGCTCTGATTTCACTAATACGGGGAAGTAATCTGAGAACTTCATTGAATAAGGCAAACCCAGGGGGATCACTTGTCCCGTCCAAGTCCCCACGTAGTAGTTTTCCGATCGCAAACACCAGAAGAATGTGAAGATACCAAATGCTGGTTCTCTGACTTTCATCAAAATTATTTCTGTAAAATAACATCAGCTGGTCCGAGAGCTCCCGCTCATCGAAGTAATGTTGAGTACCGCAAAGGTATAGTAAAACCGTATCTAGAAGTTGATATGCTTCTTCTACCGAGGGTAGACGCAGATTAACATATGGCCCGTTCTCTTGGCTCTGGCGTAGTTGGAGAGTGCGATCCTGCGGAAATAGGCCTCCACCATGCGAATTGAAGCGTGGCGCTCGTTCTTGGGGTGTATGTGATTGTGAAGAATGAGTTGTTCGTTGCTCAAGAAGGTCTTGTATTCGGTTCCCAAAGTTTTGACTTGAGCTAAGGGCGAAATGGGTTTCGATTTCTGAATAGGGCAATTAGAAAAGAACGAATGAAGATTACCTGTATGGAACAAACGTTGTGCAGATGTCTCGATTCCTGATGCCATATTTGGTGTATATGGTGCCGCAGAAGTCCTTCTCTGTGTAGTATTTACTGGCGTGGCTAAGAGTTGCCCTGAATTCACATCTGCGATTTCGGTAGGATTTGATATGGCCGTCGAGCTCGGTATCTGAACACGGCCGCCATCTTCAGCCCCTCAGATCGGTTAGTAAGAATTATCATAATGGAAAGAGTTATATAAGAAGCGCTGACCTTCCGATGAGTGGGTCTGAGGTTCGTACAGAGCCAGGCGTGACTGAAGTTCCCGGACCTTCCTATATACCAACATCAGAGGTCCAGAAAGCTATAGCCTGGGGTTGAGGAGCAACATACGCCTCGGTAAATAGACGTCTATCATCTGACGCCGGAAAAGTGCATTGAATGTCTCGGCGAGTACAATAAAGACATGGATATTGACCAGAACATTTCACCTTCTTTTTTCTGCAAGTGTTGCATCTGCGATGAAAAGATTAATTTACCAGAATATGTAGACAAAGCGGATAAAACGTACGCGGATACAATCTTTGGTTTTTCTTTAGGCATTGTCAGTGCAGACGAATACTCTGCACTTGTGTAGGATAATCGGAAATTCTTCCACGCAACGTAAGAGACGCGAGCTGTGCAGCGCGTAATCCATCCTCAGATTGCAGATACACGTGATTTGCCCGCCCACCTATTAGGCCGAGGAATTCCAATATACTTAACTGTGATGTTTTTTTCCAAGTTCAAATTTGAATGAAGATTCGAAGATCGGTTCAAAGTACAAGGATATCCTAGCTCTCAAGATGTCATACTGAGTACGTTCATCAGGTCGAGAAGTACTTCGAGGTCTGCTTTACTTGATCGGAGCGTATTTTTGGTAATGGAAGTCATCCGAGTCTTTGAGTCTATATCCAATTTTAATTACATTATGGAGGGTATACGATAAGAAACCCTATTCCGCTTAACATCAAATAGAGCCACCTTCTCTTAATTGATTGCAGCGACCTGAAAATCATAGTTAGAATGGTGTTTTACCGTGGCTCGTTCAGTAGTGGATTGCGGTAACAAGAGATGTATAGCAACGTAATAGCGACGAGAAATCCCCTAACTAGACCTTGCCACAAACCGCATCAATAGATGTGAAAGAAATGTCTAGGTCTTATCGGGAAGAATTGAATATCGGGGGCCGCGTTTGCATTGGAAGTGCCGAAACAACTCCCACGGTCATCTCCAAGAAGAGTTTCGGACCATCTCTCCGAAAGGCGGGGACTGTATCGGAGGGCACCGAGACGCCCCCCGGAACATTAGCCAACTGGTATGGGCTGAAACTTTGTTTGCCCTCTCTGAGAATCACACTGGTCAAACTTGCCACAAAGAGATTGGCAAAAGCCAGCTAGAAGTATAATTATATTCAATATCGGTATTCGACATTTTTCAACAATATACTCAGATTCATCGTTGCTTGATGAAGCAGTGGCTCTGGAAACAACTTCGCTGGGGGATCAAGGCCCAGCCAGCCCTTCTCCAGTAACGATGTCTGGTGATCGGGTAACTTATCCTTCCTTCGAAAAAGATAGATTGTATTTGTTATTGAAAAGCTAAGGATTATTCGGGTAAGTTTAAATCCGACTGAGCATTGTTAGCCTAGCTTATAAATACTAAGTGTGCGCATAGCCTGGACATCCATTTCAGTGAATAAACACTACTAGCCATCATGCTTGACAATCCCCTCGCAATCACAACCTCGTCCTTGGGTCTTCATCCTTCACATACACTCCCGGAGAAAATCCATGCTGCTGCCTCTGCATCGTTTTCTGCGATAGAAATCATCTACAAGGAACTCGAAGACTATGCGCTCTCCCAAGAACCAGCCTTGAGCATAAGTGACGCTGCACAGGTCATTGCGAAATTATGCTCGTCTGAAAACCTGGCGGTGTTATCGTTAAACCCTTTCAAGAATTTCGAGGGTCATAATTCGCCTCTAGAAAATCGACTCGAGTCTGCGCGAAACTGGATCGAGATTGCGGCGTGCTTGGGAGCAAAGTACTTGCAAGTGCCATCCCAATTTGACGCAGCAAACAGTTCCGGAGACTGGCCACGTATGGTGGCCGATTTGCGTGAGCTAAGCGCCTTGGCAGCTTCATACTCTGTTAGCATCGCCTACGAAGCTGTGGCCTGGGGTACTTATATCAACACTTGGGAGGAATCCCTCCGTATGGTCCAGGATGTGGGCCGAGTCAACTTTGGCCTTTGTCTGGACAGCTTTCACGTTGCTGCTCGAGTGTGGGGGGATGTCACGGTCAAGAGTGGCATGCGTCAAGATGCAGATCCAGCTCTGAAAAAGTCCCTTGATCGATTCGTTGAAACATGCCCACTGGATAAGATATTCTATATGCAGCTCTCAGACGGCGAGAGATTCTTGCCTCCATTAACGTCAGAGCATCGTTTCTATTCGAAAGATCTACCCCCATCTATATGTTGGTCACGAAACATGCGGCCATTTCCGCTTGAAGAGGAGCTAGGGGCGTACCTTCCTGTCACAGCTATCTCTTACGCATGGCTGAAAATAAAAGGCTGGAAGGGTGTAGTGTCATTGGAAATCTTTGACTGGAGAATGAGAGAAAATGAATCGCCCCGGCCGAATGAAAATGTACAGCGAGCAGTGGAGTCTCTGCAAAAACTAACGACAGCCTTGGAGAAATATGAATAGCTGCGAGACCTGCAGTATCAAGAATGCTATTAAACGTGGATTCAAGGATAGGAGAAATGAAGAATAGTATGATATGTGTATTGGTGAAGAAAGATAGAGCAAAGCAAGTAAGAGAGCTTTCTACAAATATTCTGTTTCATGAAAGAAATTACTACATGCGTTGGCTTTAAATTTGAAAACTTTGGAAATTGGGCCTGTCTTTTTACAACGCAGTGCACACATCGGTATGGTGATAGACTCAGTCATACACGAGATTGGAAATTATGGGCTACCTGACTTTACTCATCTCACGGATGTGTCGGTCCTATCCGGAGCCAGGTGGGATCCTGAACGTGAATTCGGGGCCCAAAGAACCCCGGATTTCTTCCCACTTCTCTATCTGCCAAATATCGAACGCATGGCTATGTCAATAAAGAGCTCTTCCGCATTTAAATGGCCCACTGCGGATCTGCCAGATCCTTCAAGGTTAAAATCACTTGATCTAAGGTGCATCGGAAAGGCAAACCTCGCCGACATACTCTCGCTTACCAAAAATCTTGAGAAACTCACCTGGGAATGGTATTACGATTTTGGGTTGGATGATGAGTTCAATAAGCCAATAGTCGACCTGGATCATATTGCTTGTGCGCTTTCTTGCACTCCTCCAAGCTTGACAGAGATCAACATGGCTATTGTTGGGCTCGGAGGTGGTGATAAATCTGAACCAGGGATACGTATTGGGGTCATTGAATATAATGGCCGACTTGCGACATGTCAAGAGACTCCGAATTCTATTGGCCTTCCTTGTCGGCTTTGCTCAAGATACCACGAACGATTACAGGACGTGCTGCCACCTAATATCGAGAGTCTGACACTTACCTACGACCTAAATCTCCAAGAAGATCCTTTCGAAAGTCCAGATTTGCCCAAATGGATGTGGGAAGCATAGGATATTTTCGGATTACTTCAATATTGGTTGAAGGTGTGGAAATCCTGCACACCCTGTCTTCGGGAAGTTCTTGTTATAGGACACTCGCCAGCGGGATATCTAGGCGATCGGGACTCGTTCTTAATGAACCAGCTCAATGACTTGAGTACCCAAACAGGAATCCATCTCGATGTAGAAGAGGTGTGAAATTTGACGGAATCTGTCGTGAAAAATATAAGAAAAGGCTGATCTCTGTATCATTATCACAATTTGTTGAGAGCTACGAGCAAGGATACGAACGAGAATACCATGACTTCTTGCGAGACAAGCCCATCTCTATCATTAGTAATAGTAAGTTCTTTCCCGAGGAGATGAAATAGGATCGGGGAACCCGACAAGTGGTTAAGTAAATGTTGATTTCTAGAAGGCACAGCAAAGTTCAGATAGAAAATTTGATATTTCCTTTTTTGACTTCCAATTTTTTCTTTGAAGAGCAATTCAAATACTGCAGTGGCCCTCCGATGGTGATATAGACATATTTAATATAGATAATCTACTTCCTTGTCTGGGATATTTTCCTCGGCAAATACTAGTAGTAGACCTAGGTGCTTTTGAAACATTCAGCAATATCCACGATTTTCCAAGGCGCTATTGCCCCCATATATATCATATACCCTATGCTTGCATCCTGCGTGAAACGTGTTAAACTTAGCTTTTCTCCGTCTTCCTATTTTACCTATTTTTTTTCTTCGAATAATTGATACTGACTCGGAGCTTTAAATGCTTGCTTTCTATAAATATTAAATTTGTTTTTAATGTAAAGCCAAGAAAGAGTCTTTAGTCTTTCAAATTTATTCATTTTCTAGCACATCACAATGCCTCCATCTACCTTGAGAGCTCCACCAGTCATGAATCGAGAGTCCGCACTTCCCAAAAATGCCAATAGGGCGGCAACATCCGCCACCTCTGCCCATCTACCGAGAGGAACAGTTGCTAGCATACTCTTCATCTTTTCCTCGGGCCAGGCGGCCAGGAACATGGGAGTATTGACACCACATGGATGGACCGTATTGACACGAATATTGTGCTGGCCAAGTTCAGCGGCGGCAGTGATACAGAGGCCTCGCAGAGCGAACTTAGAAGTGGAATATGCTGACAGGCCAGGTGTCGCACGGAGACCAGCGATTGAAGAGATCAAGACAATACTCCCTCCTTTCCCGGAGTCTTTCATGGCTTGACCACAGTGCTTCACGCCTAGGAAAGCTAAATATTCATGTTAGTGACTGATTATCCATAGCTCTGGGTATTTGATATATGAAAACTAACCGGATCGACAATTCACTTGCATAACCTTGTCATACTGGCTGACATCTGTTTCCAGAATACTAGTCGACGAATATGAGATGCCCGCGCAAAGTAGTGCAACATCAATTTTGCCGAATTTCCGAGTACTTTCGTCAACATATCGCTGGACGTCCTCCTCGACAGTAACGTCCGCCTGAACAGTGAGAATCAAGTCATCTGGGTCTAGATCCTTCCCATCAGGTAAACCTCTGATCGCACTAATCAGCTCCTCCTTCGACTGGGACAGTCTCTGTGGATTGATGTCTACCAGCGCGACTTTCGCACCTTCAAGAAGATACCGACGAGCAGATTCCAGGCCGATATTCCCCGCGGCTCCAGTGATGAGAGCAACCAAGCCTCGTAGGCGATTTGGGATCGGATCTTGAGGAGGCAGTGGTTGAGACATGGCAGCTAAATCCGTACTTCACGGCGACTTCAACTGCGAAGAAAACAGTGTTCCGTTTTGCAACAAGACTTCAGCTCATTTCAACCACACTTTTAAAAACCAGCCCACATTGGTTAAGGGTGTTTTTTTCTTTAGCCGCAAGGTTTAGGTGGCTGAGATCCTCTTGAGCGCATGATGTATGTAGGAAATTCGGGGAGGGCCGAGGATTTCGGGCCATGGTCCGAAACAGGGTTGAAACAGGATGCGGGGTTTCGGGCTGGTCTGAGTGGCTGCGGTCTAGGTTTCCAAGTTGTGAATATTTCTATGGGTAATCTGTCAGTGGCAAAAAGCAACTATAATAGCTAGGTCTGTGAAATTTCGCTTCGACGATGGCTCTCTCCTGCTCGTTCTACTGGTGGGATTGGAGGAGTTCGCCACAAGAATGTTTGAATACGATCAAAAACCCTTGGAAGGACGAATGAAATTAAGTCAAAATATGGGAGTTAAGGAACAATTTAATCAATCAAGACTCAGGAAGAATCATTCCATTATAATCCTATATCAAATTCATACCGCTAGTTATAGCCTGTTAATATTCCTGTGGCTCCAGTCTGTGTCTCCAGCGAGCTTTGCCTTATCTTCTCCGCCACACGTTCCAACGCGAAATTGGAAAGTCTCCAATCAATTCACGCATTCTCCACATGAAGGCCACCCTGTTTCTCCTGTTGGGCCTCTGTAGCTGCCATTGCCGTCGATCTTCGGAATTCCTGGTAATTCTCTTGGGCTTTGACGGCCAAGATACTAACATCTGGTCCGAACAAAACGCCCATATCCTCCATAGACACCCCCTTTGTTTCAGGAACAAATAGGTATGCAAATACCAAAGCAACAACGGTGCATGATCCGAAGAAATAGAACGTACCGTACTTGATAGATGCCACCATGTAGGGCAGCGAGTAGACAATAATGAATTGGGCTAACCATTGCATGCACACAGCGCACATCATGCCGATGGTCCGCACACGCGTGGGAAGGACTTCCGATGCAAAGATCCAGGGGATGCCATTCCAAGAAAACCCGTAGAATATTGCATAAATGTAGATCATTGCAACCGCAGCCTGAGACCCGGAATTGCTAGGTGGAACGCGGTCGAAGGAATCGCTGAGTTGGGAATAGATGGCCAAGTAGAACATGGCCACCCCAGCGCCAACTGCACCCACAAGCAAAGGCCCACGACGTCCAAAACGATCTACAATCCAAATCATGAAAACAGCCGTCGTGGCCATCTTCACTATCCCATAAACTCCAGTGGCTAGCAGTCCCACAGAAGTCCCGGTGAACCCAATCTAGCATTGATATGATGGTTAACGCCATTTATAAGAGACGGGTAGGTTGGTCGATGAGGTTCGATATCTTACCGAGCGAAATATAGTAGGGCTATAGTAATTGATAGCATTGATTCTGAAGCAAAAGTTAGAATCTGTTCAAAGAGAATCGATAAGCACAATGCATACCCGGTAAGATTTTGTAGAAGCATCAACATAACTGCGATAAGGATTCGGTTCCGAACACCAGGAGCAGCACATTCATGCAGAATTTGGACCAAAGTACGTTGTTCTCCGCTAAGCTCAAGTTCTTGACAGACAGCAGCTTGTATCTCAGCCAACTCATTGACCACATAGGAGTGGTCCACTGGGAGATGACGGACCCAGGCTAGATTCTTTTGGGCTTTGACAATTTGATTCTTGCTGGCAAGCCAGCGCGGGCTTTCGATCATCCATGTCATGCATATTAATAGTAGGCCGGCCGGAACTAGCTGTATACCTACCGGAATTCTCCACTGTGTTGCGCTTGTGCTCGAAATGTTCGTGTTGACGCCGTAATTGACCCAAAATCCGAAAACGAGTGCGATCTGTAACATAATCTCAAAAATTCCAACTAAACGCCCGCGAATAAGAGCAGGGGAACATTCAGCAATATAAATAGGGATTATGGTGGACGATGCGCTGCTCAAAATATTTTCAAGGGGTTAGTTTCAGCCAGGAATATGACACCGCAGAGAAGCCTTACCCTATCCCCAGCCCAGTGAAAATTCGACCAACATAGAGCGCCGATATTTTCCCAACCAGTTGAATAGCGGCACCGATAGCAAAAATAACACCGGAGCCCAGAATGACAGGCTTGCGACCGAAATACTCGGCGAAGAAGAATCCGCAGATGGCACCGAAGAACGCACCCGCTTGGAACATCGACACAACATTAGATGAAAGAGAGGTTGAATCGTTCTCATTCAGACCGAAAGAAGTTTTGAAGGCCGGAAGCTCTAGTGTTCCTCCGATGAAAGCAGAGTCATAGCCATACATAGCGGACGCCTATGAGAAACTCATATTAGTAGGCTAATACTCGGATCTTTGAATTTTCAAAATTCCTACCCATGTTGCCGACAATGCGACCATGTAGATACGATATCCATATATTTCTGATGGGCCATCATCACCATTCCGTGAGGACCGGGCGAAGGGGTTCTTCATAGTGAGCAATAGAGTGTAAAATTGAAAGAAGGAGATAGGGGAGATTCTGTGTCTGCGATGATGACTCGTGGGCACTTGTATTATAAAGTGTGTCTGGACCACTGTCGACAGAGCTTAACCACTTCGTTGGTTGTGAACTTACTCGCTGAACCTCGAAAACCTTGACCACACGGCTCGGGGGCGCATCCGAAATGCGGAGTATCCCCACAAAGCACCGGGGGAGGTTGAAATACCCCAGGTATGGTTCCAATACCCCGTGTTATGACCACCGAATTGCCAAAGATACCAAATTACTATACAAAACACAAGTCAATGTGGGCCAGTTGATGATCCCTGTCTAGGTGTACGATAGTACTAGTATGGAGTTATCCGCAGCCAGAAATGTAGTAAAATGGTTGATTAAAGGCACTAGGAATGCCCCGATCGATCCCATTTAGATGTGAGAGACTATATATTGATAGAAGTTCCGGACCATGAGATGGCTAGCTATACAAGAGAGAGGGCAGTAATGAAGGCGATCTGAATACCTGAGGCATTTATGCCCCAAACGCATATATACAGCAGAGCAGACTCAGGATAAGCTTTTGTAAAGTCGGTCATGAGTGGACTCCTATGAGGGTGAGTTACAAGGAGCTGTTGACGGCAGTCTTGCATGTTAAATATTGTGCAAGACAAACCTTGGAACTTGCCCGCGAATTGTGATTTATGGCAAGTAGAGTGTCGGCCACCCCGCGTTCAGTGTAGATTCTAGGTGCTGTAGTAATAACTACTACCTACTAGTAGCTACTAGTAGTAAATTGAGGGGATGGGGGTTCGATCGGTGGTTTGGATAGCGCCCGAGTGTTCAACTTGGGGCTTGAAATACAGAAGTAACTTCCAATGTTCAACTTGAAGTTGCAAAAAAACCCCGGCCAATTCTTGATTTTTTTTAAAGAAAATATTCTACGAAATGTTTATACTAGATCAGAAGCTTAGGTATATTGCTTTCAAATATGGCTAAAGAAGCAGCAGTTAGGTACGACTCACCTGGGCAGTGGCACCGTCGGCACTTTTTCACCCGATTGCTTGTCTCCCTGGCACTTTCATCCCCTCCGCACTAATCATCCCTCAAGCTTCCACCACCCCACTGCCACCCCCACCCAAGCCTGCCCGCAGGTGCCAGTGAACATGCTACTCCAAAGCCCATCAAGCGTTACATTCCCCAACTGCTGATCAATATGTCACAGCACCACTGACCGCCTCTAAAGCCTACGCTTTATGCCTAATAACTGCCACAATGAGTCGGACATCGAAGCGGGGTAAGCTTTTCCGCAAATCCACCTCTACAGTAGATCTTCCTAGCAAGGCAATGATAAACCCGACATCCAATTCGAGCCCGGAGTTCTCGGCTTTGGGAGTTGGGGGTTACACTGCGGACAGCACAGGGCTGGGCTAAGCTGTGGCTGGGGCTGGGAATCGGAATGGAGATGGAGATCGTCTGGAATGTATAAGACACAGCACGACCCTCACCTCTTTTTTTTCCATTCGTACTGTGGAGACCGTTCTGTTGATGGGAATGACCTACCTTTCACTTTCACCAAAGGTTCGACTTATATCCCACGTTCGACCCCTCGCATATCCAAAAGAGGACAATTCCAAACAATGCATCTCCGCTCAACTCTCGCCTTGGCGAGCTTATTACAGAGCGTCACCCCGGCGCTGAGTCTACAAGACTCAAAATCCAATCCGGGCCTCTCACAATATGTGAACGCGTTCATCGGATCTGAAGGTCCCGATGGAACTGGATTCGGTGGCGGTGACATCTTTGTCGGCGGGGCGCGGCCATTCGGCGTCGCTAAAGTGGGCATCGATTCTACGGCGGCTAATTGGTCTACTGCTGTGCTGAATGGCGGGTGGACTCCTGATGGCAATGTTACGGGGTTTAGTATGATGCATGAGAGTGGAACGGGAGGTGCGCCGAAGTACGGGTTGATTGCGCAAATGCCGCTGGCCTCGTTGGAGGATGTTAATGTTTTGGATAACATGACTTATAGTCAACCAAGGGTGAGTCCTTTTGCTTCCAAGGTTCCTTTCGTTTCTTAGATACTGCACTGGGGGAGGCGCGTGTGCATGGGTGTTCCCGTACATTGAGTGACTGCTAACTGGAGATCTAATTAATGTAGGTTGGGAAAGATGTTGCAAGTGTGGGTTACTACAAAACGCGATTGGAGAGTGGTGTTGAAGTTAAGCTTTCTGCGTCGCGACATGCTGGCATTATGGAGTATTCGTTTCCCAAAGGAGAGAAACACATATTGTTCGACTTATCCCACGTGAGACTTTCTTTCTGTGTCCTTGGTGAGGATTCCCGCTTATGATTGAATAGTACCTACCTGCCTCTCCCGGGGATACCGGCGGCCAATTATTCGCCGGGGGTGAGATCCAGATTCAAGAAGATGGCCAGTCCTACAGTGGATATGGGACATATGTCGGTGGCTGGAATAATGGTTCGCTCTCAGCATGACTGAAGTCATATATCTGTATCCCTTAACTAACCGTGCAAAAATCAGGAGCACCATTTACAGTCTACTTCTACGGAGAGTTCAACCAACGCCCCCAACAGGCGCAGACTTTCTCCGGACCAAATACCGACCCCATGCCCCGTTATCAGAATCTCGCAAATGGAGGGATCAGCGAGCCAGAGTTCGGTAACACAACTGCCAAGGTCACCTCCGGACCGATGAACAACCGCATCGGCGTGCTTCTCAGCTGGAATGATGGCCCCGCATCGCAAATTACCTCGCGCGTGGGTATTTCATCCATGTCAATTGACCGAGCTCGGTCATATATCAAAAAGGAGATTCCATCCTGGAAGCTGAATGACACCGTCGCGGATGCTGTTGATGAATGGAATCGGGACGTTTTCAACAAGATCCAGATTCCGATCGATGACTCGGCCAATATGACCCACGTCAGACTCCTCTACAGCTCCCTATACTTCATGCACTTAATGCCGTCGGACCGTACCGGTGAAAATCCCCTCTGGGATTCCGACGAGCCATACTGGGACGACTTTTTTACCATGTGTGAGTTTTTGGCGGTCCTTCTATGTTATGTTATGCCATGCGGCACCCGCGTTTCATTTCACCCCTCTGACAGGGATATTATTAGGGGATATTTTCCGCTGTACTGTCAGCTTCTACCATATTTTCCAGCCAAAGTATTACGAATCTATGATTCGTAGCTTGATTGATATCTGGAAGTAAGTAAAACAGTTTGCCGCCCAGCCAATCAATCAATCAGCTAGCCAGCTTCAAGCTAACCAAGGGATCGATCCACCAGACACGCAGGATTCATGCCAGACGGCCGCTCAGGAAACTGGAACGGACTCGTACAAGGTGGGTCAGATGCAGACAACGTTCTCGCAGACGCGTACGTGAAGGGTCTACGAGGAGGAATCAATTGGACCGAGGGCTATGCGGCGATGGTGAAAGACGCAGAAGTAACACCATACAATACCTTCGACCCGACCGACTTCACAGCCAGCACGAAAGAAGGGCGCGGAGCGCTGGACGACTGGAAAGAACTGGGCTATGTCTCGTATGACCGAAACACGCGGTGTATATCGCGGACGGTGGAGTATAGTCTCAATGATTTTGCAGTGGCGCAGGTGGCCAAGGGCGAGAGTCCTGCGAATGTGGAGAAGTATTTAAATCGGTCTGCGGGGTGGCAGAATATTTGGGATGAGAAGGTTCAGAGTCTTGGGTTTGAGGGGTTTTTGGCACCTAGGTTGGCGGATGGGAGGTTTAATAGTTCGTTTGATCCGCTTTTGTGTGGGGGGTGTGAGTGGTCGGATGTGAGCTATGAGGGGATTCCATGGGGTGAGTTGTTTGATTTGTATTTGGATTTTGCTTTGTTTTTTGCAAGGTGGTTGGGTTATGCTAATGAGAGTGGCAGAATATTCGTTTGTGATCCCGCATGATGTGAAGACGCTGATTAAGTTGATGGGTGGGGAAGAGACCTTCGAGAAGCGACTGGATATAATGGTAAGCATTTACCTATTATCTTAGTAGGATGGAAGATCATTGCTTGTCATGATTCTAACTTGGAATAGTTTAAACCCAACACATCTGTCCAGAATCTCGGCGCCAATGGCGCTGGCATCACAACGCTGATCAATATCGGGTGAGTTGGACTGCAGCTGTTGACAAACGAGCAACATAGCTTGAGACAATATCGATGCTAATGCTGCAACCGCATCCAGTAATGAGCCGGACTTCGCCACACCATACCTGTACAACTACATCAACAAACAGGCCAAGAGCGTGATGCAATCCCGCAGCCTCGCCAACCAATAGTATGTTCGAATCGCATCCCTACAAGGATCTAACCTGAATGGCAGACAAAGAGATACCTGTTACTAACATAATGCAAATGACAGTTTTAAAGATGCAGCATATGGAATCCCTGGAAATAGCGACGCCGGAGCTATGAACTCCTGGTTGTTGTGGCAGATGTTGGGAATCTATCCGATCGTCACTCAACCAGTCTACCTGCTATCGTCGCCATGGTTCCCAGACTTGAATATGACGATCAACGGTGACAAGACCCTGCGGATTAAAGCGCCCGGGCTGGATGAGGGGTATTTCGTGCAGGGGGTGCAGATCAATGGGAAATCGTGGACAAAGAACTGGTTCGAGCATGAGGATGTGATGGTTAATGGAGGGACGATTGAGTTTCAGCTCGGGAAAGAGGCGACAGAGTGGGAGACGGGGGATGTCCCTCCTTCACCGGGACATATGCAGCTGAGTAAATAGAATATAGCGACAGTGGAATGGAATGCAATGGAATTTTTCCCTTTGAGATGATACTGTAGGATGGAATTTCCATGCATCGTAGTGGCATGATGCCCGCACGTCATGACCTAGCCCCGCCTGTACTGTAATGCAGGTCTATCTTTGTTTGCGCCTCGGTCCATTCAAATCAAAAGCGGAGACGGGAGAGCAAAGTTCAATCGAGAAGAAAGCTGGAACAGCCAATGGTGGACAATTGGGGGCGAGGAAATGCAGGTTTGTTGCGCTGAGGAGGGGGCTGGGTTTGACGTCAGCGGGGAGTGTAACAGTACAATATGGACCGGAGTAGTTAGTACCAGTCTTAAAAGGTTTAGTTTGTGCTGGATTGTGCAATTATGAGCCGTTAGCAATGTATTTCCCCTCCTTATAAAGCTGCTGCTGTTTCTGAGGCTCATTCAGTTTTCTTGGGTTTTCTCTTCTTCTTCCCTCGCTGGCGGTTCCCAGCCACACCATAAACTACATCTGCAACTCAATCCACCTCATCCATCATCAGCCTCATCGAGTTAATTGTGGATTTGCTTTATTGATTGCATTTTAAATCTCGTGACTGGATCTGTGATCAAAATCAATAATCTATAACTGCAAACCCTGGGGTAGTTCCAATGGTACGTCGTCGGCCCGTCGGCTCAACCACGGCTCACCAATATCCCATATCCATATCCAATGCCAACATGCAACATCTCACCTTCTTTCACCTTCTTTCACCCAATCGCTCTCTATTTCAATCGCTGACCACTCCTAGGCCCCCGTTAATCGCCTCGCTCCTCGCGCTCCAGATGGCTGCCCCAGTACCATCACTGGTGGCGCCATCGCCGGCATTGTCATCGGCTCGATCGCCGGAACTTTGCTAGTCCTTTGGCTGTGGCGACTTTTCAGTCTACCCGGCGCCTTCAGTGGAGGACGCGAGCCCGATGTCGGATATCGGCCACCAGTGACTCGATCGGGTCGCAGGCGCCGTAGTCGCGAGCCTCGAGTGGATTATATTGAGAAGCCGCGACGCAGCTCGTCGAGACGGCATCGCGATGAGTACTATACCGATGACGTGCGTCGACCGGCGAAGATTTATGTGACGGAGTAAAAGGGGCCCAGGTCAATGGTTGAGGGGTTTTTTTTGGATTGGATTGGATTGGATTGGATTGGCGGGATCCTGATGCAATGGTGAAGGCGTTTCGGATTGCGGATATGCTGATATGACTGCCATGGCGATGATGATTTTGGATGAAATACGATCATGATGGCATGATTATGCTGTGAATTATGAGTGCACGATTACGATAATGAATGATTTGATATTCCTTTTTTTAGAAAAGGCCCTTGGGGCGCCACATCGTACGCTAAGTCAATAGTCGCGATGGATTCCGCGTAGCCCACCCGGGGCCGCTACGAGGAGGAGCCCACACGTCACGGTCTTTGAAGGGACCTCGAGTGAATCAATCTCACCTCGAGCTACGATAAACATCACTGCTCTGACTTGGGGAACGAGGAGAGATAGAACTATATGTAAGTACGCAATTTGGTTGGGCCAAGCAATGCCAACTTGTCCGCAGGTGCAGCTGCAGCTGCAGCTGTACCCCTGAGCGCGACGCGTGCAAGTGACACAGCCAAACCTCCACAAATACTTGGAAATACTTGGCCTCGAGGGATTTAATTGGGGTCAGAAGGTGGACGTATCGGTCGACGCCACAAAGCATCATTTGTGTGGGCAATGAAAAGGAGCAGGGCATATGTCGCAGTATTCTATGGAGTACTCCGTACCCAGTGGATGGAGCATAGCAAGTAGATACCCCGGAATGAATGGGTAGGTTCTGGTACAATGATAAGATACGATATGATTCTAAAAATGAAAAGCCATCTGTATGATGATCATGACCGAAATTCAGGGGAAAACCTCAAGTGAACCCATCCCCACTGGAAACCCACAATGAAGGGACCCGCGGGATCCAGCAGGAAATGAGACTGGAGACTGGATGCTGGCGGGGCGATCAAAACCGGAAAATAAAAGAAGAAATAAGGAAAATATTGACGGAGGAAGATAGTGGGAGCGTCTCTTTGTGTGTATTGCAGTGTAGTGCAGTGCAGATGCAGCAGGAGTTGAAAGGGGGAAAATCTAGATTGGCCGATCACACGAGCACAACACAACACCCACTCACCCACCACTTCCACTTCCACTCCCTCCATCCTTCCACACTCTCAACCAATCCCACCCTCCAACACACCTCAACTCAACTCATCAAATCAAGTTCGTGCCACTCCGGCAGTTGACCATGCTGATCCCTGATCCCTTATCACGGCCCAATGAATCCCCAGAGTTCCCAGCTCCAATTCCAATGGTTGTGCAGAAACGGGTCCGGCCGCCATGGACACATTCGGTTTAGGGCCAGGCACGGGGCTGCTGCCCAGCTGAAGCTATTCCCATTTATGGTTTAGGGGATGTACCACAGAGACCCACTGTCTCTCATTTGGGGCTAGTCACCAACAATCGTCGTGCAGATTTCCCCTTACCGTCCACTTCGGCCACCTGCCCAGCTTTCAAAGTCAAAAAGAAAAAGGGCCCTGCACTAAGGGCTAGTTTAGGGTCCTCCACTGGGTGGCGCGGTGGATGCTGGTCCCTGGTCCCTGGTCCCTGGCGTGATTCCCCCCCCCGACGGCTTTTGAGACCTTCTTTCTTCCATCCTCTCTTTTCCCAATTATACCGCAGGCTCTCCTTCCAATCCTTACCCGGTGCGACTTTTCGCCCTTCCATCTTTATACCTACAGGTCATACCCTGTAGGATCTATCGAGGCTCGTCCTCGTATCCATTCATTGCTATCGGATTGCCTGTGCTGTATTCTTTCGGGAATCGACGGAGAGACAAACACACAACACAAAAAAACTATACAAACAAACACCAAACGCGAGACCAATTGATTCACCAAAAAGACAAACTAGAGACATCACTATGAAGGCTTTCAACTTCGCCGCTCTCGCGGCCCTGGCCGGATCGGCCGCCGCCCAAACGTTCAGCGCGTGCGATCCCACAAAGAAGGACGGCTGTCCAGCAGACTCGGCCCTCGGCACCGAACACACCTGGTACTTCAACGAAACCCTTGACACTGCTATCTGGAACATGAGCACCGGCTCGATCAACTACGTCGATGATGGCGCTGAATTTACCATCGAGGCCGCCAAGGAGTCCACTCTTCTGCAATCCAACTTTTACATCTTCTTCGGCGTTGTCGAATCTTGGGTTAAGATGGCCAAGGGTCCCGGTATCGTTAGCAGTGTTGTCCTGGAGTCCGATGATTTGGACGAGATTGATTGGGAATGGGTCGGCTACAACACCTCCTCCGTGCAGACCAACTTCTTTGGTAAAGGTAATGACTCTACCTTCGACCGGGGTGCCTTCCACAATGTCGCCAACGCCGATACCGAATTCCACAACTACACCACCTACTGGGACCAGTACAAGTTGGAGTGGTATATCGACAATGAAATCGTCCGCACCCTGAAATTCGATGATAAGGGCACTCTCGGCGGCAAGAACTACCCCCAGACTCCCTGCCGGGTTAAGGTTAGCAACTGGCCCGCCGGTACCAAAGATGCCGCCAAGGGAACTGTCGAGTGGGCCGGTGGTCTTGTCAACTACGACGATGCTCCCTTCACCATGACCATTCAGAAGGTTCGCATCCAGGATTTCCACACTGGCAAGGAATATACCTACGGCGACAAGACTGGAGACTGGCAAAGTATCAAGGTGGCCGACGGCAACTCGACTACCTTGGATGAGCTGAACAAGCCTCCCAAAAAGTCCCTGTCCGAGAAGTGGGACGATCTCGGCACTGGCGCCCACGTCGGCGTGTATGTCGGTGCCTCGGCCGCCGGTGTTCTCCTCATTGCAGGATTCATGCTCTGGTGCCTCCGCCAGCGCCGCAAGGGCCGTCTCGAATACGCTCTCGACGACGCTCGCTACACCAACGAGCGCACAGATGCACAGAACTTCCAGAACGACTGGAAGCAGACTGAATGGAGAAACAGCGGCTACCGCCAGGTCAGCTAATAGCTTGGCCTATCTTTCTTCTTTCTTTTCTCTTTCCTCTCTGCAATCTTTTCCTTTTCTGCCATGAACGGGTTCTGCGAGCCCACCCCCCGCGATTCCAGTCCCGGCGCAGCCATGAATGGATGAGACTCTTGTTTTCGCTTTCGTGGGGCGTTCGTTCGGCCTTGGGTATCTTAATGACTCTTCTCTCCATCTCTGTCTTCCTATATATCTCTCTCGCTCTATCTCCCTCTTGTCTCTCCCTTTCTTTACACCCCCCCGCTCTCCACAGTCACCGCACTCGCTTTCGTGGCTCCCTGTTGACAACACCTCCCTTCGGTTTCTGGGCATCTTTGATTTTCGGTCATCGGGCGTCTTGAGGCTTTTCTTTTGCCGTCCGGTCCGTTGGGGGCCATTCTTTCGAATCCATATACGCACGACCTGTACATACCAGCATTGGATCTTTTCAATTCACTGTTTATCTTCCAGTTATTTCTTCTTTAATTTACTTCGTAACCTAGAATTTTGAACTCTCGCATCCCATCTCAGTGCCTTAAACTGATAAGGGAGATGGCTTCCCATTTAGTACCTTTAGGTAAACGCAGAATGATAAGGACTGAAGTATGCCGTCCCATCGGGTCAACACACTTAACAACTTGAAGACTGGTACGATCTCTACTCACCAATAGATAAATTTACAAATTCCCTCTGTTCTCTTCGACATGACTGTAAATAAGAATACTGCTGGTGATACTAGTCAACTGTACTGAACAACACCTAGTCCCACTAATCCCAATTAGGGCTAGTGTCGACCCAATGATTCACTCCAATCGCCCGCTCTCCGCCTCCGCCATTTGCCCTCAACATCCCACTTTCTCCTTCATCACTTCCACAGAAAGATACCCGCCAAAATGAGCAATCCCAAAGGAGTCGCAGAGAACATGCTGTGGGGAGGTCGTTTCACCGGTAGGCTTCATTTCAACCCTGTTCCTGTCCCTATCGCTCCCCCACCTCGCGCATTACATCCCCAATCAATTCCCACCGCATTGACTCATGACATGCTAACCAAATTATTCAAATCGCAGAGGGCATCGACCCCCTCATGATGCAGTACAACATGTCCTTGCCCTTTGACCGCATCATGTGGAAGCAAGACATTGCCGGCTCAATTGCCTTCGCCCGCGCCAACATGAACAACGGCATCCTGACCGCGCAAGAGTTCGCCGAGATCGAGCGCGGTTTCGCGCAGATTGCCCAGGAATGGAGCACCGACACCTTCGAAGCCAAGGAGAACGACGAGGACATTCACACCGCCAACGAGCGCCGACTCAGCGAGATCATTGGCAAGGAGATCGGCGGCAAGCTGCACACCGGCCGCTCGCGCAATGAGCAGGTCGCTACTGACATGCGTCTCTGGCTGCGCGATGAGCTGCGCATTCTAGACTCCCACCTCTGCGACCTGATCAAGGTCTCTGTCGCCCGCTCCGAGAAGGAGATTGACATCCTCATGCCCGGCTACACTCACCTCCAGAAGGCCCAGCCCGTCCGTTGGTCCCACTGGATGCTGTCGCACGCCACTGCCTTCGCTAGTGAGCTGCAGCGTCTGCGTGAGGTTATTGCTCGCGTTAACCGTAGCCCTCTCGGCTGTGGTGCTCTCGCTGGTAACCCGTTCCAGATTGACCGTCACGCTATGGCTAAGGAGCTCGGCTTCGATGATCTGCTGTACAACTCCATGAACACCGTCGGTGACCGTGACTTCGCTATGGAGACTATGCAGTGGGGTAGCTCTTTCATGCTGAAGATCTCCCGCTGGGCTGAGGATTTGATTATCTACAGCAGTCTGGAATTCGGTTTCGTCCGCCTGTCTGATGCATACTCGACTGGCTCCTCGCTGATGCCCCAGAAGAAGAACGCCGGTGAGTTTCAGCCATTTCCCAACTTCAATAATAAGTCCATATCCATGTCCATATACTAATTTTGCTCCCTCTTTAGACTCCCTGGAGTTGCTCCGCGGCAAGTCCGGCCGTGCGTTCGGCCAAATGGCCGGTCTGATGATGACCATCAAGGGCCTGCCCACTACCTACAACAAGGATCTGCAAGAGAGCATCGAGCCCCTGCTCGACCATATCAAGACCGTCAGCGACAGCATCCAAATCGCCACCGGCGTCCTGTCCACCCTCACCACCATCCCGGAGAAGATGACCGCCGCCCTGGCCCCTGAGATGCTGGCCACCGAGATCGCGGACTACCTTGTCCGCAAGGGCGTCCCCTTCCGTGAGGGCCACCACATCTCCGGCCGTGTCGTTGCGCTCGCCGAGAACACTGGTATCCCCATGGACAAGCTCTCACTGGAGCAGCTCAAGGCTGTTGATGCTCGCTTTGGCGACGATGTCACGACTTGCATGGACTATGAGCGTGCCGTTGAGCTTAAGGATGCTATTGGTGGTACTAGCAAGCGTGCTGTTCTGGAGCAGACTGATGTTCTGCGCAAGTTGCTTTGATTTTCAACTTTGGGATTTGGATGAAAGGTTTGGATTGATTGGGATTGGCGGAGTGTGCGGGTTTAACTTGGCATAAAGTATATGATGAAAAGATTAGCATTGCGGTCTTGATACCTTGTGGTATTGTATTTCGGTTAGACAAAATGAGATATGATTTGAAGATTATGGGTGTGTTTGTAGTATACGATAGCCTAACTATAGCACGTATGGCACTAGGTATAATAGGGTATCTTTTTGAAGGAAGCTAAATATAACCTGTTATGGGTATAGACATAGTAGACTTTTCAATACAATTTGATTATTGTTAATCCTTCTAGTTCCGAGTCCTGATACATCATTCTCTTCTCCCCTCCCAATATCCTCGACAAGAAATTAAACTAAATGAAGCCGAACGTCTGACAGCCAGCAGATGCTGAAAGAAACGAGCGTATTCAAACCCTTGGAAGTAGTATAACCCATCAACCATCCTCCTTGATTTTCTTCCACCCAGAAGACCCACGTCGATCCTGACTTTCAAAAAAACCCCCAGACTCATACGCAGGCAGTATGTCACTAGCCCCCGAAATCGTACTCCCAACCTGCCCTTCACTAAGCACATCCATCTCCATACTCCGGTCCCGCGAGTCCAGAGCCCTGGACGCATCTCTCTCGGCCTGAGCCTTCGAGTTTCTCCGACCAACCTCCTCCGGGCTCCCCTGGGTCAATCCCAATCCCAATCTTTCCAAGGCCGGTTGTACATCCAGTCTCCTCCCTCCACCCCTAAGCTCAAGCATCTCAGAAGGCGCATCGTACTCCATAAAGCTCATAACATGTTGATTCGGAGTACTCGCACTTGAACTCGGGCCTGAGCTTGTGCTTGCGCTTTTAACAGGAGTACCACTGCAGCTAGACTTCTTATATCTCCCGCTAAACTTCGTCCTCGGACTAAGCGTAGTCGCAGTTGGAGTTGGAATTGGAGATGGAGATGGAGTCTCGACATCAACTTCATCAATACTTGACATTCGATCTAAATTCGCACCCAATACGACGCCGTCCCGCGTCACGACCTTCCGTGCTGTATTTCGTGATAATAGATCCGTTCCGGAATTTTGTACCCCGTCCTGTGTGTGGTAGGATGATCTGCCTGTATATCCCGAAACTCCCACTTTCCTTAAACCCCCGTGCTGGTGCTGGCCGGATACTGCAAGCGAGGAATTCACATTCAAGTTATTGCATTGCTGATTGATTAATTCTGATTGTGGCTGCGCGGGGAGTTCTGCTCTTTGACGGCGGAAGCCTGTGTCAGAGAGTTCGGGAACATGTGGGGTTAGAGAATGATGTGGATGGGGTTGAGGTGATTCGGTGGGGATTATGAGCGGTGCGAGGCTTGTGCTGGATTTTGAGGGTGGGGTTGGGGGACCATTGGAGTTTGATAAGGTCGAGAGGGTTAGGGATGAGAGGGTTGAGGGTGGTCCTGATTGGTAGTCGTTGTAAATTTCGTTTCCAAGGCTGGATATTGTTGTTTCTGTCTTTGAAGTTGGGGATGCTGATATTGTTTCTTTAGCTTGGTTCTACGTTGGGGGTTCAAATAGGTTGAAGGAGAGGTTTTATGCTTACCGGCTGAGTGTGGGCTTTCTTTGGCCGTTGCTACATGTGCAGTTGCCGATGACGAGGGGCTTTTCTTTGTAATGGGCATTTGGTCTTGAGCTCCAAGGGACTGAGTGGAGACTAAGCGATGCATAGTGATTTTAAGTTGCGCTCGACGTCGTTTGATGCAAAAGTAGAGAAGTAGACCGAATAAAATTGCGGCGATTACAGCGCCCACAACGCCGCCTATCATGCCAGCATTACTGTGGTGGCTGGACGAGGTGCTTACTGCTGTCTGGCTTGCACTAGCTGCAGATGCTAAGGTAGCTGGGGATGCTGCGGATGTAGTTGAAGATGTTGCAGATGATGTGCTTGTGCTCGTGGATAGTATACTAGCAGTGCTAGAAGTGGCATCGGATGTGGCCTCTGAGGAGGCCTCTGAAATGGTCTCGGAGCTGGATGTAGAAGTCGTCTCTTCTACTGAAGTGATGGTCTCGGTGGTTGAAAGGGTTGTCGATGTTGACTTCGATGTCGTCGAGGTCGATTGAGATGCTGTCGAGGTTGTAGTGACTTTCTTGATAGTAGTAGTTGAGTCTTCGTCCGGGCAGACGCCGTCGGTACACGGATCAACCGAGCAGCATCCTGTATATGGCCCCACGTTGCAGACATACCACTGTTTGCCGTCGGTACAGGTTCTGCCTGCTTGCTGCAAGCCCAGCATATTAAAAGAAGACGAAGAGGTCGGTTGTGGAAACGCTAAACAACGGCCATCGAGGGTATCGCATGAAATCCGCCGTAAACGTAGCAGATCTATGCGCGGCGGGGATATTGAAAAGGTGCAAGAAGGAAGACGGATCGAGGGCTTGCGTTGGCCATGGTTCGAGAGGTATTGCTGACACTTTGAAAGCCCTGGGTTCTCAAACCGTTCAAAGAAAGCACGTTCTTTAAGACTGGTCTATGCCTAGGTGGAACCCGGCAGTCCAAAGGTAGAAAACCAATCATGGTCAATGGTTCGTTCGAGAGCAGTCTTTGTGGACTTGCATCCCTGTATATTAGTGGCCAGCCAAGGAACATGTAGGCTTGCTGTAGCAATGTCAGATCGATGAGGACTTAGACGAAGAAAGAGCCTCGCGGGCGGGCATGGGGGCTCTGAGGACATGTCAGTCAGACAAGACCCCTTTGTTATGCGGCCACCGACCCTCCGAGTGGAAACGCGGGAATTCTAAACATAAGACACGAATAATAATATAAAGGCGATGCCTACTACGAGGAACCAAGGTGAACAAAAAAGAAATCCAGTGATATGAGACAACTGAGAAAATAAAACACTCAGTACACCGACTCTTCGCCGTCACATAACAAAAAAAAGAAATATGGCTATACAGTATGGTAAGTAACACAAGTTAAATAGAAAACATGCTCTTTTCGTGGACTCCCAGCGACGCCACGAGCTGTTTTCACGATCACCCTGGGGTGGTGTGTTGCTCAATTAGCATCGGAAACAAATCCGTGGTATTCTTCCAACGCGATCCCCAAGCGGACCGCACTCCTCTCAAAACGAGAGCTTAGTAGGTACGCTTGAAGGGAGGAACGGACTTGCACTCGTTCTCATCCAGAGTACCAGACTCAACAGCACGGTAGCCAAGCTCGACATCACCGTGGGGCTTCTTCTGCCATGTGAGAGTGTGCTTCATCCAGTTCTCGTCATCACGGTCGGGGAAGTCCTCACGGGCGTGAGCACCACGAGACTCCTTACGGTTGGAGGCGGCCAGGGCGGTTTGGGTACTGTAGACTAGTTAGCATAGGGCACTGACGTCGTAGGGATATAGTATAAAACGTACGCGCAAGTCAGCAAGTTACGGAGCTCGAGGGTCTCAACAAGGTCGGTGTTCCAGATCATGGAGCGGTCCTTGGTGCCGACCTGGTCGTACCAGGTGTCAATCTCGTTGACACGCTTGACACCATCATCCAGGGATTCCTGGGTACGGAAGACAGAGACATCGCTCTGCATGGCCTTCTGCATGGCCAGGCGGATATCGTTGGTGGACTTGGGGCCATCGGCGTTGCGGACAAAGTCCAGATCCTTGATGGACTGGGCACCGGCGTCGGAGGACAGCTCCTTGTGGGGCTTGCCAGGGGTGGAGATGTCGCGGACACGGTGGGAAACGGCACGACCGAAGACGATCAGATCAAGCAGAGAGTTGGCACCCAGACGGTTGGCACCGTGGACGGAGACGGAAGCGGCCTCACCGCAAGCGAACAGACCAGGGACAACCTTGTCCTTACCCTGCTCATCAACAGTCAAGACCTCACCGGTGTAGTTGGTGGGGATACCACCCATGTTGTAGTGGACGGTGGGCAGGACGGGGATGGGCTGCTTGGTGACATCGACACCGGCGAAAATGGAGGCAGTCTCAGAGATACCGGGCAGACGCTCGTGGAGCAGCTCGGCGGGCAAGTGGCTCAGCTGCAGGTAGATATGGTCCTTCTCGGGACCGACACCACGGCCCTCACGGATCTCAAGGGTCATGGAACGAGACACGACGTCACGGGAAGCCAGATCCTTGGCGGTAGGAGCGTAACGCTCCATGAAACGCTCACCCTCGGAGTTGAGCAGGTAACCACCCTCACCACGGGAACCCTCAGTGATCAGGCAGCCAGCACCGTAGATACCAGTGGGGTGGAACTGGACGAACTCCAGATCCTGGTTGGGCAGACCAGCACGGGCAGCCATGGCCATACCGTCACCAGTGCAAGTGTGGGCGGAGGTGCAGGAGAAGTAGGCACGTCCGTATCCACCAGTGGCCAGAACGGTCTGGTGGGCCTTGAAGCGGTGCAGTGTACCGTCCTCCTGGTTGTAGGCGATGATACCGCGGCACTCGCCGTCCTCCATCAGGAGATCGAGGGCGAAGTACTCGATGAAGTAGTTGGTGTTGTGGCGCAGAGACTGTCCGTAGAGAGTGTGCAGCAGGGCGTGACCGGTACGGTCAGCGGCAGCGCAGCAACGGTAGGCCTGGCCACCCTTACCGAAGTCCTTGGATTGACCACCGAAGGCACGCTGGTAGATACGGCCATCCTCGGTACGAGAGAAGGGGCAGCCGTAGCCCTCCAGCTCGCGGACGGAGGCGGGAGCCTCGCGGGTCATGTAGTGAATCGCATCCTGGTCACCGAGCCAATCCGAACCCTTCACGGTATCGTACATGTGCCATCTCCAGTCATCCTCGTGCATGCTATAGATGTCCAATTAGTTCCAGCTCGACACGTGTGGTGCTTAAATTGTCGATTGGGTAGGGTTGACGTACTTTCCGAGAGCAGCGTTGATACCACCCTGGGCAGCGACAGTGTGACTTCTGGTAGGGAACAGCTTGGAGACACAGGCAGTCTTGAAGCCAGCCTCGGCAAGACCGAAGGCAGCACGCAGACCGGCACCACCGGCACCGACAACGACGGCATCGTACTCGTGATCCTGATCCCGGTTAGATATTGCTTCAATGGCGATACAATCTGGTGCGCTTGTAGCGATGGCGGCTTACAATGATCGGGTACTTCTCGGCGAGGTAGCTGGTGTTCTCCTTGGCGCGCAGAGGTCCGTTGCCAAAGATCCGGGCTAATGGGAGTGGGAAAAAGGTGTTAGCTGTGATGCAAGAGGGAGCGGAAGAGGTCGGTTGGGGTTCAATGGCGTACCAGCGGGGCGCGAGGAGGAGAAGAGACGTCTCTGATCCCTCAAGACACGGGAGACCTGTATATCGACGGGCCAAGGTTAGTCTTCAAAGTTGGATTGCGCACTCGGGCCGAAAAGATTGCGCGAAGGACTGACCTTGGAGGCGGGAGCAAGGCTCCGCAGGCTGATGGAGCTCATTGTGAAGGGACAAAAGAGAGATGAACTCCAATTACCCAGACAATATAGAGACACCGAAGGGGGAAGATTAGCTTAGAGCGGAGAGGAATGGAAATTGGGGAGACTCCTTCCTGGAATTCCTGTTCGGGATCACGGTTGGCAGTTTGGTGCTGACTAACCCGGGTTGCGGTGGTCCAGCTGCCGAGCAGTCGGACCGAGGCCAATCATCGTCCACGGAATGGTCACCTCAATGCCCCAGAAGTGAGCCCCTGCACGTGATCCGCTTTTCGTTTTGCCGGTTGTCGGAAGAGGTCGGGGCCCGGCTATGCATACTAGTACATATAGTGATGAGTGAACGTAGTTCGCTATGTTAAGTATTGTTGAATTTATTGCATTTATTATATACATGTAACATTGTATCTATAGTAAAAGGTAAGCTACTATCCCAGTTATCCTGTACTGGGTACGGTGTACTTACCATGATCCGCCCAATTAGGAAAGCGCGATGGCAGTTCCGCCTAAATTCCGAGGCTGCCACTTGGAATCCTCAACCTCGGATGAAACGGCCTTGGCGTGCCCTAGCCTAGTATATGGTATCAACTTTAACAATACTTTCGGTTTTGTTTTGTTTTTCCCAAAAAGGTCAATATAAAAGTATATCAAATTTGAGAGTATTCTATAAGCTTAAATTGAAGCCATCAACCACCCAGCTAATTATTTACAGATGTGAATCCAATTTTGATACAGCCGTATGACTACCCTAGAAACTTTAAATATCCTTGACAAACTTGCATTGTTACAAATGTAGCGTCTTGAGCATTTTTGGAATTTTTGTATGTTCGCTACACAACTTGTCCAAATATTGAAATCTACTAGTATATCATTCGGTCGGAATAATTGGCAACTTGAATCGGGCAGATGGCCGCATTTAACGCCTCTCGTCATCCTTTTTACTACTGTAAAGACCGATGCGGCTCGCGCTTCTCCGGCACTTCGGCGCTTCTCGGCCCCGAAGTGCCAATCGTAGGTAACTCATAGCCTTGCATCGAGCATGGGTAATCCTTGTGGATTTGCAGATCATTAAAAGCTTGAACGCCAGCTCAGAACTCGCTTGATTCAAGTTCCACATACCACAAAACTTGGAATCAAATCCTCACTAGGGATTTTTGTCGGGCTTGACATCAAATCCCGATTCCGTGTTACTTCTTAACGGAATCACTCGAAACCATCAAGATTTTTGAGAAGTTCGGGAGGGCCTTATGGTAATCAAGAGTCGATGCTATCTAGACCAGAAATGAAGACTTCTAGTGCTATTAGATAATGCATTGCCAGTAAATTTTTCAGACACAAGCCTCCGATATAGATACCTAATTTGTTTAAAATCCACCCATATCGTACTTTGAACCATGACATCAAGGCGGCTTATTGACCCTGGCCTTGTTTGTACAACAAGCTTTATGGATCTGCGGAAATCTTACGCTAAACTCCGCTCAGAACCCGCTCCAAGGAATGCATCGCGGGCTTTCGGACCTCGCTCCTTCGGAACGACCGTCTTCAACGATGCAGATTCTGCGACAAGCGAAATTTCTCTGTAGTATCAGGTGCAACCATGAGCTCTTTTTGGACTGATCGGCAGCGTAACCAAGCAGTGCTGAGGATATAAAGATCAATTATTCACGCCCGGCTCACTTGATTTCGATAATAACCTCTCACGCTTGAAAAGAATACTCACCTCGACAAACTCCCATATAAACAGAGATACTCTTGAAATAATCTTGAATCTCCTGCAGTTATCATCGCCATTGCGACAATGAATCTCAAGACTCATCCGGCTACTACCTTTGGGCGGCGCAACTTTGTCGACGTGATCGATGAAATCGCATCTTCTGAGCCATCTCGGCCCGTCGTTTTCCTTCCCCGTTCTGCAAGCGCAGAAGATGGATGGGAGGAGTTAAGCTTCGGGATTTACGCCAATTCCATCAACCGCTTTGCTCAGTGGATCGTCGAACGCGTCGGACATGCTAAAGACGGAGACTGTCCCACGGTCGCGTACATTGGTCCAAACGACATACGTTACTTGATTGTTTTAGCTGCGTCAATTAAAGCTGGTTATAAGGTAAGTATCTCGCTTTTGGGAATATTGAGGGTTCGAGGCTCAATTTTAGAGAACAATATAGGCCCTTTTTATCTCCCCCCGCAATAACATCGAGAGCCAGTTGTCTCTGTTTCAAGCGACCGATTGTGAGTGGATCATTCACTCACCAGAGTACACGAAAGTGGTAGAGTCTTGGTTGAGTGCTCGCCCGATGAAATCGAGCCTGATCGATTCCATCAGCGATATCCTCTCCGAAGAGCACGTCCCGTCTTTCCCCTACCAAAAGCCATTTGACGAAATTTGCACAAAGCCAGCTTTCGTTTTACATACAAGTGGTAGTACTGGAACTCCAAAGCCGATTATTTGCCGTCATGGTATTCTCTCGCTAGCTGATGCATATCATCAACGGCCCGAATTCGCTGGATATTCTCATATCATGAAAGCCTTTTCGGAGATGGGCAGCAAGGTTTTGTGTACAAGTATGGATTTTTCATATCCCCAAATGTTATGCACGATCTAACAAAAGCTTTTGATGCAGTGCCGTTTTTTCACGCTCTCGGTCTTTACTACTACATCAGTCTTTCCATCTTCTGGGGCACTCCGCTGGTACTCCCAATTGCAGACCAGGCAGTGACCCCGGATAGTGTCTACTCTTTTATCAATAATTCCGGAGCCGATGCTGCTGTTTTAGCTCCATCCCTTTTACAAGACATGAGTCACGACAAGGATGATATGAATTTACTAGCTGCGCTTTCATTTGTGACATGTGGTGGTGGTGGTCTTGAAATTGAAGCTGGGGACCGACTTGTGGAGGCAGGAGTCACGCTCGCCAATATCATTTCAACCACAGAGTGAGAGCCCTAGAGGCCTACCCGATTAAAATCGATTTTATATAATTGCTAATAAGAGATAGATATGGGCTGTATCCAATTTATTTCCAGCCCGACGTGAAATTATGGAGATACTTCGTTTTCGATGATGAAACCTTTGGCTCCGATTACCGACCAACTGGCGATGATACCTTTGAACATGTCATCGTCCGCCGCGATCAAGACCCGGGAATGCAAGGCATCTTCTATACTTTTCCCGAGCTTGATGAGTATCACACCAACGATCTATACAAACCTCACCCAACTCTCCCTCATCTTTGGCTCCATTCCGGACGATCAGATGATGTGATTGTATTTTCAAATGGCGAGAAGCTGAATCCCGTGTCCATCGAATCTATTGTTGGCGCTCATCCAGCTCTCAAACGAGCTGTCGTCGTCGGTCAAGGGAAATTCCAAGCTGGAATTTTCCTCGAGCCACATGAAATCCCCAACAATGATGCTGCGGCCAGGGCCCTCATCGACAATGTCTGGCCTACCATTGAACAGGTAAATAAACAGACAGTGGCCCATGGACAGGTTGCCAAACATTTGGTCAAAGTTTCAGACTCCACAAAGGCTATCCCATCGTCTGCCAAGGGCTCTCTTCAGCGAGGTGCGTTCTTGAAACTCTACAAGGACGAAATCGAGAACATGTATGAGGAAAATAATGCAGCCGGAGCGGCGGGACTTTCACTTGAAAGTGAAGATGCTCTTATGAAGTCTCTTCATGACATTATCGTCACGCAGCTTGGCGTTGAGGAGATCATGCCCGATACGGACTTCTTCGAAGCTGGTATCGACTCACTTGGAATCATCAACTTGAGTAAAATTCTTACAGATGGGCTCCAACATGCTGGGGTGTCTGAAGACTGCGGTGTGGTTACGAACAGAGTTATCTATGGCAACTCCTCCCTTCGAAGGCTTGCTCGGAATCTATTTGCCCGTGTTTCTCAAAACCCAATCTTTGCCGATGGCACTGATGGAGTGGAAGCGGCAAATGCAATCTTGAAGAAGTACAGTATCGAGTCGATCGATAGCATTATTCCCAACAAGCCATCACCCAAAGACAACGTCCAGACAATCATTCTTACTGGGTCGACGGGAAGTCTCGGCTCGTATCTTCTGGACCTACTGGAGGGCAGCGACTCGGTCTCCAAAGTTATTTGTCTCAATAGAAGTGCCGATGGAGGTCACATAAAGCAACTTCAGTCTAATAGAGAACGAGGTCTCCAAGTTGAATTTCCGAAAACAGAATTTCTACATGCAGATTTGTCACAGGAAATGTTTGGACTGGATAGTGTCATCTACGACCGTCTCTTGCTATCGGTGGACCGCATCATCCACAATGCTTGGCCGGTCAATTTCAACCTTTCTGTTGAATCGTTCGATTCCAGCATTCGCGGTGTTCAACGATTGGCAGACTTCTCTTTCCATGCCACAAAGTGTGTTCCAATCGTTTTCTTGTCATCAGTGGGCTCTGTCGATCGCTGGGCTGAACCTGAACCCGTTCCCGAGGCTCTTCTTACCAATCTGGGCCTCGCTTCAATGGGCTATGGTCAATCTAAGTTTGTTGGTGATTTGATTCTACAGCAAGCAAGAGACAAACTCGGTGTTCCAACTGCAGTGGTTCGTGTCGGTCAGATTTCTGGTCCTCGCAACGGAAAGGGAGCCTGGAACAAGCAAGAATGGCTTCCGACTATCATTTCTTCGTCGATACGCCTTGGTCAACTGCCTACAGATCTCGGTGCAAATAATGCAATTGACTGGGTCCCGGTCGAAGATGTCGCTATGATAGTCCTTGAAATTGCAGGCATTCTATCGTGCCGCCCATGGTCTGAGATATCTGGCCATTTCCACATTGTGAACCCACTCCACGCACAGTGGAGAGATCTTGAGGAGGCTGTGAAGAGCTTCTACGAGGAGCAAGGGCATCCAATGGTGTCTGTTGATATGGCCACCTGGGTCAAGAGTGTTGAAGCTAGCTCTGAAAACGGAAGCGAAATCCCCGCCGTGAAACTTTTAGATGCCTACAAGGGACTCATTGCCGAAAAGCCTCACCACCCAGGATTCTCTACGACTAGAACAAGGGGAATTAGCAAGACACTAGACCGACTTGCTCCTATCAATGCAAAAATGATGAAGGCATGGTGCAAAGAGTGGAGCTTTTAATGTTGACTGAATGGGATACCACGTCTTCATACGGGGATTCTTAATTATAGATATACAGCTAGATAAAGGATTTGAGAATCAATTCTCCTCAAGATCTACTAGTGCTATTGATCAATTATCGTTTTTCTGGCTTTGTTCATCAGAGAGTAATCTAGAGGTTTCCGTCAGATTTAAATTCGAACGATGTGCTCTACGGTTTGAATGAATCGATAGAATGCGCAACATGCAATAGGAATTTAATCTCAAATTTTTGGGCCTTCGGAATTTCAAGAGATAGCTTGGTTACCATGCCGTTTGCCATGGATTCGTGGTCATGTGGATCGCTCTGGGAATCAGTGGAGTGGACTTTATTAAATTCTAGCATATGGTGACGGTAAACCTGGGCATTTCAAATTATATAATCTCGCAGATTCGAATTTAATACTTTGATATGATGCCTTTGAAGCTGAATTCTACCAGAGTGTTGAAGCTTTAGAAAGTACCCTGGCAATCGGCCCTCTCATCTGCTCATCTGGCGTGTACAACCCAGCTTGACCGCCCTGCGTGCCACCATTGAGAATAAGACAGAGACACGGCCCACCCCGAAAATGATGATGTTCAAAAGCCTGAAGTGTTATCTTCGATGTGACGCCGTTGAGCTGTCTGGTAGATGAATCAACTCGGGGTTATCGGGTTGAAGAGCACGACTTTAGGGCGCGTTCGTTCCCTCTGCCCAGCATGAAACCACCCCTGGCCTGCAAAAACTGCCGAGCGCGCAAGAAGAAATGCGACCGCGCATATCCAATATGTTCCTACTGCCTAAGGTCTGCTGCATTGAACTTCCCGACAATAAATTATTCTAATATTAAGCTAGAACCCATGATCGCTGTGAATACCGGATTGACGGCCATACTAACCGCGCTACGCGGCCAATGGTATCAGGCGCGCCCTTGGCAAATGAAAGCGAAGTTGCAAAAAAGAGTTCGATTCAACGCAGCAATGTTTTTGGGAAGCTCAAGTCAAACTATCACGGTGCCCCCTTCACTGAAAAGTGACGCCGTTGGTGCTGATGTTTTAAAATACATCTATGGCCCTGGCCAAACCAATCAAGAGCAATGGGTCTCTAATTTTACCAATGTTGTCGACTCCTGGATACCATTTATCCCCCTCAATGAGCTTCATACAAGATTATTGGATGAAAATAGTCATCTCAGTGCAGAAGATGTGCTTTTGCTTGCGTGCATCAAGTTGAATGCAGACGTTCTCCCCGAAAACCAACCGCTAAACAAGCAGTACCTCGCTGTGAAATCATCGTTCATGACTATAGAGATCTACGGTACGCTCTCTATCAGACTGCTTCAAGCTTCGCTTCTACTTCTCTTTTATGAGTTTGGACATGGCATTTTTCCCTCCGCGTATACAACCCTGGGGTGCTGTGTCCGATATTTAGGGGCTCTTGAGATAGAAGCAACACTAGAACAAAAGAATACAACCGACTGGATAGACCTTGAGCAAAAAAGACGTTTATGGTGGTCGGTATATGTTATGGAGCGGTTGGTCAATTCTATCTTTACGTTCTTCGACGTGTTCCAAGGTTGCTAAATCATAATGCTAGCATCATAGCTCTTGGTTGTCCACAACACCCACTTTTGTTGCGAGAACCTGACGAAGACCACATACTCCCTTCAGATGATGCTTCATGGAAACAATCGGTAATTTAATCCGAATTTCTTTGTCCTGGAGCCTCCATGCTAACAATTAACAGCGCCCATCGCCTGACGCCAGCTTAACGCTTTTATCGCCGGCTAGTTCCAACATGGGGACATTTCGTCTACTGGTCCATGCCGCATATCTAGTTGGTCGAGTACTACAATTATTTTCTGACCAAAAATCTGGAGATCAATCAATACAGATGAGACGGACGCAGCTCTACCGCACGATCAGCGCACTAGCTATTGTATTGGAAGTTGAGTTGCAAACATCGCTCGTTTCAGTCAGTGTAGCACGCAGCACTATAAACAGGTGATTACCCGGTGCTAAGATCAGCTATGTCTCAAATCTAACTTTTCTAGCGCGCTATTTGTACTTTATTCTTTTGATGAACCAGGCGATGGCGAACCTGACAGTATTTACGACCCTAGTCACCCACTGAGCAAATCAGCGCATACTTGTCTCAATTTGACAAGGATTTACAACAGTGGTGATTATTCTAGTACCAAGAGAGCGTCTCCATTTCTCTTGTGTTGGGGACATCCCGCCTTTAAGTATTTCTACGATCGTTATAATCTTGATGGGCACCATCAGAGCTTGGAGGCACTTAATGATATGAGATGCGCAATGGAGTCTCTTGGTAAGAAGTGGAAACTTGCAGGTGCGCAAAATCTATCTCACGCTTATTGACGACCTATAACATATGAAATATAGGTGTCTACGCCGTTCTTTTGAATGGTAACTAAGTCCTTGATTCCGAGAGATGGGATAAGTTTCATTTTCAGGAGCATCCCAGAGACGCGCCAGGGGAAGATTAATTGGAGCTGGAATAATTGCAACAATGCATGGCATAAATTGTTAGAGTCAAGAGCACGTAGGAATATTTGAGAAAGCGTCATGTCAGAAAAGGAAACCGTCGCCACCACACCAGCAATACTATGGTACATCTACCGTGGCTGCGGTAGGAACCTTTCACTCGAGGCCGACCAATAGACTAGCACCATACTACACGAAGTACAGGGATCGACAGTATTGTAGATTATAGATTCGTTCAAAATGACAAGAACTAGAAGTGATCGTACAGCCTATCCGCCATGCTCCATGCAAGAACCAATCTCCCAAGCTCTAGTTGTATTGCATGTACGTCGCCGTCGAGTTGAACTTCAGGTTACCCTTGATAACCTTCTCCACCGATGCCAGGAAATCCTTCTCGGTGGCCACCTTTCTTCGAGCACGAATGGCAAACATACCAGCCTCAGTTGCGACACTGCGTAGTTCGGCACCGGTGGCGTTGGGGCACAGGCGGGAAATCAGCTCCCATCGGATATCCCGCTCGACAGACATGCTCTTGGCGTGAATTCGGAGAATGTTGGCTCGGCCCTCGACGTCAGGAAGAGAGAACTCGATCTTTCGGTCGATACGACCAGGACGCATCAGGGCAGGGTCCAATGTGGAAGGTCGGTTAGTAGCGAACATGACCTTGATGTTACCACGGGAGTCGAAACCATCCAACTGGGTAATGAGTTCCAGCATGGTACGCTGGACTTCGTTGTCACCACCAGCACCATCGTCGAAACGGGCACCACCGACAGCATCGATTTCGTCGAAGAAGATAATGCACGCCTTCTTAGTGCGTGCCATCTCGAACAATTCACGGACCATTCGGGCACCTTCACCAACGTACTTCTGGACCAGCTCGCTACCAATAACACGGATGAAGGTTGCGTCTGTTCGGTTGGCGACGGCACGAGCGCAGAGGGTCTTTCCGGTACCGGGAGGGCCGTAAAGCAGGGCACCCTTGGGCGGGTCGATTCCCAGGTTCACAAATCGCTCTGGTGATAGCAAGGGCATCTCAACGACTTCTCGTAGCTTCTCAATCTGCTCTTTGCAACCACCAACATCGCCGTATGTAACATCGGGCTTATCTTCAACAGTCATCATCGTCACGCTGGGGTCGATCTTGGGAGGAAGTGGCAGCATGATCTGGTATTTATTCCTATCGACACTGTTGGGACCAGTAGTCAGTATCCGTCGCCTTGAGGCCCGCTCATCATCGTAAGGAAGCACTTACCCAACTCGCATGCCTTCCTCAATATCTGTCGGACTAACGCGCTCTCCTAGATTGACGACAAACTTGGCGATCTGCTTGACGTTGATGACATATTTGCTCTTGTCGGCATCCTTCTCATCCTGAATAATCTTCGTGCAGCGAGCTACTTGCAAGGGCTGCTCTTCCGCCATCCGTTGTCGGTCGGCGGCGACATCCCAAAGGTGTGGAGGTGCAAGACCTGTGTCGGATTCCTGATGCGCGTGTGAGCTCTGGGGTTTTCCAAAGGGGTCGAGGTAGCTGGCAGTGTAATAATTACCTTCACGCCGACCTTCTCGTTGACGCTGTTTTGTTTGTCTTTGATATCCTTCTCGAGCTTCTTGAGGGCGTTGGCGTAGGGAGCGGCTCCGTAAGTCTTAAGTACCGCAATGTCACTGCCAAAGACGTCAGTCACCATCACCACCACCACCACCATCACCACCGGAGCTCAGCAGCATCCCCGGAATACTTGAACAATGGGCAACTCACTCGTCTGAGAGGGGTGTGATCTTCTTCTCGGGCTCCTCATCATCAGCGAAGTTCTTCTGGTACTTCTCCCAGTTCTGGCCTGTCGCGCTAGGCATGGTGATGTGTTGACAGCCTCGGGCTGGAGAGCTGCGGAAGTATCGAATGTAGCGGACAAGTGACTAAATGTGAGGATTTGGGTAGAATCGAGATTCGAAATCGAGAGAACTCCGGGGATTGGGTGGATTGGAGGGAAGTTGGATGGAGGATGATGATGTCGAGTTGAGAGCTGTGGTGGCCGAAGCTCTCCAGCGGCAACTGCAACTGGAAACTCACTAATCAACGCCAAGCTTCATCACCGCCCCCCGAACCTCGCAGAATTTCCTCAGTCTTCTCCATCTCCGCCAACATCACTCTCCCCTTTCTGTTTCATTTCTGCTTTTGAATATTCACATTCAATATGGCAGCTGCAGTGTCCCAGGGAGGCGCTGCCCCCACTACCTTCAAGGTGCGCCCCTGAAAAAAAAGGACTGTTTGTGTGGGCTCCGTGCTAATGACCGGACAGGACAAGGAGAAGCCTATGGCCGTGCGATCATCCAACATTCTCGCTGCTCGAGGTATGTCAAAACGACTTTAGATGTGATGCGAAGATTCAGCTAACCGTTGAATAGCTGTCGCCGATGCCATTCGAACTGTACGCTTATCAAACCCGCTCACATTTATAAATTATTCGGAGATGAGGGGCTAACGGAGAATCACAGTCTTTGGGACCCAGGGGTATGGATAAGATGGTAAGTACACCACAATGAGTGAATGGCAACGGGATTCTAATACTGGCACAGATCCAAACCGCCAAGGGAAACACCATTATCGTACGCAATTCCATTTCCATGCCTATCCTCCGATGACCCCTCCGACTGACCCCCTCCCCCCGCAGACCAACGATGGCAACACTATGCTGAAGGATATGAGCGTCATGCACCCCGCTGCTCGTATGCTGGTTGACCTCAGTGCTGCACAGGATGTCGAGGCTGGTGATGGTACAACCTCCGTCGTTGTCATTGCTGGCAGCCTTCTCGGTGCTGCTGATCGCCTGCTGTCCAAGGGCGTTCACCCCACCGTCATCTCCGAGTCCTTCCAGCGCGCTGCCAACGCCGCTGTCGAGATCCTCCACAACATGTCCCGTCCTATTAACCTGACCGACCGCGCTACTCTCATCCAAGCCGCCTCTACCTCCCTCTCCTCCAAGATTGTTTCCCAGCACTCCGGTCTTCTGGGCCCTATGGCCGTGGACTCCGTCTTGAAGGTTATCGACCCCAAGACCGCCGAGAACGTTGACCTGCGCAACATCCGTATCGTGAAGAAGGTTGGAGGTACCATTGAAGATAGTGAGATGATCGAAGGCCTGGTCTTGAACCAGCCCGTCATCAAGAACAGCGGTGGCCCGACAAGAATTGAGAAGGCCCGGATAGGTCTCATCCAGTTCCAGCTCAGCCCTCCCAAGCCTGATGTATGTGGCCCGCCCGGTTTTCTTTTTTCTTATTCCCTTTTCAGAAGGACGACAAAACTGACCCCTCTCAGATGGAGAACCAAATCGTCGTCAACGACTACCGCCAGATGGACAAGATCCTGAAGGAGGAGCGCCAGTATCTGCTCAACATGGTCAAGAAGATCCAAAAGACCAAGTGTAACGTGCTTCTGATTCAGAAGTCGATCCTCCGCGACGCCGTTAACGAACTCTCCCTGCACTTCCTTTCTCGCCTTAAGATCCTCGCCATCAAGGACATCGAGCGCGATGAGGTCGAGTTCCTGTGCAAGTCTCTCGGCTGCAAGCCCGTTGCCAACGTCGACAGCTTCACCGAGGACAAGCTTGGTACTGCTGACCTTATCGAGGAGGTTCAGTCTTCCGGTGCCCGTTACGTCAAGATCACTGGTATCAAGGCCCCCGTCAACCCTGTCAGCCAGACCGTCTCCATCGTCGCCCGCGGTGCCAACCGCCTGATTCTCGATGAGGCCGAGCGTTCCCTCCACGATGCCCTCTGTGTCATCCGTTGTCTCGTCAAGAAGCGCGCCATGATTGCTGGTGGTGGTGCTCCCGAGGTCCAGGTTGCTCACACCCTTGCCATGCGTGCCCGTGAGCTCACTGGCACCGAAGCCATTTGCTGGAAGGCGTTCGCGGATGCCATGGAGGTCATCCCCACCACTCTGGCGGAGAACGCTGGTCTGAACTCGATCAAGGTTGTCACCGAGCTGCGCCACCGTCACGCACAAGGCCAGTACAATGCTGGTGTCAGCATCCGCAGCGGCGGTGTCAAGGATGATATCACGGAGGAGAACATTCTGCAGCCTCTGTTGGTCAGCACCAGCGCGATTGAGCTGGCTGCGGAGACCGTGAAGATGATCTTGAGAATTGACGACATTGCTCTGTCGCGGTAGATGGCTTCAGGGACCTCTGCCTAGAGCTGTATGATGAACCGCGATGGCCTCGCGACGAGTAATTACTACCAAAAAATATCCGTTTTCACATAGATCTTGCGGTTGGGACATTTTCATCAAAAGTCCGATTGTCATGTCCTTTCATAATTCTTTCTCGGCTAGTAGGATGCAGCTCTTGTAATCGCCATTCAAGTCCCACCTGGGTAGTACTACTGTCTTGGATCTTTTGGTCTAAACTTGAACATTGGACCACGGGCCCACTGGCCTGAGCTCAAGTATATATATAGTGTCAGTGGGCCAGGCCACTATTAAAAGCTGTCGAAAGATAAAGCCTTGAAGTCCATGATCCCCTTTAAACTTGAATTTCGTATGAACCCACTCCAGGGCTACTTGAAGTTGTCAGCCCTGGAGCCTGGAGTGTTCCAGCGGGCCCCAGGGGGGAAGGAAGTTTGTTTGGCGGGTGACCAAAGAAACAGCATCCACCTGCAGGTGGGCACCACCACCACTTTCTCGTTAATGAACTTCAAGTTGAACATGCTTCCAGCGTTCAGAAATTCCAGCCAAATCTCAATGCTTTCAAGCTTGGACCTTTTTGTTGGTTTCTCTCTTATCAATTCCGAGTCCTATTTATCCTCGCCACACTCCCCCAAAATGCATCTATATGCGCCATTCGCCCGCCACCATCAGTGGACGGCGACTTTCAGACCACTGGCAGGATGGAATCTCTTATTGAGCACTATCTTGGGAGATTATAATCGAACGAACCATGTCCACACCAGAAAAAGCTTGACCAAAAAGGGGTCTCAATAAGACCTTTTCTCCGGTCCGAGTCTGCCATGGATGCGAGTGCTTTGTGTGCACACTAAGCAACACAACTTGGAATACGCGATACACGCGTCCTGCACCTCACGAATACGATACGCCTGCTAGGACATTTATCTTGGCAACTTCGCTCAGTGCCGAGTGAGAATTCGAGTGAGAATCAGAAATCTTCAAGTTCAAGTTGGCTGTGGTGCTTGTATACGAGTATCTCTCAGTGCCAAGTGCCGCGCTTGCCCGCGGATCCACCAAACCCGAGGCCGCCCCGACTCGGAGGTCCCACCGATAAGCAATCCAACCTCAGCCTCACGAGTCACCGCAGCTTCGACAACCATGGGGAAGCTCGAAGACGAAGGCAGCTCCGAGGCCGTGCCCTTAACTAGTCGGCGATCGAATTCACTCGCCTCGCAAGCTACCACCGATTCGGGCTTGTCGGTCGCCTCGGCGACTTTCCTCGAAGCTCACAAGGCAAGCATGCTAGCCGACAATCAAGGAGGAGAAGGGGAGGGACAGGGACAACGATACTACGATATGGAAGATGGGCCAAATGAAGGTTCGGACGAGCCATTCCTACCAGGCCGGAAGAAGACAGCAGCCGTGTCGAGTCGGATGCGTCGCGCTCTCTGGGCCTTGGGCTTGCTCTGTGTTGGTGGTTGGCTGCTCGCCTTCGTGCTGTTCTTGACGTCGGAGCGACCCGGCACCGCGGCACTCTCGTCTACCTCAACCGTTACTATTCACGATCCGCACTCTGCTACCGGAGGCACTAGCTACGGACGATCCGTCACATTGGAGCAGATGTTGAAGGGGGAGTGGTTACCGCGGTCGCATGCCATTTCCTGGATTGCTGGGCCAAATGGTGAAGATGGACTGTTGGTGGAACAAGGCGAAAGTGGAGATGGCTTTTTGCGAGTGGAGGATATTCGAAGCCGCAAAAACAAGTCGGGTGCTCTGGAAACCCGTGTCTTGATGGACAAAGCCGAGTTCCGGGTTGATGGCGAACTCGTCAGGCCGGCCATGACTTGGCCGAGCCCGAATTTGGAGAAAGTTTTGATCATGTCTGACTACAAGAGTAATTGGAGACACTCTTTCTATGGCAAATATTGGATTATGGATGTCGCGACTCAGGAGGCGGAGCCGCTGGACCACAGTGACTTGAGTGATCGGGTTCAGCTGGCTGTTTGGTCGCCCCAGTCTGATGCCGTTGTTTTTGTCCGCGAGAATAATGTCTTTTTGCGGAAACTGTCTTCATTGGAGGTTATTCCTATCACCAAAAACGGTGGTGACGACCTCTTCTATGGTGTTCCCGATTGGGTTTATGAAGAAGAGGTCTTCCAGGGTAAAACTGGCACTTGGTGGTCGCAAGATGGAAAGTTCCTGACTTTCCTGCGCACCAACGAGACTGCTGTTCCCGAATACCCGGTTCAGTACTTCCTGTCTCGCCCTTCAGGCAAGGCTCCGGAACCTGGCCTGGAGAATTATCCAGAGGTCCGACAAATCAAGTATCCCAAGTCTGGAGCACCCAACCCAGTGGTGGACTTGCAATTCTATGATGTCGAAAAGAACGAGGTTTTCTCTATCGCCATGCCGGACGATTTTGCTGATGATGACCGGATCATCATTGAAATTGTCTGGGGGAACGGAGGCAACGTTCTTATTCGCGAGACCAATCGTGAGAGTGACGTTGTTAAGATCTTTGTTCTCGACACCAAGACTCGAACTGGAAAGCTTTCTCGGACAGAGGACATTGCTGCCTTGGATGGTGGCTGGGTTGAGCCCTCGCAGTCGACTCGTTTCATTCCCGCAGACCCGAAAAATGGCCGACCAGAGGATGGATACATCGATACTGTCATCCACGAAGGCTATGACCATTTGGCATACTTTTCTCCCATTGATAGCTCAGAGCCCAAAATGCTTACAAAAGGAAAATGGGAAGTCGTCAGCGCACCATCTGCCGTTGATTTGAAGAAAAACTTGGTTTACTTCGTATCAACCCAGGAAGCGCCGACTGAACGGCATGTATACTCGGTCAAGCTTGATGGATCTGATCTTCGACCCTTGACCGATACATCCAAGCCTGGGTACTTTGGTATCTCATTCTCAGAAGGCTCTGGATATGGACTGCTTACTTCCAAGGGACCCGCGGTACCCTGGCAAGCCATAATTAGCACCGATGGTGATAAATTGGAGATTGAAGACACTATTGAAGAGAACCCGCACCTCATTGAGATGGTCGAGGATTACGCACTACCTGCAGAGGTATACACTAACGTGACGATCGACGGGTATACCCTCCAAGTGCTTGAGCGCCGGCCGCCACACTTCAACCCGTCTAAGAAATATCCCGTGCTCTTCTTCCTGTATGGTGGACCCGGGTCCCAAACAGTTGACCGCAAGTTTACGGTCGACTTCCAATCATACGTCGCTTCGAGCCTTGGCTATATCGTTGTCACCGTCGATGGACGGGGTACAGGTTTCATTGGACGGGACGCCCGATGCATCGTCCGTGGCAACTTGGGCCACTACGAAGCGAACGATCAGATCGAAACAGCAAAGATCTGGGCCGACAAGCCATATGTCGATGAAGGCCGCATGGCTGTGTGGGGCTGGAGCTATGGCGGGTTCATGACTTTGAAGATCCTCGAACAGGATGCTGGCCAGACATTCCAGTATGGCATGGCTGTAGCACCTGTCACCGATTGGAGATATTATGGTAATCTGATAACTGCTTGACTTGATCGGACTGGAATTAGACGGCTAACGTGACTTTCAATCACAGACTCTATATACACAGAACGCTATATGCACACACCGCAGCACAACCTCGAAGGCTACGAGAATGCGACGATCTCCGACGCTGCGGCCTTGGGCGAGAACACGCGATTCTTGATCATGCACGGTGTCGCCGATGACAATGTCCACCTCCAAAATACACTTGTTTTGATCGACAAGCTCGATTTGGCGAATATCGACAACTACGATATGCAGGTGTTCCCCGATTCAGATCACAGCATCTTTTTCCACAATGGCCACACACTGGTCTATGAACGTGAGTTGCTTGATAACCCACCCAGAAGGAACGGAATGGAACTGAACTAATACGGATCGTAGGTCTTTCGAGCTGGCTCGTCAATGCGTTCAATGGCGAATGGGATCGTATCGCTAACCCAAAGCCCGAGCAAGACTCGGCATGGAATCGCGTGAAGCGGTCTTTGTCATTCGACCTTCCCGCTTGATCTGCGATGCTACTTCTTTAGGGCTTTATAGATATCATTAGTGCTTCGTAAATACATAAATGACATTAATTGATTCGACGTTCGACATTTAGTTTAAGACATGACTCAGGCTCCGAGTATTCCGCATGTAGATCTCATGGACCGGAAGATGTATCCCCAGTTCCGACGACTCGCACGCGGCCCAGAAGAAAGTAGTCCTGTCAAGGCTCGATAACCGAACCTTGGTAATGATAGTCTGGGTGTACACCGTCAGCCTCATAAGGTTCTGCGGGTTCGACCTTGTTCTCTCCCCATTGTGCTCCCCACGCATACGGATACCCCCTACTCCTCCCTTTGGCCAGGGCCACCCAGGGCACCCACAATAAGATTGTCCACGAGGGATCGACGCCAAGTAGATATTTCGAGCCCTAGGCTATCACGTGTTGGAGTCAAGCTCAAAGTGCGCCCCATATAAAAATACGCCAACCCACTGATCCGCGCCTACTGATCCTTCTTAGCCGGGATTCCCCCGAAAAGGATTTTAAGTGTGGTGCGGTAGTTTGTCCCAGAGAACGAACGTGTCAAGAATAGCTCGCCAATCTATTCCGATATTAACTCGACAAACCTCTGTGGAGTGAGTTTGGGTCGGATCCCGTCCAGCGGTTCTTCGGCTGTCATTGGAACTGTCAAAACTGTCAAAATCCGGATCTTGATGGACCCGCCCCCTGTCAACCTCTCCACGGTTCCCACCAATCCAAAAGAGGGAATATACACTGCCGGTGAGGAAAACCTCGGTAATTCATGAACAGGTATTTCCAAATGGCTTGTGGTTCCATTCACGGTATGGCCGTCCCGCGTCTAGTGGATCTGCACCGCTTGCCAACCCGAATCACGCTAAACCGCGGCCGTTAGCTCCAAAGGCCCCTTAAAATTCACCTTGTTAGCGTACACGAGACCCTCTTTGTCGGAGATGAATATTCTTGAGCCACTTGCCACTTGTGGGACGCATCATGGGAAGCGGGTCCCCCCCGGTAGCCCGAGAAATTCCTGCGTCCGGCACTTTGTGTTTGGTCAAGTTGTGCTTGATGCCGTGTGTGGCTTCACGCTAGAAATATTTACTTACCCCGTTCTGGCCCTGTCGAAGACAGAGTTATGGAGTCTAGCGTACTACATACAAGTTTGCCCCTGACACGAAACGCTCTTTAACTCTGCGAATTCCACTTTTCCAGAGCCCTCGTTAACTATTCCTTTGCTTGGATGCGAGGCTCAGGGCAAATTATTCCACTGATCTTCCTTTGCCCTGACAATCGGCGTTATGGGTACCGTTGAGGATCATCAAAATGGGGCGATTATAGCTGTTGCAGCTACTTTTATGACGATAGCGTTTATCACAGTGGCACTCCGATGCTATGTCCGACTCCGCCTAGTGAAGGCGTTCGGCTGGGATGATGGCTCGATGGTAGTGGCTATGGTAAATTAACCGCTCTCTTTGTTCCCGTCTACAGCCCTCTAAACTGATCTAAATAGGCCTGTTATATACTGTTTTCAGCATCCATGATCGGGGCGGGTCTCCACGGAAATGGGCGACACTGGTATAATGTCCTCCCTGAGGAGCGAGTGGTCGCAATGAAGGTAAATCAAACCAGCTAAATCTATGTTCTGACCAAAAAGCCAAAAGTACTAACATTCTTGTCTTCAAAAGTATTGGTGGTTATGTGAAATTGCATTCTGTTTTTCATCGATTTTCTGCAAGATTTCGATTTGCATTTTCTTGATGCGTATCTGCATCAAGAAAACACACATGTGGACTCTTTACTCGGTCATGGCCTTGACCGTTTTGGCTGGCCTTGTTTTCATGTTCCTCATGCTCTTACAATGCAAGCCACTGTCATACTTCTGGACCCGGATGGCCAAACACCCAGTCGTCAACGTTGAAGGCGAAGGCTTTTGTATCAACATGGAAATCATAGTCGCCATGACATACGTTTACAGTATCTTCGCTGCCGTTTGTGATTTCACTGTCGGCATTTTACCCATTTTCGTCGTCCACCAACTACAAATGAAGACACAGACGAAGGTTGCGGTGATTGGCATTTTGAGTATGGCTTGCATGTATGTGAACGCCCTCCTCCAAGACTCTGGGATATACGACTGACCAGATTCATAGTGCCTCCTCCGCTGTTATTGTTCGCATCCCGTTCGTCAAGACCTTCCTTGATCTGAACGACTTTTTATGTACGTCAAGTTTCTCCCGTCTTACACCAACCTTCTCATTGAAAATAATACTAACAATATGCCAAAGTTTCGACTGTCCAAATCGCATACTGGTCGAATATTGAGATTGGTCTAGGAATTACCGCCGGCAGTCTCGCGACCCTCCGCCCCCTCCTCCGTCACTGGTTCGGCACGCGCGCCGACCCATCATACTCAGCCGGCTTTCCCAAACAATCATACGGGCGCCGTACCGGCGGCGGTCTCAGCGGAGCGCATGGTGCATCACTACCATTGGGGTCAATTAGCCAAGCTGAAGGAGGCGACTTAAGGCCCGATAAGGTCTCAGTCATGGTGACGAACATCGAGAGCCAAAGAGACTCAAAGAAGTCCTGGCCAAGGCCGTCCAGCCCGAGCAGTAGCGAAGAAGGCTTGAACGTGCATCACCCTCCTCTTCCCGGAAGAATGGAAGTGGGTGTTCACCAGACGTTCGAGGTCATTCGAACCGCTGCAGAGAACGATCTTAATGAAGGGTATCACCATCACAGGTTTGAGAGGGAAAATGTATAATATAGTAAAGATTTAAAATAATAATGAACAGTCTTACTTGATTCTAGTGCCTTAGTACTTTGTAGTAGTGCCTTGGATACCAGTCCACGAAAAAAAAGGGTTCATTTTATTTCACATTCAATTTTGAAAATGTTTCCCCCAAGAAGTAAATTTCTACTAGACACAAACCTTCTCACTTTAAAGTTCGACTGACGTTACATGCACATATTCGTGCGGGGAGTATCAAGGTTCATTATTAGTAAGTATTTCAAGTTATTGTCAACCTGCCATCTCTCTCAGGTATGATCCAATGTATGTGGCCTGCGACCATCATCGATGGTATAGATGTAAATAGGTTTCTTAATGGTATTGATCTGATTACCAGGTGGCAAAAAGAGGTCGCCACGATTGAGCTGCGATGCACACATCCACAGACGCTGCTGTGTGCCCAGCCACAAAGCGTCTATCCACAAAAGCCTGTGATCTCGGGCCAACAATGAGGTAGTCCCATTAGGCGCTAGGACCCAGATCTCCTGTCGGTCGCCATCGCTGTAGTAAATTTTGCCATTGGAATCAATGGCCGTGCCCCCGGTACTAGGTGTCAAGGCAAAGGGCTCGACATAGTTGGGTAGTAGATCTGCCATTGAATTATTGTGAAGTGCTTCATTGAGAAGGTATTCGGTCTCGATGCGCGACATGTATCCGCTGCCTGGCTGATAATATCAGTACTCACCACCAGGTGAGACCTCAAGCTGATCAGCTTGGATATATTGAAACTGTCCCGTGGAAGAACAGCGGAGTAAATGGCTTTTGGCTGATAGGACGCGAGAGCCTAGCATCTTGACTTAGATGAAAACCTGCACAATGATCACAGGGTATATCAGATTTCCCAAAGTGACTCTGTTTGAATATCAATGGGCATTTTCTTGGCCGACCGCATCTGTCAAATGTTCAAATTTGTTTACTTTCCGAAACCGGCCTGAACCACCGACTGACAGGCTGTCGACCATGGTTTATGGTACCTTTAACCTTGACCACCTAAGAATGTTTTGTTTGTTCCTAGAATAATCGTCAAAGATTTGCGGCCTTGTTAGAAATACTTTTTTTTACTTCTCTCGCTAGTAATAAAATTAAAAGACTCGGAGAGAATACTCAACCTAACCCAGTTTAAAAAAAGGAAGAGAAAAGAAAGGAACAACTGGTTTTGATTGCCTCTAACGCCCATAGCTATTATAGCATAACCAAGAAAAAACCTACCGAGAATAACCACCCCCAACAAGATATCTCCGATTCATCTTCTCAGATCTGCCATTCTCAACTGGTTAGACTCGGTAATAGCGGGCTCGGAGTAAACATTTGCACGTGAAAAGAGAGAGATAGTTCAATGGTGAACTCAAATCACTGAGACGCACCCGAGAACTGATACAAATAGTTTCAGCTAATGTTTTTCGCCAGTTTCAGGTTAAGGGAGAACGCGTGGTATGTACGTCCGGTCGGGGTCTCGGTGCTCGTCCGACGCGGGGAAAACATGTGGAAATCTCTGTGGTATCCGAAATATCTGCAGGGCTTGAAAAAACCGTTGAGGAAGGTCCAGAAGGGCCCGTCGGAACGGGACGCTAGTCGGCCATGAATTACCCCTGGTGGTCTAGTTGGTCTCCAGCGACCGACTTCTAGACTTTTTGCCCTCCACGCGGGTTTAACCTTACTAGGCAGTGATGGGCTACTAAAATCTGCCAGAAACAGGAATTTTCAGATGATGGGTTTTACGCCAATGTGATTCATTTCGCTTGCAAAAGCACTTGAAATGATGCCCCGTTTTTCTTTTTTTGGAACGCGAGCTGAATTTTGAGCTGGTGGAGCTCCCACGGATTATTTTGATTTGACCGAGCAGCTGCAACAGGTATTATTAGATACCATTCGGCTGCCAGATCTCGAGATAAATCAAGGCCAATAATTTCATGCATATGAGTGTCAGATATGAGCTTATTCGGTTGTTTTATTCCATATGAGATGCACCTCCTAATACATAAGCTTGCAACACTCATATTAGTAGGGGTTGTGATAGTTAATGCTATGTAATTTACCTTATTCTAGCCGTCTATCAGCGGGCCGGTATCATTCTTCCACCTTCAGCATGTTTCCTATCTCCCACGTTTCCCTTTAAGGTTGGCATCGGGTCGGTCATCACCTCGGAGCCTGCAGAGTCGAACTACAAGTTCGAAAGAAAGTCCATAACAAGATAGCATGCATTTGCAGTTATTTAGCGCAATCGCTCCTCTCAGCCCTGGAGGCTTCGTGTGAATTGACTTCTGAGCCACTGTCAGGGGACTCGGGTGATCCTAGATTCGGATCTTTCAGCGCTGACCGGCCCAGTCGTTATAAAGCAAAGAACAACGAGAACAGAAACAATGCAGAACACACCTTCATCTATTAAAACCTCTTTGTCGACGCAATTTTCACTCAGTGTGACATCATTTACCAAAAAGTTACCTACAAAACACAAAGAAATCAATGGTACTAAACTGACAAAGACAATTCGAAACCCTGCCATCTTTGCATCCAGGTTTCGTGAATGTTCTAGGTCAGAGCTTTCTTCAATTCTATTTCCCTGGCCGGATAAAGCCCCAGAATGTATAGTATTGAATGGACTTGAATGGTGCAAAGCGGACTGCATGGCAGCACGTTGGGCTGCGGTTGAGATGGCGACACCGAAGACAGACCCTAGTGATCGCAGTAGATTGCGTGTGGACGTAGCCACAGCACGATCTTCCGCTCTAGCCAGAGCCTGAACAGCTACTAAGCCTAAGTCTCGCAGGTAACAATAATAAGTTGTGTCCAATGTCTTTTTTGTGCCATTCTTACCTGGCTGATGAGTAAATCCGACACCTGCACCTTCGATAGCAAGGACCACCGCATATACAAAAATACAACTATCTCGTTTGAATAAGAGGCGAAGGCCAGCGCCGATAGACCAAAGAAAGAGGCCGATGCGTAGTACTGGTGTGAATCTAATAATTGGAGTTAGAATATAGTAAGAGTAAGGTCGACCGTCTTGGGCGAACCTAGCAAAGCGACTCATCACGGGCCCAGATATTGCGCCTGCGATACTTTGGGCAAGAACATAGGGTAAAGTCAACATCGCACTCCCGAAGGGTGAAAATCCTCGAACTTCCTGAAAGAAGAGAGGCATGAAGTACTGCGTTGATTGCCAGACATAGTCATGGAGGGCACCCGATATCAACATTATTGTAAGAGATCTTTGTCTGAAGAGAGTCAAAGGCATAATGGGAAGCTTAGCAAAAAGGCCCTCGACAATAACAAATATCCCAATCAAAATGCATCCGAGAATCAGTAAGCTAATTATGAAGCCGCTGTTCCATGGCCAAGTATTGCCACCGGAACTTATAGGGATCTACTTGAAGAAGTCGTCAGCCGGCCAAGCAGAATAATGATAAAAAGAAAAGCGGGAGGAGAAAAGAGAAAGGGAGTTATAACGTAAGTTAACGCACCAGTAGAAAAATAATTCCTGTCGTGGACAAAATAACCCCTGCCCAATCAATTTGTCTGATTTTGATATTCCAACACCCTGAAACTTGCTTCAGTGGCAAGAAGAGCAATAGGAACAGCATGCATATTAAAGCCAGGATAGATGGGACCCAGAGAGTCCAGCGCCAGCCATCGGAGCTCCTTTGTATCAAGCTGGCCGCGATGAATGGGCCACTGACAGCCCCTGCTCCAATAGCAATGCTCACGAATCCTTGGTATTTTCCTCTGTTTTCCAAACTCACGAGGTCGCTTACAATAATCGAAACCAGTGAGCTTATACCTCCCGCACCAATTCCACTTAATGTGCGCGTCAGATATAACCAGATCGGACCTTTTGCCCACCCTGAGAGAAAATCGCCAACCATAATACATGCGACCGAGATCATCAACACAGGCTTACGCCCAGAAATATCGGAAACGCGACCATAAAGAGGTTGGAATGTTGTTTGGCCAAGAAGGAAGGCAGTTCCCGCCCAAGTGATTGTTGGTCCCGCGGATAGAGCATTGGAAATTGTAGGCAGAGCTGTTGTTGTTGAGTTCATGTCAAGATAGGATATGAAGTAACAAGAGCAGAGACAAATATACGAAACAATGAGCCGAGGGAATGTGAGCCTCAGTGTCTGGTCATGCAGATGGTTCAGCCTCTCCGGCGAGGAAGACCCATCTTTCCCTTCTTCGATGGTGGATTCCGAACTCATCATCTCAAGGGATGAATAACTATAAATCTCGTAGTTTTCAGACATTGGGTTGATGATAAGTCTTGAGAACGAACGTGGTAAAGCAGGCAAAACCTAACAAAGATTGAGCAGCCTACGCCCGCGTCAAGTGCAGTTTTCAAGTGTGACACTCTCATTGATCACATCATACCTTGCGATGTCTCATCGGCTCAAGGGTGACTGCATTTTGCAACTTTACAAAGAATAGGCCGGGTCGATGGTGTTCGCCGTGCTAGATTGTCCGACGCTAATTTATGCACAGGGTCACACATACATTGCTCGTTTTATCAAACGGTTGATGTTTGTCGGTGGTCTCGCAGGAACGGTACTATATACTGGTGCTGAATATCGTCATTGATCGTGTACCGCACTGTAAATGGGAGGAGGTCTTGAAAACTATCGCCATATGAACTCGAGTAATGGGGCCATAGAAATTAGAGAACCGATTGCAAATGCAAAATTTGAATCCATGGAAAAGTCATCGGATATTTCGCCTTATGAGGGAAGCTTAGACATACATGATTTCGAGATGTACCGATAATTTAAGTTTGGAGAGATTTTCGTATCCACTAATCAAGATAAATCAGGCTTCATACTACGGATAGCGCACGGCTTCCACACTCATCCCGACCCTCAGATAAGGAAACGACCACAGCCAGCTAAGCAATTGAAATCCGGGTGGCATTGATCTTCAATAGCTCCTCAACACCGATCATGAACATATCGGCCTCGCAACCCGACTGGGTACCTTCCTCTAACATCATTACAGCAGTTCTCATACCCATGGTAGCCTGATGTTGCGCCTGCTGGAATAAGTGCTCTAATTCCCAGTTCTTCCCATCCACGCGGTCTCTGTCAAGTAAAATACGCAAGAGACAACCGTAGTTTTTAGCTTCGACGCATGCCGCTGCTTCTTTGTCATCGACAAACATATCCGGGGCGCGATGTATTCCCCATTTCACAACTTCTTCGATTGCGTGTATTTTGGCCCTCATCAAATGATTCGCATAAATAATCACATTTGCACCGGCATCGATAAGGGATTTCCGGGGGGTGGTTGAGTAGGTAGTGGGAACTACCACGAGGGGTGTGACTTGGTCTCGCTCACGGAATCGCTTCAAGAAATCGAGAACCTCTGTAGGACTGGAACTTTTGCTGTGAATCATAATGGCGTCGGCACCTGCTTTAGTGTACATCTCAGCGCGGGATAATGCGTCCTCGAGAGATGCCTTGATAGAGGCAGCTTCTTCAATTGGGTCGTCTTTCATGATGCGTACGTTGAAAGATTCAATCCTAGCAGTGATCATCAAATCAGAACACTGCGCAGATTCCTTGAAAGTCTGGATCGTTTTGCAAAAGTCTGCCGGGTCTGCCTGAGATTGAGATCCGTTTGCTGTCAAGAGAGAATTGACTTTTTTGCCTGGGGCTTTCAATTCCTTGTCCTCAATGACCGCCATGGAAATTCCGATAGTGACAAGAACCGCCACCAATGCTGGGATATCACTGATACTTCCACCACTGTCGGCATCAAAGGCTGCGCATATTGGTCGATCACTTGGCCACAGTGTTTTGATGTTTGTCGCCTGCAAGATTGCGCGGTAGAGAGGCGATACAATCTCGGTGTCAGGGATTCCGAGGTAAGTGGTTTGAGTCAGACCACTGATCCAGATACCTTCGAAACCTTCCTTTTGCCCTCCATTGCTGTCCCGGATGACTTTTGTAGAAGGCCGGTCATGCGCTTCGAGTAGGCGAATGGCCCCGCTGCTCTTGCGAAGAGCGGACCGCACTGAAATCATAGTGGAAATGTGCCCGGAGGAGATGAGTTGGCGGTTTGAAAGTTGATTCGAGCTTTTGGAGAGACAAGAGTCCAGGAATGATGGGGTGGTTGAAACTGGGAGGTGAAAGGAGGTGAATGGAGGTGAATGGAGGTGAATGTGAAGTTCAAGTTTGGAGGGCAACAACAACAGGGTTGAAGTAGGCACCCGTGGGCTCCCTTTTTTGGATCACATGTCGGATCCAACATCAGGTATATGCTTCCTTTTCATTGAATATTCTATTTCTATTATCGATGCAATCAATTGAGACGTTTCCAAGGTTGTTCGTTGACCTTTTACTTTGGTTCACTCAGTTATACCCAAGGATTATACACGCAGCATGGTATAAGCTTTGAAGTCTCACTGTTCACTAGTAGACGTGATAAAATATACTAGTATAAATTGGAGGCGTAAGTTCCTCGTAATCCCTAGCCAAGCTTTTCTAGATCCTGCTCGATTGTTCGGGTCACTCCACTTTCATCTCCCGGATGTAACCAAATGACTGCATCCCGATGTAAGGTTTACGGGAACTCGCAGACACTTCTATACTACCAAAATTATTGCGCAATTGTTGAAGAGCTCCCTAGTTTGATGTGCAAAATATAGTATTTTTATAGTTGTGGTCGAGAAGTCCAATGCGATGACTAAACCCCGCATTCAAGGCTCGGCCCGTTGGATCGACGTACTTTCGCATCTTCACCAATCACAGCCAGGATCCATCATCTTAACAACTACTACGAGTACCCTGTATGACGCTGCAGTTGACTGTTATTCCTCGAACGAACCGTGGCTCATATTTGGACTGGTACCGGTTTCAAACAATCGGCAAGTAGCCCGGTCATATAAATGTTTTGCTTCGTACCTTTAACTAACACTGTTTCTCAGGACCAGTATACTATAGGGGATTCGAAACAACTTGAACTCATACTTCAATAACACCAAACCATTATCTGAAAAGGTTCGAAAGGAATCGCAAGGATGGGCTCTCATTCGATCGAATCACTCTTTTCTGAGCTTGACGATATTCCTCTGGATCCCCACTATGCCCTCAAAGAGGACTTTTCGGCCGATCCTTCCCCCTCAAAAGTGATTTTAGGATCGGGTATCTACCGGGACAAGAATGGGAAGCCATGGGTATTGCCGGCAGTGAAAGAAGTGTGTCAATTCCTCATATATTTCAATGGATCAACATGATACTAACAATGGCTCAAACCCATCAAGGCGGAGGAGATAGTCAAGACTTCAGAAGACTCCGGTCGCTATGACTATCTTCCTATTCCCGGATACACACCATTCTACACCGCAGCACGAGACCTCTTATTTGGGGCCCTCAGCTCGCTAGAAGACAATTTCGTCTCCGTACAAACGATATCTGGGACAGGTGCCAATTCACTTGGTGCACACTTTTTATCTGAAGCCCTCAAGCCATCTGCCGTATGGCTATCCAACCCGAGCTGGGTGAACCATGCAAACATTTGGAAATCGGTCGGGGTCACGGTCAGGTCCTACCCATATTGGAACCCAGAAAGAAAGGCATTGGACTTAAAAGATATGATTCAGACAATTTCCCAAGAGGCTACTCCTGGAGATGTGATCGTACTTCATGGCTGTGCTCATAACCCCACTGGACTTGACCCGACAAAGGAGCAATGGAGGATGATCGCAAACGTGTGTGAAAGCAGAGGATTGTTCCCTTTCTTTGACTGTGCCTAGTAAGTTTTCTTTGTTTACTTATGGTTCTCCGTAATTTTTCATTTAGACTCAGAATAGGGCATATGCTTACCAGAAACAAAAGTCAAGGATTTGCTTCGGGGAACTTAGATGAAGACGCGTGGGCCTTGAGACATTTTGCATCCCGTGGAAGCATGGAGCTCGCAGTGGCACAGTCCTTCTCTAAGAATATGGGTCTCTATGGAGAGCGCGTCGGGGCTCTGCATTTTCTTACGGCTTCGCCAGATGCAGCAGGCAAAGTCAAAGGACATCTATCACGTCTCCAGCGAGGACTTATCTCCCAACCACCCAAACGAGGAGCAAGAATCGCGGCGACAATTCTCAAAGATAATACACTGTTCCAAAAATGGTTGGCGGATCTTTGCGAGATGAGCTCTAGGATCAAATGTATGCGACAGGCGTTGTACGACGAGTTGATTTCTTTGGGAACGCCCGGAAACTGGGATCATATATTGACTCAAGTGAGCATCCTCGTCATTTTAGCGCAATTTTGGGGTTTCTGACGAGATCTAGATTGGAATGTTTTCATATACAGGTCTCAGCCCTGAGCAAGTATCATGCATGCGGACTGATGGTCATGTTTACATCTTGAGCTCGGGGCGGATCTCAGTTGCAGGCCGTAAGTTGGACTCTGGATGACAGGGTATTTCGATCATGAAGCTGAAATTCTCCATCACAGTCAATAATGCAAATGTGAAACACGTGGCCCAGGCAATCGACAAAGCATGCAGGAAGGAAATGATCTGAATTTTTCAAGCAGTAATATGCCACGCTCCAACACAACAGCTTTGATTCTCTATGAAGTCGGTCGCAGGCCATCTTTTATTCCCTTCATAGCTAATTTGTGCCTTTGGGCATTGCCAGATAGTCGTAGCTTGCCATTTACTAAACAGTAGTAATAGTATAATAGTGGTCAGTCAATCATGAATTCACTCGGCAATGCCTCCGCGGGTTCTGCTCTGGCACGAAGAGTGCTTTTGGATGACCACGCTCCTAATTTTGCTTGAAATAAAGTTTCGAGTTCAAGTTCTAAAGTTTTAATTGAGTTCAACATTTAGTTCACTGGCTCAGATCTCTCTTAAACACTCCAGGGCTGATGAGTTACTAGAACTACTTCCGAATCCGTCAAGACCCCAGATTCCCCGAGATGAAAACAACCAATACTGCAGCGTATGCGGCTGCAGCACCGAATATTTCAGCTCTTCGTGCATTGATCAACAGCTCAATACTCAAAGCAAAGATAAACGTAAACGCAACCACCAACTCCAACTTCGTAGTCGGATTATCAACCACGTAAAGGCTGATGATCGCAGCAACTAAGAGCATCGCGGCAAACAGGATGCTGATCATAGAAAATATGCGCATGATATGCCGTCCCTTGTGTATTGTTGTGCGATCGAGAGGATCAGTCCCCTTATGGCTCTGAAAGGCCCAGTGGTCTTGCAGGAATTTTGAAATCATGTCTTCGTCTGCTGGTTTCCGCAAAGCAACAAGGTCGTCCGCTTCTTCCAGCATATCTTTCGCCCTCCCACTTATAATCGGGATAGATGGTAGATAAGTGCCTTTCCAGGCATTTCCCTCAATGTAATCGCGGTAAGTGGACAGAACACGCTCGCTCGGTCCGCTTAGTTGGGCGATTTGGGATTGTCGTAAAAGTCCCTCTTCTGGGGTCAGATATTAGCTTCAGATCAAGTTAGAGAAGTCGAAGTCAAATTGGAGAGCTCATCGTATTCTTTGATCTTTAATGATAGCTCGACAGCCTTTTCCAATCGCTTCTTCTCCGGTCTTGTCGGATCAGCAGCGAGCTGTATAAGTGTTTCCCAACGTCGCGATGCCTGGAGAGAGTCTCAGGTCCGTACTCCTACGCGCTTCCTCGTCCAGTTCATCAATCTCTTGCTCTAGCTGGATAAGGCCGCTCTGCAGATGAAGAAGGTTCCGAGCGCTGAGACGTCGAAACCGGCGGAATACGAGGGTTTCGCCATCCGGATCTCGACCAATCCAGCTAGCAAGCGTCGGGTAACCATCACGGACATTGCCAAGTTCTGCGCAGTTCAGGTTCAGGTTCTGAGATGTTGACATAAGAGCATCGCTCTGCTTTACATATTTGATTCTAAGGTTGTTCTAACGCCTGGAAGCAAAGACTGTTGCTTCACAGCGACCGCAGAGTTTTTCTAGGTAGCAGCTACACTAGCTATCTCCTTGTCTCAGTTATCCCTCTGTTTATCGATGCCGTCTCGCCGTTTGATGATTCCCAGCAATTGCTGGCGGGTATTTTCTTCGCTTTCCATTCCATGCTCCTTTGGCCCATGATCACAATCCTAGGCTGTTTGAGCATATATCGTCAAGCCCGCGAGATCTTCACAGTACCATTTCCAAACTCGCTGAGCCTTCAAGGGCTGTTGCTACAAGTTATTGAATTTCTGCTCGTCTCGGTGGCGTGGGTATGGTATCTTCCGTTTCCGTATGAAAAGGCGAGAGGACATTGGAATGATGGTGCCTTTTCTGCCTGGTATTCCAGTGTTGGCTGGATAATTGTTGACACTTTGATTTTCGCTTTCGGTCAAGCACTACTTTTTGTGCTAGCAACGCGCCGTGCGTCCTCAGACGATGATATAACGCGAAGGGGTGAGATGGAGCCTCTTTTAGGATAGATAAAGTAAGCAGAATGAACAATTAATTCCTACATTGTAATTATAAGCATATGGTATGTAACTTGACTGCGTAAGCATCTGTATTTGGAAAAAACCGGAAAATTACTATCTTTATTTCTTGCTGAATAAAGTCTAGTGTATCTTGGGCATTTATGGTTCGGGGAACAATGAGAGAGTATAGGGGTGACACCGATTTCCGGAAATACTGTACCTAGGCAAAACACGAAATGGAAGGGTAGGTCATATGCACATTTGGATATACAGTCTAAATAGTACATGAACGATCCAACTGACAACTTCAAGATACATCATGATCAATTTGGAATTTGATTGTATAATGCCTTTGAAATGGTGTACTTGTACTGTACTATGAACAGCGAGAGAGGATGCAATATCCACAAACGCAACTATGCAAAACACAACCAACAAATAACTACTAGTATGTTCTCATTGTGGTTATCTGCATCTGTATTTACCCGTTATAACCAACACCCTCAAGCTCCTTACGCACAGCATCCTCCGTCTGGATCTTCTTCATCTGCGTATCCTCCAGCTTCTCACCACCAGCAAGACGCATCTTCAGCTCATCGATCGCACGGATCTTCTTGAGCAAGCCGCGGACCTTCTTATCCTGGGCAGACTGGTCGATGACAGGAGCAGCGGGGGCCGGAGCAGGGGTAGGGGCCGGGGCTGGGGCTGGAGCCGGAGGAGCCGCAGGGGCAGACTTAGCGTTGGTGCCGTTAACATTGCCGTTGGGGGCACCATTCTTGCTGCCGCGGGTGCGGTTACGGTCAGAGCTGGGGGCAGCGGGGGCAGCAGGGGCACTGACGGGAGCTTCGGTCTCCTCGTCACGGGCCTTCTTGGCTGCTTCACGCTTCTTCTTGTTCTTCTGGGCGGACTTGGAAAGCTTCTCTCCGTCAGCACCGGGGGGGAAGAGCCACACCGCCGCCGGGGGCAGCTCCGGGAGGAAGATACTCCTCCGCGGGCTCGGCGCCGGGAATTTCACGGCGGCGAGACTTGCCGAAGCCGTTGGTGATTCCGGCTCCAGGGGCACCGTCACGGACGTAAGCGGCACCGCCTTGATCCTCACGCTTGAAGGCCAGGGGTGTCAGTTGGCCGCGGGCACCAGGGGGGCGATAAGCGCCAGCGGGCTTCACGGGGGCCTTGCGGGTGCTCAGGTAGGCGGTGGCGGACGGGTGAGCAACGGGGAGCTTGGTGAAGGGGTCGCCTAGAGGGTGCTGGCTGATGTTCGCAGGGCGCCAGGTCACATCGTACAGCTCGGTCATCTCTTCGTTGTACATGAGGCTGCCGCTAATGTGCCAGATGCGGACACCGTTGTCAACGCGGAGGCGAGGGCTGGTGGTGGCGGTCAGGATATACTGTCCGTCAGGAGACCAAGCACAGACACTGGCATTGGATGCCTCGACGGTGGTGATCTTGTGGAAGTTCTTGTCCATATCATAGATGTCCATCTGACCAGCCAAGTTACCGAAACCGGCAACGAGAACGAAACGGCCGTGGGGCGAGAACTGGATGGTGTTACGCGGGCTCAGAGGGAAGGTGTGGGTAGGCTGGCCGCGCATGTTGAAGATGGTGGTCTTCGCGGGCATGTAGCCGTAAACGACACCGAACTCTTTCGAGTTGGGGTTCCAGCTGACATCGTGGATGGGGCCCTCCTTGTCTGTATGGTGTGTTAGTGTGTTGTTCCAAAACGAGGGTTCATAATATTCTCATACCGAGGTCAATGCGCGAGTCAAAAGCGCCGCTGGCACTGAGCAGGTACAAGGTGGTCTCGCCATAATAACTCTTGCCGGTGCGGTCCACCTCGGTCTGCGCGAGGACAATCAAGGTTGTACCGGAAGCGTTCCACTTCAGCTGAACCTTGTCGCCCTTGAAGAAGCTCTTCTGAGAAACCGGGGCATTGAACTGCGGCACAATAAATACCTTAACCTGGGCAGGCTGACCCTTTCGCTCAGGGATAAACACCGCAATCGAATGGGTCTGTCCCGGCGAGAGGGCAAAATCCGCCACCCCCTCCACACGCAGTTTATTCCAAACGTTCGACAGGTTATCGCTCTGGTAGAACTGAACCTCGTTGGTCACGACGCGGGCACACAGCTTCTCATCGGCGGTATATTGCAGATTCCAGCCCGTTTGTTGTTTCTGGACGAACTTGCCCACAACAGTGTGCTCTGCTCCAGTCTCAATTGCGCGCCACACCTTCAGGTTCTTTGTGGCATCGCCGTTCTCGTCCTTGGTCGGTCGTTGCCAGGTGATCACGTAGGTTCCAAGCGGTGAGAAGCCCAGCTCGAACACGTTCTCGGCGGTGATGGTGGAGATAACGTTACCGGCGGAGGAGTCGACGATGGTGACCCTGCAAAATTGAAGAGATTCGTTAGTTTGATTGAGAAGGGACCCGAAAAAGGGCCCACAGCTGGGCGGGGACAGGATAGTCAGTCCCTGCGAGAATAGCTCTACATACCTGTCAGGAGAAGCCCACGCGTAGTAGCGGCCACAAGGAGAGTAGGCGCTGCAGCGGAGGTTACCCTCGGGTCTCTCGAAGCCTGACAAAGGCTGGTAGACAGGGGAGGCATCCATGATGCCAATCCCTTTGAGGGTGCGGTCTTCCAAGAATGTCAGTCATCGTGTTCTAGTTGCCGGCGTGACTGGAATTTTTCCATTTCCGAGCGGGGGCTGTCCGCGGAGTGTGTAGAGGGAGGGGAGGAGAGGGGGAAGTGTGGAACCCACATGCAAGTTGTGTCGAAGCCGCCATTTTGAGCAGAATTCAAAATTGCAGGAGCTAAAGCCACCAAAGAAAAGAAAGGAGTATCTCGATTCTAAATGCAAGAAGCGTAGCAAATATGCTTTATCCTTGTTTCCAAGACACTGGTGTAATGTACCAGGGCAAACGAAAACACAATGCGACCGGAGACTGGGCCGTTATTCGGGACCGGAAGAAGGTCAAAGGGAGTTCGGTGGAAGTAGGATGGAAAGCGATGATCGAGCTATTCACGTGAGAGAAGTTGCTCGGTAAGGCGAGTGGATGGCTTCAAAGAAGAAATCGAATACGACGACGTGGCAGACAAGATCGGTCTTTGTCGGTCGGGTTGGGGCGAACCAAATTGGGCGAAAGAAACTCGCAATTGCTTGGAGAGAAATGAGGAGAGATGAATCTTCAGTGCTAGACAAGTCAATGCCAGCAGGCGGAATCGAGGAGGGCGTGGAGGGTGATTGAGGTGAGAGGGTGGGGGGAAGAGAGAGGATGAAGAGAAGAGAAGTTGGAAAATTTGGGTGTTCCGCGCTGTTCAACTCGGAGGCGGCATGCCGTCATGGGAGGCCGAGATCTACAAGTATCGTGTTACCTTCAAGTTGGTATAGTATTTATATATTTAGTATTGCATTCTACTATCTTTATACCTAATAGTAGAGTGGTACTAGTACTTTCCTTGTTCACCTCATCTTCGTCTACACCGTAGTTACCTGTCGGGCTTACATAGTACACATGTAGACTGGTATATCCCAGTATATCCCAGTATCACGCCACGGCAGCCTACTGGGTTATTTTGACTTCGAATCGTCGCAAGGCATATTCAAAGACTAGGCTAAATTGCATTGACATAAAATATGAGAATAAAAGAGACAAATCACAATTCCATCCGCCATATCTCCTAGAAATACAGATCACGCGACTTCCTCATCGAGTAACTTGAACTAAGAATAGGCACAGACAAGACGCAGAATCCCATCAATCACCAATAACTGCCTGGAGTAATGATAATGATAATGACGGAAAACATCACTCCAAAGAAAACGCCTTCCAACCTGGTCATGTTCTACCTACATTCATCCCATTCCATTCCATACAATCCTCAATCTATTCATGACCCGGAGTCCCAAACCCACCACCACCACCACCACCACCCTCACTACCCCGATCAAGAGGCGTAGCAAGACGAGGAGTTCGAGTCGTAGTATCAACCACATCATTATCAAAAGTCATCCCATCAACCATGCGCGCATCCTCCATCGGCTCAGGTGTATTCGACCCAGCAGGCGAGGGCGACATACCATTATCACCCGCATAACTCTGATGCGTCTGCTGCTGCTGATACAACTGCGACGGATTCTGCTGCTGCGTCTGCTGCTGTTGCTGCAAATACGACGCCAGGGGATTAGACCGACTAACATTCGAACTCATCGACGTCGGTCTAGCACCACCAGCACCACCAGCACCAGAAGACATCCGATTTAGACCAGGCGGCGGCCGCGAAGTAGGACCACTGATAGTACTACTCGCACCCTCACCGAATCCAACAAGACTAGCATTCCCCTCATCACTAACATTACTAAAGCTCGAGACAGCATCGTCGTGATCGCGATCCATCGGATCCGGGTCTTCGCTCATTTTATCCTCGTAAGCTTCACTGCCGCTGGCCCATGTACTCGTGTACGTATTACCGCCCAGACTACCCGTAGCGCTTGCGCTGCCGACGGTACTGCGCTCTTTCAACGTTGCGGGACTGTCGAAGTAGCCGTACGACGCTGCGGCGCCGGGCATGTGTGTCTGGGGTGCGGAGGAGGTGGAACTTGCATTTGCGTTTGCATTTGCATTCGCATTTGCGTTGGCGGGGGAGGAGTAGTTGCCGCCGGCTCGGGCTGTTGCTACTCGTTCTAGACCGGCGAGGCGGGAGATGCGATCGGCGCGCTCGGCGTCTAGGGTTGTTGTTGAGGATGTGGAGGCTGAGGAGGATTGGTGGGCGTGACGGGCGTGGGGGAATGGTGCGCCTTGGTGGCCGTCTTTAATGGCCGTTGTTGATAGGGCTGAGAGGCCTGAGTTTGGCGTGCCACTGTTATATACCGATCACCACCCCGCACGGGTTAGTCAGGTATTCTGTGGGAGATGGGTGGAGATGGAGATGGAGTTGGAGTTGGGGAGGAGAGCTCTTACGGTCCCATATCTGATGGTGTGACGGGGTCTGAAGGTGGAGGTGGAAGGTTGATCAGCGTTGGAGTAGTCATTTTGATTGATGGATGTTATCGGGTGTTTGGAGATGGATAGAGGGGTGAGAGTGAGTGAGGGTAAGTGAGAAGGAGAGAAGGAGAGAAGGAGCAAGCAATGTCAGTTCCAAGGCGAACTCGGGATCGAGATCGAGTTCTGTTGTTTCAGAGTCAGTCAAGGGGGGAGAAGGGAGAAGGGAGTAGATGGATGAAATGGGAATTGCGGGGTGAGAAAGTGGCCGACTTCAGACCCGCGCAAATCGTAGAAGATTTAAATAATTCGGGAGTCTCGCGACGTCATGTCGCCGATCACATTGAGCCAATCAGAGCGGAAGTACCTTGTGAGGTTTGCATTGGCTTCTGGGTTCTTACGGTAACAAAGAATTGATATCTGGATATTTGCAAACGCAGCTAGGTTCAGGTTCATACATTCATTCATACAAAGGTCGTTTGAAACAACTACTACAAGGAGGATGGATACAGCCCGCTGGATCCTCCTCCCGCCTAGGGTCCTACTTCCACCCCTGATATCAAGTATCGTCTCCAAGCCCCTACTGGCTGACCTTGCGGCTTTCGTAGTGACCACGCAGGTCATCCACCTCTTTCTGTAGCCGTGAAAGATCAGCCAGTATGTCGGTCGCGTTAGATGGTTGAGGGAGCGGGGTCTCTGGCCGGCTTGCTTGGGGTTCCGCCCCGCCATCACTGGCGCGGAGGATTGAATCCCGTGCTCGACGAGGGGGTGGCGGTGGAGGGGGTGCTCCGAAGGAGGAACCAGTAGCTGGACTTCCGTAGGATGAGGTGCGTCGACCAGGTTGTAGTGGTGTTGGCCGCGAACTAGGTGCTGATGGTGGTGGCGAAATTGAGTCCGCCGGGGTCCCGGATGCGGGGAGAGCTGCGGCACCACCAGCAGCAGCAGCTCGGGTATCTCCAGGGGCTGGCGGCGGCATACTAACGCGCTTGCGGTCCTGTGACATCGACGATGTCACTGATCGAGTCGAAGGGCCTGGGCTAGGCGGCTGCGAGCTATCGTTGCTCTCTGAATCGATTGATGACATGGTCAATCGGCTGGTGCTCGACTTTGAATTGGACTGCGTAGACTTGGATCGCCGCATTTGGCTATGTCGTCGACTGAGAGGCGGTGTCGGCGGCCGCTTGCTCTGCGAGTGGCTGCGTTGGAGAGAGTCGGTAGAGCCTGATGTCTGTTGGTTATCCGAAGGCGTCAGGAAATAATCGGACGCCGGTGGTGGTGACCCTGCATTGGCGTTGGGCGTGTCCGGGGGTGGAACAGAGGTCACGCTCTCTGGTGAAGAAGCGTGAAAGGAGAGCCGATTCGTGGATCGAGAGGACTCCGGACGAGAGGTTGAGTGTGAACTATTGATGCGCTTGCCATGATGGCTCCTTGGTGGCGGGGGTGGCTTTTTCTCTTTGTCGGCACGACTCGACGAACTTGTGTTACCGTCATTCTCAGGAGACTTATACACTGCTGACTGAGGCAGTGACGGCGTAATGCCTTGTGCTGCGTTTGGCCCGCCAGCTTCTGTTGTAGATACTTGTGTAGAAGGGGTCTTCAACGGCGGGCCTGTGGTCGATCCCTCCTCGGATGGAGCTGGGTGTGGAGCGGACCCAAGAGGATCTCGCGAGTGATGATCGGTCGGGGAAGCAAAGCTCCTCGAATGTTCGTCATTGCGCTCGTCATCTTCATTATCGCTGACGGCGGAATCGGGATTGAACGGGTCTGCTGTTTGATCGTCGGAAGAGGAAGAGGAAGATTCGTGATCCTCGATCTCAAGTGACAGCGCCGACTTTCTGGGGTAACCGTTGGGCAGCTGTGAAGCGGGCGGCTTTGTAAACAGGTCTGGGGGCAAATTGATTTCAGGTTGGGATGGCGATGGCGATGGCGATGAGTTCCCCAGTGTAGAAACTCCTGTTCCATCCGATCTCTTGTCAGTCCAATGATGCGGGGAAGGGGGCAAGCATTGACGATGCTCGCGTCTTATCGGAAGTGGCGGGTTCCAGCCTCAGGATGAATGGGACGGGGGAGGATGGGAATGGGCAGGAGGATCTCACCATCAACGTTCCTGGCGCGAAAGGGATTGAAGGCAGACATCTCGAAGATAGATGAGCGCTTCTCTCGGAGAGGATGAAAAGGAGGAGGGGAAAAGCCCCCGCCGAACTTCTTATCCAACTAATCCAACTTCGACTATGCGCCGCCCTCCGATGGCGTCCGGCTGCCCCGAGAGGCTGCAGTCACAAATTCAATTCCCACCTAGGCTGTCACTTGGTTTTCACTGTCAGTCTCACTGTAAAATCTACTACGAGTAACAACGAACTCGGAAAAGACTATGTTGTCAGGTATAGAAGAGGCCCAAAGGGCGTGTATAATATGGTACAAATAGATATGAATCAACAAGCTCAGCCTTTCGCAGAAATCAAAATCCCATAACCTCCCCCCCATAACCAGCCGTATTCCCAGTAGACAAATATAGAGATAATAAATAAAGAATTCAACGATGATGATGGTCGGCGCGAAAAAAGAAGAAGAAAAAAGGAAAAAGGGAAAAGAAAGAGAGAGAAGAAAAAGAACGACAGCCAAACCCAGAAATGGAAATGCCAGTTTCATCACCTCTCGTTATACACATGCCATGTCTCTTCCTCCTCAAAAAATTTATGAGCCAATCGCTTGCCACTCTCCGTGGGCTGGCTAAAGGCGATCTCAGCCTTGGAGATCTCCATGCCGTAGATGTAATTGCTGACCACGCAGTCCAGTAGATCGAGGGCGATACCTTTCCTCCGCGAAGCTCCGGAAGTCCAGATACGCGACACACCCACAATCGCCGGATGCACCTCATCATGCACCGAGACAGCCGAATCCTTCACAGTGGTGCCATTCATCTCGCCCTGTACGACCGGTCGCGACTCCCAAATGCGCTCCGTCAGCGCGAGCCCCACGCACCGACTATCCTTCATATGAAGAAACACCCGATATCGATCAACCTTGTCTTCTTCTCCTTGACCGGGCGCGTGTTTCGGTGGCTCGGCTTGACTCCAGAGTACTTCGTCGTCGATTTCGGGAGATGATAGTTCCTTGTTCACGACCTCTAGCACGCGCTTGGCTTGGTTCTTGGCACTCGATGAGGATTTTCGATCAACGATCACCACGTACCCTTCGTCAAAACGCGTCGCTTCGTAGACCCAGCGTGATGCATTCGCGCGCATGAATGCCTTGCCCAGGTCTACCCCCGTCGAATTCATCTCGTGGAACTTCTTATGCAGCGCCGCATCCTCCGTGTTGGATGGGATGTACTCCATTCCGCAGGTCGCACAAGTCTTTCGTACCTCATTCCCCAAGTCGATTTGCATTTGGCGCAGTGCTGGTTGTTTTTGCTGCTGCGGTTGCTGCTGCGCCACCGCCGCCGCCGCTTTGTGCTTTGGTGCGTCGACGTCGGAGGAGGAGCGCACGCTGTTGGAGTTGACTTCGGTCAAGGGGGAGCCGGCGGGGGCATCTTTGTTATGTTTGCGCTTGAGGAAAGCAAAGGTTGGTTTGCGAGTATTTGCTGGGGGCGGCGTTAATCGTGGTGGTGGGGAAGAGGGCGGCGTGGTGAGATCGTCGATGTCGTCGAGGGTGCCTTCTGAAAGAACGACAGAATTGCGTCGCGAGGGACTGGATAACACGGCGGCGGATGACTCGCGAATCGCATATTGTAGGTTTGTTTCCGCTTCATCCGATTCATCCAGCACGCGTCTTTTTTTTCGCGGCCCGCTCATCGTCATAGACGCGCCATGTTGGTCTTCCGTATGTTTTCATCAGGCCTCTAGTAAGGGGGGAGGCAACGAGGGCCCAAGAGTCAGCTAGATCCAAAAGAAACCCCAATAGAATCAGAACACTTACCGCTTAAAAGAATTGGTGACTGTCCACGGCATCTCCCTGGAGGTCCAAAGATGGGTGGGGAGAATGAAGCTGTTTGTTTTCCGGTACGGGGGGGGTTTTGCACTTTACATAGGCGGATCGCCGGTTCCACCGCACGCGTGGCGCTAACTGGTTTAGGTCATATTGTTCGTTTTGCTTGGAGATTCGGAGAACTGGAGATACTCACGGGTTATTGTTGGTATGAGTTGGAGTACTCGTATTGGTATCCCTTGCTGGGAAGCTGGGGAAGAGGCGGGGTTTTGCAAATAGATGACAGAGAAGAGCTATGTGATTCACTGGAGGGGCTGGTCAATAAGTATCCAGGTTGAAAATCGCCACCAGGTCGAGTAATTACGATGCCAGGGATAGTGCCAGGATACTGTAGGGTAGATAGGATAGATGGCACCTTCCACTCAACGTTGGATTCTAAGTAACACCTTTTCTACTTCTTACACACTCGTGGGGCCCTTCTTTATTTCACTTGCAATTTGGGGAACTTGAATTCCTGAAGTCTGCCTGGCATGCCCCGGTGGGACGGGCACATCGGGCCTCCTTTCGCCCCTTTCTCGTCCTCAGGAACCAGTGAAACTGGTCAATCAGGGCCTTGCTATTTCGACAGGCTCCAAACTGCTGCTGACGGCCAATCGCAGCCCAACATCTCACTCTAACGGCCATGTACAATGTCGCAGCGGGGGGGAGATTAAAGAGGATTTCGCCCCAGCGCGCCTTTTTCTTACTCGTGTGCTTTAATGAGCCCCCCCCTCCAAGCCCAGCCTTGAAAGTATAAAGCCTGGATGGCTGGTATCCCAGCGAGATGGATGGGCGTGTTGCACAATACTATGAGCAAGGCGTGGGAGATCATCACAACATTATCATCATCATGATCTTACTCTTGACTCTTTACTCGTTCCAGGTTGACCGCTCTCCACAACTCACCTTGCTGCTGCCTGCAACCACTTCAACTGGATTATCTAGATTGCCTAGATCACTGGCAACTGTCTATGTATGATGTTGGTTCTGTTACCAAACTACACCAACGCCAACACCAGCACCAAGACGCACGGCGCCTACCGGGACCCATGTGTTATTTCCACAGGGAGAAACCGGAGCTTCGACCGGGGCACAATGCCCCTGCCTTGCTGATTGGAGCAAACTTGTGAGCAAGATCGCAGATCCTGTATACTGATTGGCTTTGTCCGGCCCCCCGTTGCTGGTTACAAACTTCGTTGCTCGTTTTCTCTTGGCCCTGACTGGCACAGCATGGGCTGTCCCCGGATTTCTGGATTTCGGCGGTGCATGGTATGCTTACACGGCATCTACGAAAGTTCAGCGTTTTACGAGGGTTTGGGTGGCGAGTTTCGAGTTGACAGCCGACCTTTTGTCGACCAATAAGAGATTGATGGATACTATTGTACACCTTTTCCATGAGCTCCAGGTTCTGGTCCAGGTCCAGGTCCCTCACCCCGGTCGCCTGGTCGCTGGCGTGATGGCCTTGACGGCGGGGCTCGGATCGTCCCTCGAGCTTGACATTGACAGGCACCGGCTGCACGTTCCAGCAGATCCATCTCTCACAGTAAGAACTATCAGCGCTAGCTTCTCCCAGAGTGGTAAGGCGGGTGAACGAGGCTGACCGTTGTATCACCTCAGCCGTTGGCTGTGTTCTGTGAATCTGATGACGGATGATGATGACCAGTTCACGGTTCTGGAAGCGTCCATTCGACGAGCATGATGGATCTTACTGATTGACTTGACACTCCCATGCAGCCATGTTACACATGAAATCACTCGTTAGCAGATACATGGCGTAGGTGTTATTGTGGTGGGTGGATTGTGATTGATGAAGGCAACCGTGGCTTCTCAAACCTCCCCATTGAAGACTGAACCTCTTCTCCTCGGTAATGCTTTGCAGTAGTGTGCAGCACAGATAGCCGGACTTTGAGTTGCAGTGCAGAGTGCAGAGTACGGAGTACAGAGTACAGTATATGATGAAGAAAAACTCCACCGAAATCGGGCCGCTGCAGGCGATGGCACTAGAGCACAATAGAGGGGACGGTCAGGGAGGGGTCGTAGAGTGGTCACAGAGTAATTCACAGGTGTTATGATCGCAGTAATCACATAAATGAAGCCCAGATTGTCTGTAGTGCCACTGTGCCAGTAGTCCCTCCACCCACACTAAATTGTGGTCCCGCCTTCGTCCCGCGGAACCGGCGACCCTCACTTCAACTCAACCCAAAAATCTCTTCCTTGTCAACCTCGCCCTTCAATCCATCAACAATGTCCGACGACGCACAAGCCGCAGGAAAGCGAAAGCGCGCGCGTGAGTGATTTATTCCCAATTCCAACTGCTTGCACCCAGTCCCAGGTTCCCAAGTGTCTGCCTTCCCAAGGATTCAAAAGGCTCCAAAAATTCCCCAATTGGACTCCGCATGACCACGAACCACCCCCCTCCAGCAATCTAGCCAGATCCTATCCTGTGGTGTGACATTGTTGCCCAAGATATTCTTTCTTTCCCTCCTATTGCTCTTCATTGCTCTCCATTGCGATCAATCCCCATTATGGACCCTGTCCCTCAGCAACAACAAGCTAACGGCGATCAACCGCTAGGTACTCAATCGTGCCCCCCGCCCGAGCTGCCTCAACTGGTTGCGGAGCAGGCTGTTACCATCCCCTCGCACGATCGGGATACTCAACGTCTGATCGTCATTCTCTCCAATGCCAGCTTGGAAACCTACCGGGCTGCAGGCCGTGCTGGGTCCAAGGATGAGAAGTATTCTCTTCTGAACAGCGACGAACATATTGGTATCATGCGCAAGATGAACCGCGATATCAGCGAGGCTCGCCCCGATATTACCCACCAGGTATGTTTAGAGAATTGAACAGTCCTCTTTTTCCTCACTATGATTGTTCTTCTAACACCATTTCAAAGTGTCTCCTCACCCTCCTCGACTCCCCCGTCAACAAGGCTGGTCGCCTTCAGATTTTCATCCACACTGCCAAGGGTGTCCTGATCGAAGTCAACCCCTCCGTCCGCATCCCCCGTACTTTCAAGCGTTTCGCCGGTCTGATGGTCCAACTGCTGCACCGCCTGTCCATCCGCTCCACCAACTCACAAGAGAAGCTGCTCAAGGTCATCAAGAACCCCATCACCGACCACCTGCCCCCGAACTGCCGCAAGGTGACCATGAGTTTCGAGGCCCCCGTTGTCCGCACTAAGGATTACATTGAGTCACTGGATCCCAAGGAGAGTGTTGCGATCTTCGTTGGTGCCATGGCCAAGGGCCATGATGATTTTGCCGACACCTTCAAGGACGACACCATCAGTATCAGCAACTACAGTCTGAGTGCCAGTGTCGCCTGCAGTAAATTCTGCCATGCGGCGGAGGAGGTGTGGGATATTCTGTGAGCGATTTCCGGGTTTGATGAATCCGCGCGCCGCGCAACTACTCTGCGCCGCTGCCTGTTGCCCGCCGTTCGCAGTCCGGTCGACTGCGCCTATCAAGCCACGAATTCCCTTGTGACGGTCGTGACCCCACGGGCTGTGAGTTTTGGACTCTCCTTGTCTCTATTTTCCGGGATATCCTTTTTTCCCTTACTCTGAAACGTTATTTGTTCCCCGACTGGAACTTCTCCGCCATATGTCGAGCATCCCCTTTCTTCTCTCCTCCTACCTGTCATATTTCTTTTGGATCTTCCTTTTATTTCATTCATGTCACGATTTATTTCTTTTTGGTTGATGATTTGATTGGGGGGGGATACCGGATACTCACGAGAATGAGAATTCGGACCGTGATTTGTCTTCATTCCTTTTTGCTCCGGCGAAGGTTCTAGGCCCGTGGAAAGATGGTATTGGGGAATTTTTGTTGACCATGGCATGGTTTTCTCTTTCCCCACGTTCCGAGAGACACTCGGACTGGATGGCATTTGGTTCCTTTTCGCCTCCAGTCCTGATCCAGAGCTCTTCGCCCGTTTCGACTGTGGCGAGACCAGAAAAGTGAACATACAAGATCGGGAAACCAGCCTTGGATCCTGAGATCAGGCACATATTGTGTTGAAAATACAACTATTATTTATTATGATGAATGCAGTGTAATTGCTCTTCTCCATAGCTGTCTAGACGTCTAGACCCGTGACTTCCCAAGTGGTCTCCCGCCATTCGCGCCTCGTAGCTTGATCTTTCCTTTTCCCAACGTCAACCCATTTCCATCAGCCTATAGCAGCTTCGAATAGCATGAGGATCCCGACGTGGCAAGGCGCCGCCTCACTTTAGACCTGCGAGACTAAGTCAGAAACCAAGCCAGTCCGTCTGCAGCTAATCGGAAGCGTGCAGCAAGCCGCCGGACGAATCATTCAAACGCCGGCATCACAGCGTTTCTATATTTCTGCATCTCTGCCCAGAATGCCTCGCTGCTATTCTCAGCACATGGATTCAATCATTCCATTCGTTCTGCCATGACTCATACTTGATGAACAATAAACACAATAACCTGACTATCACAATCAAATTCAGCGCCGCGCATAGTGGCGGTCAGCACACCTGCCCAAGAACCGCACGACACCGCATCTGCCCCCGGCTCCACAGTCTCCTCCAGTGCGTTCCAGTCTTGCTCCAGTCTCTCTTGTCGCCTCGTCCAATTTGCTACTGGCGGGGAGAGGCCACTCACGCACGTCCACTCCCCTCCATCCACGATCCCAAGCAGCCCCATCCGCCACGGTTACTGATCCACCCCGGGGTCCCTGCGATGAGCTGGCCCTTTCTTAGCAAATCCTACGGGAACTATCACCGTACCCTACCACTCCTAAAGCTCCCTCACCGAAACGGGCCAGCAACATGATTCGATGGGTCCTCGCCTCGCTGTGACAGCACCGGCGGTGTTTCACCCTGCTTCCCGACGCGCAGATCGCCCGATCGGGCAGAACTCTTTGTTATCGTGGTTAACTCTCATCCCATACACTTCCGGTTTGTACTCCAGTCCCCTCTGTCGCTGAGGGTCCACTTGCCCACTCTTGTCCACTCCGAGTGAGGGGCTCCCTGCAGGCCTCGTTCTCGGTCGACTACTAGGTACTGTGCCGATGACCATTGCATTAGGCTTGGGCATAAGAATTGGAAAAGGGGGTAGGCCCATGGCAGCTCTCCAGTCTTTTTCCTGCAATTCCACTGGTTCCTGGCAGGTCGCTTTGGTTTGTGGTCTGGTGTGTCATAGTACCTCCTAACTTATATAGACTGGGGTCATTCCCTTCACCGTATATATTCATTCATAAGTTACCAACTGGTTGCTTCTATCTCTTCTTCTCTACATATATCTACTCTTGATTCTTCTGTCTCTTCCTTCTACAATCCTTCCGAGTCCTACACCAAAGCGCGTGCAAACCTTCAAGCTGGCACGCCAACTCTCCTCCACTTCCACCCGAGATGCCGCTCTCCCACTTGACTCTGACTGTCTCGCATCTCCCTACCTCGACATCCTTCTTCCTGTCATGTCTCCAGCCTCTGGGATACCAATTTATTGGCCGTCATGACGACTATATCGGCTTCGGCCAGAAGCAGGGCGAACCCGCCGACTTCTGGGTGACGGAGCAAAAACCAGGGTATGTCATTTGATGCAAGCGGTCTTCATGTTTGGGAGGGTTCTGTTCTGTTTCAAAAAGTTCATATTCTAACTTGAGTTGGATAGGATCTCCACTAGTGCCGTACATGTCGCTTTTCCAGCCCCGACCAAAGATGCCGTGAAGACGTTCTTCATTAGTGCTTTGAAGGCCGGTGGAAAGATGCATGGCGAGCCTAAGACTCGTGATTCGCAATCTGGTTACTACAGCGCCGCCATCATAGATTTCGACGGGAACAGTATCGAAGCTGTTTATCGTCCTGGTGCTACGGTCGTTGCATCGGAAGTCGGAGGTCCTACAATAGCCCTGCTGGAAAATGGATCGGTTGTCTCCAAGAGCAGCAAAGCCACCACCACAGTCAGCAAAGCGACCACGACCAAGAGGACCCAAAGCATTGCACCTCCTGTATCTGAGGCTGGATCACGAGCTATTACCAAGGCACCAACTGCGATCGAGCGAGGCGCCCCTTCGGTTGTCTCTCACCAGTCACAGTCACAGCCGCAGGCAAGGTCTATACCACCGCCATCATATACAATGCAGACTCAGACTATCCCGAAAACAGACGATGGAGGCAAGGCCGCCAAGACTATCGTGGGTACTCTCCTTGGTGCTGCTGCAGGTGCTGCAATTGCATACGCCATGGTGAAAGGTGACTCGCAATCCACTACTGAGTCGGAGACCAAAAGCCAGACCAATAGCCAGACCAAAAGCCAGGCACCTGGACCTTCGCCTTCGCAATACGTACAAAACTTTGCTCAACTTATGGCACCATCTCAAGCACTCCAGCAAGAGGAGCAACAACAGTGGCGGGCCATCGAAGCACCCCCTGCACGCAGCGTCTACACCTCCGCCTCGGGTCCTCGCTCTACCATGAGCCGCAGCGTAGCCTCCAAGAACCCTCGTGCCAGCACCATCTACGAAGCAACCGAATTCTACGACGATCACGGACGCCGCGCCTCAGACGGCAGTGTCTTCAGCATCCCAGAAGACATCCCCCTCCGCGCAATCGAGTACCCTCCCCAAGGCAACGACTCGCAGCGCTTCCCCTGTAGCCCCAGTACCTTCATCAGCAGCTACGCAGCCGATAAGCCGCGCTCCCGCTCCCTGGCTGGACCAGGCAGCGTCCACTCCGCCTCAACAATCAAGGCATCGCAAGCCCAGAGCACATCCCGGCGGCACAGCCAAGACGACAGAAACAGTTACACCTCCAGCCACCACTCACGAGCATACCACACTTCAACTTCCACCCATAGCCGCCAGGGCGGCAAACCATCCAGCAAAGCCCCCAATGCCGCAGGCAGCACGGCCTCATCGACGCGCTCGGCACGCAATATCCCTCTCCCCGCCGGTTCTGCAGCGACGTACTACAGCGCCGCGCCCAGCCATGGCAAATCGCATCTCTCGGCACGCGAAGTCCCACTCCCCGATAGTGTGATTGACTTGGATGTGAGATCGAATGTTACGCCTGACGACTCTATCAGCCAGGTTGGTAGTCGCTCGGATAGATCGCACCATTCGCATCATTCGCATCGCTCGCACTCGAAGGCCGGCTCGAAGCATTCGTCTAAATCCAAGTACGGCCTTCCAGTTATTCCGGCTGATAGTGTTAGTCAGGCTTCTTCCCAGCATACTGTTAAGGCTGGTGGGAGTCGGGTTCATTCACATTCGGGCAGTCGTCGTGGGAGCCAAGTTGTATGATTTAAACACTTGGATGGATTCTTTTCTCTTCTTTTCATCTTTCTTTTCATTGTTCACCAACGACTCATTTTCGCAAATTTTCGGTTCGTTTTGAACTGTTTTCATTCGTAATTTTTGCATTTTATTTCATTTGCATTTCTTGCGCGGCATTCACATACATACATAAACAGACAATTCGGGGACGACTGCATTCAAGAATATAATATCTCAATGAAACACGTTTGCATAGAAAGGTCATCGTTATATTGCTATCTGAAACTTGAGCTACGCCCGTAGACTTGCAGAAGATGTTGGCAGCACAGTACTACCTGTGCCCTCACGAGTCTGCCAGTGGTTCCAGGTGTATGTCGGGCCGACACAGTAAGTCTTCCCGGCCTGCAAGCTGTCTGAACACATCATCGCATCCAAACCGGACTACCTTGGCAAAGTCGGTTAGCCTTAGGCGGCCTTGGCGTCAATCTAGCAATGTCAGGTCTCGAAACTCCCTTCTCAATCCTATCAAACTCAAAGGATCAAGCCTACCAGTGAATCCTCAAACATGGATGAGCTCCAGAACAGACTGGAAACCATCTCAGACTGGGGATACGTCATATATCGCACTACCTACACTGTGGAATCTGATACTGCTTTCCCACACGCTATTAGATATATCGAAACCTGCCTGAAAAGTGAATTCTTTGACGAGGTGACGCCAAGGCTTAGACCTTATGATGACGACCCTGTTCACATTTGGTCCAGATATAAGTCGACAATCATAGAAGACCCCGCGCAATTTGACGGGGCCTCTATCGAGACCATTCGCACTCATTTTGAGACATGGGTAGATGCTCAAAAAGCTCGCGATTTCTTTAACAAATTTCGAATGTGCATAATTATTGATGAAGAATCTCTGCAAACACTCAAGGACGGATCAGTGGGGGACGTCGAAAATGATGACCACGAACTACGATTGGTGAAGGTCCTCGAAGCATTCCCCATTGTCGATTCGTCAGACGGGTTTCCCGGGTGGATGAAATGCTGGACACATGCACTGTGGTTTCTCTGGTCTAATTGGGGGATGGCGATGAGATGAGGATGTTATATAACTCAATCGAGATTGGCGACACCATATTTGACGGGGTATTTTGCGGGTGACCCGATCAAGTTGGTGGCATCATCATCGAGAAAATGGAAGAGAGGGGGTCAAGGTGCTTTATGTCTGGTCTGATGATGATCATGTCTCTCGCGATACTCTGAGACAGTACACTGCGGCACTCTATAGCGGCAACCGGCATAGTACCAGGTCAACCACGGCAATTTAGGCTGAGCGTCCCAGCGGCCGCCTGTACCTATCTCTATGTGTAGTAATCAATGATAACTACTACTAATATACCTAGCTTTCAAGAAATCTATTCGCTAGTAACTTCATAGATTAACCCCTCTGCGAGATTAGAATGAGCGTAGTGGGAGCTATTTACTACCCTGCCGGCGAGGGGAGATACGATACACTTTCAGTGGTTTTTATTCATTGCAGTCTTTAAGTCTTGATTTATTTTGTAAGGAAAGTATTACTACTACTAGTAAAATATAGTACTACAGACGAGCAACCTCCAGGGCTTGGAATGCATACCTACTAGGTAACAATCAGTATCTTTCTGCCTGTGAGCAGATGAGACGTTGCGCATAGTAGCTACTACTAGTAATGATATCAAAAAAGTACCTGGTATGCAACATGTCATCTATAGATGTCGTCCGATGAACCTCACTGCAGAATCCACACAACTGACGGAGTACTAGCAATGCAATGCAAAATGCGAGACCCGCATCACATGTACGAGTATTAACGGTCTCGGGAAGTCCCGTACTTCTGAAGGATGGACCACTTTTGGCCAAGAATACCGCTAATGCACCTCCTATCACATTTGCGGGTAGACACGGCCTATGACACTCAAGCAAACACAGTCCCCCCTGTCGGTTTTACCGACATCGGCAAGGTAATTACTGGAATAGAGTGCTGATGGGAATATGAGATGAATGCTATTGTTTTTGACATAAGATAAACCTTGTCTTCCGGGTTTATATTTGAGCTCTCTACTAGTGGGCTGCTTTATGGTTTGGATAGTAGTTACCCAGGTGATTGGTCTGTTGGAGTCTCTTGGATGTTTACTTATTCCTGGTGTGCCACGTGGTGGTTACAGTGCATTGAAGGATCGACTTCACATAATGTGTGTGTATGGAAAAGGTATGTAGTTCTGGTATGTAGGTACATAAGTACGCACTTCCGTATTAATTCAGTATTGAGACGACGAACAATCCGAAAAAGAAAGGCTGTGCTGCGGGGGTGGTTGTTGATATCGTTTCGTTTCAAGCATCGGATCAATAAAGCGACCAAAAAGTTCGAGTTGGAAAGGGCATGTTATGTTGTGTTGAATTTTTCACTCCTTTTCTTCTTTCTTGATTTCAGGCGATTTCTGTTTCGCCGCAGCTGCGGCCGCCGCTTCCGCCTTATCCTTCTCCTCCTTCGCCTTCTCCTCCTTCGCCTTCTCCTCCTTCTCCTTCTCCTCCCTCGCCTTCTCCTCCTCGGGGAAGGGCTTTCTGGCCCAAACTCGCCTTGTACGTTGGTATGGGTGGTGGTGTGGGTTCAGCAGCCCCTTTCGCATCTGAGCATTGTACACTCGCACCTCCTCCTGAGTCCATGGCTCGGGATCTCCAAACTTGGTCATTAGGAACATGGTGTATCCCTCGATACCGGTCAGCCAATGGTGGAGGTTGATTGAGCCTAGCTCCTTCTTTAGACTTTTCGCGAGGCCAGGGCCCGATGGGCCACTTGGTTGCTTTTTCGTGAATGTCGATGAAGCCGGCTTTTTCGATGGAGTCGCGCATCGTTTTTACAAGATCCATGCGCTTGCCGGATTTGTTGGCGGCAGCGTCACACCTAATATTCTCAGTAATCAGATAATGAGTCGGCGGGAGGCTTCATCTGCAACTTGAGTGCTTTCATACCTGGGTCCAATATCATATAGAACACTATCCTCCGCGATACTCGCATCATCACAATAAACATTGGGGTGAATTTCAAACTGTTCAATCCAACCACCAGGCTGGAGATTGTCATAACACTTCTTCATGATATCCACCGTTTCCTCAGGCGTAAACGCGCACGCCGTAACCCGAAGATGAATCAAATCGAACTTCTTACTCCACGTCCAGTCCTGCGTCACATCATCCACCTCCAAAATACAGTTAGGCGGTAACCAAGTAACGGGCGGCGGGAAGAGATCCACGCCACGAACCCAAGCCTCGGGAAACATATCCGCGACATCAACGGCCCACGATCCCTTTCCCGTACCAATATCGAGGACGTTCTTGGGTTCGATGGGTGCGTGGAAGAGCGGGTTTTCTTCAGCGGAGTCTCCAACGATCGCGGCGAGGTGGACGGCGTCGTAGGTGTCGAACTGCTGCTCGTCGGCGGGGAAGGCGTACTCGTCTTCCTTTAGGGATTGGTAGCGGCGGCCATTCTCCATGATTCCGCGATAGATAGAGGACCCGATTGAGGTGGTCTCGGAGTTCCAGTCGCGGGGGTCATATTCGTCTTGGCGGAGGTGCACGTCTGGATCGACGGCGATGGTGATTTCGTTCGCATTCGCTGACGACATGTTGGGATGAATGCGTGCGCCGAGTGGCGGTTGGGTATGTTTGTGTATATGTGCGGGTGTGGGAAAGGGGGGAATACAAGTACAAGTGGCCGAGCTTTAAGGGACTAATATATGATAATGACTGACGCTTTGACTGAAGAAATCAATGGTGCGGGTCCAAGATGGGTACGGGACGGGAATGGGGGACGGGGGAGGGGGTTCAGCCTTTGAAAAAGTGTTATTTTACTTTACTTTACTTTACAGTCCTTACAGTACTTTGGTTAGACGCTAGAAATCCGAGCGCCACTTGCACTGGCACTAGGACTACATTGGTTGCCCAGGTGTACTTGTGTTCGTGTAGGTTTGGCGAAATATGAACGAGAGGAACCATCCCCCTTGGGCTGCTGTCATGCACGGGATGGTTTGTTAAAAATTAAAATGAAAGTCTCATTGCGCCAGCTTGCATAGCAGACACAAGCACAAGTACTTTGTACTGCATTAACACTCAGACTAAGATTGCGCCAACTCCGTATCAGACAGGGGCCCCCCCATGTTCTCCCGCCGTCCCCGGTCGCATTTCGGTCGCAACATGATTCTAGTGGTGGGAATGATTCTGGTGACACCGTATGAGCAGGGCAATATGCGTCCCTGTAAGCTATGCTAGTACAAGGGTGGTAATGACAGCGGGGCGGGGCGAAACACAAGCCCGATTCTGGTTCTGGTTCTGGTTCTGCTGGGGAAATGTGCCATTGTGGATGCTGTTTCCGAGAAGCTAAATTTCAACTAGCATAACATAACTAGTACCTACTCGTAGACAAATCCTGTATCCGCGCCACACCAGCCGGTCTAACGCCTTGTGATCTAATCCCTCGCTACTCCGTTCTGCAAAAGTCCTGGAATCCGGTAGTGTGAATATTTGTCCAGGGCTCATAATTTCTGAACACATGATTTCCCTAATGGATAGCGATTGATAACTAACTAAACTTCAACCTTCCAAGGTTCGAAGGGAGAAATGGACTGCGAATGGAAGTCTGCGAATGTCAAATAGAATTTGGATCGAGATCTATTCGTATTATTTTCGATGCCAAGTGAATGAATGCATCTAACCCACTAGTACTACTAGTTCTAATATGAGCTAACTAACAGAAGGCTGTACTGGTACTCATTAGGCACTTGGACTCTTTTCAGACCAGAACACACGGGCGAGAGCGATCCTGAGGTCGATACTATACATGCACCAACGCTCCACACGTCGTTCAAATTGACAACTTGAAGGACTTGAAACCTTGGAATCGTTATCATTGAGGGAAATTGGCTATGAAATGTGACAAACCCGTGGAATTCATAATATGGCCTCTTTATTAAACTTTGACTATAATCATAAAGTTCGATTAAGTTTAGATCATACCAAAGGAACCTGGTAGTTCCGACCGGCCCTGCGTTGATCCCGCTAGCTCATTGCCAGCAAATGAGCTATGTAGCTCAGAAGGCTTCCATTTGCTTCCTGTCTGACGTTTCATATCCTGACTCGAATTTTCGCTCATGTGCGCCTGATGTGGATACCCATACTGCAGCTGCTCTTTCTGTCGACGCTTCGCTTGACTGCAATATAATAACAGTCCGCCCACTAGTAACAAAGGTATTCCAAGACCAGCGCCTAATCCCGCACCAATGGCCGCCAGTTGCGTCTTGTTATATGACACTATTGAAGGGCAGGTACTGCTGGCATCTGAGGTGGCCAGCGTGGGTATTACCGTGGCCGTGCGGTTCGCTGTCTCACAAGATGTCGCACTGCTCGTCGTATTTTCGGAAGTTGGCATGCCGTTCTGCGCGGCTGTCACATTGGCGGATGTATAATGAAATGTTCCCAATGCGTTTTTCTCTTGACAGGCAACTGGAGCCGAAATCTCATGGCTACATGTCCACAGTGTATTGGAAGTGTTGCACTGAAATAGATTCGCCCATCCGTCATCAATTTCTAATAGGTCAGAGAATGACTTGTCAGCTTGTTGAATGAGTTTCACGATGAGGGATAGGGGGTTTACCTTCATAGCAGGCCCGTGGACATAGAGCAATCGGCCATGTTTCATCGGCGCAAAGCCCCCGATAAAGAATCCCAAGGTTCGCTCCGAAGCAGAATCCATTTGACAAACACGATTCGCCTTTTAAGCAGCACGATAGACCACCTGGACACTGTCTATAATCGCTCCCGACTTCGCCATTGGGAAAGTAACATGTTGCTGAGCTCGCCGAGATAAGACAAAACAAAATAACAGTAGGCACAAGGCAAATGGTTCGTAAACCGAACCCTATTCGAAACATTGAATTGAGGGACGTTGATCTTAAAGAAATTATATTACATGTCAGGTCATGGTATGGGCAAGAAAAGAAAGGAAAGACGTTGGGGCCCTGCGGGGGAAGAGCGAGTCTTGTCTCAGAGCCTCAATTGGGTTCACGAGACTGACGCGAGCTGGCTTGCATTAGCTCTGCAATGATCCTTTCATTTAATGCGAGCCAGTGGGGGGCAAAAGGGAGATTTTCCCAATCAACCCAACACTCAACCGTTTGGGCAGGGTATGTGTGCGCTAAACACATCAGGGTTTTTGATGCAGGGGTCTTTGCGGTTAGGAACTAATTTCGGAACCACCAAGCGATTAGGCCACCATAAGATTATTCTTCTACTCCTCGAAGATGTTCATTGAGATAATTTAATCATGGCCTAGGCCCATGTAAACTAATCAACTACCTGTCGCAATCAGACCCGTGGCAACTCAAACTCGGCGCCTATACTTGTTGGTAGGGCTGGCGGCTAACGAAGAACCAATCACACTATCACACAAGTTAACTCATCTTGAAATTTAGCGCCCTAGGCAGAACATCCTTGGTTCTTAGAACGCCATCCAGATTCTTTTTTGCAAATCAAAAATAGGCTTACTGGAGGAACTACCGGATGGGGGTCGTTCTTTAAAAGGGCATGTACCTAACAGTTTACATAAACCTTTTGCGATTTTCTTTTTACCTGTCGAACGTTTTCAATATTAGAAGTCTAACAAGGCACAAACAGCATACTAACTGTACCCGTGGCACTTAAATTTCTTTTTAGAAATGAATGGCGAGCTCTGGTATCTAAATTTCAAGATTTCTCTACGTAATTCGAGAAATTTAGAATTTCGGTCAGTTCCCACCACCCGCCACTTACCAGCCCCATCGACGAAAGACGGAATTTCTTAAATGCACCCAAGGGTCAATTGAAACGTATGCATAACTCCAATGGAGGCTTAATTTGATTCCTAACTAATAGGATACAAGGAGGACTGTATATTTTCTCTTGGCGTATCGTATCTGTAGTCTTAGAAGAAGAAAGATCGTCACAGATCCTCCCAGTCGTGCGTCATCTACCATATGGGCCTCTAAGTAAACAACGGAGAAAGCGCCAAAAAGCAGGGTAAAGCGTCCGCCGCATGCCCTAGATCTTGGCCGTCTCCACCAACGTGGTCGATCTCAGCTCTTTCACGACCGCTGAATTCCACATCCCCTTGGATCCCAAGCTAGATACGTCAGCTTGGAATGTCGATCGGTATACCCTGTAGATGACCCTTCTCGGCACCGATCGAGTGCTAGTATATAAAGAGCTACCTGCAGGTATTTTTCTCATTAGTATAAGTCTTAATATACAAAATCCGACAGTCTGTTATATGGTTTAGCCATATCTTTCTGATCAACCATTCGTCTGAACATAATTCGCAACACAGCCACATAGAACGTACATATTCACATAAAGAAGTAAGCTTTGATGACTCGAAAGCATAGGCCGCTTGCTGACAGCCGCAAGAATAGATACATTATGGCACTCTCAATCTCTGATTCCGAGAAAGATCGCAAACCCAGCTTCAGAGAATTCCTCGATGAAGACATTGCTGAAGATATACTCCTCGAAAGCGAACTTCTCCTCCTGTCCTTCGCAACCGGCATTCAGGACGCCGCCGCCTGGCCGGATTATATGTGTTTTGCCTCCAATCAAACAGGCAATACGCTATTCCTTGCGATTGGAGTAGCAGGTCTCGCCCACGATGCATTCAGCTTCGCAAATATCGGCGTGAGCCTGAGTCTTTTCATTGCCGGCGGTTTTATAATGGGCCAGTTGGGAAATTACTTCGGAGTGAGACGACGACTGTGGTTATTGATTAGCAACTTCATCCAAACAGCACTGGTATTCTGTGCTTTGATGATTCAATATGCGTGGCCCATTCAGCGCGATGGACCTGCCGCTCTGGCAGTTATTGCATGTCTCGCATTTTCATCGGGTGCACAGGTTGCCATGGCCCGTTCTTTAAAGATCACCGAAATTACAACTGCGATGGCGACTGCGGCCTTCATCGATGTGGTCATTGATCCGAGCTTGACGAAGATCAAGAATCGGTTGCGAAATCGCAGAGTTATGTTTCTCGTCATGTTGACGTTGGGTTGTTTTGTTGGTGCTTTCGCACAGCGTGAGGTCAGCTCGTCATTTCCAATTATGCTCTGTGCTATTGCGAAGGCAATGGTCAATGTGGCATTTTTGTTCAATCGGCCAATTACACCAGTCGCAGCAGATATGAAAGTTTAGCATATACCTAGAGATAAAAACCAGAAGTTTGACGTTCTCATGATGATAGATTCATAACGATAATTCTAATGTTGCGGCTTTAATCTCCATCTCAATGCTTGAAAGTACTAGATCAGAGAGCTTCAAATGTAAGAGCTTAGTACTTGAAGGAATTAGAAGTAGAAATACATGAAGCTACTCATCCGTCGAACCGTCGCAAGTGTGCTAGAGTAGAACAACCGAAACTATCTGTTCCACACACCTATATTACGTTAGGTGGTCTCTCTATCATCTTTCTTGATTGTCATCCTTGCACTTGTCTCATATTCCTCGTGAGTATGCCGACCCGCTCAATTATGTATTGAGTAGCCGATCGAGACTCGGAAATTTTTACATAAAGCCACTACGGTTGGTTGACATGATCGAGAAATAAAGAGGGTACCAAGGCTCTAGAGTCTATAAAACACCGCATTTGCTGCTCCACTGGCCACAAGAGCATTACGTTCCGCAGAGCGAGACCTTCCAACTTCATATTCCTTTCAAAGATTTCAGCAGCAGATGGGATAACTTATGAATCAGAGGGGGCTCGGGGGAGAATGTTCGAAGTTGGTGGAGCTGGAGAAAAGTTGGTCGAAATGACGGGAGTCCACCTGGGCAGCTTTGTGGTAGGGGCGGGGGCTGGATTCTTGAACCCTTCAGGCTGGAAACCGGTCCAATCCCCTTGGTAGCCCTGGATTGTATTATGTCGAGTATCTTTTGAGAGTCGCAGGCAAAACGCAAAAGCGTGTTGGTTATAACACCCGAATTACCCTAGTTGTACGTGCTAATGATGCGCAGAGGTGAAAGAAGGATTGTAATTTAGGTTGACTTTCGACTCCTCAGCCTGTTATGATAATGATATGACTACAACCCACCTTTATCTGAGAAAAGGTAATTTAGAGCGGCTTTATTCTGTTCCTGTGGCTTAAATCCTGGACCTAAAAGTTTATTTTGTCAGTGTCTTGCACTAGAAGCTGCCACCTAGACTTTTGAGGAATTTCTTTGATCGCTAGAAAAATATAACAGAGATTATTGGTGGAGATATGAAGATCAATTGCTCTCGAACATTCCGAACGGCCTCGAGAGTACCGCTCTGGATAAAATTCAATCGTGAATTGTAAGAAAGCCGCTGCCAGCCGCTAACGTCGTAAAAGTCCCAGTCAATGCCCAAGAAATTCTCCAGTAACCTGCTTAAATTATCTAATGAGTAGCAACTTGAAGAGAATGTGTGATGTATCATTCTATGAAATGCATATACTTGGCAAAGGTCATTGGGCAATCGCCTTCTATCACCGGCACTCACGCCCCGGGGCCAAGCCGATGGGTGGGCAGCAAGTCCTGGATATAAGAGATTGAAACTAGGCTGTCACATTTGAGCCAAGCAAATAAATTCAAGTATTCAGGGTGTATCAATTAGCCTATTTCATTGGCGGCAATTGACTTGAAGAGTTGTTTTTCTTTTCAGCCAATCGCTTCTATAGTCTGAATTCACAATTCAACTACACAGCCTCGTGGGTATATAAGCCTAAATATCGGCCAGGGTTCCACCACTCTCGGCATTTCCTCATAATCCTATAAGCTGGTTGGTCTCGAAAAAAAATCAAGCGGGCCTCTTTCAAAGTTTCAACTAGAAAGATGTTCTTCGAATAAAACCGCCGAGAGAATCCTTCGGGCATAACTGTGGACCACATCCGAGGAGTGAGATCCCACCAAAAGGTTCTTTGAGTATAGGCAAGTGGAAACTAGTACATAATTGGTATAGTGAGATAACAAATTCAGGTATGCCGGGAGTTTATGGACTCCTACTAACACCCTTAAATTTGGAGGTGGCTTTGGCCGCGTCATTTTCAGGCGGGGCCGTCCACTTCCATTACAACCACGTTCTACTACCAGGTGAAGATAGGATCCATACTAGTAGTATATAAAGCCCAAGGTTTGCCGTTCTGGTCCAAAAAGACAAATAAAAAACTAACAACCGCCACAATGAAACTTTCCATCGTTGCGATGGTCTTGTCATTTCTCTCCCACGCGACGGCGGCGCCTGCGGGGAATGACCTGGAGAAGCGCGACTCGAGTTCGTTCAAACTTGTTGCATACGGAGTTGCATCTTCTTATATTGATATATTCTTTTCTGACGGTTGGTCTACCATGTTTCAAACTAGATCTTTCCACTCATGTCTACTCTAGGGCTTGCTTATGCCGGCGATGCTTCGCTGTGGGAAGCAGAGGGCAAGGTTGTTACCGATGTTACCTGTATGACCATATCCCTACTACTTTTCCAACCATACTGTTACATACGATTACATCTTACCAGAGCATTCGGAGCTAACTAAGAATAGTCGTAATGCATAATACCGAGCTAAACACGACTGCCACTCCCGTCTCTAAGCTTGATGCGGCGACCCTGTTCTACATTAGACCCGTCGAAGATGATGTTTTGCCAGTCGGCTTCACCAAAAATGGTCATGATACTCCTTCCGATGCTGTGACAAGCAACTTCATCTTCTACGGAACCTATCTGATGTGGGAGGAGTCTAGCGGAACTTTATCGTCCTCGTTCCGCCTCTTGCCAATGAATGTGTCGGGCATATACCAACTATATTATGATTACTCGAACCTTTATCCTTCGGGATATGCGATTCCAGTCATCAAGTCTGTGAAGGTCTGATATTTCGGTAGACGTGAGGATTAGCAAGACTTTTTCCAGCACCGAAATTAACTTTCTCGTAATATGTGGCCGTTACTACTAGTAGTCGATATTCATAGGGTAAGTTCTACTAGAGGCCGGCCACGGAAGCTTAGTTTTCGAACCAAAACCTGTAAGACCCTAGTGAAGGAGGTTAGTCGCGTCAAAAAAAAATAACTAATCGCGTATATTACAGCGGGGCTTTTTATCGCGTCGCCATCATTGATGGTTCTTCACGCTAATATTATATTAAATTTTGTCTTGGCGCTTCTTCGACTTTTAAATTATCGATCCTCTTCGTGGCCCGGGGGTCTAGGTAAATCAGAGCATTTCAAAAATTCGTAATGCAAGCCACCTGCTGAACCACCACAACTCGAAATTATCATACTTGTTTATCAGGCCTTTGTTTCTTTCAGCAATGATCGGAAGCTTGCACGAACCTACTAGTATGAAGGTTGTACCAAGCGATTGTTATTCAGAACAGCATAACTTTACATAGCATAAATCTTTGAGTGACAGAAGCCTTCCCATGCGAAGACAAGGAGATCACTCATCATCCACACTAATAAGAACACTCTTAGTCTCCAAATAGTTGTTGATGCTAACAGTCCATCCCTCACGACCGGTTCCACTAGCCTTATAACCTCCGAAAGGCATGTCTTTCGCACCGGTCGGGCTAGTACAGTTCACGCCCACACTTCCCGAATCCAACTTTTTCGCCATTCGCAGGGCTCGGCTGACATCCTTAGTATAAACAGCCGCATACAGACCATATTCAGTATCATTGGCCTTCGCAACGACTTCATCTTCATCACGGAAGGTGTTAATATGCACGACAGGCCCAAAGATCTCCTCTTTCATCGGCTTGGTATCTTCAGCCGTTTCAAGGAACACCGTAGGAGGAACGAAAAATCCATTCTGGTGTTGAGAAGGCTCTCCTCCCATGGCCAATTTACCAACTTTCTTAGCCTCCTCAATGTAAGCGTGGACTTGCTTGTATTGCAGCTCGTCTGCCTGTGGGCCCTGCTGCGTGGTTGGGAGTAAGGGGTCGCCGCTCTTCAGATCAGCAAAGCTCTTCTTGAACGACTCGATAAACTTTTCAGCGATCGACTCGTGGACATAGATGCGAGAATTGGCCATGCAGACCTGTCCGGTATTAAATTGCATGCTGAACTTGGTCTGTTCGACTGCCTTTTCGATATTGGCATCTGGAAAGATGATCGCGGGGGGATTTGCCGCCGAGCTCTAGAATGACATTCTTGAGGTTGGACTTGGCAGCTGCGGCTTGGATAATACGTCCTGTTCTACCTGATCCAGTGAAACTCAGGACGCGAATATCCATGTGGTGTGACATCACATTTCCAGAGATGTGGCCGTGTCCCGAAAGGATGTTGATAACGCCAGGAGGGAAGCCGGCTTTGTCGATCAGTGTGGCGATTTTCGCTGACTGTAAAATAGTAAGAGCATTGCCTAGTGAAACTCTCGTCGAGGCGAGAACTGTATGAGATTATTTATTAACTCACAGTCAATGGTGCCTTTTCGCTGCTCTTCACCACAACGGTATTTCCCGCGATCAGGGCTGGAGCACTTTTACCAATCTTAATTTTGTCAGAAACCCTCACGAAATCGGGAAACGGAGAGACAAACCAAGAATAAGACCGGTACATTCCAAGGGATGATAGCACCGACCACGCCATATGGCTGTCGCATAGTAATATTGACAAAGCCAGGGGTGTTCAAACTGGATGTTCCCAGAGCGTCATAACCTGCCTCTGCATAGTGGTCCAAAGACTCTGCTGCGACGTAAGACTCGAAGTACGCAGAGACAGGACGTCCCATTGACAGTGCTTCCAGTTCAGCAAGCTCATCGTGGGATTCGCGAATCAGCTTGGCGAGCTTCTTGAAATAGGCCCCTCGATCTGCAGGAGAGAGCTCGGACCACGACGGAAATGCAGCTTTGGCAGCAGCAACAGCGGCGTTTGTATCATCTTCCGTTGCCTCGGAGACTGTATAATTGTATTAATACCAGCTAGACAGATCTCCTGTGCACGTAGACAATACAATACCTTTGACGAACTTTTCGCCCGTGGCGGGTGATTTCAGCTCGAATTTACCACCGTCAGAGGCTTCCACGAACTAGCATTCTTTAGCGTGAGTCCTTATTGCTGGTTTAATCCAACTCACCTTGCCATTGATGAAGAGTCTCGTCTCAAAGGACTTAACCTTCGGTTCTTGGGTGATGGCCATGGTTGCTATTTGAAGTGGGAGACGAGGATCGATGTCAATGAGAGAAGATGTTTTTAAAGCGGGCGATTGGGGGATTGAATCCTTGAAACCCGCTAACTAAGTGTCGCATGGACTTCTTGGAACATAGACTGCTGACAATTTAACTCGCGTTGACCCCGCACGCTAGAAACGAGGCCCCCCACCAATGTAAGATGGAGCTATCTCCAGAAACGGGCAATGCAGTAGTGATTTGGCTGGAAGCTACATTCATCCATGGTACCAAATAAATATCCCCAGAGCCTAGGTCGGTCTAGAAATATTCTACAGTTGATCATCTGGTGAGTAGCACCCGCGTGGCCCGATAGCTTGGCATAATGGACACTCAATCATGGATAGAACCAGTTACTGCCCTTAGTCTCGTTTGAGTATAAAGTATTTCAGTAGATACAAATACATGCGAGTAATTGGAGTTACCAAAATGACCAAATGATTCGCATGCGTGAGATGAGTCCACGAGGGACTAATGGCATAAAGTGCATGTAGGGAAACTCCACGAGACTCCACCCGGTCTCTACCCGATGGAAAATTCGAAAAGAAAAATATAAAAAAGGAAGTCTCATAGAAAAATGAAATGGGTGAACTCCGGTCCTAGCTTCCCGTATATCCAGCCAAACCAGATGCAACGCACCATGAAAATGCATCCATAAAAGGGTAAAAAAAAAAGGAAAAGGAAAAAGAAACAGGAGGGGACAGCAAATGCTCTTGGACAGAGCGGGGTAACCATTTATAAGCATTACGTTCATTGTCTGAGGTGGCTGTTATGAGGATGTTTCGCAACATGATCAATAAAAGTCACTTGGTAGTCAATGACGAAACTTGCATTATAATTTTATCGTAAATAGGCCAGGTGCAACCACAACTGCGGTTTGAACGCACATCGTTTGGCTTCGAAAGATGGGGAATTTAAAAGGTCAAGATGGAACAGAGGAAAGGGCAATCAATACCCAAACCGAGGAAGAAACATGAATGAATGCATCGCGATCATCGAAATCAATCGAATTTGCATGCAATTTTTCGTTCCTTCTCCAGTCCATTCGCCTCCCACTCTGCCAAAATACGCGATACTTCTCGGAAGGAAACTGGTTTGGTGAGGAACATATCCACGCCAGAGGAGAGAGCCTCGGATTCATCCCGTAGACTACTCAGCCCAGTCAGAGCGATAATGACAGCCGGCCTGCGGTTATCATTTTCTTTCTCCATGGCCCGGATGGCGCGTGTTGCTTCGAATCCGTTCATCACGGGCATTGATATATCCATGAAAATGATGTCGAAGCCCATTTGCATTCGCTCGGCCGCCTCGACAGCAAGCTTGCCATTATCCGCGGACACAAGATCAGTGAGATTCCGCTTCTTCATGAAGGTCATCATCAGATTGAGATTGATTCGATTATCGTCGACAACGAGGACACGTGCCAGTTGTGAAGAGGCAGAGCTACCACCTACCGATGGCATTGGGAGAGGGGCCGCTGCGATGGCCTCTGGGAATTCGGATACCATTGACGGGTCGTTGGGAGAAGACTCTCCTAGAGACTTAAGACCCGACCCGGCGGCGACTGCTGATAAAGGCTCATCAAAAGGCGCAGTGTTTGAAACGGAAACCGGAGACGTGACAGCAGATTGTAGGGCGGAGGTGATCGGGGGTGTCCGGTAGACAAGGTCGATAGAATCCATGGGATTGCTAATCACGGTCGCGGGCGTCACCACCGAGGAGCGAGAGTTCTGGAAGCATTTCAGAACGCTGCGGGCCAGTTTGTGAGGTCCACAGGGGCGTCGAATAATTTCCACCGAGGTTGCAAGTGCGAGCCACTGAGTCTGCTCCTGAGAATAATCCACTGGCTGGTGGCAGAGGATGAGCAGTGATGGCAGTGTTGCAGTCAGTGGCGTTTTGCGCAACTCGGGCAACACTGATTCCTCTATGACCAACATATCCAATGGAAGCGGTGACGGCCAAGCAACGAGTTCCACCCCGAACCATTCGGTGAGATATTTCGCAATCTCAGCCCATGTCTGGTCCTCTGCGAGACGCTCCACGTCCACACCCCAAATAGCAGCACGTTTACCAGGGAACCCTTCGCGGAGGAGAAGGGTTTTCGTCAGAGCTTCTATTTGTTGCGGGTTATGGGAGCTTTCATGAACAGGCGGGCTTTCCTCGCCGACCGCTCGCGCAAGTGGAAGAGAGACACGCACTACTGTACCTTCCCCAGGGCGGGAGCGGACGCGAATGTGGCCATTGAGAGCTTTCACTAGGCTCTTCACGATTGACAATCCCAAGCCAGTTCCCACAGCGAGCGAATCTTCCTGGGCGAATGGGGTATATAGCTTCCCACGAAGGAATTCTTCCGAAATACCGCGTCCAGTATCTGACACAGTCAGCGTAACCAGATCCTCCAAGCCCTGTCGTCGAGAACGGCCCTCTGACCGGCTGGTAGCTTCTAGGCTCAAGGTTACTCGCCCCGAGTCCGTATATTTCATTGCGTTTCCAAAGATGTTCATGATAATGCGCCGTAGCGCGCCTGGTTGTGTGCGATAAATCCAATCGCCTTGCGCCACATCAATAATCACATCCACTTGAGATCGACCTGATTGGACATTGAGAACTTTGCTAGACGAGAGGACCGACAGATCAGCATGGGCCCCAGAGTTATTTCCATAGGCCAGCCCCAGGCAGATTCCCTCAACGACTTCTTCGGCTAAGATCGCAAGATCCGTCACCACATAGGAGTCAAGATGCGAACCCAGATTGTCTGTGCCTTTGAAGTCGAGTGGTGACTCTTTCCTGCGCTTCAGTGACCGCCATGTTCGCTCCAGAGAAACAACCTTGCTGAAATCCAGGACTTGATTCATCGTGTCAAGTAGAGTCCGACCACAAGCGTTTACCGTCTCAAGAAGCGACCCTTGGAACTCGCTAAGATTCGTGTCGTTCAGGAATTCGGCCGCGGCTAAAATTCCATGAAGAGGACTACGGAGCTCATGTGAGATGCTGCCGATAAAATCACCCTTCTGCCGATCTGCAATGAGCGACTCGACTCGACTATACTCAGCCATGATAGACGAGCCAAAGCCCAGGACAGAGCTCAGCTCAACGGCGGAAGTGAAAACTTGTGTCTCGACATCAATCCAGCAAAAGCACCCGGCAAACCATTGCGAGTTCACAGCATTCCAAAGCGGAACAAACATGATCTGCACCGCTTCTGGGAAATACTGATTCAACAGGGTGTTTTCTGCGGCCTTTCGCCTTTTCCCCATGGGCTTTGTCACGTCGATCGGGGAGAGTCCTGGAGGCGACGGATTGGAGGGAGTGGGGGCCGTATTACGCGGATTGTGGTCATCATCATCATCATCATCATCATCAGACGTGGAAATGAGGCCGTCTCGATGGAACGACCATATCTTTCCTTTGGGATATCGTCGAAGGAGCAATTGTAAAAAGGACCGATCGAGGGAAGCCGCGGGGGATTCACTGATCGCGCCCGCACGAGGTGCGAATGGTTCGTCCTCTGTCGACATAGACAAGACAGTTGCAGGGCCGGTAGAATCACTCATCGAGTCCTCACTCCCACTATCTCGACTAGAGAATGGAGTGCCTTGAGACTCTAGGAAAATGACCCCGCCATTTTGTCTCAAATCCAGGCTTTCACGAAGTAAATTCGCCGCCCGGCGAAAACACCAGGAATTGCCATGAGAGTCGTCGGGAGGAAGTTGATTTCTGCTGCTGCTAGTGATCCACTCTGGCAGAGAGCTCGCCCCACCAGATGTCCCAGTGTCTAATTTAGAGCCCCCAGAGCTAACAGATTGCGCATCATTACTCGGAGATCGATCGTTGGGTGGGCTATTTGGCTGGCCTGATGATGCTCGAGATGCTCTCTCATTCTGGGAGGATTGGTCGAATTGGACAGAGTTGCCATGGCTGCTCCGATCGTTGGGCGGGCTGTTTGATTGGCCTGATAATCCTTGATATGATCGCTCGTTCTGGGACGATTGGTCAAATTGGAGGGAGTTGCCTAGGCTGCTCCCACGGGAATCACCAAAAGTGCTGAGGCGATTGTTTAATGATGGGGTCACAGATTGAGAGGGTAAGCTGTCGGCCCGCGAGGGATCAACACTTTCCACAAAGCTGGAGCTTCCATCAACGAAATAGCTCAGTCCGCGAGAGAGTCGTGCAGCTCGACGACCCTCCGAGGCCTGTCGGCAGACTTTCAGATAATCCATAACAAGCATGGTCAGTGACCCGAGTGTGTCCTTTTCCAATGCAGTCAATCCATCACGAGGTTCCTTGTCCAACACAAAGAAGCATCCCAGATTTATACCATTATGGGTAGTCAGGGGAGTTCCGGCGTAGAATCGAAAGTGTGGATCGTTTTGAACGAAAGGAAGGTTGCTATAACGTTCATTCTTGGATAGGTCGTTGACGACGAGGTGGGAATAGTCGGCGGTTTCGCGGTTGGAAGACGAGAGGGCAACAGTGTCCTGTTATATAGAAAAAAAATGGTAAGCATCAGCTATTGAAGATCCCTCGATGTAGCTCTACAAACACACATGATGGGAACTCCAAGCTCATATGCGGGTTGAATACTTACTTTACACAAGCTCCATGCCTTCTCGCCATTTGTGTTTCCAGACCAAATCGCATCTTTATCGTTGTGGACCGAGTGATCATTCAAACTAACTGACTTGGTGGCCTCGGAGAGAATGTACTGCTTATCTCGGTCGAGAACACATATGAGAGCTCGTTCCACATTCAAGCGTAGTGCTGCAAGCTGTGCAAACGAGGTCAAAGTGTTGTTGGATAGTCCTAGGATCAACGCCTCCGGTCCGATTGCAGTTGACGGAGTTGAGGTCGCACTACTATTGGAACCTGCTACCGAACTATCACGCACGCGGGTGTTTGAACTGCCCGTCGATCCAGATGACCGACTCTCTCCTGTGCAAGAGAGCCAAGCGGGGAGAGAGTGTGTTGGGCCACCGGGCTGATAGTAGCGATATAGTTCCCTCGTTCTGCGATCCGCGCCATGTTCGGCGACTTGACATGTCTTTGTTTCTTCCATTACTCTGCTGCAGGATTGACAAGTAGCAGAGCACGGTCTTCCTTCATGCTTGAAGCCCAGGGGCCAGTGTCAAAAGAAGCCAGTGGCCACGCAAGTGTGAGCGTGAGAGCTCGAGCTCGAGCTTAAGAGTATAGTCGGTAGTAGTCGGTTTCAGTGGGGGGATTGAGGCTCAGGCGCCGGGGACAAGAGATGCGTGAGGGAAGAGGATTCTGGGGGATCTGAACAATACACGTCGATCAGCCATCGAGCGGTGGCGCCACAAAATGCCGTTGTAGTAGGCAGTGTGTGTGTGTGGTGTGAAAAAAAAGTGGACGAATACACGATCATCCCCACTCACTCTCACGAGAATTGGGAAGAGGTAGGAGAAGCGGAACCAAAGGCGAGTGAAAGGAGGCAGATCAAATGAACGGGCTTCAATTGTCAGGTGGGGACTAAACTGACCATGGTGGACGGTGTACAGTGTTTACACTTCGTGTACGGAGTACCGCTGGAAGGCTGTGGGCAGCGAGGGAGAAATAATCCGGCGATCTGATTGATGATTGGCATTCAAGTTGACTCGATCGGGTGCATGCCCTCATGTTCCCCACCGCTTGCTCAACCGGGGGGGGGGGCCAAAGTTTGGGAAGGGGAACGAGGCAGAACGTCATTGAGCAGAGTGGACGATCCATGAGCCAAACATGCGGGACATGCGAAAGGGAGAAGCAGCGGAGGTGAAGTGGAGTGTGGATGTGTGGTGGAAAGGTGGAAGTTGGCCTCAGGCCCAATCACGGGAAGCCATCGATGGACGATCAGGCACATCTTTGCGCCTCCAATTCGTCATCCTCCACCAACCCACCTCCCACAATCCCCTCACTGGTCAATCCCCAGCCAAATCCCTGACGGGTGGATTTGATCTCCAGTTGGGCCAGTTATAATCCTTCGATTGTGTTTGGTGGCTTGAAGGCGTCGTCTCTGTCCTTCAGTCCCTCAACCCCTTCGTTCCGCCGCCGACATCAGTGTGTATTATGCGGTGCAACTTCTGCTCAATTTCCAGCCATTGCGTCACTGGGGCTTTTGCCATGGACTTGGGCTGTTGCGTTGTGGGAAATCTGACCTTCACAAGCGGGCGTTGGCGCTTGTGGCGCTCTTTGGCGCTCGTTGGCGCTCGTTCGCGGCATGTGGTGGCGGTGGCGACTCGATTACCCAAACGAGAAGAAGGATTGGGGGGGTTGCTCCGCTACGGAGTCCGTTGTCTATTGCAAACGTACTGGTACAAGGGATGGTCCTGGAATTAGGAGGTGATCCCCCCCATCTACTATGTAAAGCAAGTGTCCCAGCCTGCACCCCACTGATCAGCTACCAGCCCAGCTATGTATGTACCAGCTCACCTGCCAGCTCAGTCATCCCAAAAATAACTCAGCATGTCCCAGCATGAAAAGGCTCAAGGGTCTGTATGGTCTGTGTCACATCATATATGAGTGATGGATGGCATAACTTTTCGAAATATGAGCCGGGGAATTCGTTTAATATCGATATGTGGCAGCTGATAGTTATGGACACATATCACACACGGCTCCAAGCCCATGACCACACAACCTCGATCATCCTACTCGGTCATCATGTCAGTCATCATGCCAGTCATCATATCATTCAGCTTTTACGAATTATGACCCGTCACTGCGCCCCAGATATACGCCACCCATCCTCCCACCGTTAGAAGCAGCAATGCACTAAAGCAACCAACCGAGATGTACCAGGTGCGTTGGGCATGAGTCACTAGGCTGTGCTCTTTGTTTGCGGCAATAATCTCCGCGCCAGAACTTAATCGCTTCTTCCGAGTCCACTGCAACGGTGAGAGATAGTCCGATGTATAGGACCCGATTAGGATTGCACTGCCCACAACCAATGATGCCGCCACGAGAAACAGATACACCTGGACGACACGTCGATAGGAATTGTCATCGGCATCTTGCAGGGCTCCGGTGATGATGCGGACGATAATACCCATGCTGTCATATGTCAGTCGGCGGTTTTGGGACAAACTGGTTACAGTTCGAGGGCATGGCTACTTACGCATTGTTCATCGTCACCTTCAGCGAATATGCCGAACCGAAGACGGACTGATGCCAGAGTGTTGTACGGATGCTATCGATAACGGAGGTCGGGCCGAGGGATAGCGCAATGGCGTAGATTCCGAATGACGCTCCAGTGCCTGCTGTAGAGGTCGCGAAATTGAGTAGAATCATGCTAATCAGCATGCCCAAACCACACGTGAACACTAACATCCAGTTAACATCACATAACTACCGCAAGAGCAAGAGAAGTTGTCACTTACAGACAGATGCCCGATGGCCAAGAATGTCGATAAATACACCCAGACATGGCACGAGGAAGAATCCTATTCGGAACTGCGTTAGTTGGAGACCACCACACCACCACACTTCCTCACGTTGCCTCCTCTGACTTACCGGCATATTGTGATAAAGAGCTGTACCAGCCAGCCTGGATAGAATCGACAGCAAATCGCTGTTCCGCCAGCTCTGTTGCGTTCTGGCTGAATGTTAAAGCAGCACTTGTCTGGAACAACGAGAAACCTAAAACAGCCCAGAACATCCATGGCAGCTGGAAGACCTTCTCGAATTCGAATTTCTTGTTCTTCTCCGTCAATACCTCGTCGGTTGCATGGTCTCGTCGCCCTTTATAATTCTTGTTGCAGTATTTGTTGAAGAACCAGAACACAGCCGAGGCGGCATTGGTGAAGAGATTCATGAACACAGCCGTCCAGAAGACCCAAGCAAAGTTTCCAGTGTTCTATTGTTGTCAGTGTTGGGGTCAACACCGCCCGTATACCCGACTGTTACTAACCTTTGCAATAATGTTTGCAGTTGACTTGCCAACGAAGCCTCCAATCTATATCAAGTTAGCTTCCACTCAATACGATTTTTCTTTTCCAGTCATCATCATAAATAGTACCTTGCCAATTGCCAATTCAAATCCAAGCGTGGATGCAAATCCATTGCTCGGCGCAAACCATGACGAGAACATTTTGTACTGTGCAACCTGAGTTGCGATATCACCGAAAGCGAGAATGACTCGACCACCAATCATGAAGTTGAACGAGCGGACAGTCGTCGCAGCAGCAACCAAGATTGAGCCAAGCGTGTACACGATATTGCCGTAGACGATCATCTCTGTCCAGGTGGGCATACTCGTCAGATGCTGTACTAGTAGGTTTTTCTGGCTTCGAATGAAGTAACAGGGTTCGGACTTGGACTCACCAGCTCCGCCAACGCGATCGGTAATGATACCACTAGGCAAAAGAAGAAGTGTAGCCATGAAATCCTCGCTAGCTTCGAGAAGTGAAAATTGGACATTGTTAATGTGCATGTCCTAGTTACCCGAGCGGCCAAATTAGTTTAGTCACACACTCCTTCCTTCCATGTCATTCCAAACAGGCAATCGCGGTGTTATTGTACCTTTTTAATAGTGCTTTTCATAGCACCAGTCACGCCAGAGCTCCAATGCGACCCAAAACTAATGCACGAAACCAAAACGACGGCGAATAGCTTCGCGGCCAATGGCGGAGGTCTCCTTCCATCATTCGACTCATCCTTCTGATCTCCATCCGAAACCACCGGCTGAACCTCCTCCGCCACAGACTTGGCTGTCAATTCCTTCGTTGTCGCCATGTTGGAAGTAGAACAAGAGCGAGAGTGTGGGGATAGGGGGGAAAGGGGAAGACGCTTTCGAGGCGCGCAGACCTGGAGGCTACATTTCCATTTAAGTACGAGCGAAAAGTAAAGGTCCTCTCCGTCGGGGACATTCACAAAGTCAGACCCAATGCCGAGAAGAGAAAACAGAGTGAGTGGAGAGGGACCAGATCAGATAACGGGCATGTTCCGACAGGCTTAAATCTTAATTTGGAGCAACAGCAACCACACAGCGCGATTGATACAATTTCTTCAATTGGAAACGTAACAGGAATAGGTCCAGTGGCACCAGGTCGCAACTGGCCGGATCTGATAAGCCGGTTGAGCCCGGTCCATTAACCTGAAAGGAAATAGTTACTGTATGAGTAAGGTGAGTGTTTTTCTTCTCCAATTCCACGCCTCGTTGTTCCCACCCCGGTGAGTTTTCGGAGAAACAGCCCATTGAGCCAAGGAATCCGAACCTAGAAAATATTGGCAGCTGTGTTTTCTTTTGCTGTTTTTGCTCGGGATTCCGATTCTTTATCGATCTTGACCTTACCCGTTTTGTTCACAAGCTCCGAAAGGCCTGTCGTACAAATAACGATGCAGTGCGCGGATTAGTTTCCCTTCCCCTTCCACGCCACATGGCCCTCCACCGAATATCCACTGCATCGTGCAGAGCTCTCAACAGAAGTGGGGACTTTTTTTCATAAAAGCCCTGTGCTTGATCGATAAAGAGTCCTGGGTGAAATTACGATAAAAGCACGCAGGTATCGTAATTGACTCCGATCATCGTCCCACTTGGTGATTTCCCACTGGGATAAATCCGAGAACATCGTCTCCATTTCCGGGCATCCGAGTCCGGGCCTTGGCAACGTGCGTCACGATACTAGCCCTGGACTCGGAGTACATGAGTAAACCTTGGAAGTTGGAGCTTCGGCGAGAGCGCAGGAGAAAATTGGTTTGCGGCGACTGGTATTCAACTACTAGTTAGTACCCACTTGTAGTACCTGAGCAGCCTATTACTGGCAGAATTCGTCAATAATCATCATATTCAGGCCCAATTCAGATCGTCTAACATCGTTATATACTAGTACGCGAAGTAAATGTCATATCCGTTAAAAGAAAATCCGATCTAAAATCGCTCCATCAATCGCTTGCGCACCGTCCACATACGAGCTCGCTTGCCGTACATATACATGGGGATCGACGTAGAAAGGAAGAAAATCTGAATGCCGCCGAGACAGAGGTAAACCTCTCGGGAGCCATCAGTATCTAACCAATCAACAATGAAGAGCGAGAAGACGAGGCCGTGAAATATGTCTGGATAATTTGTTAAAAATTGTCATGAAAATCCGACAAGCGAATTCGCCGAAAAAAAAAGAAAAGAAAAGAAGAAAAACTTACTCTTGCTGAAGTTCAACGTGACCAGTGCTTCACCAGCATACTGGCGATAACTGTCCACGCAGAAAGTGATGGCAGTAGTACTTCCAAGACAGCAGCCGAAAGAAATCATGCCGAAGAAGATAGTCGGCACTATCCAGTGATCCATAAGCTGAGCACTCCAGCCAAAGCCCATCAGACCGATGACGGTGGAGAGGGCAATGGGGAGTGCCATGACGAGACGGAACTCAGGCTCGTAAATACCACCGTTACGACGAGTCATAAAACGTGCAACGATATCAGACACTTTTCCTGCGACCGCTGTACCAAGCAGGCCGCCAATAAAGGGAGAAATGTAGACCAGACCGGTTTGTAGCGCGGTAAAGCCGTAGTGCTCACTGCTTTCATAAACCACCGCGACAGACTCGGATAAAACAATCAGCCAGCCCACTGATAGTGAATACACAACAGTCGACCACAGGACAGAAGGGTAGGCGAAAAGGATAAAGGGTCGAAGTGCGATCTTGAACCAGTTGTCCTGTGCGATTCTGCCATTCCAAATTCTAAGCATGGATACGTAGGGTATCTTGGGTTTCTCGCGAAGGCGGTTTGTGTAATGAAGGGTGGAGCTAATAGAGGCCACAGGCTCCATAGACGCGCTGCGGGCCGGTGAGGCTGCACTTCTTGGGGATGCTTCCACATCGCTCGAATCTTGGAGATGGACCTGGGAAGGGCTGGCTGCGTGCGGCGGGTGTAGCAACCTGTCCGGTTTCTCGATCGCAGGCGTCGAGGGCTCAGTCACAATATTATCTTCCGAGGTAATATGATGCACATTTGGAGGGAGATCTACTTCATGTCGGAGATGCGACGCCTTCTCTTGATCCTCCTCCGGCTCGTCGACAAATCCAACGCGCGCATTTTTCGCCTTCTTAGGAACTTGTGGGACTTCTTCCTTCTCTTCCTTTAGCTCAGAAGGATCATCATGCACCTGTGCATGAGATCGATGTCCACGGAATCCGTGGGAGACCAGATCAGACATATTTCTGGGCAAGTGTGGGCGTCGGTGGTGGCGTCTAGGACGAGGCGTGCGATCCCAGAATGTTTCTGGCACGAAGAAGAAAAGGAGGACCAAGCATGCGCCGACAATAATGGCGACGATCCAGAACACCCAGCGCCATCCAAGGCTCCCGATCACAGCTGCGCTAGCTAGGGGAACAAGGTTCTTACCCCCGAGAAGAAGCAAGGTGTAAATACCGACACGGTAAGCCCTCTCATGTAGGAAGTAGATTTCGGCAATTGTTGCCGATGGAAGGCATTCCACGGGGCTTACTGCAACGCCTTGGAAAATGCGAGCGACGACCAGGCTCGCATAGTTAGGAGACAATGCGCACCAAATTCCAGATATGATGAACAGAGTGGCACCGAGCAAATAAACAGGGCGTTTCCCGAATAGGATGGCTGTGGGTGACATGACGACCGAACCTAGTCCCATGCCCATCATATAGAGACCAGTAGTATATGCCACTTGTTGTTTGGGGACATCGTAGGTCTGCGCCACATTATTGAATCCTGCTGCCAGGATAGTAGTCATACCTCCGCCCATCAAGCAGTAAAACCCCAGGGAGAACAAGGCGGCATCTCTCTGCCAGACTGGCCAGTTTAGAGGATCGTTGACCGAGTCATCAGGCTGTGGATCGAGCACGATGGTCCCGTCGGAGGTCTTCTTCTTGTGTGGGGCCGGAGTGAGGGAGGATGAGCGAGAGGGCGGGTTGGAAGAACGTAGAGACGAGGTAGATGTGCGTGCAGGTTGGTTTCTTAATCCCAAAGGCTCGTTGCGCTGGGCAGAAAGGAGAAGAACGGTACCTAGTCATAGTCATTTAGGATCAGTATCGGGGGTGCGACAGAGCTTACGTTCTGCTCGAACGTAGTGATAACTCCGCATTTGAGGAATATTGCGACATACCAGGTACCTCGTCCGTCTCTTTGTCACTCAGGATCCCAAGGGTCGACTTTGCGCGATATGTGGGCTCGTCGCTGGCATCTCCATTACCCGCCGACTTGTGGCCAAACATCCTCCTCCAAAGTGGCGCCGTTTGCACCAGAGTATCACCGGTCTCTTCGGATGTGCCTGTATTGCCAGGTGAGACCGGTGCTACCTCTGGAGAAGTCATGATTCGGGTACTGATGTATGATGGTGGTGTTTGGAGATTATTTCAAGGGCTGTCGTAGATGATCTACATTAGTGATAGCTCCCCACTGAGGTGGCATGTGAAGAACTCACTAAGCTGCGTGGTATATTTGCAGGGTAATGAAATGATCAGAGCACGCAATAAGTGCCAACCCAAGGCAGTTGGTTCACCAGACTGTGAGACATCTAGCTCGACTGGATCTTATAAGAAAAATGAGACCTGCTCAAATGTTGATAAATTCACAATCAAATTCCGATGGGAGCTCCGAGTGCCAGTCCGAGTGTCCCCCCAGTCCGCGTGGCCAAAAAAGTAAAAAGTGGAGAGAAACGGGAGGCGGTGAGAAGATCTCCGATAAGGGGGGGGAATGCTGATACCTGAAGGTACCCTATTGGAAACACAAAGGATTCAGCAATGCGCAATACCCAATATTTATTTCGTTCTCCCGTTCGATGAAGATATTTGTTGACAGTTCTCTTTTGGATCTACCGCTTTCTGCCCCGCTAGGATCTGCTGGTGCTGACGCTAGCGCCTGTCCGCGTGCATCTCGGGCTCGGAGCCATGCACGTTTGCGGTCATTCCAAGGCCATCATCATCACTTTGGGTATTACAGTCAGATCCTCAGATCCATAGGTCGATCTCCATCACGCAAGATATATTGATCACGCCGGCAATATATGCCCGGGCGCGACCGAATGATCGTCTATGTGTCTTTGTCCCATTACTCTCGGCTCCATGCTCCGTGCTTGATATCCCCCTTCAAAGCTGAAATGTTGACCATTTTTGAATTCAACAGGGCCCCACATACCCTCTTTTCGCGGTCTAGCGTTGGCGGTCATTGCTCATCTGATTTCCTATCGCCGTCCCAGCTGACTTTTTCGAGGGTTGGCAACCGTCATCTTGCAGTGGAGTGCTCCTCACCGAATCGCGGGGAAGCTCCTTGGCCTCCTTGCGGACCACCCGAGCTTTGCTGCACTTTGCTGCACTTCGCTCGATATAAGCTTCCCGCCATGTGCTCATCCTCTTTTATGGCGTCATGGTCGTATTGATAGTCGATCCATGCACCATTTTCGACTATGTGCGGGGTGCCTGAACTAGTTATCGCGCCCAACGGTCTTTGGCAGTCCGTGCGCAACACATTTTTCATACTCCGCACAGAGTATTCGGGCGGTAGATCTAAGTATCCCTGCTTTTCAGCTAGCTGTCGATCGAATCTAACAAAGTTCCGCGCTAAGCGACATCAACCTAGTTGATTCTCGTCACGACAGCAGAGCATTAGATAGTAGAATATCTCGCCATGTCGAACTATTGATTTCCTCGATATCTGGGTATCCCAAGGCGATCTTAATGCCTGGTGCCTCTGCTTGAGACCTCTTGGCTCTAAGCACAGCCTTCCATAGCGCACTGATATCGGTACATAGCCACTAAAAGAATGTTCAAACTACACCACACTATTGGCTCGGAGTCTTTGGATAAAGTTTCTAAGCTAAATTCGGGAATAGGTCAATGCAAAACAACTTAAATTTGAACTCATCTTGGTTTCGTCCGAAGACTACTCGTCACCGACCCTGCGTAGAAGGTTGAGTTCGTCGTCGGTGTTCTATCTACTCTATCTATTCTATCTAAAACGGCGCCCAAGAGTGAACGGACAAAACATGCCCGAAGTAAATGAACAGAGAATTCCGAAACCCCGTAGCAAACAACCGACGAACATGGTATCCGGAAGAAAAACCAAAGGAAAGGGATCTCAAAGCCACCCAGCTCCCCAATCTCCATCCCCTCGCGGACTTCGAACAGCGCTAGCCAGGATGGGAATATTTGTGTTTCTAGGGACGGCGGCTCGAAGCTTGAAGCGATCGGAGAGGTCGTTCTCGGGTTTGCGTCTGTTCGAGTTGAAATGGCGATCTGCACGCCGTTGACCTGTGGTTGTAACGGTAGAGACTTAGGCGACATCAAGTCCAGCCTCCTTTTTCCACGTCCTACACGGTAAATCGAAATCGCCCCAAAGATTGAACCTACAATGATGCTCGCTGTGAGATTAACCATGATAAAGAAAGGTAGTAGTATGCCAGAAGAGAATCGGTGAAAGGTGCATACTTACTGGGGGGAGAAAGAAGAGAAAGGGGACACAGGCTCTTGGGATGGGTGGCGGCGTTTTCATAAACATTCAAGTTTGGAAAGGGCAGTAGAAGAAGATGCAGGGAAGGAGCAAAGCACTCTGTCTAGATTTGTTGAACCGCTTCCCTTTTTGGTACTATACCGATCCGAAATCCAAATTGGCAGCGGCTCCCAGGCTATGGGGTTGATGACGCGAACAACACACAATCGAAGTGACTAACTTTCAAGTTTCCATGCCAGTGGTTTAAGCGCGCAAAATGTGACCAAGAAATACTGCGGCAAAAAGTATCCCTCCTTGTGAGATATATAACTTGAACTCTAGTGTCGGTGCCCAGGTGGTTAACATCTGGCGATCCTCTCTTGCCCAGGTGCACTGATTAACGTTTGATTGATACAACTTGAACTCGCACTTACTAGTATCGCTCAAAATGCTCGCCACTCTCGAAATCATGGAACGCATATTCCCAAACCTCCCATATGCAGATCAGGTTTGCTTTGCTTTGAGCTGCAAAACTACATTTGCTTGTTTCAAGAAGTTCCTTGCTCTACAGAACAAGACGATTCGAGACATACTGCCCCATGAGTACCGGTCTTTTCTGAACTTCACATATTTACCTCAACCGAAGACAGAGCTCGTTCGCCGATTAGAAAACACTCGTTGGAAATTCTGCCCTCAGTGTCTGCGTCTCCAACAACACTCTGCCTTGCGGGCCCTAAAGTCTAAGTTGATACTTCACCTCCCGCTGTCATCTCTTGATATTCCTCAACAAAGTCCGCGGAGGTGTAGCCAGCTCTACGCCGGCGAAGCTGATGTTTTCCCTGGTTTAAGTATCACTGTCCGTGACAAGCTCGATTTGATCAGAGCTCTACAAATAGGCGGAAAGAATGACTTCTATGAGGCCACTTACCATTCATCAAATAATAGCCGCTCAGATCATAATCAGCAAAGGTAGAGATCGGCCCCACAGCCAAAAGCCCTGGTGAGTATGTCCTATACATCTCCCAAAGGGGTTGTTCAACAAGTTCCAATGCCTACTGCGAGCAAGATAGCTCAGCATATCACAGCATATCTAGCCTGCAATGCTCGGAAAGATCGAATAAAATGTACCCGAGATCGAGGTTGCGCCTGTGGTATATTTACATTTGAGGATTCTTTCGAGAAAAATCCTTTTGCCAATGCTCAAATTAGCGGAACATTCTGGTTGAATAAATCAGACAAAAGCTTACGCTTGTTCACTCGCTTTCGATTTGATTTCGGAAAGGCCAACTCCGCGCTATTGCAAGACTTTCGGAAAACACATAATTTGTGCCCTCACACCAACCCTCAAAAATGGCTCGAAGAATTTTTCCATGAGTCTGGCCAAGACTTTTTTGGAGGTTCTAGGGATTATGGCGATTATGATTCTAATCATAATATCACCTGGGGACGCGCGCAAAAAGTGATTTACATTGCTTTGAACCGAAATTTGGGAAACAATCAATGGCCAAACAAAAACTAGATTCGCAACCGCCACAAATAAGTTTGCAGTCGCGTTTGAGCACAGCCTATTTGCCTGGTCTTTCAGGATTACGACAGCCCAGTTTGGAGATAGAACCCCCCCAATTTTCATTGCTACAGGCTCGCCTTAAGCCCAGTCTAGAAGCCATATCAAGCGTGCAGTGGAGTTTGGATTTTTGAGTTTCGTGCACTTGCTCGAACGAAATTTCTGGTAACCCTCTTGTTATATTTGACGAACTGGATTCGAAGATAGAAGGTCATGCAACCATCTAAGCAGCCGCACCTGTACGCACGTAAGCAGCCTTTGTCGGCAGCATTGCTTCCTCTTCTTCTCCCCCCTCTTCTTCTCTACCCCTTCTCTCTCTTCTCTAACCTTTTCTCCCTTGCTAATGCTATATGTTCTTGTACGTGAAAAATATTGAATTGGAATCAAATGGTTGCATTGCCGGTTTAACCTCGGTAGTTGAATTCACACCCCCTTAACGGCTCACCGGTTGACTAGATGAGCTCATGCTGGTTCTCCATCTCTATCCCTATACACTCGCCACTGCCCCACTGTTCCACAGATTTTGACTGGGCTCTGCATATGGAGTACCTTCTTAGCTCACTGAGGGTCGGCTGGTATGCGATGAACTCAAGGCAGGGTAAAAAGGGAATTTTTCGAAAGTAATCAGAAATTACAATGCATGAATGGGTGTTGACAGTGCGGAGAAGCTGGATATGATGGAGAAAAGAGGAGAAGAGAACTACTACATAGGACGAGGCCGAGAGCTTCGTCGACAGAAAAAATGTGTGGGTCAAAACATGGCCATGTGATTGGTACAAAGTGACACCCCCTGTCATTACTTCCCGAAAATAGTGCCGATTTAGGCCGAGCGAACGGAGGATCGGCTCCTTCGGCTGACAGAACGGGTGGCCTTGCTACGTTCAATGCCGAACAAGTATTTTGAAGCGCCAGGCAACGGCTTAGATACAGCTTATGTTCATTAGCAATACCTTGGCAGTCAACGGCGGAATTAATTCCTCGCTAGCAGTGTTTAATTACAGAGTTCAGATTGGCTCCCACACCCCACCTGCAAAACACTTACCCGTACAAACCAGTCGCATATGTACCAGAATTCCGATCGTCCTCCACGGGGGGGTTCCCCTGATATTCCTGGCGTTGAGCTTGGTCCGAATTTTGCCATAGACGTAGCATCCTCTACTCAAGCTGCTCAAAATTATGTATATATGTGGTAAAGGGACGAGAGGTTGTAGCTCCTCCGTTGTAGACGTCTAGAAGTACTACTAGTAGTTTTGACGCGCGAGCGACCGCAGTGCAAGAACTTCAGGTTTTCGCCATTGCCACGGACATACCGAGCAGTGAGTGGATCCGACGGAGATACCCCGTGAGGTAGACCCGTGGGGTACTCCATCATTCTGGGGCAGTCCCTTCTGCCAACACTTTCTTCCTCCCCAGTCGCGGCTAGGACATTTACAACTCACATCCTGAGCCGACAATCAACACATATGGCCAAATCCACGGACGTGCAGCAGTCCCCAGCTGCCAACCGCGATGTCGAAGAGGCGTACGCAAAGCAAGACATGGAATTCGTGGAGAGTGCGGCAGACCCGACCAACATGGGCGATTCTGCTGCAGAGTCTGCACGATTATCCAAACCACACCGCGATTATCTGATGGAGCGTCATGGAACACTGAATCTCGATCCAATTCCTGCGATGGATCCTGCGGATCCCTACAATTGGCCGGAGTGGAAGGTTCGTTCTCCTGTTCCCTAGAAGAAGATCTCAGATGGGGGTTCTTTTCGACAAATCGCTGATCAAATGCCTATACTGACTGCAGAAAATTATGAACTTGATCCTGGTCGCCTTCCACGCATGCATGGGTACATTTGCGGCAGCCGGTATCATCCCCGCATACTCAAACATCGTAGAGATATATGGTGTCTCCAATCAACAAGCGAGTTACCTGACTTCCCTGCAAATTGCCGTCCTTGGAGGCGCACCACTCTTCTGGAAGCCTCTCGCACACCGTTTTGGTCGCCGCCCTATATTTTTAATTTCATTGATTTGCAGTCTCGTTTGCAATGTGGGATGTGCGAAGAGTACTACCTACGGTGCAACCGCAGCCTGCAGAGCTCTTTCAGCGTTCTTTATCGCCCCTGCATCTGCTATTGGAAGTGCTGTCGTGATGGAGACAACTTTTAGGAAGGATCGTGCTCGCTATATGGGAATTTGGACTGTGATGATTACGCTCGGAGTTCCTCTTGGGCCATTTATCTTTGGGTTCGTCGCTTATAGGGCTGGCTATGAGTGGATTTATTGGGTTCTGGCCATGGTAAGACGAAGGTTCCAGAAATATACATTTTACATGCTCACTAATTCTATCTTTGCTATAGATCAACGGGGGCCAGTTTATTCTCTACCTCTTCTTTGGACCCGAAACTCGCTACGTAAATAGCGGCGAATGGCGGGAGGAATCCACTTTCAAAAGAGAATACATCTCGATCCGCCGCATTGATTCTACTCCTTTTACATTGTTCGAATTCATCAAACCATTAACCATGTTCGCCCGTCCTTCTATCGTTCTGCCCACCTGTGCCTATGCTATGGTGTTCCTCTTCGCCAACATTATGACGACAGTGGAAATCCCACAGCTTTTGCAATCGAAATTTGATCTCAATACAGAGCAAGTCGGCCTTCAGTTCCTGGGCTTGATCATTGGGTCTATAATTGGCGAACAGATGGGCGGGAGTCTATCAGATTACTGGATGAGAATGCGCGCCAAGCGGACACAAGGAAAAGCAGAGCCGGAGTTCCGACTTTGGCTGAGCTACTTTGGCTTTGCCCTTTCCTGTGTGGGACTTATCATCTTTCTTGTTTTCACGCAGCAAGCCCCGGCCGGGACCTGGACAGTCACGCCTATTGTCGGTACGGGTATTGCTGCTGCAGGAAGTCAGTTGGTCACTACGGTTATGGTGACCTATGCGATTGACACCCACCCGCAAGAGGCAGCAAGCGTGGGTGTTTTCATCACCTTTGTTCGCCAAATCTGGGGTTTTCTTGGCCCATTCTGGTGAGCCAATGCCCCGAGTAGTAAAAGATGAAGTTCAATGCTTGCTGACACTCAATCTAGGTTTACTTCTATGTTTGACAGCGTGGGGGTAGCTGCCAGCTCGGGCGTTGTTTGTGGTATGATTGTGGCAGTCAGTGTGATCCCAACCATCGTACTCCAGGTGTATGGCGGCAAATGGAGACGCAAGAACGACTCGGAGGAGGTGACCATCTAAATATTATCTGCCCTTCGTGCATGATCTGCTTTTCAGCAGATGAATGATTGATACATGACTAGTACATACAACTTGATAGACGGTCGTTCGGGTATCTAGACCGCATAGAGCATCATTATATAGAATAGCGGATGGATTAGAGATACTAGTATCACTAGGCATTAATACTTGAATTTATGAAACCACCGTCAATTTACTTGAACTAGTAACTTGAATCTTGAGACATAACGAAGAGATTGTAAACGGTAAACGTGATTTGATTGTTATTCATTACTTCTACTCACATTTGATATCCACCGGTGAGATCTATTTCTCATTGCATTCTACGCCGACAGTCGAATTGCATAAACAATGGGAAAGTTACTCAAAAAGAATCAAGGCACCTCTTGGAGTCAAAAGTTTTATTCAACATTCCAAATGAAATATGATGAAAATGTAGGACCGAAGCATTACTAGGTGTCGGTGTTACTTGAATAAACAAAACAAAAAATGAGCGATTAAGATGTGTGGGTGGCGTATAGTCAACTAGGGGTATCTCGTTCCAAAATGGGGGGGAGTCAGTCTGGGTGCGTCAAATGCCGCCACGCTACTCGATACACCACAGTGACGGCACGACGATGTGAGAATTGTTCCTGGCACCGCATGTGAGCGATTCGTCGTGATTCCTGATGGTCCGAATTTTTTCGCGGAATCAGGCGCCCTTCTGCTTGTGAATGACTTGAGGCAGGGTAATGCCATAGATCATAGATGCCCCATCGTTGATATTCGCCGCAGTGTTGGGATGCATGAGGTCGCAAGGAGGCTTGTTATGCTAGGGCTGGAAGAAAATTGTGAGATATGCCCTAAAAGAGAGGTCACGAGAGTCGAATGTCGGTCTTTATTGGGTCTTTCTCTGGAGGGTATCAGTCAGCATTGTTCGCGGCACGCCAAGAATGAAGCAGTGAAGCTTAGTTTGTGGATGTGGTAAAGTTAGCGATGGTTAGGAGAAGAATTGCCGAGCTCCCTTTGCAAAGATACCGCACCTGTATTATGTCTTTTCCAAACAGCTACGTGTCTCGATAATAACTGAACCATGATAATCAGTTAGTTAGTACCACCGGACGATTTGGTATCTTTCAAACTATATCTTGGTGCCTGAGGCAACAAAAGGTGCGTTTTGTGGGCCCGATCGGCTCTTTCCGATCTAGGGGGGGGACTTCCCGATTCGCTCACGTGGCTCCTATCAACTTCATACTGGCCAGGAACCACCGTCGGTGATTTTATCCGTCCACCAGGAGTTAACATTTTCAAACTTGCAGAATGTTGCGTTAATAGGACTGTTCTGGACAACATCACACTGTGAATTCCGGAACAAATGATTCTGCGAACCTTCGACTGTCAGTTAGTTCCCATGGTGACGTTGTTTTGGAGGGTCAGAACTTACGTTGGTTCTCAAAAAACTGCATTCCTTGGTTTGTTGCTGTTGTATAGTAGGAGCAACAATGAGATGTTTTGCTGGATTAGGACTACTCCAGAAACGCATAAGAGAGCTTTGCTTCCCGCTGTTCTCTGATGTTCCACAACGCGCCTCTAGTCGACAAACTTCGCCTTTCGCCTCTTCGCCTTTTTTACTAACCCTCTAGGTTCAGACTCAATTGCTGTCTCTCCTTAACTCTCGCAATTCATATTCAATACACTCATTTGAAGATTTGCCACAATGAAGACAGTCGCTATATTGTCGATGTTGAGCGCCAGTGTGCTTGCTCATCCTTCTGGGCTTGTGAGTGCTATTTCATACAATAGCAAGTCATCCAGAGCTAATTAATCTTAGTGGTGGGGCACAGACACCTGTTACCCAAGCCCCGAGAATACTGAAAACTCGTGCTTAGAGCCCCAGGAAGATGGGTTTAAATGGTCCGATCTTGCTGATGGGGACAATTGGAGCTACGAAGGCTTCAACTTCGTCGGATTTTCGCCAAGAGACGTTTGCAATGCTTCCAATGTAAGGCTACCGAATCCAGTAATATCTTTATTTTATTAAAAATTTTGTGACAGGGCAAGTGTATCGAGGCAAGGCTTTCTCGGTCCGACAACTATGCTGTCAAGATCGAGGCAACCCAAGCCCCGTTCTCTGTTCAAAAGTTTCATCTTTCGACATCGCGTGAGACTTTGCTCAGGTTGAACTACGAGATGACGGATGGCTCCACCTGTCACGAGCTCGCATTTAGTTCACCAGACGGGGTCGATGTTGTCAACCAGCAGTGTGGTGGCGCTGTTTCTGTCGAGTTCGCACTTCCTGAAGACAGCAAGTTTGGTGAATGTGATTTAAACATCCACGAGATTAACTTTGATTGCTCGCACGGCTCGAAGCCTCCTGGCCTTTTGCCTCCACCTGGATCGAAGCCCCATCCTGTCACTTCTACCATTATCGTACCAGTGGTCACACCTGAAGTCTCGACTGTGTGGACAACTGCGGAAGTCACTGTGACTCACTGCCCTGCTACGGGGTCTTACTGCCCTGAACACTCTACCGTTACTTCCACTTACACCAGGTCGACAACATTCTACCCGTCTTCATCGGAAATCGCGACACCAAGCTTAGTTTCAAGCTCTACCAGCACGGCTCCTGCTTCTCCAGATTCGTCTATCGTTCCTGCACCCTGCCCTGAGGTCGTTCCTAAGTGCATCAATACCTGGCTCTCCATCCCAAAGTGCGACTCCAACAGTGATGCCGCTTGCTTCTGTCCGTCATCTGAATTCACCGGAAAGGTGGAAAGCTGCATTCACGCTTGGGCAAAGTCAGACCAGGAGAAGGACTCGGCCCTTTCGTATTTTGCAGGGATCTGCGCCTCTTATGTGCCGAAAAACCCTGGTCTGATTGATATCGTCCCTACCAGCACTTCGCCAGCCAGCCAAACTTCCCATTCAACTGGTCCAGCTCAAGTGATGACCTCGATGCAACCAATTACTCCGACAACCACTGGCTCTGATACCACACCCTGTACAACGGTCACTTGGTCCACTCAAACGGTCACTGTTCCTCGAGTTGAATTTAGCACTATCCCCATGGGATCCACCACCTCGGTGTGCTTGGTCGCTGCGACTGTGACGCCCACTAGCTCTAGCTCTCGTGCCAAAACTAGCTGCTCATCGTTTAAAACTATTACGACTGTCGTTCCTTGCGCATGCGAAACCTCTGACGTTTCTACAACGGCGGTTTCGTCTCCCACCGAGACACCTCCCCATTCCAACGCTGGTTCCAAGTCATTTACCAACAACGCTCTTGCTGTCGGAGCTGCTCTGTTGATTCTGAATTTTATTTAATTCCAATTCCTTTGCAGCGTGGAATGAATGCTCTGTCGATTGAGAGTTGATCTGTGTTTCCTGTCAAGTGTTCTCTTAGAATAAACGCCTGGGGGAGCGATTTATCCACGTCTTCTTATTTTGGAACCTTCATTTAATGTGTAATTACAATTCCCAGCTGTTGTTTCAACTTCAAATCAAGCCATTTACTATTATGGTATATCCTTGATCGAAGCAGCCACCCAATTTCGAACCCATTCATGAATTCTGCCTGTCAATATCTTTAACTGATATTTTTGATCAGTGCCTTCCAAGCCTGAGATAGCAAATATGATCTGACATATGCTTTTTATCACAAACAATCCTACATTCAAAGTAGAATTCCAAGGTTTTCTGAAACCTCCCAAGGCGAGGCGATAAGCGTTCATCGGTCGCGTTTGTTTTATGCTAAGCTATGCAGCCAATCCCGATGTGGCTTGCTCTCACCGTGGCGTCGCTTGTAGTTGCCACATACCACGACTCGACAATCGACACGGGCGCTTTGGATTTCAAGGGGTTGGCTTACCGATGTTTACGCAAGACAGCTGAAGCATGGTCGGATGCGTATGCAATTATTATGGTCGCGGTCGCGGACTGAGGTCCGCAAGTTAGTAATTACAAACTGAAAGAAATTCTATTAATTATGGTATTGCAAACTTATGATAGCAATATCGGATTGAACAACGAGATCAGTAGAGTTCAAAGCCCGCCGCGCTGGTGGGTCAATTTTCAATTTCCTTGTTTTATGTCCATCCCTTTTTCATTTATCCTTGCTTTCTTCCTCCGGCAAATGGAAACATTGACACATGGAGCTACTATCTAGTAGTGGTCTGTTCAGCAGTTTTCGAGGAATGAAATGCCGATCATCCAGCAAAATTCTCGTTCTGCCCTCTCATTCCTGTGGCAATGGCAGGTCTCACTTTTCCCGCCGCTGCAGGTTGACGATTTACCACATAATTAATACAAATTTCTCGCAACCCCATATCAGCAAGAAATTGATTGGGCAAAAATGGGACCGCATTTTTCTCATTCTTTTGCTTGACCTGAAACTTCACCCAGTTCGCTCGTAAATCTAGTATGGTGTCCCGTGATGAAGCACTCAACCGACATGGAACCCTTATAACCCCCCTCCCCCATTCCCCCCCAGTTTCTTAGCCCCATTCGCTCCACTTTAGCTGCGTCAAACCCCCAGTCCCTCACATGGGGCTCTCCATTGGCCTAGCCGAGCCGTGGCCGTGGCTCCGCAGCCCACTGTAGCTGATAAACCTTAGAATCTCTCGAGGTCTTCACTGCCGAACCTTGGAAATTATCAAAAAATTGAGCAAGCTTACGTCCGAAAATATGCACTCCCAATCACGTATCCTTCGCCTACCCAACGAGTTGCTTCTGCGTATCGCCGGCTTTCTTTTAGAGGATAGGGACATCGCCTCTCTTCTGCAGGCAAACCGACGTTTGCAAGATCTCCTCGAGAGTTATATCTTCCAGAAAAATCTATCCACAAATAATGGCTCCGCACTGCCATCGTGCGCCCCAAATATGGTCTAGGACCAAGTGTGCAGAAAATCCTGAACCTAGGGGCGAACGGAGACGAAATCGACGACGATTCCCGCACAGCATGGAGCTACGCAGCTGAGAAAGGAGACTTTGAAGTATGGTCGTGGTACTTTTCGCCCGTTGACAATATCCATATTCATGCTTTCCGAGCTCAGCACGGTATCCCATGATCCAATATCAAATCCATTGGATAGTCATCTGAAGTTCCAGACCACTCGAGTGCCACAGCTCCAGCCATCGCCGTGTTACGGTGTGGGCTACACAGGTCAGTGGTAAATATACTAGTGAAGATAGACACTTACCACTTCGATATATATGTGTAAAGTATATTTACAATACAACGCTTCATGGAGATGGAAAATGCCTTCTCACAAAGCTCGCCGCCGTATGAATAATCTCCTCCTGTTCTTTCTTCCACCCCAGAGGCACCCCAACAGCATACACATCATGCGGCGTATCTGGCACCTCCAAATGCTCAATCATATTCCCCGGTATCGCGCGATACCGCTCCACAGCACCCCTGACACTATCACAAAGCACCTCGGCGCCTCCTGCCTGCACAAAGAGCGCTACAGGCGTCGCAAACGGATACAGCGCCGGTGACAGATATGGATCATCCAGTCGCACAATTTCCGGCGGCGCAATAGCTGTTGCTCCCCACGCCATCAGCGGCGCGTCGACATAGTCCGTTTTGCAATTTCGGTTTCGTAGGATGGCGGATTTGTCACCTTCCAGACAGTACTCGAGCGATGGCGAGAACATAAGGCATGCCCGGGGCAGCGGGAGGCTGGCAAGATCAAAATCTGCGTCGACATCTGCGTTCTGTGGCGGGGCGAGCGTGCTGAATAGTCCTAAGTAGCGCACGAGAGCCAGTGCGGCGGTGGCACCAGAAGAATCGCCGGCGAGAACGATGCGGCGCGGGGAGATGCCGAGGTCGTTGACAAGGTATATATACGCCGTAATTGCATCTTGCATGGGTGCTGGGTAGCCGGTCAGGGTTTTCTTGTCCCCTACAAGCCGATATTGAGGCCAGAATGAGCGTGTACCGGGTCCCAGTGCTTCATTGGTCATTTCAGCAACATCCCCGGAATCTTCTGGCCGTCCTGTGAGCCACAGGAATGATCCAGAATGGAAAGACAAAACGACCACACTGTTATCATCGTCGTTGTCGCAGCCGTCTGACTGCTGATTTGGCGATGGTGGTACATCCGGATACCAAGTCCCTCCAATAACTTCTGGTTTAACATTCTGGTTGCTGGCAAATGGTCCACGGTATGCACTCGCCGCAGCCGGGTTGATAGTCACCCATTTATCACCCGTGTCCCCGGCTTCCAGTGTCAGCGATTGGGTGAAGCCGACTTCTCTGATGATAATAAAAGCGGTTTTGATGAGCTGTGTCCGAAGAGCCTGCGTGTAGGTCCACTGGGTGTTTGGGCGTAGAGGACTGAAGATGTAGAGGAGGCCATAAAATATGATTAACAGGATGACACGAGGTATTGCAATGATGCACCAAATGGCGCAGCCTGGCTGTCTAGTGCGCCAATCATTAGGGACTGCGTTCGGATCCGCATATTCAAGCATTTTTGCTGGCACACATTAAGTCGTGTATTGTAGGTGCATATATATGGCTGATGGGAGAGAGTCTGGCAGAGGATGCCAACTCAATATTTATATAATTATATCAAAGCGCAATCGATCGCCATGTCGGGACGACAGCCGAATGCGGCTGACTCGGGTACAGTCATTTGATCTCTGCCTAGACGAGCCCCTTCAGCCACTGGTACCATGTTAGCGCACCCCACCAGAAGCTCGCAATAGATTCCCAAAGCGACCTAGTCTTGTTGCATCTTGGAGCTTACTTGCGCCACCGGAAGAGCGAGTAAGATGGCGGATTATACTACCACGCACAGGAGCGCAAAGCGACCGACTACGCTAAAATAGAAGTATCATACACTAAACCGAAATAAGTTCCACCGCCCGCCCCGGTTGCCCGGCTAGTGGCCCCCCCTGCTCCTTTCCAATTTCTAATAAAATTTTTGAAAGACAATACAAGTGAACTATCTTTATTAATATATTGTTGAAACAATATTCTATGTTCCATGGCGTACAGAAATCGGCTAAGTCTGGTTAAAAGCAAATTTCGAGATTTTGTAACCTAAATTTCAGTTATCCAATAAGCTGGAATGGCTGAAGTTATTCGAAATTTTCGAGATATAAATATTTTACCTGTAAAGTGGCTAAGGCTTATCGACATTATAATCAAGCTGGATAAAGCCTTAGAGCTCCTCATATAGTATATAGAGATTCTCGAGCAGATACCAATATTCAAAAATATGTCTTTTTTCTACTTGTATCTTTAGCTTTTGTTTATATAAGTTAACAGACAATCCGAAAAATCAAGGTACTGTACAGATTTAGGCTACTTAGACAGTTTGTATATTAAAGAGCCGTATAGATTCTGCCCGTGGTCAAGTCCAATCTTAGAAATCAGTCCGCCGGGGGCTTGTAATGATCCCTGTTCAGGCTTTTGAAATGTCATATTAAGAGGGTCTTCGAAATCCGCAGCTATCTTTGTCCTCAGATTCATCAGAAAGCTATTCTGGAGCTTGAAGTTGAAAGGTTCAAGGATAATCGGCCAGGGGGCAGGAGAGAACTCGAAGTTGGATGTCAAGAGATCGATTTTAAAGGGCTTGTTGGAGACGAAGACAGTTTACTTGAATGGACCAATCATGTGTGGGCTGCTTTTGTGCCTTCTAAAAGCTACATGAAGAAAATTGGAGACAGGAAGAATGAGGCAGAAAATGGGCAGATCGTTAGCAAATTAAACCCAGAAATAGCTATGATTGTAATTATGAGAAATGATAGATGGCTCAGGTTGCTTGGTGCAGTGAAATGGTGGTCTGGTTTAAAACACGAGATTCATATTGCGCAGAAGGTGTTCTTATAGTATATTTTCAAAAAAAAGCCCCCAAGCAATCGGAGATGTTGATGATCACCATCGATTCGGATGTAATAGGCACAAAACGATCCTTTACGCGGTCGAAATCATCGGCCAAAATAGTCACCGTAGATTGTATCTCCGAAAAGGCCACCATAACTCCGGCCCCATTCCTCAAGAGGTGGAGACGTACTAACCAACAGTATTATTGTTTTCTTGTAGCGCTTGGATTCACAAACTGATCAACCTGATAAAGTGTAGCAGAAATTAAAACGAATGTACCGCATTTCCATTCTTACTTCATTTGACAAATTATTGGATGCCCGACCAATGCTGTATATTCATCATGATCTAGAAATAAAGTTAATAGCTTCTGTGGCTATATCACCAGGCTAACTGGGCTGTCAAGCTCTAGAACGAGCAACAAAGGCGATCCAATCAACTCACACCAAGAACAAATTCCTTCTGGATCCTTCAATAAATTTCCCCAACCCAGATCGTCGGGTTCTGTTTACAAATTTCTAAATATCTTTTTTCTTCTTTGCTCGACCGAGATTGGGATTTTCGAGAATACATCGTCCTAGACTCGGAGTAGTCAAATCAGTATAGCAAAAGGAATACCACCGAGGGAATATAGTAGTAAAATGCCAAATACTGGAATGCTGGAGTCAGGACTGCAGATATTCAGATACGATTAACAATAGAGCAAAAAGAAGCTGTGTAATGATAAAATACAACAGAAAGAATAAGCCAACCTCCAGCAACTGACAGATCCTAGTCCATCTCACCAAATTGTATTTCCCAAACACGATACGCAAACTCGATCAAATCCTGGGTTCGGATGACGAGGTCTTTGTCTTCGTTTGATTGGCGGGGGCGACGGAAGATTTGATGGAAGGGGATTATTATGGTCGGGTCATGAACGTTAGGCTCGAAATTGATCTTTCTGCTGGATCTCTTCATGACCATGCTGTTTGTGGTCTTGGGTCGGCAAGTGGTGGGATCCCACTCCCATATGTCAATTGCGATCTCAGGCTTCTTGACATTGAGATTTATTCCGATGGCCACGTTGGCCTCGTATCTTGCAGGGCCTAACCACCAGTGCGAACTCCGTCTTGTCCTGGCGGGGCTGTCGGAGTATCCGACCTCCAATACAACTGATGGTGTTTTGGGAGAACCTGGGGGAGGTCTGAAGGGACCCCACGCCCCATCTGCTTCCTTCTTTGTGCCATCTGGAGCAGTCATAGTGGCACCTCCCCAGGAGCCAAGGTGTTTTCTGATACCTGCGTCTTCCATACTCGACTGCATAATAAAGCCAAATTCCGAGCTGGCACTTTCGTGGGCAGGGGCTTTCATTTTGGCGATAAGAATATGTGTAAAAGGGTTATACGATAAACGAGCGTGCCGTATAGTTTCTCTGCAGAGGAAGTCCGTTTCAAATGAGCGTGGATCAACAATGAAAATAATGTATTGGCTCCCAGGTTCGTACTGCAGAGATTCTCTGTTGTATTGACTGCCATCTGAGCTTTGTTGACAGGTCCTATTGTTTAGAGGCTGACTATGCTGGCAGGGACGACCACCGGCATCCTCCTCATGGGAATCTAGATGAGGTATAGCACCATCATCACCACCACCATTATCATCATTACAGCCTGCCCATTTAAAATCTCCTCTTTGCAAGCTGAAAGTTCCAAGAGAGGCATAAAGACGAGTGATGTGGCAATCCATGATTTGAGAAAAGTCATCCATACCCTCGTAGTTATAAACCCTGACCGAAGGGGGTAATCCCTCAACAGATATTTCGTCAGATAGGGCATCATTCATCATATCCGTATTGCTTCTCATTTGACTCTCATATAGTGAAAGAGCGCTGAATATCCCCGGAGGTCCGTGAGCTATTCCGCTGTGTGGGGTTGGTGGCTCAGAAAATAACGTCATTGTGATTAAACACTCCGGCCTTTTTAACCACAATCAACCGAGTAGCCCTGGATACGGTAGACGAGGCGTTCTTGGCAATCCAATAATTACTGAGAGTTATAGAGTCTAAGCCAGGTATTAACCTATTCGAACCTTAAAACTTTTCTTAACATAGAAGCTCCTTAGATCTCTTAAATTAATCCAAAGTCATCGAATGACCATATATCTCTAGATTCCGAATTTGGCATTTTTTCATACCTATTGTACTCGAGATTGAACAATAGATTTTAAGAATATACTTCACGCATAAAATTCCTAAGCTATTCGTCGTTTTCTAGAGTTTATAAAATAGCTAATTAGCTAATCTTTAGCTAGTTAACCTAATCTATCCGATGAATAAGAGACTACCTACTCTAGCCCTTACACTATAACTTGATAGAATAGAGAAATAAGAGAACAGGAGCGGCGGTAAGGTGAGTATGGGCGGGTGACGGAGAGCGAAAACCATCTATTTTATCTCTCCGCTGCATTGTGACTCCTCTTTAATTCTTTCCCTATCAAAATTGACATATATGACTTTTGCCCGTCAGATTCGGCCCTTCAAGTGAAGGACTGAAGCGGCCCCGCTAGGCCGGCGAGCCGATGAGACCAAATTCGTGGGCACTAGGTGACCACCCGCGCAAATCTCCCAGCAAAGCAGGTGGGTTGTCCAGACCGGGGAAGTGGCCGCCGAAATCATGATCTGGTCAAAACGCTATGACTACCAGTGTATATTAAATAAAGACCCAAAATCACTATGCAAATGGTTTATAACCGTACAGCGTATTATCGACGAGAATGGTATATAAGCAGAGGGTATCTATAACTTCGATGAGACGGGATTTGCAGTGGGTCTTATTTCAGCCCAGAAGGTAGTTATACGAGCAGAATACTATGGTTGGCGATCTATCCTACAGCCGGGAAATCGTGAATGGGTTACTGCTATCAAAATAATCTGTGCAGATGGCTATTCGCTACCGCCATATATGATCTTTAAGGGTAAGGTTGCTATTGTAGGTTGGTTTATAACCTACCAAGAGACTAGCGGTTTGAGGTCTTAGATAATGGCTGGACTACCGAGGAGATCGGCCTATATTGGCTACAAAAGCTCTTTATCCTATCAACAAATTCACATGTTTGTGGTCGGTTTTGACTATTTATTCCTTGATGGCTATGGTAGCCACCTTATACCTTAATTCGACCAAATCTGTATACTAGCAGGAGCACCTAGTATTGATTCCCATACTCAGGGCGAATTGCCTACTCAGGCAGACCGACCAGCGAAGAGAGCTCCGCCTAGGTGTAGTGGGTGTAGGGAAATTGGCCACAGGATAAATTCATGTAAAAATCGCTATATCTAGTTGAATTAATGGGTGTTGGTTGTGATAATCGATTTGGAAATTTTATAATGGGGTTGGGTGATCGGGACGGCCGGGAATTACGTTGAGTGCGCGGGATGACTAAGCTCATGGCCTATTGAGCCTGAGGCCTCAGATCTCAGCAAGGGCCACGCTAAGCCTAAAAGGAAACGGAGTCTTATCCAATTTGTTCACTCAGTGGGGTATTTTCTTCCGCTAACCAACCTACCTTTTGTTATCACCGTGACCATGAGCACCACCGCACACAATATTCTCGATATTGAAGACGCTCTAGTGTCTGATGAAAACCCGGCCCGTAATAATGGCACTTTAGACTATGAGCGCTGCGCCAGACTACACAACTACCTGGCCGCACTTGGCTGGATGGCCCGCAACGGAAAAGAGACGCCCGACCTTGATGCCTTAGCTGCCGAAAAGCATTTCTTCTCTGAAGGGAACGATGAGGTCGAAACTATTCGGGAGCGTCTTGATATACCGCTTAACAAGTTTCTGGATTTGGTCTATGACCCTTCGGACTTTTTCTACTGGGTTAACGGTCTTGCGATGATGCTTGCCGACGAATTCTTCATTGTTGATGAAAATGAATGGGAGGATTTCGAGCGATTTGTTGTGATTTACGACCTTATTCCGGACCTAGGCGGGCATAGTCTCGGTGTTGTTTATGATCAGCTACTCAATCAAGCCTCATTCCCAATGACTATAGACAATATGGACAGTGTAGAGCCTGTTGAAGAACACATGGAAATGTGGTTCCCCCTAGAGACTATCCTCACTCAATGGATCTACATGACTCAGATCGGTAGGGCTGTTCCTGGACTTCCTGAAAGTCTCCCTTCCGGTGACCCCCCCGACGAATAGATCACAACCATATCTGTGGTCGTGGCTCCCTTACTGCGATGCCCAGATTCAAAGCACTATTATCACGATAGAGCGCTACTCAGCTGCGGTAGAATCTCGAATGCCTCCTAGCTCACTCCTGTCCATATCTGGACCACTATTTACCAGTGCAGAGCTGGATACAGCTGCTGTGCCGGAAAAATGCTTCATTCGCTCACTCTTATCACAAGTTAAGACTCCACGTTTCAAATTCATTGCACCTGGGCTCGAGGTGCCGCATGACAAGGAGGCTTTTGCTGGACGACAGCAGTTTACCAGCATATATCATGAAGAGGATAGTATTCCCGGAGTCTTACTATTTGCAGCTTCAAACCAGCTAGTGGATCTCAACTCCGAGATCTCTAGCATATTCTCCATCGCGCATAGGGGTACGAGCATAGACAATAGTGATCCTATTCCCACCGGGCTCTATAGTGAGCCTGTGCGCCGGGCAGCTTATGATACGGAGGAGGCGGGTTTTCGACTCGTGCTCCCATTTGCACTTCGTCCTGGCATTTGGAGAGACGAGGAGGGGGCTAGGATGAGTGATGGGAGACCAGTTCCTCAGGATTCATTCACGGAACTCTTCCAGCATGGTCGGTTTCATCCGTTCGGCGGCGAGTGGCGACCGCAGAGAATGGAGAGACTGTTTGAACGGTGGACAGAGCTGGTTGAAAGTGGTGTATGGACAGTGGGTGAATATGGCGTGGAGGGAGGCGTTGAGAAATTCGGGGATGCGGATAAGGGTGCCTGGAGAGACTATTTTATTGCACCAAGCTGGTGATTTATCTATTATTATATGAACTTGAAGTTAATGTGGAAAGTATTATATTACCAGATATTGACGGCACATTACATATTACTCGGTGTTTGGATCAATATATCTTGAATTCAAGATCCAGCAACAACTTGAAAGCAAACGTCGAAGGGATAACTATGCGCTAAAAAAAATACAGTATCCATGTCCACTGGCAGTTAGAGCGGATGATTCTTAACTACTGTCCCTATCTCTCATGTTATAATGTCTGCAGCTTGAAAAGCAGCATCGGAATTTCCATTAGAAAGTTTGTTATGCTAGATTCAAGAGACACATGGGCCACTAAAACAGTTTGCACCGGAGCAGTAATCACTTGAACTGGCACAATATCCAGCCACAGAGCAACAGTCACCAAACTGTGACCCAACACATGTCATGTTGCCCGCAAAGTTAGGGCCGCACAATCCATTCGTAGAGGGATATCCTGTTGTCAAGCAGGACCCGAAGTAACAGTTAGGGGGTCTGCAGTAATCATTGGTGCTACCGCAATATCCATTTACTGAACAACAGTCTCCAAACTGCGTTCTAGTACAGGTTTTGTTGGCAGCAAACAGACAGTTCTTCCCTCTGCCAGAAGCCTACACATTCAACCTCGAAAATGCGATTTGCAACGCTATGGGTTGTAATCCAGTGTTGCTGGCTTGTCGCAGGATCGGGATCATCTTCACTTGTTTCCACCCAGTCTTCATCTGTAAATCCTGCGGAATCAACTGAATCACCACAGGCAAATTCGACAAAATGGCAAATGACCCCTCAGCTTGCTCGCAACTCATCAAAAGCCCTCCTGCCGCTCTTCGAGCCTTACTCTCCGGATACCCCTGCATTCAAAAATCGAGGGCTCTTTCAAAACATCGCTGGCAAGCCTAAATCCTCTGTCTAAAAGACCTCGGCAAACAATCAGGGTCTCTCAAAAAAGAGAATCCCTCCCCACTGGAACTTGTGCTCCGGGTATATCTTGTGTCAACGGTGCCTGCTGCAGCGACACCGGAGTTTGCTCCTACGCCCCTTCTAGCTGTGCACCAGAAGTCTGCATTTCCAATTGTAATGCTACAGCTCCCTGCGGCGAGTATGCGAAGACAGGCGAGGGTAACTGTCCTTTGAACGTTTGTTGTTCACAGTTTGGGTTCTGTGGCACCACCTCCGAGTTTTACGGCACTGGCTGCCAGGATGGATATGGCTCATGCGGAGACGTTAATAGACCAAAATGCTCTGGGACATCAGCAGAGAACGGCCGCCGAATCGGATACTATGAGAGCTGGGCTGACGATTCAAACTCCCGACTCTGCAATCGGAGAACACCAGATGAGATCCCACTGGTTGGTCTAACGCATCTCAATTTTGCGTTCACATTTTTCGGCCCAACGACATTCGAAATATCACCTATGTCATCTGCAGCTGCAGGGCTTTATAAGAGTTTTACTGCGCTCAAAAAGAAGAGCCCAGGCCCTGAGACTTGGATTTCACTTGGTGGTTGGACAATTAACGACGAAGGCAATACTCCGAATACTCGAACGGCTTTCAGTGACATGGCCAGCACCTCTGCAAATCGACGCAAATTTATTGAGCACCTGCAAAACTTTATGCAATCTTACGGTTTTGACGGTATTGATATTGATTGGGAATACCCCGCAGCCGATGATCGTGGGGGCTCGTCTGCCGATACGGACAACTTCGTGAGGCTTCTGAAGGAGATGCGATCAAGCTGGGGTACTTCATACGGTATTAGTGTCACTTTGCCATCTTCATACTGGTACCTGCAAGGTTTTGATCTCGCCGCAATGGCAAAAAATCTCGACTGGTTCAATTTCATGAGTTATGACATTCATGGTGTCTGGGATTCTTAAGAAACAATATACTGATCCCATTATTCGTCCTCACACCAATCTTACTGAGATTAGGGAAGGCTTGGATCTAATGTGGATGGCTGGATTTGAGCCAAGCAAGGTGGTTTTAGGCCTTGGCTGGTACGGCAGATCGTTCACTCTCGTCAATCCATCTTGTTCTAAGCCCAATGGAGTTTGCGAATTCAGTGGAGGCGGCAATCCTGGCTCATGTACCAACTCTGCTGGAGAAATACGGGTGGCGAAGCCCCGGAGCGCTGCGACCCGGATCAATAGCAAAGATGCCTCAGCTGCAAGGACCAGCGCGGCGGTGCGAAAAACGAATTTGTGGAAGTGTTGGTTGGGAGGGGGGAGGTCGAGACTTATATACTACCACGCACAGGAGCGCAAAGCGACCGAGTACGCTAAACCGGAAGTGTAATACACTAAACCTGAATAAACTCCACGTACCCGTCCGATATGGTGTAGTGGCTAACATCGCCGTCTCTCACACGGCAGCCGGGGGTTCGATTCCCCCTATCGGAGTATCCTTTTTATCTTTTGTTTTTTTTGCCATCTTCTAACATGGTGGACAGTGTGTGTTGCGCCCGCGGTTGCTCTGGTGGACTTTTTCATCGCGAGGCCGCCACAAACCCCTAACCACCTCGCCTAAAATTTCACAAATGAAAAAGCCACCTAGCTAGTAGTTGGTTTCGGAATGTTGTTTGTTCTCTGTCTTACCCCGTGATGTCGAAGTCCGAATCCGGCCGGGGTACGCTCACAGTGGTCTGCCGGAACACCAGGACGCGGGGAACGTCACCTATAGTTTGGGCGATAACGACCTGTTCTTCAGGCCTTGAGCCATGGGTAGGTGAATGTGAATCGGCCCGGCAGGCCTTAATATATGGACTGACGGGTCTAGATTCTCTTAGAGTTTTGCGCGGCAGTTCGAACCACCTATAAAACTTCGTACCTTAGAACATGATTAGATTCGCTGCGGCGAGACCTTTCAAGACAATACGCTCGTATTCGTACTCTTTTTCGCGCATCTGATCATGACTGATCGATTCGATGTTAACGCGTCATCATACTGACTAACCCCTGGTATGAGGAATGAAATAGTTTTTGAATTTAAACGAGTACCCTTCCAGTCTATATCCAAGACCTGAAAATTAGTTTATTTCACGGTGTAGCTGGCTCCGTAACGATCCGCATACGTCGTAGGTGATAATAATGCCTGAGTGTAGATTGTCTTATAAGGAAAGACTTGATGTCATGGGCCAAGCTAGATGAGAACCAGAGCTTTCAAAAACATTATAGAAGCCATGACTCAAAGAGAAGCCCAACGTATACCGCGGTAAGTTTGACTATTTTCAGACATATGATGCTACCATAGAACTCGTTCGAATTTCTTTTTGTTGCGATTGGTAGAACCTATCCCTGGAGTGTATGTAGAAGGGCTGGACAATCTCTAGACTGTTGAAACTTATGGGCCTATTATTATATAGTATCCGGTTTAAATTCATAGTCCCCCCCCCCCCAAAGCGAAATAATTTCCAACTGTTTCCCGCACGCTTACTACTCAGGGTTTCATAGTAATAGCGTGCTCTATTTCGCTGTAATCGCCATGTCACCCCTACTACCCAGGATTCATGGAGAGCCCGATATTACGGTGCTAGGAAGAGATCAAGTTGATCTTTTTTCTTCCCAAAAAGGGGATGTTCGATCTATCCAAGGCCTGGAGGCTGGACCAAGGCTCATACGTAAATTTCTGTTTGAAGAAAGCGAAAACAGTATCAACCCGACTTTTCATGACATTGATAACCATCAGCCCGGCATCGAGAAGATCAGATGTGCGAACTCTCTGTTCTCCATGATCGAGTTGTCTTTCGTCGATGGAAAATCCGAAATTCACTCTCAACGGTCATTTGATGCAACCTCTCCGCTTCTGCCTATCAATATCCGGTTATCAGATGACGAAAGCCCGCAGAACCCCCCCTCAACTTGGAAAAGCATATCAAGTCGTTTTCTCGTGATCGACGACCCAGAAGGCAAAATGATTTCCACGGAAAAGTGGCAATCTCGTCTGGGAGACTGCAGATCCTCCTATGTCTTCTATAGTACGAGAAGCCCGAAGCATATATCGCAGACTGCGAACCAAACTCCAGGGATTTTCAAAATATTCAGGAATCCTGAATTGAAATATCTGGTTATAATTATCGATGCTGATGATCTAAGGGACAACGGAATATCCATCACGCCGAATTCATCATGGGAGAAAATAGCTGCGGATGTAGTAAATCTCTTCAAGCCCGCTGAAATACCAGACTCCCCAGGTGAGTTTACGGCAACAGTCCAATGGATCATTCGAATTGGTTCCTCCGGTGCGGTTGTCTTGCAGCAGACTCCATCCCGAAATCAGCTCTATTTTGATTTAGAGAACGGTGCAGCTGTTGTGACACTGCCATACTCTGTACCTCGCCCGTCACTCCAAGCCGCGTTTACAAGTGGATTGATGTTCAGCGTGAGAAGCGAGATGATTATTCACCCACGCCGAGCTTTCGCAAATATTGATCTTCGAGGACCGATCACAAAAGGGTTAAGCAATGTTCGCTCCCTTGCTGAAAAGGGGTTCCCTGCATCTGAGAGACCCAAAAATTGGTGCCCACAATACCCGGACTTGGAATTCGGAATGGAGCGAACTCAGAACATTCAATGTTCTGAAATACCTTCAACACCTGAAAAGCGTGAGACATGGTCCATATTGGAACAATGCGTGGAACGAAGACCTCCTCATCCTCGACGCAGCTTGAAAAATCAAATCTTTGACCTGGCTGAAGGTATCATGAATGCTCGGGAAGAGGATGGACCACTAGCATCTATCCCCACAGCCAAGTTTGGCAAGATGACTGTAGCCGACAGGGAGGTAATGGAAAAATTTCATTACATCTCAAATAAAGTACAGGAATATCTTGCAAATCCCCCCAAAGGCCACTTTCTACCGGAGTGTTTGGCCCACCAGGCGCTGGAAAATCCTTTGGCATCAAACAGATCATGCAGAGGGTCATACAAGGAAAGTCTGCCAGTAATGCCAGGAAACGGTTCAATCAACAGTCAGTCAAACTGAAACCACAATACCCTGAGGTGAATTGCGTTATTTCACAGTTCCTCGACTGCTCCAATCTGCTGGTTGTTTTCCAGAAAATATAAGACAAGATTTTGTCAGGCCAGATACCCAATGTCTACTTTGACGAGTTTGAGACGACTTTGAACGGAGAACTTGAGTAGCAGAAATTCTTCTTGGCTCCTATGAATGACGGGAAGTTTAATGATGGAGGCTATATCCGCCCAATTGGCCAGGTCTTCTTTTTATCGGGGCACGGCGACCCTAGCACATTCGAAGGGTTTGATAACGACAAAATTCAAGTCATCCCTGCCATATTGAGTAGCGATTTGGCGGAATTTGGAAATTAAGGATTGCGAGCAATTGAAAATACCTAGGTATGGATGTAATCATACCCCCAGGTTTTACATAGTAGAACACGGGCGAACCATGATATTTGCAGGTTCATCACCGCATTCCTTCCATTTTCTCATTTTCAACCTTGGAAAGTGCCCAGGTGTAAGTTTAATGTACTAGTACTGATATGGTAAGTCTACACGTCCTGGGAGGTATATATTGGGCAGAGAACATAAAGCAATTGGCTAACGAAATGCAAAGGCACTAGGATTGGTAGTGTGTGTTTTTAGAGATAATAACAGAAAGAAATGATTACATGAAATGCTACATGTAGTTTGCTAGCGAAGCTAGACTAAAACTCCAACAAAAGTAGTACACGGGGGGTGAGAGGATATCGAAATCGCAACTGCGTCAACGTCTAGAAGTGAATGGGCTTGGAGTAGGTGGCCATGGCGGCCTCCTTGAAAGCCTCGGAGAGGGTAGGGTGGGCGTGGCAAGTGCGGGCAACATCCTCACTTGAAGCACCGTACTCAATGGCGAGGGTAGCCTCGGCGATCATCTCACCGGCACCGGGGCCGATGATATGGGCACCCAAGATGCGGTCAGTCTCGGCATCGGCGATGATCTTGACGAGACCCTCAGTGTCGAGGTTGGTCTTAGCACGAGAGTTGGCGGTGAAGGGGAAAGATCCGACGTTGTACTTGACACCGGAGGCCTTTACCTCGGCCTCGTTTTGGCCGACCCAGGCGACCTCGGGGTGAGTGTACATGACGGAGGGAATGGCGGCGTAGTTGACGTGCCCGTGGCCCTTCTTGATGTACTCGACGGCAGCAACGGCCTCTTCCTCGGCCTTGTGGGCCAGCATGGGGCCGAAGGTAACGTCACCAATAACGCGGACGTGGGGCAGCTTGGTGCGGTACTCCTGGTCGATGACGAGACGGCCACGGTCGTCCTTGTCGATACCGACGTTCTCGAGGTTCAGGCCCTCGGTGTAGGGACGACGGCCAATGGCGACCAGGACAACATCAGCGTCCAGGGTCTCCTCCTTACCGCCCTTAGCGGACTCAACGTTCAGGGCGACGGTAGCACCGCTGTCATCACCATTGACGACCTTGGTGCCAGTCTTGAACTTGATGCCCTGCTTGCCCAGGATCTTTTGGGCCTGCTTGGCGATCTCGGCATCCATACCGGGACCACCGATCTGGCCGAGGAACTCAACAACGGTGACCTGAGCACCGAGACGGGACCAAACGGAGGCCTATAATGACAAAGAGTGTTAGTTACCCAGGTATAACCAATGCGCGCAGAGTGCGCGAGTGGCAGATAATAAACGCACCATCTCGAGACCGATAATACCACCACCAATGACAACCATCTTCTTGGGGACCTCAGTGAGGGCAAGAGCACCAGTGCTGGTGATGATGCGCTTCTCGTCGATGTTCAGGCCGGGGAAGGGAGTGGCTTCGGAACCGGTGGCAATCAGGATGTTCTTGCCGCGGACGGTCTGCTCGCCACCCTCGTTGAGGGCAACCTTGACAGTGTTGCCATCGACAAAGGAACCGGCACCCTTGATGTAGTCGACACCGTTCTTCTTGAGCAGGAACTCGACACCCTTGGTCAGAGCCTCAACGGACTGGTCCTTGGCCTTCATCATCTGTCCAAGGTTGAGCGTGACATCACCAACTTCGATACCGCGCTTCTTGGAGTCGTGGAGGATCTGGTGGTAGAGGTGGGAGTTGTTGAGTAGGGACTTTGAGGGAATGCAGCCGACGTTCAGGCAAGTACCGCCGAGTTTTCCGCGCTTCTCGATACAGACAGTCTAGACAGATTTCTTCTGGTTAGCAAAATTTCAAGGTTGCGATCAACACAGCTCCATCTGTTGGATGCGGTGTCAAAATGGCATCAAACATACCTTCAGACCCTCCTGACCAGCCTTGATGGCGGCAACGTAACCGGCGACACCACCACCGATGATGACAAGATCGTGGTCTCCTGTTGTTGGGCACACCGGAAATCAGCAATCGTCCACCGGGGAGCACGGGGAGCAATCGGGATCGTCCCCGAGAAGCTGTTCAAGTATAAACTTACCGGCTTCAGAGGCATAACCGCGACTTGAGCGGCCAATGAAGAGCATAGAGGGAGCAATGAAGGTGGAAGGCACAGCCTTGGAGCCGGCGCGGAGCGCAGCCCGCGGCGCAGCACGGGGGAGAATAGTACGGAACATGACGAGAGACAGATACGGAGACAGATCACAGAGAGAAGAGAGGGGAAAAAGTCCTCCTGGAAATTAGCGTGGAGGTAGGGGAGGGTGAGAATTGGGGAGGGAGGAGGAGATGAGGTGTCTTGAAGGTCCAATCTGGCGGGAAAGGACTGAGCTTTCGCGGTTTGGAGATATTAGGTAAGCCCCATTCGGGTCGACTCGGCAAGTTGGCGTGTTTGCCGGGGATGCCGATTTAAATGCAAAGACGACTCTACAGCAGTCTTTTACAGTATCAACTACGGAGTATCTCACTACTTGTATAGTTCTGATCCTCTTGTGTGAAAGGTATATCGCCAGGGCAACATGAGAATCTTGTATACCTTACGGCTATACGGGTGTGTGATGCCTACGGGAACCATGAAGACCTTTTCCGCTCTCCACCTGGCGCGGCCAGATCTACCCCGGGAAGACCTCTCTATCCCTAGTGCCTTTAAAGTTAGCCTGCCCAAATGACGCCCCTAACCGTCCTTGATGTCCGCGGGGCTTGAAAAAGTGCGATCAGGTTTACCGGATCCTCCGATCCCCTCTCTTACCACGGCTACTCTCGGCATTACATATTCGCCGTTAACTACTAGTAAGTGCTTGAGAATCCTCGAAGTTTTTAGGGATGACTTCTAAATGCGTTGGTAATTACTACCTTTGTCTATAATGATTGAGGGAATCTATGTCCTTTTTACGCCTCCTTTGTCTATGATCAACGCCGGAGACCGGCCCGGTGTGGAACAGGTCAACATCGGACTAGTCCGGACTGCGGAGGATATCATACTACGAGTACAGCTTGAAAATAAATGGATGTGAACTGCGATCATATTTACTACTACCACCTACCTATATCTTTATGTACAAACCGTTACTAGTCGTACACTCAACTTGATATCGACCTCTTTGGAAAGGAGAGGACTAGTTACAACCTTGGAAGGGATTGCCCAGATGCTGCCCAATCCTGGCCAGTAACTAGTATACCCCGATCGCCAGAAGTGAAGGAGAACGATTGTATGCCTATGTCTCCAGGGCGGCGATCCCCGATTCCTAGATGTGGCACGCCCGCAGAAGGGTTGAGCTTATAAATCATAAGTGGCCATTGGCCACCGCTTTATTCTATTTCTGCTGTTACAGCCAAAGATCCAGGCATTCTCAAGATGTGCGAGTAGTTATCTTTTGACCCCGATGAGATGAGCTGGAGCTTTGTTGGGGCAAGCCCAGGATTTGTATCGGAGAATCTCCGTCTATCGGCGATTGTGGTGACTTGTTGAGAAAGTAAAAAAGAGGAACAAAATTTGCCTAGTTTCCCTCTTCATAACAGCGGGGAAAAAAAAGGAAAATTTGGGTTGAAGGATAGTTTCATTGTCCTGATTTCAATACTCCCATGGTTCGTTCGACAGTACAACAGTGAAGCAATGCGAAAATCCAGTTCGAAGGCGAGTGCTATGAGCGATTTTGTTGGGTGGCAGAAAGCAGCTCGATGGCGGGCGGAATGTCCCCGAAGATCGGTCGCGTCGCACGTTCCTGCCCCTGGCTGCCCCGGTCTTTACCTGGCTTTATGATTTATGGGTGGCTGGAACAATATACTGAAACTCTGATGTTGAAACAATAATCTGTTTTATTCTATTTTATTGATGTATTTCTAAAGAAAAGAAAAAAAAATTACACATAAATCTCAATTCCCGGAGACCGATAATCAAGTTGTTCTGGGCTCTGAATTTGAGCTATAACGCCCTTTGCAATAGTAGTAGAAAGCTTTTTATCGGACGGCGAATTCGATTCTTATCAGATTTCATACGCTAGAGGTATTCCCAAAGCGAAACATTCCCTCTTATGCCCGATGGACATGCATTTAAAATGACGTCCTAGGATGCGAGGTCCGTCAAGCCAATCGATATACTCAAGTGTCGCTATAGGACGAATTTTGGCAGTTTTGGCATCTATTACTTTTGCTTTGTAGATACACATGTATCCATTTCGTATTGATCTCCTGGAAAGACCAACCCCCATATAGTACCGTGTGATCTCTTCCATGTCATTCTTTGTCAAATCGAAACCATCCTGGTGAATCCTAGATCAGGGGGTTAAGTCCTGAGCATCTTGATACAGTCAGCTGAGCTTTTCAATATACTTGTACTGGCCTTGCCTTTTAAATGAACCTTTTGTAGAGTTTTCCGAAATGTCAATTACCCACTTTTTGAATTTATAAACCAATTGTCCGGTATCTCATCCCCGTCAAGTCAGCCTGGCTGTGGATAGTAAAAGTCGGGGACAAGAATACGGACTACGTAGACATTCGTAGATGTGAGTCACAGACTATATCCGGTTAGTATTAGAATTCCACGACTGGATGCTGCGGATTAACTCTGCTTACTCCGCTCAAGCTCCCGCAAGGCTCGAATTATCTCCGCTTGGCCCCCAAAGGCCAGACCGTGAGATCGGTATGTCGGTGCTCCGTCCCCGACAGAAAGCAGCTTACCAGAAGGTATATAAGGCATATTTCCAATTTACAATAAGGAGCCCATAAGCATCTTGAGATCCATCATCACAGACTATCCCCATTCAGTTGAAAAATACCCAGACGATGTCTAACCTCGCTCCATCAATCCTCGCAGGCTTCAAGGGCCGTCGATCCATTCACTCTCTGACAAATGAGTCTACGATCTCCGATGAGCGCGTTGAAGAGATCCTCTCCGAAGTGATGCAAATCATGCCCAGTGGATTCAACACCCAAGGAACTCGCATGGTTGTTTTGCTGAAGGAAGAACACCAAAAATTATGGGATATCGCCCATGAAGTCGCCAGTGCTACTGTGCCTGTCGAGCAATTTGAGAATCTTTATCGAGCCCGTATTGCTGGATTTCGTGCAGCATATGGAACAGTGAGTTCTATTCAAATACAGAGAAGATTTTATTCCTTATACTGATGCATCGACAGGTTCTATTCTATGAGGATCCTGCTGTGTTTAAGCCCCTGGAAGTGAAATTGCCTATAATCAAAGACAAATTTCCTGAATGGTTGGATCATGCAAGTGGGATGAGCCAGCTTGCTGGTAAGTCAAATCCCTACTTAACGTGGATGAAAATCAGTACTAACAGTACTGGTAGTTTGGACACTACTAGTAGCCGAAGGGCTTGGTTGCAATTTGCAACATTACAATCCTATGATCGATGCTCGTGTATCCGAACAATGGAAGGTACCAAAAGAATGGAAATCTAAATCGCAACTGGTCTTTGGCAAGCCTACCGGACCCCCGAGAGAAAAGACCTCTGAGCCTCTGAGCAGCCGGCTTTTTGTGTATGGAAAATAGCGACTTCGATTCCTTCTAGACCTATGTTTCAAGCTTCTTGTAATTTATATTCTCGAAATTATCTTCCTATCCCCGTGAAAAATTCCGCTTTAAACCCCCGTCTTTCCGTTTGTAGATTTCGAAGGAAATCCCCCGCTTTCCTTGCGCATTTAAGTGCCCCATGGCGAAAATTCGCAACGCCACCAATGGCCAAAACATCATGGGGAACCCCATCTTCCTTATATAGTTCCACACAATCCATATTCTCCGGTATCTTCAAGAAGGCCTGGGCAAGTTGCAAGTGTTGCTGTAGTAGGATCTCTCTCCCTCCAGTAACTATAAGCAGTGGCGAGGGCAATATAAACGGATGTCTGAGTGGGACAACTTGTTCCTCGATGGGACCAGTGATGTCCAGGTCTCTGAGATAGTTCTTTGCCCCCCCAAGCTGGAAGGGTCGCGGGAATGTATTCAGTTTTGTAATTCGGGTCCCTGCGCCAGTCCGAGGTATCGATGGCAGCCGGAACATCGCACCATGGCGAGAAGACCCAATTGCATAAAGGCGCCGGAAGAATGAATGGATTATCCATCTGAACGATATATCTGAGAAGCCCGAGAATGAGGTGTGCTCCTGCGCTATCACCACTCAGAACTATTTGCGAAGCCGGTATATGGAGCGTATAAACTAGATAGGAGTATGAGGAAATAGCATCTTGGAGCTGTGCAGGGAAACGCCCTTGTGGCAGACCGGATAATCTGTATTGTGGACAGAAAATATAAAGGGCGGAAGAGTTGTCCAACAGGTTGTCAGCTAGAAAGCGAGTAAATTTCGTGCGACCATCTCCCATTATGTAGGAGCCGCCATGGAAATGGAGAATGACATGCTGGCCTTCAGGAACGATAGTGTCTGAAGTGAAACGGTTTGGGTACCAAGTGCCTCCGATAGCTTCTGGCCAAATATTATTGTCCTCTGCCACCCCATAATACGCCTCTGGTAATGCCGGATCGACTAGAACGAACCGATCCTTTTCCCGTCCCGGCTTCAAGGATAGTGATGGCTTGATCCGGAAGGTAACAAATTTTTGCAGCCCGACCTTCATAAGCGCACATGTGATCGCTTGTCGGTATGTCCAACTTGGATCTTGACGACGTCGAGGCCGTAGATAGAGGGCCAAAAAAAGCAGAAAGCCGAGGATGGAGGTGTCTGAGAATGTTGGCCACATTGGTAATGAATAGCAAGATTATATCAAGAAAAGTTTTATTTGCGCTCTATTCGGCCGGTGCGAGACTCATTTGAGAAGAAGTTAAGAAATAAGAAGATAATATAAAGAGGGCAGCGTTGGTGTTTCTTCTAAAAGCCTGGCTTTTGGCTGAGTGGTAAAAAGAAGTAATGCTGGACAGGAGCTAATTCTGTGGGCGTGGTGACATCAACATGATGTTGAGAAGAGGCGTTTGTGCTGACCTCTAATCCGCTTTCTTTGCTTCGGGTATATCTAACTGCCATTAAAATCGTACAATTTTTCAAATGAGACCTTCGATTCCCTGGGTTGGCGCCTTGTGGCAGCCTTGGATAGCTTTGTGATTGCCAAGGGGAGCAAGTTTAGTAGCTGAAGGCCGGTCTATATAAGCCGGAAACTTTTGCAAAGCTTCGTTTTCTCTATATCCGGAGCGAGCCATGGGGTTTATTGTATAAATCAACTCATAATTGACATTGCCCATCTGATTCATCTGCTTCTGCGCATTGATTAGGATTGGCTTGGTAGCTGATCGGAATATGATCAGCGATTGCAGCGGGAGTGGCAATGTTCAGACAATCATACTTCCTTTTTTCGCTAGCCTCTCTCTATCCAGTCTTGTTTTGTCTTATTTTTCTGTCGACTTAGGCATTAAAAATCCAAAAACATTAAGTATTTTATTGCCAAACAAGGCGGGGTTTTTCAATAATTGCATCGCTAAGAAATGCCTCGGAGTTGAAGTTATGGGATGTTCTTTGAAGTCATGATATTCGAAAAACGTTCCTGATTTTATGCTAGAACGACAAGGAATCGCGCCTCTTTGAGGGGTTTCTTCGAGGGGGAGAGCTTTGAAGGGAGATCCTTCGCTCCCGTTGCCCATTCGAGATAGTGATCGACAGTCCACTAACTATGCTAGGAAATGATTTCAAGGTTATCGTATTCCATCGTATCCAATTGCCGAGGAACCCTTTCTTCCTTAAATTCCGGCTGTGATATACTAGTACTGGTTCGACCGTCAGCAAATTCAAAATGTTGACCCACATTTGACCTCCCCTGAACTAGTTGGAGATTGGCCATTCTTCACCCTTTTTTAACGCTCACCCCTCGCCGTTGTCGTATTCCTGCCGTATAAAATATTACGACCGAGGAAACTCGTGCATCACGTCTGTTGATTCCACGTGAAGGAGGACAATGGGGAGATATTTGAAGGCTTTCGCCCCTTTCTAATTCTCACCCACAACTCGCGTCGCTGTGCGCCATGATTGCATTCCTTCTCCCTTTGTTGACAGGCGTCTCTGCTGCAGCTGCAGCGGCAGTTACAACGGCATGCTCAAATATAACCAGTCAATTGGGCTCGTCGAAAGTCACCAGCAATGAGTACAGCTTGGATTACGTGGGCAGCATCGAATATTGGAACACTATACAAGATGATTATAAGCCCTCGTGCATCGTCTATCCCAAGAATTCCCAGGATGTCTCAACCGCCCTCCAGGCAATTCGAGCCGCCGGCAGCCGCTTTGCAATCAAGGCTGGCGGTCACAATCCGAACACATTCTATTCATCTGTCGACAAGGGTGTCCTTCTCGATTTGAGCAGGATGACGGAAAGATCTTACGACCCAGACACAACTCTCGCTACTTATCAACCAGGCGGAGTATTTGGCGATATCTACGACTATTATGTGCAATATAATCGTACAGTGGTTGGAGCACGACTCGCCGGGGTGGGAACCGGTCTTGCTCTGGGTGGTGGCATGAGCTACCTATCGCCCCAATATGGCATGGCCTGCGATTCATTCCGAGAGCTGGAAATTGTCCTTCCTAGCGGTGAAATTGTCACTGCCTCGGATAAGTCGAACCCAGATCTCTTCTTCGCGTCGCGAGGTGGCGGTGGCAACGCGTACGGAGTTGTCACCAAGTATACAGTCCAGAGCCGTCCGATCGGTCAACTCTACGCTGGAAATATCATCTTCCTCTTTTCCCAGAAGGACGATGTCATCGCCGCGATTGGCGACTTCATAAAATACAACACTGACCCTAAGGCGGCTATCATCGGCACTTATGAGAAGCTGCCTACACCGGATCTGAACCTGAATATCGACGAGGCTATCATTATGTTTCTCGTCTATGATGGTGAAGACCCAGGCGACGCATTCAAAAACTTCACCAGCATCCCTTCCCTTCTCAACACAATGAGCCTTAAAACATACCCCGAAGTTGTGGATATGCCTATTCCAATGTCGACAGAGCTTTCCCGTGGCGCCAACATGTTCCGCGTGGGCGTTCATCGTGCAGACAACGGAAGTTATGAAAATGCCCTGGATGTGTGGCGTAACTGGGCCGAATCCAACAAGGGCAAATACGTCCTCCTTTCGCTGGACTTCCAGCCCGTTCCGAAGAGTCTGACAGATGCCAGCAAGGCCCAGGGAGGAAATGCAATGCAGATGCCGGATGGTCCGTGGTTTTGGTTAAATTATTTGATCACTACGCCACCCGGAATGAGTGAGCCAGATTACAATGCTGTTCAGGCTAGCTACCGTGATATGGTTGCGTCGGTCAGCAATGCAGATGATCTCCCTCTCTTCATTAATGATGCGAACCACGACCAAAATCCTCTACAGACATTCTCGGCCTTTTCGAAACTTCAGGATATCAAAAAGAAGTATGACCCGGATAACTTCTTTGCTGACAAGACTGGCGGCTGGTCCTTTGCTTAGTCTGGGGAGAGGTTCAATTCCAGTAGGCTTATACTAGCTATCAGGCGAGTGATATTTCAAGTTGTTACGAGAAGACACAGTACTCAGCCACGTTCCTCTGACCTGTCTGAGTATAAATCTTAGATAATGCTCGATCGCTCTCGATTATTTCTGTAATGAGTTAATTTAATGTCCATAATGAGATACTTGCCGGAAACCACACAGAATAATACCCGGCGTCAAATGTGCCATGATCAACTACCGCCCTCCGCGGTTAATTCTATCTCGACCTTCCCACAAAAGTGGGGATGTCGGCTTTAGCTCGGACCGCAGGGCGTAGTAAAGCCGTCATTCGGAAGATAGAACACCTGCTAGATAACCTTAAAAATCAGATTCTCGGTTTACATAGTACGAGAATAGTACTCCGTACTCTGGAAGTGGGCCAGATATAGAATTATTTAATGGAACGTGGCTTGGAGTCGGCGAACTTCCGGTGATCGTTCGACGCCACTAGGTAGAGCAAAAGAAGTAAAAGGGTCAAGCAGATGAGGGCGATACTATACCAAGAGGACTTTGTTCCGGTTCGGTGGATCATTGACAGCATTGTTTCCCCCGGCTTGCCGAGTTTCGACAAAGTCTGGAGACTCCGTATCGCGATCCTCCGGGTTTAACCTTGCTTCTGGTGGGACCAGTCCGAACAAACCCGCCTATTGGCCTGGCCCCCTTCGGGGTGTGGGCTCACCGGAGTAGACTTTGCCCCGACGTAGCCGAGGCTGGGGAATGACAGAATGCTACGAGCAGATGCTAGAAATTAACCGATGCTGAACATGTATCATCCCTAAAACGATGGCTGGGGCTTTCAGTCCCATGGCTCCATGCGACAATCTTCAGGATGGGGACCTTCATTCTGACTCTCACCAGGTCGTTCCAGGTAGAAAACAAGGGGCAAAAAACCTTAACAAATGCCGTGCCTGTCGGATTGCCGATTCCAGCGGGTGTCGGTTAAAAGGAACCTCCCCGCGTCTCCCCAGTTCTTCTTCCGCTTGAGGGGGGGAACCCGAAGGCAGTTGTCCTCCACTACGGAGTATGACCAAATCAACCCGGATTTGAATTTCACAGTGGAGACGACGAGGGTCTAAGACTCGCGTTCCCCTCTCCTTGTTTGTGCTCGTAAACTCGATGTAACCAGATTGGAGGCTCCCGCTACCTGCTCTTCCTGGGGCGACAGTCGGCCGATCCTCGTGGGGAAGTTTCCTTGTCGGTCTTCTGCAGGTGGGGGATCCAATCGCATCTTCGATTCTCCCTCCAGTTGCGGATTCAAGTCGACTTCTCGGGCGAAAGTGGTTAAAAGGCCCCGTGTGCTATGATATGATGTCGGACCGCAAACTTCGGGTCCCATCGCTGTCCTGCATCTGGCACGATTCCCCACGGGGCTCGACTGGCTGGTTGCTTTAAGTAATCTTACATTGAGTCACCCAGTGACCGGTCGATCTCTTTCGTTTTTTCTTTTCCTTACGCCCTTCGTCAATTCTATAGATACCCCTCCTCCCCCCTGTCCCCGCACGGGTTATGCATCTGGGAAATTATTGATTTTAGATCTTTGCGCCCTCTCGTTCATCATGAGCGACAAGATTTCCTCTTGGAATGTTGTCCACAAGCTGGAGAAGCGAGGGCTTCTCGTAGCTATCAACTGTGTTGCAGCGCTGTCGATTCTATTCTTTGGTTATGACCAGGGAATGATGTCTGGAGTCAACAACTCCAAGGACTATATCGAACTAATGGGGTTCGGCTATACGGAGATGGTGGAAGGAGAACCGACACCGGTGGTCACCAACTCTCTGCTGCAGGGTGGTATTGTGGCGGTTTATTATCTTGGAACTCTGTTCGGCGGTCTTTTCGGCGGCTGGCTGGGTGATCGCATGGGCAGAATCAAGACCATCGCTGCTGGAGCAATTTGGGCGATCCTGGGTGCGAGTCTGCAGTGCTCCTCTCCAAAACCACAATTGGATGATTTGCTGTAAGTGATCACCATATCGTTAAGCTGATAACTTCGAGAGGCTGTGATTGACGAAGAAAACAGCACGATTCATCAATGGCATTGGCACGGGTATTTTGAACGCTATCGTTCCTGTCTGGGCCACAGAGACCGCCGAGCACACTTCGCGTGGCCAATTCATTGCCATTGAATTTACTCTGAACATCTTTGGTGTCGTCATGGCTTACTGGCTAGAATTGTGAGTAACCTAACTGGTCTATTTGGTTGACTATGCCACTAACTGCTGCGCAGTGGTCTGTCATTCATTGATGGCGGCAACTCGGCCTTCCAGTGGAGATTTCCTATCGCTTTCCAAATCATCTTCCTGCTTATTCTTTTCGGAGTTGTCTGGTTTTTCCCTGAGTCCCCACGTTGGTTAGTCAATGTCGGCCGCGAGGAGGAAGCCCGGTATATTCTTCAACGACTTCGTGGTAGCAGCCCCGAGGATCGCGTCCGTGCCGAGGCCGAGTTTCTGGATATTCAGGCCATTGCTGAGATGGAGAAGACCGTCGTTCACGGTGGTGGACACTCTTATCTTTCCATGCTCTTTGGCTACAAGTCTGGAGATCTTCACATTGGTCGTCGCGTGCAACTGGTTGTCTGGTTGCAAATTATGCAAGAATGGGTTGGTATCGCTGGTGTCACCGTTTACGCGCCGACTATATTCAGCATTGCCGGGTTCGACTCGAGGAAGAGCCAGTGGATTAGTGGATTGAACAATGTGTTCTACATGGTATGTTTATGGGTGGCACGTGTAATTCTCTATCTTCCTGCTAATGATTTTTTCTAGTTTGCTACCCTCGTCTGTGTTTTCACTTTGGATCGCATCGGTCGCCGCTGGACGTTATACTGGGGATCGGTAGTACAGGGAATCGCCATGTTCCTCGCCGGTGGATTCTCACGCCTGGCCATTAATGCCAAAGCCGATGGTGACATGGGTCAAGCGTCATCATATGGTGCAGCAGCAGCCTCCATGATCTTCATTTTTACCTCGACTTTCGGAGCTACCTGGTTGACCGTGCCCTGGGTGTACCCTGCTGAGATCTTCCCTCTGGCTGTTCGTGCTCGTGGAAATGCCTGGGGTGTTGTTGGTTGGAGTATTGGAAACGGATGGCTGGTAAGTTTGGATGCATTTTGAGAAGTCTTTCCAATGTGATACTGACATTTGAAACTCATATAGACCCTTCTATGCCCCGTCATGTTCGGAGCAATTGGTGAAAAGACTCTCTATGTATTTGCCGCCAGCAACGTCATCACGATCCCCATGGTGTGGGCTTTATATCCGGAGAGTAGCCAGCGTACTTTGGAAGATATGGATCTTCTGTTTGCTTCTCCAAGCCCATGGGCTTGGGAAGCTGAAAAGACCTTTGCTCGCCTCAAGGCTGAGAACCCTGGTATGGTACAAGCTATCAGCCGCAAGAACAGTGTTCTGGACCCAGAGGCGGGCAAGTCATTTGAGATTGCGAAGGCCGAGGAGAATGCTACCAGTGCTGCCGAGCATGTTGATCACGCTTGAGATGGCTCCATGGATTCTCACTTCTGCCGAGGTAAAACTTGGAGGTACTACTAGTATACGAACTATGCGGATATTGGTACTAGGTTGCGTATAATGAGTCATGTTAGAAATGGAAACGAATAGATACCATGTGACTCGTGGCAGACATGGAATTATCGAATCAAATTATCCAAAATTTCTTGAAACGTCACCTTGTTAAGCGCTCCAGGCTTGATCTTTTTTTGGGAGAGTCGAAGTTCTGGTGTTGGCCAGGTAAGACGCACTCTGATTGGTCACATTCACAACAACTCCGGATGCCGCCACCACATTTTATATTTCAAAGCTTTGAGTCAGACTTCTCATATGAACTCTGCTATTGTTCATAAAACATCATCCCTAGAATTGACCCGAAATCAAGGGAGGTGCCAAAAAAGACATCCGTACCAAATCAAGTTCGCGTTCGACGCGTCTCATCGCGTCAGAAGCCGATCCAGGACAGCCCAAACCAACGCTTGTTATACGAACTACGAATAAGCTCATCTTGAGACCAAGAAAGCTATCTATCTATACACTATGGCAACAGAAACAACTCCAGAATCATCGCAAGTCGTCTCGGCCATACCATCGCCCCACTCCCAGCCAACTGCCAAATCAACGACCACAATCACCACCACCACCACCAACACGCCAACTGAAATCCATCAAAAGTACCTCCGGCGCATCTCTCTCCACCCAACACTGACCCCATTCCGCCGACGCGTCTACCGCGCTCTCCTCTCTGTACCCGAAGGGCGATGGACCACATACTCCGCGATGGCAACATACCTCAACTCCAGCGCTCGGGCGGTAGGTAATGCGATGCGTACGAACCCTTTCGCGCCCGAAGTACCATGCCACCGAGTCCTCGCGGCAGACCGCTCACTTGGCGGATATAAAGGGGAGTGGAAGGTTAGCAAGCATATAGGCAGTGGTTCTTTTCGCGACGAGAAAAGGTTAAGACTCCTAGATGAGGGGGTTACTTTTGACGGGGATGGGAAGGCAGGAGGGTCTTGTTTCAAGGATTTCCGAGATTTAGGGGCGAAGTAGATAAATGCTTGCTACTTCGCATGGGATAGTGTTTGTTTTAAGGTCTGCTCGTTGTTAGGTGGTGGCGTTTGTGAGGTTATGACAGCCGGTTCACGATATTTGAATGGATGAAACACAGTGAAAAGTAAATAGTCATTCATGGGCGACAAACCCCTCGTCTTTGGCTGTATGTATGTAAATATGACCAGGTACTGCTGACCTGGCCATGATTTTCAAAATCTAAATTCATGTCAGGAACAAACACTCGATTCACAACTGGTCATAATAAGCATCAAATTTGATTCTCATCGAGTTCTGTACAAATCTAATACCAATCATCATGCCCGACTTCACCCCGTCCGAAAAATTAACCTACAGCAAATCTCTACCGGTAGGAATAACCCTCAATGCAAACAACTACTACCGCTGGACATTAAACGGCACGTCCATGCAACTAGACTGGGCAAACCCCACACTATAAACGATCGCCTCAACCCCAGACCACGACTCCGCAAATAACTCACACTCACACTCACACTCATGCACAAACGCAGACGCAGTGATCGACCTACCCGACACCGACTCCTGGACACTAATAATAATAGAAACAACCCAAGCCGCGCCGCACCCTGTGCATCTGCACGGGCATGACTTTCTCATAATTGCGCGGGCCAGGGCCTGTATCGGGATCGGATCGGCCCCCTGCAGATGCAGGCTTCAGCTCGACCCCAGTTCGGGCCCTGGACCTGGATCCGGCCTCAACCAAAACGAAACCCCAAACCCAAACCCAAACCCAAACCCAAACCCCGAATGTAGGTGTTGGTGTTGGTGGTGGTGGGGCTATTACGTTTTTGTCGGGATCTTTTCCTAAACGTGATACGGCACTTCTTCCTGCGTCGGGTCATTTGGCTATTGCGTTTAAGACGAATAATCCTGGTGCGTGGCTGCTGCATTGCCATATTGGGTGGCATCTTGAGCAGGGGTTTGGGGTGCAGTTTGTTGAGCGTGAGGATGAGGTGCGACAGTTAGTTAAGTGGAGGGAATTGGGAGAGTCGATGGGGGGAAGGTGTCGGCGGTGGGGAGGAATACTGGGGAAAGTATGGGGATGAGAACGGATCAGGTGTGTAATTAGATAGCCGTGGAGTATAAGATCAACTTAAATGTGGATGGAAGATACCTACTCGTGTCACCTTGAAGTCTTATGGGACGACTGATGGTTGTTTCGGAAACTAGTTCCTGAACCCATGCGCTGGGAAATATCATGATGGCCGGTAATAAGCAGGGGCACGAGGGCAAGGAAATAGTACAACCTTGGAAGCACACACCCATCACCCAGGTGATACTGCCCTAGTATCCCTAGATATATCTGTAAGTGCTGGCTACTCGGAGCTTTCAATTGAATCACAGGAGCATCAGAAGGAGTCGAGAATGGAATTATCCTGGGGAGTTGTTTCATGTCATCCGCATGGAATAGTTAAAGCTTATTCAGTAGCATCTATGTATAACTCGGAATATCCTTGACAGGAAACGAGAAAGACCTTTTGCCACCTGGGGGGGAGAATACCTCGTCGAACGTAAAGCAAACCTTGGAATACTGACAAAGCTGCTCCTTACCGACTGTGATAATCCATCGACCTCAACGTCCCCAATGGTATTATATCATGATCCCACACCAACCCAACAGCTTGAATCGACGAAATTAAAAAAAATCAAGCCGCGATACAGAAATCTAATCCCGATCACGTCAAACTAGCGACTCCCGACTGATGTACGGGGTATCTACATACAGTACGTGGTCATGCAGATGAGGAGTCGGATGCACCCGTTCTGGTATACCGATCGGCCCCAATCCCCCCCCTCCATCCACATCGCTGACTCGGGGTGCTGTACGGAGTATGCAGCAAATAACGAATCAGTGCTTCGGTGAAGCCGAAAGCCGAATATTAAACTAAGTTAATATCCATGGGAGGCGGGGAAATGGAATGGCAATCCGTTTGATCTACATGACTCGGTACCCCGTGTGGAATACACACGTGCCCCTACCTGTCGCACTATGAGATGGGGGCGAAGTTTGTCTGACGCGATGAAAGGATTCTTTGGAGGGGTCTGGCTGCCGAAAGGGGAGGAGGTTGGGATGATCAATCCTTTTGTGGGACTGGGTTGGGGGTTAGGGCTTGGCTTGGCTTGCCGCGTTATTATTCCAAGGTACATACGAATTACGGAGTACGAGTATCTCAGGTGCACTTTGAGGGTGGATTTGAACGTACATTGCATATGTGATGATGATCTTTGGATAGGCGGATTGTAGCGTTGTAATGATAGCGGGGAATTGAGGAGCGAAGGATTGAATCTTCTTCGCTCTAGACCAGTCCGGTACGGCTGTTTGAGTTTTGCGGGCTTGATGTTCTACAGTACGGAGGACGAGTAAGGATGATTATGGAATGGAAATGGGTTGATTGGGTTTGAGTTGGGTTATGTGGGTGCGTGTAAGAACTAGGGACACTAGAGGATGTTTGCTTTTGGGAGAGCGATCTGCGCGTGCGTTATTTTCGGTCTTTGTTGCATTGAGACTGCCGAAGCTAATCATCCCTCTCCTGACAGAGTTTTTGATGATGAGCCAAAAGTAGGATACAGTAGTCCTAGCTAGCTACCTCTCTTAGCTAGTGAGCTCCCAGGAACCAGCTCCACTCCACTCTACAACGGTACTGCAATCCTTCGAGGGGAATCGATAGCTAGGAGCTACGGCATGTTACACAGAGCGTTTCAGATGTAACAATCCTTTGGAGTGGTAGTAGGTATGGTATGTAGGTCCGAGGCTCAAAAATAGCAAAGTCATGATCCGTCCAATTCGTGTCCTGGGGAATCCGTAATTCTAAATCCATTGAATCATGTACCGTCTATCGCATAGCGTCCAGAAGAAGAAAGAGAAGAAGAGAAAATCAACAGAAGAAAATAAGAAATATAAAAAGCAAAATACCAAGTGGTAGTAAATGGGAATGAGAAAAGAGCTCGCGGCGCCGTCTATACATGACCAAAAGCAGTCTATAGAAACAAGCAGAACAATCGCAAAGCGAAGAAAAGAAGAACAAGAAGAAAATGCGCCGCCCGCGCAAGAAGAAGAGAAAGGAAAGACATAATGTGGTCGTAAATCATACACTGCGGTGAAGAATAACAGCTGGCTGTGCCGTCGCAAGCGGTCGAAAAGTGTAAATCGAAAAAAAAAGACAGAATGCTGAGCAGAATGCATCGACTATCGTACGATCCACTTATGAGATCTCCTTAGCGGAACGCTTGAAAGCTCGACGCTTAGGTACATCAAGGTGGTGGTATGAACGCAGGTGCTCGACAAGGTGATCCTGGCGCGGGAAGCCATTGCTACCCTTGCGCGAGCAGTGATCCACGGGGCAGTTGCGAAAGACCGGGTAATGCACGCTGGACTGGTGGCGCTTTAAATCGGCGAAGCGAGTGAAAGACTTGCTACAGCCGCTGGCGTCGCAGGCAAAGGGCTTGGTCGGTCTATGCGGTCACTTGTCAGTAAACATGGTCGCGGAGGTAAGGAATTTGAGAACGGCAAGGTGATTGCGATTCACTTACTTCGCAGCGGACGGGGATTCAGGGCCAGAGTCCTCGACCAGGCTGAGGGGGTAGCTGGTGATCGCCAGGTCCTCGTGGGTATTCCACCCGCCGACACTATCGCAGGTGCTGCTGGCGGAGCTAGGGACGCTGGTTGCCATGGGTGGTGCCTCATACATTTGGAAATCCTTGATGGGGATTTCTTTGATTGGCATTGCAGGAGAGTACATGTATGGAGAGCTGGTGAAGGAGTAGATCTCTGGGTGGACCTCTTGCACAAAGGGAGAGGCAGGGTCCATGTCAAAGGAGGAGGAGGAGTCGTAGACTGGGGCTTGAGGAGCGCCCATGCCGTAGAAGAAGTCCATACCGCCAGGGGATGAGGAGTAGGACGAGGCATACGAGTCTGGATAGCTGAAAGGGGATTGCATGTCGGGCGACGAGAAGGAAGAGTACGAGTTGGAATGGGGCTGTGGTGAGGAGGTCGATGACAACGACTGTTTGGAGAGGGGAAGTGGGACTGGGATGGACTATGGGGGTTTTAAGAAGAACGAGTTAGGGCCATGAAGAGAACAGATTGGGCGAAGGATTCTAGAAAGCAACTAGCGTGGCCTACCATGGTGGGATTTGAGACGCCGGTGTGTAATCCTTCGAGAGTGATGTACAGAGTACAGCTATGCAGAACTGGGGAATTTGGGGGCCAAGTTGACTCGATGGTAGAAGTGAGAAGTGGAAAGTGAAAGTGAGAAAAAACAACACATGTGGTGTTCCCCCTTGCGCAAGCGTCTTTCTTATGTATTATTTTAGTTCCAGCTGTTGTCCAGCGGCCAGCTGGACGTACGATAGCGGCTCTCTTCCCTCAACTCCACCTAGTTTGACCAAGTAACCAAGTAACTGGACCACAACAACCCCCCGGCTCCAATACGAAGTCATCTGGCGTTGATGGGGGGGGAGGAAAACAAGTCTCTGACTGGTCTAGTTGATCGGGGACAGCCTCATCGAGAGGAATTGAGGACCCCCGAGTGGTCAACCAGTCGACTCAGCCCCCGCCTTCAGCATCGTCATTCGAGGATCATTGCGGGAATTTACTGCATTCATGCCGGGATTCTCGTGCATTAGGGCGGGTGGAGGGCTTCCAGAGGGGCTTCTCGAAATTCTGGAAACCTTCTAGCGTACACGGCCGAAGATCCACTCTAGTGTGTATCTGTGGTATCTGGCGGGGTGTCATTGGGGGGGAAAGGCCTGATGCAAGGGTTGCCAAGCCAAAGAGGGGGCGGCTCGAGGGTGTCCGAGTTAACCCAGGTTGAGAGGAGATCAAACCCCAAGGATTGGTCCGAATTATACGCTAGCAAGGTGGCCTTTTGTGGTCAGACCGCAACAAGTGGGTTGGGCTGGGTTGAGGAGGGAGGGGGGGGGCTGGCGTCAGTCCTGCATATTCGCTTCCCCCTCATGGAAAAGGATCATCGGATCCGGTGGTTAGCGTGGTCGGCCCCTTCTGGAAGGCTTCTAGCGGGAGGGGCCAGGAGTCTGTCCGTTTTTTGAGGCGGGTTTCACAAGCTGCACTGCGATGCAGCTCGTTCCAGGGCTGCACCATATGTTCAGCTGGGACGTGTGGTGATGCACCCTGTGGTGTTGTATATGTATGGACAAGTCACCCTACGGTATGTGCTGTATACAGTATTGCCAACTTGAATGTGTGTTTCTGTCAACTTCAAGTCCAGTCACAGGCCGAACGAACCCACCTGCAAGGCTGAGTCGTTAAATCGGCAAGACTGTGCCGGGAAGAACGTCATTTGCGATCCGGCGATCTCTGGTGCCAAGCCACTAGAGGAACGAGGGGAACAAAAGGAACAAAGTGAACCAGATAAACCAGGTAAAACGAATCAGCACGAACCTGGGGATCATAGACGAACACTGGCACACAACGCACAGCCCCTTCTAGCGGCATTCTAGAAAATCCCGCATTGACGGCTAGTGTCTGGAGCCTGCATTAGTCGATTACTCGACCAGTCACCATTGGGACGTGTCCTGGTGGGAACTCGCTGACTGGTCGGGGATGTGGTGGACATGGTGAACATACGAGGACCAAGACACGGGGCGAGTGCATGCCGATGGGCCCGAGGTACTTGGACCTCAGCAGGTACGAAGTACGAAAGATGTAGAAGTACTGACTAGTGTGATACCCTGGTAGCCGGTACCTGTCAGAGAAGTGCCCAGCTGATACCCCAGATCCCAAGACTCCCCAAGGCATATTCTACATCTAATTTTGCATGGCCCACTTCTACAGCTCTAGTTGCATGGAACTCAGAAAGAAAAAGAAAAAGAAAAAGAAAAGACAGTGACAAAGAACCCATCGGGTCTTGAATTGATTCATAACCACGGGTCGGATCGACTCAAAATAGCACAGAACTCCCCGCGGTCCCATTCATTGTACTCGTTGCCCGATACCCAAAACAAAGAATAGTTCAACCACTCCGAACGCAAGAGCGGGACCCGTGGCCAAGTTGGTAAGGTAAGTAGCGGAGGTAAGGCGTGAGATAAAGAAACAAAGTGAAAAAGAAAAAGAAAAGTGGAGGATAGAGAGAAAAAGTAGCAAAGAGACAAAGGTGTAAGACGATAAACAGATCCAACAACTCCCTCGAGTTCCCGCCTCGATCGATGGGGGGGTGCCTTTTTATCCATGACCACACTCACACACACACTCTCAACACATATCTAGTGCTGCCCGGCTCTCTACAGATCTTCTTCCAAAACGGGAATAAATCAATACCGAGACGGCGTATGGGTCGTGTGGAGGCAAGAAACAACAAAAACAGGGGGAGAATAAGGAAAGGATAGAGAGACGGGGGGAGAGCGGGAGGGAGAGGGGGACCGGAGAATATCACAGGACGTTTCATAATTCGTCCTCCAGATATTTGTACACGAACTTGAAGTCAGCCTTGCGCCGGTTCATCCTGTCGGGCACTGTGGTGAGCACGTGTTGCGGAATGGTCTGCCTGGCGGATACAGGAGGCGGAGATCTTTGAACTAACCATGTACTTTCGTAGTCGAAAAACCGGTAGGTGCCCTGCTCGAACTCCTCCGTGATGTTCTTTGGCTCCTCGTGTCTTTGGAACCACGTCTGGTATTGCTTATGGAAGCGCCAGCTCTGGTTCTTCAATGCCTTGGCGGCCAGGTACTGTTGATACGTCCCTTGGCGATAATAGAACAGGTAGAACAACGTGTCCGTGTCAATCCGTCCGGTATCGTACAGTCGGGGGTCGTCGAATATTGAGAGGGGCTCTTGGGGGTAGTAGAGGGGGGTGTTGTACGGGTTCTGCGGCTTGTAATGACGTGGCTTCTCGGCATCACCAGCCTCCGGGCAGGTGGTGAGTGATGTCGCTAGCAATCGTTGTACGGCAGGTGATGAGTGGATGGTGGAGCGTTCCTTGGTCAGTTCGAATGATTGGGTCAGGTCTTGCAGACTTGGGGGGTAAGTGATATATTGACTCGGCAGCATCGGCCTCGCTTGCTTCCCTTGTTGTTACTCTGCTGTTTTTCCTTGACGTGTCCTTACTCGTCTCAGCTTTCTCGATAGGTGCAGGTGATGATGTACCGGAGATGGCAGCACCACTGGGGGCCTTCGATCGACCTGCAACGGCAGCGGCAACAGCAACGGCAGGTTCATCAATCGACGTAGCAGTTGCCACGGCTGGCGTTGGTTTGGAGATCGGTTGCACAGACGCCACGATTGGCGAGGCCGTAGAGGAAGCCTTGCCGGTGGGCAGGACATGAGAGAACGCAGGGCTAGTACCGGGTGGTGGGGGCAAAGGTAGAATTCCCACTCCGCTTTTATCTGCTGCCGCAGCAGATGCCGCAGCTGAGGCATATTTCAACGTTTCTCCAGGTAGACGAGTTGGGAGCGGTGCTGGTTTCATGCCCGGTCCCCCATTGGAGGATGTGGAGGGATGAAGGGTGGCGAGGACAGGGAGAGGAGACTTCATCTGCGCAGACGGGCGACGGGCCGTTGTAGGTTCGGGCTTGGGCTTGGGTTTGGGCTCCGGTTCTTCGTCCGGAAGGGACTGGGCATCTTGCGATGATAATGGATCGTCGCCGGCGCCAAGCTGACCCTCTACTTCGTCGCCGATATTCAAGTCATCATATAATGTCTCATCTTCTCCGCAGTAGTCAGGGTTGTGCCCTTCCTCAACGTAGTACTTGATACCCTCATTGAGATCTTGGACTGCGCCCACGTCGAGATTGCCATTTTGCAAGGACCGAAGCAAGAACTCAAGCTTGTTGACGTGCCACTTATGGCGTTCCGTTACTCGGGAGATATCGGCCATGCGGTTCGCCTTCGACATATCCTTCTTACCCTTCTTCATCTGCGCTTGTAGGGTCTCCTCTTCCGCCTCCATGGCTTCGATCCTCAATTGAAGGTCATCCACCATCGACGACAGGAAATCACACGCCTCCACTTTCTCCTTCTCCTTGGGATCAAGTCGGGAGGCTGCTGAGAGACCCTCTTTAGAGTAGGCTTTCGTCTTCATCTCCTTCTCGACGGCCTTGAACTGCTCCATACACTGTTTGAGATTGTTAGCCGCCGACTCTGAAGGAACGGGGGATCACTCAATGGTAAGACCCACTGTCTCAATTGCTTTCCGCTGCTCTAGCAGCGGAGCCTTGTCCTTGACCTCATTGCCGGCCGCCCATGACTTGATTTGATCCCGAAACCTTTGTAGCTTCTTAATTTCGCGCTTCAAGTTCTCCTCGAGCTTGTCTCGCTGAGTGGGGTTGTTGGCGGAGCGGATCTTCTCGTATATGCCTTCGAATGTTTGGATGCCTTCGGCGACTTTTTTGAAGGTCTTTTCGATCTCTTGTTGCGTTTTACGAGACGCCATGGTGCATTCGACTGGGGGTGTGGACTAGGGTGGTCCACTGGGGTGATGATGCGGTGGGGGCGGAGTTGTAGTTCTTCGTGTGCAACCGAGGGGTGAATGGTTGCACAATCAATGGATAGAAGAGAGCTGTCTCTGGATAGGTTGTGGACCAGCTTGAAACCAGGAGTCGCGGCACGCCAGAGGGTTAAATGTAGATTGCAGCTGGATTGGAGGTCCGCTTGGCTGGAGAATGTTGGGTTGCCGGGTTGGGCAGGCGGTCTGGAAGGCAGTCGCCGATGGATCAAGAGGCAAGTTCCAAAGTTTGGTTAGTTTCTTGTTGAACACTCTTGAAATGCTGCTTCAATTTAATCCGACAACTGGGGAATTATTCTGAGACACCGCGATCACTGATTAATACCACTACCTCCCAGAGATATTGTTGATTTCGCGATTTGACTTGTGCCACGTCTAGGCCGCCCGAGCTCAAGCTCGAGCTCAATCTTCCCCGCGGAGTTTGTGTCCACACAGTGAATAGCAGGCAACGCGAACAATGAAAGGTGTGTCGAATGTGGGTTGTGGGTTGTGGAAATCCAGTGTGACACCAAGCTAACCGGTTAGTGATTATCCAAAGAGTCAAGTCGGCCTCGGTCACAGTGGACGAAGAGTTGATCTCCTCCATTGGCAAGGGACTGTTGGTATTGACTGGGGTGGGGAAGGAGGATACTGAGAAGGAAGCCGAGAATATCGTCAACAAAGTCCTCAAGGCCAAGTTCTGGCCGGACGAGAACGGCAGTCAAGTAAGAATGCGCGCGCCGAGTGGTCTCGAGGAGTATTGGCATTTCTATCTCGGCCAGTGCTGACGGGCGACTCTAGTGGAAAAAGAACGTGCAGGAAATTGAGGGTGAGGTACTCTGTGGTAAGTCTACCTTCATCTTCCCTTTCATGAACTCAACTTAACTCCATCTAGTCTCCCAGTTCACTCTCTATGGCAAGATGAAGAAGGGCAACAAGCCTGACTTCCACGATGCGGCCGATGCCGTCACCGCGCGCCGAGTCTACGACCACTTCTACAACAAAATGCGAGAATCATACAAGGAAGATCGGGTAAAGAACGGAGTCTTCCAGGCCATGATGGAAGTCGAGCTGAAGAATGATGGGCCGGTGGGTGTTGACTACACCAGTGAAGACGCAGTGGTAACTTCATACCTTGTCTTTCTGGCTCCTCCCAGCGCCCCAGCGCCTCATGGAATTGGAGAACTAACGGAGACAACAGGTTACGATCGAAATAAATACGAATCTCCCTAAGAAGGAGCCGAAGGAGCCCAAACCGCCCAAAGATGAGGATAAAGACAAGGATAGTAGCAGTTCAGGCACGACGCTTGAGTTCACGATTCCGCCGGAACTGCTGGCATAAGAAATAAAAGGATGCGATGAATGATGAAGAAATGAAGGAATGTCAAAAATACCATCTGTACTGTATATATTAGTATATAATAGACAACTGTTCAAAGCATCATGTGTAGTCAAGTAGTCAAGTATACAAAGGCTGCCTGCACCGCCCGTGGAAGCTTCCTGAATCACCCCAATTTCACCTCTCCACCTTCACTTCCACCTTCACTTCCACCTACACCTGGGCACTTCCTTCTCACTCCCCCCACTTTACTCTCTCCACTTCATCTCATTCCGAGATCCATTCCTCCACTTCTCTTTCGTCCTCTTTTTCTTCCTCCCATTCACTTACAGTACTGCGCCCGCTCCTCGCACTTACACTCACCATGGCGGAATCCCAGAGTGCGTGTCCCACTGCGGGGTCTGCCGATCAGCCCGCGCGCAGGAATTGAATTGTCTCTTGCTGACCCCTCGTTAGAACGTTCTCGTGTCTTTTTCGACATTGAAATCGGTGGCGTCAAGGCTGGCCGTGTTGCTTTCGAGCTGGTAAGCTCTCTCCTCTCTCATTGTCACCATCGGGAGCTTCCCAGCTAACTTGCGCCTCACTTTAGTTCGACGATGGTACGATCAAACTCCGCTCCAACCGATTGACCTCCCAACTAACCCTAGTAAAATCCAGTGGTCCCCAAAACCGCAGATAACTTCCGTTCCCTTTGCACTGGCGAGAAGGGCATCGGCCAGCAGGGCAAGCCATTGACCTACAAGGGTACGTCGAAATACTTCTTTCGCCGCAATGTTAAGCGCACCTTCACTAAACCAAGGCAGGTTCCATCTTTCACCGTGTGATCAAGCAGTTCATGATCCAGGGTGGTGACTTCACTGCCTTCAACGGTACCGGTGGTGAATCGATCTACGGCGAAAAGTTCCCCGACGAGAACTTCGATATCAAGCATGACCGTCCTTTCCTGCTCTCCATGGCCAACTCTGGGCCCGGCACCAACGGCAGTCAATTCTTCGTTACCACCGTTCCCACCCCCCCACCTCGATGACAAGCACGTTGTCTTCGGCGAGGTCATCAACGGCAAAAGCATTATTCGCAAGATCGAAAATATGCCCACTCAGTCCGACAAGCCCAAGGTCGACGTTACCGTGGTGAACTGCGGTCAGCTCTTCGGCGAGGAGTACGAGAATGCCAACAAGCGCATTCAGGACGCGACCGGTGACCCCTACGAGGACTTCCCAGAGGACCACCAGGGCGAGGAGCTGACTGCTCCTCTGGGCTTCAAGATCGCTTCGGACCTCAAGGGATTCGGCAATGCTGCGTTCAAGAGCGGCAACCTCGAGCTCGGCCTGGAGAAGTACCAAAAGGGCTTGCGCTGGCTGAACGAGTTCCCCGAGCCCGGCGAAAATGACTCCAAGGAGCTCGGTGAGCAGATGACTGCTCTGCGCTTTACCCTACACTCCAACTCGTCGCTTCTCGCCAACAAGCTTGGTCAGTTCTCGAACGCTAAGACCTGGGCTGGGTATGCTCTGAAGGTTGCGGATACCACCGACAGCAAGGACAGTGACAAGGCCAAGGTTTATTACCGCCGAGCTCTTGCCTATGTCGGTCTGAAGGAGGAGGATAATGCGCTCAAGGATCTCACGGAAGCTTCCAAGCTGGCGCCTACTGATGTGGGTATCACGAACGAGATCGCCAAGGTCAAGAAGGCTGTCAAGGACCGCGAGGCAAAGGATAAGAAGGCTGCCCAGAAGTTTTTCTCCTGATTTACTCTCTGGTATTTATAGCTCTCTATGCCATACGATTCATGAAGTATCCTTTTTTCCTTCTCTGTTTATCTGTGAAGCATGATGTATGATACTAGTAATCGCATCACTGGGCGATTCCATTTGCCCTCTGAGATTTCTGCTTCTATTTGCCTTCCTGATTCTCCATGAATGTGTAGTATTTTCCTTAATCTAATTGAGGTCGAGGCTACATGCGGCGCTCCATAGCCGTAATCGACCCAGCGTTCCAAGGTTTCTTCTAGGGCAACCAGATCCTAACGATCAACGTACAGAGTATATCACAACCAGGTAGGATACTTAGTAAAAAAAAACGGTAACACTGTCGCCTTGGGAACTTGAAGCGATTGGATTCTGGAGACCAGCATGAGCTACTTTTCCCGTCGTCCTCAGCTGATTGTCTATACCTTTCTCAAAAGGCTCCCTCAGGAGATATGGATCCAAATCCTGGGCCTAACCTCGCTCTCTGACAGAGCGTCCGTGGTGGTCGCGTCTCGGAGCCCACGACTTTCCTCTGAGGGGTCATTATTGATATTGATAACCCGGGCCATCCGATCTAGGCAACAAGGTGTCAGCCGATCAGCCAATGTCCTTCAATCCCAGCTGAACCGCAGCAAAACTCCGCCACAACGAGCCACTTCCGAGATTACCATACAACCATTCAATTCGATATCTACCGTAGACCCTCTCCTGTCCTTGTTTCGACCCATCGCTAAATCTATCTCTATCCCATAACCACAATATAATATGTCCGAACGAGTCCGACGAGGGAAATATGCCCGGTTGATATGTCGGGGCTGTCGATCCCGGAAGATCAAATGTGTGCTGCCTAGTGTACACGACCTGGGGCCCTTGAATACCCCCCAGCCAATAGAGAAGTGCTGCGACCGGTGTCGAAACCTCAACTTGGAATGTGTAGTGGATTATACATTGCTCGGACGGCCTCAATCCAAACGCAGTCGGCTCCAAAGCTCGGAAGATAGAAGTCCAAACACCCACTCGGATTCTGTGCCCGAGGAAGGTATTCCAGTCATTTCGAGTTTGGATATCCAAGACTTTCTCTTCGCCGATGAGGGAGATGGCATTCTATCTCAAGACCACCAACCTGATCTCGCTCGCTCGACGCGAAAAGAAGAGATATTTCAATCCATGATTCAGGCGAATTATTTCTTCATCTCGGTCCTGGCCAAAGACCGCGCGTTCGGCGCTGACATTCCCCATGCGACCTCAAACTGGAACACACCTCTGCCGGATCTGATCAGTCATGAACTGGCAGCATCCTTCGATGAATGGTAAAGCTTGATTTCTCTATGAAAAAAACTATATGAACGACTACGTGGCGGCGATGCTGACAATGACTATCAGCTTGGTTTGGCATCGGCTCTTTCTCCCAAAACTGCCCACTCTCGTCAATCTCCGGACTCGTTTAATTTCGGATGAATCTGCCACCTCCACCAATTGCGCGACAAGGCTGCTGTTTGCACTGCTTTGTGTGGCTGGCTTCGAACTCCATCGAAATATCTCTCGCGAAGACTGGCGATTAAAACAGAAATTGCAACTAGCCGTATCCTTCTATGGCCAAGAGTTCATGTTCTCTCCGCCCACTCACCATGATTCGGTCGTCGTCTCTCTTTTCCTATCCGACTATAAGCCAACAGCTTTGGCTACCATGCAAGGAATCGCACACAAGACAATAAAGTCAGAGATATACATTAACATCGCATATGGCGTCTTTCACCGACTGGAAGCAGTAAACGGAGAGGGAAACCAAGACCTCAGCAGACTAAATGCCGCAGACTATGAAACATTTGAAAAGTGCCTCTTTGACTCCATTCAAGGAATTCAGATGGTTTCAAATCATGCAACAGTAGACGGTCTGATAAAGAAACCACTTCAAAGTCTACGCCATTTGACCGTTTACATGAAAACCCGCGTTGACGTGTACCAAAATGCGCTGAAAGTCCGCCAGTGCACGCCACGGGCGATCTATCACATTCAATGGGCGACATCAACCTACATCCTATTCCAAATGCTGGCAGAAGCCAAACAGAGCCTGCATGATCCGGGCCGCTTCATCGAGCTTACAGAAGAGACTGAAAAAAGATGCTTGGAACAGATCAACTACACGAAATCTCTACTTGCTGTCGTGCAGTACGGCGATAACGAGGAAATAGCGGCCGTGCGCTCCTTACTAGAGCTTCGCTTTCACACAGTGCAGAACTGGATAATCGCATTGGGATTTCTTTACACGTCAAGTCTAGGGACAAGATCGCAAGAAGGAGGAGGAGCCAATCGGAGGAATTCGGACATATGTCGCGACGAAACCATTCAAATCACCTCACAGATCACGAATATCTTGAAAAGGCCAGAGGAGCGGTCGAATGACTACTTTAAAGAGTATCTGGAACGTTACGGCTCGGCCTATCCCGACGAATTATCCTCGATTCTAGAGAAGTTCGTCGGATGTTCAAAGCTGAAGCTGCACGGCATTGATTTCCACCCGCCGCCGAGGTATATCTGCCTGGAAAACGTAATATTTTGCAAAAACATCCTCGAAAATAATATCGTCCAGATCAAATGCTCTGGTCACCTGCAGTCAGGGTTTTGCACCCAACTTGGTCTTTTCCAGAAATGCGCCGAGGCCCTCGCCAACATGGCCTCGTCGTCGATTCTTACCGTTGACGCTGCCTTCGCCGGTGGGTGCATTTATGCAATGAGTAGCAAGATCGTCTTCGGACTCCTGGGACTGATGAAAAGTTTGCAAAACGACTTTAAGTCTTCGGCGGGCAAGGGAAATATTGAACTGGTAGATGCCATTATTGCATCAGCGGAGTATGATGGGTTACCTAGTGTTGATCTTGATCAGTTCCAGTTCCCGGAGAAGATGGACTCGGAAGTTTGGCCTTCTGCTGAACCTTTCGGTCAGGTGGAGGCTTTTTCAGATTCGTTTGATTGGACTTCCTTGCTCAATCTTGATGGTTCTGAATTTGAAGTGGAAAATGCAGCTTGGTTGGGTGGTAATCTTGCGTAGCTGGGAGATGTTGAAAATATATAATGATAGTGTATCACGATCTGCCTACTAGTATTGATGATGCACACCGGGAATGATAGTAATGGTAGACTTGAATGAAATACTAGTATCACCGTATTTCTTCCCAACTTGAATCCAATACCGAGCTATCATATCTGTTACTCGAATGACTACTAGTATCTCCTACTAGTAATTATAAACTCACTACTAGCCGCGGCCTGTTTCTGCAAGAAATTGTTCGTATCGCGTCCTGCAATTCCGACGCCACGACTTGCCCCAGATAATCATAGGAATGCCAAGCAAAATCGAGAGAACCACAAGTATCCCGAAGCAAGTAAAAGTCCAGCCATAATTAGTGGCATTGATAAATGGCTGCACGGAGTACGAGATAGCGAAATTGATCAGAGATGAGCAAATGGCGAGTACCACAACAAGCTCGCCAGATATCTGTATAAGAATTAGACAACACCACACGAATGGAAGAAATTGTGATAGGAACTCAAAGACATACCCCATCAAAACACTCCATCGCATACGCCGTTGCAAGACTGGTGATCGACACTTGCTGGGCGATCAAGCAGCAAAGCGCGACTGCAATAGCCATCCAATGTGAGCCATTTGTCGCAGCCCACCCGTAAAGAAAATATCCAATAGCGCCGAAAATGAAAGGAAATATGTATGTCCAGAGGCGCATCTCGGGCTCCTTGTAACCTTTGTTTCTCCGCGCGAGGACAAGCACTACCCAGTCGGATAAAGAGCCGACACCCATGCCGAGGAAGTTCCCAACAAGAGCGGCGAGAAATATCAAACCGGTAGAACCAGCGCTCCAGTTATAAGGCGACTCAGTCATGATTTCCGATATAGTGTTGAAAGAAACAATCCCTGCTGTACAGCCAAATGCGAACTGGATTCCGGCGAGGACAATGTTTGGAAAGGCAAAGAGATAGAATGGCCGGCGGAAATATTGAAACCAGGTTGTTTTGTCGTCGGCAAAATGATGAACCAGGGCGATCTTCTGGAGATAGGTTCTCGGGAGGATTTCTTCACCCTCACCCTCACCATCGCCGGCCGGATCTGAGACAGATGGCTCGAGCTCTTTCTCTTTCTCCGCATCCTCATTCCTTCTGGTTGGGTCTGCGTCAGAGAAGCTATTAAATCGATACCGCGGAAACATTGTATCATCGAAGGTAAAAATGAATAATAAAATCAATACGCCCTTTGCATAATTAGTTGAAGAACAGGCAATCAAAAATAGATAATACTCACACATGCGATGGCAACAATAGGCGAGCTCCAACGCCAACCAATTCCGTCAGAGATGTATCCGCCTAGAATAAGACCAAGAATCGAGCCGAGTTGCTGGAAGAAAATGTATATCGCAACCATGCGACCCCGCTCATGCGTGAAAAAGATGTCAAAGATCTTGAAGAAGATTAGCGTCTCATTTTCATTATTAAACCCGAGGAGCTCACAGTCAGTTGGATTAAAGCCTGGTAAGCTGCAGTTCCAACACCTTGAATAGCCAGCATAATGTAGTACTGCGCAGTCCCAGTATAATACTTACCCCAGACACTGCCACCGACAAGAAGTAGTAAACTCAAAATGTATACGATCTTCCGGCCAACTTTCATTGCAGTGGGTATCCAGATTATGTTGAAGAACCCAAGAAGAAGATAATTCAAGGCTGAGCCGCCGTTCATGTTGGTCAAGCTGACGCCGGTATCTTCTGAGATCAAAGTCCAGCTGGCTCCCCAGTTGTTCTCACCGAATGAGAAAACACACGCATACATTGATATGAGAAACAATGACCAGAGTTTCTTGAAACGTGGCCAATTCTGAGAATTTGTTGTTAGGTAATTTGATCTATAGGAGATTTCAGTGCTGGTCTCACCAAAGGATCGGCCTGGGATCTGGATGGTTGCGGTATGAGAAGAATGTCTTGTCCTCCTGCATGAGCGGCATTTTGTAAGGCATTTGATGCTTGAAAGAGCTGTTAACATAATTATCTCAATAGGAAGGGGATTTTCGTAGCGTACTGTCTACCAGGTACACGGTGCCAGGGACATCAGTGTGCTGATCATCGAATGGAGCCATAGTGATTTCCAGGGCTGAAACCTTGGAAATTATTGCAAACCCCCACCCCACGGCGGGTGCTGATTTTATATCTCTTTGATACGACTCGGAGTTCACTCAGAAGCTGGTTATCGAGGGTTTCACTGGTAGTATGTAACGGTCAGTGTACCCATGAGCCAATCACAATCGGCTGGCTTGCGACCATCATCCTGCATTTGGGATAGTGAGAACAAATTGTGAGGGGTAGAAAAAACATGAAGCTCCAAGCGAGGCAATCAAAGATTTTCCAATGTCAGAAATGGCCGGCGCTGAGATTTCCCGACCGTGAATGTGATACCAATAGCAGCGATCACCACAGGCGGTGCGGAGTAGCTTCCCCAGGTTTGAGGGGTAGGAAGGTCCACGCGGCAAGCCTCTGACGCCCGTTGATAAGCTTGCATATTAGCGCCTATTGATGTGAAGCGACAAAGGAAATCTTTTATTTTCATTCAAGCGATGGCCCTCTCGGTAAATCCCCCAAGAAATTCAACCAGCAGTGCTATCAAAATGACCACCTCATCGCTGAACGAATCGTCCTCCATCTTAATCGTCGGCGCAGGAACATGGGGCTGCTCAACTGCCCTTCATTTGGTCCGACGAGGATACAAAAATGTCACCGTATTGGATCCTTATCCTGTGCCATCGTCCATCGCTGCTGGGAATGATGTGAATAAAATCATGGAGCATAAGGAACTCAAAGGTACGAATGACCAGAACAAGACCCGATCGGGCCAGTACAAAATGCACCCACTAACAACATTCAGGGCCCGATACAGATTCCAGGGGTATCGCATTTGCTACTTGCACACGAGCTGCTCTGGATGGTTGGACAAATGACCCTGTCTTCAAGCCATACTTCCACGAGACCGGGTTTATTGTTTCTGGGAGCACGCCTCAGATTATCCAGCATATCAAACAAGAGGATATCGAGACATCCAAGGGTGACTTCATTGCACTTGAAACAGCAGAAGATTTTCGCAAGACGATGCCATCAGGTGTATTGACCGGTGACTTTCCCGGGTGGAAGGGCTGGTTCAGCCAGAAAGGAGCAGGGTGGATTCATGCTCGAAAGGCCATGGTCTCCGCATATACAGAGGCGGAACGCATTGGTGCAAGATTTATCACAGGCACTCCCCATGGGGATGTGGTAGCTCTAGTATACGAGGCGGGAGATGTCATCGGAGCCCGAACTGCAGATGATGTTGTCCACCGTGCAGACCATACAATTCTTGCGGCGGGTGCTGGTAGCGATCGTCTGCTGGACTTCAAGAAACAGCTGCGGCCTACTGCCTGGACTTTAAGTCATATACAAATGACAGCAGAGGAGTCGCAGCTATATAGAAACCTTCCCGTTCTGTTCAATGTCGCCAAGGGCTTTTTCATGGAACCCGATGAAGATGAACACCAGTTAAAAATCTGCGACGAGCACCCGGGATACTGCAACTTCATTCAGGATCCTAACAATGCCGGCGAGATGAAGAGTATCCCGTTTGCGAAGGAGCAGATTCCGCTCGAGGCTGAGGCTCGTGCTAGGGAATTTCTACGTGATACTATGCCGCACCTTGCTGAAAGACCATTTGTATTTGCTCGTATCTGCTGGGACGCTGATACCCCGGATCGAGCATTTTTGATCGATCGACATCCTGATCACTCATCTCTCATTGTTGCCGTAGGTGGATCTGGGAATGGAGCGATGCAAATGCCCACCATTGGAGGCTTTATTGTAGACGCTTTGGAGGGGAAGCTACAGAGGGAGCTGAAGGACGTTGTGCGCTGGAGACCCGATTTGGCAGTGAATCGAGACTGGAAGTCTACGCAAAACAGGTTCGGCGGACCGAATAGATTGATGGATTTTCAAGATGTGAAGGATGATGAGTGGACTCAAATTTAGGAACTGGACTACCAGGAGTCTATTCACGTAACTAGTATAGCTATTCACGTAACTAGCATAGACAGGAACTGAATGATTCATTTGCAGAGAATGTTGAAATACTATGATAGCCCTTTATCAGCTAATCAGCCGTCATGGCACATGCGCCCATCTCTCTTTTCACAACCTCGGCTTCGGGCCGAATATCAAAGTCAAAAATATCCATTGGCACCGCAAGAGTAGTACAAGCGTTTGGTATGTCCACGATTCCAGCGATATGTCCCTGGACCGGGGCACAGCTCAGAAGCAAATAGATCTGGTAATCGCTATATCCGTAGCGGCGAAGATACTCGATCACCCGTAGACAAGTCTGTCTGTACGCGACTGTAGCATCGAGATAATGCTGCTTTCCATTCTCGTCGACCGAGAATCCTTCGAAAGTGAGATAGCGCCCAGGACCAAACTGCGGCTCGACGGGTCCAGCGTTGAAGATTGGCGATTTCATGTCTAGCTTCGCCATGCCGTTCTTGATCACGGTGAACTTGAGTGTGATCTCGCCGGCCATTTCGATGGCACCACAGAAGGATATTTCGCCGTCTCCTTGCGAGAAGTGCAAATCTCCGACGGAAAACTTCGCGCCAGGGACGTGGACGGGTAAGTACACTTTTGAGCCACGGGAAAGGTTCTTGATATCGCAGTTGCCGCCATGCTCGGGACGTCCCTGAAATTCGATCAGTATCCGTTCGTATATAGTGCGAAACGATTCCACTTACTGGAATGGTTCGAGCTCCTTCTCTCGCGACCTTCGCCTTAATTTCATCCGCAGCGCTACCCGCATGAGCGTTCAGTGGGTTGGGAGGCTGCGCAACAATTCGATCTTCGACCGTATTCGTTGCGATCAGCTCGCCTTCACGACGGTTCCACTCCGCAAGGACTTCGGCGAGGGGGCACACCCTAAGATGCCGGGGTGTATCAATCCCGCGAAACGGACATGCGGAATGTGCCGGGAGGAACAGAAGATGCCCTCAAAGTCCCATATGGCCTTTGCGCTACCAGCTGGTCAGTAATTTCCGTTCGGTAAATGATATCATGGGTTCTCACGCTTTGGGGTATAGCTGATCCAGGAAGCCTCCTCCATTCTTATGATGAAACACTCCTGTGAATCCCCATGGCTGGTCCTGGAATGGTTGCACATCCTGGATTTCGACCAACAGCACATCGCCTGGCTCGGCTGTTTCAATGTCGAAGGGGCCGGAGAGGTAGTGAATCTGTGTAAGATCTACATTCTTTACGTCCTCGGCCGAATCATTATTTCCGATTTGCCCACCCGTCCAGTCGAGACACTCAATCTTTACAACCTCGTTGTTCGCGATCTTTCCACAAGAAGGAACTGGCACATAGGTTAGCATCACGGTATGGATAGTTTCTTTCTCAAAGGCTCATCGTGAGTCGTGACATACCGTCTGGGTGCCAACGGTTCTGTCATGCATGTGCCTGTCAGTCATTGCCGGCTTTTGATCATTCGCATCAATTCTTACATGTAGACCCGGCTGATCTCTTGCCGGCTTTTCAAGATCAACCTTTAAAGCAGTGCGGATGCCCTTGATACCCATGTTCAAAGATGCGACGTTGTTTGGGAAATGTGGTGTAGGTGTAGACTAATAATGGCCGCGGCTCCTAGGATGAGACAGCAGCGAGCGAAAGGAGTTCGAAAGAGATTCGAAAGTAACAGCAAGATACTGTGAGAAGATAACAGAGGATAGGAATTGGGTGCGGAGGAGACACAGATAAGAGCCAGCTTCTCCGCAGAGGGGTAACATCAGGTAGACAGGGATGGGGCGTCCCCCCGCTCGAATAGGTTTATCTCCACGGTCAATGCTCTCCGCCTCTTTCGTATTAGGTACAACACAAAGAGAAATTCTTATTTGCTGAGAATTCCTGTTTATCGCAACCAGGGAGCTAGGCGATCCCCGGGCGTGTAGACACATTGTGAACACTCCCATATGGGTGCGCGAAAATGCGTCACTCCTAGTAGTTGTAACTACATGGCAGCAACAGTAGCGGATTTCTCAACAGTAATCTTCCCATAGAATTCCCTCAGACCCCGTTCTACTCATCTTACATGCAATCACTTTTATTCAATTTTTTAAGGATTTTTATTGTTGAAAAAAGTGTTTTAAAAGACTCAAAAACAGTAGTTTTAGAAGTTCTGGCTTTTGATTGGTCCTTACAGGTAGATACTAACTGAAATAGTATGATTGGTGGATGGTGGTGACAATAGTGTAGGCCCCGCTATATATCCCGATCACGTGATAAAATGGGTTCCAAGGTAACCGCGCCCATCCCCCGCAGTTGAGGGCAGATCTATTGTTCTTAATTCCATGTTCACTCAGGAATACCGAAAGCGGACTGTCAATGTGAACACAGATCTACAATTCAATTATAGACATGAACGTGTAGTTCTGTCGCTATTATGTTCCGAATATCCGGTCTGCTTTATGCCAGTTTCCCGAAAGCGATATTGAAAAGAGCTCGGGAGTAGATATGGCCAATGGGTACGCCATGGGTACAGACCCCTGTACGGTCCTTTATCTAAAAGACCTTCTTGCTATCAGATCTAGAAGATGAAGCAGCACCAAGTTGTGTGGCCCTCTCGCGCTTGAGGGTTTGAGGAGCTGCTACTCTCGTTGCGGTCTTTAAGAGCAGCTTCCCCTCAATCATTGTGCTGTGCGACAGGTTATACCTCGGCCTGTGCCCATGGTCTCGATGATGCGACAACTGTGTGCTGCCCGACGTTAGCTACCCTCACAATTGTAGATCTTTTACCATATTGAATTGACGATCTAGCTAGAGCACGTCCCATGAGCTGCGCGAGCACCGCAAAAATATACAATTCACTCGGTGGGCCTCGGCGTCATGGCATCACAGCGGCGTTGTATAAACTATACTAGTAGTTATGCCAGACTCTGTAGAGAACATGAACGTCCCTCGATAATTAGGCATTAATCCTCTGCCAGTGTCGGGTGCAAAAGAAAGTCCGAGTCTCGGGCGCAGATCTCGTCCAGTGGGGAATTGTCATTCTACTCAACATTGTGGGTACTACGTACTGAGTGCCGGATGATGCGGAACATCTGCGATCTTGGATTTCGCAGGGACCAAAGTACTTGCTCTTCCAGGCGGCCTGTTGCCGCCCGTAGCTTAGTGGTATTATATACCTGAGGTAACATGGGATACACAGGTCACAATCTGCGTTGCAGCAAAGTCTACCGTCTTCCCAAGGTGTACTAGCCTTATTCATAGATCAATAGAATCACAGTATTTGAGTCAGGTTAGCTCAGTTTGGGAAGGCGGTAGATCAGAGCAAACGCAGACTTTAGTTGCGCCACTTCGGTATACAATACAATACACTGGGGGATGAAACGCGGCCGCCATGCAGCCCGGCTATCTTCATTTCCTCAGATGCACGAGACTGACCTGACTTGTATCCACAATTCACTCTTAATTACCTGACATGGCTGTGGAAAGCCGGCTTTTCCAGCTCTGTTTTCAAAGGATTGATTGATTTACAAAAATACTCAAGAAGCTAAGCGCCCAAGTATCTCTACTTGGATTCTGCCAGTTTTACAATAAAGCAACAAGCTACGAGTACTCTCTTGATCCCCCCACTAGCAAGCACCTTTCGCATTATCGTTGCTGCTGGTCTTCGGGGAATGATCGAGACGTGCTCAAGCTACGGAGTGTCACCCCCAGAATTGAATGGACGGGAACCCTCGCGCCATACTCGGAGCTACGGACTCCACGAGAACCAATTGACGATCTTTAGTTCCTACGCGATACCCGCAATGTTACGTCGATGCTATCCACAATTTCCCCTTTTGTGGGCATCTCTAGGTTGTTTCGGCCCCAACCCCCTTGGAGAGGTCCTGGGAGGGGTTCTAATGTACTTTGTATAATTTCGCCCCCATTTTTTGACGGGTTAGCTTCCATTGCCATTACGTGCTGGTTCGAGCATTCGGAATCATTTTGACACTATCGGTCTTCCGTTGATGCTTAGAGTGTCGGCCCAGTAAAGGGCTGTTGAAAGGAATAAACGACTATATAACATTCGCGATAATGCGAACCATCGTTCCTCAAAATATCGCGGTCGAGCGCCAGGATCGTCTCTCAGGTAAATAACTTTGCGCATCCTTAGTACGGCACTACCGATCGATTCATGATCTTTGACCTATCAAAATGAAGAGCTAAGCGCTTCAAGACTGAGGCTGTCCCACATTGCAAGCCCTTGTTTCTCTTCTTCTCGCGAGCCTTTCAATATTTTATAACTTTTACTACCACCATGACAGCTACTACTCCATTGGCCCTTACCACTACCTTCTCACCACCGCCAGAATGTACCACCGACACATGGTACATTGAGTATGTAACAGGCGAATACTACTACACCACTTCGATTTCAAACAGCCTCGAGGGCTGGTATCTCAGCCAGGGGCCGACGGACTGGAGAAGCTGTTTCCCCTCCGGATATGAGGCAAAGACCGATTTTTACTACTCACCAGGCGTGTGTCCATCAGGCTATTCCATAGCCAGCTCGTCGGTTCTTAGTATTGGAGTTAGTTCAGAGACCCGGGCAACCTGCTGTCCATCGTGAGTTCAATACATACAAAGATGGACGTCTTTTTGATGCGTCCTTTTGTTGACGATTCTCGGTATAACTAGGAGCTTCACTGCCCAAACGGATGACGGTATGGTGTGGTACTCGACCAACCGATGCTTTTCGGGTAATACCGATACGGCCCATGCATGGACTTTCACCAAAGGGGGAACGATATCTAGCAAAACAACCGCTGGTGGACTGAATGCCAAGGCGGTTTTTATTCGATGGCAAGAAACCGACTTCCAGACGCCGGCTACCACCACCGCCACCACCACAGACTCGACCGCGACCAGCACGGGATCGAGCCTAGGACCATCGGCTACGGCGACAACCGCGGCCGCGGCCGCTGACCAGAGTAGCGATTCATCGCAAGGAGGGTCTTCAAAGGCATGGATTGCTGGGCCAGTCATCGGAGCTGTGGTTGCGTGTGCTTTGATCGCGCTCGCCACCACATGGTATAATCGGCGACGCTGGCATCAAAAAGGTTCTACGGGATCCTATTATTCGCCACAACGTCCGCATCATATGGCAGAACTTTACCAAGAACCCAAGGTGGTTGAAGCCCCATCCGGGGCCATTCAGCCAGGACCAATCGAACTTCCTGCCGCACACCATCGATGATGGCGTTGCTTTTTTTAATTTGTCGAGGGCCAATTCGGTCCAAGTCTCGAACAGGAGAATGAGCCGGCCTAAGAGCAAGAGCAAGTGGAATACTCCTAGGCGTTTTGCGACTAGTATCCTGTCTGCCTTTAATCACCTCTATCGTGAGGCTTGTTTGGGCATGTAACCTGGATAATAAATAATCGGATTCTGACATACTTTACTAGTTACCAACTTGAAGGGGGTGACATTATCTAATTTGAAATTGTATATACTTTGAAAAATTATAAGAGTCCATTTTAGCTGGTAGCAATCTTTCTCAACTCCCGGGGTTATTATATACTACTAGAGTACTACTAATAGTACTTGCCAGTGGTTGAGTCATCCATACTACTACTCCATTGTATAGTCCCTAGGTAGAGATGTATTCTGAAGGGACAATCGCGCAGTTCCATCCATAGATCTCGTTCATTGCGCAGTAAGTGAGACTAATAGTACGAGTTAACAGCTGAAATTTGAGATCCAAGGAATTCCTGTCCACCGATATTTCCACTACCCACGCCGTCTCGTTGTGGGTGTGCCCAAGTTACTAGTAAACATCATACCACTTTCCAACTTACCTAGTATCCTACCCAGCTATATACTCAGTACCCTGAAATTTTAAGGTCAAGAAATTTTTATAGGCAGGATAGCTTCACTGAGGGCTGGCAGAGCCTTATAGGGAACACAGATAATTTGGGCCGCTGAAACACTGGGTCGATTACGGCTAGTAATGGAGCGTAGAGTTGCCATCTACCCGGCCGCCGTTTATCTTTATTAGAATAAAGTTTAATCTATGGATGCCAAGCATTGTCAAAATGTCCTAGCCTTGTTATCATGTCTCTAAATTTATTGTCAATATGCCTATTTTCTTTATGGGTTCGACCTTTTGCTTCCCTAGCACAATAAACTACTGCTTCCTCTGTGGTTCTCACGTAAGATTTATAAAACTTTGGGGCAGTAATTGGGATCGAAATAGTCGAAAGAAACTGATATCATCCGCTTCGCTCGTCATCCAGTCCTGGCCTTGAGTCCTTTACCCTGCATTTCCAGGACATATGGAAGAGGTACAGCGTAAAGGACTTGGCCGGTCCTGCGATGTCGCACTCGAAGAGCAGAGCTATGAATCATTCATGGCAATGCATGACATCGTAAATGCGACCCAGACGTTTAGACAGCCAATTCAAATGATAATAAGCATCTATGAGAGCTTTTTGCTCGGGGGATTGGGATTAGCACCATCGTTCTCATCACTGGCGACATTGAGGTTATCAATCTTGTCAAGAGACAATTGCAGGAAGTCATGCTTGTTCGCCCAGGTGACCTGACTTTCCGCAAACCCCTCGCTGCTCGCAGGTGGTGGGGGTGGGTCGGTAATCTTAGTCACAAGATACGCAGTAGATGCCTCCGCCACGCCATACATGAGGACACCAATGAACGGAGTTTTCAGAATCACGGTGAAGCCGAAAGCAAAACCGAAGAGCACGCCCTCACGATCTCTGAACCAGCGTTGCTTTTGTTCAGGGGTGAATTTGACACGACGGAAGTAGGGTTGGAGCTGCAGACTGATTAGACGACGGAGCATAAGTCTGTGCAAGCAAGACAAGGAAGACTCACCAGTTCTCGCATCAGGCTGCGGGATGCGAAGTAGGTATGCAGGAATCGTACAAGGTATGCCTTGGGTAAAACTAAGCCGGCGCAGAAAATGACCGTTGCTGGCATAGACCCGACATGCTTGCTGAAGGTGTAATAACTCGCTGCCGGCAGAATATATCTACCGATATAAGGGAGGCAGGAAATTAGGTATACGCCGACGAGAATACCCACCCTCTTGGCGTAGCGGTTGAGAAAGGCCAATAAAGCCTCCGATTTTGGCGCTGAGCTACCAGGGCCGCCTTTGGTTGGGTACATAACCAGATTAGGGTAGTACATAGCGCGCAGCGTGTCGGGGTTCTCGGACTTGTGCTTTTGGATGTATGTACGGTCTACCCAATAGATCGATTGCATGAAACTTCAGGTCTGTTAGTGATAATCAGGTGGGGTCAAATGACAGTGATAGCTTACATTTCGTCGAGAGTCGGGGTCAGGTATCCCATCAGAGTCATCAACAGGAAAGGCACTTGAAGAACAGACTTTGAAATGAATTCCAGGGCGTTTAAGAGCTTATTGTCCCATGTTGCTTGATTAAGGTTAACCAGAAAAGAGACCATGTAGACAGAAAACTTGACGGTTTGGATCTAGACATCTCACATCAGTAATCAAAAGCTGAGATAGAAGAATGAGGCCGCGTCATACCGGGATTTGAACGATGACCTGAATAGCCACACCAACTGCCACGGCAAGGGCAGCCTGGCGGAAGTGTTCATATTTGAAAAGCTCCGGGTTCGTCAAAGCTCGAACAGCTGAAGTACATATTGGTTAGCTTCTAGAATAGCCAACCACTAACAGGTAACATTGAAAAACATACTTCCAACCACCACGAGCTGGAAGCCGCGGATGACGGCATTGGGCTCGAAATTGGACATTGCCGGGATTGCTTTCTTGGGGGTTAAAATAAGACAGTGGCCCAGATACCCTTCAGCAGGATGAAATTTGGGCAAAGCAAGGGGATATCGTATAGATATGTTAACTGGGAGTTAACGTGATTTGTTTCCTTGTTTCAGGCTCCATTGGAATCGGTATCATGTGACCTGAGCTGCACTAGATCACATGACTGATGTGTATACCTGAGGCGCAAATCACATGCCCCCGCAGGCTTGCAGCGAATCCATTGGGAAGCACGCGAACCCGGGGGGGACCACTTGCGATAAGCTGTTGCTGCCGCTGCCTCAGCCGCAGTCTCAACCTCAACTTGCCCCCTGCTGCTGCATACCCGAATCATAGAGGCGCACCATGCATCGCAAGTGATTTCCAATCCTCATGACCCTATAAATATCCCGTCAAAACCAGCCGGCGATGATGTCCGAGTCTCTGCGCGAGCCCGTGGGTCAAACGCCAACCATCCGCCGTTCGTTCACTCTCCCCACGAAGTTAAACCCGCTGTCGCAACGTGGTTCGGCGCCGCCAGCAAAACTATCGGAAAATGTCATCTTCTATCATCCCTCCGCGAAGATCGTTCATTTCGCGCCCAAGGCCCTCGCCCCGATCCCGTCCAGTTCCGCGCCCGCCGATTTCGACTACCCCGTTGATACCATTGAATCACTCCCATGGCGTTCCGCGACTGAACGAACGGTCGCAACGGCGCCGCTTCGACTCGAACGCGTCCATGGATTGACCGCGTTCCTGAAGTGTGGAAATGTCGTTCACGCGATCCTGAAGAACTCCCAGTGTTGGTGTGTGGATGGCGTGTCCAAATTCGTGCTGCGCATTCGCCCGCTTACCTACTATCGCATCGAAATACCACATGAGACAGAAGAGGACAAGGGGCTAGTTGGGGACCTGAAAGTCGCGCTACCAACCATTCTTCGGTATGAAGTGACGCCTTGTCCTTTCAAGCGCGCATTCACCGTGGAACTACCCGAGGATGCGATGGCACCACGGCGCAAAAGGGCCTGGCGACCCAAAGAGCGAACGGATAGTTTGTATCCTGCCTCGGGAAGCAGTCAAGGGGGGTCGCCTTCCGAAACTCGAACAGAATGGCTAGACTCCGCTAGTACCGGAGAGGACACGGATGGAGGTACAACAGACGACTGTGCATTAGGCCCCCAGAAAAGTAACGGCTCGACATCTGATGCTCTTCCAAACACTGACCAGCCGCCGTCTCCCCTCGACAATATCGAATTTCCGTCCCCACCAAAGCCCATTAGACGATCGGCTACCGAAACTCCCCAGACATTCACCAGCCTCCTAGCCAAATTTGACGCCGCTCCGGTCCCCGAGGAAGGTGAAGCTCCGGAAGCGACACCCATGGGACGGGAAAAATCGGATACCGTGGGTCAGGATGAGCCTACTTCCATCCCACAGGTCAAGGTTGACCTTGCCCCTGGGCCTGCCATCGATTCCCAGGTTGCTACAGATGGTGCAAAACAAGCATTCATTTCTGCGCCTGAAACACAGAGTGTGACGGAATCTATTGCACAGTTAGAATCCACTGCCAGCACTGTCACTCCTGAGCAGCCGCATCATGCCGTACCAGAACCTCAGGCGACGCCTACGACTGCCTCGGAACCTGAGGTCAAGGAGGAGCTTGGAGTCAAAGAGGAGCCCGTGATCAAAGAGGAGCCTGAGAGTCGGACCACTTCTAAAGACGAGACTAAACTAGAAGCGACTGACAATAAGGTATCCGCTTCTGCGCTAAAGACTTCCGAAGTTGCTAGCGCCGACAAAAAGCATGAATCTGCCCCCATTATTGTTGCAGTTCCCACTCTGCCTGGTAACGAGAGTCCTAAAGAACCATCTGTCACCCCGGAGTCCGATGAAAAGGAGTCTATATCCCAATCTCCTTTAGAATCCAATTCTGTGCCCGCGCCTATAAATACGCCTATAATTACGTCTGGAGAAATATCCGAACCGGAGCCCGCACATATTCCCGTGCAGGTACCTGGAACAGGAACGGCATCAGAATGCGACACTACACCCGCGCGTGTACATACACCTGTTGCAAAGGCTGAGCCAATATCTATACCTGCGTCTGAACCAGAGCCAGAAATGGAAGCCGACCCCGATCACGACAGTTCATTCTCATCCACGCCGGATTCTTTCCATTCAGTAGACCCGTCATCGCCCTCCGATTCTGTTTCAACGCATACCCCCTCGATGGACGTACAAATGCCGGAAATTCATAATTGCAAGAAGGAAAATAAAGCTCCCACACAGCCCAAGGGGATCTCGTCCAATCCAGTCACCCATGGATTTGCACCACAAGTCGATGGTTCTTCAAGCCGAAATTCCCCTCCTGTCGCCGATGCTCCCGCCCTGAAGCCACATCCCGCGGCTGCAGTATCTTCTCCGCGTAACGACCCGCCGAAATCTTCTTTGGCTATTCCCCCCACGAAGCCTACCTCCGCATTCGCTGTGAAGGCTTCACCTCCAACCGACTTCAATCACATGAGCACCGAGTTTCGCCGTCGAGCAAAGGCAACCCGAGAGCGAGATGTCTCCCCAATGCCTCCCTCATCCGCCATCTACCAACCAAAGGCAGGGGACGAGGCTTCAACTTTTATTTCCAAAGCCCTGACTCTTGTTTTGGTACCTCCAGTGGCTCTTTTCATCGTCCTCCTGCACGTGGCAGCGCGCATTGTGATCAACCCTGCCATCAACGCGACTCTAGGCGACTCCAGACGAGGCTCAGCATCATCCGGAAAACAAACTGTCACCGAGGATGATTTCAGCTTTCCGCTCGATCGCGAATCCTCTTCCGAATACGAGGACGCGGAAATCAACAGGAAGCTGGATCCTTGGGATCTGGACTAGCCCTACTATTCACCACCACCCTGTATAATCATTCTTCCTTTTTATTCCCCGGTTTCAATTCTTGATCATATTCCTCCTTCTAATGCCCATCCCCAACCATTTTCATGTGACACTATGCTTTATATTTATGACTTTATTTACCCTAACTTGCTTTACTCTACCTTGCATCTCGAACGCGTGAAATCATGGGAACATGTGGAAACCCGAGATGATTATGTATTCTAGCGTCGCATATAATTATCATTCGGAAGGACTCCGGTCATACCATGGCTGTTGTTGGACTGCAGCATCGAAATTAAACGAATTATTCTTTTTTACAACGCTTCTGCTATGCGGTGTTAGGACTCTCTGGATATTTGCCCAGGTGTATGTGGCTGCCCCTCCCCCTTTCGATCTACCATCGTCGCAATAGAGTCAAAAAACTTCAAAAAAAAAGAATCCAAAAGTGGAGCACAAGGATAATAACAAAAGCCAGACGAAAATGAAAATAACAATAGAAAAAAGAGAAAATCCAGGGACTTCAGAGTACAACACGTTTTTCTGAAAAGATCCTACGTACTAAAACGAGGGCGGGAACTAGTTATCGTCCGCTGTCTCCCCGCCAATCAGCGCTCCCAGTGGCTCAGGCACCGGCGCTTAACTGTTTGTCAAGGAAGTATACTTCAGAACAGCCTCACTTGGTCTTTCTTCATTTCCGTCCCCTTCTCTGTTTTCGTCCTTTTGCAGTGCTTTCTCATCAGTATTATTTCGTCACATCAGTTTCATATCACATCTCCTCCGAAACCAGGTATTTCAAGGCTGGGTGAACTCACTGAATTGAAACACCATGCTAGAACCAATTCATCTCCTCATTCTGGGGGCTGTTACAATGTTGGGTCTCATGGTATTCCGAGCACTCAGACTTCAGCATGACCCTCGTGAGCCACCCGTCCTACCGAGCAAGATCCCGGTGATCGGTCATCTACTCGGGATGATATTTGAAGGTCTTCCGTATTGGCATAAAACTGCGTGAGTGCTTTGCTAAAGTTTCAAGCATCACCTCTCAACCCAGACTGGACGGAATGAATTTGCTTACCATCTATCTCCACAGCAATGAGAACCCAACACATGGGATATTCACCTTGAACTTGCTGTTCACGAAGGTGTATATCGTTTCCTCAACCGAGGTCATTCGTTTGATGCAGCGCAATCAGAAGACTCTCACGTTTGATCCTGTCACCAGATCCAGTATCAAGGCATTCAGTGGCATCGATGATGAGCGAACACTGCGCCTCATCAGTAACAGACACGAGGGGGGGCTTGGGGCTAGGTGCTGAAATGATGCACGCTATGGCCCCAAATCTAGTCGGAGAGGCGTTGGACCGAATGAACTTGATCATGATGCGGAATGTGAAGACATATTTCGACGAATTGCAAGACACCCCCAGTCTCGATTTGTATCGATGGGTACGAAATATGATCACTGTTGCGAGCACCAGAGCAACGTATGGACCGCTCAACAACCCTTACAATGACCCCGAGGTTGCCGATGGATTTTGGTATGTGCCCAGGTAACGAGGGTGTAACATGTATCCATGACACAGCGCTAACAACGATTCTTTAACAGGGATTTCGAGAACAATTTAAACACCTTGCTGTCCAACTTCTTACAATGGCTAACAGCGCGCAAGGCCTGGAAGGGCCGCAGAAAGGTGACTCGCGCTTTCTATGCCTATTACAAAAAGCACGGCATCGAAGAAGGATCTGCGTTGGCCAAAATGCGATACAACAAGTCGATGAAACAGGGTATGAGTTTGGAAGATTTCTCGAAGCTAGAAGCGCCTGTTCTATTGGCCTTCCTGTCAAGCACCGTGCCGGCAGTGTTTTGGGCTATTTTCGAGCTGTTTTCCAATCCGCAACTGCTGGCTGAATTTCGATCTGAAATTGAGCTTAACGCACTGTCCATCTCGGAGGATGGTACGCACACAATCAATATCACGGCTGTTAAGGAGCACTGTCCATTCGCCCTGTCCTTTTTACAGGAAGTTTTACGTTTTCGCACAACTACAATCACGCTTCGCCACATTATCGAGGACACGATGCTCGGTGACAAGTATCTTCTCAAAAAAGGGAACCTTGGCCTCAATTCCAGCGAGTGCCATCGGGAAGCGTGCTGATGTATGGGGAGATAGTGCAGGGGTGTTTGATCCGCGGCGATTCCTCAAGGCTGATCCGTCAAAGGCTAACTCGAAAGAACCTCGGCGTACGGGTGGATTCACGGCATTCGGCCTTGCGCCTGTCATTTGCCCTGGGCGCCATTTCGCCAGTACGGAGGTGTTGGGAGTTGCGGCCATGATGGCGTTGCGATACGATATCAATCCTGTCGGCGGTATCTGGAAGGCTCCCTCAATCAATACTGGGGCCCTCAGTTCCAGCATGAGTCCCGTGAAGGGCGAATTCCTCGTCAACGTGAAGCCAAGGGAGAAGTATGAAGGTGCCAAGTGGATGTTCCATTTCGAGGCAGGTCAGGGTCAGTCCGCACTTAATGTGGGATAGATAGTTAATCCTTAGTGCAAAAACACAACCAATGGAACACTGTGACACCATATGAAAATGGATGAATGAAAAGAAACCAGCTTCAAATGAATCGTTAGGTACATTGGTGCATAGAAAAGTATGTACACCTTGAAAACAAGGTCATGAGTAACCATATCAGATCAAAGGGATTTTTCTTTTGAACAAGAGCCACCATTAAAACGCCGAGCAAATGCAAGAAAGAGCGAAAGCCATCGCCGGAATGTTGAACTAAGCCGAGTACAAAAACAAACCGCCGTTGGGCGCCATCGTAAAGAGAAAAGGGGGTATCAATGCAGAAGGACCTAAGCCTTCGCAGCCTTCGCACCGCCCTTACCCTTCGCCTTGCGCTTGCGATCCCGCTTCTTCAGGCCAGTCATGCCCGTCTTGCAGATCTCCGCGTACCGGGTGTAGAAAGCTTCGAGTTGGTCTGCGGGAACGACTGTGGAGAATTTGACTCGGGTAGCCTTTGAGGCCTTGGTCTTGACGACTTTGCCATCTTTCATGGTTCGTGGGGCGCTTGTGTTTCCATCGGTGGCACGGATTAGGATGGAGGGCTGGGTGGTTGTGATATTATCGGTCAGGGGTTTCTGGGATAAAGTGACGGAGCCTCGCGACTTTTGGGTGGTTTTTGCGAGAAGGTCGGTGAGGGATGAGAAGAACTATAGATATTCAATGTTAGCGATACATGGTCAATGGAGCGGTGCGGTGTTCTTGTGTCTGGCTATAATGTGGAATTGTGGTACGGAACCAAATTCCCGGGTGCTAGGAGATGGTCAGAAGCGGGAAGGGGAAATTACCTCATCGGTTTGAAGGTGAGGTGCCATAACGAGATCGAGATCAATGTGCAGAAGTGCTGGATAGAAAGGAAGTGGGTAGCTTGAGGCCACTCGGAGTCACAATGGGCACTCCAAGTGTCGTGGGGGTGGGTCACCGCCTGGCAGAAAAAGTGGATCTGCCACCGCCCGCGATGGACTGAGAAAGACTGGAAAGACTTGGGAAGGAAAGATCATTCAACCTCCACAATCATGCCACGTCCAATGCACAATACCACCTCGCTCCCTCGCGATCTGCGATCGGAGCTAGGAATCAGGGACACTTACGGCGAAAAGAAGCGAAAACAGAACGGCCCTGGCTCACGGAAAGAACGAAGACAAGCCGAGCGAACGGAGAAGAAGTCGAGAAGAACACCAGCCCCGCCGGTCCGAACCCAGAATCAGCGTCCCCAGAAGAAGGACAGCAAAAATGATAGTGAAGACGAGTCCGACCTGGTCGAGGATGCACCGAAAGGCAAATCCAAAGCTGCCTCCAAGGGACCCGGGGTCAAGCAAAAGGCAGCTGCCAAATTGAACAAGGCGGAAGACACAGAATCCGAAGATAGCGAACCAAACTATCTCGATGAGGATACAGACGAAAAGGAATCCGATAGTGGACAAGAGGGACTTGAAAGCGATTCGGCCGATGATATCCTCGACCGTGGACATGTTTCATCAACTGTCAAATCAAAGCTAGATGAGGACGATGCGGAAATAGCAGCTTTGGAAAAGAAACTGGGTCTCAAAAAGGGCAAAAAACTGCCGAAGGCATTCGCAGAGGACGGATTGGACGATTTAATGGGTAACTTGGCGGAGGATTCGGAGGACGACAGCAAGAAGCGCAAACGTGAAGCAGACGATTGGTTGCAAAGTAAAAGACAAAAGGCCCAGGAACGCCAGGCAGCAGCTATGGATCTTGACGAAGGAGACGACGAAAGTGACAGTGAATTAGAGGTGGATCTCGACGAGGAAGTGTTTGGCTCGGACGACGGCAGTGAATTCGACGGTTTCGACCCTGAGGAGAAAGCCCCAACCAAACAGCGTGAAAACCCATACATTGCGCCCCCAACCAAGAAAGAGGTCACACCGGGCCAGAAATACATCCCACCCTCACTGCGTGCGCGCCAGGAACCTGAAACCGAATCCCTCACAAGGCTCAAGCGACAGGCCCAAGGGTACCTGAACAAGCTTTCCGAGGCCAACCTGATCTCTATTCTCGCTGAATTTGAGAAGCTCTATCGTGATTATCCGCGTCAACATGTCACTTCAACGATCATTGATTTGTTGATGGGTTTGATCTGCGAGAGGTCAGTGCTCCAGGACACCTTCCTGGTTCTTCATGCGGGTTTCATCGCTTCTCTTTACAAGATCATGGGCATGGATTTTGGCGCGGAAATTGTGCAAAGAATTGTCGAGACATTGGATGCTGAAGGCGACGAGAGGGGCGGGTTCGAAGGCAAAGAGAGCATGAATCTTGTCTCCCTTCTTGCCCAACTCTACAACTTCCATGTCATCGGAAGCCCGTTGATCTTCGACTACATTCGTCTCTTCCTAAAGGAGATCACGGAGAACAATACTGAATTACTGCTCAAGGTCATTCGCAGTAAGTATCTCCTCACTACTAGGCATCCAATATTATCTTTACTAAAGTATCCTTAGATTGTGGTCCCCAGCTTCGACAAGACGACCCGTCCGCTCTGAAGGATATCGTCCTGCTCATTCAACCAGCAGTTGCAAAGGCTGGCGAATCTAGTCTGTCTGTGCGAACAAAGTTCATGATTGAGACGATTACCGATCTGAAGAACAACCGCGTCAAATCTGGCATTGGTGCCAGCATTACGTCCGAGCATATCACCAAAATGCGCAAAATCCTGGGATCGATGAATAACTCTCGCGTGATCCGCGCCTCCGAGCCTATCAATATTACCCGTGCCGACATTCACGATTCCTCCAAGAAGGGCAAATGGTGGTTGGTCGGCGCAAGCTGGAGAGAAGATCCGTTGGTGTCTGCGCGACAGGAGCTGGCTGGTGTTCAAACGAGAAACGCCACTGCGGCAGAGGATGACGACAGCGAAGCTGAACCTGACCTGGGAGATCTCGCCAAAGCACACCGCATGAACACTGATGTTCGCCGATCAATCTTCGTGGCCATCATGTCTGCGAACGACTTCCAAGATGCCCATGTTCGCCTAATGAAGCTCCGTCTGAAGCGAGCACAGGAATTTGAGATTTCCCGTGTACTAATCCACTGCGCCATGGAAGAGGAGGTACATAACCCTTACTACACCCTTATCTCCCGGCGGCTCTGCGGAGATATGGGCCGACGTATCAAAATGTCCTTCATGTTTGCGCTCTGGAACGTCTTCAAGCGGATGGGTGAGCGAGGAGATGACGAAGATGAGGATAACGTTGACCCGGATGACCAGGAAAATGGTGTCAGTATGAAATCTGTCGTCAACTTGGCTAAGATGTTCGGTATGCTCATTGCGGATGGAAGCCTGACGCTGAGCGTTCTCAAGAACCTCAACTTCGCCTATCTGCAACCCAAGACCAAAACATTCGTCGAGGTCTTGCTCATCAGTGTCATCCAACAATCGCAAAAGACCAACAAGGCCAACAAGAAGAAGAAGGCAAACAAGGACGCCTCGGAAGAGTCGACCAGAGACGAGGAGTCATTGATGCAGATCTTCCTGCGCGTTCAGGATACGCCTCATATCGCCAAGGGACTGATCTTCTTCATCCGCAAGGTTGTCGCCAAGAGCGATCTTGTGACTGAGAAGGAAGAGAAACTGATCCGTTGGGGGTGCAATGTCGCCGTGGACGCACTCAAGGCTGTCAAGGATTAATGATTGCATCCGAGGTGGTATTTTGTCCTGTATTATTTATCTGCATCTAGAATATACCCAGATTATGCACATAATCAAAAGTTGAATATATCCCATTCAAGTTATCAATATTCCTTCCAACCTTGCCTTAGAAGCTGGTGTACCTGATTGAATGCCATGCAGCCCTTCTTCCTTTCTGAACACAAGGTTCTTCACCCAATTATCTCAGCGATAATCCTCATACCAATTTGAAGCAGTAGCCACCTCTCCAAACTCCTTCTCCGACCTCGCCATCCTCATCCGCGACAAAACCTCTTCAAACGAAACCGTAGATTCCAAATCCGGGCTCCCCAAATCTTCCAGATGATGCGAACAGCGCGGACATCCGTGTTGTCTGATATACTGCTCCATACTGGTATGGAATGGGACCTTCGGCATATTATACTTGACAAAGCAATTCTCGCACCGCCAGCAAAGCATACAATATAATCCATACCGTCGTCTCTCCTCGCAGAGCGAACACAGAATTTGTTCCCGACCATTCACAACGATTGGCTGTCCTGGCTGATAAATTCGATTGCGAAAGCCGCAATCTAGACAGACTCGACGGTCGCATTCTGGGCCTCCTTTCCCTCGTTTTCCATTTAGTTGGTTGTCGGCGAATGTATGGCCTGGTCGGAGCTTTAGACAATATTTGCAGCCGAATTTGGTATTGTTTCTGCGGAGTTATTCAATAAATTAATTAATTGACGAATGGCTTGTAGCGTACCGGGGTAGCTGTTTACTGGTATATCTTACCTTTGCCATGTTTCCACCGCATTCAAAAATGCCATTTTCTGCGCTGATGTTCGAGGCGATTGCACTGGGACTATGTAGTGGAGTTGTTTATTTGTTTGCGATAATGCCAGCGATGAGGGGTAGTCGAGATGCGAGATAATATGCAGCTGAAGTTCAGCTGGGAGACCCAGGAGGGTCGGTGAAATGGGCGGCACGGCGAGAATGCGAATAGTTCGCTTCTCTAATACTTTGTGTTCGATATTGAGCATTTTCCTGGCTTTTCTTTTGCTCCGGGGCTGTTTCTCGTGTACTAGTAATGTTTCTTTCTTCTGGAACTTGGAGAAAAGATCGCCGTTTCATGCTGGACTGTCAGTAGCGGGGTGACGTGTCTGACAACATCGGAGACAATGCATGTGCTACCTGCATTATCACAGAATGCCCAGGTGTAAGGCGTTGCCCAGGTGTACCTAGTAGTTAATTACTACTAGTACTAACTAATAGGTACTGCGATAGGATAATGTCACATGTCAAGCACGCGACAGTCACAAATTCAGTTGTTATTCATAGATATCCTTGTTGATATGGTTTATTACAGATTATTTGTATCGCCAGAGAGGGATGATACGAGTATGGGATGGTCTGATCAGGCTTCGAGAATATCCCACTCCATAGCGATAAGCCACTCCTTTTTAGAAGAACTGCTTGCACCGCTTCCAAATGTAAGTGACTCGGGCACTTCGACGGGGCACGGCAAAGAACTCAATTGCTGGAACCCATGAAGTACAAGATTCCAAGCAAGGCCCTGGTGGATACCCAGCAGATCACCCGTCTGTATGGTGACAGCCTGAGCGGTTTCAGCCGGCTGATCAGTTCCACGCGAAGGCGGTTTAGATCGCGGTAGTCCCATTATCATAATGTGAATAGTTTCACGCTCATCTCCTTCTGACTGGGATCCATGGACAATCTTCTCGGCTTGGATGAGGGCCAACGGCCCAGAGCTACTGAGAACTGCCTGGTTTGCGTGTATAACACGGACAGTCAGCAGATACCGCTTCATGCCACTGGCCTGATTCAGTTGCAGGGCTGGAGTCGAAATTGCATCACGCTTCGATCCCATTTCTAGAATCCAGCTGCGAACTTCTGCGGCCATCCCGCCCGGCGCATAGGTCTCGGCACCCGCACGAGGTCGACCGCGACGGCGCAGTGCGCGTGAGGAAGGAGAAAATGGGGCCGGGATATCTTCCGCTACTGCAGAAGGCGATGGAGAGCGGGGAAGGATGAAGGTCGGTTTACGTCTTTCTGGCGGCGAAGCGACCTGAGAAGCGAATGGTGTCTCGCCTCGGAATGTAGGCTGCGTGTTCGGTGGTTTCTTCGTCGAGAGCATAAACCGGGGCTTGCTGCGAAATGGCGTGCTGGTCATAACTGGCGTTGATATCCCCGGGCCAATGAATTTGGTTCGCGGGGCGGGCGTCCCTTGTAAGGCGATTTCTCGGGGTATTGTACTGGGTGTTTGTTGGGGAGCAGGTGAATCGTGTGAAATCGGCGGTCGCGGCCGCGGTTCAGGCGACGACGGAGGTAGTGAACTCTCTCTGTGCTAATTTTTGACCTAGTGAAAGCCTTTCGCTTGTCTCCAGCCGTCGTCGTTTCTTGCCATCCCTTTCTGGCGCAAAGACAGCGTCGAATTCCTCGTCGAGAAGTCCAGGCGTAGCAGGTTCACCCGGGGTCGTGCTATTAATAGCATCATCCACCGCTTCTTCTCTGTCGCGTTCAGATCGGAGGATTCCTTCCTCTGTATATGCCTCGTCATCATCGGAGTCTTCAATCACGTCTCGCTGCCGATGTGGTTGGGGAAGAGAGTTATGCGACGGAGCCGGGGTTCGGGAAGTTCTGGCAGTTGAAGCCGGCGCATCATTGTCGTCCCCGTCGTCGATCTCCAGGTCATTATGTTTCTTCGGGGTTGACTGAGAAAGGAGAAATCGAGGGGAGTTAGAGAATTGAGGGCCGGCGCCTCTGCGCGTCGATGGTTGGCGGCGAGACAGGCGAAATGGAGACGGGGTCTGATCAAGACGTGTCAGCGCTGTGAAGCTGAACAGAGCGGAATCAACTTACTCCCGGAAAAGGCATCTATCCAAATGCAGTTGGGGTTGGAGTGCATAGCATTGCCTTGCGCCTTAAAGGCTGAGCTCGAGGCAGCTTGTCGCGGGGGGATGGAGATCGGAGGAGGTCGAGGTTGAAGTTGGGGGAAGTTGGAGAATTGGCGGGGCCATCCCGCATTACTACTACGTTACTACTAACACATAAATACTAACATAATATATTTAATAATTCACAGCTTTGCATAAAAATTGATGAATGCAGAATAGTAATAGACTACTATATATGTACAAGATCACAAAATCGCTACTTAAAATCTCCTATTTCCAGTAGAAGTAGGGGTAGGTGATTTATCCATCTCATAGATCGTATCCTCTTCAAGTTGAGTTTATATTTGGGCTATAGTCGTGCCTGAGTACCGTCCGTGTTACTCCTAAATGCAAACCATTTTAGTAAATTGAATGTCTCGTTCTCGGCGATATGAAATGAATAGTCATGATGTTTTGATTTGTGCAAAAGTCGTAGATATACACGAGAAGTATACAATTCAAAAGGAATTGTAAAAAGGACCACAGACTCGGACGTCCCCAAGAATACCCCAAAGGAAAAAAAATGGAAGCGCTTACAGCTGCGAAAAGTACTCCTCAAAGTTGTCCTCCGCAACCTTGGTGCAGTCGAAACCATAAATCTCACGCTGAACATCAGCATCGGCCCACTTGTCAGGGACAGGACCCTTGCCACCTCCAGAACGGAGAGCAGCGAATTGACGATCACGCTCAGCCTTTGCGGCACCATCACCCAGGTGCAAAGCACGACCGGAGGCAGAGGCCATATCGACCAGAGCCTCAGCGCGGCCCTTACGGACCTTCTCGTAGACACGGAGTGCCTTGTTGATAGATTCCGGGGTTGTATCTGGGAGACGGGCGAGAACGACAGCCAGAACAGCACCGTCCTCAATGGCCTGGGCTGCACCCTGGGCAAGATGAGGCAGAGTTGGGTGGCACGCATCGCCAACCAGAGCAACCTGCTCATGGACCCAGGTCGGGAGGGCATCGTGGACGCGCAGCTTCCACTCACAGACCTCTCCCTCGGGAACGTAGTTCAGCATACGCTGCACCATCGGGCAGAAGTCAGAGAAGACGCCCAGCATGGCGCTCTTGTCACCCTTGGTGGTGTAGGTGGCGTTGGTTGCAGCAGCAAAGTTGGTGTCGGGTTGGGTGGTGGACAGGTTGTAGATGGTATTGTTGGAAACTGCGTAGGCAATGATATGACGCTTCTCGCCAATCCAGCGAGTCACGCGGGTGTTATTAATCAGAGCAAGTAGCTCGGGGTCGTCCTTGATCTGGTCTTTGTGGATCATGATTCGGTAGGCGGCTTGGTTGGTATCCTTGACGCCGACATCGACGTTCAAGCGCTTGAGAATCTCCACGCGGGTTTGACTCTTGATACCGTCCGCGGAGAGGAGGACATCACACTCAACTTTAAATGGCTTTTGGGTCTCATCGCGGGGCACAGCGGTGAACGAAGGCTTGGGGCCGAATGAGTCGACCCTCTCTGCAGTAACGGCGAAGTGGAATTTAATGGCAGGTTGCTTCAAGCAACCCTGATACAGCCCATCGGCCAGCGATGCGCGGTGACCAACCATGTGCTTGTAGCCGTAAGTTTCTTCGATATAATTCAAATCCACATGTGCGAGCTTGTTGTCGGTTGCGCCCTCTGCAAAATTTGGTTAAATTTGGTCTTTGTAGTTTGCTATTGCTGTTGCTTTTGCAATTATATGATGCTCACCTCGGACGGAAGTCTCAGAGATATTCACGGCTTCGGCCTCAATGGGCTTCCATACACCGAGATTGTCCAAGACTCGTGCCATGTTGGGGGCGAGCTGGATGCCGGCACCAACGAAGCCCAGGTCGTGCGCATTTTCATATACATCAATATTCTTGAAGCCACGCTGAGCCAAAGCGAGAGCAGTGGTCAAACCGCCCATTCCTGCGCCCAGAATGGCGACTCTCAAATCTTGAGGTGAGGATGCCATTGTGTCGGATATGTGGGGAGGTAAGTGGATAAGGGGAGGGGGGAGGGTTTGGGGATATGAGGAGAGGTCAAAAAAGAAAAGAAAGAGAAGATTTAAGAAGCGTTAGGATATAGCGGCGAGGAGTGAATCTTTAAGTTTGGGAACTCTTGAGCTCTTGTGCCGTTGCATTTGGCGGAGCTGCCTCAATATGATGAGGCCGGGAAAAATCATTGCCGCTCCCACAACCTCCCCACATTTACACCGTGGACCGACCTTGGAGAAACGCTTGCCTCATTGGATTCCTTTCTTTCTGAGGTTTGAAAATTTACCCGCCAATGCACCATAGCCCAAGCAGATCTTAGAGAGATGGGGAAATCATTAGCAGTCAAGAATTGGTGACTTGCATGTCTTGAATTGCAGCTCCCGGGGCCACCGATTTTTTAGGAGTATTTTATAGACCCAACCAAATCACGGCCTCCGAGTCAGAAGAGCATGGCAAGAATACTTGGGCCATGCTATTTTAATACAACTTGAACGCATACTACTACCCACTATACATACAAGAATAAAAGCCCATTGATGATGATTTGAACACGGAATTACGCAACAACTGAATCATTCTCTTATTTCTCTCCACATTCAAGTTGTCTTTGCACCAGACTGACCAGCAACTGGGGAAGCCCCGCTCCCCAACTTCCCCACATCATCGGAGTCGGATGTCTTTTGCACGGCGATACGAAACTGCCGATATTTCCGCCACATGATCTCGGGTTTAGTTGTAGACCACATCATTGGTCGATACAGTTCGCTGCTTGGACATATGTACGATACAAGGCTTGCTGTAACTATGTCTAACGTGAAACCTCATCCGGTTATAACTTCTAAAAAACAAATCCTAATGCGCCTATTCACTCGGTCGTCAAACAGTCGTAAGAATTATCAGTATTATCCACCTGGTGTTCGGTGCTCCCAGATCCGTAGAAGAATATTTTCCCCCATTTCGCTTCACAGTAAATCATCCAAAGAAAAGTCTTGCCGTCGGCAGATATCCGCCCCATCCAGCCCTTCCAGTACAACGCGAAGGCATCTCACTACAGGCTGAGGTCGGTTCATGGCAATAGCACAACTAACTCGCGCGGTTTGCATCACAAACCACTTCCGAATGGCACCCGGTAAAGACCGGCGAGCCCCAATAGCCAAACACCAAATCAAGGCACCTGACAATGGAGCCCAGCAGTTATCGAGGTCCGTTGGTTGGAGGAGGTCTTTCAAATACGAAATCGCATCAGAAAGCCCAGCCACCTCGGCATCTGATGTCGCATGATGCGATCGTTCCATAATCATAGTTGCCTGTAGCAAGACAGGTATTCTATTATCATCATGCTGTATGTGGCTGCTGAGCCGCGTGCTTTCTGGAAAATGCATTGAATTTTGCACGGCAAGTCGACAGCCCAGGCCGGTGCCGGTCGCGTAATGACCTTTCTGCGTCGATGCCAGTACTGCTTCATAGAAACTGCTCAGAACTGGAATCAACCGACTGAGTTCGTTCCACTCCCCAAGTGACCCGGGTTCCATTCCGAGAGTGAAGAGAGCCACATCTATAGATGCGGAAGGGGGTATTTCAAGTTGGGCGCCCGGGCTAAATTGTGAGGTAAAAGTTCCATATGGAGGGATCTCGACAACCCTTTGCAGTTGCTCAATCCTAGTTTTAACATTAGCCAACAAGCAATAGAACGGGTCTCATCCATTGGCGTAGAATTTCATACACAAATAGACTGCCTTTGATATGGCCTTCAAACCCCAAGTTGTCTATGCCCCCTCGCATAGCTATCAAGTGATGTGTAACTTTCAAGTCATATATGAAAACATCTCTTTGATCATTCACCATCTGTTTCGTCATTTTAGTAATTTTGGTCAGAAAAGCCAGCAGGTGGATCTTACATCAAATAGCAAAGTTGCCACTAGAGCTGCAAAAGTGGGCTCACTGCATGCTAGCTCCCTGTCTTCTAGTACTTCCCCCAGCAACTTGCGAGTTATCGCACATTGTTGTAAGGTCAGGCTACCAATTTGTCCCTCCGTATTTAAATCATCCCATGCCGATGCATTAAGAATCTTTGTACTCATAAGAGCTGTATGGGATGTCGCTGCGTATATGACGTGGGAGAAGAACGGGTGGACCTGTTGACCGTAGAGTACGTATTGGTGCATAACTACCCTGGTCAGTACATAAACCTCTCATAGAGACGATTCTCACATTTCCAATCACTGTTAAGCGCTCACATTTCTGCATCCGTCGGTACCCAGTTGCCGAGGAGGCGAGTGGCGGGGACTTGTGCCTGACTGGGATCTCCGGTATGAGGCTCAGAGCACTCTCCGGGGTCGGTGTCCTGGAATCCTGACTATCACTACTGCCATTGCTATTCAATCCGAGTCGATCATTCCTCCGACGAGATCGATGGCGCTCTTTGGCGAGATGCGATCGCACTTGGCTCAGGCGCTTGCCGCGATCTTGCTGCGGGTCTTCAGTGATCACGATAAAGGCGGATCCACCATTCGCTGGAGCCATCACGGGAGGCCTGGAAATTCTGGTCCGAATGGAGAAATTGTGCTGGCACGGTTGTCGTACAATTTGGATGAAAAAGAGGGGTCGCTTTAGACACGAGCTCAAATTGAAACCGGTGGCAGTGTTGCGGCGAATCTGACAGCAGTTGTTCAGCCCGACCCACCAACATGATGATACTCCGACTAGTGCATGTTCCTAATGGCGTTAGATCGATCGGATTGTGCCTTGCCTAGTGGAACAACCCTCATTCTAAATCTATATCTTCGGATAAGATCGGATACAAGACGGACTTAAAATGTTGAAGTCAGTATATAAGGGAGGTAGGAAGGGAGATAGAAAAAGGCAGAATCCCAGGTTTATTGCCCTTTTTTCTCCAGGCTCCTTCGCTTTCAAACTCTTCTGATCTTCCCTCTGATCTTCTGATAGTCATTTTTACTGCAACAACAAGTATCATGGCCTCTAATCCGACAAAACTGAGCAATGAAACCGTTTGGTTTGGTAAGTCCGTTGATTTGCTAAAATCCAACCCGTATTTTTAAACATCAACTGACTATTTTTATAGTGACTGGTTGTTCATCTGGGCTTGGCAAGGCTCTTGCAACTACTATCTATAATTCTGGTCATCACATCGTGGCCACCGCCCGCAACATCAAATCGCTATCATATTTACCAGATGATGCGAGAGTGCTTAAATTTGCACTTGACGTGACCTCACAAGAATCAATTGCTGTCGTCGTCAACAGTGTCGTTCAAACATGGAGTCACATTGATGTTTTTATCAACAATGCTGGTTATAGCTTAGTCGGAGATACCGAGGCGATCTCCGAAACCGACGCCAGACTTCAACTTGAGACTCTTTTCTGGGGACCGGTTCACATCACAAAAGAAGCACTACGAGTCTTTCGCGAAGTTAACCCCCAAGGTCAAGGAGGTACAGTCCTCCAGATATCTTCGATGGGTGGATGGTGGACCGCTCCAGGTCATTCATACTATCATGCCAGGTAAGATCCAAAATCTCCAAATCCCCAAATTTCTATTCACTGATATTTCAATAGTAAATTCGCACTGGAAGGCTTCACTGAGTCGGTCGCCCAGGAAATGAATCCTGACTGGAACATTAAGCTTATGATTGTTGCTCCTGGGGGAATTCGTACAAATTTTGCCGGGCCCAACATGAATATTGCCGCCCGACACTCTGCTTACAATACTCCAAACACCGTATTTAACCAGATTTTGGATTATATCACAAATCCCGAGTCTCAAGCCACATGGAGCGATCCTAATATTTGCGCCCGTCTGATTTTCGATACTGTTGTTGCACAGAACGAGCGTCAGCTGCCTATGCGACTACTCTTAGGGGCCGAAACTATCCCTTTAATTAAGGGTGATATTCAGAAGACTTTGACCGAAATCGATTCGTGGGCGGAAGAAACTGTGAAATGCTCTCCAGGTGGCGGTGCAGTCTTGGGGTCAGGGTCATAGCAAGAGTCTTTTTCGCTGGTTGAATTGCCATTTAGAACTTAGTACTTGGTAATGTATAATATAGAATGGCGATAGGATACATCTTTATTTTTAAACCGGCTAGTAGTATATTGAAGAAACATTCTCAAAAATTTCAAAGTCATTCTAGGCCTGCCTAATTGGCATATAGCACAAAAGAAGTCTGTATTTGAAGGATACCGGAAAGACACCATTATGAATGTTAATTGAATTATAAACCTAGTTACGATTTTGGGCCTGAAACATTATTAGTCTAAGGCACCATTGGATCAATCTCGTGTACCACTCGCCTGAATTATCCGATGTAGCAATTTAGGAGCTGACCGAGGAGCCTTCCATTCACCATTGCTTTGCAAAAAAAAATCCCAGCTCCTTAGCAAGTTTTTCCATTCATCTTTCGTCAATTCCGTAGGAACTTCCGTGCCGGCCTTGAGAATCCAACCCTTACGATAATCCGATGACCTTTCCAGTTTTCCCATCTTAAACCATAAGATTAGCAACGATTTCATAAAGAATTCGGGTTGGTAGATACTTACTGATATAGTCTTGAAAGGATGGAAGCCCTGCAATAAAGCCGGTAGCTAGCGCCGAGTGGATAGCAGATAATACTACTAGTATGCGTAGTGCTAATACAGAGCGGATAATATATGCAGCAAAAGTGATGCCCTGTCTTGGTGATTAGCTGGTGAACTGGGATCGAATGGCGAGTACTAAATCGAGAATATCAAATTGGTTTAAATATGTCGACTCGATATGCATACAGTATAGACTCGGAAAGAGACAAAAACAATGTCACTCCATCATTCACTGGATATCAACTAATGGCATTGTGCTAAGTACGCAGACAAAGATACTTCCATCTTATATCTTACATAGGATGAATTTATGCATAAAGTAAGCTATTGAATTTACGTGATCGAATAGTCCGAGTCTTCATTGCCGCTATCTGGTGTTTCAATCAATCCACATGGATTGGAACTTGAAGAAGTCATGTATGATTTACAGGGGGTTGCTCTAAGAAAACGACGGCAGATAAAAAGAAATCCCTTTCTTGCCTATTTCTTTATCCAAGATTTTGCTGTATTGAGTGATTTCGTTAAATTACCATTCCAGTCTTAGGCAATTGATTTGGAATGAGAGGAATCGCGAAATGAAAATGGCTCTTTCATGTTAGGGAATGCGAAAGCGAAATCCCCCCTAGTCCTTATCATCGGGATTTGATTGGAGACCATTGAGGTGGAATGATGCTTTCATCTAACATGAGCTAGCTCACGTCTCAGCCGGTCATTGAGGGTCGCATTAGACCACAGGTCGAGGAAGGGAAAACACCCTTTCATTATCTTGTATTACAAATTAAAATCGCTAGAATAAACCCGACGTGAAACCAGAGCCGGTCTTTCTAGGAACCTTCCCCATTGAGAACCAAAGATAGGAGTTCCGGGTTGACTTGACTTTATTAGGGAGGTGGTGACCTGGCGAAATAAAAAGGAGAAATGGCGGTCTCGGTGAGAAGTCCCGCTCTAACAGTAAAATGAGCATTCTACGAGTATCCATGGCCACGGTTTTGGATGGGGATTAGTACGAGCAGTGCATGTGATGGGGTTAGTGGATATTCGCGAATTTTTCTCTCCCTCCTTAGGGCTGATCTTGTTCTTTTGTGTGCTTGGCCCATGAGTAGAAACTCTCAAACAACAAAATCTTTTAAAGAAGGTAGGTGTACAGAGTACGAAGTAGAATGCTGGCATTTCCTCCTGTAAACCCTGATCCCTGGCATGAGTTAGTGACTCTCAGAAAATCCCGAGGTTATTTGAATACTCGTAGAAAGTCCTGGCGAGATTAGACAATTTGAGTTTTTCCCCCGCGCATGTAAAATCCGTTAGTGGAACTCTCTCGTGAGTTGACAGCAATTCCTGAGGTTTCTCCGAATGAACAACGGTTTGACCCCGTAAATTCTGTGGATCTTCAGGGGGGCACCGTTCGCCCCTCTTGCTGGTGGAGAGGTCATGTTTCAGCATTTTCTGACGTCGAAGTTCGTCGCTCCGTGATAGATAGATCAGCAACGACACGGAGTAATTCCGGAAGCATTATTTTTTGCTCATGCTCATGAAAGGGAACATAAAAGTTCGATGCTGATTGCATGGGACTCATTCTATGTATGATGTCAGGCCAAGCCCGGCACTCAATCCTGCGGGCATCCCACTGTTTACCCCCTGACTAGGAACAACAACTCCACCAAGCTTCGGGAAGGCTGCAGGGACCACTGGCGACGCTATTAACTTTAGTGCCTGTTTAGCACCGAACTCTGATGGGACTTCTATTGCAACCCGCGCCCTCCAGCGGGGACTAACGCTCTTGTTAAACGTGTTTTGAGGCGGGCCAGCACTGCAGATCGCCGAGGACCCGAGCGCTTATGCCCAATCCCATTGGCAGTTGTGATGGATTTGGGGCGGTACTAATGACGATCCTTGGCCCAAGAAAGCTTTCCCGGGGCTCTTCAAAGAAGGAGTGTGTTTTGACGCTCAATTAACCCTGCAGGGAACATGGCCCCGGCTATTGCAGGTGCGTGCGAACCATGTGGCGAATGTTTCCTTTTTTTGGTGTATTCTCTGCACCACTGCGGATTTGCTTCTTCCATCAACGTCTATGTCTTGCAGCTCACATAAAGGGACGATGATATCTTTTCTGAAACAAAAATTGGCGATACGTCGTTATGGATTGCGGATTCCCTCTTGAATGCTCGGCAATGGGTTCCATCCTCCCTCGAGCGGAGATGGAGGAGGCCGATCTGCGGAGTGGCTAATGAGGATGAACCCGCAATGAAGCTTATGAGAGGATCAAGACTCACCTCCGGACCCAATCCCCCGTCTGCTGGTTCATCGACTTTCCTCCATTGGGCTTCAACTTGTGGATCCATTCCCTTTGACGTGAAATGATTGCCTGCCCCGCGGTCTGTGTTCGTCTCGTGGGATTGGACTATTGACACACTGCGTGGAACCAGTAGTGTGCCTGGTGCCTTGTAACATCTCGAAGGTGGAGCATGCTCTCCTCGTCGACGTCAGAAATGGCAGGAGAGAATCCACGGTTGCATGCCCAGGTGCAACTCACATTTGGGTTGCGGCCCCTGAAAATCAAGGGCTGGTGGGAGGGTGTATAAAAGAGCATTGCCATGCCATTTGACTTTGATATCTTCTCCATCCCAAGAAGCATCTCGTTTTCCCCTCCGTCTTTTACTCCAGTCATTCCTTTTTCCGGTTCTATACCGTCCATTCATTACTGCTTTTCAGCACCAGTCACTCTCTAAACCAACTCAAGATGAAGTCCTTCACCATCGCCGCCATCCTGGCCTCCACTGCCATGGCTCTGCCCACCAACATCATTCCCAGCGGCACTGTCCCCTCGGGTGTCCCTAGCTGCATCCCATCGGGTGTTATTCCCTCTGGAGTCCCCATTCCCTCCGGTATCCCGATGTGCACTGGTGCTCCCAGCGCTACTCCCAGCGCTACTCCAAGTGCCATGGCTTCCAAAAACGTCAACAGCGTCATGACCGTCACCAACCAGGAGTCCAAGAACATCCTTGTCCAGCTTGAGCCCACTGTTGCCAACCTTCTGACTGGCCTTAACCTGCCCCTCAGCGAGCCCGTTGGCAAGATCGTTCAGACTGCCTCCTCCGTCGACGGCCTGAACCTGCAGGGTCTCGGCTCCGGCTTCATGACCGTCGCTACCCAGGGAGGCGAGGTTGCTCTTGTCAAGCTCACCTACACTGTTGAGGGTCTCTTCTCTGGTCTCGGTCTCCCCGAGGTTGGCTCCCTTGTTGGCAGCCTGGTTGGCACTCTCGAGGGTCTTGTCCCCAGCGGCTTGAAGCGCGATATCACCAGCTCCGTCACCGACACCGTCATGCACATTACCGACCTTAACGGTGACGTCCTCCCCGTCGCTCTTGGCTCCAACGTCCTCGGCCTTCTGAGCGGTCTTGACCTGTCCTCCGTCCAGGGCCCCATCGGCTCCGTTGTAGCTATGGTTCCCTCCGTCTCCGACCTTCCCTCCAAGGCTGAGTCCATCGCCGCTGACCCCACTCAGCTGGTCGGTGTTCTGGGCCAGGACGGCACCTCCGCCATGCTCGTTCAGCTCGAGGGCACTGCCACCGGTCTCCTTGGCTCCCTGGGTCTCACCTCCCTCCTGAGCCCCATCGGCTCTGTCACCTCCGTCACCGGCGGTCTTCTGTAAATGACGTTTATCCATATATCCACACCCTTGTACCCTTGAAGGGATTTGAACATTCGCTTCTTTGGGTCCTCTGTTGATATGCTTCGAGGGTGCAAGAGTTGCTTTCCAGCTACTAGTAACGCACACCAAAACGATTGCACATGAGGAGTTCCCGTCTACATATTTCATTACAAATTCACCTGTACCTATTTATTACGCCAGAGCATCAATTTCAATTGGAAATGTTGAAAGTCCATTTCTATTGGGTAACTCTGAAACTTATTCACATACCCTGCATAAAAGACACAATATTACTAGTAATATCTCGATTGAGCAATTCCCGGATCATCAATGCATCCCACCCCAATAACCCTCACCGTCATCTCCCTCGTACGGCTTAGACGCATCTCTGCACTTGGGGTTGTTATAATCCGACACGGTACCCATAGGCCAGATCGGTATTACGCAGATCTCGTTATCTTCACAGCCGCGGCACTCTTTCCAAGTCGTCCAATCTAGATAATCGACCAAGACACTAACTCTGTTTTGTGCAAGACTAAGCTTCTCCTCATTTCCAGCCTCAAGCAACGCCAAGCAAACACTATGCGCAACATGGTGCACAGCGCGCGCTGGCAAAGTCTGTTCCTTCTGGGTTTGGAACGGCAAGAATTGCGTGGCACATCTCTCGGCCTCATCAGAGATGTTTCGCTTGCTGTAATCGATGAATGGCGATAGAAGCAATTCAATGTGATCACGGAATGCCTTGATCTCCAGAAACTTCTCAGATGCCAGATACGACAGTTCGTCTGAGTAGCGCGTAACGATCATGTCAGCAGTGGCTTGCCAGTTCCATGAGGATTCCTTGGTGTCGTTGCTCAAGATCAGACTGGTCAATTCATCGCGAATGGCCGCTCGCTCCGTGGATGAAAGATGTGCCAGACGAGGCAAGACAGATTCATTAGCGAACAGATTGAAATCATATGAGTATGCCGTGACGAAGTGGTCGTAGTTCAACGACACCCGATTGCCACCAATACTATCATACCGAGCAGTAACCGCGCGCATCCACCGCGAAGAGTCCGGTCCCGGTCCACCAGGTCCATGGCCCTTTCTCTTCTTGTCACCGCCAGGAGGACCATGGGGTTTATTGAAATCTTTGCGCTTGCCGCCTTCTCCTGTGTCTTTCTTCACCTGCGTGGTCCGAACGGGAGTCAAGTCACGCTCGAACGAGCAAAGGATAATTTCGAAACCAGCTTCCATGCGGAGAACACCATCAATCTGGCCCTCCCACTCATTCTGCGCCATTTCACATGCCTTGACCGCGCGGTCTTTCTCGCCTCCGGGCCCGCCAGGACCGCGGCGTGGCTTCTTGTCCTGGGAGAATTCCTCGATAGTACCGTTGAACAATACGTAATCTTGCGAGTCTAGAGTCCCCTTCTTCGTTTTGCCGGCGGACATGCCGTCGATATAGACGAGTCGAAGATCCTTAGCGGCAGCATAGGTGTGAAGATATCCTGACTCGTTCTCGTCAGAGTTCCCCAGATGGTGAGAGCCCTTGGCCATACCGGCGACGTAATTCTTCGTGGTGTCGGTTCTCCTGCTCCTCGTCACTTCCGTCGTCGTTGTCATCATCTGGTGGAGACGGAGGAGGGCCTCGATGCGGTCGAGCAAAGACCATGGCATGCTCCGGTTCAAAGGCGAGCCATTCCATGCCAGTCACAGTGTCCGGGTTCGAAGTGCCGTGGTATAACTGAGTACCGACCGGGACTGACGCAAGGAAGAAAGAGACGCCATTATGATGAAGGGATGAACCCCATTGGCGCATGGAGTCGTGAATCACGTTGAAAATGTGGTTTGCATTTTGGGCAACGGGATCGGCAGTAGATGTAGATGTAGATGTAGTAGATGCGAAGGCACCGGAGCAGATCGATAAGCTCACAATAGAGCGGATCGCAAGTTGGGAAAACAACCGCATCTTGCGAGTAGCTGGAGAGTTGGCCACCGTATGTTTTGAAATCCCCCGAGACAGAGCAGCTGCATTATCTGATGGTGATTTCTGATCTCGGATCATGGCGACGCGTCATCACGCCAGCGCTAGCCACCGTCTCATCTCCTCCGAGCCCAGCGGGGCTTTTCTTGGAGCTCCCCTCGATTGGATTGAAGATTTGGTAGTGGGTTTAATGGGGTACGATTGGGGGAAGCATTTTGGGTAGTTATCTCCGAGCTCTGCCTATACACGCAGAACCAAAATCAAGAATTTAACCTAGTTATAGTTACAAACCATACTGAAGTCAGCGATGGTTTATAATATCACGTGATCTATACCTTTTTGGATCCGCCAACCCGAATTGGGATAAGGAAGTATACGAGTACACGCGTACACATCATACAATTACTCGTATTCTGGCTGACGATGAGACTTTTCTTGCTCTTGTTCACGATATTCTATGAATCTATGATAGTAATACCGTGTATCTCAGAGGGTTTCCGATGATATCTATTTTATGTTGAGACAATGTCTTTACGGTGCATTGCTGCTACTAATACTAGAACTATTGAGTACCCTTTGGGGCGTGGTTGCTGCAACTTGAAGTACGCCGACCTCGGGAAGTATCCAACTCGCCGTGCCTTCCAAATCGTGCCTTCCTCAGGTAATCAGGTAATGGCAAGACAATTGTGCGGATCTGTACCCACTGGAGCTCATTCTGCGGTAAGTTCATCTACTACACCCATTACTGCGTGAAATGATGGAGCTTACCAGATAGAAAAAGCCCAATCCTGATGCCGTCGTCGGCAGCCACTGAGATATTCAGCAATCTGTGACAATGAAGGCTTGATCAGTAAGATGGATGCCAAACGCGTTGATAGCATCAAAGATCCCAGTGCAGCAGACCCTAATATAAACTTCCAAAGCACAACACCGATGCTGGACATGGTTTGGGCTGATCAAAGCCCGTCGTTCGTTTCCAAGAGCGCAGGCACGCAGCGTCACTGGTGCCCTCGTTTGATACACTTGACACGCCGGACGAAAACATCCCCATGAACCACGGTCTTCCGTTTCACGCTTCACACCTACGGCAAATACAACCGTGGGGATGATGCTACAGCATCCCCAAAGCCTGTCGTACTCCAACATCGAGCCATGGGTACCACTGCAGGACACCCACGTCGATCCATCGCGCTGTTCAAGAAGGAGCGTTATTGGTACTGATAGGTAGCCAGAAAACAGTTCGCTCAAAGTTCAGGTGCAAGACCAATGGGCAAATTACTGGGTGCTGATCCGCACTTCAAGCCGGGTGCGTACATACCTACCTCAAAGTTTAGCAAAGAGGAGATGGAATTGGCCATTAACAGCTGGCTAAATGTCCGGATTAACAAGTGTCGCCGACAACGCGTAAACCGAGCTCGTCTTGAGTCTGGATCAATGGCGCATTCATCATCCCAACACAGGAACTGGCCGAGTTGGCGTCTTTGGAAGTTTGGTTTAGGATACGCAATTTTCATAAAAGCAAAGAGGATGTAGTAGTAGCCGTTGGCGTCTATTGATTTTCACTGTTTTTGCGCATGCTAGGGAAATAGGCCCCTACGGCCCTGATTACGTCGAACTCGATATGGGCCATCACTCAACTGAACAGTCGTCGACCAAAGATGCTCGGATCAAGCACGACCCAGGGAGAGATTCTCTCGAGCATCCTAACCTTCGAGACCCACGCGCCTATTGCCAGATGTTGACACGGATTTGGCGAGGGCACAGAGAGCTTTGTGAAAACACTGGGATGAGACGCTGCTTATGGTAACTTGAAAGGCTATTGGAAGAGACTTTAAAGGGGTTGTTATGAATGGACACCTAAGAATATTATGTAAAAACTCGCTAAACCTAATTGAATGAAAGATAGTGTACTATTTGTATGATCCTAAAATGCCCAATGTACTACTTATACCTCCTTGCAAAAAAAGCCCCCACCCAAACGCCAAACATATGGTAGTACTAGTAATCGATATGCGTAATGATTCTCATAACAAACTTGAAGTTGAGTGCCAGCTCAATCCCATTGACCATTGCCAGCCAACGAACCCAGTCCACCACCAGCATGCTTGCTCAGCAGCTTAGCAATATTAGATCCGCCATTGCGTTGCTTGGAACGCAATTGTCTCTCACGCTCCTGCTCGCGTGCAGCAGTGTAGGAATTGACTGCACCACCCTTCTTAGGCCCTGACGCAGCGGTGGGAATTCTGCTCGATGAGTTGGACGTAGTTGAGTTGCTGGAAGATGAGCCGGAAGTGACACGACGCAGGAGTTGGGGAGGTCGGAATCCGATGGGTCCATCTGAGTTTCCGCCGCCGTGGAAGGCCATTTTGTTGTTTGTGGAGCCAGATGCGGTTGTGGTTGCGGAGTTGGAAGATGCCTGGCGCAGGAGGGCAAGTCGATCGATGACTGTTCCGCGAGTGCGGCGCGGATGACTGGGTTTGGCGAAGGTCTCTTTGGGCTGGGATTGGGCGTCTTCGGAGTAGGCTTCGTCGTTGCCGGAGGTGTTATTGTCGGCTTCTTCGCCGGGTTCCTCGTCTCCGTCGATCGAGGCATCCTCGTGGAAAGAGTCATATTCATGAGTCTCGGTGAGGAAGGAAAGAGTCTCACGGACCTCGGCCAGGGTAGCGGGCTTCTTCGACATCGCGCTAGCAGCTGTTCGGCGGAGGTGAGGAGGAGGTCGATTGGTGGCATCTTCAGTAGAAGGTTCAAGGGGTCGCTTGCGCTTCTTGCTATCGTCTCCAGCATCGGGCTGTTGATCGGCGGCTACATCTTGCGAGGATTCGCCCAGCGAGGCACCATCCTTCTCTTCTAAGAACTCCAGCTCAAAGTCGTCCTGGTCTTCGCGATCCTCAATAGCCTTGAAGAAGGCAGCCTTCTTGGGATTCTCGGCGAGAGCTCCAACCTTGTCGTCGGCAAGCAGAGCTCTGCGCATCTTTGCGAATTCGCGCTGTTTTTCGCGTCGACGCGCAACGCGCTCATCGTCCGAATCGTCGAGGTCAAGGTCATCGTCACCGCCGCGACGACGACGCAGAGCTCCAGTGGAGATATCCTTGAGCAACTTGGCGACATCCTTCTCGTCACGGTTTCGTTGATGGGAACTAGAGCATGTCAGTAAATAAGAATCAGACAAAAAGACATTTCCACACATACGCATTCAGAGCGGCAAGCTCTTTCTCATCCACGACTTCGCCACTGTTGTCATTGATCATATTCAGATCGCGGATATCCTCTTCGCCATCGCTGTCATCACTAGCACCTCCAATACCAGCATATTCATCTCCGGATTCCTCAGCGGCTTCATCAACCACGCCCTTCGCCTTACTGTTCTTCTTGTCATAGGGCGTTGTTGTCTTCTTGGCCGCCTTCTTCATTACGTTGAAAGCGTTGGCGTTAATCTCAAATTCACCCTCGTCTTCATTTTGCTCCTCGACGGCGGACAGATTGGCAGCACGTCCTCGTCGAATTTTTCGTCCTTTCCGTTCAGCAACAGGTGACTGGCTTTGGCCAACAATCACAGTGTCGATGGTCGAAACAGGCGGCGTTCCTCTGAAGCGCTTGGAAGGGTCGAATGGCGAGAAGACAAAGCCCTCATCCTGCGTCGGATCCGGAATTTGCGAGAATTCAGAGAAACCATGTCCTGCAGGAGATTCTGATACCCTGTTGACATTTGTATTGTAGGCGGGCATGAAATCGGTCTCGTTTTGTTCCTGGCTGTCCTTAACAAGAATCTCAGATTCCTCAGCGCGAAGTCTGGGAACTGGTCTACCAGGATCAGGGAGAGAGAAAGGAATAGTGCCCGTTCCTGGCTGACTGGCGTTTTCGTCGGCAAGAGTGCCCGCAAAGGCTTGAGTGAGACCCATGGACATGTCCGGGGTCTCCATTCCGGGGAACTTGGGTCGTTCAGCCGACTGCGGAACATGAGATGGGGGTCGGACAGGCGTAGAAGGGATCTGCTGTTCGTTTTCTTCGTCGTCTTCGTCGTCGCTAACGACGCGGGTGCGGCGTTTTCTCCTGGATCCGGGGGCTTCGATTTCGGGCTCTGAGACGGCCGCCTCCGATTCATCTCCAGAAGATTCATCTGCTTCATCTGCCTCTCGTTCGAACATGCTCATTTCTCCCTTGGCACTCTTCTCTTCATCCTCATCTTCGTCGTCGCCAGATGCATCGTCATCAGATCCAGAGAAAGCATAGTCATCATCGTCTTCCTCATCGTCATCAGCATCAAGGCCCTTCGCCTTCCTCCTGGCCGCACGCTCCTCGCGGGCAATCTCATCGGCTTCTTGGCGGGCTTTCTCAACCAGATCTTCAACATTGTCTTCCATGGCGGCACGCTCCTCGGCAGTCTCAATGACAACACCCTTTGCCCTGAGCTCTTCGATACGCTCCCGTCTGTCTTTTGCGGCTTGTTGACGCGCCTTGTAAAGAAGACTGGCAGAGAGTTCGGCGGAGCTCATCGAACTCATCTTATGGTTGGGAGAAGTGAGATGAGCCAGAGCTTTTAGCTTGGTCATGGAGGAAGATTCCTGCATCTGGCGGGAGGGCAGATTCTCAAAGGCGGCGATTCGACGGCATTTGGCCGGAGACGTAATAACCTCCAATTCATCACTGTCTGACCCATCGTGTTGATGTTGAGCGACCTCTTGTCGGGACATGAGGACACGGACAGAGGGCGGGGTGATTTTTCGAATTGCTTCCTTGGGCTGAACGATGCTTCCGGGTGACTTCGCGATGACTTCAGGTACAGGCGCAACGAGGGCATCTGTGTCCTTTGGTTCAATTGGCGTGTCGGCAATGGCCTCCTCAAGGGTGGGGAGATCAGTCATCTCGATATCGGCCTGCTCGTGAACTGCTTCTGGCTGGCCATCAGCCGGCATTTCGGTGGGCTTCTCTCCATCAGCAGGACCAAGGACAGGGGAGGTGCGAGGAGTCTCATTCTTTTGTCCCTCGATATCGGATGAGTTTTGTGATCCAGCTGCGGAAGACGAGTTCGCCGCTGCGGGTTCGGCTGGGGGGGGGGATCGGCTTGCATAAAGTTGAATCGAGCAAACAGGCTTTCCTTCGTAATCTTTTTCTTGGTCTGGGCTTGGTGGGCAAGCTGCATATTCCGGCTCATGCGCTGAGTCTCTCTGCTCATCTCTTCCAGGGCCTTCTTGCTAGCCTTTCGCGGTTGACGAGCTTTCTGAGATAACTTATGCGCAGAACCCGGATCATCAGCTCCACTCTCCTCACCAGATAGAATATCAGAGCTGAATTGCTCCATTTTCGCTCGTCGGGCGGCCTTTTCTTCGGCCTCGACTCGCTCCCGCTCTTGGCGCTCTTTGCGTTTTTGGGCGATAAGTTCAAGAAATCTGGCGTTCTTTGCCTTACTAGGTGCTTCACTGTCGCTTCCGGATGCTTTGTCGCTGCGGGATTCGGATTGCGGCCTGGTAGCTGCAGGCGAGGAAACAAATAATGGCGAGTCGGTACGACTATGAGTAGGTGAGTCTCCGGTGGTAGAAGAGCGCTGAACCTGCGCATTATTCCTCTTCTTGGACCCCGTTACGGGTAAGTCATCATCGCTTGACTCGTGGACCGACGCGGGGCTTTTCTCGCGTGGCTTCTGGGCTTGTTCTTTCTCGGATCGGAGTGCATTCGACAGGCGAGAGAAAGCAGATCCTTGTTCACTGCTCTCATTGGTGGAACCTTGCATTCGAGCAGCCATTCGACCCTGAGGTCGAACAATATCATCTGCATCGTCCGAGTCGTCCGAGCTGTCGTTATTAGATTGAAGTGGGCGCCGTTCAGTAGTAGTCGATGTGTTATTGCGACCGAAGTCCAGCTTCGGAATTGTAGTTTTCTTTTTCGTGGCTTGAAAGTCGCTCTCGCTATCACTGTCGAATTCCGCCATCATAGCCTTGATCTTTTGGCCGGGGGTAAGCATGTTAGGCGAATTGTTCGCTGGCGACGGGGAGCGCGTCGAACGCGGTGTAGATGCAGAGGACATTGTGGATGTGTACGGTTGCAAATGATATTTCGGAGCAATTATACAGTGTCACGGATCATTGTGGGATCAATCGATTGTAATGAGGAGGTTTGAAGAGTCGACAATGCGGGTCTTCAAGGGTGGCATACCTGGGGAGGTGGAAACGCGATGTGCGCGTGCTTCGCGTTGCTGGGCCATACACGTGACTCTATCAACGCGCGCCACTATAAACCAATGGAGCAATTCAACCATCGAAATTGTCTGATCGTGTCTGTCTGTAATTCTACCACTACGGATTTTCTAGAATCAGAATTTATTGTATCTGGTTAGAAGAAAGTATAGGACAAATCAATTACTGATTGGCTAGTCAACTGATTAGCTACTTGTTTTCCAGAATTCGTACCTATTACTACGCATGCTGCCCAAGTGGCTTGAAAAATAGTCATGCTCCATTCGAATTGTGCTCATAATACAGGTGTTCCCGTAGGATTTTCTTTTGCTTGACGCCGCATGATCGTGCGCCTTATCCCAAATGAAAAAAAGAAACAAGAAAAAGAAGACACCCTATCAGCATCCGCCGGTGGATATTCTAGTGTGTACAGGGTTTTTGAGGTTATTAAAAAGATTTGGTCAACTGCTAGATGCTTAGCTTAGTGACATAAACCGCATCCGAGTCGACAGAACTTGGACGAAAATATGCAACCGATCAGATATGCGACAGTCTTAAATATCGATATCAATGTCCATATCCAAAGCCGCGATGTTCTCGTCATCGTTGTTGCGGTAACTAATCATGAAACCACTCTGCTTCTTCGGGGTCAAGCTAGGCTTGGACGCATCTAAAGCACCATCGGCGCCCGACTTGGCAGATTCCTTGGGGTTATCGGTGGGGGTAGAATCAGCGGGTTTCGGTGAGTCTGTGGGCTTCGTGTTTACGTCGTGGTGGGTCTTCGCAATGGTTCGAACACGCATGAAAGGATTGACAGTGGCCTCACCCCGAGCCACAGCAGCGGCAGCTAGGCGAGCAGCCTTGCGTTCCTCAAGTTGGGCTCGACGCACATTCTCGTGGTTGAGCTTCTGGTTTCGCAAGTTGATCTGGTGAACGCGTTCTGCTTCAGAGAGTTTGGTTTCCCCGGCTGGCTTGGCAGCGAGAGATGTTCCCCAAGAGAGATTGGGGTTGCGAAGGTCATTGAGCTCCTTTTGCAGACGCTCAGCTTCGTCATCGTTGCCATTGGCTCGTGCAACTTGTAGATCTTTTTGAATGTCGTTTTCGCGAAGGACGTTCTTCTTTTCATCAAGTGCGCCTTGTTTGCGAAGCTTTTCGCTCAATTCTTCCTTCGTGAACTGGTGGTTGATGAGTTTGTTAATATCGACAACCTTTGCTGCTACTTTGCTCTGGGTCGCCATCTTGCAATCCTCGACCGCCATAGTCTTGCGGTAACGGGCGTATTCGCTCTGTAGACTGGTTAGTGAAACCATCCTCAAATAAAGGTGGGAGTAGGCAACGCACGTCACTGAAAGAAGAATCGGAGCAGGCGATGAAGGGGAAATCTCGAATGGCCTTTCCGTGGGCTAATTTGGCATACTGATCAACGACAAATGAGCGGCCATTGGCTCCCTCCATAGCATAGGGCTTTCCTGAGGTGAACCCTATCGGGAAGTTAGTGACTGGCGTGAAATGGCCACATCGGTCATGAGAAGGAGCTCTTACCAGTGATCAAGCAGAGACGGTATTCATTGAGGCCCGTCTCTTTGCTAGGGCCAATGTTGACACGTGCATAGCAGCCAGTGATACGCTCGTTGAATCCAGGGTAGAAGCAGACTTGAGCAAAGTTGCTGCGGCCGACACGGGCACGTTGAATATCGCGTAGTTCGGCGGGAGGGTCGTCCTTGGGAACGACTTTAGAGCTTCCAACGCGGTCATCAAGATCAATGTCGCTGTCCGCATCGGCATCGTCATCCGAGCCCAGAGAGGCGCTTGAGACAGAAGATCGCCTGCGTGTCTGGGTAGTGTCTCGAGCGCGGTTCTGATCACGCTTGCCCTTCTGCTCGCGCTGGCGCTTATAGGCATCGATTGCTGCAGAGGTTTCCCCGACCTTGCGGCCACCAAGCGTTGTCTTCTGTCGGGAACTCTTGCGCTGGGTTTCATCTAGACCAGCCGAGCCGGCTTTTCGCTTGGCCTGCTTGGCGGCACGCGCCTCTTCGCGCTCTCTGGAGGCGAGGAGCCGGCGTAGAGCAAGATCCTGGTTGTGACGGTCGACTTGCTGGGCACGCTCGGAGAGCATCTCCTCACGCTGAATTTCGGGCATCGCCATAATTTCATCCTTCTCCTTCGCTGAATAGTACAGCTTGTCGTATGGGAAAATTGGGCGGTCTTCATCATCAGAACCCCCTCCCTCAGAGTCGGACTCCGACATGGGGGCAGACTGAAGAGAGTGGTGTGACTCGGCATCGGAGCTGAATACAACAAATACGTACATTAGTAAATGAGACTGGGCAACCAGACTAAGGCATAACTCACATTTCGCCGTCCTCTTCGTCTTTCACTGACTTCCTCGAATGTTTGGTTGAACCTTTGCGACTTGTGGGCTCAGGTGAAAAATCGCGGTCTGGTGAACGAGATGAGCGGGATGGTGCCGGTGATTCATCTTTCTGCTGGGGAGGAGGTGATTGTTCCTCGTCAGAGTCGCCTGCCAGAGCGAGCAGCTCCTCGTCCAAAGCGTCCGCCATTCTGACTGAATTCAACCGGTATTTGGGCCGGTGCTAAGACTTCAGATGAAAGAACGTGTGTGTAGATCGGCTGCCTGCTTCTCCGTATGCCTGCCTAACCTAGTCTCCAAGTCAAATAGGCTCCTGGCTAGGAGGCGCAAAGATTCAACAAAGGTGTTCCTCGAGTTAGGCGATGGAGTCAAGGCGGAATTTCGATCTCGGAGAAAATCCCCCACCAAATATGAAGGCTCTGTACAAACGGCGGGTGGCGTGAAAGACGAGGGTATTGCCGGGAGGGCGTGGTTGTCTGTCGCAAGTTGGCCTTTGCCGTCGGTTCATGACGTCCGGCGCGCCAAGACTCAAGCGCGCGGCAGCGGCAAGGCCCTTTTTACCGACCGACCTCCAAGACTCGACAGCCACAGCAGCAAGCTTCAGCTCTGAGAATACGCACAATGGAGTCTATCCCTACTCTTCGGGGGTGTTTGCTAGCGCAATGCCGACGCCCAACTCGACGAGTATCATCAATCTTTCTCGATTTCCTTGCCCCCACTGCGGTCCGATCCCAGCACCGATACGCCTCTACGACCGGAACGGACGGTACCTCTAAGCCTCGATATGTTCTGAGCAAGAAACAGCGTGAATTCATGGACAGCGCTCTGCGGGTCAATCAGGCCGGTGAGCTCGCCGCGACTCGCATCTACACCGCGCAAACCCCTCAAATCGTCCGATCCCATCCACACCTCCGACCCTTAATGAAGCACATGTACGACCAGGAGGCAGGCCACCTGAAGACATTCAACCAACTTGTTGCGAAGCATGAGATCCGTCCGACAGCCATGTACCCGTTTTGGGAGGCTGCATCTACTTTCCTAGGATGGTCCACCGCCGCGCTGGGTCGGGAAGCAGCCATGGCATGTACCGAGGCGGTGGAGACGGAGATCGGTTCACACTACAACGACCAAGTGAGGGAGATCCTATCTTGGGAGGCGGATGCAGAACGAAAGGGGGAGGAACTCGATGATGAGCTCAAGGAGATGCTGAGCACATTCCGACGAATTCGAGATGAGGAATTGGAGCACCTGGACCACGCAGTTGCCAACGATTCTAAGGAGGCTAGGCCGTACGATCCACTGGTGGATGTGATTCGTCTAGGGTGCAGGACTGCTATCAAGATCAGTGACAAGGTCTAATTGAGGGGTCAATTGTGTTGTGGTGTCTACCCTGTGTCATACTATGTTCCGTCCCACATACTTGTATAACAAATAATCATGTACCAAAGCGAGTAACATTTCTGCAACGTCATTCTATCAAGCTCTAAGGTGTAGTAGCTGGAAACTACCTCGGGATTATTTTGTGTATTCCTTCAAGTTGTTACGCAGGTGTCCAGATTGCAGAGTTCCTTGGGATCAACTTGAGTATCACACCGCCTGCCCAGGTGATTGTCTAGTATCTGTGCTGCTATCCATAATGGCTTTACTATCATTCCTGCCCAGGTGGGTTACTATATATAGCACTGGTATCATTTATCTGGTGTTACCGGTAGTGTAGTAACTAGCATCCCATCTGGTATATTCTAACATACGTCTATGATATTGGGACCCAACATTCTATTATTCCATATCACACCTTTCATATATCATGTCACGAGCCAGTCATTGACCTACTCATTACTCTCCAGATAATCCACAAAGCCCTGAGAGAACCTCACGACTTGCTGATAGACCTCCTCAAAGCCATTAGCACCACCGTAATAGGGATCCTGCACGACCTCCCCACCACCAACACGATCATGTAATTTACCACCCTGACCATAGTCCCCGAACAAGCGAACCTCCGCGACCTTAGCGTCGTCACCAGCAGCGCCCAGCGCAGCGTCCCGCGCGGCTCGGGTGTTCTTGGCAGAAGACTTGGGGTCGGCTTTTCGGTTCAATGAATTGATAACAGACACACGAGTATCCAGGAGATCGCGCAGATTGTACTTGTCCATGGCGATCAGGTAGTCGAATTTCAGAAAGTCGTCCTTGGTGACTTTTCGAGCGGCGTGGTGGTAGCTGGTGATGCCGTGACGGCGTAGGGTGGACATGGTCCGTGAGTCGGGGGGCTCATCGGTGTGATAAGCACCGGTACCGGCCGAGTCGATCTCGCCGATGATAGGATTGGAGTCGGCGACATTGCGGAAGACGCCTTCGGCCATGGGTGACCGACCTGGTGGGCGTTAGAATGGGACAGTGGCAGCAAGGCTTAGCGGGGCGGAGTGAGGGTGGTGGGGTGGCTGACAGATGTTGCCCAGGCAGACAAATAAGACGCTGACGGGGGGGAGCCATGGTGGAGGTGGGGGTGGAGGTAGAGGGAGAGGTGGTTGATATTGAAAGAGATCTCCCATGCGATTACGGAAGTAAATGCGAATTGAAGTAAATGTCTATGGCGGTTACGTCAGTAGGGCTCTGTCTGTCTGTCCCTGTCGAATGAGCGGGGCCGTCTATCTAATCTCCCGTGACCTCGGCAGTACAGTGGCAGTAGCACCACACGAGGTGTTACTATTTACTTATACTATAATACGGCATGCTAGGAAATATGACTATTGGATAGTATCTATGTATACAATATCTATTCTAAGATATATGACATATGCATCTGCGACACATCGACATACATACTGTGTGCGGGGTGTAGGCAACCAAGTTGCCAGTAGCTAAAAATAAGTTGTATCCCTCAGCCTCAGCCACAGACACAGCCACAACCACAGGTACTGGTCGCACTTGCCACGCCCGTCCCGTGGCTGCACTACAATTTTCGTCTTGGCAGCACCACAGGCGTGCCTCACGTTGGCCTAGTGACCACTGGTTGTCCCCACTTCATCTCGCTGCATCACCAACCCGTGGATCGCTCGTTTCACTCCCCCGGGGAATTATTGGCTTGCTGCTCATTTTCCAATCAGCGTTTGGATCTCTCTTTTTTTTTCTGTCCCTTTTCTTTCACACATGAATTCTTGCATCTCATCTTCGCCCTTCGAGATACAAGCCTTAACATCGTCTTCACATTGCATCGCACCGCATCACATCATCCACTGTTATTGCGGGTCGGCCAGTCAAGCGCCTATTCGTCTGCCTGCCTTCATCTCCACCGTCATCACAGCGATCGTCAAGGCCTCGTAAACACCCAGGGGTCCGGAATTTATCTCTGCTGTCTTGCCCTTTAACACTCCTCCAATCGTGCGACACGGACCCTCCCCCTCATATTTGTTCCTCCTCTCATCATCTCGTCTGGCACATTCGCTGTTTCTGAAACGCCCGCCGAGAGTTTGGGTTCGTCGTTCGGACTAGTGATTCCTCCACATCACGGAGCCTGTCGATTCCACTTGGCTCCTGGCGCAATCTCCAACCAACGACTCCCCCCTCTGCCCTTGTCCTTCGGGGCGGCATTATTGCTTTGAGCTAAGTTTCAAGCCTAGCTCGACGCTATGTCCTATAATCGCATCGGTTAGTTCCTCTCCTTTTCTTGTCTTTCAGCCCTGCGTACCTGCATTTCTCTCTCTGCCAATATCTCTTTGCGCATATACCTCACCTACCCGTCTGACTTTTGCGCCGTGGTGCTGGACATTGACGGTGCACGGTCATTACGTGGTCCCTTTGACAACTCTCCTTCGCTCTATCTGTCTAGGCGACTGAGCCATTGTGATCTAGGGCAACCGTGAAAACAGCACAAGCTAACAAGATGCGCACGCCAGACCCCTTCGGGGACGAGAATCGCTCGCCTTTGAATCCCAATCCTCAGCACATGAACAGCTACAACATTCGGACCCCATCCCCAGGAAATGCCTATCAGCTGGAAGACAACCCTTACGCACAACATTCACACAACCCATATGGCGAGCGTTTGCATATGCCGTCGGCTGATCAGCTTGCCTCTCAACCAACCGTGAGTGGATTTTGGCATCTATCATGACTGCGCGCATGTCGTACCTTGACGGGAATAGCACTAATTTCTATCTAACTCTATAGTACTCCGTCGAGAATGTCCCACACTCTGGCTACCAAAATCCTTACGCAGACCCCAGCCATCCCGATCGTCATGAAGACTACACATTCGACCCCAATGCTCACCATGACGCCTACCTCCCTGGCGAGTATGTGTCGCATCCGCCTCAGGCTCAACCTTATCATGACGAGTATGACTATGACCTCGGCCAGCATCCTGAAGGCCGGTCCCCATTTGATGAACACCCTAGTGCTCCCATGTTGGAGCATGAGAACCCCTTTGGGCCGGACCCGTATAAGGAGGAATTCGACGATGAGCCGCGCCCAACGCCTAGTCCCGCTCCTCTTCGACGCTGGAAGACTGTCAAGGAGGTCCAATTGTTTAACGGCAATCTCGTCCTTGATTGTCCGATCGCGCCAAAACTCTTGAGCCAGGTGCCTCACGCAGAACCCCCTGGTCGTGATGAGTTCACTCACATGCGTTATTCGGCTGCTACTTGCGACCCCGCGGACTTCTTCGACGAGCGATTCACACTGCGCCAGAAGCTTTTTGCCAAGCCCCGTCACACTGAGATCTTCATCGTTGTCACCATGTACAACGAGGATGACTTCCTTTTCGCGCGCACCATGTCTGGTGTTTTCAAGAACATTGATCACATGGTGTCGCGTACCAGCAGCAAGACCTGGGGCAAGGATGCTTGGAAGAAGATCGTGGTCTGTATTATCAGCGATGGTCGTGCTAAGATCAATCCCCGTACTCGCGCTGTGTTGGCTGCTTTGGGTGTCTACCAGGACGGAATTGCCAAACAGCAGGTCAATGGCAAGGATGTCACCGCTCACATTTACGAATACACGACCCAAATTGGCTTGGAAGTTAAGGGTACACAAGTTCATATGAAGCCACGCTCAGGCGCACCTGTGCAGTTGATCTTCTGTCTGAAGGAAAAGAACCAGAAGAAGATCAACTCCCATCGGTGGTTCTTTCAAGCATTTGGTCGAGTCTTGGATCCCAATATCTGTGTTCTCCTCGATGCCGGTACTAAGCCCGGTAAGGATTCAATCTACCACTTGTGGAAGGCCTTCGACATTGAGCCTATGTGCGGTGGTGCCTGCGGAGAGATCAAGGTCATGCTGTCACACGGTAAAAAGCTTCTGAATCCCTTGGTCGCTGGTCAAAACTTCGAGTACAAGCTTAGCAACATTTTGGATAAGCCTTTGGAATCTGCATTCGGTTTCATCAGCGTCTTGCCTGGTGCCTTCTCAGCCTATCGTTACGTTGCTTTACAAAACGACAAGAACGGCCAAGGTCCTCTCGAGCGATACTTCATGGGTGAGAAAATGCATGGTGCAAATGCTGGTATCTTCACAGCCAACATGTATCTGGCTGAGGATCGTATCCTTTGTTTCGAGATTGTCTCGAAGCGAAAGTGCCGCTGGTTGCTGCAATACGTCAAGTCATCCACTGGTGAGACCGATGTTCCCGACCGCATGGCCGAGTTCATTCTCCAGCGTCGTCGTTGGTTGAACGGTAGTTTCTTCGCTGCCGTCTACGCCATTACCCACTTCTACCAGATCTTCCGCAGTGACCATAGTTTCCTGCGCAAGTTTGCTCTCATGATTGAGTTTATCTACCAAACGATCGCGATGATCTTCGCGTGGTTCGGTATCGGTAATTTCTTCCTAGTCTTCCACATTCTGACAACCTACCTTGGTAGCGATGAACTTCTGGGCACCGCTGGAAAGGTATTGGGTATCGTCTTCGAATGGCTTTATCTTGCAACTCTGGTCACTTGTTTCGTACTTGCTCTCGGTAACCGACCTGGTGGATCTAACAAGTTTTATATGACCATGGTCTATTTCTGGATTTGCATCATGATATACTTGTCATTCGCGGCCATCTTCGTTACTGTGAAATCCATTCAGTCTGAAGTACAGTCTGACGGGTTCTCGGTCACCGATTTGTTCACCAACAAGACCTTCTTTTCTATCATTGTGTCCCTTGGTTCGACCTATGTGATGTGGTTTGTGGCGTCCTTCATTTTCATGGACCCCTGGCACATGTTCACCTCGTTCATCCAATACATCCTTCTGACCCCGACCTACATCAATGTCCTCAACATCTACGCCTTCTGCAACACCCACGACATTACCTGGGGTACCAAGGGTGACGACAAGGCCGAGAAACTGCCATCCGCGAACTTGAAGCCTGGCGGCAAGGTTGATGTCAACATTCCCCAGGATGACGGCGATCTCAACGCGCAGTATGAAGCCGAATTGGTGAAGTTTTCCATGAAGCCCCCCAAGGAAGTACAGGTCATCTCCGAAGAAGAGAAGCAGGCCGACTACTACAAGGGATTCCGAAGTGCCGTCGTGTTGGCATGGGTATTCTGCAACTTTGCCCTGGGTGCTGTTGTGCTGAGCGCAGCTGGTCTGGAAACATTCGATGATCAGAGCAGCAGCAGTGACAGCGAGGATTCTACTCAAACCAAGAAATCACTCATCTACATGGAGGTTGTACTGTGGTCCGTGGCTGGTCTATCGATGTTCAAGTTCTTCGGTGCGATGTGGTACTTGGTGGTTCGGATGGTGAGTTCCTCCTCCCTTCCCTTTCTTCATTAACGTTCTTTAAATGTATCATTAAGCTAACTTCATTTCTCACAGTTCCGAGGTGTTTAAGGTTCTGTATTTTAGGGCATGATTGTGTACGCTCAGCCTTATTTCGATCTTGTGTTTTCAATATATCCCCACGCTGCGTTGATACCACGGCGGGTCCGGTCCGGTCTGGTATGGGTAACTATGGTTAGGTTTACCTTTGGAGCCGGAAAATTGTGTTATGTGTGTGATGACTTGGCGCTTTATCCCGCTTCGGCAGCTGTATTTCTTTGCACGACCTGATGCATGGTATACGTTGGTGTTTGTTTGTTTTTCTCCTGTTCGTCTCTTGTTTCTCTGTCTCTTTTTTCTTTTCTTTTCTTGTTTATGCCCGCCTGCTTTCAAAGCCACGGATGCATTTATGTGTTGGACGACAGGCCGCTTGACGGATGAAATGTTTTTGTATGTGTAGATAGCATGAGTTGTGGATATGATTCTTGTGAATTTCTACGAGGCGGGTTGATGGTGATGGTATAGATGAAATGCACTCGTCAACGATTACAACCTTGAAAACTTATCAAAGTCAATACTTCTCTACACGCCGCCCATGCTGTACACAATAGCCAAGGCTGTTCGCCATTCGGTAGCTAGAGTCCAAAGCTCTGATCGCAGGTGGATTCAAGTTGTGCCCAATAGTAAGTAAATCTATAATTCCCAGATCAAATATATCGATTCAACCAGTCTGGTTCTTCGAATGCACACACAACGCAATACCGCCCAGCACCAACGCCAGTCCCAACCAGGTCTCCTTCGCAATAACCTTCCGATCAACATACCACTCGCCCAAAACCGTAAACAAAAACGCACTCGAATTCGCCAGTGGCACTGTCAGAGAGAGTTCTATAAAATCTCGCAATTAGCAACCATCCAGCAAGACCCCAATAGAACCGAATCAAAGGAGAAGACAAGACAAGGCCTGCGGGGGTACGGATGGCGGGACGTAGACATAGACATACCATGCTTTCCAACAAGCAAGAAAAACCAAATACTCCCCGTCAGATTGATGACCAGTGGAATCGAGTACGCCGGCGTACGGAGCATATTCACAACGGTCCAGAACACAGACACGATCTTCGTTCGCACCCAGGACTTCTGCTGCGATTGCATCCAGGCTGGCGCTGGCGTGTTGTCCACATCACCCTCTTGTTCAGCACCTGCGCCAGTAGCAGCCTGCTGCTCCTGTCGCTGCTGACTAGCACTCCGCCTCCTCACTCCATCACCCTCAACATCCGCATCATCCCGCACAAGAAGCTCCTGCTCCTCTCCTGCCTCGTCCCGAAAGTCCGGACTCGACGATTGAGTCTGCGATCGTCCGCGGGGTTCTGTGCCGGTCTGTTGCTGCTGTTGCTGCTTCTCTTGTCGCGCGTTGAAGTCTGCCGCTGCGCGCCGGATAAAGGGGGTTGTGAAGCCCCATGCTACGCCGACGAGGAGGAAGGAGAGGATGTAGTTGAAGGTTGAGGGTTCGGAGTCCGGAATGCTTGCGTCTGGGTCCATTGTGCAAGGTTGGTTTAACCTTGGAGGCTTGGTGAGGGAGTTGGAGGTGGTGAAGGTGGAGGTGGAGTGCGGAGTGGGCGTTGGTCTCTGGGCACTTCCGTTTTGGGAGTGTACACTAGTACAACACACTCGACCACGGAGTTTCAAGTTCGTCGTATGGTTTGCAGTTAGGATTGTTTGTTCATTGGATAATAACCACCAGACTCCACAGAGCACAACCGAACTGCGACCAACTACCGCAACAAAGGGAATGAAAAAGAACGAACCGGCAATCCAGCCCAGCAAGACCTGCCGCCACAGAATTGAGCAGGGCAGCTTGCGTACTGTGATAAGCCGGTATTTGATAGATAAACGTGAGCTGGTTGGAATTCGGCGACATCTGGGCAGGGAAACCAGCCAGGCAAAAAACTTCCTGTGCATTGGCCAGTTCTACGACCATCGGCATTGTCATATTTCTATGGCAATACATCTCCGAGCTACAACAAAAATAACTTGAATGAGATAAGTTCAGGTCAACTTATCAGGTATCTCTCGTGTCCTCGCACCTTTTCTTTCTCTCGCACTCTCTCTTTTTGCACTACAGCCGGCTATCCGAGCCTCATTTTCAAGAACTTCTAATCCAGTGCAAAGTTAGAATTCATTACATACTACCTAATTAGCTACTTCGACCTCGGGATTAAATATCCTATCAACACATTGCAGACATCCGGAAATTCAAAACTTTTCAATTTGATCGGTTCTTATCGCTTTCCACTATCCACCTGAGGGGTGCGATATCCCCTCCCAGGGCATTCGACTATTATCTCTGCTCGCTAGGACCATCGGAACCAGGGATGAAGCCTTGGGCAATTCCGTGAGTGAACTGTGAAGCCGACCTTCCTCCGGGCACGCTGTTGACGAAGCCGTGGGCGAGGTCGTGAGCAGTGCCTACTGTCTTCTGGCTAATTTCACCAAATTCAGTGATGGCTTCGTTGAAAAACCCGGGATGTTCTTTAGTGAGAGGTTTCTGTTGCGGTTGACCATCCGGAAGACCCTGATAGCCTGGCATGCTGCTTTGCTGATCAACGGCATTGGTTGGGGGACCACCATTGGGCACAGGGACCCTTGCACCAGCGGCTTCGCTGTAAGTCGCTGGCTTGGTGGGGTCAGCGGTGTCAGTGACGTACTGCGACGCATCAGGGCCGTTGGGCATGACCTGGGAGAGTTTGTTCTTGATCAACTCGTCCTGCTCCTTCTTCAGAGCATTGTAGTTGATGTCACTGGCAACAGCAGCAGCAAGCTTGGGAGCGCGGAATACGCCTTTGCCCACGCCATCGAAGTGAACCTTCCAGGCTGTAAGAACATGTTAGTATCGGTTCTAATCTGGGTAGTCGCGTAGGAGGAAAACTTACTCGTTGGGTCGGTGGTCAGGTATGACCAGCTGTCGTTGAGATACGCCCTGTCGCCGTTGATCTGAATCTGCTTCAGAGCTCCCATTTTACCAGGAGCGGGCCGAAGGTGCTTCAGACTGCCACACACCTTGACAAGGGAACTGATGAAGGTAATGGCAATTTCGCGGCCGAGACAGGCATGAGGCCCGTAGCCTAAGTGGATGTAGGCGCTCTCTGGCCGGTCAAGCTTGAACTGACCCGGCTCAGGGATGGCATCAGCGTCCTTGCATGCGGGGCCCTAGTCAGAGTATAATTGTCAGAATTTGTCTCAGTTATCCATTCACTGGAATTGGTATCCTTACAAATAGAGCAATAACCACATCACCAGGCTTGTAAGTCTTTCCATCAACGGTGGTCTCGCTGACACAGACACGGATGTCCCGCTGATTACTAGTAAGTCTCTGGGCCTCAAGAACATATTTCCGTAGCTCCTTGTCAGCAGACTCGGGATCCGAGCTTGAAGACAAGTTTTGGATTGCCTCCCAGTGCTGCGAGTTCTCCTCTTGTAGGAAATAGTTCAGCACGTCGGCAAACTAGAGGAGATTATCATGTTAGAGCCAGGTTGTTTAAAGATAGAACCACGGGTGAGTAGCGTGGACACAAACCATTCCAATTGGCGCACCAACGCCAGCGACCGCAGTCAACCAGCAAATGTCGGCAGCTTCCTCTGGAGACTTTCCAGCGGAGATAAGTTCCTTGACGACGTTCTGGCCATACCACCTCAAAGATCCAGTCTTTGCTTCAGCTTTCTTGTTGGCCTTGCTGAGAATACCACCGACGAAAGGGATCTTTGACGTGATGCTAGTCACAGCCCCGGTAATGGCTCCAGCGGTTTTGGATACAATTCCTTGGGCATCGCTGACTGGGTTTGATCCACCCAAGATAACATTGAGGGTGGTCTCAGTAAGAACCTTAGACCCTTTATGGGCTTCGTTTCTGCGCCGCAATGCCAGAGCAGGATCGAAGTTGTTGAAGCCAAAAGTGCGAACACTCATAAGGTGCGTATAAAGCTCTGTAGAGTTTAGACTCCCTCCCTTGTTTTCATCGGTCTTCAGGTCCAAGCAGAACAGATCGGCCATGATACGGGTATTCAGAGGAATAGCGATGCTACAGGTGTATCAGTAATCACGTTTTCAAAAGATACTGGCAATAGAGGATGACTTACTCCCGGATAATATCAAGCTGGTTCAAATCTTTGCCGAGGCTGAGAGTCTCATCATCCAAGAGCTCCTTGCCAACCTGCATCGATGTTTGAGAAAGCAACTGCATAAACTCAGGCGGGCTGAACATTATTTCCTTAACCAAGTTCCTCTGGGCTGTATTCGCAGCAGCATCACCACCCAGCATGTATGAGTCGTACTTCTTGCCAGGGGTCATGTCGTTGAGGTTCTTGGCCCAGACGACGCGGAAGTTCTTCTGGTCACTCAGAACCTTAGTCACGGCAGAGTACTTGGTGACTACGTTGGGAGTAGGTGGAGGCGATGGGTCCTGCAAAGTGTACTGGTCAATAGTTCCGATTTCACGTGCAATCTGCTCGTTCATCTTGCGAGTGAACATTGGCTGTGTGCAGTGCAACGAGTTGTAAGGGAACCAGCCCGGGAATGCACGCTGGAATAGCTTCCAAAACATCGATCCTCCAAGGCTGCGGGTAAAGGAAACGTCAATAAACTTTGTGGGTACAGATAGGAAGCAATAGTACTTACATATCATAATCCTGCTGGACTTCCCGGTATCCCCATGCTGTGAGATTTGAAGCCGTGTAGTCCTATATCCATTTTTAGCACTTTTTCTTTTCTCTAGGTATCTTGTGTTTGGTCCACGGTCACTTACCACAGTGAGGAATCGGTCAGATCGCACCAAACTGACAGCATCACTGAAAACAGCGCGACCAACAGTGTATGGAGGGCAGCCGCCACACCCTACCCCCTTAATTAACAGATATCAACGACTAAGAATGAAATTTGCTTACCAGGATCCATGCGAGGCTTTCCATCCTCAAGGAACAGACCAGGATACATTTCTACCATGTCGGGGTGATCGTAGAGCTTGCGCATGAGGTCAGCAATTTGAGGGTCGGGGTTGATATCCTCAAACGTATCGTGGCGTTTGAGTCCAAAGAAGCTACGCATCTCATTCAAAGATGCGAGGTTCCACTTTCTGGAAGTCATAATGCCACTAATTTCAATCATCCGGAGGGCCTTGGGAACCATTCGGGCGTTGAATAGACCTGCAGGATCTTCCATACTCTCCTTCATGATATTCACAAGCTCAGCGTCGTCAAACTTGCCATTCGCACCACGCTTCAACCCATCAAAGGTGCGCTCTGCTGGGTCTTCGGGAATGCTCTGCTCAAAGCGCAAAAGACCCTGAACAAAGTCTTGAGGGGTGAGTTGATCGAGTGGCTTGTCCGGGAAGATCTTCTGCATGAATTGGTTTGTCCACTTTTCATCGCGTTGAGAGATGACAGAGTGGAAACGGTACAGGAGGTTGAATTCAGCAGAGACCTGGTTACCGATACCGCGCGGGACACCCTCAGGGTCAAACATTCGGCCCACCTCAATACGGGGGTCAAGGGTCCAGTCACTGGCAGAGTGGTGGGTGTTGGTGAGGCCACGAAGGTAGTCGTGCAAAGAGATGTTAATATAGAGACCATTGGTAACACTAAATCCATGGTCAGTACTAGAGGCTTTGTGTTTGAGGAACTTGAATATTCATACAGCCTAGCAGTCTGGAAGATGTCCTCATCTTGCTGTGCAAGAGCTGCCTTTTTGTCCTCTTCCGTGTTGGTAGGTCTCAAAGTGAAGCGACCATTTTCATTGATGTTCAGGAGAACATCTGCGACATAGTTATGGAAACGGCTGTACATGACAAGCATCACATTGACACCAGGGGGCTGTCCAAGGAGACGTTTCTCAGCAAAAGAATCCGGTTTGAGTAGACCACGCTGCATGGTCCGGATGCTCAGCTGGTCCTTGAGATTTGAACCGTACAAGGGGGCGAGGTCAAGGTAAGAAGAGGTGTCCGAGATACTAGGATCAACACGGTTGGTCCGGAAGCAATCTATAAATGTGAGTAAATGCCAAACTTCCGGCTATTTTCCTTGCTTCTTACCGTGAATAATGATCGTCGCATGGTAGAATAGAACGGATGAGATACCAGCTGGGTTCTCCTTGAAGGTATCATCGCTACGAGCCATGAGCACTTAAGGATGTCAGCGTGGCTATAAAAACATTCGATGGTAAGAAAAAGTGGCTTACAGTCAAACAAAAGACCAGGGTCCGGGGGAACACCATGCAGGTGCTTCATCTTGGGGACTGTTCTCGCATATGGGCTTCCAGCCTTGCCTAGGTCAGGTTGAAGGGGGGTTCTGCATCATAACTATTAGTGAATCCACTCATTGAAACTTAATAGAAAAGCCTACTTACGTTGTAGCTTCCGTCCGGGGTTCTATATTGGAATTTGTTGCCCAGATAACTCAGAGGAGGGTGCTGCAAGCTCTTCCACAGAGTGTCGATAATAACTCCAGTAAGTTTGCGTCGCGCCTTAGAGGTACGGGGCAAGGACGTCGCAATTGCAATCATCTTCTCCATCTATAATAAACGATGAGAATCAAGTTCATCGTCCCATTTGTATCCTCCAGTACTAGTACTTACAGTCATATCCCGATCATTGATAGGCTTTCCCTTGGTCTTGGCCACCTCAAAGAGTGTGCGCAGGTCCCTGAACCCACCCTTGAGTCCCATAGACTTCAGATCAGTGGCGATTCCCGTGGCCATGGCAGTAGGGTCACCGTACGGCTCTCCTGCCTGGTAGTTCTCATCGTCCTCTTGTTCGGCGATCTTCTTCTTGTTAAAAATCTTCCATTTAGCCGGGTTGAGCTTCGAGGCTATGCCAGGTGCGATTCCAGAAATACTACTTAAAGCCGACTGTGTGCCTTTAGGCACATTTATCAAACTTTCAGGTGACGGTATTAGCTTTTCCAGGAGAGGGACCTTTCTAAGCATGCCGATTCCAGGGATCTTGTTGACATATTCGGAAACCTTGTTCCTGAGCAAGTCGGAGACGCCTTTGTCATCCTTCTTGGCGAACTTCAAGTAAGCGACATAAAGAAAGAAACTGAAAACCGTAGCCAAAACTCCACTGAGACCAAACTTTGTGAGCATTGATTTAAACCAGGCTTGATCCTTGGTTCCGAAGAGAGAAGCTCCTGGAAGCGAGGACAATCCAGGGAGGGAAGAGACTCCAGGAAGCGAAACTTCAATCCACGAGTTAGCATAGACCAGTCCCATGTTTTGTTGATATCATATACTCACGCTTGGGCAGAGAAGGCAGACTTGGAGCCCAGTTCAGAGGATTCCAAGAGGATCCCGGGGATGCATTGGGGATAGCCTCGCTAAGTCCCATATTGGGGGAGATTGTGATATGATATGACAAGTGGCAATTATTAACAGTAAATTTGAAGAATCAGAGATTCTCCAGAGCCTTTCAAGGGTTTGAATTGAAAAGTTCTCCCGTGGAAATAGACATAGGTTGTTAACTTTAAGTATGTTCATGGTGACTGTAGACATCTTTCTACCTCGACGCACAGTGATGCATTTGGTCATGGATCCAAGATATCACCAACATTGGGTTGCAGCGGAATTTTATTTCTGGTAATATCCAGAAATATTGCCGTCTGGTAGAAGATAAACAATTGTGGCTTTTTCAAGCGATAACAGACTAGGGACGATGCTTTCGTTCTGATACAACACAGTACTAATGTCTAAAGCGAACTCCACATGCTAGCTACTAAGCCAGTAACAGACCAGTTGTTACAAAAATTAGCATTATTCACTCGTGTTAAACTTTGCCCATGGACAAACATAGGAGGGCTCAACCACGGCGCTAATCAAGATTCGAGGGTTGCAAACGCGGGGATGAGGGATGCAACAGGCAAGAAATATCAGCGACATTACGTCTTATAAAGGTCTCGAACAGACGATTTGAGCTGCAAAAGTCCCAATTCTTGATTTTTTCACTATCATGTCACATTCGCAACCGCCATGCGAGAGTTCCGTGTTTTCTAGGATCATCGACCCTTGGCACTGTTGTTCTAGTTCAAGTCTGCAATCTAGCTGATAATGCACGTATCATAGCATATTGTGTTGCTCTTTGAACGCTTGACAATTAAAGTTCGCATAGCTGGAAAAGGAATGATGGTGCGCAAAGGGTAAAATTATCACCAAATGAGGCCTGCCGTCTCATGTCTTTGGGCGTCATGCAAAGCTTATGCACATATGCATGGTCAGAGACTTCTTTCTCGGGCAGATCATATATACTGGATGGAATGGCTTCCTTTATCTCTCTAGCTTTTGTAATTTCCCTTTTTCCAAGACCTTTTCTCGTTCAAATACCAAAGTCCACCTTTGCACAGTATTGAAGCTCATACTTGTCCACTATGCCTCACGCAACCAACGAAACTGAAAATTCTACCAATGCTTCATCTGGCCCACGCCGGATTATTCTTTGCTTTGATGGCACCGGGAACCATTTCCAGGGCAATGAGGCAGACACCAATATTGTGAAGATCTATCAGATGCTTGATCGACACAAGGAAGGCCAATTCCATTATTACCAACGTGAGTTGCCCACTCAGTCTTTTGTTCGTATTCTTTTATCTAAACACTTGGGCAGCGGGGATTGGCACCTACGTCAAAGGTCAAGGTAACAGTGCGACACGCGGGAAGATGTTGCCCAAAATCAAGTCAAGTATCGTCAGTACAGTCGACCAGGCAGTTGGTACCTCTTTCCAGCAGCATGTATTGGCGGGCTACCACTTCGTCATGCGTTACTATCAACCGGGGGACCACCTCTACATTTTCGGCTTTTCTCGTGGCGCCTATACGGCCCGGTTTCTCGCTGAGATGATACATGACCTTGGTCTCCTATCGAAGGGAAATGAGGAAATGGTCCAATTCGCTTGGGATACATTCAGCGACTTCCAACAATCTCGTGGCAATGATCCTCAGACTGAGAAGGATGCCAAGCTAAAGGCTTACATGTTGAATTTCAACAAGACTTTTTGTCGGCCAAATGTTGGAATCCACTTCCTTGGCCTCTTCGACTGTGTTAACAGTGTGGGTCAATTTGAAATTCCTCTTTTCCGCAAATCCTACAAGGTCATTGCAAACCCACCAGCACGGTACATCCGGCATGCCGTGGCCATCCATGAGAGGAGGCTGAAGTTTAAGCCAGCTCTGTTCCACATTGATCCGGATGGCCCACCTGTTGACCTTAAAGAGGTCTGGTTTGCCGGTAACCATTGCGACATCGGCGGTGGTTATGGACTCGAAAAGGGCCAAAAGCATTTACTTTCCGACACGGCATTGAATTGGATGCTTCAAGAGGTGCTCAACCTGGAGGGATCGGAGAGTAAATTGCAATTCCAGACTCTGAATGTGGACGACGTATCGAAAGCAGAAAACGCATTCCCGGAAAGGAGGAACCTGGCACTGATGCGTTCTCACTTCGGAGGAAGACTAATCAGCCCCATGATACCCTCCAATTCGGCCATGGTACCCCTTTCATTATGGTTCTACTTTGGTGGATCCTTGGTATGTTTTCCATTTTCTTACTCTTTTCCTTCTTTTTGCAATTAGGCTTAGAGAGCTAACAAAATACCATCGACAGAAATCCTGCCAATCTTCACCCGCCTTGAACTAGAGAATGGCAGATGGATCCCGCGCCGTCTGCCTCCAAACTTGGGAGCACCACGCGACTTGCCCAGTGATGCTATCATTGATCCAAGTGTCAAGGAGATGATTCAAGCGGGCATTCTTGACAAGGAGTCTATTCCCCCCAGAGGCGGAGACAATCCCAATTTGCCCAACATCGCGAACATCACCTACACCTGGAGCAAACTGCGCAACAGACTATCTAATCAAGCGTCAAACGCCTCCAAAGATAGCGCTGCAGATGACATCAAGAGTGCTCTCCACAAAGCAATGCCAGTTCCGGCCAAGGAAACTCACTGAGCCATAGCTGAGAGTCGAGAAGGGTCTTCCAAGGAATCTTTCACCTAGATGTTTGGTACGACCCAAGAGAAGCGAATTGTTAACACAGGCGCAAAGAATGTCAAGGTGGAATGGATTCGCTGCGTCAATAGTTACTATTTTAGTCAGAATAGCTGCGTGAACTGATTTGTTACATGAAATATTCCTGTGTATGCCTGTTACTTCAAGGATAAATTAGAATCACACATCGTAGACAATGGATTCGAAGCCTTAGGGTGCACTGATCTGTGATCAGACAACCCCTACTAGGCATCTGGGCCCCCCCGTAAAGACAAGCAACAAACACCCTTTTGATGAGCTTAGAATTACGGCAAGCGTGAATGACAATTACACTCGAGAAAATATTATCAGAGCCGAGGTCTCAGCCTATAGAATTGCTGACATTAGAATTCCTATGGCTCATTCCTTAAGAAGCTGGACCGCCCCAGTCTGCAACGGAAGCGCAAGGGCCGAACCGACGGGCCGCCAAGATCCACTTGACATAGCTATCGTCGATACAGTTGCATGCTCCATGGCCCAGATGCTTGTGGAGACACCCGTGTCGCACATTTTGGGCGATGGCGAATTCTCAATTGGAAGTAGTGACGAATTCGTCACGGTGAATGTCATTCCACGGTTTCTCCCCGGCTGTCCCGGCGATTGAGCGCGATACCACTGTACAAAGTACATATTGTATCATCCCTTGCATGTTTGGTAATACAACAGAATCCATGGACCGTAGCCAGATGCTTTCCGATACGAGATATAACAGTCGTCGACAGCTACCGGCGTGTTGTGTCACAGGTGGAAAAATAAGCCGCGGGCGCTACCTTGAGCTGACCTCGACTCATGGTACGCATGTAGTCACACTCTGCCGTGTATTCCACTATCCGATTCAGGGAAGAGGTCTTGCTAGACGTCGGTGCTGAGATTAACGGACGAGGCCTATGTACTCCGTATTTTTGCTGCTAATGACGTTAGCGTTGGTAGATCGGATAGCATCAAACTGGTCCACAATGCGGTCTAGATGTATGTACTCACTGCCTTGCAAGGTCATAGTATGCAGATCGATGCAGAGTCTGGATTACATACATCACGGGCTATGTGAGCCCCGGAGCCCGTAAACCGGTACAGAGATACCTCTCAATGCTTTCTTTGGAGCCTAACTATCTATTAGTTATAACTTGGTCGGGTCCTTTCCTTTCATTGATGTCAATCCAAGTAGCCCACGTAATCTTTCCATGTCCACGATAAGGTCAGAGTCAGGAAAAAAGCAAGGATCATCAAAAATATAATAGTATATTCATAGTAATTTAGAATACAGATTATTTAATAGAAACTGTCTAACAGAATTTAAAATAACCTTAAAAGAAACGTAGTGCCTATACCACTACAAATTTAGCTAGGAAAGATATAAATATTAATTAACACTGGGGTATTACTACCATCTGCAGTATATCCACTGACCTAATATAGAAAAAAAAAAGACCTAGGAATAGAATTTAGATACTATAGTATTCAAGCTAGACCTCCAGGGCCCGCAGTAAACTATAAGTGTAAAGTTAAAATTATATATGTTTTGGTTCAAGTTGGCTCGCATACCAGTATTAAGTCTGGACTAGCAGAAGGATTAAATTAGATATTTTGAGTACTAGTACCAGTCGTGGAGTAGTCCGGATATTAAATGTTATCGATAGTATATCTGATATACAACTTTAAAAGCCAAGAGCCGGTCGGCCACCGGCATATAACAAGACCCCGACAGGTTGGCATACCGACCTGGAGATAATATCCCAACGGGTTTGCATGCTCCGAATCCCGATCGAACTGTGGAGACTAAAAGGCGACAGTCTAGCATTCATGGCTTGGCTTTATTTGGCTCAGCTTGATAAAAACGCTAAATTTTAATTTTTTTTTTCTTCACTTTATTTCTGTCATTCTTGGCGAATTGCCAAGGGCCCACCGGCAGGCTAGACTTATTTGCTCTTGATATAATATGGCCCCTTTAGCTATTACCATGTGGTACCTCGGCTATTTCCGTTCTCATGCGCTGAGCATCAATCTGCAAGTCGCCGAATAGGAGCTTGTCCCCCCGGTCATGGTTATGGATGTTTCAGATGGCTCTTCAGGATTGTATACTAAATGATAGGACACTATAGCTCTGCACAGGAGGATTCTTTTTTTTTGAATAGTTTCAAATTTCAAATGTATTATAGCCTATTTAGCCAACGACACCAGGTCTATATAATCTAAAAATCAAATAAAAAGGTAAAGATAGTATAAAAAGAGGAAAGGATATACATGGAATGAAAGGGTAAAAAGAGGGAGTGAAGCGGTCAATTTATTGACCAGCCTTGGATTTCTTCGATGGGATGAAGCTGCCAAGCTTCTGCTTGATGCCGTCAAGACTCCATTTCTTGACCCGGAAAGTGTAGTAGAGAACGGTAGCCATGAAGATATTGAAGATGATAAAGGCCCAGACGATGCCAAAGTTTCTCCAGCGGTCGGAGTAGTAGATCCCCGATTGCGCCGTAAACTGATCAGCAACCTGCAGAGAGCAGTACTCGCAACTGGAAGTAGCGTCCTTGTTAAGCACTTGACCGCCGGCCAAGGTCGCATACTTCTCAAGATACTGCCAGCATGTTTGGCCAGATGGCGGATCAAAGATGGAGAGTTCAGACTCGGAACATTCAATAGCTCGATCGTGAACCTGGGTTGATACCATGCCTCCAACCCAGTATGTGAAGGGCGAGACGCGGTACATGAATATCCAGAATCCTGGGAGGGCGGATGGGGGCTGCATCACACCGTTGAAAGTGAGAGACATTGCGAAAAGAAGGACGACGACTGCGCTGGCAGTCTGGGCATCGGGCAGAGCGGCAATGCACATTTGGGCAAATGTGCTGGCGTAGATGAAAAATTGGATGCAGAAAAGAAGGACAGTGCCTTGGCTGAGAGAGCTGGGGATACCCACGACGGCGTAGAAATAACAAGCAAAGATGAGAATACCGGTGACGGCCATATAGGGGATTTCGACAATGACGTTGGCGATGAGGAAGGCCTTCCAGGAATAGGCCTTGGAGGGCCTCTCGCGAACCTCATAGAGGGACCGTTGGGTAACGAAGAGAGGCATCAATTGCTGCACCAGAGATGTGAAGATTGTGCAAAGCATGAAAACCGAGTAGATGATTGTCTGCATTCCTTGCAGTGAAGTTTTGGCTTGGTAAAATGAGAACCCGATGAAGAGACCAGCTGCAATACCCAGTCCCCACTTGGAGACAACGTACGAGGGCATGCGCCAGTACTGTTGGAAAACACGATAGGTGACTTGGTACAGTTGGAACCAGAATGGCATGGCAAACTCGGCGGTGGCAGAAGCATCCTCGGCCTCAGCCTGTTGACCTTGCTTTTCCTTGTGAATGCGGTCGATCTCGGCCTGGACGGCGACGGATTCCTTGCTTTGCTTCCAGACATCAAACCAATCTTGGCCTTGGGGGTTCGTTCCAGCATTGACCACATCAAGCATGAACTCAGCGGGGTTCTCGCTGTCATCGCACTTTCGGGCACCGTTGGCCTCAAAGTAGTCCAAGAGGGTGCGAGATTGTTCGCCGACAGGACCAAAGTAAACGGTCTTACCACCTCGGGCTAAGAACAGGAGTTGATCAAATTGCTGGAAGAGAATGGCGCTAGGCTGGTGAATTGTGCAAAGAACTGCTTGGCCATGCTCGGCAAGCTTGCGCAAGAAAGAGCAAATAGCCCAAGAACTTTGGGAGTCGAGACCACTAAGGCATAGTCAGTATATGAAGGGCTGGGAAGGTAGCAAAATTATGAGATAAAAACATACCTGGTGGGTTCGTCCAAAAAGAGAAGAAGCTTAGGCTTCGCAGCCAATTCAACACCGATAGTCAACAGCTTACGCTGCTCGACATTCAGACCTTCACCAGGCACACCGACGATTGCTTCGGCAAAGTCTTCCATTCGAAGCATCCCGATGACCTGCTCGACATAGTCGTACTTTTCCTTCATCGAGACACTGGCAGGCTGACGCAGAAGAGCACTGAATCGCAAACTCTCGCGAACAGTTGCAGTTTCAAGGTGAAGATCCTGCTGCTGAACGTAGCCGGTTTTCCGCTGGAAGCTAGCATCGAGGCTCTTTCCATTGACAAACATATCGCCAGTGACAACACCGATGGAGGTTCGATGAGCCAGAACATCTAGAAGAGTAGTCTTACCAGCACCACTAACACCCATAAGTGCAGTGAGAGTGCCTGGCTTGACCCATCCAGAAACATGATCCAAAAGTCGTCGGGGCTCACCCTTGATCTCAATATCGTAAGAGACATCGCGCCAAGTAAAAACATCAGTTTGAGGTTGAATAGCAGACATTCCCTGGCCTTCTTCTCCATCAGAGGTGGTCTGTTTTACCGGAGCTTCGGTCGTATTCTCAACATCGTCGCCAGATTTCTCTTGGCCACGGCGCATGTAAGCAGGCTCATGGCCACGGCGGAAAACAAGAGCCTCGGCGGTGCTAGTGGTGGAGGAGTTCAACTCGCAAGCAATGAAGTAGATAGCCATAAAGCCGACCAGGAAAGCGAACAGGATTCCAAGGTTGCGCCATACATGCTCATAGGTGTACCTGTAGTTCAACCAGATGTATCGGTCGCCGTTGACAGTTTGTTCACCAGCGACGGATCCAATGACGGAGCAGGAAAATGAGGTTCCCGACATATCAGCATAAGAGGGGACAAATTGCGAGCAAGGGAAATCCCTCCCATGGAATTCGTTGGCGATTAGGATTTCAAAGGCGTAGTAGATAGGATTCAGATAATGAATCCACTCAAACCAGGGATGCATGGATGGCACTGGTAAGACAAAACCTGTATACACGACGAGAGCGAGGATCATGACACCAGCCAGACCCATGGCCTGAGAGATTGTCTTCGTGACAGCTGCCAAAGTTCGGAACACCGCACTCATGACAAACATAATCAGGAATGTAACCAGAAAGTACAAGAAGAATTGTCCAGCTTCTCGCTTAAGACCAGAAAGGAAGTAAATGATGATGTTGAAGGCGACGGCGAGGGTAAATTTGACAGGTATATCCGCTGCTATACCAGCCATTGCCTCTGTGAACGGATGATAAAAAGCATATGAATTATGCTTTTCAACAATTGGGCGCTGGGAATAAAGACTGTTGATTTCACTCATTGCAGTAAGAGCGTTGAGCAGGACAGCAAAGAAGAGGGTGGCTCCACGAGCTTGGAAGCCAGAGGTCACGGCGGGGGAATTGTAGAAAACGGATCCGATAATCAGTGCCATAATGATGTTACTAACCACAGTAGAGACTGTTGCGGCTGCATCATTCCAGAGGCGCTGATAGGCACGAACCGTGTTCAGCTTGATCTGCATAGGCACGCTGATAATATATGGTGACTTGGGGCGGGTGTGCTTGGCCTGTTTGCCACGCTTCTTCTCCTGGAGTTCAATGGCAGCTGAGGAGTCTGCTTCCATTGGGTATTCTTCCTCGTAGTCAGCAATTTCTTTTTGAAGCTGTGTGTACTCGGGAGAGTTAAGCCAAAATTTCTCGAAATCCTCAGGGGTGCGAGGAACACGATTTTCCATGCCAGGTTGAGCCTGACGCTCATCAGCGTTTGTCACTGAGGTGAGGAAGTCTCCAGTCGTCTGTCGAGGTGGGCAAACCCATCCTTGTCGCTCGAAAAATTCCTTTGCGACCTTGGCTTGTCCAAAGAAAACCTGTCGACCTTCATAAAGAACAACAACCTTATCAAAGATGTCATAGATATTTTGGCTAGCTTGGTAGGCAGCAACGAAGTGAGAAGAGCCAGAGAGATCCGAAAGAAGGCGCAAGGATTCGACAAACTTCAAGGCTGTTGCCGAGTCGAGACCTCGAGTGGAGTTATCCCAAGCTCCTAGGGGAGCTGCTGCCACAGCCATCTCAGCAATACTAACACGCTTTCTTTCACCACCGGAGACACCACGAATGAAGTCATCTCCGACCCGCGTGTTGTAGGTGTGACTGAGACCAAAGACCGCCATCACAACTTGTGCCATATACTTGGAGAACTCCGAGCGAGACATGCCTTCGAAGCGATGAGTTGGGGTTCGTGTCGCACTGGCAAATTCCAGTGTTTGTCCGACCGTCAAATGGGGGAAATGGCGATCGACCTAGAAGGATAGCATCGTCAGCAGACTGTTGAGCATAAAATAAATCTGAGAGTCTCACCTCTTGGTTGTATACCACTTCGCCTTTGTACTCCTTAATCATGCGAGATTGGGGAATGCCTATCATATCAAGTTAGCAAGATATCTGACTAGAAATTTGGAAATAATTCCATACCGTTATAGTGAATGGTGCTATCTTTGTCAAGCTCCAGACCATGCAGTTCACCAGTAATAGTTTTAAGCATGGTACTGCAACCAGAGCCAGGGCGACCTAGGACCAGAAGCAATTCACCCTTCTTCACTAGACCATTGAAGTCCTTCAGAATTCGCCTTTTGGGGGCGTGTGATTCACGAATCGTCTGTGGAATTCGAAGAGGGGCAGTCAACATGGAGTCAACAGTATCCTGGAATTGCAAAGCTGCCCCTGATCCGTAGACATTGAGGTTCTTGAAGACAATTCCCAAGTTCTGGCCGCGATGGGTGCCATCGCGCTGGGCGTCGCTCATGGCCATACCGAGCCATTTCCGAAGGTCAAATTCTTTCGATTGAGGGTTCAATGAGGCATCGTGTTGAGCAACTGATGCAAGACGATGAGTAGGAATAATTGACTGTCGGCGAGATTGTTGAGTAGCAATCCGCGTGAGCGTCTCCACGTCGTGCTGTTCGATATAGTTCAATGGCTCGTATGTTGGTGTTGAATCATCCTTCGACCAATGATCCTCATCATGTGTATGTTCTGAAGAGGAAGACATGGTTAAAAGATAGGAGGAGACGGCCTCCGATCCGGGGAAGAATGGAATACTAGTAGAAGAATGTCTGATGACGATAGAGAAATCAGGAATTAAAGGGATGGTACGGAGCGGCGGCCCCGGAGGTATTTAAAAAGGATAGGAGGAGGAAGCAAAACAGAGTTTAAAATCTGGAACGGGTGAAAATTCGATTTAGGCACCCCACGAGCTGGAATTAGATATAACGTTCGCTAGGTACGGCTGAGATCCAACTGCTCCGATGTTTTCGGTCGAGCTATCGAAGCAGTGGGTCTCGGAGTCGGTTCAAAAGTGAGGGCCGGGTCTGCGACTCCATAGCCCGGCCGCGAAAGAATATGTGAAAATATGCAATGTGATTGGTCTCGGATGGGGCTAAATCCGGTGGTGGATCAAAATCGACGTCGATCATTCGCAAAGGTCTGCCCCCCCTTCCCGGAAGGGGACGCCCCTTTGCCCTTCCGCTGACTCAGTGCTATCCTATCCGGGTTCCGAGGATTTTCTATTTGATTACAATCAAGAATTTGGATTTACATGCATTGTGTTCTATAAGGTTCTGGGTAATTCTGTCCCACTATTAGCTAGACTGTTTCATTGTCGCCTTTTCAGATTATCGCAACCCAAGAACTCCGAGTCCGTACGGAATATCAAAGACCTGCAAGGCCTGGCTATCTTTGCCAAGAGAGCTGAAGTCATGATGTCACCATTATGTACAATTAAATACTACTGAGGCCCAACAGGACGCAACAGATTGGGCGGTATTTGGGCCTGGGGATAGATCAACAGTGAAAGATGATATGCGTTGCACTTTTATCCACTAACGTTAGAAATTTCTCTTGGGCCATGTGGTGGGTCGCTCGTGTCAATGCACGATTGGAAATATCCCCACTATTCATATATTGAATATTAGTGTCACCACTCACACCCACTGCTTTCTTCGGTGGGTGCGACGACGATCTCTCCTCCGTCTTTTTTTACATAGCTTTGAGAGATCCTCGTAGCAGATTGATTGCCTTGTTCGGCAGTGGGTGCGAGCGGTGGCACTACGAGTAGCCTTGGGCGATCCTGATCCCATATAGTTAAAATAGCCAGCAAATAAATACATATGAGGGGACAAAGATTCGATATAGCACTCCACAGATGGTTCTACCGAAGACAGGCCGGTTCTCGTTTCTTACCACTGATACACCAGAGATACTACTAGTATCAGCTTACCCAAATGACCTCATAATGGCAGGCCAGATTTACTGACGCCTTCAGCAACCTAATCTTCGCGCTATGCTCTGCCCGGCCCTAATGCATATCCATTTATGCAGTAATTCATGCAATCCCGAGCACGGCATCAGCGACACCCGGGCCAAGATCTGACCAATTGACCCACCAGAAAACTGTTCCGAGTGGCGGCCAAGGGATTGGTGGCGGCTCCGCTCAGCAATAAATAGGAGATATCGGTATCGGAAGGATTTGGCCCCGATCCCGATCTCTCTTCCTGTGCCAGCCCTACACCCACCTGTCAAGAGCCGGCTGCGCCACGTAACTAATATTTTTGCCGCTTATTAAGCGGGATTTGGTTGTGAAGTGAGTAAGGAAATCTATGTTAAAATGTTATCAGATCATGGCCATGAAATATCCGTTAAAACCGCTAAAAGCGTAGCAACTGTGTTATGCGCAGTAAAACCCGAGCCCAAACTATGATTCTACAGTGGTTTTAGTGGCATGGATTAGCAAAAGGTGTAGAATCGGAGCAGGCAAAAGACATAGAACTCCACGTAAAACTTCGTATGTACAGATTCTCTTTAACACTTTTACAATTGCAGAAAGATTCGTCTATACGAACAGTTACATCAGGGTATGTAGCCAGTTGAGGCCATGAGGATACTCAAATGCTCAAACCGAACTAACAATCTCTCTGTGTTGATCTGTTGGCTTCAAGTCCTCCGCATCATCGAATGGGGTCCCACGCAAATCAGCCTCGATATGCTTGATACGTTCTTTTTCTTCATGGGCAGAGGTATCTCCAAAAATAAGATCCATGTCCTCTAGAGTCTAAATTGCATCAACGTCAGTGCTGTCCTTCAATTTGAAGCAGTAAAGGTCGGGGTTCAGTACCTTTCCACGTGTTTCTGGAATACAGAAGAATGTAAAGATAAATGCAATCAAAGCAAAGGCCGCGAAGAAGATATATGTGCCCCACGTGATGGTGTCGAGCATGTCAGGGGTGACCAGGCCGATGATGCTGGCAAAGGAGTTAGAAACGGTAGGGCAAAGGGGCTCGTGGGAATCCAACATACAAGTTGCACATCCATGTGGCAGATGTGGTGATAGAAATGGCCTTGGATCGAATCGAAAGATTAAATATCTCTGAGGGAAGCACCCAACCAATAGGTCCTGAAGTGATTGTTAGTGGCAGACATTAAATATTTAACCGGGACACTTACCGAAGGAATAGGAGAAGTTAATATCGTAGATGTAGATGAAGGCAATACCTGCCCAGCCAGCGGACTTGTGGCTCATAAGATTAGCCCCATAGGCCCCCAGGATTCCACCCACGATCACAAGTGAAATACAAGTACCGGCGGCCCCAGCCATTAGAAGAGCTCGACGTCCAAATTTGTCGATCAAGAATAGTGCTGGAAGGGTAGACAGGCAGTTAACAATGCCATATACTCCAGTTGCGAGAAGCGAGGTGGTGTTGCCATCCATTCCAAGCTGGCCAAATATCGTCGGGGCATAATAGATCATGGCGTTACAACCGATAAATTGCTGGAAGAACATCACTGCACAGCCAATAAAAAGTCGCTTAAAGCGTGCCCACTTTGTGAACAAAGACATGTACTAGAAAAGGCATGTGAGTTTAGAGCAGAAGAGATGCAAATGAAGCACGAACCTGAGCGGCATGTAGACGCACACCTGAAAGGTTAGGGAAGTTCTGTCGAGCGAAGGAGTTTTCCAGCATGATAGATGCTCTAACTTCCAAATATTCGCTCTGCAGGGTCGTGCAATCGCGATCCTTTCTGCGCAGTCTTGAGAGAGAGACAAGCGCGTCATCATCACGCTCCTTCATAATCAACCATCGAGGCGATTCTGGGAAGAATATCATTCCGACTCCTAAGATCACCGCCGGCACGATCTGAAGTGCCAGTGGAATACGCCAGGAGGCTTCTGATTGCCCGCTGCAGCCCGTTGTCGGAATATCATTATATGGGTCGAAGGTTGGCTTTGCCGATGTCCCACCAGTGTAAGGCATGTCGGGAGCGCAGCGAGTACCACCAATGTAGTTAGTGCCGTAGTCAAGCCAGTAGCTGACGAGAATTCCAATGGTCACGGATACTAGAAGAACATTAGTCTCAATATTTTCGATCACAAAGGGTAGAAAGCGAACATTGTTGAGTAACAACCAGACCTCCACGAATCTCAGGGATAGAAACCTGTTACATCATTAGCTTGCCGTTCAGTCAATACTTTCGCGAAGGCGGATGTCACCTCGGAGATGTATAATGGCACCACCATGGTCATCATTCCAACGGCCAAACCGGCAATCGCTCGACCTGAAGGAGTTAGCCATAATTCAACAGCCTAGTATCTGCTCAACTTACCGGCAAATAGCATCGGGATGTTCACTGCTGCACACTGAATCGCAGATCCAATAACAAAGATGACCACCGCAAGATTGATAGAAAGCTTCCTTCCAACACGGTCCGCGATGGGTCCGTTGATCAAGGATCCGAACCAAGCAGCTAATAATTCGTAAGTACAACTATACTGAAACCATCGATCATATTTCTAGAGCTTACCGAGTAGGAGCGTCGAGACAAACCAGCCTTTGAATCCGCTATCAGTGAAAACACGCGGAAATCGAGCTCCAAATGATTCCATAGTTATCACGCCACTAATGACACCTTGATCATAGCCGAACAACCTTTGTTTTGATCCAATTAGCGAAACATATAGCATGCGGGGGTTCAAACAGGCACGCACAAGCCACCGAGTGTTGAGAACTGGGTAAATATCAGCATCATGATTATTCTGGTATGGGTACTTGGCACTTGGCACTTACCGATGCTACGCCACATAGATATGGATTCTGCAAGACCAGCTTGAAGCCGCCCTTTGGCGGAGTGTCAACAACGGAGCCCATCCTGATTAGATCGTTCACGTTATTCACACACTCGATAGTGGGAAAGACCTGGACCGGGGAGACAAGCTTTATATATGCGGTCCAGCCTTGCAGCTTTCGCCGGACGGGAAACAAGAATGCAACCTTTTTGAAGCACTCTCTATGCCGACTGGACGACAGTACTCCGCTTGCCGAGTCCGAGCGAGGTCATAGACCGGCGACAGTGTCGTGAGCTCGGGGCGGACTGCAGTACTCCGTCCAATGAGGGCATAAAGGGGGTGATCTTCGGGACCCGGTTCCTCTCATGGATGGGCCGACTCAATTTAAGGTGTAAACCCCCAATGCGGGGAAACTTCGAACCACGGGCGCCCCTAAACTCAGGAGGTATAGCGACAAGCAGCAAGTCAGCTCAAGGTAGTACAAGGCTTCTGAGGCTGATGATGAGATATAAGCGGTTAGTTCCTGCCATATCTCCTTTTTTGGGCTCATCAATGAAAAATGTCCCTCAAGTACGGAGGATGGTGTTGCGAAATCGGGAATCTGCCCGAGGATGTGGAGAAGGGGGGGGGAAGTTGGGGAGTTGGGGGTGGCGGGGATGGGGCATCAACGGGCCATGCCAGTGCGACCCGGAGAAGCGTGCACCGTCGGTCTTGCTCCGATCAGGCCAGGTCTGAGGTGTGTCATCCACTGAGCGCAATCCATTGGGACTTGTTGAGATCTTTTATGTACTAGTACTTATAGCCCGAATCCTGACCATTTACCTGAAAGAGACGCAGAGTAACCCCTTCCAAGGTTGGGAATATGCATAATACTAGTAGCTACTAGTATTCCCGTACCCGTAGCATGCCACATGCTACTACTAGTAGGTACTAGTACATACTTCCATGTTTTTATATTCCGAGCATTTAAATAATTAGACTGCACAAATCCTATCCCGAAGGTCATTGTACCTCCAACCCTTGGAACGCCATTCACCGACTCACTGGCCGCAGATCAAATAGTAGCTTCATAAACTCCCCGTATTCAGCATTTTATCGCTGATAATCATCGATCTGTGTATTTCAAGATTAATTTGGGGTTTCCAGGCCATCTCCTAAGTCTGCTGTCGGCAAGAAGATGGCCTGTTGTGCATGAAGCTTACCCTCAAATACAGCCCCAGTGCGACAACACTGCCGAATCATCACCATTCCGTCCATAGGATAGTGCAACGGACTTTCGAGGGACTGAAGCTTTTACTCAGCATGCGTCATATTGAGCAGATTAACCCACCAGCGCTGACAAATTTCAGTACTGTGTCAGTGAATAAAGCATCCCACGAGTACGGTCCATTTTTCAACTTCATTCCGGGCTTGTGGCAGCTTATCTTGTACGCTCTACTACAATACTTTCAGTTTGACGATTTTTATCTAGACCATAGATAGTAGGCAAGTCTGCTAATAAAGCCTCAAGTCACGTCTCATTTGCCATCTTGCTAATACTGTCACCTCTTCTGCATTGAAAAATGAGGTATAACGTATACTATAATGTCGCCTAGACTCTCTGGTCTGAGCTCTCTAAATTGCAGCCAAGTCAGTGTGCAGCATAAATTCCTGAAAATCCCTGACAAATTACGTGTCAAACTGAAGATTGCAAACTTATTTTGTCGTTTGCTCTCACTCATTTCTGCTCTCCTCGACCCAATCAAGGCTCGACCTTCCTTCCTTTGATCCACCTCGTCCTTCTTTCCCTCTCGATCTCTCGCAGGCGCATACCATTATTTCATCCGCTATCATCGCGTCTCAACACCTCCCTCTGGTCAGTTCTGACTTCACTTAATATCTCACGACACAACGCTGACAACTCTGCTCCTCGTCCTCAAGCAGGAATCTCGAGTAAAATGGCGACCCTTAACCCTCTACGTGTCGGGGTTCTTCTCGTCGACACCGTCCAGCTTCTAGACATTGCTGCCGTCGACCTCCTCTTCATGACGGATCCCGAGTACATCAAAGAGATCGGCATGCCAAAGTCAATGCAGGAGCTTGGTAGACCCTGCCAGGTCCATTACATCGGCCGTGGCGAAGCAAAGGAACACTCGCCTGTGACTGCCAACATGGAGCTCTCCTTGACCGACTCTCTTACCAGCCCCGCCGTTGCGCCCGGACAACTTGACGTGCTTTTCGTTCCTGGTCCTCCTCCTGATAATATGCCATGCGGCGATGACTATCTGGAATTCTTGCGTGAACATTTCAAGGCCGGAGCCGAGATCATGTCGGTTTGTACCGCTGCCTTGGTGGTTGCATACTCCGGCATCACCAAGGGAAGAGTTGCCACCGCGCCTCGCTTCTTGATTCCGCGTCTGCGAAAGGAGTTCCCGGATACTAGGCTCTGGGATGACTCCATGCGAGTCGTGCGTGACGGAAACCTCTGGTCCTGCGGTACGTTATTTTGCAATGACTGCTTCGTGACACAGCATGGCTGACTATACATAGGCGGAATCACCAACGGCCATGACTTGATGGCGGAATACCTCCGCCAGAACTACCCGGCACCACTTGTGAATGTGATTCTCGGGGCTGCAGATATTGTGCCTCGCAAGATCGAATACCCAACTGGTCCTGCCACCGATAATGCCTTCTTCCTCTGGCAGATTCTGCGATCCGTGCCTCGCTATGTTCTTCGCATGTGCAACCTCCAGGGCTGAGACGCTATTTCAGGGAACTACAGACAAGATGAGAGTCTCAGCTAAGTAAGCATGGCGTTCTAGGAGGCTGGACATAGTCCTTTGATTGCATTTTAGCCAAGTCCAATCTATTCATTTCGTGATTCATCAAGAAGTATCGGGTCCGATAATGCATTAAGCAATCTCTTCTAGTAGCACAATGACAGGTAACATAAAGTTGATTTCACACATCAGAAACACCCTTCTTTACCGCCTCGTCCTCCCGATCCAGCCGTTCTTCTCCCCTCTTTTCCATATGAAGCGTCAACCACCACACTGCCCAAGCTGTCAGCCCGATATAAACCGGAGAAGCGGCACGAGCAACAATATAATAGTAGGGGTGGGTAATATCAAGCCCAAACCTCGCAGCAGTGCTCTCAAGATAGGGATAATATCGACTCATAGAGTACACGAAGCCGGGAACAGCAACATAGGGTATGGCCGCCATATAGAATAATCGGCGATCTGTCGACCATAGATCCCTAGCATAGCGATAATGAAAAACAACAAACCCCACTAAAAAGCAGAGAGCGACCACCAGCACGCCAGTTATGATCGCCGATAATTTGTCCAGCCTCCATGATGAAGAGGGGCTCCTTGAACTCTCGCAACAGTAGATTGCTTCGTCGTGCTCAACTGTTTTCGCATTCGGGGTATAGGGGAACCCCAGGCCCAAGAGAATAGGCTCTGTCATCCAACACAGGAAAGTCCAGTATTGTGATGGCAATGGAGATAAACGCTCGCCACCTACTATGGTTATTACCCGTATCACCCAGAAGAGGGTGAGTTCTGCCGAAAATATTTCTGATCTTCATGCATTAGCTTTATATTTGAGTTCGCAGGGCGGTAGAATACTACTACATACCCATATTGTGTTGTGTATGATGTCGAAGAATATGAAGGTAACTGGGAACAACTTGAACAATTTGATTTTTCTCGTGGACATTGACTAAATAAAGGGACAAAATTATCTGAGCTGCGAACACTGCCCCAAACACTTGTCCTGGGGCCAAAAACCACAGCCCAATCAAGACGTCAGATGCCCTGCTAGGCAGTAACTTTTTATCAATATAAAATCTGCATTATTGTAATTTGAAATAACATTTGGCTCTACTTGTGCTGGCAGTGGATATGGTTATATTCGACCTTTTTCGTTCACGCCAGTTGTTTCCACACTCCTCATTATTTACTATCACCACCACATCCCTAAACACAGAAAAAGCTATATTAAATGCATAGACAAAAGTCTTTGATACTAGTCTACGGAGTATTCACAGGCTATTTATTTCCTTCTAATATTATTATTCATTTTATAACATCCCCCCCTTTCCCGAATCTGTTCCTTGCATGAGGGGCAGCCCCAAATTTGAACCCTAAAAAGGCCCACAGTTTCCAGAACCCGCGACCGACGTCATCCCGCAAGATGACTGCAACTGATGATCATGGTTCATGGCTGTCGCAATGGCGTCGATGTCATCGGGGAAATCTTATCCAACATCAAACCACTCCCACTCTTAAGCTTGAGCAGAGCATAATCAACTTCTGAGCTTTCCCTCCACTCACCGATTTCAAAAAGCACCATATAAATGCCCACCGACATCTCAATCCTCGTCTTCGTCGCCTCGCCGCTCGACTACGCCCGATACCGGCACACAGCTCTATTCTTCGACTTTGCGCAAACGCAAACACAAACGCAAACGCAAGGGACAGACAAGAAGATTCAACCAGCAGCCCTTGAAAATGGGATCAATACCCAAATCAGAAACGAGCTAGAGCCCAAGAATGCGGAGGAAGATACAGGCGCAGATGTAGATGGATCTCCATCTCCATCTACAGAAGACCCCTCCTCCTCCCCCTCCTCCGAGGTTAAATCGTCTTTGATGGAAATCACCGGATCACCAGGATTCTTCAACTTTGCCGAACACATAAACTCCGACATCCCCATCTCCTCTACCGGTACGTTCCAACTACCCACGCCTCTCTCAACCCAACCAAACACTAATCCCACCTCTCCAACATAACAGCTCTAACCCGCGTAATCCCCGTCTCCTCAATAAAAGACGCACCCCCCCCGCCCTCCGCCTCATAACATCCGAAACACCGATCCCAATCGACATTGCAGAGGAAATGGACTGGAATGCCCAGAATTGGGTCGGTGATGCGCTGGACCGGCTTGTCAAGGCGGGCTATTTGGATACGGAGGATCGGGATCGGGCGTTGGATGAGATGGTGGATGCTGTCCTAGAGGCTAAGGATGAGGAGACTTCTTGATGAGGTCGAATTGGAGACGAGGATAGTATGATATGGTTGCCTTGTCCGCCGCCAGTGGCAGTGGCAGGTGTATGGCTCATGCCTGTGGATGACATGACTATTGTATATGGACTCAGAAATATATGTATTGTTTAGGATTGTACTTTCGTGAATATAGACACTTCATAAATAGAGAGCTGGGAGCTTGTTGAAGTCATTGGAAAGGATCATATAGAGTAAAAGAGTACCTGGAAGTAGAGTACGAAGTGGAAAGAAGTAGATGAAAATAAAGCGTATCCGAGTCCTCGCCTAACCTAAATCCATACCTAAGAAAAAAGCCAAATAGAAAAGAAATGAAGTGGTGAAAATAAGAGGATGGGGGACAATTTGCAGAAAAGCGCAGAACAAACGCTCGGCCCATGCATGCAACGCGCTGCACCCACGCTAAGAAAACAAATCCACGGAAAGGGGGGGGGGGCTGGGAGGAAAGACAATTCAGATCTTAGAGTTTCATTTTTCATTAGCGAGGAACCGCGCGAACCCCGAAGATCTCGTTCCGATGAGAAGAAGAAAATATCCGGAGATTAGGATGCGAGAGAGAGAGGCAGAGAAAGAGAGAGCGCGCCGAGGAAAGGATGTTGGTAAAGAATGGGAACAGAGAAAAAAAAAGAAAAGAAAAAGAAATTCGCTAACTCACAGTTTCTTCGAACACACACACGACTAACAGCGTACGAAGAGAGACGATAAGATCGAGAAAGCGTCAGGCTTCAACATTTTAGGATCTGCGAGAATCGCTCGGTTCCCAATGAATAGGCTCGAAGTCTTGATTTTGGAAATGTGCTTGGTTGTACGGTGAACTGTGACTAGTCAATTAATGAACATGGTGTCATGGATATATAATTAAGACGCAATCGCGGGAAGAAGATAACTCACTTCTTAAATGGGGTTGTAACCGGAAGCGAACGGCTCAAATTGGGCTTCATGACGAGCGGGTTCAAACGAATTTGCGGACCGTCCGATGAGCGGCTGGGTAGAGTTGTCATAGGCGGAGGGGCAGCAGAGGGCATAACAGGTGGGGGCGAAGCAACAGGTATAGAAGGCATGGACGCATGGCTGTGTGGATGGCTGGGCACATGGCTTTGCATGGGCGACTGATATATATCCTGGGGTGGAGACATTCGGAAGGGGCTGGCTGGGGTTGGAGAGACCGACGGCGCCATGGGTGACATTGGTGTACCCATGCCGAAACCCGGATCTGCCATCAGGTTTGGGATGGACATCAGGTGGGAGCTGACGTCGAAGTTGAGAGCTCCTTGATCCCAGGCTTCGAGGTTAGAAGTCATATCGTATTGGAGGTTGACCATGGGTGTCATATTCACAGTAGGTTCGGCTCGGTAGAGGATGTCATAATGGCCACTGTGGCTGTCAGAGAAAGGGAATCATATAAAGGCGGGGGTCAGGTGAGATACTCACGGTCGATACAGCAGGCGGATGGTTGCATGAATGGGACACTTGTCAGAGATTTGGTGCGGCGTCACATGTTCGCCTTCGCTTCTGTCGAGATACAGGATCTCGACACCGAACTGGGATGGATTGATAACGCCGTCGACCAGAGCTTGCAGACCAACTTCGTCGATCTCGCTTCGCACTGGTTCAATTCGTGTACCGCAATACTGGTCTAGCGGCATGGTCAGATACGCTTGGTATCGGTCCGGGTTTAGTTTCATCCAGGCACTGGTCAAGAGCTAAGGGACGTTAGCTTTCAAAAAATAGAATCACTTCGCTGCAGGGAGGGACATACTCGGAAGTGGGTAATGACCGCGTTTGAGCTGTACTCCTCATTAAAGGCATTGACGAGGAAAGACTCGTCCCGATCGCCATTTTGGATCGCCTGAGCGGTTTGCGCGAAAATTTCCTCTGTGGCATCGGCGAAGATCTCGTACAAATGTTCTTGGTGGCCAACCTGGTCCAGGTAGGAGTTGAGTGTTTTGAATCGAATTAGTTCCTCTTGCAGGCGGATTGGGTCACGGTTGTTAAACATGGTTTCGAAATAGCCAAATGCCACCGCTACGAAATGATCAGGATATTGCTTTGTCTCCCGGGTGAATAGGGACTACATACCTCGCCAACCACAGTTTCCGTCGCCCTTCATGATGCGGGTGGTGGGATGTGTCACTGCGAGATCCTGGTTTGGTGGTTAGCATTGACTGGGGTGAGGAGACTACCCATGGTAAGGGCCGATAGTGTAAAAAAAAACTTACATTCGTCTTTGCTGCGAGGGTCGGGTCCGCATTGGCATAGTCCAATGCAATGGTATGACTAGATTGCTTGGTCGAGACCAAGGGTCCCTGGGGAGAGAATATCAATTAGCCACTCCTTGTATTTCTGTATATTAGGGCAATCAGACTCTTACTTGGACATCTGGTTCAAACTCATTCGAGAGTTTCTGGAAACGTTCCATCTCGGCTTGAGAGAGAGCATTCATGTTGGTGGAGGAACTCATGTTGGAAGAAGCACACGGGGCCAAGGCGTCTGATATTGAGAATCCTAGAGGAGGCAGAAAAGATGGCGCGTCCCGGTAATAGGTGTGAAACCGCTGTTTGTCCGGGAAAGGATGGTGAGGACCGAAATGACTCCAGGGTTTGGATAAGGACATCGCATACGACAGAGAGAAGATAGAGAAAAGGATTGCGTTTTTGGGAGTCAACGATACAAAAAGAGAAGTCCTTTTGGTTTGTTTTTTTTTTCCGATGTCCAGGGAGACGGGTTCGGTTTAGTCCAGTTCAAATTTTATCTGTGGAGGGTAGATTAGAACAAACTACTCGAATAAAAAAGAGAACGAAAAACACAAGGTGGATTCCGGATAGAAATAGAGATAGTGACGCACTCGAAGGGAAATGACATCTCCCTAGGAGGACTGGTTTCCTTTGGGGCTGCACGGCTGTGCGGATGTTTGAGGGGCGTTGTACGACCCCGGGGGATTGCAGAGAGCCCGGCAGATTGGGCGGAACTAAACGATCATCGTCTCAGCATGGAAGATCAGACGCACAAAAGTGTTCAAGAATGGTATAGTGTCATATCGCATGTAAATTTCAAGAGTGCATGAACATCAAGCTGACGAGAACTGAGAAAGCTAGGTGGGTCTGGGCGGACCACCGGTGCGGCGACCATGCACCCAGAAGATGGGAAAGATGGTGTGCAGACCTCCTCAGGGAACTGGGCAGAGAGTCCCGATTGGGCCGGAGTCATGATTAAAGAGGGTTTTGTGATGAGAAAGCCAGACGCCACGGAGAAGAAAGAGCCGGCACAGTTTCAGGGCTGAAGCATCACGTTGACAAAAGGGTACGCGTATGATGTCAGCGCATGGGGAGGGGAGGGGGGGGGGAGGGGAAGGGAGGGGGATATAGTTAATGTTGATGAGTGGAGGCGGGAATATCAACCGTCCATGTTCAACCTCGTTCAGGGCGGACGAACCACATCAACAAAGCCTAGGTAATTTTGGGGTCCACTCCGGGGGTACGAGGATTCCCAGAAGAAGGCCGATGGGAAGGCCGATGGGATTGCCGAGGGACGGAGAATGATCTCCGGATCATCAAGGCAGTTTCTCAGGCAGCGACAGCGGCAGCGACAGAGACACTCACAGTCACACTTCCAGCAAGAGGCAGCAAGGAGACACCAAAAGGGAAAGCGACTGGGCAAAGGGGAGTGGGTGAAGGAGGTGTGGAAAGGTAGACCTACATCTGGTTGGACGTTGGAGATTTTCGACAACACGATCATCCACACGTGGATGAGATAATCATGGAGATGGTAGAGGAGGACGGCAGGGATGATGGTGATGGTGATGGTAGTGGCAGTGGCAGTGGTCGAGGTGAGTGGAGAGAGAGAGGAAAGGTTGTTAAGTGGAAGAAGAGGGGGGAGGGAAAGTGATTAATGGTCAAATCCACCCTTCAATCATGAATTTCCGAAGGAAAGAGGAAAGCACTCCTCCAGGATTATAATGTTAAAAATAAAAAGGAAAGCAAAGAAAAAGAAAAAAGAGAAAAGAGAAAAAAAAGGAGAGCTAGACGATAAGCTCCCCCCAGGAGAGAGAAGAGAGAGGGGGGGAAATGCAGGAAGAAAACCCACGCCCCGCCGATGTGTGAAGATGCGGATCGAGTGCCAACGCAGAGAAGAGCAGAGCAAACAATAGTAATTACATTACACTGTGTACCCAGTATACCCCAGGTGGTAGTGTCCACTGTCCACTGTCCACTGTACCTATACTTCACAGAAGTACGGCCAGGTCGCGTCTAGTCAAGCGCGTTCTTTTTCTCTCAAATCCCCATCGATCAATATTTTTGATGGTAGCGGACTTTACCCGGAAAAAGCGGGGGGTTCCAGAGTTGAAGCTCAATCTGGTATACATCCAATGTATACTACTAGTATACTATGGTATACTCCGTACTGGTAAGAACTCCAATTCCAATATGTTTGACCGCCTGATTCGATTCGATTCGTGGGTCCTCCGCCCTGCAACCGACTGGTCCACGATCTTTCTCGTTTGCCTTGTCTCCTGCTGCTGCTGCTACTGCTGCTGCTACTGCTATGCTACTGTACGGACTCTTGCTGCACGCACTGCACACTACCCATTGCCTCCAGAGTCCTCGTACCCAGATCTCTCCTTCTCTTTTCTTTGCTTTTTCCATCGCCCTCCCAAGCTGAAACCTAACCACTAACAAGCGACACGAAGCGCAGCGTGAGATTCAGGGCTGAACTGGTGACCCGGGGGAAAATCGAGCTATCCCCCTCAAAGCCCAAAGCCCCATAAACATGAATCATACCAGTTCTCCCCTCAAAGCTCAATAAACTTCTCGCTGAGTTTTCCCCCGTCACCCGACTCCGCCGCGGCCAATGATAGGCGGAGAGGTTTCGAATTTGGGAATCGTAATCCCGCCTGGGGACGTGCGGCCAGCTTGGCCCCAGCAGCACAAGCACAAGCAGGAGCAGGAGCAGAAGCAGAAGCACCGGCACCGGCACCATGGGGCATGGGAGGAGCAGGGGCAACTGGCATTGGCATTGGCATTGGCATTAGCACCAGCTTGGTTATTGCTGGGTGGGGTGGTTTGATTATTTGCCCACCGTTAAGATCATGGGTTCTGCGATCTGGGCCCTTGAAGTCTGTCTAGCGCACTGATCGCCAGCGCGAGTGTGTGTGTCTCCCCCTCCCTCATGTGCTCGGTGTTTGACATTGACTCTGGTTCGAACCAGAGCCCGAATCACATCATATTGCATATCCGTAGACTTCCATTCCGATCGTGAGAATTGGATTGGAGAATCGTCAAATCGAAAAGAAACAAAAAAATGTTATGGAGTACAAGGTGTGTGCGGATCCGCCGTCACCCCCCACTGGATGGTATCATCGGGCTACTAGCTCCGGCTCTGACTCCAGGCTCCTGGTTCCATTCTCTCGGTGGATGCTGGACGATGTCTGTGTGTGCTGTGCTGTGCTGTGCTGCGCTGTCGATAAGCCGTTCACATGCTGTGTCTTCCGGTAGGTTCTTTGGGGCACGATGCGCGATACACGATGCATGATGCGATGCATGGTGCAGCCGGTATCGCTTCAAGTTCCAATCCGACCCTCATTCGAGAGAGCTGGTCGGATAAATAGCCATGGAATCCCAGGATCCCAAGCCATGGCTGATTGGGTCTCGTGTTGACCCGGCTGTTGGGTCCTGGATTCAAGGTTACTTCAAAATATGTACAAAGGACGGACTCGGAGTATGGAGTACCAGAAGTACTCCAGGGCTCGTACTAAAGGAATGCCACATGGTGGGACCTTTGACGGAGAATTCTAGAAATATCATTATCAGTACATCCCCCTCGCCCAGTAATGGACAGACTTGTCCTCCGTACTTCGCCCTCCGTGTCCACTGGCATTCCCCTCTCGGTTGGTTCCCGAAGTAAACAAGTACTAGGTAGGACTACTAACTAGTGTGTACGTGTACGAGTACTTATGTACATCTATCACCCGCCAGTGGACCTACTAATACTTAGTGTAGATGTACATTACTCCGTACCGGGCCCAACGGACACTAGGTAGTAACCGGTTAGGAGAGACACACTTTTGGACATCGGGCACTAAAACCACTGGAATACCATAAATACGCAGTCCTAATGAATGAAAACAACTCGTCCAATTCATCTTATCATCAAATTTTAGCGTCTTATGTCACAGTAACTCTAAATTGCGGGGCTTCGTCGGATTGCTTCCTACGCCTCTTCCCCGTCCTTTAGACCGCTCCACTTCCACTGTCAGGACCCGTTGCTGTGGCCGCTGCAGCGAAAACTCGGTGTGAGATTGCTATCATCCCCCCTTTCTCCCACGTGGGTCTCATCCGGCGCCAGGCGGCTCAAGTATACACATCCGCAGGTACCAGGGTACCACGCGCGGACCGTTCGGTTTGCGTTCAAAGGGGGGTCAGATATAATTGGGTCTTGGACCAGGGCATCTAGACCTAGTCCAGGACAATCCTATCCCGTGTGGAAAATCTGACAGGTAGGTTTCGACCGCAACTTTATGCCACGGCTAATTTACCACCAAATCCCTTTCGCTCCCTCCGTTGGCGCGAGCTCATAGCGCGGTAGGAGGCCTCATCCCCAAAGCCTTGAAACATGGGGCCCGCGCCACCGCCATGGGAGGTGTCGTCGGGTCGGAGACCCTCGCCATTAAGGGTAGTCTGCCAGAGGCTTCGGATCGAGGAGCTCCATTCTTCCAGCGCACGGAGACGCTCGGTATCGGTAGAACTTGCCACTGTCACGATTCCATTCTCCTGGTCGATCTTTGCGTCGAGCTTCTTATCCAGGATGAGGAAGCTTAGGATCTCCAGCACCTCTGGTACGGCGATTTTGATATGCTTGGAGATAAACTGTAGGGAGAAGCGGGTGTACGGTGCGATCAGCTTGAGCACGGCCTTGGTCCGCATGTTGCGGCTGACCTCGTCGATGTTCTCGGCAATGAAGGGATCGGCCAGCACGTCGGGATTCTGACTCAGAACAGCTTCGTATGCGTGGATATCATCGCGCTGAAAGGCGTCCACCAGATCGGTCATGGCCGATATGCGGGGGTCGTTCTTGTAAGGTTTGGTTTCTTGCGAATCGAACGGGTTGATGTCAGACTTCATTAGCATCGTCGTGAGCACTAGGTATTTCAGGACTTGGATCCGTTGCATGGACCCCGCCTCGTCGTAATTCCGGAATGATTCGAAGAAGTCACTTTGCGCTTCCTCCCAGTTCTCTTCGCTCATATGCATCTTGCCTCCGCATTCTCGGATGATACCCATGATCTTTGGGTGAGGTACCGCCGATCGCACTCGCAGCGCCCGCTGGTATAGGGCCTTGAGGCGTTTATTATTCTTCATTTCGGCGTACATCTGAATCTCGAGTGCAAAGAGCTCGAGCAAGTATGTCCCCTTGCTTGTATCATCTGATCCATCCTCACGCTGGCACGCCCGATGCAGATCTCGGACCTTCTTGCTCAGTTGTGAGAATTCCTTGCGCTCCAGCCATAATCGGGCCAATTTAATGTTTGTCTTGAGCCACAGTCGTTCGTTGTTGGTATTCTGGAAGGAGTCGAGGGTCAAGGAGTAGAACTCCTCCATACACTGGTACGCCTGGGCGTCATCGGATCCCTTTTCGATATAGTCGAGCATATTATTGATGGATTTCTCGGAGTAATTGCGGGTGACGGCGGACTTGACATAGGTGAGGAGTTCCCGGTAGTGTTCAACCGCATCGCTATATCGTCCTAGTTTGAATTCCAACTTGATGGCCTGTTTCAATCCTTTGAACCCCCTGTGAGAGATGTCAGTACAGATCCGATTCCGGCAGTCCTTGTGGTTTCTCACGAACCAGTCGCTTTTGTCTTGTTCTAATGCCGGTACGCCTAAGAACTCATCCACCGCCTCTTCAGGGTTATCGACCTTGAGTTGTTTCGCATTGTAGTATTTGTTTTCGATTCCGATATCCCCCGCCTCATCGTCATCGTCGTCTTCGTATTCAAAGTCATAACTGGGGGAGAAGTGTCAGTTGGGCCAGGAGATCGGGGCGAAGGGGTCTCACTCTTCGTCCCCGGAATCCTGCATGAAATCGTCGTCGTCGGACATTTTGGCGTGAGTAATAAAGTAGAGGATATGATATCGAGGGTGAGATGTATCACGTATGGGGATCAGAGGGTATCTGAAAGCAGGATAGGTGGGTGGTGTGGGTGGGCTTGGGTGAATGTCGCGGGGGGGAAGTGGTGGAAGTGGTGGAAGTTGGAGAAGCTTTGAGCTGCGAGGCTCCGGAGTTGTGCTTGTGCTTGTCTTCCCCGCCCCGCCAACTTGTCCCATAGTAAACAACATGGTTGTTCCCGGTCTTACAATCTATATACTACATTTCTATAATACTATCTATCTTCTAGGAATACATCAATGGATCAGCCCTCTCCCCCTCGTCTCCTGACACGGCAGCAGGTTGCAAATACAACCAGTGTGTCCCTTGCCCAGCCGCAGAACAATGAGCGCAACCACTACTGCAGCGATCTCGAATGAACCCACCCTCTGACAATAGCACTGCCTATGCTATACTAGGCGTCCGGCGCAGCACTCCAAGCGAGCAGGTCAGAGTAGAGAAGGCTTTGCAGCCGAGCCGAGTGGACCAGCAGGGGGAAAAGGTACCTTATTCGCCGATCCCCTTTTACTTTCAGGGTGCGATGTCATCGACTCCGGGCAGTGCTGGAATCCTCCCCGATCACCTCCTCCAACCGCATTCCTCAATCCCCTGTTGCTTGGACTCAAAGAAACAATCGCGTATCTATTTGATTGCTGATCCTACTACCTCCCCTTCGAATTTCCAATCCCCTCTCCGATCCCTTTACCTTTATTCGCAATGGAGCTATGCGGCCGTCAGAAGGTTGTCCAGCGCAAGATGGTGCTGCTGTCAGTTTGAACCACCCTGGCAGCCCCTCACCTCCGACTCGGTCCTCTAACTTGCTCTCTTTATAGTGGCGACGGTGCCTGTGGCAAGACTTCGGCCCTGAACGTGTTCACAAGAGGGTGCGCAACTTCCCATCTCCTATCTCCCAGCCACCTCACCCCCCCTCCCCGAACTTCCCCTCCGGAGTTTAAGGCGGAGGTGGAGGTGCGGTACAGGTGTATTGAATGAACGGCAGCTAACTCCTTTTCAACATTATAGATTCTTCCCGACGGTCTAGTAAGGACTACCCGATCAATTCAATTGCTTTGCTATGGTCACGAGTACTGACACCAGCACCCTGTACTACGCAGTGAACCGACCGTCTTTGGTACGCGCTTGCCCGAAGATTGAAAGAAAAGCACATGTCGCTAATGAATGTCAATCTAGAAAACTACGTTCACGGTATGACCCTCGATTTACCAGCGCGCTCTCCGCAAACGTGGGACTAATGCGCCTACCAGATATCTTCGTCGACAATGTACATATGGAACTTTCGCTTTGGGATACCGCCGGTCAGGAGGAATTCGACCGTTTGCGCGCGCTGTCATACGAGGACACGCATGTCCTGATGCTCTGCTTCAGTGTGAGTGCTAGTGAACTGTGGTAGATTGCAATTGAAATCCGACCGTACTAGAATACTGACAACCGGGTGCAGATCGACAGCCCCGACTCGTTCGAGAACGTCGGGTCCAAGTGGATCGCGGAAATTAACGAGAACTGTCCCGGCGTCCGGGTAGTTCTAACAGCCCTCAAGTGCGATCTGCGCAAGGACGACGAAGAGAACGACAATCCAGGCGCGATTTCTTTCGAGCAGGGTCTGGCAAAGGCCAAGGAGATTGGCGCTGTCAAGTACCTGGGTATGCTTTGCTCCAGTCTATCATATCGAAGCCATGAAAACCACAGAGCATCACTAACACCTTAATCTAGAATGCTCTGCTGTTCAGAACCGCGGCATCAGGGAAAGCTTCTATGAGGCCGCCAAGGTTGCGCTGGATGTTAAACCTACCGGGTCTAAGGGGTCCGGTTCGTCTTGCGTGATCCTCTGATCTAGCATCATCCCCATTGTCCCTCCTCAAGCTTCCCTCTCCCTCTCTCCCCCCATCCTCCAGGTATTCATGCTCATCCATGACAACTTTCGAATGGAAAACCACCCTGCATTTGTTCATTTCCCTTGATGCGTGAATGAGGCATGCGCTTTATCTTCAGTTCTTAGTGGTTGATCTCGCGAGATTGACCACTCCCTCTTTCTCCCCCTGTCTCTTTTATATGTTCCTTGATTCCCCTTTGCATCGATGTTGACATTTCTCTGACTTGCGACACGCTTATACTTCTTATACCTGACTGGGAATGGCTTGGCACCCGCCTCATCCGGTCTTTTGCATGGCTCCGCCTCTTGTGGAAGCATTTCAGCGAGGTTGGCTCTACTCTTCTTTCTTATATAGCCAATAATAATACCCTCAACCGGATCGTCTTTCAGTACTAGTATGATTAAATCAATTATAATATGTAACACGCTGGGATGGATCCATAAACTCCTCGGAAATGATACACTCTTGATGTCAAGTAGATTACAGAGGCCGACTCCTAGTACTTTATTTGCCAGCCTGAGTGATTAGTAGTTAACCTCTCTCAAGAGATCCTCCTCATTAACCATATAAACCTCCTCAATCTTCTCACCCGACGCACCCTCCCCACAAGCAAAATCCCGATTAACCCTACTAACAAAGCCCTCCACGAATCCCTGCGCAACCTCATCAACACTCACACCAGTAACACCAACACCCTCGAGACTAGTGGCTTCTTTCCCTTCCAGCCCACACGCAACAATCTGCTTGAAAAACCACATAGGCTCCTGCGTGACATTCAACCCGACGCCAAAACTGCTGATGTTCCGCCGTAAGTGGACGCCCACGGCTGTGATTTTTCTCGCCGCGGAATCAGTGTTGCCGCTGTTCTTCTTTACCCACACGCCCGGGTCCTCTGTCACGAACCCATTCACGCCGTACCGCTTTAACAGATCAATCACACTATTCTCTAACACACGGATATGACACCTCGGCGTTAGACCGAGTCGTTTCAGATCCAGAATCGTGTATGCGACCATTTGGCCCGGTCCATGGTATGTAGTCTGACCACCGCGGAGGGTGGGGTGATACTCGGCCCTTGGAGGCTGACCATCCGGACCCAGTGAGAGGATCGAACGAATTGGTTCAAGAGCGCTGGGTAAGGAGAGATTCTTGAGATCGGGGGGGTTGGCTGCATGTCGTATTTGAGGGTGGGAGGTCGCGGCGGCCGGTTGTGTAAACTGAATTTGGGGAGAAGGTGATGATTGTTGGATCAGGTGGGGGAGGGGTTGCCTTTTTGGCGAGATCGTTTGCGCATGCTTGGAGCGTTTCTTGGGAGGAGATTGAGCCGGGTGAGGATAGTTTTTTGTGCGTTAGGAAGCGCGTTGTGAGGGCTTGTTGGATTGCGGAGACCCGTGCGAAGGGCGTTGTGCTTGGGAGGTGGAGGTGGGCGAGTCTCATTGTGGTGGTTTGGAGGGGTCTTCAAGTTGGCTTATTCCATTGGAGTGAGTGGTTTTCAGCTCTGGTTGATTACTGGCTGGGGTGTGAGGTCTTTTCCGAGGAGTTATAAGGTCAATGGTTGCGGAGAAGCTGGGAGCTCCGGCGCTCCGCCCGATAAGATAGTTTTGGCCGGGTGCGATCGGGCTACCTAGTAACTTTGTAGAGCTTATGTTGCTTTTAATTATGAGGTATGCGTACCTACTTGGTACTCATGAGTCTCGATTGATGATCTGTGGACTTGAATGTTCAGTATTACTAGAGTATTCCAATTGGGCTGTGCTCTACAGGTTCTACCTGGGCACGGTTTCTTATTTGGGTGCTACAGGTAGTACTAGTAAATTATATACTTTCAATCTCTACCGCACTTTGGAATCGAATACTCCCAGAGTGACCTCGGAGGGCATACTAAGATAGTAATACTAGTAGTAAAATGCCTACGTAGTAGCTATGAAAATACTGTAGCAATACTGTATATTGATTAAATATGGCTGTGGTAATGGTATTCGATATGGTCATCCACAAGCTATAGTACTATGTACTAGTAGGTATTACTAGCACCAAATTGAACAAATAAATTTGAAATAGAACCACTTGAAAATGGACCAACACTAAATTGAATTTTCAACTAAATATTGAATCATATACATGGAATCTACCAGAAACTTGAAAGTAAGCCCAGAATGACAAAGCCATGATTGCGATTCCGATCCGATTATACACCATTGACGAGACCAGCCTGCTCCTGTTCCCGAGGAAGCAAGACCCAATCCCTCACTCCACCCTTCCAATCAGCAATCCGGCCCTCACGCACTTGCACCGTCACCACACGCACATCGCTATCAATCGACATACTCGGGCGTCTCTGATTCGGATCCCCGCGCTGCTGCTGACCAAAGGTAATCTCCTCCTCTTCAAAAGTATTATTCTCCAAATGTCTCTCCTTGCACCACTTCTCTTCATCCGAGCCAGGTTCCAAGAAGCGGGCCTCGCCGCAGATTGTGGTGGAGATGCTGGACAATGCGCTCGTGTTTAGGTTGAGGAGGAGACTGGCGAGCGACGACCGGCTCGCTGCGGGTGGGGGAGAGCCCTCACGACCGTCGGGATTCGGAGCTCGGGTCGGTGGGCGGTGCGAGACCCAGTCGTGGACGAGGAGGGAGATGCGTGGGTTTGAGAGGAGGTGGTTCGTCTTTCGCGATGCGGGGTTCGTGGTCATGATGATTGTTGGGTAAGGGTCGTAGGGGGTTGAGGGGAGATATGTATAGGACATCAGGGAGATATGAGGGGTGAGGTTATCACATGTTGCCAGATGAAGCTGAGTGAGATTAGTTTCTGAAATCTCGTGGCCACTATATATGGGTACTTGTAGCAGTGGAATTCGGGGGACCGTACGAAGCGGGAGTTCTTCAGGCAGACAACCACCTCGGAAGGGAGGGAATCGGCCTCATGGGGATGGGTGGTAGTGGCCGAAGCCTCGTAGGAGAGGGGAGGATTGAGAGAGTCGGTCATGGCGAACAGGCTATTGAACGAGTAGTTTACTTACTGCCTGAGGTCTGCGGATGGGAAGACTTCGTGGGATGATCGATCGATCTGCCGGGCGGTGAGGAGGGTCTGGACACGGGTATCGACGTCATGGTATCAGCATACACAAACGTAGGCTACGTAGCATACAATGGGATGAGACAGTGTCTACTATCGTATCTGCCATGATTATTCTATATTTACAAAGACATAGACTCACTATAGTTAGTCTCATATACACTACAGCTCGAGCTCCCGCTGGTCTGCCCACATAACCGCAGCTAGCCGACCAATGCGACTAGCCTGATTCCGGCGGTTTCTCAATTGTGGAGTTAAACTGGAGAAGTACATCGTAAGCATCGTCATGATGGCAAGACTTTGCTCCAGCTGCGACGATCATCCGAGGACGGAGGACAAAGACCCGGTAAATCGCCGAGGACCGCAAGGGAGTATCTGTAGAGGAGAGTCTAGGCAATAATACTACGAGTAGTTATGTAGAAGAGTATGCATACTCCGTGGTGAATACTGCTAGTCAGCAATCCATCATCCATCATTGGATGCTTCCGTCGCGGGTTTAGGTCAAGCTTACCTTCCCCGCACTCATCCCATCGCACCTCTCAGACCTCTCAGATCAGTTCAATTCGCCCATCACCGTGGAGCTTCTTCAGCGACGCACTGTGATAGCGTAATTGCCTCCCCACTTCCATCAGTTTACCTGCTAGTAACCTGCTCTGCCCCCGGATTCCCCTTGGTGCACGCACTCTGGGGAAACACCCATCGCGTGTCCCCCCTTCCAGCTTGTCCTCGCACTTCCTCAACCTCCGCTAATCCCTGTCTTCCCCTCTTCTTATTTGATTTCCTCCTGATTCCCACTTCCACCTTTCCACCTCTCCTCTCTCTCCCATTACTACTTCTGTTACTTCTCCTCCTCCTCCTCCTCCTCCCACCATCACTTGACACGGTCCTTTCCTCCCCCCTTTACTCCGTGATCGCCACTTTACCCCTTCCTTGATCACCTCTGGACGACTCCAACGTCTCCTTCCTTTGTTTTGATTGTTTGTGAAATTCGTCCCTCCCAATCCACGTCCCCCCCAATCCGAGCCTGAGCCACAATCATGTTGGCCCCCCCGTTTCCTCCGCTCGGCGACCTCGCTGGCGCGGCCCTTCAGCTCGTCCGCCGTGGCCTTCCGCCGCTCCCCTTCCATCCGAGACGTGACGGCCAGCTCGGCCGAGGAATTCAACAGGCGGCAGAAAGAGTTCCGCGAGAACCTTGAAGAGGCTCGCAAGAGAAAGGAACAGCAAGAGAGTCAGTCTGTCGAAGCTTCTATTAGTTCTTCCCTTCCCCGTGAGTCTGCTCCCACTGCTCCGCGCGTGAGCAATGCGAGTAGTATCGATGATCGAATTCATCCTCCTTTTGATGCGGCCGGCGCTCTGGATAATAAGGCACTCGGCTCACTTTCAACACATCGTTATTTAGGAGATGAACATCAGGCCGACCCTAACAACAAACGTGGGCCGTTGTCCTCGCTCATCTACGGTACCAAGGAAGGTCAGCACTTTGATCAGGATATCGAGCGCTCCTTCTCGCAGGTACTTGCCCGTGGCAAGTACGTCCATTCGATTGTCTTCCACGATGTCAAGCCCGACAAGGTCGACGAGTACGTGGAGTTGGTGGGCGAGTGGTACCCCCGCATGGCTGGCACCGAGGAGAATAGGGTCAACTTGGTGGGCAGCTGGCGAACACAGGTCGGCGATAATGACACATTTAGTAAATTCTACCACCTGGCTCCCTCCCCATATGATTTGATGGGATTTTGTTACGTTTTGGCAGTGACTAACTCCGGAGGTTGCAAATAGTCCACATTTGGGAATACCAGCGCTACGAAGGTTACCATGCTTCTCTGCACAACATCTCAGAGCACCCTGAATTCCCCGAGTTCGACCGCAAACTCAAGAGTTTGATCAAGAGCAAAAAGACGTCACTGATGCAGGAGTTCTCATTCTGGCCGACAACCCCTCCACGCCGGTTGGGAGGACTGTTTGAGCTCCGATCGTACACGCTGCACCCGGGCAACCTTTTGGAATGGGAGACCCACTGGCGTCGGGGACTCACAGCGCGTCGGGAGGTGATGGAAGGCGTGGGCGCGTGGTTCGTCCAGATCGGTGACCTGAACACGGTACACCACCTGTGGCAATATGCCAACTTGGAAGAGCGCAAGATCCGCCGTGAGCAGTCGTGGGGCGTCGAAGGGTGGGCCGAGACAGTCCACAAGACCGTTCCCCTCATCCAGTCGATGCAAAGCCGGATTCTCGTCCCGATGCCGTGGAGCCCCGTCGGTTAAAGGTCGAAAGGTGGATGAGACAAGCGGGAGCCCAACCTCACCCCGCTTCCACCGCAGAGGCTATTCCGTATAAGTCTGGCTGCAGGAGGCATGTGTTGCAGGCAGAGATGCGTGGATCGTTGATGAACCCGCAGCCCTACATACGAGTACTCGTACCCCCAGAGAGGGCCAAGTATACTTTTACGCTAGGTAGGTGGATCTTGATCCACCGATTAGTTCTGTATCATGTATCTCAGGCATGGCGCATCGCATGCTATGCTATTCTCCCATTCTCATTACTAGTTCCAAATTGTAAATCATTTTTGCATCATGACCAGCGCTTCGGGACTCACCGTCCCTGAAACTAACCGATTTGAGGGGCCTCGGGTATTCCCCCACTTCTTGCATGGACGATCTCTTTCCTGTGATGCATCTCATTGGCGTCGCTCCGAGGTCATCTCGACACGGCGATGCTGCACGTGGGCCGCGAATTGGTGAAATGGGAAAAGTCACGGAGTACTCGTAGACTCCAAAGATCTGTCCTTCTTGAACCTTAGTAGATATCTGAATAGCAACATACGGCAACTTTGGGATACAGTAGATGTAGATGTAGACGATGAACTAGGCAACAGGGTATGCATTCCAAGTATTACCTACTATGGATGCCCAGACACAAACCACAGCTGCCAGTTGCCACTGAAGAAGCGCGCCGATCTTCGTCGTCGCCAGGACCCATTCTTTTTTCCTTTTTTGCACCCGGTCTTCGCGCCGTCCCCAGCGGGGCCCGTTTAATTTGTTTTACCCTTTTCCTTTTTCTCTCGAGCGTTGACCCTTTCCACGAGTAACGACTATTTGACCCTTTGTCCTCCCTCTTCTCCTCCGAATCCGTTCTACAGTCCTGCGATCCTACCATCCTCCCTCCCGAATCAAAAACACCACATTGCCCTGCCTTCACGCGCGTCGACACCGCCGAACCGCAACGTCTCCACTCCAACCCCAGCAAATCCATGCGGTGAAAAAAAAAAACCGGACAAAAACAAAACAAAGACCAACCAGCCTGCCTACCAGGAATATTAACGAGAATCGCAACCCCGCGGGATATCCCCTTTCACGGTCGAGACAAGACCAACAACATCATCAAGCATGGTGTACATTCGCCAACACCACCTCCCAAACCTGCGCAACTATCGCTATGCAGGCATCGACCACTCCCTCGTCAGTCGGTACATTCTAAAGCCGTTCTATAACAAATGCGTGATCGGTTGTTTCCCCATGGGCATGGCGTGAGTTTTTCAACCCAACTTCCTTTGCTTTGCTTTGCTTGGGGCTCTGGCGAGATCTGGTGAGATCTGCGGAGAAGCTCTGGAAGCTTGTCGGCTTGGAAAGAAGTTCCATTGGCAAGCTTGGTAGAGCTTCGCAGTTGCTTTCTTGCTGGAGTGGAGCTTTCCTTTTGCTATTCTACCTCTTCTACTCCCTCAGTTTTGGGAACTGGGGAAATGGGATGAGATGAGATGAGATGCGCCGCTTTACTATAATATGCGGAACTGTGACTAACGAGCTTCTCTGGATTTTTCCTTTCGCGCATATAGTCCCAATGCTGTAAGTACGCTCGATGCGATCGATACTCTTTCATAACCCGAGGAGAAGCTGGTGAAGCTTTGTACCCTCGCTGCGCAAATGATATGGTGCTAACTTATTCCTCCTGGTAGATTACCCTGACTGGTTTCATGTTCGTGGTCATTAATTTCATCACTGTGATGTGGTATAACCCCAATTTGGACCAGGACTGTCCGCCGTGGGTCTATGCCAGCTGTGCACTGGGTTTGTTTTTGTATCAGACTTTTGATGCTGTCGATGGCATGCAGGCGTATGTTTTTTCTCCCTCCCCCGAATCGCGTTGGGATGGTTGCTGAACTTTGAATAGACGGAGGACGAAACAAAGTGGTCCCCTTGGAGAGCTCTTCGATCACAGTATGTTGTTCTATGGCGAGCAGAAAGGGAGGAAGAACAATCCGATCAATCTAACCGAGTCTAGGTGTCGATGCATGCAACACCGGGTTAGGTGTTCTGATCTTCGCAGCTGCGATGAACCTCGGCCAATCCTGGATGACATTCTTGAGTCTATTTGGATGTAAGTCTCTACCCACCTAGGCGAAGCGACGCTGCAGAACGTCCAGAGTCTAACCCCAGCAGCTACTATGACCTTCTACGTCCAAACCTGGGATGAGTATTATACCCAGGTTCTCACGCTAGGCGTTGTTTCCGGTCCCGTCGAGGGTGTTCTCACCCTCTGCACCGTCTACGCTTTAACTGCCTACATGGGCGGCGGTAGTTTCTGGCACCAGCCCATGCTGGAAACCATGGGCGTTTCCAAGCCGAGCTTCATCACGCAGTCGGTATACGACATGCCCTTCACGCAGTGGTACCTGGTGTACGGTGCGTTGGTGCTCTTCTTCGCCACGGGCTCGAGTATCCTGCACGTTATGCATGTGCGCCGTGAGCGCGGCCAGGACCCCATTGCGCCGCTTTATGGTCTGCTTCCTCTGGTGGCGATCTGGACTCTCGTCCCAGCTTACTTGTACCTGCAACCTGCCATTTTGGAGAACTACACTATTCCGTTCGGCTTGTTTGTCGGCTTAGTGAATGCTTACTCCGTCGGCCGGATGATTGTTGGTCACCTCGTGCAGTCGGGTTTCCCGTACCACAACCCTCTGCTGTACCCGCTTGCTCTGGGTGTGATCGATAGCTCTGGTCCTTTCTGGGGTCTCTGGTCTCCCGTGCTGGGTGAGGGTGTTAGACCGGTTGCGTTTGTTTTTGTGTGCCTTGGTCTGGCGGTTGGTATTTACGGAAGCTTTGTGGTATGTTTTTTCCCTTGTTGTTCCCCCTGTTCTGGGTCTGATCGATGAGAGCTTCTTGCTGACATTCCCCCCCCCCAGTTTGACGTCATTACTACCATCTGTGACTATATCGATATCTGGTGCCTGACCATCAAGTATCCTTACGTGGAGGAGACCGAGCGCAAGGACGTCACTGCTGCCAAGGCCCAACTGGAAGGCACATCGAAGAAGGCGCAATAGAGTGGGGTGAGTGGCGAGAGTGAAAGGCGCGTGGGTGATAGACAGTTCAACCTCGAACCCCACGGACCGAAAGCGAAGCTCAGCGACAAGTTGAGAAGAGTGGGGACAGATCGAGAATGATCGGTGATTTGAGTTGGGTTGGTTGCTTGGAGAAAGTGGAGGGCCAAAAGGAATAATGTGGGCGGACCTAATGATTTGATTTCAGCCAGTACATAAGTTTGTTATTTTTTCAGCACCGGTAGTTCCGTGTGATAGAATATGAGAGTAATGTGTTATGCGAAGTATGGAAGTATCGGAGTTATCACTAGAGTAAGACATCGAGTGACTGCCTTCCTGATTATCCGGCAGAACCACGGATAACCTTAGGAACCTTTGGCCTTGGCAATGGGCGGTGAGTCATCCAGGCAATAAGGCGGTGTGATTGGCGGAAGCACTCCCTCACGCCTGCCCCATTTAGGCAGTCAAGCGAGGGCACAAACCCTAGGAGAACCCGCGGCCGCCCCCCCCCCCGAGACAAATCCCTTCAAATCCATTCCCGCTACAATCGAATTCGACACACAAGGTCATCGCCATCAGCGCCATTCATCAACCCCCTCGTTGATCATAATCCGTCAAGATGGTAAGCCCTCGCCCTGCTACCGCATCGCCCTCCTCCCTCCTATCCGACTCGACACGAATCACGCACCGTGGCCTATGCCAGGCGTCGAAAATACACAACCTATCGTCAAAAATCTCCCTTGCTGACGACTCATCTTCCAGGTTCTCGCGATCGACCTCCTCAACCCCACGCCTCAGGCTGAGGCCCGCAAGCACAAGCTTAAGGTACGCTCAACACCTCCGAACATCGAATGAGAAGTGGAAGGACATCAAGAAAGTCTCGAAGTTGTGGTGGTGGATATGGATGTGGACCGGAAGGAAGGTGGACACGAGACACTTCCGCATCATCAACCCTTTCAATACATTGAAACCACGGACAACTTGGAGAGCAAGAGGAGGAAATATATTCTATATGATTATATGATGATGGATCTTGAAAATATTGAATATTGAATTGACTCTGGACCGGAATGCTGACCAGGATTCCTTCACCCCCATCTAGACCCTTGTGCCCCAGCCCCGCTCCTTCTTCATGGACGTCAAGTGCCCCGGCTGCTTCACCATCACCACCGTCTTCTCTCACGCCCAGACCGTCGTCATCTGCGCCGGCTGCTCGACCGTCCTGTGCCAGCCCACCGGTGGCAAGGCCCGTCTGACTGAGGGCTGCTCTTTCCGCCGCAAGTAAACGAGACGCGCAAATGAAACTTCTTTTTTATTGTCTTGTTGAAACGCAGAGGAAATAGCATGGAGCAACTTGGGATGAAAATACCACTCTAACCTCTACGGGGTTCGGTTATTAAACGGAGACCACCGGCTTTTCAAAATGTCACATACAACAATTACCCTTTTACCCTCTTCTTCCTCTCTCTTATCCCTCCTATATCTTCCTTCTATCCGCCTTCTTTCACGGGATGACACGCCTTTCGTTCTGATTTGATTTCGATTCCTCCTCCCGACTACGGTCTTCGGTTCGAAAGTTTTGGAGATGCTGCTGCTGGAAGGAGGAGGGCTTTCGATTCAGAATGGAAGACGCGCAAAATGATATGATACGATCCATACCACTTTTTTATCTTCCCTGAAAACCAAAAAACAATTGAAATGTGACGTTCTGGAACACCCGTCTCTCTTTCGTCCAACTTTTGCTTCCTACAATTTCACTCTGTTGATGATTTAAAATAATCACACAGCGGCTTTTTCTCCCTTTTTTTTTCTTTCTCGTTTTTGCTTGTTCTTTTCATTGCGATTGATGACAGATAGAAGATGGAATGACTCGCCCTATTCCCCTTTCACCATGGCCCAAAAAGCATTCGACAATCCACAAAAAAAAGCAACTTGCAGCATCTAGCTCAGGGAGTTCCGGATATCTGACATAAAAGGCCCCATCGCATTTGCTTGGGCCTATTTTGTTTTTGTCTTTTCTGCTTTCTGTTTTGTCCTGTACTTGCACCTCATGTAAATGGGTTCTCTACTCAATTTGAGTTGTTGATACTCGATCTAGAGATCCTCGATCTCTTCTAGATTACGTAGAGTAGGGTAGACTTGTAGATATCACGTCTAGAGCGAGGCAGCATCCTGCCGCCTTTATACTATTGGAAAATAAAAAGGCCCTAACTACACTTCAGCAAGTAAACCTTTCGTCGGGGGTATCCAACAACCGAAGCGCATTCTGTAGTATGTACTACATTAGCCCTCCAAAGTAGTATTGCACGAAACTTGAATACTCTGTATAGGGCGGCTGTGCACCCCCGGCCTGTACCATGTACGGAGTACTCTGTTCTATGTACATCCAATTCAATCCAACTTGAACCCAATCCACCAAGCCCACCACCAAGTCCACCACCAAGTCCACCACCAAGTCCACCCAATATGGCAAGTAACGTAACCAATCCACCATGACGCCAAAACCCAATCCAAGTTCAATCCAGCATACCCTCACTACCACTACACATCCATCTACCACAAATCCACCCGCTAGTAAACCCAAAGCATATACGCCTCCCCACCCAAGTGGACGTGCGTTCCCGCCGTGTTCCCCACTAGACGAGAGTGGCTACGTAACAGCGCATCTGCAGCGGGACTATGGACCCTACTTCGTACTTGTATGTGTGTAGGATCATCATTCCCAGGAACGGGTTGACAATGATGTCATGTTCGATGGCGGATGGCGAAGATGGGTCGTGTTTAACATTCCTAACATCTGTGAGGGAGGATGGTGGCTGGGGCTATTTTTTACTGTAAGTGTATGAGTATAGGGTGTTGGATGGATGGACGGTGTATTGTATATTGTATATTGGCCTGGAGATCATTTTATTTTCTGGAGACAAAGAGAATTGGGATGGTTTTAGTTGTGAGTACACTAGTAGTAGAGCTACTCGTATGTTGGGTTGGTGAGGACATTGGCAATGGTATTGAGATTGGGTATGTTCATGTTCATTTTTGATTGTTGTCGTACAGCTCAAGACAAGGGAGTCATATCATAATAAAAGAAAGAGTTGGGTGAAACCAAATGACAGAATATAAAGAAGTGCTAAAGGTCAGAAGAAAGCGAAGGAGAAAAAAAAATCATAGATCGATCATCTCATGTCGTGATGATCTGGGTCTTTCCCAAGTAGTCGCTTGCAATACATACGATTTGACGATGGAATGGATCGTCTCAAGTATTCCATAGCAAAGTTGAAGCCAAATTGAGCCTCCCTGGGGTTTTAAGCGGCAGCGGTAGCAACGAGCTCTTGGGCCTTGGTTTTAATCTCAGGTCCGAAGTTGGGAGGTGCGGAGCCAGGACCACCTCCCATCACGACAGACATTTTACCGCTGGTATCGCTGATGAGAACGTTGGAAAAATTGTTGCGCCCGACTACTTCTGTGACGGCCTCTTTGGCGGCTCCGTCGCCGGCGGCGTATTTGGCGGCGTCGATGGCTTTGAGCTGGTTGTAGGTGTTGCGGATGAAGTCGTAGGTGAAGAAGATGGTAGGGTTCGGGGTTGGTGGCTGGTTTTCTGGGTGGGATTCGAATGCTCTGTTGGTTCTGGTTAATTTCATTTGCTTCCTTTTTATCTGGTGGGTGGTTGAAATGGGCGAAGGGGTGGAGGGGTAAGATTATAATCGTGGAGAGGTAGAGGTAGAGGATATTCGAAGAACATACTCGATCAAAGCTTGCATTTTTGCAGCTACGGCTGCGAGGTCGATAGCCATGTTGGGGGATATGGTGGTGAATGTATGTTGGATGTATGTTGATGAGACAAAGTTGGGCTGAGTGTTTATTAAATGGGGCTAGGGCTCCGAGTCCCCAGCTCCGAGTCCCCTCTTCGGACTCCGACTTCAACTTCTCTTGTCTTCCTGTGGTTTACGGTTTGCGGTTTTCTGTTTGCTGCTCACCCTTCGTTTCTCTTTTCTTCTACCTTTTCCCTTCTCCCTCAAAAAAATAGACACGTCCAATTCCTTATCCCCAACCATGGCACCCAACCCATCCAGCTCAGCGCGGCAACCACTCAAGCTCCTCATGCTGCACGGCTACACACAATCCGGCTCCCTCTTCCACGCCAAAAGCCGCGCCTTAACAAAACATATCCAAAAAGCCCTACCCCTACATGAAGTGATCGCCAGCTATCCAACCGCCCCGCTCCGTCTCCGACCCAGTGATATCCCAGGCTACGAGCCCTCCGACACCGGCATCCCAGACGACGACATCGAGGCATATGGCTGGTGGCGGCGCTCAAACAGCGCCAACCCACCCCTCTACACCGGCATTGAGGAAGGCCTGAGTGCCGTCGCAAAGGTCCTCACCGACGAAGGGCCCTTCGATGGCGTAATCGGGTTCTCGCAGGGTGCCGCGCTGGCGGGCATGGTGGCCGGCCTACTTGAACCCGGGCGGAAAGAAGCCTTTGCGCAATTCGCGAAGGATGACTCGGAGGGTGCGGCGGGTATGTCTTTCCCCAGTGCCTTTGATGAGGCAACTGGGTTTAGACACCCGCCGTTGAAGTTTGCGCTTTGTTATAGTGGGTTTCGGGCTCCTGGGCCGCGGTATCGTGGCTTTTATGATAATCCGCCTATCCAGACGCCTGTTTTGCATGTTCTGGGCTCGTTGGATGCGGTTGTTGATGAGGAGAGGAGTCGCGCTTTGATTGATGCTTGTCGGGGTCAGCCGGAGAAGGAGGGGCTTGTTATTTGGCATCCTGGTGGTCACTTTTTGCCCAGTCAGCGGCCTTATCTGGATGCTGCTGTTCGTTTTATTCGGGAGCAATTGGAGAAAGGTGCTGCCGGGGATAAGGAGGAAGAGGAAGATGTGAATGATATGGATATGCCGTTTTAGAGATTGGTGAATACTACTAGTAGTACTAGTAGGTATATAGTATAAACCTTGGAAGAGATCGGTTGTCGACTAGACTAGATTATACCCAACTTCAATACATTTCCTTGTTCTCGAAAGTCTACGTTTTCAATTACAACCTTGGAATGGCCGGTCAATTCCCCCAAATATAGCCCTGGAATGCCCTGGAATAAATAGTATATAGATCTTCACAAATAGTGCATAGAAGTCTACCGGCGAATTATTTTACACGGAGGCAAACGTTTCACATCTCATTCAAGTTCACTTAACGGGCCTTGGTCTCCTTGCCACGAGTCGGCTGAATGCGAGCCATCATCTCTTCCTTGGTGATCAAGTGATCAATGCGCTCCAGATGACCAAGAAGGCTCTTCATATCGCTGCTCCACTCGTTGAGTACATCATCAGCATCGCGAGGCTTAGCGAAGTTGACAAGCCGGGCAGGTCGGTCAATTTTGGCGTAGATGGTCTTCAATGTAACCAGCTCGCTGATATATTTCTCCGTCTCCTCCTCGGTCAGATCCAGAAGCTGGGTCAAACGGCCCATCTGGATCCGGGTGTAGTACTTGGCAACCACCCGCACATTGTGCTCAATGACTCGCTTCCGCAGGTCTTGCCATCTACGGTTCGCCTGGTTCTCGGACGACTGTTGGGTCTGGGAATCAAACACATCGGTACCGCACAGGTGAGGGCCGAACTGCTCCGCGACCATAGGCCAGCGCATCAGCTCGGGAATAGTGAAGAGTTTCACCAATCGGGCTTCCTCGGGGACCTGTGACAGTCGGGAGTCTTGTTGGATGCGGTGCAGAAGGTCTGACTGCTCGTTGTCGTAAGGAGACAGAACAATATAGTAAACAATGCGCGCAAGAGACTTGACTGAGGTTAGCGATTGAACGTACGATCGGCGGCCATACTATAAGAGATGAAACTTACTGCGCGAAGTTGCTCGGGGTTGTTCTCAACCGCCTCGGTGTCCAGGACTTCGCGGTAGTGCTTGCAAACATCCAGGTACTTGTTGTCGTGGTTGGAGAGAGTGATCTGTTGGTCGTAGAAGCGGAGCTTGAGGTCGGTCACATCGTCATCCACCTCCATTGGGGCTTCATCCGGTCCCCGGGTTAACTCTTGCTCCTCCGCCTGCTTCTTGAGTTTCTCGATCTCCTCGGCGGACTTCTTCGGTTTGCGGTTGAAATAACGCTTGTTGATCTTGCGGATGAGGATCGAGGCCTGGGTCCAGTCGCCACGCTCGATGCACAAAGAGACCTGCTCCAGGATGAACTCGGTCTTCTCACGTCGGGTCATCGACCCGAAGGTCTCCACCTGCAGCTCGCACAGAGTTTCTGCAGCGGCTTCGAGATCGCCTTGTGACTTCTTGATATTCGAAAGAATGCGTGTAACGCGGGCTCGCTCGACTTCGACGAAGATCTGGGGACGGGAATGTAAGCTCCAGTGCGAAAGTAATTGCGAGCACATCTGTCCTTACCTTTCCTTCGGTCACTGTTCGTAGTGTCTCAATGACGGAGAGCTTGACATCCAGATTGGGGGTGTCATCCAGGAACTTCATCACCTGCTGCACCATCCTCGTTGTGGCCTGCTTGAGCTGGGCATGTTTCTTGGAAAGGAGGAGCACTTGGTCGTTGAGCAGGGCCCAGTCGCCGGACTCCTTGCTGATGGTGACAATGGAGATCAGAAGACGGGATGTGGTGGCGAGATCGGAGGCCTATAGAGGGAGAAGCCGTGATCAGTATAGGATGGAGGATCGAGATGGAGACGAGATCATACCTGTCGGGATTGCTTCTCTAAGGCCAGCAGCTTATCGATCGCACCCTGAACATCGGTCTGAAAGAAAATCATCAGTACAGTTTCTTACGGGTCCCAAATATCGAATGATTTTTGTCTCGCACCTTTGCAAGGGCCTCGGCCTCCGGGATGAGCTTGTCGGCGTCCTTGGTGAAGTCCTTCTCGGGCTTCATCAAGACGGACATGATGGCGGTTGTCTTGGGGTGTTCGAAGAGGTCCGGAGCTGACAGTGGATTCAAAGATCAGTTGGAAACAGATTAACGATGCACCGACAGGGCAATTCGTGGAAGCGAGACAGGAAGATGGCTGATGGTGATGACGGAGCTTTGGGGCGCCCTTTGGCCGCGACCTGTGAGCTCCGCCTCACGTGATGCGGTCAACACTGGCAAGTAGCACTCCGCCTACATCAGATCAGATCAGTGCACTGAAACATGCCCTACTGCGCATTTCGAAAGTTCCTGGTGATTAGAAAGGTGGTATTTGTGCTACACAATTTCTGTTGTTTCTCAATCACAAATCGCATTGCATTGCTAGAGATGGGAGTTTCCAACCAGCATTTGATAGGCCAACAGCCTTAAGACGAGTGATTGATCGGAGTCTGACACACCTAATTGATCGGCAGGACTGACTTTCCTAAATCATCTACATTCTCACCATCAGGCATACACTTATGGAGTATAACCTACATTTGGATACATACATAGATCAAGGTGATCCACTGCTCACCAACTGGCCAATCTCCCATGCTGACCTAATCCTGTAGAAAGTCACAATCACGCAATTTCGCCCTAGTCCACTTTAGGATATGCAGCTGTATAGAAAAATTTCCGCCGCAACACAAATCCACTCGGTCGAGTGCGATCTTCGTTGAATATTTGCATCTGCATATTCTCTATACCCTCGGACACCCATATACGGCCTTGCGCAGGTAGCGGCAATTCAATCCGCGTGTGACACTTGATCATTCCAATTATAATTGACCCCAGCTTTCTTATCAGCCCCGTTATCTCCAATCGCGAGGGGCCTTTTACTCAGTCCGGAGTCGTTCTTCTTTCTCCGCGGAATCATCGTTGCACGGCGCATTGAGTCAATCGAATCCATTGGAAGTTCCTTTGTGTTCTCGTGTGTCATCTGATATTCTTCCATTCATATATCCCCGGTGTTTCCGCCTACATTCGGCATCATTTTGAAAGCATATTTCTTAGAGGGGTAGTCCGCAACTTGCGGCAATACGAGATGATGAAGGATGCCTCGAATGGCTCTGGTCAGTCTGTACCACTCATGACAGCCTGGAATACCGAATCACAAATTCATCTTATCATTGGCGCAAATCCTCTGGCGGCGGCGAGATGTACGAAGAGCCTTGAGGCCGGCGCCACCCCGATTCTCATTGCGCCAGAAACTGCAGATTTGCACTTTACTCTGTCAGAATACATTTCCAAGGGATCTGTACAATGGCAGCGTCGCGAGTTTCAGGACAGTGATTTGACTAGTTTGGGAAGAGAGGAAGTGGACCGCGTGGTCGACATGGTCTTCGTTACCTTGGGTGGCAAGCATACCTCGAGTAAGTCCCCATCTACGCTTGCACTCCATAAGCAGGATAAGGCTAATCCCATTTTACCAGGCCCGCATATCTCAACATTATGCCGCCGTCTTCGAATCCCTGTCAATGTGTCCGATGCCCCCGAGCTCTGCTCATTCAGCCTTCTCTCTACCTACTCCGATGGGCCGCTTCATATTGGAATTACAACATCGGGACGTGGATGCAAACTCGCATCAAGACTTCGACGTGAAATTGCAGCTTTCCTCCCTGCAAACCTTGGATCTGCAATTGATCGACTAGGTTCCGTGCGTCGGCAATTGTGGGAAGAAGACAACGCAGCAGGACTGGGCGAATCGGCTCTGGAGGGAGATGATGACGATGCAGCTGGTCAAAATCATCACTTCAATTCACTAGTCACGGAGGGTGATGTTGCCGCTGCTAAGACTAGACGTATGCGCTGGCTTTCGCAGATCTGCGAGTACTGGCCACTACGCAAACTTGTCTCCATCACCGATTCCGATATCGATGCTATTCTGAAAGCGTACACTAGTGGAAGGAACGATACTTCCGATGTCAATGGTGTCAACGGTGTTGCCACAATTACGAAGAAAGGAAAGATTGTGCTCGCTGGATCCGGCCCTGGTCACCCTGACCTACTGACTCGCGCTACATATAACGCCATTCAAAATGCGGATATCATCCTGGCTGATAAATTGGTCCCGGCTCCGGTTTTGGACTTGATTCCTCGTCGCACCGAGGTCCACATCGCCCGCAAGTTTCCCGGTAACGCCGATCAGGCCCAGGAGGAGTTCTTGCAGATGGGTCTTGCCTCTTTGAAAAAGGGCCAGCAAGTGCTTCGCCTGAAACAGGGAGATCCGTACCTCTATGGACGAGGAGCAGAGGAGTTTGAATTCTTCCGAAATGAAGGATTCATTCCTGTGGTTCTGCCCGGTATCACCAGCGCCATGAGCGCTTCTCTTTTCGCCGATATCCCGGCCACTCACCGGGGTGTCTCTGACCAGGTTTTGGTCTGCACGGGGACTGGCAGGAAAGGCGCTGCGCCGAACCCACCAGCCTATGTTCCCACGCAAACTGTTGTCTTCTTGATGGCTCTTCACAGGCTGTCTGCTCTTATCGAGTCGCTCACCACATTCCCTGCTGAAGACTCCGAGCGATCTCGAGCGCTTTGGCCGAAGGATACCCCTTGCGCTATCGTTGAGCGCGCATCTTGCCCCGATCAGAGGGTTATCCGCTCGACGTTGGAGAATATCTGTCTGGCCTTTGAAGAGGCGGGTTCCCGGCCGCCTGGTTTGTTGGTTGTTGGGGCAAGCTGCCACGTTCTACATAGCCCTCAGGATGGACAGAAGTGGGCTATTGAAGAAGGATTCCATGGGCTTGAAGAGCTTCATGGAGAGGTGGAGGCTGCATTGGAGAAATGATTGTGTATTTTGCATGGGATGGCATGGGATGGCATGATGCGACACGGAGTTATGAGATTGTATATAGATAGATACCCTTGAACAAAGACAAGCATTATCGATTCGAATATTCCAGACTGCAGAGTAATTTATATTTGAATTATGTGCAGGGAGTAAATTAACTACTATGCGTAACTATACCTACGGGCTAAAGCCACCCTATGACGCCATCCCCCACCGCCCTCCCCGCTCTGACGATGCTAATCGGTCAATCACCCGCAGTTCGGTTGTCAGTGCTCTCATCCAAGCAGAAACAACCTAAAGTCATCATGGCCCCAACATCACACCTCCCTTTATTCGGCGGCATCCGGTAGGCATTACCTCCCTCTGTTCTTGTATCACATGTAACTAACTAAATTGCCTCCCTCCCAGAGCCTGGAATTCAGATGACTGGACCTCATCCGACGACCGCGTCCGTGGCGGATCTTCCCACTCAACCCTAACCTGTTCACCCTCCTCGCTGGTCGCCCATTTCCATGGAGAACTAGACATAACGACCCTAGGCGGAGCAGGATTCGCCTCGCAACGCACAAGGGGCGAGGACCGAACATGGGATCTATCGCATCACGATGGCTTAGAGATTATCGTTGACCGGGCCGATGATAAATTATACACCCTGACTCTGAAGGACGAGATACTGCCCAAGAGATCTGATGGTCGGGAGCAGAGCAGCGTGAGCTGGGAATATGATTTCCGGGTTGAGCGTCAGAAGACGATTTTCGTCAAGTGGGAGGATTTCAGACCGACTTATCGTGGTAAGGATAAGGTTGATGCTGAGCCGTTGGATTTGAAGAATGTGAAGAGGTTTGGGATTATGGTGAGAAGGTATGTTGTTTGGAATTTCATTATGCCCCCCCCCCCCCCCCTTCCCCGACATTCTGCAGGGAACTATAGCTAACGTTTTTTTTTTTTTTGGCACTAGTTTCTTTGGCGATCAGGAGGGTCCTTTTGAGCTTGGTATTATTTCTATCGCTGCTGTGCGGACGGAGCGCTACTTGGATGATCCTGATGGTGAGGACTTGAATGAGTATATGGATGAGAAATCGGCTGCTGGGAGGCACACTCGGAGACGCCGCGCTTGGTTTGGAGGGCTGCTCAGCTGCTTCGGCGTTTAAGCTGGGTCCAAAAAAGTTCTATTAATTATTTGTCACGCGTGGGAAAAAGAACTGTAGCTACAAAATTTCGGTACAATATTTCGGTACAATATTTCGGTACAATATTTGCATTGGGTATGATATATAGGGTTAAAACATGCAAACGGCTATGCATCCTGTTAATTATGGACTCTGTTCTGCCCGGGCTCTCTTCCAAAACACTCGCCCGGACAATTCTCACTCGACGACCTGTGCATAAGAATAAAATAACAAATCACTCCTGTTGTGGATAGTTCACCCATTCCGAGAAATCCATGCCCGCCGGACTGGGCATCTGTTGTTCGACAGGAAACATGCTACCAAAGCTAGGATCACTAAATAAATGTTCTGGGAATGGCATGAAGCCTTGTGCTTGTTGTTGGCCGTATTGCTGCGGATTCTGTGTTTGGGAGTTTGGCTGCATGCCAGACATGGAGCCTAACGATGGGCCCAAAAGTCTATTAATGACTTCGGAGCATCGGGCGGCGAAACGGTTGTTGCAGAAAGATGGGTGGGTAAGAAGGGCTTTCGTTGTTTCGATGTCCTGGATCCAGCTCTGTGCTTCTGGGTTGGAGGGATCCGTCATGAGGAAAACGATCGGAATCAATCCGGCTTGAAATAGGAAGTATCTTATGCAATATTAGTCAAGGCCAAAACTATACTTCGCTTCTCGAAAGGGGAGACTCACAGCATATACCACGCCCCAATTCTCGTGCAAACATAATTGTCCATGTACTCAGAGATGGAAGAAATCGTTAGCCGGGCGTTCTGCAGGCAACGCACCCGACACTCTGTTTCGGTCGGATCTTCAACTCCTGTTTCGGAGCTGACAGATGATCCGTCAGAGCTGCCACCGTGGGGTGCCCATCGCCGAGCTGCCCAACGTAGCAAGATGGGGCGGTAGATCAAAATGATCAGATTCCAGTTTCGCCAGAGAAGGCGGTTGCGGACAAGAGCAAGATTGTCCGAGTCTGGCTGTGATGGGTGTGTGGAAAGAGGTTGTAGGGGATAGTGCATGTAAGAGGGCAGGCCATTGTACCATTCGTCCATCGGCTTTTGAAGATTGAGAGTTTCCTCCGGTGTGATGCTGGGACTGGAAATCAGACGTTGGTAAACGCTGTTGGTAAGAAGGTGAAATCGAGATTGGGCGATCAAGCCAGAGTAAAGAGTTGGGCCGGGTGATTCAAGTGGCAAGGAAGTAGTTGCGGGTGTCAGCGCCTGGCATGGAGTTTTAGTATAATTCTTTCGGTAGTAGCTCAGCCGCGAGATCCTTTACTTACGTCGTCGTGGATGTTAAGGACCTGTTTAGCATCCATCACACATTCTTCAGGAAGAAGAATAGGCCTGCCGAAGGTTTTTGCGGCGCCGCTGTCGAAGATGAAGACACCCCACCACAGCCTGCGGCGAATTTCCCGCTGTAAAAGACTGATTTTCCATCCAGGGAACTCCTTGTGGAGTCCCAGGCTCATGGCCATTCGAACGGCTAATCCCAGATAGTTCCAGCCCGTGTTAGGCTTGTTGCGCTTTTGTACATAGTTGCTAAGTAACAACAATGACTGAACCAGAGTCAAGTTTCCAGTCTCAAACACGGAGGACTGCTGTAAGCAGCTCCTGGCTTCTTGATAAAAGGTAATATCAAGATCAGAGCTATCATCGCCAATGCTCCATGCTCCAAGTGCTAGGATAGTATTGAGCAGAATCTGCCATGCGGTACCATGGGGCCGCAGGGAAGGATCATTGAACTGCGCGCGGAAGGTTGGTTCGTGAACGAACGGGTAGCTGGTATGGTAATTGAGGAAATATGCGTCAATAAAGGCTTGTTCGATGAGACCAGATGGGGCGCTTTCCAAGAGTTGTGCCTTGAGTGGTATGCCACCAGACCTCGCCGATCGAACGGGTATGTTCAAATCGAAGCCATGGTCAAAAAGTGCCCGAAGTGGAACCACACTTGATGAAGCACCTGGGATTGAAGTGTCAGTCATGTTTATTCAATAGCAGTTAGAGGCAGGAGTACAAACCAAAATAGCCAGCTCCTTCCGGCTTGATGGACAACGCGGCCATTCCATCTGTCAGGTCACCAAGTGTGAGTTCTTTTTCGGCCCAGTCAAACCCATCCGCCTGCTGTGGCAGAGCTTCTGGGGCGGGCTCCGACCTATCGGCATCCGGTTTAGCCGGTGTCGAGTGCCGAGAAGAGGATTTGGATGAAGGAGCTCTAGGTCCCTCTGGATTTTGTAAAAGAGATCGAAGGGTAGCATCCAGGTCACCTCCTGGAAACAGCCTACTTAATGCTGTTTCAAAAGAATGCAAGCGATCTTCAACGAGAGTCAAGTGTCTATATGATGTTAGTTTGGTCTAACTTCCGAAAGTTTAGTACAGGACGAGGTGAAATTCATACTGCCGTGTTAGGGGACTCCTGGAAACTTTCGGGCTATATTTGCACTCCTTATTTAACTGCCGGCATTGGAGGCAAACCGGCTTTTCTTTCGAGCACTAGAGTGATGAATGAGCTGGAAGTCCAGGAAATGTCGGGCTAGTTCATGATAGTACTCACTCTTGACTTTCGCAGACGGCACTCGTCGCACTATGTTCAAGTTCCAGTCAGTTTCATGGTCCTTCTCGGAGCATCGGGTCTTTGATATATCCATGTGCTAACATGGCGGCAAAAGGTAAGACGACACGTACAGCGAAAGAATGAGAATCACGGGTGCTAGCCATCATATTTATCGAGGCAGGGCGGATTCCTTATAATAGGTGTCCAATGCGCTTTGATCATGGCACAAAACAGAAGTCATCTTTCAAATCGTTAGTAAAATACACAGCCGTTTCGATGCCTGCCCTGGCGGCTGAGACCGTGTGGCGACCCCAAGCAACGTGGGGTGGGATGTAACTATAGCCACGCCGGCGCGGGAGTGGGGTAGTCATAGTATACACGAGGGGGTGAAGGGCAGTCGGGGTTATTGAACATAAAAGATAACTCACGATCGGCGCTAGAACAAGCATAGATCCACTCTGATCAAATCGGCTCTCGACATGATGAGCAGAAAGCCGCATCCAACGCTCCCCTCGATGGTGGGGAAATGGTCAGGTGATATGCGCGAAAAAAAAAAACCATATGGCGGCCTGAGGCAGACGTCCGGATTCGGATTCAGGTGGGATAAGATGAGGGGAAGGTAAATCTATAACCTTGGCAATGTACGAGATTATTTGAGATGAATTAAGTCTATACAAACCTTGGAAAGTAGCATATTTATTGTTTCAAGTCTCCCGTTGCGCAGGTACGATGCAACGAGATAAGAATCGAACTAGGAGTAATATGATTTGACAGGTCATTTTGTCGCCATACTACATATGTGCGGGAACCCTGAAGTATATATTTTTGAGCACCACACCTGGGCAACTTGAATCGACTCCCAGTTTGAATTCCAAATGATGTTTACCAATTTGAGCATAATCAGAGCATGTCTCAATTTATGATAAAATATCTACCGTCAATATTCACTACAATCGGCCAATATCGAAAAGTGAAGCCAACCGCGTTTCAAGCGTTGATCTCTTGGCAAAAACGGCGGGACAGCCAATCATATCCCCCCCCTACATTTTTTCCCTTTCGTGCATCACCAACTTCACACCCCAAAAAGAATGGGATAAAACATCTCCAAACAAGATTCACCCCCCCTTCAAAAACATAGAATTGCTCCAACAGTTCTCGCAAAAATCAACAGACAGCAAAGGAGGCCCCATCATGCCTTCTCAACCCCCACTTCCACCCCTCCTTGCGCCCTATCTATCAAACCAGCCAGAGTCCTCATTGACGCTGGTCTCCTCAATTCTCGGCGCGACATCTAATTGGCTGGTCCTGAGATTTCTACATGCAGCCCTGAGCAACTCGTCAAACAATGCTTCAATCGGTCTCGAGGATTCCCCGGATAGCAAGAAGAAAAAAGTCGTTCTTGTGAGCCTTCTGCGGGGTTGGGAATTCTGGAAGGCAGAGGCCAAGCGACTGGTGAGTTGAAATCCTTCCAAGGTTCCTGTATCTTTAAACTTCGTGGCTGCTACTATTAGTAGAAGTCGGGCGAATGGAGATTACCGAATATCTATTCAACCGAACTGGGCCTTTTATCTTTGCATCCCATTGACACAATTATAGGGCCTTGACCTTAATCGCTTGGCGGGCAAGCAACAATTCGCATATGTGGATGGCCTCTCAGAGCTATTCACCACACCAAAGCCCACGGGTAATACTCTACCTACTCTATCCGCCGGGAGTCCAGCACCGGCACGCACCACACTCCCGCTTCGATCTCAGCCTGGCGCAGTGCCCGGTAGATCGCCAGCGCCAGCGAGTTCCCCAATAGGGCAGGGAGGTGTCAGCGGACCGAGCAATCCGGAGCCTGGAATTGCCAAGAAGTTGAACTTTGCCGGACAAGGACTCGCGGCCTTGGACGCACTGGAGCGGGATATCTCGACGGTCATTGCAAAGCTCAAGACAGCAGAAGATGACGAGATTCTTTTGATTATTGATCAGCCCGATTTCCTACTTGCCTCTACAGGCCCGAGCTACGCGATAGGTGCTACGGAGATTATGGACTGGGTGACAGGTTTACAACAGGTATGTCATTGGAGGATCGAGAGGTCGATAAGGACAACCTCTCTCAGAACAACGCTAACGCCTTTAATAGGCCGTGCATGCTACAGTACTGACATTGGCTGCGGATTCGCCACTTCTACACAATGCACCAGCTGCAAGCAATCAGATGGCTACCCCAGTCGAGTCGGAACATGCCGCATTTGCGATTGGGTTGGCGCATCGGGCTCAGTCGGTCATGCAGCTCCGCACTCTGGAGACGGGAGCCGCAAGGGACGTGAGTGGGGTGTTGCGGATCAGCCGCGGTGGAGGCTGGAGTACTGGGGCAGAGGAGAACCTGGATGAAAAAGAACTGCTGTTCTATATCCAGCGAGATGGCGGAGTCCGAGTGTTCGGGCGTGGGGAGTCTTAAAAGGAATGGCTGCTGGTGAGTCAGTTTGCTCTCGGTGGGAGCTCTAGTGGTAGAAACAATTCCACGCAAGTCAAATCAACTGCAGCATTACGTATCCCCGATCTGGGCATAGAAATGAGATCGACGGACGATTGGAACCGGGAGAAAAAACACGTTTAAGGTGTTAGGAAGAGAGATCTTCACATTTGTATCTGTCACGACATGGGGATATTCGCCAGCCATAAACGAGGAAGAAAAAAGGAAATTCATGCACGCTTTCCCTTTGATTTTTTTTATGCCATTTCTCTTTCCCTCAAGAAAAGAGAAACAAAAATGAAACTTTTCCCGCCTTTCACGATCATTTCCCCTCTTGACTCGCGGTTCAATGCCAGCGGCCAAGTAGGAGAATAGAAAAGAAAGGGCGAGACTCGACGACTCGCATCACACCAACTAACTCCACAGGGAAAGCGTTAATATTCCGGAATTGCCAGTTGCATTTGGAGTATATTCTATCTCGCAATGCTAGGCCATGTCATGCCAGTTGATGCCCACCCTCATTCCTTTCCAGCCTCTCCTAGAACAAAAACGCGACGCCGAATTGGGAAAACGGGTAATTTATGCGGCGGTAGGGCCACGGGCGCCCTTGGGGGTGCCGGTCTGGAAGCCGTTCTTGAAGCGCTGGTGGACGGAGCGCAGGGAGCGGCAGCGGCCGGAGCCGGTGGTCTTGCGGCGCTTGGCCTTCTCACCCCAGTTGACTGTTGCAAAGAAAAAAACCTGGTCAGTCGAATTGTTTCCCTAAATTGCCATTTTCGTATGGTGCATGTCCAGCGGACTCCATATTCCAAATCACATCGTGATGCTTTCAAGGATGGGGGGTAGATGCGTACACTTGCGGGTCTTGGCGGCAGGGTAACCGCAGTTGGCGCAGGTCGACTTCTGGATGTGGTAGGACCGCTTGCCTATAATTCGCGAAAAAGACAACCGGTCAGCAATTCGTCCTGGATGTGAGACTTGTCGATGTTTCCACCCCATAGCGTCCGTCGGTGTCGCCCACAACTTTCATCAATCGAATCAAGAGAACGAGAAATATCGGTTTGCGAAAACTTTCGGAGCCGGGATAGAAACATGACATTCGATGGGGAGGTGTAATACTAACCACAACGACGGCACAGAGTGTGCGTCTTGTTGTGGCGCTTTCCGAAGCTCGAGGTACCCTTAGCTGTAGTGGTTGTCAGTCTGGATCGTTTCGATGTTGCGTAGATTCGCGGTGCGAGGTTTCGGTATCGGACGTACTCATTTTGAATTAGGGAACTGCGGGAGCAAAAAAGGAAAATGTCAGTAAGGGGATCGAGGTTAAACGTATGGAGGTTCGGCATGCGAACGTACCTGGCGATTCCGCTGAAGGGCTGTTGTCGTGGTCGTCGTCGCTTAGGCGTATCTCGAAAGTTCCGGTGGTGAGTGTCCAGGCTAAGCGAGTGGTGTGGGCACGTCACGGGATCCAGGGCACAAGCCCTGAGTCCCGTGATTCAACATCACATGATGACAGTCTGGACCGTGCACGAAAATACACGTGATAGGGGTGCCCCACTCACGGCAACTCGAACTATGGAAATGTCCAGGGTGAAAGGTGACAACAATCTCGAGATTACTGTTCCTAAAGTTGAATGCAAATGGTTTTCCATTGTGTCATGCAGAATATAAAGGGGTATTTTGGTACAGAGAAACGCCCAGAATGACAAAATATGAAGATCCTCCAATTTGACCTAGTCTTTTCCAATAAAGTTGGCCATGGGGTCGTCGGCAGCCAATCGGCTCCGCTTATATGACTCCATTTCCTCTTCAGTGATCCCAGTTCGCAGTTCCTCCAATGTACGCTTCTTCCCATTCGCGCTGGCGTCTTCTTGTTTCGCCCAGCTAGTCGCAGGTTCAGACTGAACGTTTTGGGCATCTTGAGAAGGCTCATCGTTGTTGTCCCCGCTCTCCTCTATCATTAACATGTTGCCTTCATCTTCAAACGCCTTCTTCCCATCTTCACCTGTGCAATAACTGTTCTTGACAGTAGAGAAACAGCATGAATAACCCCACTGGAAGGCATGCCACCAGCTACCCCATACCGATGTATGATTGTTGATCTTGATGTCCTCGGCGTATTTGGACTTAGTGGCGTTCTTGGGGGCGCCCTTGATCGCGCCGCTCTCATCATACTCCACGAACCGTTCGTTCTCGACCACCGCTGTGTCGCGAAGAGCATTCGCCTGCAAATATTCGCTGCCTCCGTACTTCGCCAAGAGGGCCTTGCGCTGAGCCTCACGTTTGGTCTCAGTATCTTCCTTTTCCTTCTTCCGTAACACTTCACCCGAGGTAGGGTTGGCTTGCAAGTGTATCTGAGCCATTCCTTTCTCTTGTGATTCCCAGGCGTACTGCTGGGCCTTTTCAAATTCGGCAGCGTCTCCGGAGGCACGAACAAAGTTCTCTTCCGCAACCAGTGCAGAAGCTTGATCTTCCTGTGCGCCCATGTCCACCATTCGTCGTGTCTTCGGGTCGTATTTCGCGGAATCGAGATCGAGATTGAGAAGATATTTGGCAGTATCTTCACGAATGCGGAGGTTGCGCGTGGCTGTACTTTGTTGACGACCCATGTCGGATTCTTCAGCATAGCGAATATCCTCCTCCAGAGCACCCTCGCCATCTTCAGCATCCATGAGCTTTTGAAGATCGGCACCCTCCTTGGCTGCCCGTTTAATAGACTCCAGTTCTTCGTATTCGTCGACGACTTGGCGGTATTCACTGGCGTCGTAGCCGTTCCATCGGTCTCGCTTGGCATCCCACCCCATGTCGACCTTCTGAAGAACCTCGTCCGCTTCAATATTCTTGCCAGTCCACTTGGCACCTTGTTTCCGCGGGCGACTGAGGCATTCCTTGGTCTTGTGTGTCATAGCGCCGCAGTTTTCGCATGCGCCTTTTCGGTACTTGGTCGCAGCCGGACCAGAGCGCTTTCCCCGATCATACCATTTTGACTGGTCTTGAGTTGTTTTGTGCAAACGCTGATGCTCCAGGTAATCATTGCCCTCATCGTCGTCTTCGACGTAGAACGGCTTCTTTGAGATAAAGGACGGGATGTATTCGTTGGGTTGCTTTGACGCCACATCGGCGGGCTTTCGAGACATTATGACTTTAGTTGCTACCCAGAGGTAGCAAGTGTATGGTTTCGATGAAGAATAGTAATGTCGCTAGAAATTCCAAGGAGGAGTTTGGATTCCGGGGAAGATGAGGCGAGGTCGAAAAAGTGGCTGGGCCGCCAAGATCGGATTTCACGTGATCTGGCGTTCCACCGATGCAATGCATGCGCCGCATGCCTTGATCCACTAGCAACTGGCGCGCGTTGACTTGATTAACCCGGCGGAATTTCGACATTTCCTCAATGAAATGCTCCAGCGGAAACTCAGCGCGATGACACCGAGGCTCATGGTTGAGTCTACCCACCCTGATGGAGCCCTTTCGCGTGCGCCTCAACTGCGTCGACCATTACCAGGCGATCGCGTCGGAGCTGGATCCTCCACTGCCTATTCGGGATGGCGTCTTTGAGAAAGATTACAGGCCTAGGGTGCCTGTCATCAGAGTCTTTGGAGCCACCGAAACAGGTCAACGGGTCTGTGTACATGTTCATGGAGCATTTCCGTATCTCTACATCGAATACAATGGGTCCTTGGCGCCCGATGCGGGTATGTACATGGACGCCCGTTAGAGAACCTCTGGGGTAACCAGCTAATTTAAAGTTATAGTCAGATCGGCTATCAGGACCCTGCATCTCTCCATAGATCATGCCTTGGCTGTCAGTTTTCGCCGAAATGCCTACGACAGGAAGACTGCTTTCGTGGCACATATCACCTTGGTCAAAGGAACCCCCTTCTATGGCTACCATGTCGGATACCGATTCTTTCTTAAAATCTATCTCCTCAACCCAAGTTGCAAGGGTCGCCTTGCCGATCTTCTGCACCAGGGGGCTGTCATGAAGCGGCCGCTACAGCCCTATGAGAGTCACCTGGGGTACGTTCCTCAATGGATGTGCGACTATAATTTGTCCGGCTGCAATTACATGGACTGCAGTATGGTCAGATTTCGTTCACCGGTGCCAGAGTATCTGGAAATGAATAATTTGAACCACCGATGGCATGATCGAACGATCGACCCAAAAAGTATACTTGATGGGCCAGCCCTCCAGAAACAAAGCCACTGCGCGCTGGAGGTGGATATTTGTGTCCAAGACATCTTGAATCGATCTCATGTCAAGGAGCGCCCTCTTCACCACGACTTCATGGAAATGCTCCGGCCGGCCATCATCAATGAGCGCTTAGTCCCAAGTGTGGCTGGTTTATGGGAAGATGAGACGCGGCGACGCAAGAAAAGAATGGGAATCGTTCACCCTGGAAATACACCGTTCGCTCCGGAGGAGCTGATCTCGATGTCTGCTAATTCAAGAGACCAGACCAGAGCTGGCTGGGTTCACGAAGATGAATTTCATGAGATGGCTCGGCAAATCGCTTTGGCCGAAAAGGAGGACGCCGAGGAGAAGGATACATCCTTCGAAAAATTTTTGGACCCTAACCAATACGAGAAGAATGTCAAGACCTCATTGAGCAGCGTTGAAGACTTTTATCCGGACAAGATCGACAGTTTTACAATGGAAAACCACCCGCAAGTACCCGACGATGCAGTAAAGGTTTCTGTTGATGAAAGCCTTGCATTATCCTCTCAGACTGACGACAGCTTTCTTTTCGATCTCGACCATCCAGATGAAGCACCAGAGGACACTCAATGTGCAGAAAATACTACAGTTGTGAACAACATGGCTGATGAGAGTTTCTATGACGGTGTTTTTGATGAATTATCATCTAATCTACCCTTCCGGCTGTCTGGCGAGATGGATTCTTTGGATATGGCATCGGATGACAGACGAGACAGCGAGTTACCCAGGCCAGATGTTGAATTTCCAGGCGACCCGAATGAATACAACCGAGGAGGCCTATCCCTGAAGCGCTCTCTCGATGGCGGCTCTGGTATATACAAACCATCCTTCAAAAAGCCGAGGTTCTTTATGGAACATGACTCTGGCCCACACAAGTCAGGCATCTCTGGAGGAACAGGAGAGGGAGGAGATAGACAAAATCTGCCCAAGAACCCATGTCTACAAATTGAGGCTCCTGCGTCAGACCCCAAGTCGTCCTCATCGCAGAAGACTATCCGGGCGAAGCAACATATTCCAGACAGCAGGTTAGATTTTCCAGTCGTCAAGGATCCAAATGACCCCTTGACCATCTTACGTTTTAGTCAAGACGACTCAAAACGTTCAAAGAAGGAGCGTGGTCTGTCTCAGCAAATGCCAAACTCTTTCCCCTCGGGATCAGCTACAAGTGCATCGGGACAAGCTAGCGCGCTTGGCGGCCCTTCAGCTCTCCCATCCTCTTCAACAATCGCGGAGGCAGTCATACTCGATCCGCATATTGCAGAACTCACAGAAAATCTCAGAAATTCATTTGAATTTTCGCCCGATAGTACTTTGGCCATTTTCAGATCTGCAGGCCCAAGCTCGACCGAGGTCCCCAAAACTATGAATGACTATGGTAGACCATCAGTTGTCTATCAGAAAGCATACTATTCCGAGGAAGTAGATGTGCCCGAAAGACCACGAGAATATGCTGGTCGGGAATTTCGACTTGAAAGCGACACAATACATTTTCTCCCCGAGTTTGATCCATTGGGAGACTTGCCTGCGATGTTTGGAGAGCAATTCACAGTTTCCTTTGACCGTGAGCATCAACAAGAAGTTGACCAGCAGATGCGAGAGTTTTGCACTGCTAGAGTCTGGGAATTTGCGGCAGTGCCCCCTAGCCGCTCTGAAGTCATTGAATGGTTTGAAAGCACCCAAGCGAGTAATATGAAAAATTCCGCACCTGAAAAGCCGGCCGCTTCGAGGATTGAGACCAAGGTGGATGCCTTGTCGCAGATCGAAGGCCCGACCCAAAAACCCCTGGAATTCAAGAATTCCCAGAAAGCAAAGACAAGCGTGGAGCACCAGGCGCAGTATATGAGCACCATGAGCTTGGAAGTTCATGTAAACACTCGCGGAGCTCTCTCGGCCAACCCTGAAGAGGATGAGATTTCCTGCATATTTTGGTGTATACAGTCTGAGGATGATGAGATCGAGGTTAACAGTCACATTCCTGGCGTCCATGTTGGCATGATCTATCAAGGCGAAGGGGAACCCCCCCGTAGCTAAGATCTCCAAAGCGTTACGGGTCGAACTTGAGCACGAGCCAACAGAGCTGGATATGATCAACAGATTGGTTGATATTGTTCGTTATCTTGACCCAGACATCATCACAGGCTATGAGGTACACAACGGCTCTTGGGGCTATGTGATCGAGCGCGCGCGAAAAAAAGTACGACTTTGATCTCTGCGAGGAGCTGTCTAGGGTAAAATCGCAAGCCAACGGAAAGTTCGGGAGAGAGGATGACCGCTGGGGCTTTGAACATGCTTCTTCTATCCAAATGACCGGCCGTCATATGATTAATATATGGCGTGCCATGAAAGGCGAGATGAATCTGTTGCAGTACACCATGGAGAACGTTGTGTTTCACCTACTGCGCCGCCGGATTCCGCACTACTCTCATCGGGATCTCACTCAATGGTACCAGAGCGGACATCCTCGCCAGGTCTACAAACTTGTGGACTATTTCACTTCCCGGGTGCAAATGAACCTAGAGATTCTCGAAGCCAATGAGCTCATTCCTCGACTCAGTGAACAAGCTAGGCTACTGGGCATTGACTTTTACTCGGTCTTCTCTCGCGGCTCTCAGTTCAAAGTTGAGTCCTTAATGTTTCGAATTGCCAAGCCGGAGAACTTTCTGCTTGTATCTCCAAGCAAGCAGCAAGTGGGACAACAGAATGCGCTTGAATGCCTACCGTTAGTCATGGAGCCACAAAGCGACTTCTACACCAGCCCACTCTTGGTTCTCGATTTTCAGTCTCTCTACCCCAGCATCATGATTGCATACAACTACTGTTACTCGACATTCTTGGGGAGAGCAGCCTCTTGGCGTGGTCGGGATAAGATGGGATTCTTGGATTACAAGCGACAGCCCCGTCTTCTCGAGCTTTTGAAAGACAAGATCAATATTGCTCCAAACGGAATGATGTACGCAAAGCAGGAAGTGCGAAAGTCGCTTTTAGCTAAAATGCTTACGGAAATTCTCGAAACCCGCGTGATGGTGAAGACTGGTATGAAGGCTGATAAAGACGACAAAATTTTGCAACGTCTTCTCAACAATCGGCAACTGGCTCTCAAGTTGATTGCGAACGTCACATATGGATACACCTCCGCCTCGTACTCCGGCCGAATGCCCTGCTCCGAGATTGCAGACAGCATCGTGCAGTCAGGACGGGAAACTCTCGAGAAAGCCATCGCTTTCATTCACTCAATCGAACGTTGGGGCGCCGAGGTTGTCTACGGCGACACAGATAGTCTTTTCGTGTACCTCAAAGGTCGAACTCGTGACCAAGCCTTTGATATCGGCGAGGAAATTGCACAGGCAGTCACGGAAATGAACCCTCGACCAGTGAAGCTCAAATTCGAAAAGGTGTACCACCCGTGCGTGCTACTAGCCAAGAAACGCTACGTTGGGTTCAAATACGAACATCGCACCCAAACCGAGCCCGAATTTGACGCCAAGGGCATCGAAACCGTCCGCAGAGACGGCACCCCTGCCGAACAAAAGATCGAAGAAAAAGCCTTAAAACTCCTCTTCCGAACTGCAGACCTCAGCCAAGTGAAGTCCTACTTCCAGCGCCAATGCAGTAAAATCATGCAAGGCCGTGTCTCGATACAGGATTTCTGTTTCGCCCGCGAAGTAAAATTGGGCACGTATAGTGAACGTGGCACAATGCCCGCCGGCGCAATGATTAGCACGAAGCGCATGCTCGAGGATCCGCGCTTGGAGCCGCAGTATGGCGAGCGCGTGCCATATGTCGTTGTCACAGGCGCACCTGGGTCTAGACTCATTGACCGTTGTGTTGCGCCTGAGACGCTCTTACACGACGCGCAGCTTGAACTTGATACGGACTACTACATAAGCAAGAACCTCATTCCGCCCCTAGAACGAATCTTCAACCTCGTCGGCGCAAATGTCCGGCAATGGTACGATGAAATGCCTAAAGTCCGGCGTATTCGGCGCGTGGATAATGCGGCTTCGACTGTCTCACGGCCAGGTATGCAATCCGGTGCGATGAAAAAAACACTTGAATCGTATATGCGCTCTTCGTCGTGTATTATTTGTCGGGAGAAGTTGTTAGATGCCGCTGTACCGCTTTGCACGGATTGTCTTTCTCGTCCGCATATCTCACTTCTGGATGTCGTTTCGCGATTACAGCGTGCTGAGAAACGTGTTGCTGATCTTGAGGCTGTTTGTCGGTCTTGCATGGGGGTTCCTTGCGGTGATACAATTGCGTGCAACAGCATTGACTGTCCGGTTTTCTACTCTCGTACTCGAGATGTGGCTCGCTTGAGTCATACAAGAGGAATCTTGGGACCTGTTGCTGAGTTATTAGAGAAAAAGGGGGACGAGGGGCTGGATTGGTGAATTGGTTATTCTTGAATTACTTTGAAGATTCTCTCATGCTATATTGGTCTTGGTCTTTTGGAAATTTTTATTGTATCATGTCATGGCGTTGGAATACCCTATGCTGGAGAGGTGGCTGGCGATATGTGAAGCTTGAATGTAACTAAACCTTGAAAAAAGAATAAACAACAAATATCAACAAAACATACTATCTAAACATGCACTTCATAAAAAACATTCTTAACAGCGAGAATCAAATGCAACCGAAGGGAAGAAAAAGTACAAGCCGAACATCCCCTCACTCCGAGTCTCCCATCATATCGATCAATTTGTCTAGAGCCGATGAGTTTGCAGTGACTTTGTCTTCAAATATTTCCTCGACAATATCGTTTTCGCTCTGGAGGATTTCGCTCTCGGGGATTTCGACCTTCGGCCTTCCTGACCCCCCCCTCAATGGAAAAATCGGCTGTAAGCCGCATAACCTCTGCTTGCGTGTACACCTTTCCCTTAGGACGGTCTCCTTTAGTGGCTGCGAGCTTCGTGATGGCGTCAAGATCATAATGTCCCTGGGCAATTTTGCCCAGATACTCGGAGAACATCCAAGGAAAGCTGATGAGAGAAGTCTTCGCCGCGCTGGATTCCATGTGATCTGATTCCTCGTAATCGGACTCATCATCGTACTTGGTGATTCCTTGAGTAGTCAGGAGGTCTTCATGAGTGACACGGTACATCGCCACTACCAATGGCGCAAGCACCTCAAGAAAACGACCACCCATTTTTTCGTAACAGTGCTGGCGGAAACCACTTCGAAGATGTTCTGCGAGCCCGCCGACCTTCTCGGAGATATTGTAGTTGTTAGCCGAGCCGTTGTGGCTAAGGATCCAGGAAGACCACACTTCAAATTCAGTTGGGATTTCGTATTGAGCCATTACCCGGCGCACTGCCGCGTCATAGTCTTCTTTCAAACTTCTCGCATAGTCTAGAAGACCTTCGCTTAGCTCTTTTAGTTCGGGCTTGCAATCTAGAATCCGAGAGTCAAATGACATGGTGAGATGAGGAACGAAGTTGACATTCTCGACGGCATCGTAGAGCTGGCCCAGAATTTTCGTGGAGTGGTAATCTTTCTTTGAAATCGCACTCCTCCTATCCATGAAGTGTGGCCACCTTGAGGGAACAAGATCACGGGTCATCACTGCAGCACCTCCGGTTTTGTTATAATCGACTGCATCGGAGTGAAGTCGAGCCAGACGAACGCATTTATCATCACGAATGCCATCGGGAAGAATATCAGCCCATGCTAAATGAGCTCTCGCGACCGATGGTAAGATGTTGTTTTTCATGTACGTGACAAAGAATGAGGTCACTTCATCCACTGTCACGTCACGATCAAGATCTGGGGCTTTCTTCGGATTTTGTTGCATTGGAGGTTCGAACCAGTTTCGCTTAGATGGAATCAAGTCCTGGTCCCAGATAACGACATAGTCATCCCCGTCCAAGTCCCCGCCGGAACACATGCCGGGAACATCTAGATCACCAGTCTGCGGAAATACGACAACATCTCGCAGATGCCTCAGCGCTGGCACATCTACCGCGAAAACAACTCGAATATCCCCTGGGTGAAGTGAAGGATTTCGGGCGACGATGCAGAGCCCCGTGATGACCTTCCGAGACCAACCTCTTTTTTCAGGCTGAGAGACCTGGATAAAAATCTGTGGCAGTGAAGCTTCTTTGTCTAATGGCCTGCCACGAAAATAACCATTGAGGATACCAGTCTCATCAATACAGCCAAACACACACGTGCCTTTTTCAATCACAATTTTGGCTTTCTCTTTGAGATGTTTGAGATGCCAGGTCTTCCATAGAGCCAGCATCGAATAGACAAATGGCTCTTCTGTTCGCCTGAAGCCGCAGTCTATCATCTGGGCGAGACAGAGTGTCATTTGTTCGGGATCAATGTATTTCCGAAGCATACCAGTGGCTTTTTCATCCTTCACCATGGCCTCTTCAAATATTTCAAGATGCTGTTTGAGCTTTTTGTGGAACGCTCTGTCAGAAATCCCTCGGGAGGTGAGCACAAGAATCAGTTGTCGATTTAAGGTTGCGACCGAAGGGCGTGAAGAGCGGATGATTTCCAACCTGACATGAGGGCTTTCGAATTTCAGTTGGCTCGGTCGAATATGAACCTCAGAGTGACCAGGATCTGAAGAAACCACAAGCAGGCCTTTACACCCACCAAGTCGGAATTGAAAGGCAGAGGGCAGTTCACCATCTGGGGTCTTGAGATTCAGCTCCTCGGCAACCATAGAGACCAAGAACTTGGATATCTTGCCTACGCCGTCGGAGAATACGCGGCCATTCCGGGTAATGTCTTCGATTTGTCGAATATCGGCTTTGCAGCCCCCGAATGCACGAGTGGTAGAGAAGCTCTGACCCAACCTTGCAGCATACTTTGCTATATTCCTGATATGACTGAGCTTACCCATCCAAGCCCGAATATGGGCTGCAGTCAGATGGAGAGTGGGTGCGAAGAAGTACGCGCCGTGGTCACGGAACTGAGAGTTGCTGAATGCGAGAAATTCATAATGACGATCACCTACCGTGATTCCGTTCGCCATGGTTCTCTTGACTCGAGTGTAAATCTCATCCTGGGAATCCCCCACGGTAGAAAATATCCTACCTACGCTCTTCTCGTCAGTGAATCGAACACGGAGAAAGTGATCTACGTGTTCGATGTAGCGGCGAATGATCCGATTCGACGTGTCAACCGTGGGAGTGTAGTAGTAGATCGTAGTTGGAGTGACTTGGGCACTTCGCATGAAGGAACAGTAGGAAGGGATTTTTGCATCACTGACTCCCTTGTAGACCTTGATATCAAAAATCTTCATGGGATCCGGGTAAGTGGTTTTTTCCGTGCCGACATGCTCCAACAGCCTTCTGGCGTTCTTTTCTCCGAGATCCCGTAATTTGAGGACAAATTCTCGAGTCATGCAAAATTCCGAAAGCCATCCATTTGAGATGCAAACTTCTAGCTGATAACGGACAGGAAAGTCCAAAGGAACGTATCCCCGATCTGCTAGGTCGCCGAGTGTAGAGTGTGGTGATGAGGGGTTCTGGGCGGGTGAGTGGTTGATCCAGTCCCAGACAAGCTTCGGTCTCCGAAAACTTTCTTTGAAGGGGCAATAATTCTGTACTGGAACGTTATGATCGCCTAGAATATCGTGTAAGAGTGTGAAAACGCCATTCCCAACTGCCTCGGGGGACAAGGTAATCCGGAAGACATTCCACCGACCTAGAGAACAAGGAGATTGAGAATTAGTCACTTTATACGAGAGGTTGAAAGTACTCACCGATATCGACAATTTGACCAGAGCGGTAAAGATTGGTAATGAGTGTCTGGTTAACCAGTGCTTCGGGATTGTGTACCAGAGCAGTCTGCCGGGGCCACGCATCAATTTCCTTCCAATTTGTGTCGGATTGAAAGGTAGGCTCCAGATTCTTTAGCCGACGGAAATAGAGTGCTGGGTGCTCTAAAACAGCGAGGAGAGAGATATTCTTGGACTGGGGATCATGGAATTCCCAGAGCTTGTCTAGCTGGATAAATTTCACTCTCAAACGGAAGAGACTTTCATTTTCTTCTGAATGAAGAGAAGGGTTGCGAAGGTTTCTGATATCACAAATGTTGGTAGTGAAATTGATAGACAATTCTCGTCGGCGGATGTCGAGGGATCCTCTTAGAGAGCCTTTGAAAGCGTGCATGATGTGAAAGGAATTTTCTCCATTCAAAACGCATACGTCGAGTTTCATGACAGAAAAATCCTGCAATCAGTAATGAATATGGCAAAGCAATAATAATTACATTTAAACTAAGTCTGCTTACCATAAACGAAGGATATCTCACTCCAGGGCGCACAGGACTGTCCATGAGACCCTCTTGGTCCCCGGTCTTCAGTTCGACACGAACCGTTACCTCTGACCTGTTCCGGAGCTTGATAATGTATGTTCCCATGGCCCAAAATTCGGATGAGGGAGGGGGTCTGTAATCATTTGAAATCAGTGGAAGGCCATGACATACGGATCAGCGATATAAGTAGGTATGGATATGTACCTGAAGCGGATGCGGCCCTTGCTGTGACGATCGCCCGTCCTCTGATCAAAGATGTCGACACTGGTAATATTGCCTTCATTTTTGAAGGAATCCCAGAGGACAAATGTGTTTGTGCCTTCGGGGATGTTGAACACGTTGATAGCCAACGATTCCCAGCTTCGCCATGTCGGAATATCTAGCGGAAAGGACATCATAGGAACCCCCTGGACGAGTTCTGTCTGGTTTGCCATGGTTCAGACACCTGTTCTTGGAGAGAAGAGAATGGAAGGGAAGAATGGAAAGACAGAGCTAGCTGAGATAGCTCTACTTATGGTGATACTGTCAGGCCAGCTCTTTGGTATTGGCGGGCCAGGCAGGCAGGCAGGTGCAAATATTGCCAAGAGCAAGTTTGGCCACCAGGTGAGTGGAAGATGAGTGACTCTAGCAAGAGAAGACCTAATTAGATTCTTCGGATGACGAAAAGTGAAAGGAAGGCACCGAGTGGGCGAAGGACGAAGGTGAAGAAGAAGAAGGTGCAAAGGCGACGGGGGGAGGGCCAGTCAGCCAATCACATCGTTTCCCCTATATCAATTGTTAAGGCAGTCGTTTAGAGGTATTTATGAGTACTCTCTAGGTACTACACCTATTTAGAAAAGAGAAGGATGAGGGGGAATGGCCCCTCAGGTTGATACCCGATTGAAAAGGGGCCAGCAAACGAGATCATGCACAAACCCTGGAATCCATGCAAAACAGGAGTTTCTAGTAGGTGAATGTACAAGCAGTACCCAGGTGACGTGCGTGTTGATACTCTAGGATCGCATTAAATTAACTCCTGGGGCAATTATTGAATCACTCCAATATATCTTTGCTTTACTGTAGACTACCTTTAGTACATGCTAGAAGTGCAAAAAGATATAGATCGGATACCGGGCTGTGAGTGGTTGTGCCCAGTGACCGCCCGGTTGCGGGGGCAACGGCCGCCGATCGTACACACTTCGGATTGCTTCTCTCCTCAACCACCTGGGTTTAAGGGACCACCTCTAAGTGACCACGAAACCTGCTGAGTACCAGGTAGCATAGACATCGTCATGTGCGAGGATCTCACGCGACTTATTCGCGAGATTGAGCGCGTCATAACCGCGCCTTATGTGGCTTCACTCCAGGTACGTCATAACAGCATCTTGCAGAATGGACACTAACACCGTGACCAGGACCTATATAGACTGGCAGAAAATCTGGATTCATCAAAAATCAAGATATGGATCCTGCAAAAGCCGTGCCAAGTCGGTCTGTTTGCGGATGTCCTGGTAGAAAGCTTGTCGCGATCGCGAGTTGCTTTGCCATTACTCTCCATATTTGGTGAGCTTTATGATCTGGGGGAAATACATGTCAGCGCCTGAAGTTAACCTGCGGTAGCTATGACAACTTGCTTCCAAGATACACTGCTGAATCGTCACCCGGTTGTATTGGAAGCTTTCCTTGAGAAGGCCGTGGATTCTGGGGAGCCGGACGTGGGTGATATCAAACTAGTCCTTGGGAACGACGAGCTGACCCTAATAGTATACTGAAGCATGCGCTGCTCTGCTCTCATTGCCTCTTCCATCTACCATGGCTCCTCCCGGTCGGCTTCACGGCTTCATCACGAAGTTGGTTTCAGTCATGGCGAGTAACCCATGTGCAGAGACCGTGGCCCCTTTACACATGATAATGGGCACTTTGAATGGCTCTCCTGGTCTCCTCAATGAGATCCCCGACGAAACAATGGCCAATCTGCAGCTTGAATTTACCAAAACCCTCCGCAACATGGAAGACCATATGGGCATTCTCCTGAGCCTCGCTACATTTGCCCGCATCGCATCGACCCAGTCAGAACACCAGAGCCCCTCAAAACAACACGGGTCGAAGCCACCGGCCTGGCTTCTAAACATTCAACATTTCTTTGGCCCCAAACGCGGGCAGAAAACCCTGGACTTAGTTGTCTTGCGAGTCATCTTAGCCTGCTCTTCAAATAGCAGCCCTCTCACTCCATCTCAAGCCGCAGAGAGCATCCGCCTCGCCATATCTATCGTTGACAATATTGACGCCAGCCAGAAGAATGCCTGGGTAGCGAGCGGCTCCTCGAAGGTCGCTAAGCTGTGTGATAAAGTGGTCCGAGATGGGTTGGATCGCGAGGTTCAGCTTATGGTATGCACCCTTGGACCGTGGCTATATCTTGCCTGACTTGACTCTAACATCTTGATTCCAGGGCTTGACCTTCTTGTTGTCCATATGCCCGGTTGAAAACTTTCCCCCTCAAATTCGCAACCTGGGGCTACGACTTCTCATTTCTAGAGACAGTCGAGTAGCTTTAACCACTATGGAGTCTCATCTAGTGATTCGTCTAACACAGTCCCTAGCTGTAAGTATGGCTTATTTGTTTCCACAAGATCTAGCTAACATGAGTAGGCTTGCGACGAATCCTTCGTTTATGAGTTACTCAGATTCACTGTCGATGCGGTGAAGGACAACAATATGAACCGTGGCTCCTTATCCAATCTGCACGTCGCAAACTTATTGCTTTCGAGCTTCCAGCAAGCCGAGTCCCAGCAGGTTATATCGTCCTTGTTAAGCTCTACGTCTACAAAAGAGACCATCGCAAGTCTTTTCGGCCAATTCCCGTCCCAAACCAGCCAGGTCCAGTGCGAGGGCTCAGAGATATGTTACTGCGCCTACACTACATTGCAGAATAATATCCTGCAAAACCTGTTTGAGATGTACTTTGCGGCCGCATTGTCCCAGAACGGGAACGGAAGAGACATTGATATTATTAAGTCCTTTGTTGGACGCGTGCCAATGTCGCTCGAAAAGTGTTCCTTTGCTAATGCCGACTCAAGTAACTTTCGTAGCTCTCTTCTCCTCCGCGACCGCCGGGAATTCACATCTCTGCAACATACGAATCGGGATTGGCGATCTCAAATCACGGATACCTTCATGCAGAATTCCAAAGTGGCGAATGATTCTATGGTGCAAATGGTGGAGGGTATTTGTTTTGATATGGAGCGACGCTGCTATGATGTCGAAGGTCCCCTCCGCTCCGCCGAGGAAGATCGAAACAAATATATGCTCGAAGCGGAGCAACTCCGGCGTGAACATGACAACCTCGAACACGTTAATAGACAATCGGTACAGGCGATGTCCGACCTTCGCCAAGAGATGGCTCGTCTGGAGGAGCAAACCGAAAGCGCATGTAATCGTGTGGAAGAGCTGTCTGCCTCACTCAATTCCGCACACGACGAACTCCAGGAACAAATACTTCATTCCGAAGAAAGTCTTCACTTGGAAAAAGACAGGGCTCGATCACGGGAACTTGATTTGATCGCTACCTCCACAGGGAAGGATGATCAGCTAGAAGAACTACAGGAGAAGCTGCACCGTCTTCAGTCTGAGAATGAAAAAATGAGGCGGTCACTGGATGTCGGGGTACAAGAAAAGGCATCCTCCTCGGAAACAGTCGCATTCTTGCAACATGATATCGAGCAGCACAAGCAGGCCTTAGAGCAACACAGGACTCTATGTTCCGAAAAGGAGGGCGAAATTCAACGTCTCTTGTCGGTAAATGGAGACCTTCAAATAGAGACGGAGAATATGAAGTCTATGGTTAGTCTGCACTGGTCTACGTGTATATTTGTTGAGCTAACAGCTGGTACCTGCAGATGGTAGAACAGAGCCAGGAAACCGAGAGGCTGCATAACTCGCTCCAACAAGCCGAAGAAACATCAAGGTTGGAAAGGGAGGCAATGAGACAAAACCATGAGGTCCAAATTTCCAATAACAAAGCAGAGGTTTGTCTTGCAAGAACTACTTCATTCTCGATTTCTTTCTAACAGAGACATGGCAGGTCACAAAGCTGAAAGAGGAAAACAAACGTCTACATCGCGAGGTGCAAGATGGTGCGAGTGAAGCCACAAAGAAGATCCAGGCAAAGGACAAGCGCATGATACAGTTGGAGAAGAAGGTGTGTGACATGAAGCCCTCTATTCCACAACGCACAGAACAATTCAAGAAATTGGGCCTATACTGACCTATTGTAAAGGTTCAATCCATGCGGAATGAACGAGAAGCCAAGGCTAGAGAATTCTCCGAGGCCCAGCAACATATTGGCCGTTTGATGGGGGTCATGGGGTTTTCTGCACAGCCTGCACAGCCTGCAGAGCCTGCAGAGCCCAAACCCCAACAACCAAGGAGTGCGAAGCAATCTAAACCAGCAGCACGCCACCTCGATGCATACAACGACGAAGATTCACAACTGATAGAATCATTCGAGTCCATGGCTTCTAATTTTAACGAACGCACCGCTAAACGACCCCGGGGAAACCGCCTTTCTCACCCATCGCAACCTCAACCCCGAACACCGGGTCTTCCGATGTCAAAGTCGAGCCCCCATTTCTCGGAGTCTGCAAGACGTTCGACTCGCAAACCGCTGGGTGAAGCTGATCTTAACAGCCCGACCAAGTCTCCGGCTGCCAATAACTCAAAGCATAAACAGCCTACGGTTGGGCCGACCGATCCTTTCGAGGATAACTGTCTTCAGGATTTGGATTTGGATATGGATTTGGAGTTTTCACGGGACTTTATTTTCACCAGCACAGCCTTCTCGGGGTCAGATGATAAGTCGGCACCGCAATGAGGGCATGTGAAATTGAGTCTCATCATGTCAATAGTTCTTTGGTTATGAAAGACGCCCAGCTACCATGGCGGGTATTCAAGTTTCTTTCTTGCAGATACTGGGAGTTAATATACCTAATCGGCCTAGCCGATGTTAATGGGAATCCCTAGAGAGAGCAAGTCATATCAACAGCGTAGTCATACTAGTGCTCAGTACTCGTGGCACTCCATCAAACACCTCCGATACCCCCATACCCCCATACCCCCATACCCCCACGCTAGCGGAATTGTTCCTTCTCGGCCGAAGTCGAGTCGAGCGGGGGGAATTCAAACCTCGCCCTGTCTTTGCCCCGGAACAACGGAATAGCGTGACGGCACTTCTGACTCTAGCAATTTCGGAATATTTTGTTCCCCTACGAATCTAAATCTCCTTTCGAAACCTCCCTCTTCCTTCATTGTCGATACCCCTAACCCCTGACCCCCATCACTATGCGAGCACCGCTTCTTCTCCGGGGTTTCTCCACACCCCGCATTCCCCGCGTTCCCCAATCCGGCTGGGCCACCAGAACCGCAGCCTTTCGATTGAACAGTTCAAGCAGTGGTGCAGGTAAAGGACAGCAGAAGCAAGAATATACAAGCGCTAGACCTCAGTCATCGCCGAATTCATCCTCCTGGACGCCACTTCGGGCCCTTGCGATCGCCACATTTGCTGCTGGGCTGGGATACGGCTATGCTTCCTACGGCCAGACTCCTCAAATTACTGCAAAGCCTCAGTATGGCTCAGTCAAAGATTTCGAAATGGTGCGTTATACTTACTGGAATGCTATACCTTAATACAAATTTGACAATCACAGGCTATAGCCGAGCTCCGGGCCAAGCTGGGCGAAGACACCATCTCTACCGACGACGATGACCTCCATCGACACGGTTATTCCGAGTGGTCTAGCTTGAACGCAAACCGCCTCCCATCCGCCATCGCCTACCCCGAGACCACCGAAGACGTCGTGGAAATCGTCAAGGTCTGTCACAAATACCGCATGCCCATGATCCCCTTCTCTGGCGGGTCCAGTCTTGAAGCCAATTTCTCCGCCCCGTACGGCGGCATGACGATTGATTTCGCAATGATGAACAAGATCCTCGATATTCACGAAGATGATATGGACATTGTGGTTCAGCCGGCGATCGGCTGGATGGATCTGAACGAACAAATTAAGGGAACTGGCCTATTTTTCCCCGTTGATCCCGGTCCTACGGCTATGATTGGCGGCATGATCGGTACAAACTGCAGTGGAACAAATGCTGTGCGATACGGTACTATGAAAGACTGGGTCATCAATCTTACCGTTGTCTTGGCTGATGGCCGAGTAATCAAAACTCGCCGGCGCCCTCGCAAGACTTCGGCCGGATACAATCTTACCGGCTTACTTGTCGGCTCGGAGGGAACGTTGGGAATAGTCACGGAGGCGACTCTCAAATTGGCACCTATCCCTGAACAAACTCGTGTTGGAGTAGTGGCATTCTCGACAATTCGTGACTGCGCGTCGACAGCGCAACAATTGATTCGGAGAGGTATCCAGGTCCAGTGTATGGAAATCTTGGATGATGTTCAGATGGATGTTATTAACCGTGCTGGTGGAACGGGTCGCACATGGAGTGTCTCTCCTACTTTGTTCTTTAAATTCTCCGGAACTGCGGCTGGGGTGGAAGATAGTATCAATTTGACAAGAGAGCTGGCTCAGAATAACCGCGCGCAAGGATTTCAGTTTGCCAAGGACGAGAGAGAAGCTCATGATCTTTGGTCTGCGCGTAAGCAGTCACTTTGGAGTATGATGGCTCTTCGAAAAGAGGGTTCTGAGGTGTGGTCGACTGATGTGGCAGTGCCAATCTCTCGTCTTCCTGATATTATCGGTATGTCTATCTGGTTTTTATACTGCGTCTTCATCGCTGACCAATACAGAAATTTCCAAGAAAGAGCTTGACGACCTTGGTCTCTTTGCTAGCATTTTGGGTCACATTGGCGATGGAAATTTCCATTCAAGCATCATGTTTGATCGCAATGATCCCGCTGAAAAAGAAAGGGTTGAGAAGGTGGTATATGACATGGTTGATCGCGCCCTTGAGATGGAGGGCTCTTGCACTGTATGAATCTATCTTTTCTCTCAATATGACTTAAGCTAACTCGTTCCAGGGCGAGCATGGAATCGGTCTGGGTAAGAAGGACTCGCTACGGAAAGAGGTCGGAGAGGAGACTATCGAAATTATGCGGAGTGTCAAGCGCTCCCTGGATCCACGCTGGTTGTTGAATCCCGGGAAGATATTCGATGTGGATGAATGATTCTATTGCCTGGTATGTGTGTGCCAAGGGCACCGGGGCTACGGTGAATCATCATCCATGGATCTCAATCGTGTGTACATACAAAATCATGAGTGTTCTCCTAGTCATGCATGCATGAGTGTGACCTGAGAGAGCCTTTGCTGAGGACTTCGGTGCAAGGCTGTAAATTAGATAAAAATATCAGCTTGAGGCCTGCAGAATTTCTTTCAGCTCGGCTGGTAATGGATATGCCTCCTCAATCGGCAAAAGCCTTTCTGCAGCCTCAAGATTCCCCTCCTCGACGTGATCTCTGATTTTGTGCATCAGGTTCGTGACATCCGTAATGGAAACAATCCAATCATCAACATATCGCGTCACAGCCTCAGGACCCAGTCCAATTTGAATAGAGCGATAATCCAGGGGTCGAAATTCAAAGTCTCGCTCTGGATCCCATTGGATGCGAACAGGACTTGCATGAAGCTTTTGCTGCCATTGCTCCTTATCCAATGTCGTCTTTTCGCCCTTTGCATCCCAATGGCTCAGGCACGAGACCTGGAGTGCCCACTCAAACCCTTCCCGTGTAATTTCGATAGCCAACACACGCTCTTGACGCTGCTTCGTTGCCCATCCACTGCGATACGCCATCCATAGGAACGAGGGTTTGATCCACGTCATCCTGGTTCGGGAAAATGGCGGTGTAAACCTTTGTGCCTTAAGTGCTGGATTTGAAATTTCTGGAGGATATGCCTGATAGACAGTTATGGTTTTGGGCGTATAGGATGCGCGTATGGCTCGGTAGGCATGGTTTGAAGATTGATCTTTTGCCATTGTGCCGCCCGTGATGATGTGTTGTGGTCGCGCCGAATTTCCTTTATCCTCTCTTCTTTCTTTTGGGTGATATTGGTGAAATTAAATAAGTAATAGATTATAAGTAGAGCCTCGTGGAAAAAATTACAAAGATACTAGTATATGTTAATTTCAATGCTATCTTGTTCAGCCACTCTGACTCACATTTTTCGTATTGGTGTAGCCGCTAAGTTCGATTCAGACGCCGCCCTCATACAACCTCAGAAGATGGTCCTCGGTAGCTCGAAATTTATTAACCTTACCTTCCTCAAAGTAAATTCTTGCTTTTTCTCCCTGGTTTGCGCATACCCGTGGTGCGGGTTTCGAGCCCAACCCCATGCCCGCACAGCAAACCCGCGTTTTACCCAATTTTGACCCCCAGGATTTTAAATGGGCAATAACTTTCAATTTCCATAATATATACAGTTGTAGTGATTCTTTTAGTAGACGCAGTAGTCCAAGTACCACCTAATAAATAGGAATTATATGGCAATACTAAGATTTACCCATGGCTTTTGGCTGCGGGTACCTGCATAGGTAGCGGGTTTAACTATCCGACCTGTGCCCGGGCTGCGGGTTTGGAGTCTGAGCCCGAACCCGCCTCGATGGCCCACCTGGCAGGTCTACGAGTAGTATTGTTCTGTTGTGGCCTGACTCGGTTTTCCTTAGTTCCGCAGGCTGCCATCGGGCCCCGCGGATTCCGGCAGCATGTCTTGGCCAAACATAGGCTCGGTTCCGCGCATACTTAAGAAGTCGAAAAGGTGCTTATATTAAATCACTCTCATTCGCTCTCAGCTCTTTTGATCTATCCGAGCCCTTATTTCTGACTAAGCTCCGTATACAATGGCGGACACCGTCCTGATTGCTCACGGTTATTATCCGCCCTCAATCAATCTGCCTCATTATGTTGCGAACGAAGACTCGGTAATTTCTTTAATTGCTCGCTTCGGGGTTTTTTGGGTGGCTGTTTCAGGGGCAGCTGTCTTCTTGATTTCTCGTCTGCGACCAGCATCGAGTTTGGCGGATCGAGTTGCGTTTACTTGGATGTGTCTAAGTAAGCTCATTGCCCGCCTCCTTTGACAAAATTGATAGCAATGGGTCTAACAAATTACAGCGGGATGGATTCATCTATTTTTCGAAGCGCATTTTGTTGTCAACCATGCAGGATTGGCTAGTGGCCAAAGTTTATTCGACCAGTTGTGGAAAGAATACTCTCTTTCGGATTCTCGTTACTTGACCTCCGACGCGTTTTTGGTCTCTATGGAGGCTGTGACTGCGGTAATTTTTTTTCATATTTAGCAAATCAAATCGAGACCATTGCTAATAACTTTTCTTCGACAGTTCTGCTGGGGTCCGTTGGCATTCTTCATCGCATATTGCATTATCGCGCAACACCCTCTGCGATATCCCTTGCAAATTGTCATATCAGTGGGCCAAGTTTACGGTGACATTCTTTACTACGCTACTAGCCTGCTTGATATTGAGTATTGCCGACCGGAGAGATATTATTTCTGGTTTTATTATTTCTTTTTCAACTTTATATGGATGGTTATTGGTTGTTGTATGTATCCTTTTCCTGGTCCCCATTCACAGCTGGTACTGACAAAGCGTAGACTACACATGGCAAGGAGTTTCCAAGATCTACCAGGCATTCAGAAAGCTTGAGGAACTTGAAGTCTCACGGAAGGAAAAATAATACCACTGGCCGAAAAGTATTCAACATGAGGCGCGTTCTTTGACCATTTGAGTCACAACAGGAAGATGATCGCTAGGATCTCAAATTCGCATTTACCTTCGACCGTGAAAGCATTTATGGGTCATGGCAAGATTTATCAAAATTCACACCAAGGATGTTTCTTACCACGGAGAGGTATTTGAGAGAGCAGAAAATGTTTAGATTGAACGGACTCTTTCAATGTTGATTGTCCAGAATATTTGATGATAGGCAGTTGTCCCAGCGTTTCTATCATTTATTCCCTAAAGATCATATTACAGTGGCGTTGCAAAGGTTTGAAACCCCTTGTTGACTGTTCTTGTCTCCGCCTTCTAATCGCAGACTAGTAGCTACTTAAGACGGAATAGATTGGCCTATCTATTCCATCTTAGGTAGCTACTAGTATCCCATTAGAAGGCGGTCAATAATGGTGGGCAATATGGGGTTTCAAACTTTTGCAACGCTACTGTATGACCTTCGAGGTTAGATTTACCAAAAAGCGAAGTGTTTTGCTTTTGAAGAGGGTTTTCCGATCAGACGTATGCGCACTATCGTCGACACCCGACCAAGGGCCAAAAAAGGCTGTTCTTCAACTGGCCTTTTGCGAGCCACATCTTTCAAAGACTAGACCACAATTCAGGTTCAAGATATGCGCCACGGAGGTCCAATTGTCCGAATCCACCCCAATAATCAGGGTCCGCAAGTGACGCTTGGAATGGATCCAGAGAATCGCCTTCTTTGGGGGTAAGGCTGCTCTTTTGTGATTGTGTGAGATGACCCATATTATCTATGGATTCGAGATAGCTGGTTTCGGGCACTGTTGATAGCGCAAAATCACTCGGTATGCTCTCTTCGATAGTATGCAATGTATCGTGTAGCTCCCTTGAGTTCTCATGTGCTTGAAAGCTCTGGTCACCTATCACACTTGATTGGAAGTCCAGTGTACCTTCGAAAGAGATCGGTATGACTTTCTCGCACAGAGCGTCCTGAAATGATCGACGTTGCTCTGTTCTTAATGCATCGCATGATATTGATCGTGGGGCTCGTCTCCCTCCATCGAAAGTGAGGCCATTTAGCCATGGTAGCCTGAGGTCCATAGCACCGAAAGTATTCGCCGATCGAAGACACTCAGGCAACTTATCTTGATCCGGTAAGCGACCACAAGACAGGGCATAGTCAGTGGATTTGGATATCAACAGATAGACTTCGGGATACTGGTTGAAGATGTCAACCCAATCACGCAGATCATTATTCTGACCACCCTCGGGGCTGCTCTCACACCAAAGGGGGCTAATTCCACGAATTCTGTTGGCCAGTACTGAGGAGGGGCTTGTCGTTTGACCTCGATTCAGGAGTTGCTGCACTGCCATATTTGCAAGAAGTAAGATCTGCTTCGCCCCCGCAGTGACAAAGCTCGTAACATCAGCAACACCGGTCAGATACCGATAAATTTCGCCTAGACAACTCATCTGCTGCGTCCGCTGTATATTATCTTCATTTGTCCGTGCCAGGTTAACATCGATGGCAGCTATAGCTAAAGGCCATGCCATAAGAGCGAGCCTATTTGCCACCATAAAGATAAGTATTCGTAGATCAAATGGTTAATTTTGCGTAAAGCGGCATACGTGCTCAATGGAATAGTCTCCTTGTTTTGGGCATTACTCATGTTCGCCAAAACTCGAAGTACTTCAGTAACTGCGTGCTTGAGATTCCGTGCGGAGTCTCTCGTCTGCATAATAACTTCATCTGTGGCAATCGACCTATTCGATTCCAGGATAAATGCTTCACAGTGTATCAAGTGAATCTTGGCGGTACTGAAGCTCTTGTTAGCAGCAAAATAACTCAACTAGAAGGACGGTAAGCACTAACAAGTAGTATGCACGAGTCATATTGGTGAAGTTTGTGGCCGCATCTGGCCACGGTTGTTCTTCTGGGTATAGAACTTCGTAGCTTGTTTGTTCCCAACAGGAAAAAGCATGTTTGACATCCTGTATTTCTTTCATGGCTCTCATGACCTCATCGATAGACCCATAGCTGCAACGATACTGTTGTGGGAAAAATGCAGACATCATTTCAATGACTATAACAGCCAACTGGCATTGCCTTTCAAAGGTCTTGATAAGAAATCGTTTTACCGTTCGGTCGTAGACTTCAGAATTCTCCATCTCGTTTTCGAGATCGCACTCATCCAAAAACTTTGCTTTCAGATTAGGATTCGACCAGTTTATCTGAGTATTGCGTCGGAATGCCAGCGAGATAAACCCATCTCGCAGGACGATTGACCACCATACGCGCTTAATGAGTGGGTTTTCCATGCCAAAGGGTGACGTGGAAGCTGTTTTATCTGCGATCGTGCAGTTTTGTATCGCAGTTCCTAGCATGAGGCTTCCGATCTGAGGATTATCGGATGAAGCTTGGTATGAAAGCAGCAGGGCTCCTCTTGCCTTATCCAGTTCCTTGTCTTCGGCACCCAGGTCTAGTAACAACTAAAAAATATTAGTTATTATGTGAGCATTACAACTGGATGTTGAATACTCGCGATTACCTTGGCTCGAGTATATAACTCATTTCTAGCAGCCAGTTTGCTTGAAAATCCACACTTCCTCACGATATCTAGCTCCACGTACTTATTTGACGATCAGTATCCAAGCCTCTCTAATATCCCGTGTAACTTACTGTACAGCACACGAATAGTAGTGCCTGAAATACAAAGAGCGATACGGGCCTGCCATCACTTGATGGGCCTCGACGATATGCTCTCCAGAAGCTTGCTTCGTCCAACACTGGAGAATATGGATGCACATGCATAAAATACATGCGCACCAATCCATCTAGTGCAGGCTGAGCAGGGACCTGGAAGCACCCTTTGGATCCCAGATAGTCCATATCCTCTGTCCCCAGGCCGGCCGATAGTGAAAGCTGAAGGAATGAATACTGTGAAAAAGGAACATGGCCACGTAGACTCATGCCATCTTCAACATTAGAGGTTTTATGGTAAGTCACATTTTGATTTTCCAGGGGTATTATCGATCTTGACAGCAGTGTAGAGTATCCATCGGCTTCGTTTGAATCGCTAGCTATGCTGCAGTTTGAGCTTTCGATTCGGGCCTTTTTCAAACGATTTTTCCTGTCGGCTCTGTCTTTCCTGGTTTTTTATCAGCTGCCCGTCTTTTAGTATCCTTGAGCACACTCACTGGAAGTCATTGCTCCAAATCTCGCAGCCTTCAAGTTCGCCATCTTGAGAGCATCTTGTGCATGGAGGCCCTGTGCGCGATATGTCACAGCGCACACGCTGCTGATGGCACCAAGTACAAGCGTTTCGAGCTCTTCGTTGTCGATAATTCTGCATTGATGATAGCGGCTTTGGGTACTGCACCAGTAATTTCTCGGTCAGTTGGAGAAGAGGCAGTTTCAAGAAACCTTTTAGTGCAGTAGTTGTTATGGACTGGTTGGCTTTGTTTAACATAAAAAGAGGATAATATTCGACCCCCGGTATCGAAAACCCCGCTCTGGTGGCTGTCTTGAATCATTTGTGCCATAATGCACAGACGGGCGTACAAAAGTACATTTCAATGCAAGAATCCACAAACAAGGCAATCCACCATTACGATAACAAGTAATAATGGAGGGGAATGACATTGGATGTAATCAAGAGTTATGTCATAGAAAGGTCTAATCTGTGGGCGTTCTAAGGCGGGGGTAGGGCAAATCCTGTGGCACTTTTTACCCCAGAATTACCCCGGATAAGCATCACGGGCCGCGTGCCTCGGTCCGAAGGGATCAGCACTAGTAGCGCCCTCATGAGGTTTCGTGTGGCATTGTTGATGTTAGATGAATAGAGTTTGGTGGGAAATGCCAATTTTAAAAAGGGCACAATTACTTATGCCAAATGCATGATTTAGAGTATGGGCTTGTCTGCGTCGTCTAGAAGATTTTGAAGAAACTTGTGGCTTTGTCACGCGACTAATCATCAAGGCTTGGGAAGGTTTAGAATGTTTCCTCTACCATCATATTCCGTTCATGATGTGGCTTCGCATAATAAGTCTGACGATTTATGGGTTATTATTGACGACAAAGTCTTCGACTTGACAAATTACATGCACGAGCATCCGGGAGGGAAGAAAGGTTTTTCACCCTATTCATGCAGTTGTACTTTAGAAATACGAGGGGCATTCATGGTTAATTTGAGAGTCAAGATACTTTTAAGGCTAACATATTGATTTACCATATAGTTTTAGTTTCAATTGGCGGGTCGGATGCAACTAAAAAGTACCATAAATATCATCGACCATCAGCCATGACGAAATATGGAGACACGCTGTGTGTTGGAGTACTGGAGAAGGATCAAAAGGGAAAAGGGATCTTTCACAGAATGATTTCTTCAATTTTTCGCAATTGAGATGCGTTTCCCATATAAAATTCCAATTCAAATAATGTTTTGAAATACAAAACGATGAAATATTGGAAACCGCCGCCATCTCTCCAATGTGAGCCCCCAGCTTCAAACGGTGACTTTTTTCAGCGTCTCTACCAGACGATCGGGCATACTCAATAATGGCGAGTGAGAACTCGGAAGTCGATAAGTGTTCTCCGGCCCTGCCACTTTTGAAGCGAACAATTCCTGGAAGGGGGGAGGAAGAGCGCGATCATTCTTACACAAAATGTATGCACAAGGAATATCCCTCCAGGGCTCAAAGGTTGACTCTCCAGAGAATACTTCACGTGATGTGTGGAGTGTCAGGGAATTCCACTTCTCTTGGTTCTCGAGAGGAATATCTTGCCAGCCCACATCACCTGCACCATCGGCGTGAACATAATCACCCTATTTAGTTATCAGTATCATACTCATTCGTCTGAGCCCAATGAATTCCGGCCAACTTCAGTCTCTTATTTCAAGTCTATAGACAGGCCGAACATAATAGGGGCATATTGAAAAGTAAAGTGTCTACCTCGACCTTCATCCACAGCAAATAGTTGCCCCCTAGCATTCCTAGCAAGCTCTGTCCCTTATCCGAAGCGAATGCTGCAAGGTATATCACTTTAATGACACCCTCGGATCTACCTGCCTCTGTCCGAGCAGTCTTGGTAAGTCCTTCAACGGCGGAAGAAGCAACTACGCCGCCGTAAGAATGAGCGACGACAATGACATCCCGTCCATTATCCACATATGCGGTCAATACACCTCGCAGAGATTCAATATCATCCTCGAGTGTCATGGATGGCGGTTCGGCACCAATAGAGGGATGCGCGGGACAAGCGGAGGAGAAACCGAGAGATTCCAGATGGGATCTAGTAGCATCGAAGACGGATGGGACTATCCAAGCACCCAGAGAGAAAACAAAGGTTTGGTTACTCATGTTAGGCGATTCGAATGATTGCTTGTAGGGACCAAGTAGCATTAGATGCTAGACGGAGTTCAGGATTTCCAGAGTTCAAGTAGCTCATAATTAAGAAGCAGGAGACGGAGAGTTTGTCGTTATGGCTAACGCGCCCTGGAAGGAATGGCTGTCATAAACTCGGATGGCAAGTCGAAACAGATACTAGTTCCGTTTTAGCATGATTCAAGCCCCATAGCATTTGCCGGGAGGGATGCGCCACGTGGGTCGTGGGCTAAAATCGCACTTTGCGAGGACGGATATCCTTCAATGGTCATTAATCAAATGAACCCACCTACTTGGTCGGGGCTGAGAATAGCTTAGCATACATTTCTTAGACGGCCTCGCCTATCACAGCCTCGTCATCGGTCGTACCATAAGTTGTCAGAGAGACTAGTACTTCCTTCTTCCCCGCTCAGCCCGGTGCCCAGGCTGTCTTTTGAATTGCCGGGTCTTTATTCTATTCCCAGCTCCAATGGATTGTTCTTACTAGGGCCCGGGGGCATCTGCCCAGGGTTTACTGTCTCTCTAGGTCAGGGTATATCTCCTTCCGAGGCTGTGGGAAGTCAGATTATAAACATTGCATTGGCCATTCCTCCTGGGCAGGGGTCATCGCGGATCCCAATGTTCATGCTTTCAAAGTGCAATCTTAGAAGATATACATACCACGCTCCCCTGCCAAGCCATTGTATAAACTTGGGAGACACCAGGATGGAATTGTGCTTGGAGATCTTTCGAATGGGCAATTATATACTTGCGTCAGCTGTCGGACGGTTTGGGCACTTTCCAGTAGCAATTTCGTAAATTATTTCATGGATAATGATTTTGCTACCGCCTCGGCTTTTAGTTTTGCCTGCGACGCGAAAGACATGGCAAAACCCAGCTCTCCTGGAGACTGCAGAAGCGGTTCAAAAGATTCAATGCCAAGAAGAGAGAGTCCATAGCTTTCTGTGTTTTGTAGTTCAAGCTTCATTTTTTGAAATTAAACCGAGTGCCTCAAACAATCGAGATTCGCGAACACTGATATTAGATGTAGAAGTAAGTGATCGAGTCTCAATGTTTTCGGAGACGGCGACATTCTCCGGTGAGCCTCCGCGACAGCCAATCAGCGCCCGCTCAAAGTTTTTTCCCGCTCCGGTGCTGCTGAGTCATCGCGGGGCATCGCGATATCGCAGTTCGCAGGAGAACCGTTGAATTGCCACTCCTCATCATCAACTGCGAAACTGGTAAGTTAGGCTGTTCTTTTGTTCTTCTGGATGTCAATTGTACCCTACATGTAACGTCTATGCGGTTAATCGGCCGATTGAGGTCAAAACGCTCGTTATCCACCATGCGGGGCACTCGACGAGGCCTTGACTCATAAGATCTTCACGGTTGATTTACCTGCGATCTATTTGAAATATGGACGCGTTACTGCTTTACTTTACTTGGATTAAATTTCCGTTTGACAATTTGGGCTTCATCAGCTAATTGGTATCAAGATCGCTTCTCTTACATACATCTCCAAAGTTCAAGATGGCGCCCTCATTCCCCAAGAAGAAGTGCGGTATGTCCTCCAGCCCTTGAGATTATATCATTTGTTCTATGATCTAACTATTTGAAGGTGTCCTCGGCGCCACCGGCTCTGTTGGCCAGCGCTTTATCCTGCTGTTGGCTGATCACCCCTTCCTGGAACTGCACGCCGTTGGTGCCTCTGAGCGCAACGCCGGCAAGAAGTACAAGGATGCCGTGCGCTGGAAGCAGGCGTCCTCTATGTCTGCGGACATGGGCAACCTTGTTCTACGAGAATGCCGAGCTGCTAACTTCAGCGATTGTGATCTGGTGTTCTCCGGATTGAACAGCGATATTGCTGGCGAGACTGGTATGGTCCCATTTATCACCACGGCTTTCAGATGTACTTATGCTAACCATTGAGAATAGAGATGGAATTCATCAAGGCTGAAATCGCTGTTTTCTCCAACGCTAAGAACTATCGCAAGGATCCCATCGTTCCTCTGGTGGTCCCCACTGTGAACCCTTCCCACATGGATTTGATCCCTCACCAGCGCAAGCACTTCGGCCTGAAGAAGGGCTTCCTGGTCTGCAACTCTAACTGTGCTGTTATTGGTATCGTCATTCCATTTGCCGCCCTCCAAGCCAAGTTCGGCCCTGTCGAGGAGGTTGAGGTCTTCACCGAACAGGCCATCTCCGGTGCTGGTTACCCCGGCGTGCCCAGCATGGACATTGTCGATAACGTGATCCCCTTCATCAGTGGCGAGGAAGACAAGTTGGAGAACGAGGCCCAGAAGATTCTCGGTGCCCTTAACACTGACGCCACTGCTTTCGATGAGCAGACCGGTCTGCGTATCGGTGCTACCTGCACTCGTGTCGGCGTCACTGATGGTCACATGGCCTTCGTCTCGCTCCGTTTCAAGAACCGCCCTGCGCCTAGCGAGGAGCAGGTTGTGCAGGCTCTGCGGGAGTACCAGTCCGAGGCCCAGAAGCTCGGCGCTCCCTCTGCTCCCGAAGCCGCCATCAAGGTGTTCGATGAGCCTGATCGCCCTCAGCCCCGCCTGGACCGTGATATCTCCAGGGGATACACTGTCAGTGTTGGACGTGTTCGTGAGGGTCAGCAGGGTGGCTACTTCGATATCCGATTTGCGGCTCTCTCTCACAACACTGTGCTGGGTGCTGCTGGCTCATCCATCCTCAACGCTGAAGTTGCGGTCATCAAGGGATATATTTAAATGTAGATACGAAAAGTGATACTTTCAGCGATGTCAATAATACCATGAATACATCAGCTCATTCATAGACTCCACAGCAATGGCCATGGCAATGGCGAATTCTTTAACTAGTTAGATGATGTATTGTGTTAGCCTCAGGCAGAAACTGACCTTTCCCAAAATGGACGGGGCTGATATGACATAAGCATAGCCCTAGTGGACCCCTTTCGGACTAGCGCGAGTGTCACGAGGCTAGGGCACACCCACACCCGCCCTCCGCTAAGCGAAGGCCCTTGACAATCAGCCATCTCCGTCCTTCTCTCGTTGCGATACTTCCGACAATCACCACCGGTCGACAACATCCAAAATGGCTCGCGGACCGTAAGTCCACCTCGCTCAAAACACTCATTGCGACTATGCCTGGACTCTCCCACACTCGATTTCGATTGTTGCCGATTCCAGACTGTCGCGACGTGCCTCCAAAAAATTTGATCTCGAAGAACCTCCCAAGACTAACCGCAATGACTTTGCAGTAAGAAGCACCAGAAGCGCCTTAGCGCCCCCTCGCACTGGTTGCTGGACAAGATGTCCGGCACCTATGCCCCCAAGGCCTCCCCCGGTCCTCACAAGCTCCGGGACTGCCTGCCCCTGATTGTCTTCATCCGCAACCGGTACGACTCGCTCGATCTCGAAACTACAACGTCGAAAGAATTCGGAAACTGATTACAATTTTTTTGCTAGTCTCAAGTACGCCCTGAACGGTCGTGAGGTCAAGGCCATCATGATGCAGCGTTTGGTCAAGGTTGACGGCAAGGTCCGCACCGACACCACCTTCCCCGCTGGCTTCATGGATGTCATCTCTCTCGAGAAGACTGGCGAGCACTTCCGTCTCATCTACGACACCAAGGGCCGCTTCACCGTCCACCGCATCCAGGCCGAGGAGGCCGAGTTCAAGCTCTGCAAGGTCAAGCGTGTTCAGCTCGGCAAGGGCGGCATCCCATTCTTGGTTACGCACGATGCGCGAACGTGAGTTCACACTCTACAAGTTCCGTGTCATTCAGTCGTTGGACCAAGCTTTGGTTGATACGGCGGAAGACGCATTCCCCGGGAACAAGTAAGATCCAAAAGAAAAAAGAACAAAGGTTTGCTAACTTGTGCTTCTTCTGGCCTACAGCATCCGCTACCCTGACCCCGCCATCAAGGTCAACGACACCGTCAAGGTTGACATTGCCACTGGCAAGATCGCCGACTTCATCAAGTTCGACTCCGGTGTTGTCGCCATGGCCACTGGTGGTCGTAACATGGGTCGTGTTGGTGTTGTCACTCACCGTGAGCGCCACGACGGTGGTTTCAACGTCGTCCACATCAAGGATGCCATTGACAACACCTTCGCTACCCGCGAGTCCAACGTCTTCGTCATCGGCCAGGACAAGCCCTGGATCTCCCTCCCCAAGGGCAAGGGTGTCAAGGTATGTTTGACTCGAACTCTTCATCGTATATCTGAACTTGTTACTAATCTTCTCAATAGCTCTCCATCTCTGAGGAGCGTGACCGCCGCCGCGCCCATGCTCTTGCCAACTAAATGTCTTGGGACATTGGTATTGAGCTGCCTGCCGGCCATCTCCAATCTCTGGGGATGTAAACAAAAACATTAACCAAAACTGTAGCTGGGAAACGGCGTCTTGTCTTGTCTTATGGCCTTGGATGATGCTTCTTTCCGTAGATTCACCATAGCAAACAAAACCGGGGGCGGGCTAACCGTCTCGTTTCCGAGTGATATGATACCTATTTAACGTTACCTTCTCGAATGATTTAATGAGCGTACTTGAAAAATCCCGGGTCTTCCTCTTCTCCTTGTTCTGTCTGCCCTTGAATTTCCGACTCCGGGTTCGATCCCTCGACCGTGCTCTGGTCCTTCGAGACCGTATCACCCCAATATCAAAGACCCAGGAAATGTAGATTTGGATCATGACGGCTCGCTTTCGTACTGAGTTCCAAGGTTCCACTTGGAATCATGAGGGTTTCATACTGATTCATGGAAGCTCTGGCTGTGAAGCGGTGCGATGTGTAGCGGAATATGTCTGCCCAACCTAAGAAACTTGAAGTGTTCGCTTTTCAACTTGCAGGTTCCCGAAGTCCCCAGTACAGAGTAGTCCACCAATCGAACTTGTCACGGTAGTACTCAATAACCCCTAGAACCCAAATAATTATTCAAATATGATTACTAACAGTAGTTTGTTCATTCTAGTTTCAATATTCACCATTTCAGTGTTCAGATCACATGTGCAGGCAATAGTGTTTCATTGCCTTCCGAGTCAATCTCTCCTTTTGAGATTGATACACAAACCTCACGGTAACTACACAAAATCTCTCCGTGATGTCTGTAATACTCGCCGTGTCGTGAATGGGCAGTTATATTTAAATACGCCAGACTTTCCAGCTGAGTATGCTTGCGTAGATGGAAGTAACCTGTCAGATCATTCTTTGAACCTCTTTTTGGCTTTCTGGACGTATAACCCTTTTTAGGCAGAAAAAGCTTTAAAATTAATGTTTTTCAAAATTGGTACTATTACCTGGAGGCGATGAGTCTTACTATGCGAGAGGATGCTCTGTTAGTTCCCGCTCCGTACTTCAATATTGTTTCAAAATGTGGTAATAGCTCGTTCCATATATCTGCATGCAAGTTGATACCTAATTGCATATATGTGGTTCGCTCATATCAGAATGTTTCGGAAGTAGTTGGTGCGAAGTTGACGAGCTGAAGAGTCGAAGCAGCATGATTTAAGAGTCGGCTACCATTCAAGTTCTTGAATAGTAGGCGTCAGTCAGTTGGTCGCCAACCTCATTATGATCAACCTTTCAAGTAGGTAGGCTTATGGGTAACTGCTGCCTACCGAAACATTGCAAAGAGCACTTATGGATGGCCCCGAATTCTAATTTTTTATCACAATAAATCTAGCTATAGACTCGCAAGATTTAGCCCTAGCTGGTAGTACGACTGAGCTATAATTAGAAAACTCATAAGCATCTGAATAAGGACTTTGGTCAATTTTCAATCAAGACTGAAATCGCACAGACCAATCTTTATTTTGTTTACTCGGCATCGAGGCTGATATCAATAATTCACCCGTTGGATTTGACCTTTGCACCGGGAGCTTCTAAAGATAAAATATCCTCGATTGGATTATTTTCGCGGATATTACTTCCATATAAATAACAGAGCGACGCAAGGAATCGGAACCACGGATGGGAATGCAAACTTTATGTCAAATTGACTCATTCCAAGAGATATCATAAAATCAAGTCCCGAATCTCAGAATGAAAACCATCAATCCGCAGTTCACGTCAGTAACAACCGAGCAGATTATTCTGGAGGGAGGAGGAATATTTCCGTCTAACCAAATTGGCCACAATAGGCTTTCGCAATTCAAATGAATCCTGGCGGGGTGTTATCTGTCAACGGAACTTCCGAGTCCGTGCCATCCATCGTTATATCCACTCAGGTACATAGGTGTTCCTTCGCCCAACGGAAGGATGCAAATAACCTGGAATACGCGTTGTATTTGCTGACCGCTTTTTTCCTACCTGCTTGTAATAAATCAAGACACACACTAGCTGAATGGTGGATGCGCCAGCTACGACATGTGGGAACTAAAATTTGGCTGACTGGTCGTGCGCTGTCGAAATGTGGATGCTCTTTACGCGGCATATAATGGATACGAAGGTTCGAGGTCGGTGCCAACCGGCGCCACTAAAACAAGAAAACTATATCCTGGCTTTGATTGATTGGCGATGAATCTCGAGCAGATTATCCCGATGCTGCACATTACTGGAGACGATCATGCACGACAAAGAGGATCGTCCCGGCCCCAGTTGAAGGGTGTCACTGCTTCGAAGACCAGTGGTTGATTACTCCGTACAGCGTAGCAAGGCTTTGATGGCTCTATGTACTCCGCATACCCTTCGTGTACGTAGACGACACTCAGGAGTCTTCGGGTGTTTATTAAAGCGCATAAAGGAGATATATTTGGAATTCGCTAATGCGATGCAATCAAAGCAAGTTTTCGATGGAAGATCCGAAGGCGCTAGCCACGGAGCTCTCCGCAGTTGATGCACCTCGAAGAAATAACTTCTCACTAAACAAAAAGCCAAGGAAATGTCCTGTCGCTCACAAAACATTCTCAAAAAGAGTACGGAGACGGGGTATGGATAAAGAAGAGCAACAATAAATCCTCTAACCGAGCCGAGCCGTCGTCTCGCTTTCCTCGAAGGGGACTCCTGACGCCGGCGCCGGAGCCTCGTGGGCGCAGCAGGGCCCATCGATCGCCCCCGATCGGCGAGTGAAAAGCTCGTTTGCATTTGAACGGTCAGGTACCTCCAAATCAGCAATTTTCTCCCGTCGCATTGAAATAGAACTAAGATTGGGGGGCGGGTGAGCAGCTCGATCGCGATCGAAAACATGCGTTGTACTCCATACAGCTAACAGGGGTAACCCCGGCCGCCTCACTACCTAGTTGAATCCTCCAACAACGCCATTATGAATCAACGATATGATTTCACCAGCCTATCACCGCAAGTGATCGCTTTTCGGAAAAAGGGCAATGTGATACATCGATCTTTCCCACAGGGCACCCCCACAAATAAGGGAAAGATTTCAGGATTCCAGGGGATTGGATTCCCAGAATATGCACGACAGCATAACACAGGTAGAATGCCGCCTTATCGTGGATGCAACTTGGGGAAACTAACCATTAACTTCTATACTACATGCTTTGAGCAACCTGAGCTCTCATTGGGTCTTTTGTTGCGTCGCTTGTTGACTGTGACCTGGCCATCTCCAGTCGTAGTTACATTCTGAGTGGCTGGTCGGTTTTTTGCAGAAGCATTTTTCCGTTCTGGAATCGAGAATTCGAGTATGCTACACAAGGGGCGCCCATTGAAAAGAAATTAGCTTCGAATCTGCAGAGCGGCAATCGATCGTCCTACTATCCCTCTCACTGGGAGGATGATCCCTGGCTCTGGGCGTGTTGTGGCAGGGGCCTCGATGTAACTCAGAGGTCCGATCGGCCACTGGAAAGGCAAAGATATTCAACATGAACATGCGGAGAGTGAAAGAGAAAAAAAGAATTATAATTGTTCTTTTCAAATTGTATTTTTCCTTTTCCTTCAGGGAGGAGAAGGAGGACAGAGGGAATCGGGCATTAATGAGTGTAGCGCTGAATCTCGCGCTCGGGGCTAGTGGGTCTAGAACATGCGCGGCGGAGATGACGATGACTGGCATCCTGCTGACCCTCTGCTGGTGACTTTTCAGTCGACTTGGATGGAATTCTGGGCTATATCCAGCTTCCCCTAGCCAAAATACCCCCTGCGATCTCATGATATGGAAACGGATATCAATCTACTGCTATGCTCTTTCAAGGTCCACAGGAAGCTCTGGGACATGTGGATCTACCGAGATCCGATTCCCAGTGCCCTGGACCTGGGTTCTCATAGCCGCTCCCATTGAATTCCAGAGCTTCACTCGATATTCACGTGGCATCAAACCTTGGACGACGCCGGGGTGCATCCAACAATCTGTAATACAGATGTCATCCAAGACATCTTAATGCTAGGCATGTGATGTGTATTTCTCAGTATCTTACACAGAACACAGGAGCAGCTGATGATGGTGAGCGCCATTCATCCCTGATCGTATGGAGGCGCTACTAGCAGTAGATCCGAACCAAATGTTGCAGCTTTCAATGATATTTTATTGTGATTTAACAAATTTTATTTTTTGTTTTCGCCACTACTTCGTCTTGAATTCCGGCGGTGTAAGGCTAGCTCTCACAAAAATTCCAGGGGTTATCGATTTGTGCAGGCCTGAGTGTTTCTATTTGCGCCCGGACATTAGTTAGGCCCTCACCTCCCTCCAGAGTTTGCGACCTTTCGTATATGCTTTAGCCACCTGCCGCAATAAAAAAGGTCGATCAACATTCAGGGGCCGAAAGCGAAAGTTTGAGAGGGTGAACAGACTGCTCATTTTGCATTTTTCAATTTTTCAATTGTCATTCTCCATTTTGTAAAGCTTTTTTCCCTCCTTTTTCCAGATTATCCCTTTTTAAGTTCCATCTCAGATCCTGCCTCTCCTTTACCTCGGTATCGCCGGGACCCAAGAACCATCCCAGTGGTGAGACACCAATCATTCTTTGGCTACCAGACCGCAAGAAATCTACGGGGTTCGAACCTGATGATTCTGACGGAAAACCGCCGAGCTACACGAGTGAAACCGACTCCGCTGGGCGTCTAGGGGTTTGATTGGACGAGGTCATCATTCTCCATGAAATCATCGACGACGCCAGGAACTAAATTTCCAGGATAATTATGGAGCAAATTGGATACCACAAAGAAAGGCTGCCGACCGCCTCACTTGGTGGTGGATGGTCAGCGCCGCCTGCTCGATTTGGATTCCATCACGATCGTCCTCTCCTCCTCCTCGCTACGGTTTAGTGCCAATTAAGACACCCACTTGGTGTGCATATGAAATCATGAGGCGATGATAGAGGTGACAATGAATGGCTCACGGAAAACAGAGAAAATACGAGTACAAATATCATACATAGTACATACAATACATAGGTGCAATGGTCAGAATGATGGATGCCGCCCCGTAAGGAGAAGTGGAATAATAGATAATAAATAGTCATAATAATAAATAAAATAATCAATCACAAATCACGGACAACCAACGCGGAACATGCCTGGGCCGCATAGTTAGTATTTTGTCGGCCTGACCAAGTGGTAACACGACATCTCGATGAATTCTTCCAGAAAACTTGAACAACACTTGGGATTTTTCAGCCAAAAGTAACTAACAGACACGATCAACCCGAGAGTTGACCGCTCCTCGACGGATACTCCCGTCAAGCCGGGCTGCAAGCCTAAATATGTCATATTCACAACTCGACTAGCCCAACGGGGTGTTTCGATTTGGCAAGTCATTGCGCTATTCATTCTTGCTGGTGGAGTCAGACCTTTCCTCCCCGATCGTTTACGTTTTACGTGTTGCCAGTGCTCCCCGTTTCCCTTACTCGGCCATGCATAGGCATTGCCGTACTCCGTACTTCGTATACTCCGTACAGTTCCAGTTACCAGCGCGAGTGATAATCATCACCCCTTATTCCGGCACTTCCTGGCTGTCGGGTCTGATTCCCAGCAGACTGGGACGACTAGGATCCCCCTCCCCGTTTCAAATGTGTCCACACCTTCTGCCGGTGTCCCCATCATGATCCCCCCCTCCTCCCTTCCCCTCCTCGTGATGTGTCGAACGTGGCGGATGGTAATAGTTGACAATCCTTCCTAAAAGCCAATCAGTTGCGCCCTGTCCGATAGACCCGGCACTGGCGATCTATCCTTGACCCTTATTACTTCTCTTCTATTTCTCCTCGCATTCCTGGCTTTTCCTTTTTTATTTTATTTTTATTTTATTTTTTTCGCTCTCTCTTTACTCTCGCCCCAACCCTGGACGGTATTTTCCCCTAAGCCGTCCCTCGTTCAGTCTTCGAATTCCTCTCTTCCAACGCCCATTCCTGCATCGTTGGAAGTATTTCTCCACCCTTCCCTATACTCCCACGTCGTTAATCTATTTGCCCCCCCTCCTCTCGCCACATGGGGCTGGTCTGTTTTCTGACCCGATGCGTTGGCCGCTGAAATCCCTGGGTGGTGTGCTGCATGAATGCAATCGATCAGCGCAGAAAAGTTGTCGACCTTAGAACCACCTCCCAAGAAGGCTCTATATTTGCCTCACACCTCGTCGCCATTAAGCAGATCCGTAATGTCGCAAACTCTCTCGGGACGGTCCGCGTCTCCCAGCTTTCCCCAGTCCTACCAATCTCTCTTCCAGATCGGCACTGAGTTTCCACGCTTCGTGGTACCCTATTATCCCTGGTGGGAAGATGAAGCTACTACAGTTCTCTGGGCCTTTAAAAACCTCGAAATTCGTCTAGTCATTCGCTACGGTCTATTTCGAGATGAAAATCTACCACGAAGTTCGCTATTAAGCCGCAGTAACGATGCAATTGATGCGGTTTTCATGGCGCTAACTGAGCCGCGTGAACACCAGCTGCTTGGACATCTCTCCCACATGCAACGAGTGGAGGAGATTCTGCGTCGATCTGGGCTTCCACCATTTCAGCCGGTCCCTTGGTCCTGGCTACCCCAAACTCCAGTGTATGCGCTCGACCCGCGGGCCATCGCACAGGCCATCGAGGCCGAGAGCCATTTCCAGCTTAGTAGGGTTGCTTTTGAAGACATCGTGCGCGCCTCACTGGGTTACACCGCGACTTCGGTCGAATGGTTTCTCATGCAACATACAGCCTTGTATATACACTTGTTAGATCATCTTACGATGTTTCCTGATGATATCCCTGTGTACTTGGAAGTGGAAAAGGTGTGGTTTTCTTTCGTCAATCCCAAATCCCATTTAACTAATATCGTCTCAGCACCTACGAACAAAGAGCCCCTTCGCCCACCGAGCAATAGCACAATGTTTAACAGCAGTCCAACCCGATTCTGCACCAGATCTAGCCAAGACCTCCACACGTAGTTTCGAATTTGTCGCCGGTCCGATCCAGCGCCTCTTTCAAGACCGACCGGAGAGTCTGACTGACATGCTTAAGATCTGCAATGTATTTGCTGTCCGATTCCGCCGCCTGTACATCAATACCGCGAAGGTTCCCTGGGACAGGCAGTTCGATGCTTCATATCCATTTTTGGAAGATTGCCTCGGATCATCTTCGCCATCCGACTTAGCTCGCACCCTCACCACTCTGGACAAGGGGGACTTCGCCCATCTAACCCGGTCAAGTATCATCGCCCATGACGAGACCACAAAGGGTCTTTTAGCAAATTGGGAAGATCTCACCGTGTCAGTATGGGAATGCTGCTCTGCAATCCCAGATCTTACCCTATACCTCCGAGAATGCGCACAGGTGAGTCACTCCTCAACAGAAATACGATAGTTCCGACCTATATCTGACAGAGAGAAATCCAACCATTGCAGAGCCTTTTACAACGACAAAATTACCACTCTCTAACGGCAGTGCTGCACGGTCTCCACAGATATAGTATATCAACTGCACGATCCCGCGGTCTCAACAGTACAGTTGGGGGAATGGTCGTTCTGGACCCTATTATCCCACCAGACACGATATTCCTCTGCAATGCAACACAAAACTACGCCGCATACCGTCAGCATTACCGAGATTACCCGGGGATCCCATTCTTACTCCCGCATCTTCGCGATGGCCAGCAAAAGGGCGAAATGGCTCTCCAACCCGTCTTCCGCTTTCTGCAGAGGTAGAAAGGAAATTGGGTCTAGCTGAGCTGGGGAGTTAGGGTATTTTTCGACTCGATCTGGTCTTTACCGCATTCATTCACTGCATTCACCCAATCTAAGTGAATCAGATCTGCTTGTTTTCGCGCAGTGGCTTGCATTGCTGCAGGCGATCATGCTATTGCGGCATGGGCTTGTTTCAAACCTGGAAGACCCTCCACCACTATTCCCTTTTCTCTTCAATTTCTCCCTTTTCTTGCCCATTTGAAAAATTTCCCGTCCTTTGTTTGTTATTGTTTTCTACATTTGTGCACCACCATCCCCACTTTCTCGATTTACATCCGATGCTAGTTGATCGGCGATCTCTGCGTTGCCATTAGATTGCTTCAGTTTGAGAATTGTGTATTGATTTACAACGCTATACCCATTCTAGCATCTGGAGCGCCGGGCGTCTGGCGCAAGATTATTCAAGACAGGATCTGATTTTTGAGTATTTGTTTAATTTAATTTATTTATTTTTAGCTCGGGGCCGTTGTAGTAGGTATCCACTTGATGTACTTTTTTAATCCCTGATTCGGTTTCTGTGCAGCTTGAAGATATGTCCAATGTTAGGATTAGAGGCCTTGAGAGGTTACGATACTCCGATCGGGCGGGCGTGCTTTGCTCTGCTCAAAACGTGGATGAGTCCTAGTTTGCCCGTCTCAGCTGAAGAGCCCTGCAAATAATGTGACCGAGTCATGCGCCCTGGGCACCAAGCTTGGCCCGGCGGTTATAAAGACAATGCTTTCATCGGGTTGAGAGACAATATGGAGGCTTTCGACCCGACAAGCCAACAAGCTCTCTGCCTTATTATTCCTTCTTCGAAACTACCTTCGGCGCTCTTGCAGACCCGAACAATCCGGCCAGATATCCCAGTCTGTTCAAGAACAGGAACGCCGTGACACCAATGTTCCCCCAGGTCAACGCATTCCAGGCACCAACATCAGCAAAGGCGTTCCAGCCCATCCCGAGATAAGTGGCGTAGACGTGACCAACGTCGGCGATGGCCAGACCAATCATGTAATTGCGGATGACTTTGGGTTCGGTGGTTGTGTGCAGGATTCCAACGCCAACGAGGAAGAGGAGGGAATATAGGTTGCCGATTTGATAGGCTAAGGCCAGTGTGCTGGGGTGCGAAATGGGTGGGTCGGCGTGTGGTGTTTGGCCGGCAATGAAGCCGTCCAGATCGTAGATGGGGGCGAGGCTGCCGAGGACTCTAGAAATGGGCGGTGGTGAGTAGGCTTCTCATGTGAAGGAACCATTGGATGCGAAGCAGTTATCGTACAGGGAGAAGGGTTCAAGGATGCCGAAGAGAACGTGTGGCCATGGTGGGAGGATTGTGGGCATTGTATAAAAGGAGAGGGGAAAGGAGAGGGAAAGGGAGAGAAAAAAGTAGACGTTGAAAATGAAGTTGAAGTTGTTGGAGTGGAATAGGAAGAGGATGAGGATGAGAATGAGAATGGGAAACAGTGCGGCTCAGCGCTGACGTATATTATGGCCTGAGGCAGCGATCGTTATCGTTATCGTTGCTTCTGGCCTGAGGCAGCAACAATTGGCGCTGACGTAACTTTAGCCTGACACTCAAGGCATCAATACTTATCGTTATCGCTTCGTATCCGAGGCGGTCCCGAGTTTTAGGAGTTCTTCTCCGGTAGGGTGGAAGCTGGGAGATCCACCCTGGGGCAACGGTTCCTGTTTCTTCACTTCCCATCTTCCATTGTTCAGAGACTGGTTTCCCCTCAGGAGGTTACAGCAGGCCGTTCACTATGAACTGCATGAATATACTCCCCCACCTCCACTTCCTCGGCCTGAGTTGCTAGAGTATGGATTCCAACGGGCCACTGCGGGCCCTCGATGAATCCCATCACCGCGAACTTCCCCAACTCTCCTTGCGCATCGCGCCCTTGCGAGAACCCGTTGCTTCACGAACCCTCAGAGTTCCTTCTCCACTAGAGCCTAATGCAAGTGGTGGAGTACGGGAGTCGCAGACGATTTCAAAAACCAACGTCCCAACTGGGAACAATACCCCTTCCACTACTAAAGAAGCTCTACCAACAGTGACCGAGTTTCTCAATGCTGCTCGAACAAAAAAGACAGATCCAGCATCCAGCTCCCAGTCAAGTGCAGAGAGACCGCCCAAGCCAATTCTTCCTGCTTTTGTAAACCTCCGCGCTCTGGAACGCGTGCCCTTCTCATCATCCTTTGATGACAATACTCTCCATGGCCAACGCAAGAGAAGACGCCTAGAACTTCAGGCCGAATCATTTGGTGAACATCTACAATTGCCCATTCCGCAAACTTCTCACAAGGAGCAACGCCCGCCCCCATTTGGACCTTTTGCAATCTTAAATGGCTTGAATGAACCGCCTCCCAACGCTGCCCTTCTCCCGCCTATTGAAGCTGGCTCAATCACCCAACTTCTCACGAAACCATCGCGCGGCGATGCTGCTGCCGCAACGGCCGTTGTGGACTCGAGCACCATCGTATCTGTCCATGGCACTCTTGTCGAGGGTCAGTCTGTAGAACGAAGAGAAGCAAAGATCGAGGAGCTTCTTGGCGCTACCCTTGACGAAAATGCCGTTGATAATGTACATACGGAAGAAGCTGGTCCACTTGTTCATCCCGAGAACGCATATGTACCGAAGCCCGTGGTGATTGAAAAAGAAGAACCTACAGCTAGTGGCGTTGCTTCGAGTGGTAAGCAAGAAGGAGGTGACCCGCTATCGCCAAAGTCTCGAGGTCGATCTCGCAAAAATTTGCGCAAGTGGACCGAGGAAGAAACAATGGCATTACTTCACGGGGCAGTCAAGTGCGGGATTGGTAATTGGACGACAATTCTCGCTCAGCCAGAACTCAAGTTCAACAAGCGGACGGCATCTAACCTGAAAGACAGATTCCGAGTTTGCTGTCCTTGGGCATACCGCGCATCTGACTCTAATGAGGCAACCAAGCAATTACGCGACTATCTAGCCAACGCTCTTCACCAGGCACAAATCGAAGGCTCTGATGAAGTGCCTGTAAAATCAAAATTGCCGATCACAAACCCCGCGACACCTGGCTCAGAGCCCGCCTCTAGAACTGAAAGTCCAATAACGAGCTCTCACAAGCCTTCGGCATCTAGCATGTCACCTTCCACGCCTGACACGGAGGTTGGGTCAACAAGCACTCGGAAAAGCCCACCTACTAGGGTCACAGTCACACGTACACTCTCAGACGAATCCCAATCAACTCTCGAATCTCTCGGTATACCCAAACCCCACGTCGCTAAGAAATCCAAACGTCGTTCCCGCAACCTGTTCACCAGTGCTGAGGATGAAGCTTTGCTGAAGGGGTATGCTTCACATGGCTTTCAATGGACTCTCATCCAACAGGATCCCGGGCTCAACCTAGGCCACCGTCGAGCAACGGATCTCCGCGACCGTTTCCGCACCAAGTTTCCCAACGCATATCGTCATGGAGGCTCTGTGAGCAGCAGCTCTGTCAATCAATCAAAACGAGAACTAGCTAGTACACCGGCACCCGTACCTCGTGATCGTCTTACTAGCACCGAAACTACGCCGGTGAATACACCAACGAAAATTTCCGGAATTTCTCGATCAAGCACACACAGCCGGCACCCCTCCACGGCATCGCATTCCAATATTGGCCCCATTGATCCATCATTCTTACCCCCTCCTCCTGGCTTCGTTGAATCATCAACAAGCAATCCTACCGCGGCTGCAATGCTTTCGTTCCCGTTGGATGAAAATCCGGCTGCTTCGCCGTGGGAGGATAATACCCTTGCCCCTATGATCTGGGATGACTTGAACTGAAAACACACTGCGGAGCCTTCTTGCTCTCAGAAAAAAAAATGTTTCACCTCGTATTCTTCATTAACGCATGATGTTCTTTCTGGGCTTGTTTGATATTTTGATACTTTTATGTTGGTTTATTGGCCCATATTGACATGGGCCATGCATCTCGGGTGTCTGCTTTTTTATTGTCTGCTTTTTTATTGTCTGCTTTTTTGATCTTTGCACTACTATTATATCCCGCAGTACACGACGGCTTTGTTTTCATCAAAAGTTTTCTCAGAATGAACTGAAATTGATTTTCATTAAATTACCGAGTATCAACAAATCATAGACCGGCGAATAACCCTAGGCGCAGAGGTATTATCATTGGGAGGGGAAGTCGCAATTTTTTCAGTAATCCAAGCCTAGCCATATATTGGCACTCTAGAGTAAAGTCAATCGTGATTCAAACTTGACAATCCCAATCATATTATGCTGCTCTCAATTACTTCAGGCAAAACATCAAAGCCTGAAAGTTTCGCCAAGCTGAACTAATAAGACAATGAGGCACATACATATACGAGGTAGAATATAAATTGGATATTAAACGATTTTCAAGGATCGGGATTCATCAAGTAACGTACAGTCGTCTATTTCACTTGCCAAATAGACAGTACGCAAAGGGGGTCAAGCAGAGACAATGACCGCGACAAAAGACCATAAGACGTTGCGCTCAAGGTACTAGGTGAATTGAAGCATAAATAGAAATGAGGCGATGGATAAAGGGAAAGAGTGACCAAATGGGGCGGGTGGGTTGTGGGGTGATGTAAAGAAGACCTTTATTTGGTTGTATGCAATCTACCATGCATTCCGGTCCCAATTCGGATCTAGACGCAGATGTCAGCAACTCATTCACGACTCGCATTGGGCATTTTCATAGAAGCCTGAATCCTGCAGCGTCATGGAAATAATATAAACTAGAAAAAGATGACCTACCCTGTATGAAACTAGCCAGCACTTTACTTCCTGTCTGCAGCAAGGGGTGTCCCGCCACGATCTGCAGGAACCGCTGAAGTCCCTCCCGGCGATGTTCAATGACGTCGTCGCTGAAACGGTTCGTGAAGACCTTGCCCGGCAGTGGGGGGGGATCGTGACGCGCGTGCTCTCGCGCTCGAGGATATCGCGGAAGTACTCGAAGTCGGAGTAGCGGCGGCGTACGATGGAGTGTTTCAGTTTGAAGGCGGGGATATTGGTGCGGCAGACGATTTCATAGGAGGTGTACATATTCCGTGATGTGCCATGTGTTTGAGGATTGCGGACCTGATTTCAATACAAGCACATGGGTCAGGACAGTTATTAAAACAGAGTTGCTTTTTGGCGGAGGGTGATGGATGGAGGGGGTGAGAATTTGATCTTGTGCTAGTTGGGCAGGTGGGCACAAGACCATTCCAAAAATGAGGTCTCGGGGGACAAAGAACATGGCGGCATTGACTGCGACTCACTTCGATCTCCAGGAAGTTCTCTGGAGGTCCGTAGATCTCCTCGAAGGTCTGTGTGCGGGACTCCGGGACAGACTGCATGGTGAAGAGTGGGTGGCTGACCGGGACGGTCTAAGAGCAATTATTTCGGGATAGAGTGTCGTATACGGGATCTGCTGTAGAAAGCAAGATACAGCCCTATAGAATAAAATGCAAAAAAGCGAGTCTCCGCACGGCAGATGCAAAGTGGAGGAGCTCGAGCTTGAGGCGGGGGAGCCCGCGCTATCAGCTACCACGTGATCCGTTAGGCTTATCTGCGGTTGATAGCGGGATTTCTTCCGTCCCCGTCCAACGTTGCACTTTGAAAATGCTTTCCATTTGATACGCATTAAATTACTGCTTAATTACATTTATCCAGATTCTATCAAGATGCCAAATGACTTGCTTCATACCGGGGTGTCGGTTCATCCTTGGCTGAGTAGGGTGGTGGCGGCGGTGGTGTTCCCCCTCGAACAATGGCAGTCGGTGGTCTTTGTGGAGAGTTTTGTGGTGGAACTGTGGTGAGACGTCTAGCAGTATGCATAGGGAGTGGCGGCGGCGTAGGGCTGGCTCGCTTCCCAGCCTGAATGCAACAGGAGATTAGGCCTATTGCAAGCCCCAATGTCACAACTACAGCGAGAACTATAATCCCTGCCGCCTTCCCCCGGTGAAGGATTCGTTGTTACTTCCACTGCGATGGTAACTGCGGCGTGTAATCTCACTCTCTGGTAATGGAGTGTGCCAGACTGGAGAAGGGCATGTAGATGGGAGCGGTGGAGGAACTCTGAAATTCGTTTGATCTGGTGTGCTGACATCAGTTTCCCGGGAACACCATTCTTTCAGTCCTTGATTTATCACTACATTCCCAAAGATGTCAATAATTCATCCACATGATTGGATTGCCTTGAGGAACTTACCATCAACATCAGCCGAGCAGTCGTCAGACTGATAAATACAGCAAACTAATTTCTCGAAGAAAGCTGCATCATCGACAGAACACCAGCAAGGCCGACTATCCATACAGCTAAACCCTTCAAGTTCCTGCCAGCTATAGGCCTGGCTTACGCATGAAGACTGGTGTACTTGTATCAGCTCATCGTCAAGTTCCAAATCAAATGAAGACAACTTCGATACTCACAGCGCAGCTCCCATAATGGTCATTCATAAAATCAAACAAGGCCTGTGAGATCGCAATGGGCACAAGTGTCACCATGATCAAGGAATATAAAACGAGATTCATGATGTTTTCGTGAGAGGTAGGAAGATGAAAAGAATTAGAATGTTGGGTACATATAAACAAATCCCATGGCCTTAGACCTTGAATACAGTTTTCACCATTCATAGCGAAGTCATCATGCAGTATTTATGAAATATCACCAGTTGTATGTTATTGGGGCTGTGGGGACTGTGGGGGCGGCCGGGCTGAGCCTCATGCGCCCGGGCAGGTGGTCGGGCAACACGCAAAGGGCCAAGCACCGCTATCGGCTCTGAAATACGATTTCCGGGTAATACGGCACATCAGTGGAAAATTCAATTGTTTTCCACTCCTCAGAAAACAGATATGACGTTTCAATACCTAACCGGTTATGCATTATTCCCAGATAAGCAAATAGATGGATAACGTCCAAACATAGAAGCCCAACAAATCATACTCGTCTTCTTTCGTATCTAACTCCAAAATGACTGGACCCTTGACGTGATATTGCTCAAGTGCTTTGGCTTGGTACCGCCAGATTCTCAAGGGCTATAAAATTACATTAAAATCAATCCTTGGCAGTGTAAGACGAGTCTCCATCTGATGTAAAACCAAAGAAGGAATATATCCGCATTTAACCTGAATGTAGCCGAGATAAAAACCGGTGAGCACTCTATCTCTGTCCATGATACTTGCTATACGTATGGACAAGTGAATGCTGAATTTCGGTAGATCTTCTCTGGTTTCTAATGACTTTACTTCCAGCAGAAAGCCTGCCTCGCTCTTCCATCGAACCCCTCCATTATTTCCATTCCTCGATAATGCTGAATTACGAAACAAACACTCAACTTCGGGGGTAGTGAGGGAATCACAGTATTCACTCCAACAAGAAGGGAATTCTACCCCGATTCCACCATCGGCCTCTGCCAAGGAGGTCGCTGTCGGTCACCGGAACCGACTGCGCCTAACAAGGCTGAACCCTAGGGTCATTTTGGACCTGGGCATATTCTTGCATTATACAAGGACCCTTGGGAGCCCTGTCTTAACACACAGAGTTATGGCCATTTGAGCCATTGAATGTGATTGGATGTTCTGGTATGCCATTGTTTTTGCCAAGGACCGCGCCCTGGGACGAACACAGCCTTGCCGGAGCTGCCACGTTCAGGTACATTTATTAACATAGCCTCCCCACGAGTCATAGCTTTGGCAATTGAATGATTACATCATGATACCCTAGCTTGTGACCCGTACGATCCGGGGCCAACATTGGCAACAGAGGATACAGCGGAGGGAGAATAGTAGTTGGCAGAGAAGCGAGATGCAGGACCGGTCAAAGCAAGAAATTAAAAACGAAAGTTATTCCTCTAGTTTATGCAATACATAGCTTGGCTATTTTAGCTTATTACTTGTTGAGGGTTTTGCCATAGTTTATCGGTGACAACATAGCTTGTTAAGCGATCGCCATGTTTCCATCATGCGTACTGCCATAAAAGCATTCGAATTTTCCCCGAGCTAATACAAATCGCCATTTCACCGGGCCGGAGATACCGGAGTCTTGATACTGCAACAGTTTCAGAGTTCTGGCGGTACCCGCAGATAATATCTTCCCCGCGTGTTGTGTACTGCAAGATGGCTGCGGGGACTACGCTATCGGGCCTCCCATTGCATAGCGGGGTTCCGACATACCCCCGAATTATCTGTATAAGGGAAGATATCACGAAAAAGAAGTCTTTGCATCTCTGAGCTCCTATTACTCAGGCTTAAGTGGAACATGTCGTTCGTCACGGCTGCATGTGAAAATAGTTCGCCGATGGTGTGTATATTGGTCATCCTCCTGCTCGTGAGTGTTCCAAGGTCATCAAACCAATTCGAAATATCGTATAACATATTTGCTTTTCTATCCAAGATTATAGCAGAAGGATTTTATCGTGCTTTATTCGGAGCATTGTCGCACATACCGGGGCCTTTCCTGGCGAGGTTTTCATCGTTGTGGATCATTCTCCAGTGCCGGCTTGTGAGGCGATCCGAGTCTGTATTACAACAACATAGACGGCACGGTAATGTTGTCCGAATCGCGCCAAATCATATTTCGTTTGCCAGTCGTCTGGCATTGGAAACGATATATGGACATAAATCCGGCTTCATGAAAGGCCCCTTTTATGAAGATATGTCCATCTTTTTACTCTACGCATGGTACGATTTATGCTGACGTCTAGACCGATATACCCTTTCATCAAGTCGAGCCAGTGCTTTTCAACACTAGAAATGAAAAAGTTCATCGGCGCAAGAAGAAATACCTCGGTCCAGCGTTCTCGCCGAGGAGTTTGAGTGAATATGAACCCCATATGACGGAGCAAGTCAGGAAGTTGATGCAGTGCTTTGAGAGACTTGTTCAGAGATCCGAACAGGCAGAACTCGATTTTAATGGCTACTGTAAGTCAATAAATTACCTGGTACGAGATAATAGCAAGCTGATTTCAGGTCTAGCCAATTTTCTAGCTTTCGATGTGATCAGCGACTATTCGTTTGGAAAGTCCTTTGGTTTTCTTGACAAGGAAAGAGATCACCTCAACCTAATCGCTACTGTCGATGCACGTGGAGAGGTGCTAAATGCTTTGGGTCACCTAGCAAAGGTTTTACGACCGGGGATGAAGTACTTTATATTTGATCAATTCTGGCCGAATGGCCTGAAAGCAACAAGTAGCCTTGCTTCTATAGGATCTACTGCCTACCATGAGCGAAAAGGCCAAGACACGGATCGGAAGGATCTACTCAGCTTTCTTTTCAATGCGAAAGATCCGGATACGGGCTCCCCGTTATCAGAAAACGAAATTATCGCCGAGTCTATCTCCTTTATTGTTGGTGGTAGCGACACTACAAGTACAACCATGACAAACGTGGTCGACATTTTATCACGGGCACCTGAGATACAAAAGCAGCTGCATGAAGAGCTAGATAGTACTTTTGTTGGGTCACTAGGAGATGATTGGGTAGCTGATTTTCAGACTGTGAATCAGCTTCCTGTCTTGAACGCCGTGCTCCGAGAGACGATGCGGTTCAAACCTACGAGTTCCACTGGCCTTGAGAGAGTCACACCTGCTGGAGGCAAGACTATCTCGGGAATTTATATCCCTGAGGGAGTAAGTTCTATGTTCCAAGATTTTTTAGTTGACAAGGAATTGTGCTCACTAGTTATTAGACCTTGGTTAGCGTGCCTACACTCAACATCCATTATGATCCTACCGTGTTTAGCGTGAGTACCAATATAATGCGTGGATAGTTATAGCAGAGCTACATACTAAAAATAGAAGGACCCTGAGAAATTCGACATATCTCGATGGCAAGAGGGAGATTCGTCTAAGCTATTGGATTCGTTCTACCCATTCTCTCTAGGGCCTCGAGCATGTATCGGTCGCAAGTGAGTTACATGAATAATCCTTATTTGGGGATAACTTGAAGGTGTTAATATATTGGTAGTTTTGCATGGATGGAAATGTTAAAAGTCTTGGCAACATTTTTCAGGCTTTTCAATGTCGAGAGAGCCAGCTCCTTAGCTACCAATGTCCGAGAAGGCTTCTTCGTGAAGAATGATGAATGTAAGGTGAGGATTATACGGAGGTAGTCGATCAACGAGCAGGGCTATCCCGGTTTTTAGGGGGGTAATACATGAAAAATCCCCCTTTTCTTAGGTTCTACAATATATGAGAATCATTTATAAAATCCACCTGCTCTCACTCTGTAACTGCCATGTAGTACATACTCGTACTATACTTTGCTTCCCCACTAAAATGTGGAGAAGCATGACATAATGCCTTACAAATTGGAGGAAGCGGCGGTAAGTCGACTTTATCTTCGGTATCGATAAGCTTCTCCTCATCCAAACCCCAATCCATTCGGAACAACCCTAAACACCGCCACGATGAGTTCACCAGGGTCTGACGAGACACGGAATGAGCCCGGAGAAGCACCTATGTGGCATCCCGCACGAGAATGGCTTGAAGATGACGAAGGGGACGAGGACGACCTTGACTATACCGTCCCGTCTACGACCATGGAGACCGAAGACGATTGGGAGGAGGATGATGATGTGGGTGAGGAGAGGATGGGCCTCGGCATTTCTGACGGTGAGACCAGGATGTTTGGCTTTATGACCTCTACATGGACTAAGCGGCTAATTGAAGACATATTTATTAGAAAACCCCCATATCACCATCGACAATATCCAATTCGAACTGACACACGACGATCTCGACGGGAATGCGGAAGCTGGGGGAGGCGGGCACCCGCGAAGTATGTTCCAACAAATGGAATAGTTATATCATGTAGCTTCAAGTTGCACATTCGGGATTTCCCTCTGACTTGCTTTCAGTTCCGGCCGCCCAATTATTCGAGTTACTCGCATCGAGTGGTCTACAGCATATTCTCCGTTCAAACGGCTGGTCAACCAATATCGTCGGAGATGACGGCGATGACGAAAGTGACGACGAATTTGATGCGCCATTTACTCGCAGACCGAGACCCCGGAGAACAGGTAGCGCAGACCACTTCCCGAAAGTCCCCAATGATAAGGGGACGGAATTGATGGGTGGGGGTCAATTCGGGACGAATCCATACTTCGTCGATCGGCTCAAGAAGCGCAAGGGAGTATTCGCTACGAATCTCATGTGGCGCGAGCTCGGAACTGAGTCGTATGGATTGCGCAGAAGAGCTGGCCAATCCTTATCCCAGGTAAAATGGACTTTGATCCCTCTGTCGATCACGCCGAAACATGAAACATGGGCTGACGGTATGACGTGCGCTTAGCAATTGATACCAGGGTCGGTGGCCGATAAGATCATCCACTACGACTCACGAAGCTATTCCGGTCAATTTTCCGATGACGGGAATTTCTTCTTCGCGTGCGCGCAGGATTTCAAAGTCCGGATGTACGATACATCCAACCCGTACGAGTGGAAATATTATAAGACCGTCGACTACCCCTTTGGGCAATGGACAATTACCGATGCAACTCTGAGTCCCGATAACCGCTTTTTAGTCTACAGTTCAATACGAAGCCAGGCTTATCTAGCGACGACAGACCCCGAGGATGATTCTGATCCATCAGTACTGGACTTTTCTCTTCCGCCGGGCCAACGGCAACGACGAAGCTTGGGTAGCTCGCACTTTGGAGTATGTCTCTTAGAACGATTTCCCTGTGGTATATTTGACTAATATTTATCTCTCAGATCTGGTCTCTGCGATTTTCTGGGGATGGACGAGAAGTTGTTGCGGGCACATCGGAAAACTCAGTAGTTGTGTACGATGTCGAAACAAAACAACCGGTCCTCAATCTGCAAAATCGGCACCAAGACCATGTCAACGCAGTGTGTTACGGTGACACCTCTTCTCCACATTTACTCTATTCTGGGTCCGATGACACAACCCTCCGAGTCTGGGATCGACGATCCATGGCCGACGGCCGTGAAGCCGGCGCCTTCATGGGCCACACTGAGGGCTTGACCTATGTCGATAGCAAAGGAGATGGTCGATATATCATTTCTAACGGAAAGGACCAAACGATGAAATTATGGGATCTGCGGAAGATGATGACTACTGCTGACTTTGACCGGATTGACCCGAGTGACTACACCACTGGATTTGACTACCGCTTCGAACCCTATCCCGATGAATATTATGAACCGCACAAACACGATTGCTCGGTGGTCACTTTCCGCGGCCACCGTGTCCTGAAGACATTGATTCGTTGTCACTTCTCGCCGCCTGGAAGCACGAACTCGCGCTACGTGTACACTGGCAGTGAAGATGGAAAGGTTTACGTGTATAATATGGATGCCACGCTGGCCGGAACCATCGATGTCGGGTCAGCTACCATGAATTCCCGGCCCCGTGAGCCGGATGTCTTCGCCTCTGCATATGAAATGAGCGGCGAGATGTTATGGCGGACATGTGTACGAGATGCCAGCTGGCACCCGAATGCTCCTGTCCTTGCAGGTAAGTAGCCACTCCAGCTTTCTATCAAGACACATTTGCTAATCAGAGATAGCAACATCATGGAACGGATGGGGACTGTCGAGCGGTACCTGCACGGTACACAGCTGGAATAACGGTGCCAAAGATGATGAGGGTGACCCGCCAATTGGGAAAAGCTACGACGACAAGCTGCGATATGTACCGGAGTTTAATCACTACCGCGAGCACGCGCCCCCACCTCGAAGACGTCCGCTGCGGAGTCGACCAGTGCGGCGACGATTCATCGATGAAGATGAGACTTGGTGAGGTGGTCATTAGCACTAATTATGCTTTGGGGTCCTCCAAAAATAAAGGATTCACCTGCGAGTGATTCTCTGAGTCATGAGCATTTGAATGTCTGCATAGAGATTGTCTTCACGCGATTTGTAGTTATAACGAGTGACGAATATGCAAATACGACTATCTTGTTTTCAAATCGGCCCGCACTGAATATTATTATGTGGGCAGCACCACGGCGTAGTGTTGGGAGGGTTGGGAAGGGTGCGAAAAAAAAAAGAACACAAGATTCGACGTGGGTATGGAAGGTCGTCAATTAAACAGAAACAAAAGAGCTCCTATTGGTACAAGAAAGAATAGTGGTATATGGTATCTCAAGGGCGGCGGACGAGGCACTCCCTCCAACACAACCCAAAAAAGCGCCAGGGTGGTTTGCTGGCAACAACGTAAAGCAGAAATAACGCCCGCGACGGCGGTTCGGTCCAGGAGTCCTCGAGATTTGATGTAGGTGCCCGATTCGAAACGATTTGTCGAGCCCAAGTTGCGTCGCGGTAGTTCAACGGGCGAATGATTCACCTTGTCAGATGCGGACCTTTCTCCATGCTAGGATCTCCGATCGCCCCCTTTCCAGCTTCCAGCTCGTCGATGTGAATTGGATGAGGTATTTAAGCACCACCGACCAGGACCTGATTGACAGGGATGTGAACTATTGTGAGAGTTATCCGTTAGTGAGTTGTTCAAGCAATATTATCGATAGGCACGCGATGTGTTCGGGGGAGCTAATGTGCGATCGGCGGCGTCACATACTCAGCTTGACGAAGTAACCAATGGCACCCTAATGGATCGAGTTAGCAAGTCCGAAGCGAGATATAAAATAAGAATAAAGGAGAAGCTAATTGATAGCAAATAGACACGTACCATAACGAGGAAGCCCATGCCGACGGCCTGGCTGATCTTGATGAACTCGCGCTTGTCGGGCTTGGTGCAACGCTTAATGAAGAGGGAACCCTCACGGACAAAGTCCTTGGGGATATCGGCGAGCTCTTGGATAGTGTCAGACATAGTGTGAAGTGTGAAGTGTGGAGGGGATGAAGGTTGGAGAAAGAAGGAAAGAAGTTAAGTTGAGAGGGGGATCTGAGGGATCTGAGGAAGGAGCGAATGCCATTCTGGCCACTTCGGCGACTTCCATTTCTGGGGAACCGGAACAACACTTATTCCCCATCCCGGCACCGCGCTCCCTTGGGACTCTCGACGTCGACGACTTGTTTCACCTTCCCCCAAACATCTCGACATCTCTGGCTGGCTGAGGAAGGATTGATATCTCCTTTGTTAATACTTACGCAGTTCTCGCTGCTTCTGCCTGTCTGTGGTAGATCTTCTCTTTCTTTCCCTGTATCGAAGCTCAGAAGGGCACCTCTGTACGCGCTCATCGGCTAGCGCAGCTCTTGTTTCACTCTCGGAGGCAATTGTTCTCGGATTGTACGTATCGTCGTGAGCTGTTTTGCTTTTCATTGTCTTGTCTTTTCTCGTCTCGTCTGGTTGGGGATTCTACCTCGCGTCTTTTCCTGACTTCTACCTGTTGTGCTTCAATGGCCGAGTTCACTCTTATTTTCCATGCTAATTGCAGCCCGGCGTTTCCAGACATGTACTCTCCTTGAGACAAGAGGCCAATTTTCAAAAGCAAAGAACAGAAGAAGAAAAGACCAAGAAGGGCCTGTATTAGCCAACCTCAAACTTATTCAAAATCGAATACTTGCTCTTCAGCCTGCAGTCCTTGAGGACTCGGATCTCCTAGTGCACAATGGCCACGGAAGATGATAACTTCGATATTGACATTTACGGGGATGGCAGTGGCTACAACACCACCGAACAAGGTGATCAGAACCAAGATGACACCGAGCTGGTACTAGATGCCCCCGAGACCACATCCTCGGCCCCTTCTGCAGACACGAAACAAGCCAACAACACGAATCACGCGAACAATACGAAAAATGCGAACAATGCGCCCGCCGAGTCGAACCGTCCCGTCGAATCTGCGCCTGCCTCCAACGGCGACCACGCCATGACCAACCCGCAGACCTCCGCTCACGATGCCCCGGCGCCACCACATGGGGTCAAGCGGAAGGACTACGACGACCGCCCCTCAGACCCAGATGCCACCAGCGCGTTGCTCATCTCCGATCTGTTCTGGTGGGAAACGGATGATGACATTCGGGGCTGGATCGCCGCGGCCGGCAGTGAGGACGAGCTCAAAGATGTAACATTCAGCGAGCACAAGGTCAATGGCAAGAGTAAAGGGTAAGTTTGCATTTGCTGCGTATCTCTTTGTTCGTCTCATGTTGCTCTTTCATCTCATGTTGCTAACCGCAAGTCGCGCTCTCTCCACAGACAAGCCTTTATCGAATTCATCACTCCCCAAGCTGCGACGGCTAGCAAACACAAGATCGAGAGCGGTCAATCAGGGCGGAAACACCTGGTGAACTATACCAATCCGCATCAGAACCCATTCCGTACACTCCCCAAGGACGCGCCCATGCGCAAGGATGCCAATCGAACGATGGGCGGTAACTTCAACGCCGGAGGTAACCAAAACAATAACTTCGGCATGAACACGGGTGGCGGCGGATACCGCGGCGGACGAGGAGGCTTCAATAACCGTGGGATGGGTGGTAACAACTTCAACAACCGGGGAAATTTCAATAACATGGGCGGCGGCGGCTTCCAGGGCGGCGGCGGCGGTCCTGGTATGATGGGTGGCTTCCAGGGCGGTCCTATGGGCGGCATGCAGAACTACGGCTTCAATAACCGCGGCGGTGGCATGATGGGCGGCATGCGCGGTGGGCCGGGCGGTATGCGTGGTGGTCGGGGTGGGAATATGGGCGGAAACAATATGATGGGAATGCCGGGCATGAACCCCATGGCTGGAGGTATGGGCATGAATCCTATGGCTGGTGGAATGAACCCTATGATGAACATGGGCATGCAGGGTGAGTATCAAATCTATTCTGAATGCTTGAAAGCCTGACAAATATTGACTTCTTCAGGCCAAGGTTTCCAGGGAGGCAACCCAGCAGCCTTCAACCAAGGATTCTTCAATAACCAGGGAGGTAGCGTCGGGGGCGGCAATGATGCTTCATGGAACCCGCACGGTGCAAAGCGCAGTCGGCAGGAGTAGAGATCCTGGCCACGAGTTGCCTGACTCCATTCAACCCTAATTCCCCGACCTCGTCTACGAAAGCTGGCTACGAAACCTCTACCAGCTCACTTCACAACCCACGAATGATTATTCCTGTTCGCCCTTCCTATCTTTGCTACTTTCCATTATCAGCTTCTCCAACCCAGATCTTTTTTTAACGGTGTTAACTTTCAAAATCCACATGGCTTCAAGGTTTCTACAGGCAAACAAACCTCCAACTTCCAAGTTATCAATGGCTTGACTTCGTTAGCGGGTATTTCTTCTTATTTATCTTTTTTTTGGTGTATTAGATGCAATTGAACGGTGTTGCTATTTTTAATTTGTACTTATACTATTATATGGCGAAAAACTTGATCTGACCTTTCTCTTGGATGACAATGCACTTGGAGATGATCTAGATCGGACTAGTAAAATTAGGTCTCAACCATTTGTGATCTCCCACCCGTTGTAGTAGTAGTTAGTCCATGAGCTGCGAGAGATTCCTGCCCAACCTAAGGTTGAATAAAAACCCATCACCTGGGCAGGTCAGGCTTTCAACCTCGGTCGAGCATGACCACCTGGGCATAGCAATGCTCCATAAGCAGATCGGTTCGATCCAGTCAGCCTGGCCCAACTGATAACTCTCAGCACAGCCTCCACAGCTTTCTCCGTGAAAGAAAGCTCATGGCTTGCACCTATATCCCACGCATTATGCATATCCGCTCACAAAATGGAGTGTAGTACAGAGGCAGACTCAAGGCTCACTGCAAGGCACTCAACGCACTCGATAGTTTGAGTTTTTTACGTTCGGATGTAAGCATTTAATTAAGGCCGCGGGGGGGCCTGAAACAGTGCTGAAAACTTGGAAATCGAACAGTGTGGAAAAAGCAGTAAGATTCGTAAAATTCAACAGTGAAAAAGACAAGTGGATGTCTTTTGCGTTTCAATGGCTTGTGAGGAAATACACACGCTTTCAAGTTAGCTGTAGTAGTAGTATGTATGTATGCACCTTTCCTTCCATGGATATCGTAACAAGTCACTCGTGTCATCATGGCCGACCAAACGATCAAATAATCAAAGGTCAAAACTGTAAAAATAGATAGCAGATAAAGACAAAATTTAAAGAGATGTCCAAGAAAAAAAAGATATGCCCCATCTAATGTAGTGTACAAGCGCCAAAAAGGTACACTTTTAGACCGCCAACCCAGTAGATCAAGATTAGGTAGGCTTGGCGGGGCCTGAGAAGGGTATATCTTTCGAGGAATTTGTTCGTGAGAAAGAAGAAGAAGGGTCAGAGAGAAATGCAAAGAAAGAGAAAAGAAAAATAGAAAGTCCAAAACATTACCACGCGGAAGAAAATCGTGAGAAGTCAAAAGCACCTGGGGTATCAAAATCAATTTAGGTTGAGGTGAAAGGGAATCATAAAAAGAAATACAGACAGGGAATATGAGGTGGGAAAAAGAATAATAGAGAAAAGGAAAAGATGGGTGAGAAGAAGAGATGAATGGACAAGGGAGCAATCAATCGCTCAATTGGGGATGAAACTCCTGATCGGCTGCTCGACCCAGCACCGTGATCATGAACACGACATATCTGGCAAAGTACCAAAGGAGACGTGCCTTTTCCACAGACTCCGAATCATAGGTATCATCCAAGTCGGAAGAGTCAAGTGCCAGGCTGCCGGTCACTTGCGAGATCCTATCGAACGAGGCCTGGGTGTCCAAATCGAAAATGAATTCCACTACTGGTTGATCCAATGGAACAATGGCCTGGTCGTCGTAAAGGGACGTGTCGACGGACAAGGAGGCATCGGAAGAGTGGAGGGGGGCAAGTTTGGTATCTGGTTCATCATCCCCATCTCCATTCTTGTCCCCGTCATCATCGGCTTTGTTGGCAGCTCCTTCGAGGGCCTTTCTGGCTTCGACTTTCTTCTTCGTTGTGTCGCGCAAGTTGAGTAGGCTCACAACTATCTGTACTTTGTTGCGAAGAGTTGACCCGGGCCCGTTGGTGGTGACAGTCAGTTTCACTTTTACCGGACGGCCACTAGAAAGGTTGGTGGTCATCTTTGACGATGCCTTCGTCGCCTTTGCGTTGCAGGCGCATCTGCATTGGGAGAGTCTCGGTGCTGGAGGAACATCTTTCCACGGGGATATCCCAAAGCCTAGGGGTGGAGGTTAGCGAGGCTAGACCGGTGCAGGTGCTACCCGATACTTACTATTGTCAAGCCAAGAACTTGGGATGGTCGGTAGATCCTTGAGAGGCTTCGTCGGCAGTCCGATGGGTAAAGTCTTCGTCCATGGAAAAGCGCTAGCCAAAGGGCTGGTTGGAGTCAACTTACTTCCCAGAGACGACGGGGAGCATAGAGGTAGCTCTTCTTCACTGAAAGTGGGTGAGTCTATGTGTCTCACGGCCCAGATACCAAAATTATTTACATCATTACTCTGGGGAGGGGATCCTTGGGAGCTCCTGAAGGCGGCTGCCCTGTTTGAGACGCTGGGGTTCCGCTGTCCTTCGTTGAACTGGGTGGTAGGAAAGGGTTGTGTAGTATCTTGCCTGGTTGAAAAGGTCTCATGGGTCCAGTAGTAAGGGAATATATCGAGGGGAGAGACTGCGGTGTCCAATGACGGCTGGGGTTGTTGAGAATACTGAGCTCCCATGGGAACCGTGCAAGATCCGAATGAGCGTCTAGTGAAGCATCCGGGACAATAATATCTTGGTCCGTCCGTGAGACCCAGATCACATTCACGGAAGGATTCAAGGCAGTCGGCACACTGTAGTCTTCGGGTGTTTCTGTTCGATGGCTCACTTTGCCCGAATATTCTTCCCCGGACTATTTCGTTACTCTGCGTAGGTTGAGGATAAGGGTTTCTTCCTCGAGAATGCTGGCTACCTCGAAGTCGGCCCCCTATGTGGGCGGTAGAACGAGAAGAGTTGGAGTTTATTCTATTCCTTTCCGCTCGTTGGGAGTCTGAATGAGATCGACCTATTCTCACTGGTTCTGAGCGATGCTGGCTACCAGCCGCGTTGGAGGGAGAGCGTTCACTGCGAACGCTACCAGGACCAGGGACAGTGAGCTGTTGGGACGACACAAATAGTGGGGGATTAATCGTAGGAACCGAGCCCATCTGAGGTGCTTGGCCATGGTCGACACTGCTGTTTCGAGAAACAGCACGCTCGGGCTGCTGTGCACCAACCTTATGGTGACCGATGATGCATGCATAGAACTCGTCCCAGCTGTTGGTGGTTAATGTGCATATAGTACACTGTGCGGGACAAGCAAACTCTTTCGTGATGATGCTTTCACGTTTAATTCCCTCGTGGGCACGAATGTGGTTTTGAATTTTATCTTTGCGGTGTTGCTTCTTTTGGCAGTCCTCCTTGGGACAGGAGTATTCGAACTGGGGGAAATGCTGGTCCTTGAAATGTCTTGTCAAGACCCCTTTGTTCATGGATGTGACGCCACAAAGAAAGCATCGGCCGGCATATATGATGTTCTCTGTTCCTGGAGACGTATACTCCTTCAAGAGCTCCTCAATCGCATCTTTCGCCTTTCTTGTCCGGGATTCATGTGCCGGACTGCATTCTTGCTTATTGAGATGAGCATTGATAAAATCCAGAGCCTCGATCAGAATTTTGGGGCCGGCAGTACCACGATGAGTATCGTTGGTAGGCACGTCGAGAACCTCATTCCACATCTCAGAGGGAAGTTGTTCGATCCTTGGCTGAGAGGCTGCATCCTCACCGGGGGTGTTGGGTAAAATTTCACCAGCTGGTACGATCAACGATCCATGGGTGAAGGTTCCAAGGAAGGATATATCCTGCTCCGTATCACCAGTGGTGACACGGGAAGGAAAATCTTGAGAGCTCAGGAACGACTCTGGCTCTGGGTAGCTCGTATCGCTCGTCGCTGTTCCTCCAAATGAGGTGCTGGGTGGTTGTGACGAAGAGGGTAGAGATCCCTGGAGTAAGCTGGGTTAATTACCGTTTCGGAGCATCCGGGGTCAAATCCGGGTGCTGAGAAAGGGGGCCAGTTGACAATACTCACTAGTGCAGCCGAAGGCACCGACACTGTATCACTCCTGCAATACCCGTCAAGGTTGTCGGGATATCTCAATGTTATGCTCGAGTCCGACAAGTCCGGACCATGGGGAACCTCGCTTGATTCAGTTCCATCATACCGATTCCCGTTTAAGGAATAGTTCAAGTGAAAGGACATTGTGGTAAGCAATGTCTGTCTGTTCGGAAGCGAGACCAGACAGAGGGGGAAGAAGAAAGGAAACTGAAAAATCAGGAAGAAGGAGGGTTAACTTATACCACCTCCTAGGTAGTAGAAGCCCGATGAGAATCCTGGAGCTCGTTGGGCTCACAAAAACCTTTGACCTTCACCCGGGCGAAGCAAAAGTGGAAGTGGAGGGGAGAGGGAGGGGTGCAGCACGATCAGAGCAATAATGGGTCCGATAACGTTCTTAGCTCGTGGAAGTTAGATTCAAGGAGAATTAAAATAAAAAGAAAGGTCAAAGAAAGAGCGGGTCAGTAAAGATATAATCGTCGGGGAACGTAATCCCTTCGCGGTCCACGGATTGAGGGACTCGGAACTTGAAGCGGGCAGCTGCCAGTGAGGCAGGGATACTGGTTGCCTTAGTGGGGAAACTTGGGGCTCAACTTGAACTTGGCAGTACTGATATTACTGTGTATATTACCAGAGATGCATATTCAGGTATGTAATAACTTGAATGTATTTATGTCCGGTCCTGTCGGCATCTAATAGGCTTATTTTTACAGCACATTGCAATTGTAATACTTCACCATTTCTATACAATACAACCAAAGTACACAAGACACTAGCCCCTCAAGAGACTGAAAAGCAAGCGCAGCACAGCACAGCACAGCCCCGGTCCATCACAGGAATGAAACCGAAAGATGAAGCGCATGCACAATGATGCACTTCCAGGGGGGGGAGCTCAATACACTCAGCCCCATTCCACTTTCCCTCTTTCCCACTTTCCCTCTTTCGCAGGGTGACGATTGAGGGGAGGGGGAAAACCCGCAGAACACAAAGAACAAAAGGACCCACCTTGGCCCCATTCTAACTCATTGAAATCTGCAGCCATTGAAGGCTAGACGATTGTTTTGTGACATGCTGCTCTATGGCCTTGTTACCTTTCCCCTTTTTGGCTGCATACAATTATGTTTACTGTACTTCATAGTCTCTAGAGTGGAGTTCCCATGGTTCGTTCCCGTCCTCGTTCCACGGTCCCACCATTGTCAATACGCCCACAGTTAGCAACCTTATCTTGAGCCTGGGGTTCCCCAGCCTTGAATACCAGGCCCTCGGTAATACTAGAGTACCACCTCTCGCGCCTCGCTTTTCAACGAAGACCCCATACCCTCCTTCTCCTCCTCTCTCATCTCCGTAAGATAGGGCATCAAAAGAGGGGTTCACTCCAATCGGGCGCTTTTCGCCAAGTCATGGTGATCATGGGAATGGACAACGAGGAAAGTCTCGGCAAACGACGGGGTACCGTGAATACCCTATCCGCTATCGTACCGAGTACGGTGTGTACATTGAATTACATCGCAGATCATGGATTTTCGACGGGGATAAAACGAACCTCCTGGGGGGGTCTCGGTAGTTGAAGGGAACGCTGGGGCCCCCGTTCCCGACCAGCGAAGAGTGAGGCAACGTGTACGGAGTAGTCCAAAGAGCCGTACTCGTACATGGCTGCGGATTTCACGTGAAACTACCGCGATGCCCTTGAAACGCTCACCGAAGATCCCGGCTGTCCTTTTGACCATGAGTTCGTCGCTTAGACTCCTCCGGACAGAGACTCTTACGGAGTACTTTTGAAGTAAGTATTGACAGGGAAGTCATTTGATCTCTTTTTTTTCGGACCCTCTCCCTCCGCCCTGCCGAACCAATAATCGCACTGGTAATAATAACAAGGATATTTCAATTATACATCATACCGACTAGGACGAGGGTTGCCCGAAGGAGCGGTGACATCACCGTACAAACGATTAACTAACACGATCTAAGCCTGCGGGGATTGCACTAAGGAGATCAAATACATAGATAGAATCCACAACCTCGTGTTGGTAAAGACAAGGCCGCGTAAACATTCCTTCCGGGTTTTAGGAATAAAAGGCCGGACTTAGAGATTGGCTTGCGACCGGGGAATGCGTGACAGGCCTCGGGAAACACTCCCTGATACTTCCAGTGATCAAGCGTCCCTGTCGGGCACTTCGGGGTGGGGCACAAACACGATGTCAAGTGGTTGGTTGATGAGTGAGGCGTGAGCGGGCGCAAAGCAGACTTGTAAAGACGAGACCAAAGGAAAGGAAAGTGAAAGTGGAAAAGTGAATTGGGAGAAAAGCGCGCAATTCTCGAGATTGACCTCCAATGGTTGGATCCACACCGCATCATCGCATTAAACGAGGCCCTACGGAGTAGAAAGAAAAAAAACTTTTGTCCTCCTGACAATCCCATCGGCCGGACCAGGATAAGCATTGGCTTGAGCCAACTGCAAGTGGGATTGACTAGGAGAAAATAGCCCTCGTTCCTCCAAGTGGTGAAGGATATTCTAGGTATAATTAGGTTCTCCCACGCCCGCGTCCCTTCGACGGGGCCGAGCTGGCTGCACTGCTAACCGCCAATAAGGAATGCTCGATTCGCGAAGGCTTTTAATAAATTTTTCTTACTTTTTTATTTCTTACGATCATCTGGTCCCATGATCCTTGCTGACACGGACCCGAATTTCCCTGATCGCCCTGATCACCCCTCGGTCTACGGATATACGGACTAGGATTGAGACGAGACAGACAGGGCCCCTGTTCAGTGGCTGTTGGCTTTGGAAACACACACAGAGCCAAGATCAAGCCAAGAGTGCTTTTCGTCCTCGGCCGCGCAGACTGGCCATCTTTCTGTGCGGATCAATGGTCATCTTGAGCAATTCGTACTACTCATCCGTGCGCTCTGGATGCCGAAGATGGCTGGTAGTTGTCAGCCCTACCTAGGAAGACGCGTGTTTACGAAGCATGCAAGTAATGCAAATCGCCGACCTCGTAGATCTTCGTCCATTCCATCTTGGACCGGAACGATCGTGACCCACTCCCCGGCCCGCCAAAGTAAGATGCAATGCGTGAAACTCTACTGCATACACAGGGACCGGAACTCCCAAGGTTCCGGGCTAGATGAGATCGTGACTAAGGAGGAGTAGGGAGGAGGAGGGAGAACCGGCTGGCAAGACAAGGGCCTCAACTCCCGTTGTATTGCGACTGAGGAAACTTCGCCTTTCACTCTCTCCTATGTACCGACTTGTACCTCATGGGATCCTTTTTTTCCCCATTGAAATGTGGGAGAGTGCAGGATTTACAAGCATTCAGGGGATAGAAAGAAAGGTAAGAAAAAAATCATATTGAAATTGCAGATCAAATCACAAAACGCGCCCGTATAGGCTTCTATCTCTATATGTTTAATGATGGTTTTTTCCACGGTGGATCACAAAATAGAACAAGGGTGGGGAGAAAAGAAACAAAAAATGGGGAAAGGGAAAGGAAAGGGAAAATAAAAATCAGAAAATCAAATCACATAAAAATCGTTTTGAAAACTCTGCAGGAGGAAAGTGAAAAAGCGGAGGAGAAAAGCAAAAATAGAAAATAGAAAGAAAATAGAAGAGAGAAAAGAGAAAAAATTGAGCAGAGTAAAGGAAAAGCAAACAAAGGAAACCTCAAAAACACGAATAAAAACAGCAAAGTGAAAGTGACAAACCCTTCACTAACCAACCGCTCCCACCCAGTGGGGCCTGGGGCAAGAAGGGCGAGGACTTCAAGGGTTCGCCCGACCATCAACAACCTTGGAAGTGCCAGTGAGCCTTGCACATACCCAGTGACTCCAAGGAGACCACCGATTCCCCCAACTCCGAGTCCAGCTTCAGTTTCAATCGCTAGTAACGCCCATCTATCCCATATCCATACACTCATTGATCCCGTATCCGTAAGATGTTCCTAATCGTATCATGCCATACACCTTCAAGTTGTATATACCTCCGAGTCTAACCTATGGAGTACAATCTTCATCCCCTCCAGTTGTGTCGGAGTGGAGGCAATCAACGTCCACTACTAGTAATGCTGGCCGGTGTCCAGTGGTCTGCACGCGAAGAGCCACTCAGGTACATTTCAAGCATGGGCGATTTGCCCGTTTTTCTTTTGGCAGACGGTCTGCGATAGAGATAGAGGTGGTGTTCGAGGATGTCTTGGTAGCGGTGGAGCTGCCGCCGTAGGGAGGGTTCTGGGGGGGCCCACGAGCCGATGCCGGACCTTTACCATACTTTATTAGCAGTGCTTTTGTAGGAAGAGGGAAGAGGTGAGGGGGGAGGACGGGGTTAGGGGTGTGATTGTGTTGAGGTCAAGACCGGAGGATTTATGGTTGCAGTGGTGCGGCTGGGGTATAGCTGGGGTGGCGCAAGTTCGTCAAATAGCTTAAGCACTTACATGGAACTCATGTTTGGAGATTGGGGGTAAGATGGAAATCGTCTGAAGAGGGATGCAATGGTTCTCGGTAGGCCGGAAAGGTTCACGGCGACGAGTGAGACGCAAGTAGAGCGTGTGGTATAGTGGAAATGGAGAGCTGTTTGTATCCACGCAAGTGTGTAACGTGTTTGAGAACTGTAGATGCTTCTTGGAGAGAGAGAAGGAG